GACTACGAATCCGACATCATCACCCTTGAAGATGGACTCGATCAAGGCGACCCGTTCTCATCAACGGGGATGATATTTTACATTGACCGGCTCCTACGCGAAGCACCAGACAGAGCGGACGGAGAGGAATCATTCGGCTTTGCGGACGACACGGGATTCCTGGCAATCGGCGACACCCTGGAAGAAGCAGCGGGCAAAGTAGAAAGCTGCATGGTACGGGCGAACGGGGCCCTCGACTGGAGCGAAGCTACGAACTGCAAATTCGGACTCGAGAAAACAGTATGCATCGGGTTCACCAGGCGACGAGAACCGAACCCAGAAAGCACTCCCAAAACGAGGCCGGCCGAGAGGCCCAAGATCAGCATCAACGGGACGATCATCAAAATGGCGGAATCAGCTAAGTGGCTCGGAATCATTATAGACCAAGAACTACGCTTTCACGAGCACGCAGCGTACGCATTGAAGAAGGGCACTGACTATATGCAACACTTTCGCCGACTAGCACGCAACGCCTCCGGAGTATGGCACCGATACCTCAGGAAGTTTTACCTCACAATCGCTCTCCCAAGAATGCTATACGGGGCGGACGTCTGGCTATCCCCACCAAACATCAAGAACCGGTCCAGCCGGCGGTTCATCGGCAAGATGGCAACCGTGCAACGACAGGCAGCGCTACACTCCACCGGGGCCCTTCGAACGACGCCAACGGACATACTGAACGCGCACGCGGATCTAGCCCCCTTCGACATGGCGGTACACGACATGCTCCACCGCAACACGGTACGGATATCGACACTGCCAAAGACGAACCCCCTGGCCAAATGTGCGAGCCGGGCGTCAAAGAGGTACGTCAAAGCACATCGAGGACCCCTACACGAACTCTACAGGGAATTCCGGATCGACCCACAACGCATGGAGAAGATTAGTGCCACAAGGGAGGGACCACGACACTCGAGACCGTTCACCATCGCAATCCCACCGAACAAGGAGCAGGCGAAAACGGCCGCAGAGGAGAACCAAGCGGACGTACAGATATACACGGATGGATCAGAGATCGACGACAAGGTCGGCGCAGCGTCGGTCCTATACTACCGCGATAAGCATATCGGAACGCTCCGCTACCACCTAGGATCAGCTAAGCACTATGGCATTACCGAAGCAGAACTCGTAGGTCAGCTCATGGCAGCGCACATGCTTTCGCAGATCTCTCGCCACAAGGACGGATTCGATACGGCCACGATCGGGGCAGACAGCACCTCCACCCTAATGTCAACAGCGTCGCAGAAGCCCAGGGGAGCCCATTACATCATGGACGAAACGCATAGGATCATGTCGAACGTATCGGACCGAGTCGGAGACGAGATCGAAATCGCAATGGTTTGGACGCCGGGTCACGTCGGCATCGAAGGGAACGAGAAAGCGGACGAAGAGGCGAAAGCGGCAGCCCAAGGGACATCCAGCCCGGCGAGTACTTTACCTAAACTACTACGCAAACCGCTTCCCTGGAGCAAATCTGCAGTGCGAAAGACATACAAGAAGGAAGCAAAGGCGATACGAGAAAAGCGAGAACGTCAATCCAAACATGTCCGGCGCATCAGGCAACTCGACCCAAAGTTCACGCCGAGCCACTTCAGGAAGCTGGCTCAAGTCCTCCCGCGCAAACAGCTATCGCTTCTCATCCAGCTACGCTCAGGACACATCGGACTGAACAAACACCTCCACCGCATCAAGAAATCTCCGATGCCTATATGCCCGCATTGCAGAACCTACCCGGAAACGGTATCACATTTCCTCACACAATGCTCGGAATACAGGGAACCTAGGAGAAAGCTTCGTGCGGAACTGGGACACAAGGCGAGTAACATTAAGTACTTGCTATCGGACTCGAAGGCACTGCCGGCCCTCTACAGGTACATCACGGAAACAGGTCGATTCGCGCAGACACACGGCAACGTCGACATAGACGAAGATCGCTGGGTGGACCCATACGACAGGGACAAGGAGAAGAGGGACCGACGGAACCAGAGATCGAGGGAGCTACGGGAAGGGAGAGACGAAGGAGGAGGCGGTGAGGGGTAGCTTTCCTCCCGCCAGTTTTCCCCAAGTGGTTTTATGGCGGGAGGTTTTAACGCGCCCAGGAGACGATGAACGAACCGGGAAGGACAGGAACTGCGACGACGGGAAGCACAATGCGACACCTACCACAACATACCATCACGCACCGCCTAACCAGGCGCCCAAGCCGATCAGATCCAAACCTGAGAGGCAGTGGTTTTGACCGGAAGAAGTCAACGGAGACGGATAAGATTGGGATAGAGGCATACGCTTGTACAGTAACGTCTAACATATGGCACGCCCGCAACGGACGTTAAACAAAGGAAAAAAAAAAAAAAAAAAAAAAAAAAAAACATGGTTGTGAACGAACTTGTGGAGAGACCTATCAAGCGGCAATCATATGATATCTGACGCGCATCCTACTTAGACTACTTATTTGTTTATCGACCAACAGTCCAACGAACAACAGAAGGCTACATGCATGATATCGGACGCCAACGCCAACGTACCCACGACTGTCAGGGAACGGGGAGCATGCGGAGACGCTTCCGGAAGCCAGAAGCTCGCAAAGCGAGAGATTTCGGATCCTTCAGGAAACCCGGGAGGCATGCGTTCTCCACGCATCGGACATGGCACGGATCATACGCGCGGGCCGTGTCCTTGCTCAGTAACCTCTCTGGAGACCGGCGGTGTGATATGACGACTCAATTGTACGCGTATCCGAGGTGATCCACAGATGGATCGTCGGCGCCGGATGGTGCTAATGCTGGGAAGATAAGGGTGCCGCACCGTTACACCATGGGGTCTGATCCTGAGCGGTACTGAATGCAGAAGAATAAGCTTTGCGCGACGGAGACGGAGCACAGCAGTCAGCACAAGTCATATCGGACGTAGATGAAGACGGATCTGGCGCGAGGGAGGGAACTGCGCAGCGCCATGAGTCGCTGGTATGTTTTGTGTTTGGCCTTCCCTTCCCAGAACGCTAATATGGGTAAGTTGAGCCCTCAGTACCGGTGCTCGAGGTACACGTTGAAACGGGAGTCATGTCCCCTTGTCCAGAGCAATGAAAACTTAGATCCAGACATACATCCGTCGTGATATCATCGGAGTCTTTCCAAGTGGTGAGTCGAGTCGAAGTCCTGCAAGAAGAGAGCAAGCCAGATTTAGCGGAACGACAAGGTTGATGCCCGTCTTGCGTGTGAGAAGATGCGCGGTGCATGCGATTCTCAGATGGAGACGCAGCTGTCCTGTGTCTGGAAGGACAGCTATGGGGTGCGCAGCTCGGTTCGCCATGGGCCTGGAGGCGCGATCTCATCGCCGTTCTGAGGAATTCCACCTCAAGTCCGACGTGTTAATCCGAGGATTCACGCGCGACTGCAATAGATCTATGGGCACCCGGCACAGTGCGTCAATTGCACTTGCAACATGGGGTATATGTGAGTGAGGAGTAGCGCCAACCCGTTGCGTCGTCGCGGAGGAATGTGGAGAAGTTCAGGCACGGGAGACGATTTACGCGGGACGCCAGCCGCGGCGACAAGCGAATGCGTGCTAGGCCCGAGTTGTCCCGGACGTCGGAGTCGCCGGAACACGGCCCGCGGGCATCAGCCGGGGGTGCGCTATATCTCTCGCGCCCTTTCACAAGCATGCGGCGCCATCCCCCTCTAACCTTAACCGGCCCTTCAGTCTTCGCCGTCGTCCAGCACAGCGATGAGCATCACCGTTGACGATCTCGTCGCCAGTTTTGGCTCCAGCCACATCGGCCAGGAGGCCATGGACCTCGCTGCGCTCCAGGTTCGTCTGACAATCTTCCCTCAAACCGACGGGGTTTTTTCTCATACCCGTGTCCCCGCCGACAGTCTCAGCTTGCTCAGACGCTTTTCGCGCACGCGTTACCGCAACAGCATTCCCAGTCGATCCCAAACCGCGAGATCGGATACCAGCCGTGCAATACGCCCATCGCGTGCACCCCCACGTCTCCGACCGGCTCGTTCCCGTGGAGCCAGATGCGCACTGAGAGACGCAGCGCGAGCCTTTGCAGCCGCCGCTCGGTCGACGATAGCATGCTCACCGACGACGAGGACGAACGGTTGGTCGAGGAGCAGCTCCTCGGCGGCTCGTCCTCGACGACCACCGCCGCCCCCTCGCAACAGCATCAGATGCAGACTTCCTGGTCGGCAGCGCTCGACGAGCAACAGCAACAACACAGCTCGTCGCTCTTCGCGACGACTGACCCGTTCTACGTGGCTGCGAGCAACCCTGCGCCCGCCGCGCCCTCGGTTTTCGCCCAGGTCGGCCGGCCGTCCCAGCAATCGCCCTTCCTGGCGCAACAGACGCAACCGTTCGGCGGTTCACAGGCACACGCTGCTCCGAATCCGTACTTCGCGCAGCAGACGCCACGCTTGGGCATCGCTCCGCAGCAGCGTAGCTTATTCGTAACCGGGGCATAACTCTGTTCTGAAACCGGGGTTCCCTCACCCGCCAACCCCGCGCCGTTCCATTCATCAAGTTACGAAACATACCCCGCTCTCGCACAGCCTTGCCACCCCTCCTCTCTCACTTTGTACTACTCTCGCTCTGCGAAGTCCGCAGCGGCCTCACTTGGCACACAATACGGAATGTAACAAAGCGTAGCGTGCACGCTTCTAGTGCCGGGTCCTTGGGATCCTCTCGGATACCTCGGATACTCGCGTGGCATGCGTCATGCGAAGAATCTGCCTCCGGACCGCATCATGGCCGCACCATTCCGCCAGGTACACGTATCGGCGAAACCTCTTGCTTATCTGCGGAGCTACACGTCCTTTCCCGGACACGGTCATATGTCCTCCTACCGATGCCGCTCCTCACGGACTCCCCACTTGCATAACACAACACTTACACCATCCTGGGACTCTTTCCACTTCATCCGTCGCTACCCCTTTTGTTATCATCAACAGCAAATAACTCAAGTTACGATACCTCCCCGAACCCGTTCCCGTTCACGCACCTCGACTCCACTCCACTGACCTCCCTGGTCTGAAGTATTTGATCTCGGATAATTGTAGACGTACTTTTCTTCTTACTCTCCATTCAACGCAAGACCTCCTTTTTTGTTGTACGTGTAGAATGTAGTTATAATGCGCGATTTTACGGCGTTGGTCGTGGATCCTCACATAATTGGTCCTGAGTCGGGATATTCGTGAGATGGATGCTGCAAGTCTGCGTATCTGGTTCTCCATTTGCAGCGGTGCAGGGAGCGACAGCATTTCGATGTCCGACAGCCCTTGTCCTTACCGTCGCTATATCGATAACCAAAGGCGGTGTGAACCTATTCAGACCCTGCTTCGACATACATCCAAGGTTCGAGATCGGGCTCGAACCAACGCTCTAAGCGGAGATTCCTAGGCAACGTTGAGGCAACGGCATTGATTATCCTTGTACGTGTCAAACCGATGGAACGATCGCGGTGAGATCATATTGGAAGTAAAATGGGTGGTATACACATGTCAACCAGCCTCCGGGCTCGTCGTACGATCTGGGCTCACGGGCTAGCCCAACGGTGCAGGCTTCTCTCCGGGCATGGAATGCCCGAGATTGCAGGGTCCCCGCATAGATGCCATCTGCATGCTATTTAACATAGCAGGTAAACTGCGTACGCGGGCCGCGTGAGGTGCAACACGAGAATACAGAAAGCCACGGCATATATATTCGTGACAACTCATAGCAAAACAGAAATCGTACAAGAAGTAGTGTTGCCGCCAAGTTGAGTTGAAGTCAATTCCAACTCAACTCAACTTGCAAAAACGACAACTCAACTTGGCTTGTGGGCCTCGAGTTGGACTTGCGTGAGCTTGCGAGTTGGCACTGCTGTTATCCCACGTTCAGCGACACTACCGATTGGTCCATGCAGAGAATCGGTTCACACGATGAAAACGTGGCCTTGGCTGAACGGCTTGATTGTCAGGGTGCCAAACATTGACCTGCCACAGCTCAATGTCGCTGCTAGGTCCGGTCGCAGGGTGGGAAACTGTCCGCCAACTCGCAAGCCGAACTCACAAATTGGCTTGTCGTAACTTGATAAGCAAGTTATTGCAATTTTGTCAACTCGGCTCGACTCAGCTTGACTTGCGGCAACACTAACAAGAAGGTACCGTCGAGAGCTGAAACGAGGAGGGGTCCTACTCGCATTCACGGATAAGCGACAGATCGTTGTTCAAGTTTGTCTAGAGCACAGCGGCGCATCCATCATCCGTATCAACTCGCTACTGGACGATGGACAGACATATCCACTTACCTATCCACAAAAATGGTCATGCCGGTGAAGTCTAATTTAAGACAGCAAAGACTGTTCGTGGGATGACGGGGTTCGAATATCGAACGCGTGTTCTCCATCGTGTAAAGCCTAGTATTCCCAGGTATGTGCGGAGGTCCAATATCGACGTAGGGACATTTAAAGAAATATAATGCGCCCGGAACTGCATGGCCATGTAAGCGGGTTTCCCCTATGCGGAACTATGGAAGACGATATTTAGCATGAAAGTCTGTGGGGTGGGACGTACATATCCTCGACGTATCAAAGGAGTACCACCCGCAGCGAGTGTCTCGTCAAGATCTGAGGTATGTAGCCAATGCCGAAGTAGCCAAATTCAAGGAGACGATGGTCTGGGAGTGGCCACGTATTTCTTCATGAACACGAGATGGCAATACCTGTGAGATCTGAGGTAGAGAATATGCATGTACAAGCTTCAGATCATTTAGTTGCTTAAGCATCAGGGATGACAGCAGAGTGATCACTGAATCGTTCCATCATCAGGTAAGGTGGTGAAAAGATCGTTCCGTACCACTGTTTCATATGTGCTCCAATAGTAGAAAGGTCAGCCTGAGATTGCGATTGAGATACCAATGCGAGTTGAACCTTTTCCTGTATGATGAAATCGCTCCGCGATGCAGGCGAATCTGGGGGTGTTTAGTGCGGCACGCTGTTTCACGGGAGCCACCTACTTACGTCGCCGTCAAAACCGTTGTCAAATATCCTTTAGGTTGCCGAGGCTATGCTGAACGCACTCAAGGGCTAGCGTCAATGTCTTTATCTCGGCTTCTGTGTTGACTTGTGCACGGATTTAGACATGCATCCTTCAGCGAAGTGTGACTACATTCATGCTTCATGAAGTTACTAACACCAAAGATCTTCATGCGTAACTCCGATATGACCATTGCTTGTCCCGCATGCGTTCTCAGGACAGGTAGCCGATCGTTTCGTTACGTAGGCAGTGTCTTCCAGCTTTCTGTACGTTATGGTCAGCTCACCCCTAAAACGATGCATGTATGGGTTGTCACCGAAGGACGAGGTCATCCGGCTGCAATTTCGAGCATGCGCATGATATGTCTCGCTGCGGCGCTCTCGACAGAGGCAATTCTGCGTGCCAAAAGTCGACTATCGTCGTTGTAGGCCTTTGCTTTCTGAGCGAAAGTATGCGCACCCAAGTCGACGTTCATAAACTCCTTCATGTACCTCAGCAGTCTTGGCTTGCGGTAGAGCGGTACCCAGAACACCTTCGAGATAATCGCCGACGATCGGGACGGCCTTTGAGGCCACTGTCACGACCTCCAGAGTCTGCACCGTTCTATCCATGCTGAGTCGTACAGGTGAAGATGAACGCCGCCACTCGTAGGTTGGCTCAAGTCATAGGTCTCGGACGAGATAGCACCTGATAGCCTCGGATATGAATATGCGGAACAGCCATGTCGATCACCATTGACACCTGATGCTGAGCTACCTAGCTCGTTTCGACCTGCTAGCATCGATAGCCAGAGCATACTTGCTATCGCATTCACCAAGGTCAAATGTATTCTCGCGTAGTCCAAGTCGCCATGAGGTGAAAGGTGAGGCGAACGTAAAGAGTCAGCTATCTTGGAGCTTCAGGCATGTTGCCAATCCCGTTCTTATGCTAATAGCAAACAAGTTGGCAAAAACGAATGTCATGCAGGGTCGTTCTGCTGCCCGTGCCCGGAGAACAAGGGAAACAAGGATCTGGACCTGTGTCAGCAACACGAGACGATTTAGGCCGTGGGAATTGTTTCGGCGGGAGGTCCAGGTCGCCGCGCACGTCGCCCCTTCCCTTCTCATCGCCGCCAACGTTGACGAAGCCCCGGCGTCCGTCGTTGAGCGCAGCGATCGCAAGAGGTCCGTCTCCCATCATGCTCGACCTCCGCGCTGCTTCACGCTCTGATCCTGCCTCGCTTTCTGCTCTTTTTCTCTGACGCACGCGCACCCGTCCGTCTACTTTCACAGTCTCGTCATCGTCGCCTGCTTCGTTTTCGCTTTGCGCATCTGCCCCTGCGCGTAGCGTGCTATTGCTACTTCTGTGGAGATGTCGACATGGAATGCGTCTGGGGGCGCGCCGCCGTACCCACCGCCGCCGCGCCGCTCGCGCTCGCGCTCACCTAGCTCGTACCGCGGCGGTGCGGGTTACCCCCCGCCCTACGGCGACTACCGCGCCGACTGGGACGCGTACGAGCGTGACCGGGCGTGGGCGAGCTACGAGCGTGAACGTGCCGCGTACGACTATGGGCGACGCGGCCGGAGCCGGAGCCCGTCGATGGACGAAGGTGTGTACACATTTGACTCCTCGCATCGCGTTGGGCTGACGCGGTGCTTCTTCCGCACAGCTGGGAGGAAACGAAGGCGTTCGCAGTCTCCGTACGATACTCGGTACGACCCGCGGCCGCGCTACGACGAATATGGTGCGCTTTTTTTCTGGTCGTCGGTGAATAACTGCAGGCGATCTGATGCGTTACCTTTCGTAGATCGATCCGGTCGCTACTCGCCTCACCGCGGTGGGCCATATCCCCCATACGGCTCGTCACGTCATGCTCCGCCCGACCCACACACGTTCGACTACCCGTCGTCGCTGAAGCAGTACGCGGAGTGGTTCCGGTACCATTATCCCACGCAGGCGACGGAAGAGGACAACCTGGACAAAGCGGCAGAGCAGGAGGCCGGCGACGGCAGCAAGCCACGCAACGGGATCCGCGCCCGGTGGGAGAAGTACAAAAAGGAGTTTGCTGCCACGCAGGTGCGTCGACTCGTGTCGCACTTATATGCGGTGGATAGAAGTCTGACTGGGGTATCAGTTGCAACGCATGTTTGACCACCACCGAAAGTCGCCTTGGTTTGCGGAGAAGTACGACCCGGCGCCGGAGTACGCGAATATGCGCATGCGCGTGCGCAAGGTTGGGTGGAAGGGCCGCATGACGGCTTTTCTCGCTGACCTCGACGCGGGCAAGTTCGACCCCGCCTTTACCGAGCCCGAGCCCGAGCCGGCTACGTCGCCCGTAAAAGAGACTCCGACGCCGGCGCCCGCTCCCGCCGAAAGCACGGCGAACGGGAACGGGAGCGCCGCGGTGAAAACTGAGGACGAGGCGGCTGCCCCGGGCGGCGAGGAGGTCAAGAACGAGCAGGAGGACGTGCAGCTCGAGGACGCCGCGGGGGAGGACGATCCGAGCAAGGCGGAGGCGAATGGCAAAGGGCCGGTCGATAAGCGCATCCTAAACCGCGGCGAGGAGGTGACGGCTGTGACGGAGGGGAACCAGGTCATGATCCGGACCATTCCGCCCGACATCGGACGAGCGAAGCTCGAAGATGTGAGTGTCGCCGTGCCTTGTGAACGGCGTGTAACTCATGTCACATGGCATCATAGGCGATTGCCAGCATGCCGGGCTTTGTGTACCTGGCGCTCGGCGACCCGTTGCAGAAGAGAAACTACTATCGCGCTGGGTGGCTCAAGTTCCGCGAGGATGCGGATATGCCCTCGATCATGTCCGAGCTGAGCGAGAAAAAGGTGCGCGATGCGCCATATATTCACGCAGGACGCCCTAGCGCTAACAAAAACATATATTCGTTCCCTCTCCAGATCGAGGGCTTCAAGCTACACGTGACGCACAACACCAAGCCGTTCGTGAACCGGGTGAGGTACGCGCCCGAGGTCGCGAGCCGGCCCGATCGTTTGCAGAAGGACCTTGCGAACGTGAAGGCGCTCGCGGCCGTGCTGGAGGACGAGTACACGAAGTTGCGCACGTTCAAACCTGAGAAACCCAAGAAGCCGACGGAGGGTACCGAAGGCGAAGGCGAGAACGCGGGTGGCGAGGGAGAGGGTGTGAAGAAGGAGGAGCAGAAGGAGGAGACGATGGACGTGGATGAGGAGGAAGACCCGGAGCCGAGGGAGCGGGGGAGCGAGGCGGTGGAGAGGAAGGTGGGGCAGTTGATGGACGGTTTCGTGCAGGCGGGGTTGATCGATCCGGCGGACGAGAAGGCGTTCCAGGCTAAGAAAGTGAGCGGTTTTTTTTTGTTTTCGATTCATATATCGTTGCGCGCGGATTCTGATGTGCGCGTTTGCGATAGACTGTAGTAACGCTGGATCTGTACCTCGCGTATCTCCGTGCCGCGTTCCATACATGCTACTATTGCGCGGTCGTGACGGACCACGTTGAGGAGCTGCAGCGGAAGTGCATCAAGCATGAGAGGAAGCCGTTGAGCAAGAGCTTGAGGGAGGAGTATGAGCGCGAGGTAGCGAATCGCGAGAAGGCGGAGGCGGAGGCGAGGGAGAAGGTGGAAGAGAAGGAGGGTGAGGGTGAAGGTGGTGGAGCGGAAGGCGTAGAAGGCGGTGAAGGGGGTGATGGCGAGAAGAAGGAGAAGGAGGAGGGAAAGGAGAGGAAGAGGAGGGAAAGGGGGGAGAATCGGGATTGGAAGCGGAACGGTCGGTTGGCTGAACCCTGATGGGAGTGCAGATACTGACCATTGTCGGATGCTGGTAGATGAGAGGTGGCTGGAATGGCTTGACAGCAAGGCTGCTCTATTAATCAACAGAGACGGCGTGGACCCGAGGGACTACGGCGGGAAAAGCTACGATGAGTACGTATCTCGTCACCCTCTTGGCATTATTACGTGAACGAGCATCCATGTTATTATCTAGGGAGCTGTCAAAGGCCGTCGAGCCTTACATCAAGCAGGAGGACGAGAGCAAGTTCCGCTGCAAAACGTGCCAGAAGCTGTTCAAGGCGACTTCGTTCGTGGAAAAACACATCTCGAACAAGCACCCGGAGTTGATCAAGCATCTCGACGAGGTAAAGCGACCACCATCTTGGTGCTTATCACCGCGACCCCCCCAAATCGCTGATGATCCTTCTCTCATTAGATTCCTTATTTCAACAACTTTGCGCTCGATCCGCACCACATCCAGCCGTTCACGCACCCGCCCGCGCCGGTCGGAAACAGCGCGCCACCCCCTCCGCAGGCGTACGGCCTGGCTGGGCCCGCCTACCCCGCGGGTGATTACGGCCGAGGCGGGTTCTACGGCGGCGCGCCGTATGCGCAAGGCTATCCGCCCCCGGCGTATGCCAACGGCGGCGGGGGCTATTGGGACCCGTACGCTGCGCAGGCCGCTGCTGCCGCTTACCCGCCGTACGCGGGGCGGCGGTTGGGCGACCGGATCGGCGGGTACGCGCCGCCGGGGTATGATGCGCCCGGAGACGGGCTTCCCCCCGCTGCGCCGGGATTGCCGCCGAAGCCGTCGCAGGCGATCCTCGAGCCGGGGCCGGGGGGAGGGGGCAGGAGAAGGAACACGGGCCCGCCGCCGCCCCCGCCGCCCGACGCGAAGGAGGATCCGAGGGCGGCGGCGGGTCGGAAGGTCAGCTACCACGATATGGACCTCGTCGCGGAGGGCGATGTGGAGCTGCAATATTGAGCGCGGTTTCGGTGCTTGCTGCCTTCGGTGCCGTGGTTTGGGCGTTTTTTTCTTTTGTATGTACATACGATTTCCTGAACGCGCTTTGCGGTTGCGTGAACACGGCGTGTGTGGCGCGAGTCCGCGTGGAACGTGGACGGCGTTGTGGGATTCTATTCAAGGCAAGGCACCGGCGGGCGGGGGACGGGAATAGCGCGCGCCCCGGTCATGGCTTACGTAATAAAGCAGCAGAGCTGTGGAGTGCGCGGCAACGACCTCAAGCGGCAGTACCTTCCTCCTTTTTCTCCGTACAGAAACCAGACGCGGTCGCCTCTGCACCACCACCGCCCGCTCGACGCAGGCAACGGCCTCGACGACGACGACGACGACGCCCACTTCCATGTCTGCGCCCAAGCTGCCCGTCGTCCGCCTTCCCGTCGTCTACAGCAGCGGCACCCAGACCGATCCCGACGCCGCGGGTTCGGACGGCGTTATGGTCGAGCTACCGTCCTCGTCCAAGTTTGCTTTCGCCTGGCCGAAGGACGGCACGGCTCCCCCTGGAGGCGCGGCGGCGCCGTCGACGATCATGGAGCGCGTGCCTGCGCTGGGCGATTCGGCGTCCACGTCGGACGCGGATACGGACGCATCGGACGCGCACAGCGATCACGAGGCGGGCGGGAGGGTCCCGGATAGGATTGACGGACGTGCAGGGGTGGCGCAGGGGACGGACGCGGGCCAGCAGGATCTAGAGGAACAGGACACGGAGGGCAGCGAATACACGCCCACCAACCGGCTGCACCTCGACGAGAACCCGCTCGAGGTGCCCCAACCCGCAGAAGGCCCGCCGCCGCCCCTGCCTCGCCTCACTCGCGCCTTCTCGATGCCCGTCCCGTCCCAGCTCGGGCACCTCAAGAACCCGCGTCGGGGGTTCTCGAGCATCAGCAGCAACTCGCCACCCCAGACCGCGCTCGAGAGCCCGATCGCGCAAGACGACTCGCCTTTGTGGACCCATGAGCTCTCGCTCGAGCTCGCCGACTGGGCGCAGATGGTCATCCAGACCCTCCTCCAGCTCTCGCCGCCGCAGGTGCTCGATCCGGCCAAGGAGCAGTTCTCCGCGTGCTCGCTCTCGATCCCGACCCCGTCCATCTCGGCCATGTTCACGAGCATGAAGAACCTAAACTATATGTCCGCCAATATGTCCACGTTCGCCTCCGGCCTGCCCAGTCCGCCGCTCACGTCCGGCTCGGACCGCCTCCCGTTCTCGAACGGTGTCATCTCCGACTTTGACATCGGCGAGACGCTCCAGAGCCTGGGCGACTCCATGAGCGGGTTCGCCGCGGACGCCGGCGTGGATCTCGTTATATATCACGGCGACGTGGGCCTCAAGCACGTCTCGGTCAGGGGCGACGAGTGTGGGATATCGTACACCATAACGCATGTGAGCGCTTCCCGCGGAAACAACGTTGTGTTCCGGCCCCTTGTGCTGAACACAGCCCTAGATACTGCGGCAAGTCATCTCCACGGCCAAACGTGGCGACTCCATCGAAATAGGCCTCTTTATCGCCGACACCACGCCCCTCACGCCCGAACCGGATGACGGCGCTCATCCGCACCAATTCGGCAAGCTGCGCTGTGCGATCGACATCGCGCACAAGTTCTTGCCCGATCCAGCGCCGACCACGGGCACGCTCGACTCGCCGCCGCCCTCGCCCACCGCGACGCGCCCCGAACCGAACTACAGCTCGTCCGTCCTCCGCCGTCTGCTCCGCCTCCAGGACGCGAGGTTCCTCCCCGCGGTCCCGCCCAAGACGTTCTCGCTCGGCCGCGGTTGCGAGGTCGTGTTCACCCTCCCGCGCGGCGACCCGGCGGCGGTCAACCCGTCCGTCGGGCTCACGCCCGAGGAGGCGCCGTACGGGCACGTGCGCATCGCGAGCGAGCCGACGCTCGACGAGCTCCAGGCGTTTGCGGAGACGCTGAAGGGCCGGAAGGTCACGCTGTACGCGAGCTCGAAGGGCTCGTTCGCGCACCATCTGTCGAGCTACCTCACCGCGTGGGGGTTGGACGTCAGCCACGTCGCGCCCGAGACGGGCGTCGGAGAGGGAGAGCAGGAGCCTACGGATGCGGGGTTGGAGAGTATACCGGAGATGGCGACGACGGAGGCGGTGAGCGGGAGGAGCATGTTCGGGCCGGGGTCGGTGGGATCGCGGATGACGCCCCCGCTGAGCGCGTCGTCCGTGGACGGGTTTCCTTCGACGTTGCCCGATTCGGCGTCGGCGCCTGCCATGCCGAATGCGTCGGTCCCCGCTGCGCAGCATGCGCCGCTGGTGTTCATCGACGACGACGTCCTGGTGCTTCGCGAACGGCTCAGGAAGGCGCGCGCGGAACAGCCGTACCCTCTACATATCGGTCGCAAGCGGCCCTCGCTCGCGGCGAACCACCGCCCGCGCTCGTCGCCGCACGTCGCGCGCTCGCTCGGGCTGCCCGTGCAACAGGGCTCCGCCGCTCCCGGCTCCTCGAACGCGTCCGCCGGCTTCGCGCCGTTCAACGCTCAGACGCAGCCGAGCGTGATCATACACTTTACGAGCCTGACCAACTACAAGCTCGTCAAGGACGCGGTGCAGTCCATCTTCTTCCAGCCTGCGCAGGCGCGCGTGCCGGAGGTGATCGTGATACCGAAGCCGGCGGGGCCGCGGCGGTTCCTCACGGCGCTGCACACGGCGGTGACGAAGCCGGTCGTCGACCCGTTCTTCGCGCCGATCGCGACGAGCCCGATGTCGCCCGGCCTCGCGTCGCCGTTCTTCGGATTCCCGCCCGCGCTGCACCACGCGACGGCCAACAACGCCGGCGGTAACGCCCACGTTGGCGGCGTCGGATCGAGCGGACAGAATAGTAGCAGCGGCGGAAGTGGAAGTGGAAGCGGAAGCGGAAGTGGAAGCGGGGGAGGGTCGAGCAGCGGGAATAATAGCGGGGGGAACGGTCATGGCGGACGGACGCCTGGGTCGCCGCCGTCGAGGCCGCTGAGTGGGCTCAGGGGAGGGTCGGAGAAGACGCGCAGCCCGGGCGAGGTGGTTATGGGCGGTGCGCACGGGCACCATCCGCTCCCGCCGAGCCCGCTCGCGACGAGCGAGGGGATGGAGTATTTTGCGGAGGCGGCGGAGAAGCTGGGGACGAGCCCGAGCTCGGGGTTGGTGATACAGAGCCCGGACGGGCAGCCGGCGGCGATCTTCTTTCATCCGAGGCCGAAGGGGTCTGGGTCGGGGCGCGCGCAGACGTTGGGTCCCGGTGTTGGGCTGGGGTTGGTGGAGAAGGGGACGGGTACGGTGGTGGGGAGTCCGAGGGTGGGGAGTAGGAGACAGAGCGGGGAACGTGGGGTAGAGAGGGAGGAGAAGGGGAAGGGGAAAGAGAGGGAGAGGGAGGAGAAGGAGAAGGAGAAGGAGAGCGTGCAGCAGCAGCAGCAGCAACAACAACAACAAGCGGGTCCATCGACGCCGGCGAACGTGAAGAAGAGCCCGGTGCTCGCGGCGACGGCGTTGGCAGAGGCGCGTCGTCCCGCGACGATGGTGACTGCACCGACGCCGTCGCCGTCCCCGTTACATGTCGAGACTCCGCCGAGCTTGCAGGCGATCGTGTCGGCGGGGATGCAGGTGATCTCGCCCGACGCGGTGAGCACGCCGGGGCTGCCGAGGCCGGTGAGGCGACAGAGCGGGGTCATGCTGGAGAGGGAGAGGAGGGAGGGCACGCCGCCGGTCAGTCCGAGGAGCGATGGGGCGGACAGCGCCGGAGGGCACACGCCGAGGATCGTGAGGAGGAGGAGGAGTCAGGCGCCCAGGGGGAGTCCGGTGGTGAAGCCTGCGGCGACTGCTTCTGGCACGGGCGGGGAGAACAAGGTCGTGCCGCCGATCAGCGTGTTAATCGTCGATGGTGAGCATATTTGCGTTCGTATGGGCAAGGCGAGGAAGGGCGCTGACGACCGTACCTTGTTCTTAGACAACCCGATCAATCAGACGATCTTGTCGACGTTCATGAAGCGGAAGAAGATCAAGTATGACGTGGCGAAGGATGGGGCGGAAGCGGTTTCGAAGTGGCGGACGGGAGGGTTCCATCTGATCCTGGTGAGTGCTCATGTCCAGAAACCTGTCGTGCGATACTGTGTACTGATTACATGCGTGTTCGTGCGCAGATGGACATTCAGATGCCGGTCATGGACGGTATACAGGCGACGAAGGAGATCCGGCGGATCGAGAAGATGTACGGCGCCGTCGGGCCAGGGACGCCCTCGTCCGACCTGGGCACGCCGTCGGAAGCGGCCTCGTCGCTCTCTGCCGACTCGCGGATCACGAGCCTCAACCTCAGCTTTGGGGCGCCCCCTCCTCCGTCGCCGTACCGGTCTTCGGTGATCATCGTGGCGCTGACGGCGAGCTCGCTGCAGAGCGACCGAGTAGCGGCGCTGGCGGCGGGGTGCAACGACTTTCTGACGAAGCCGGTGTCGCTCGTGTGGTTGAACAACAAGATCATCGAATGGGGGTCGATCAAGGCGTTGCAGATGTGGGCGGATCTGAGGCCGGAGGGGGCGAGCGTGCGGGCGGTGAATTCGGGGCAGGTGGCGCAGGCGATGGCGAGGGGCGTGGCGAGCCGGTTGCATGTGCCGGAGGGGAGGGCGACGCCGGGGGTGAGGAGTCGCGAGGGGAGTTTGTCGAGGGTGGGGGAGGAGTTGGTGCGCCGGGAGCAGAAGGAGAAGGAGAAGACGAGGGCGGGTGTTCGGGCTGGAGAGGCGAGGAAGGAGAAGGAGAGGTCGCCTGGAGCGGAGACGAGCGCGAGCGACAGCGACCTCGCGGCCAAGTCGGTGCTCACCCCGCCGTCGGACCTCGCCTCCGCTTCCGCGTCCTTGTCGAGCGCCAGCGCCAGCGCGTCGTCGCTCCCTAACGCGGCGTCGGCCACGTCTTCGGAGACTGCCGTGGACCTCGAGACGATTCCTCCGACGATCACGGCAGCTGGCGCGGCGTCCGAAACCTTAGATCCCGATCCGGCCTCAAGGGCGTCGACGCCCGCGTCGTCTTCGGCCGCGCCGTCGTCCTATCACACGCCCGCCGACGGGGGCTCTTCGCCCCGGGATAGAGACTCCGACGACGAGGCGCCGCTGCCCGGCGCGTTCCCGACGCCGAAAGCGGTCGACTTCGCGCGGGAGGAGGAGGGGGAGTCACACGTGCCACCGCTCGCGTCCGAATGACGGTGCGAGGCGGCTTTGGGGGTTCTGAGCTGGATCGTGCTCCCGTTGGCGGTGGTGCGCGTTGTGTATCCCCAGGTCGCCGGGCTGTTGTTCCAAAAGACGAGTCTATTCTGAGGTGGACCGAACGTGGCTATGGACCCCCCGGTTCCCGCTCCCCCCCTCTACCTACCTCCTCCCACCTAAACGCCTCTCCTTGATTCCCGCTCCTCGTTGCTCTGCATACCTCTTCTCCCCACCTTCGTTCCACGTGTTTGTCTTGTTGCTTCGGATTTTTTCTTATCTCCCTCGTCTCTCGTCTCTCTTTGATGGTCTTTCTTATTTTTTTTCTGGTCAAGGGTCTTCTCGTCTTTCCTCTCCTCAGGGTGTTAGGCAACGGGCTCCGTTATATTCTGGCATCGCACGCACACACGAAGTTATTCGCACTATACACCACAGCAATCACCATGTCGCACCAGTATTAGTACACCACACATACACACGCATTTGTATTATTCGATACCGACACGATACCACGCTCACGGCACCATCGAGGATTTGTCCTGGAAATTTAGACCGGCGGCCCTTGATGGAGATGGAGTGGGAAGGAGAAGGCCGGACCGGGAGTTCGGCGGGGGGAGAAGGCGTGCGCGCCCTCAGCGAGCGTGGTTCACGCTCCGCCGCGGGCTGTGCGACAGGCGTCCAGCGGCCGCGCACGTGCTCGCCGAAGGTTTAAGGTTAGGGTGGGGCACCCGTTCCCGCGCGTTCCCTCCCTGGACCTGAGCCGTCCGCGTTTCTGCCCCGGCTTTGATCCCCTTTCCCTCCTCCTCCTCCCTCTTCAGCCCTCCGTTCCCCGTTCTCCCTCCGCCTTCCCTTCTGCCTGTTCGTCGGGTTTTTTCTTACAGCAAAGCGGCAGAAAGGTCTCTCTCTCCTACCCTTCCCCCCCAAGCAGCGACCGGCCCTCAGTTGCTGGTGGTAGTCGTCGAGTGTGCCGTGCAGGGCAAGCAGTGTTCATTTCGCGCCCCCCCTCCCAACAGCGAGCCTGCGACAATGCAGGGCGAGATGCACGACCCTCATCTGCACAAGCGCACGTCTATTAACCAGCTCTTGAACCCCGTCGCCGCCGGCGCCACCCCGACCTCGCTCGACCACGCCGCCTACCACCCGCACCCGCACCACCACCACCACCCGCAACAGCAGCAACAGCAACAGTACGTGACGCCCCCGCCTCCGCCTGCGTACCACGGCCCCGGAAACGCGTACGGCCTCCGCGCCGCCACGTGGTCCACCGCCGACAACGCGAACGGGAGCTCGCCGCCGCAACACCAGCCCCAGCAGCAGCAGCAGCAGCAGCCGCGCAAGCAGGAAGAGGGAGGAGGTTGCGTGTACCAGCACCCGCCGCCGATGCACTACAACCCGTACGCGGCGCCCGACCAGCCGAGGCGGTACGACCCCCAACAACAACAGCAGCAGCAGCAGCAACACCAATACCCGGCGCAGATGCAGATGTCGCCATGGGCTCACCACGACGGAAGCGGGGCGGTGATGCACTACGCGGCCGCGGCGGCGCCGCCGATGGCGATCGCGCACATGTACTCGGACGAACGGACCGGCGCGTGACTTTTTCCCCTTCTCTTTCGACGATGCGTGCCCCGAGAAAGTGGGAGGGGGGGCCTTATCGCTGACGTCGTTTCCTTTTCCGTTTCTCTAGCTGTACCGGGAGACTACGCGAACGGCGGTATGTATGCTTTTTTTTCAGTGACGTCGGGTGGTGTGTGCGTGGTTCTCGAGGCGCTGACGAGGCCTTTTCTTTGGTGTATTAGGAGCTGCGGCCGCGTATCAAGCTCAAGCTCAAGAACGGCAACAACAGGATGCGCAGATGATGCAGCAACAGCAACAGACATCGCAGACCGTGGAGGACTCCAAAGTTGGACACGGTGCGTCACATTCGGACCGTCGCTCTCGCTCTCTACTCGCGATTTTTTTCTTTCTGACACACCGATCGGGGACCCGTTTTGGGATATGACAGATTATCAGAACGGCGAACGCGCGTCGGTCCGACTCGCGGCGCGCAGCACGATGCCCGCGCCGATGCAGTACTCGCCGGGATACATGGCCTACTACCCGGGCGGGATACCGGCGGGGATGCCGTTCAACATGATGTCTTTCGCGCCGTACCCCCACGCGGTCGCGATGGCGGCCATGCCGTCGCCGTCGCCCGCGCCCGCGCTCAAGAGGGCGGCGGAGGAGGAGCAGGACGAGGAGGAGCCGCCGCCGACGACGACGAGGGCGAAGCGAGCGAAGAAGACGGCTGCGGCCAAGGACGGCGGTGCGTCTGCCGCTACGAAGCGCGGGTATACGGCGAAGAAGCGCGAGGCGGCGCAGGTTGCGGCGCAGAACGGTCAGTTGCCTCACCCCTCCCCTCACACCATTTCACCTCCCTCGTTTTTTCATTTTGCGGGCGCTTGCCGACTCCGATCGTCGGCATGGGGCGGCTAGCCGGTGTCAGCCGATAGCGTCCCCCCCCCCCTCCGACAGCCCGCGCGCGCGTGTGTGTGTCCAAGCGATATGTACTGACGTTTTGGCCTCCCGCTCCCCAGCGAAGATGATGCCGACCGCGGCGTTCCCCGCGGGCTCTGGCGGTGAGAACGGCAGCAGCGGTCCAGACGCGGCCGCGGCCCCGTCCTCCTCCGCCGCTTCGAAGTCGGGCAGCAGCACCTCCGCCATCGCCAAATCCTCCTCGTCCTCCTCCCCTTCCTCCGACTTGCCCAGCCCGGGCCAGCTGCACCCCGAGCTCCAGTTCGCGCGCTGCATGTCGAACCGGTACAGGCCCGAGAGCTTCCCGCGCTGCGTGTCGTGCACGCGCCGCTGGGCGGGGGACACGTGCCGGTTCCAGGGCATCCGGTTCTTCCTCAAGGACGAGAGCCGGAACATCGTCGGGATCAGCTTTGTGGAGAACCAGAAGCAGGACGCGCCGACGATGTGTTTTCCGAATAGCTGGAACGTGCCGCTCGAGGCGAGGCACACGCGGACGATCAAGGTCAGTCTCTTGTTTCTTGTTTGCTTCGTTTTGCCCTGCTTGCGACGACGGTCACTACCCCCTCTCCTCCTTGGCGCGAGATGTGTGTGTGATGAGAACGCTGACTGAGATGCTGTTCCTGGATGTGGTTTTTTTTGGGGTGGGGGGATTTAGCGGACCGTGGCTAAGGCGCTGTTACCGACGCTCAAGCAGGAGATGGAGCATATGAAGGCACCCGATGTGATTCGCCGTCCGAGAGAAAGCGACGTGCGCGCGACATGCGGTACGCCGTTTCCGTTTTCCTCAATCGGACGTCGTGCCTGCGTTCTAACGCCGTCCTCTCTCCCGATTTTCGTCTTTTTCCCCCGGTTTCGTTTACGGTTGTGCTGGCGTTCCCTCCGCTCCGCTCCGTCCTCAACAAAACGTCCCCAAAAAACTCAAAACCTAAAAAACGGAACGGAATGGAACGGAACGGAACGTTACACGTTCTCATCAGACACGTGCATGACGTCCATCTTCTCGACGAGCTGGATGTGCCGCCTGTGCGGGCGCGAGGCGTGCGCGGAGTGCTTCGCGCAGGTGCGCGAGCTGACGAAGGAGCAGCCCGGGGCGGGCCACGCGGAGGTCGCGGCGCTCCAGGCGAGGCGCGAGAAGCACGCGCACGCGAACCCGTTCTTCCTCAGCTGCACGCGGCGGAGCGAGCACGGCTTTTCCGACTTTTCGCCCGTGTCGAGGTTCCACGAGGGCGAGCTGGCGGAGGCGGTGAAGGAGATGGAGGCGATCGCGGCGGCCGACGAGGAGACGGATGGGTCCGTGGCGGCTGGGGGGGAGGTGGTCGCCGCTGACGGCGAGGATGGTCGACAGCAGGCGCCGACGGCGGGCAAGCCGACGTCATCGTCGTCGTCGTCGGACGCGGCGAAGCACCCTGCACCCGAGACGAGCTTACCGACGCCGCCCCCCACGACGCTCACTCCGACACCACCAGAGCCTGTGACGGCGACGGTGACGGTGAAGCAGCAGGAACCGGACGGGGTGCCCGCGCTGCCGGCGCATGACGTACCGTACTACACTGCGGAGGAGCTCTCGGAGGATCTGTTCCGGGAGGTGTGGGCGCGCGGGGAGCCGCTGGTCGTGACCGGTCTGGGGAGGAAGTTTGCGATCGAGTGGACGCCGGCGTACTTTGTGGAGAAGTACGGGTCGCAGGCGTGCCTGGTGGTCGAGTGCCAGACGGAGGCGAACAAGCGGACGAACGTGGCCGATTTCTTCGGGCAGTTTGGGAAGTACGAGGGGCGGGAGAAGGTGTGGAAGCTGAAGGTGTGTGTGTGATGCCTCTTACTTACTTAGTTGTGCGGCTCGGACGGGCGGGATGACGACGGTGCTGACCGTTTCGTGTCTTTTGAAGGATTGGCCGCCGTCGACGGACTTCAAGACGGCGTTCCCGGAGCTATACGACGATTTCAGCAACGTCGTGCCCGCGCCGAGCTATTCGAGGAGGGACGGGGCGTACAACATCGCCTCGCACTTCCCGTCCAACACCATCGCTCCCGATCTGGGTATGATAACATGTTGCTTCTGGGGGCGCGCGCGTTTGCATGCTTATTGACCCACGGGCATCTCGTTGTAGGCCCGAAGATGTATAACGCGATGGCCAACTTCGAGACGGCGGGCAGCCACGGCTCGACGAAGCTGCACATGGACATGGCGGACGCGGTGAACGTCATGACCTACACCGAGCGCAAGCCGGATGGGACCGAGGGTTGCGCCGTCTGGGACCTGTTCAAGGCCGAGGACTCGGACAAGATCCGCAAGTTCCTCAGGGACAAGTTCAGCATAGGCGCCCAACACGACCCGATCCACTCGCAGAGCCACTACCTCGACTCCCAGCTCCGGGCGGAGCTGTGGAAAAAGACGGGCGTGAAGAGTTTCAGGGTGTACCAGAAGCCGGGCGAGGCGGTGTTCATCCCCGCGGGCTGCGCGCACCAGGTGCGTCGCCCGTGCAACCGCTCATCCGCGCTCGCGTACGGGGGCCTGACCGTGGTTTGGTGTTTTTTTAGGTGTGCAACCTCGCGGACTGCATCAAGGTCGCGACCGACTTTGTCAGCCCGGAGAACATCGAGCGATGCGAGAAGCTGACGCGCGAGTTCCGGGAGCAGAACCAGTCGATGGTCTGGAAGGAGGACGTGCTCCAGCTCCGGACCATGATGTGGTTCGCCTGGCTCTCGTGCTGCCGCCAAGAAAAACAGTTTTGTTGAACAAGACGAGACGATCGACGACACCGACGTCGGTGTGCGGGGCGCGATGTGCTGCTGTTTGCTTTGCGTTTCACTCTGTATTATGCTTTCCCCCCCTTCATCTCTATTTTCGTTGCTGCTGCTTGCGCTGTCAATGGGTGTATGGTTAGTCTGCTCTGGTTTTCGGATCAAGTCCCGTCGATCTCTCCGTTTTCTTTTGTCTGCTCCATGTCGTTCGCTGCTGCACCCATCACCATGCCCCCCCATCCCACGTGGCTCTCCTACATCTCAGACACTGCACCCATATCACAATAATGCCATCCTATGAAGATGCCAATAGCATACTATTGCATTGCCAGGAATACAAAACATGATATAATCCCTCATCGATCTGCGACGTCCCAGCCCTCGTGCCCCTGAATGCGAGGGACGAGCTTAAACGTGGTTCCGGTTCGACGACGGATATGGAAGGCGTCGTAGTTCGGAGAGATCGTTGCCTTGGAACCTCATCTCCTGGACGGATTAGGCATAATTGCTGCGGCGCTGGGAAGAACGCCGCTGGGGAGGAGAAGGCACGCCGCGGGGTGGGAGGCGCGCACATTCGCCCGTGGAGTGTCGTCACCGGAAGAATTTGCCGAAATCGTACGCCTCCTCGCCCGGCGCGACGGCCGACGTCTTCTTCTTCCCTGTGGCGTTCGCCGGTTTGCTTTTTGGCGCGGGAGCGGTCGTTGTGGGCTTCGTCGGGGCGCGTTTGGTGGCGGTCGGCTTCGCGAGCTTCGCGGCTTTTAACGATTTTGTCGGGGGCTTGAGAGCGGACTTGGGCGCCGATTTGAGTTGAGGTGCCGAGGGTTTGGAACTCGCTTTGGGTCCGCGACCTTTGGTGGGCGCGGCGAACGCGACCTTTTTGGTGGGCCGGGATGGGAAGACCGCTTGCGATGCGCGCTTGCGCTTGCCAGCAGGTGGGTCCTCGTCCTCAGCTTCCTCTTCCTCTTCCTCTTCATCCTCTTCATCGTCTACTTCCTCATCTACTTCATCTTCATCGCTGCTCTCGTCGGCTTCTTCCTCATCTGCATCGTCATCCACATGCATCTCCACGTCCTCGTCCTCGTCAGATCCGTTTTCGTCGTCCTCGTCCTCGTCCCACGGCGCGTCCACCGCCACCTTCCTCTCATCCACTGACCCCGGCGCCATCTTCACCACGCCCTTGCCCCCGCTCTTCCGCCTCTCCCGCCTGCTCTGCACGCCAGCATCCTCCAGCACCTTCTCGTCGTCCTCCGTAAAGCCACCCCCTTCCGCCTTCTTCGTCTTCTCTTCCTCGCTAGCAGATGGAGGGGGCGGAGGCGGCAGGGTGTACCACGGCAGCTTGCCCGCGGCCCAGTCGCGGAGCACGAGCCTGGCCGCGCCGGCGTGGTCGAGCGCGCCGCCCTTGCGCACGAGGCCGGACGCGCGCGCGAGCGCGGCGAGGAACGCGGTGGCGTCGCCGGGAGCGAAGGCGGGGAGAGCGTAGTGCACCATCAGGTCCTGCGTGTCCGCGCGCGCGACGAGGTGCGCGACGGGGGGCAGCGGGTCTTTGAGCCGGTCGAGACGGCCGCGCGCGCGGAGGAGCACGTCGCGGACCCGGAGGGCGTCGCGGGACTCGGGGGTCGTAGTGTCGGGGCTGGGAGGGGAGGGGACGAGGCCTGGTGTGTCGATGAGGGAGATGGTTGAAGACGAGGAGGAGGAGCGCGAGAGGGAGAGAGAGATGCGAGAGGGGCGTAGGGTGGTCGAGGGGCCGAGGGGCGGGGCGGAGGCTGAGGGCGTGCGGTAGATGGGGAGCGCGGCGCGGCCGAGGAGGGAGTTGATGAAGGACGATTTGCCCGACTGTGGCGTGCTATGGGTCAGTGATGAGCGATGTGAAGAAAGCAGTGTAGGCTCACGTTGGTCACTCCCAATACGGCGACGGTGAATGGCTCATCACCAGTTTCGTCTTTGGACCAGTCTTCAAACTGGGAAAGGACTCCGTCGACGCCGACGGCGTCATCTGCGCGTTCAGATGTTTTCTTCGTTCCTTCCTTCATTCGCGATGTGTATGGAGAGGAGGAGGAAGTAGACGGGGTAGAGGAGGGCAGGAACGCAGAGGCGGAGCGGAAGAGCAGGACGGGTGCAGAGGTGGACGTGCGGAGGTGCTGTGTCCAGGCGAGGAGCGACTCGCGGGGACACGTATCTATGAGGGCAGAACGGTGAGCATTCACTCGCGAAGCAATGCAATGTATGTATGCCCACCAATTTTGTTGAGGACGAAGAGCAATTTCTTCCCGCCTTCCTTGGCTAACTCCTCAATATGCGCGCTGCGGAATGCGGCGGGGTCGCGGGCATCGAGGACGTATACTAGCGCGTTCGACTTGTCAAGCACGGCACGGAGCGTCGGCAGCGTGGGATCAACGAGCGTCGGCACCTCGTCGTCGTCGTCGCCCTCATTTGCCGCGGTTGCCGGCGCCTTGCCCTTGGCAGAACGAGAGACGCTGGATGATAGTGTGTGCACTCCATCGAAGGCCTGAGACGAGACATCTTCTGTTTGCTCTTCGGCATCGGAGTCGTCCTCGTGGTCGGCGGCGGAACCAGAGGCAGCGGCGGCCTTCGCAGCTTTTTTCGCGTCTTTGTGGCGCTGTTTTTCTTCCTCAGCCTGCGAGATATAATTTCAGTGCTGTCCGTTACAAGAGTTATTTGCAAAGGGGAAAACCAACCTTCCGTCGCTGCTCCTGCACCTCGGCTAGGATCTGGTCTTTGTACGGGAAGTTGTTCGGGATGCCCGGGTCTTTCTTGTGCTCTGTGCACATCAACACTTAGATCCATTACGCAGCGTAGCTTGTGAGGCTTACTTGATTTCCACTGAGGGGTTTTCTTCGCCTCTTTTTTCGCCTTCTTCCTGCTCTCGGACACCTTGTGCTTGATCTTCTGGCGTTGGTTTGTGGTGCCGCGCTTCGACGTCTCTATAAGCTACATCAGCATATGCCTCGCGCCTTCCTTTCATTGAGAGTATTAAGACGTACTCTTGCGTATCCTCGGCATCCTTGCAGCAATTTCACGAAGGTGGTGGGTAAGGTGAAAAAGGAAGGTATGAGTGGCTGTGCTCATTTCGGCGTTCTCCGTGCCATTTCGGAGTGACGTTGGGTGCTTGGCAGCGGCATCCGAGGAGAGCCTCTCGTCTGTTTAACCGTGCCAGCAATCCACCACACGACTCTGCAGCGATGGACGCGCTGTTAGTCCCGCTGTGCAACGCGACAGGTGCATCGCTGGACCAAGTGAAGGTATGCATATACTCTCTGTGTTCGCGCACGGAGCGACGTGGTAATCGGGCGTTTCTTTCTTTCAGCTCATAGCATGTCTGCTCGTGTCATACCCCCTCGGCTCGGTGTTCATCCGTCTGCCACGAACGCAGCCAGCATTGAAACACCTGTTCAACATCGCGGTCTGCACGTTCTACTTCATCCCTATGCTGAATTTGCGGGGCGGGCTCGCGCAACTATGGCTGGACGTGCTTGGCACGTACATAATAGCGGAACGAGTGCGAAGTCCGCGCATGCCGTGGATCGTGTTTGGGTGAGGTATCTCAGTGCAGTAATGAATTGATGAGTGCGCGCTGACGAGCTGTAGACAGGTTACTCATGTCCCATCTGCTAGTAAAGTACGTCGGAAGCAGGGTGCCTCTGCAACTACGGAACTTATATTGCTCACACAGCCATTTTGCCCGCGAGATGTCCGGACTGGGATACGAAACCTTTGAAATCACAGGCCCACAGATGGTGCTCGTCATGAAACTGTCCACCTTCGCCTGGAACGTGCACGATGGTCGAAGGCCCATCTCCGTCAGTTCTCTCCCCACGATCATCTTCATACTGTGTCTTTCTTCGTTCTGGCATATGTTGATTTTCTTCGTCGTATGTAACAACAGGACCTGGACAAATGGCAACAAAAGAAGCGCGTGACGGCCTACCCCTCCCTCCTTGCCTTCCTCGGGTATGCCTTCTACTTTCCCGGCGCGCTCGTCGGCCCCTACCTAGACTTCGCGTCGTACGCCGCTCTCGTCGATGGCTCAATCTACACCTCCATCGAGCGCCGTGAGGAGGCCGAGCAGCAGCGGCTCGGCGGCGCCTTCCTCAAACCTCCACCGTTCGACCCGAAGGAGATCGTGCAGTCGCCGATGGAGCAGGTGCAGAAGCTGGAAGACCACGTCGATAAGGTGTCGCGCAGGGCGGTGCCGTCCGGACGGAAGCGTGTCGCGTATCGCAAGCTCGCGACAGGCCTCGCGTGGCTCGGGCTATATGTGGTGTATAGCGGGAAGTACAACTATGGGGTCGGCGTGCAGGACTGGTTCGCTCAGAAACCGTTCTTGTTCAGGTTAGGCATTTTGCGTCCTTAGGTCGCATCCTTGGAGCTGACGGGCAGATCACGATAGGTTTCTTTATTGGCAGGTCTGCGGCACGATGGAACGCTCAAAGTACTACGCACTCTGGATGATGACCGAGGTATGCACTCTTCCTCATTCGGACGACCCCACTCTCGACGTCCTTTCTGACAACAAACCTCGCTCAGGGCGCCGCGATCTTCACGGGACTTGGCTTCACGGGCTACAGCCTGACCGGCGCCTCACAGTGGGCCGGCGCGTCCAACGTGGACGTGCTCCAGATCGAGTTCGCGCCCAACTTCAAGGTCTTGCTCGATTCGTGGAACAAGAACACGAACGTCTGGCTGCGCGAATGTGTGTATAAGCGCGTCACGCCGAAGGGGAAGAAACCCGGGTTCCGGTCGAGCATGATGACCTTCGGCACGAGCGCGCTATGGGTGAGTATCACTTCACTTCTTCCCTCTCCCTTCTTTCACGATCTGGCTCGCGGCGGGGGCTGACGACGGTCTGGTTTCTTTGACGTAGCACGGGATCTCGCCGGGTTATTACCTGAGCTTCCTCTTCGGCGGCTTCGTGACGACCCTGGGCCGTCTCTGCCGCTCACACATCCGGCCTCTACTCCTCCCCGTCCCTCCCCCGCCCGCACCGTCGAGCTCCCCCAATGCACCTCAACCGCAGCCCAGCGCATCCACCGCCAACTCGTCCGCGGCCGTCTCAGCCACCACCTCCCGCGCCGTCTCTCCTTCGCCCTCCCCTTCTCCTCAGGCTCCTCGATCTCTCTTGAAGACGGTTTACGACGTCCTCGGCACCGTCATGGCCGTCTCGCTGTGCAACTTCGCGACGGGGCCTTTCATGCTCGGCACGCTCCCGCGCTCGTTCCGAGCGTGGTATAACCTCGATTTCTACGGCGTCGTCGTCGTCGGCGCCGGCTTGGCGTTTTTCTGGTCTGGAGGAGGCGAGAAGTTGAAGGCGGTGCAGGCGAGGAGGGTCGGTACGGCCGCGGCTGCCGTTCAGGCGAAGGGGGAGGATGGAACGACGACGTCGTACCAGGTGCCGTCGGTGGATGTGGGGGTGAAGGAGGTAGAGGCCCGCGTTAGGCGGCAAAATTAATCCTGAGCGGGATGAAATCGGAGGTGAATACGAAACGAGGACGTGTCCGGCAAGGTCTCGGATACACGTTGGCAGCGGAGGCCTTTGGCATTACTCATACTGCGTGCTGCTGCTATAGCACATAATCACGATCTAAAAGACATTGACGCTGTTCATATTCCCATCGTTATCGAGCTTCGTCTTGCTGAGCAGACCGCAGTGCCTAAGTGCCTTGTCTCGAAAGCTAACATGCAGTCCAGAGCTTCCGAATACATGAAGGGAAACCTATGGTTAGCCCCTCGTCTCCAAGCCCATCCTGCATGTCGGGTTTCCGCCAGCCTCCATGCGTATTCCAAGGTCAAGTGCCTCGCTCGGCGCTCCCGGGCTTCCCAGATATGATGTCGCGTACAGCCCTTCGTTGGATTGCATCCAAAGACACCAGCTCGATTCATGAGGCGGGCTTGTCACTGCATAGGAGCAGCTGCGGCGTGACCGCAAGGTTCTTCTTACTTCAGAATCGCATCGTTGATATACGTGCGATCCGAGGACAGAGCCTCCTCAATGAGGAGCAATACAGATCTAAGAGACAAGGAAGGCTGGGATAGTCAGCTCTTGCTGCGAAGAATTATGTTCAGACCTCAGCGCTCACCCTTTCTGGGAACTCGCGATCAACCCAGGCTTATCTTCTTCGCCATGCCGGTGAACGTCTACGAAATACCTACTGCACGTTGAGTGGCTTGAAACGTGAAGCCAGAACCTTAAGTTCCCGCCACGATAGCTTTGATGCAAGCCCACGTCCACGAGGACCAATATTACGGCAGGCCCTGTACAGCTGGCTGTACATGGCGGGTTCATAGTGCACTGCTAAGGGAGAACATGTAGAGGAGTCTCGCTTCAGAGCATGTCGCGAAGGTCTTGATTTTTGTCTCGCAATAGCACACTCGCCGTTTTGCTTCCGATCGCAGGGCACAGTCTCGAAGAACTGAAGATCACAGATTCCAGATTGTCGCCGATTGTATTTCGGTCAAAGCTGTCCAGGTCCGAAAAGAGCACAAAGCGCAAGCTGTAGAAAGCCAGCTAGAGCCCGTTAGCGCTCGCGCCAAGCTACCGTAGAGAAAGCAAAAAGGAAAGATAATACAATCCACGACCCACCGCGACTTTGCTCCCTTTCGTTCTCCGCCCTCCTCTCTCCACCGCCTTGGAACCTCCCGAGGCTCCCCTGACGAATACTACACTAGCTTGAGACTGCCGGAGAAGACGTAGCCAGCCATGGGTCAATCACCGTCGCAGTTCATGGAGGATATGCAGAAGCGGTCCAACTGTTAGTTCACTCCCTCGCGCGTCTGCCTTGATATCTGAGGCTCATTTGATCATGGCTTCAACGTGTGTTCCATCCCGATGTCATTGACTAGTCACCGCGAGCGAGTTGGAACGTCTGAAGAAGCGGTTCATGAAGCTCGATAGGCAAGTCGCCCGTCCGCTCCGCCTACGGGAGCCAAGGCGTTCGGTACTTACCATCAACGCGCCTTTCTGCCCGTTCTCTGTAGTGATGGCTCGGGATCGATAGATCGTGAAGAGTTCTTGCAAATACCGCAGATCGCGAACAACCCGCTGGCGTCCCGGATGATCGCTATCTTCGACGAGGAGTACGTGCCTTATCACCTCGCTGTAGCGACCTGCGCGTGTCTGATGCGCACAACGACCAGTGGTGGAGGAACTGTCGACTTCCAAGAGTTCGTCGGTGGATTGAGCGCGTTCAGCAGCCGAGGCGGGAGAGAAGAGAAACTTCGATGTATGTCGCACATACTCCGCTCTCCATGCCAGGGATACTGTCAACTCACCGGGATGCCAGTCGCGTTCAAGGTGTACGACATGGACAGGGACGGATTTATATCAAACGGCGAGCTCTTCCTTGTCCTGAAGATGATGGTCGGCAACAACTTGAAGGTACGCGCCCATCTTATCATTTCCGCATTTGCGCGCTGATATCGTGGTTCAGGATCAACAATTACAGCAGATCGTAGACAAGACGATCATGGAGGCGGACAAGGATGGAGACGGCAAGCTCAGCTTCGAGGAGTTTGCGCAGATGGTTTCAAACACGGTCAGTCTTTATCCTCGCATCACTCCTCACGCCTATGTCCTCTTCATACGGCTCTTCTGCGCCATGATTTCTGCAATGAATAACATCCCGTTGTTTCTCGAGCCGTTGAGCTGACTACAACACTTGCAGGATATCGTGAAGCAAATGACCCTCGAAGACCTCTTCTGACCGTCCATCGACTGCTCCTATGTCTCCCGTCACCGTCTTTCTGCTTTCTCTCCTAGCATACCCATCAACTGTCGATTTCACCTCCGCTGTTAGGCATAGCACACGTTTCCTCCTCTAACTTGTCCCTTTCTTTGCACGCTATGGGTGATGATAGTCTAATGATACTGTAGCGATACCAAACATACCACGAGAGAGAACGAACCGGAGTTCACGCTTTCTAGAATGGCTCACAGAAGTTCGTGAAAGGCTGATCTTGCTCGCGTCCGACGTCGTGAGCACTGAGCGCGGATGCATTTGGCGAGAGCGGTTGTTACACCGCCATTGGAGAGCCACACCCCTGCAGGCACCCTATCAAATTCAACACCCCACTCAATCCGTGCTCCACGAGAGCCTCAGATTCAATAGAACAATCACGACGATTGGATATCCCGGACTTTGCTGACGACGTCCAGCGCTAGCGCTCTATCACGTAGAACACGTTTGGCTCGCGTCTCGCTTCTCGCGCTCTGCTTTACCATACGCCATTTTCTCGCCGCCTCCGAAGACTCACTCGCACGGGGTGCTCTCGTAATCGGCATGGTCACTTACCATATTCAATGCTTTCAGATGTTCTGAAGCACACCGTTCAAGCGCAAGGCGGGCGTCGGGCTATACGCGTTTTCGCGCCCGATGCGCTCGGTACTTATATGGCAGGGAATGGCGAAGACCACCCACCATAGCCTTGTGTCGCCGACTCGGAAGACGTGACGATGCAGAGCCTTGCAGAGCATGGTCCGGGACTCGCCGCGCTGCTGGTCGCGAGACGCGTGCTTTCTTTCGCCCTTCCGGGACTCGTTTTCCTTTGCCCCCAGCAAATCGAAGATGGCAATGTGTTTCCTTGTGTCCCAGATGCGACATATCGGAAGACGTATGAGGACCGACAGACACACATGCGAACTTGCGATGCCGGTGTGATGGTGCCACTAGCGCGTGTTCATTTGCTTCAGGTTTTCATGGTACGCATCGCCATACCTCCAACGTTCTACCTCAATATGCGTGCACCACCCCTGTGCAACCTTAAAACGGTAATGTTCCAGAAGACAGATGCGGCCTATCGGATGACGGAACGGACCCACATTGCTGTGAAAGCGTCACTAATGTTTACCTGCTTTTGCCTTGATGGACGCGCGTTGTCAATCCCTGCCAGCTTCCTATCTCACTCATCTGTCGGTATATGAAGATGGACAACTCCTCGTCCATGATACTCTGTGCCTATACATCCCTCCTCGCCGCAGTGCTCGTCACGTCTCGGACGGCAGGTGCGGACAGTTGGATCGTATGTCCTCAATGCATGGCTAATGTTGTACCATCAGACTATCTGTGCCATGGATCGGTCGAAGATAGATTCGGCTGCCACAGAGGAATTCGACCCATGCGTCTGCGTCCTCGAGAGCCCCAGGGACATACCGCCGAGCGCTGGCTCTTTGACGTCTGACGAAGGCACGCTGCCTCGCACGCCATCGGGCGCACCGAGCTCGCGGCGTACAGCGACCTACACCGGTATAGGCATCTATGATGCTGACATTTTCGAGCCTCTGGACGAGAAATATGACGCGAGCTATGGTGACCTCGATGTCCTCGGGAAAGGTTGGCTGGACCAGGCGCCTGGCAAAAAGGCGTTGCTCCTGCGGTCGTCGTCTGCACCTCGCGTGGTCTCCTACAAGCACGTCTCCCGGGGGATACATGCATCCACTGCGCCCCATGCTCAGAAGCCGAAGTGGGTTCGGCTGCCCAAGGCGTGGTTATGGGACAAGTCCTTCGGCCGCGTCGATATCATTGTATGGCACTGTCTATTCGTTGCCGTCACTCCCGCCTTCTTTGCCTTCGCAGTGAAGCTCATCCATGACCTTTCGGTTACTCGAGCTCGTCTGCTGGTGGCCATTCTGTGTGCCGCATTCGGCATACTCGTTGGATCATCGCTCACTGAACTCGCACAACCGTGGCTCGAGGCTGCACGTCAGTTCTCAATCACACCGCATTTGCCTTTATCACTGACTGTTGGTTTTCGGGATAGAACGAAGATTTATACTGCAGAATAGCCAGCTGCATAATCATCGGATGACGTCCTCCAAAGCGACGGACTTGATGACCAGCCCCAAACGTCTCAAGGCCGCAGTAAGTCTAGCATGGCGACGTCTCAGGTACAACGAGGAATTCCGTCGTCAAGGTCATATAAGGTACGTGGTCGTACTATTTGGCACGGGCATCTATCTCAGACAAACTGCAGAGGGCCTGGTGTGGGCAGCATCCTATTCTTTGTTTTTCTCTTCGTGGTTGGCCAGTGCATCAGCTTTGCCTTGGGTCGGGCCGTCATCATTGACGCGGTCGTGAAGGTAAGGTGTTCAAAAGGACAGACTCGGAATTGGTGCGACCTTGCTGAGCTGAGACGCAACAGCATCAATACAAGACTGCCGAACTCGTGGCAGTCGCTGCAGACCTTGCTCCTATTGATATACAGAGAGCAAACGCTTCACAGGCAGTCTTCAACGTGAGTCGTTACGTAGTGGTCATCGCGAAACACGCGACTCACCTCAACGATTAGGATTACCAGAGCTCGTGGACCTTCTACTCCACGGCAGTCGGCTCCGGCTTGTCTAGAAACGTTTCGTTTCACCTCACCGGTGATCTGGCCTCTGAATTCGGCAACGACACCGTCTACTTCGCAGAGCTCGAGCCCTCTCAGATGCTGCCCTGGGGATCGGGACTGGGCTCTTTTGACTCGGACCAAGCGACCCAACCGGACATGAGCCGCGCCTCCGCTCTCAATCCGTCCGAAACACCTGGCTTGGGGAATCTGCTTCGGTATATGAATTTGATCAAGCCGTTGCTGGCGCGCCTCATGCTAATTGCGTGCATAAATAGGTTTCCTCGATGGGGCATACGCATCCACTGCCAAAAGTTACCTGACCCTGCGGTGCACCTGTACGTTCGTTTCTTGCGCTGAAATGATTGATATATGATGCACACTCGCTCAAATTTACCGTAGTCGTCCCGTGGCGGCGTCCGGCAGCACATACATTTACATCCCTCGAGATCTAATCAAATCGCTGTACGAGTCTTTCGATATCCAACTCCCAGATGCACTCGAGAATACCACTTTTGACCCGAGTTTGGTTCTGGCCCCGGATGATACCATGCCATCGGGATTTAACGTCAGTGATATCTTATACGGCGGTTCGTATGTTCCTGCGTTGAATTCGCACGTTATCGATGTTGATCTGCTATGTGCCGCATAACAGTACGGTTCTACAACAATGGTGTTGGTCACTCTCTTTGGAGTAGACCTACCGACATGGGTGATGCTGGCGACGGCTGGAAATCAATTGAGGCTGTTCTGGTTCGGTGAGATTTTCACAACCGATACTGAGCCTAAACTACGAACTGACTCAACACCAGACTCAACAATACCTACGCTGATGCCCCTACATTCCCGATATACGGGCCAGAGTCCAACGATACGGCGAGTTTGATAGGCACGTTTTGTTGATTTTTTGTTTTCGCGAAATTTTAATGTCTTTGGGGCGTCAGGTTATGACGCGGCCGTATGCATCAGGCTCATCGAACCGTGGATAGTGGAAGCATACAACAGCACGGTCAGCGCGCCAAGCTCGCTACGTATCGTCTCTAGGCAAGCCGCCGCCGTTCCCCGTGGCCTTGGGACCAAGGATGACACGCCTGGGTTTCTCAACTCCACTGGAAAGTGGCCCGCGTATGTGGCCGCGCACGGCAACTCAGTGAACCAGATCGAGAAGGTATGTCAGGCGGGTTGATTCTAGTAGATGATACTGACGAGAAACTGGCAGGATAACGGACGAGACGCATGGTATATACCTTCGCCCACAGTAGGATCTTCCGGTAGAGCTCGGGAAGACTCTTCATCTCACGAGCTTTCTTTAGATGGTCTCCTTCACAGATGGGTCCGGTCCCCGCGGTTACACCGAGCTGAATCCCTCACGGGTTGCCGAAACCCGTGCTCTCGCGGACTCGCTGAATCTCTTGCCCTATCTCTCAGGGTCGGGTCAGTTAACTTCTGTCTCGTTCGCGGACAAGACCTTTGCTTCCGCCAGAGTGGACTGGAGGATCATGGGTACGATCGCTGGCGTCCTTCTTTCCCTCGGTGTTCTTGCGCGGTTCCTGCCGCACGAGAATCCGAGTGGCATGGAAGTTCAGCCGCGAAACATGAGATCCAAGGATAATATCCCATTATATCGAGGGGGATGACGGTCATGCGGAGCCTTCGCCTACGTAGTGAGTAGTACTACGAACCGTCCGTCGCTTACACAATTATGAATGCTCCTTGTTCTGTTCAATGGACTACGAACCCTCGTAGATGTCCCTAGCTTGTATGTACTACATGATATATAGCGATACCAGTTTCCACCTGATGTATGGCCAATAGGCTACGCACGATTGCCTGGTGTACTGGAGCTTCGTATCTGAACATATGCTCAACAAACGGCCTCAATGCCATACATCACTCCAGCTGGTTGTACGTTTACAGACGAAGGACAGCACTAAGCGCGGAAGAGATACATAGTAGGACTTCGCCATGAACGAATTCGTCCTTGATCACTGCACTCCACACGCACGGGAACGAACACCATAAGTAGGAAAGCAATGAATTCTGCAAAATGTACGGTCTAAGTCAGCATGATGTATCCGACTGTAATCGATTCAGGGTTTCTCAATTTCTCGTCAATTCTCTGCATCAACCGACAACCCGAACGTCATTCACCCAGTTGACATCCCGCCTGGCCCAGGCATCCTTCTCATCACTCCTTCGCCATGTGAACTCCCGGCAGAGCTGCACCTCGCGCAGTTGCGGACAAAAACAACTCCAAGCCATCAATGTCTCGAATTGAATCAACTCCGACATGCTGCCGGGCGCCCTATACCATAGATGATGATAGCCTGGTGATGCCCTCTGGATTATTTCTATAGGATTCTTGGGATTGGCAATTGGCCCCGGTATAGGAAACAATGCAATGGTGTGAAGAGAGGGGGTGCGGGGGATGAGGTTGGAGCCCTGGCTCATGAGCAATATCTGAGGATGGAATATGCTGAGCGTCGTGGTAGATTCGATTACGGACTGCGCACCTCCGATGGACAACCAATCGTATACTTGAGTTCCAAGCTGTGCAAGTCCGGGAACAATGCAAAAACTGCGTACAGCAGATTGACGTCCCAGGCTAGCGTGCTCAGCGACAGTTCACGGAGTGGCAACTGCACGGGATGTAGTTCCTCCAACACCGATAGTATGGATACATTCTTGGACGGTGGATCCAGCAACGTGCCGGACTCGATAACAAGGTGCTCTATGGGACTATTGGCAAGCTTCATCGCTAGGCCCTTCGCAGCTGGTCCACGATAGGTGCGAAGCCTGGGAAGCGCATCCTCCGGCATCCACATAGGATCTCCGTCAAGGGACGTCAACTTGGAAATGCGGGGACAAGACTGTAGCAAGTACTGCAGAAGCGACGAAAATGGAGCTCCCGTTTCTCGCGCCATGAACGAATCCTGCCAGGCATAAGTAAGCTCCTCCAGGTCGGCCGTTATGCGCGGAAGTAGCTGTCGAATCTCAGCGACCGGCGATGTGGCCGATACCGACAAGGTTTCTATCAGATCATTGTCCCGCTGGATCAGCAACCGTAGCCTACGCAAGGTAGGACAGGACAACAGCGAGTAGAAGCGGTGTAGCGGGGCCGGGCGAACGTGATCCCAGTCGGGCTGGAACTGTATGGCCCTCGGACCTGTATCGTACACGCCCCAAAGGGTCAGGTCGGTGATCTGCAGGCTGGTGTAGTCTGGGAGAGAATCGTTGAGAGCAGAAAGTGAGATGATGCAGCCGATAACGTGTAGTTCGCGGAGACTAGGGAGTTCGTGCATGATGGTGAATATCTCATCTGGCAAGCGCGAATGGGTCATGCTCAATCGACGCAAGCCACTGAGTCCCGTTAGGGTTCCAAGAGCAATGCCGTATAGCGCGTCATCCGCATACAGCTGGACAGGGCGAAGGTACGTCGATTGATGTCGCTCAGGAAGGGTCCCCCGTGGCATACGTCGTATCGGCGAGATTACCGAGAGACCTGGACCAATTCGCATCACCTCGCCGGATGTACCGACCAACGCATCCGATTCCAAGGTCAAGGTAGGGTGTCGCATGATCAAACCGGTTTCAATGTATGATATGCTAAACTACGGAAGTTTCGTTTCGTCAGGTTCAGGAGCCCGATCAACGTGAGCACAACGCACCGTCAAGCTGCGCACAAAAAACCGCAACGCCACATGCTCAGACCAGACAGGGAGGCTGCGCGCCAATCGCTGGGGATCCGTCCACAGAACGTCTTCGTATAGGTACGGGAGAGCGAGGGCTGCAAAGTCGCGACATACGCGGACAACCTTGAACAGGTTGCTTGGGCCATCGACGTGTTGCAAGATTTGTTGCACGATTTCGAGGGGAACCCGATCCATCACGATGGGTGAGGTTAAAGACGCGCGGATATGGTGTGTACCATTCAGACCTACAGCCGTTTTCGAAAATCATGAGCGTCGTGAACGACCCTAAAGTGGGGTCACCGCCAGATGCCGGAGGTCATCGTATCGCTGTTGTTGTCTGAGCGCGTGCTCATTTGCTTCAAGTTTTTTGTGGTACGCATCGCCATACCTCTGTCGTTCTACCTCAGTATGCGTGCACCCCTGTGCAACAGACGCGACCTATCAGAAGACGGAACGGACCCACATTGCTGCGAAAGCGTCACTAATGTTTACCTGCTTTCGCCTCGATGGCGGCTCGTTGTCAATCCTCTCCAGCTTCCTATCGCACTCATCTGTCGGTATATGAAGAATGGGCAATTCCTCGTCCATGATACTCTGTGCACATACATCCCTCGTATGTATGGGCACAGAGTGCTCGTCGCGTCTCGGACGGCAGGTGCGGACAATTGGATCGTATGTTCTCGATGCATGGCTAATGTTGTACCATCAGACTATGTGTGTCATGGATCGGTCGAAGATAGATCCGGCTGCCATAGAGGAATTCGACCCATATGTCTGCGTCCGGCGGCGCTTTCGCGTCCATACTACATACATTCAGACAGTCCAACAAACGATGAGGTCTCCTATACTTGTCCGAACATCGGGCATAGTCGCCGATAACATGCTGTGGTCTGATTGCAAAAATCTGGACATTTCCCAGTACTTAACGTGTCCGAAGTGCCGATTTCAGTACTGGACATGGTCTCAGAGCTGACAAGCGCATGGCGTTCATTGGCTAGCACGCTCCAGCTGACGCAACAGATCTGAAGAACGGGGATGAATGATTCCTGGACCTGATTTGCTTCGGTTCGATTCTGGATCTTCGCCGGGCCTCTCGGACATCTCGGGCACGTGTGTATTTTGGGCCATCTGTGATATACTCGCAAGACACATGTATGTGGAACGGAGCACGCCTCAGCGATCTTCAGTCAGGCCAAGGCGAACATCACCCATGGCGTTAGACATGCACCCAGACTACGCCGCTGACGAGGCCGTCCCTCTGTTCTGCTCGGCGGACGCTGTCCATTTTGGCCTTTCGCCAGCGCAATTCTCCGCACTGAGATCGCGCTCCGAAGGCTTCCGGCACCTGTTGCAGGACGCGAGCCCACCGTCATCAGCGACGGCCGAAGCATTCTCTTGTATTACCACGGCGCCGGCACCGTCGTCGTCTGCGGTGCTGCTCTCGGAACCTTCGGCTGTTCTATCAGATCTATTCTCGTTCGTCACAGATCATGACGCCCTTCCTGACCTCACGGACGCGCCGCTGGCGAGGCTAGCGCATCTGTTGGAGGCCGCAGACAAGTATATCTTCCGAGTCGAGGCTCACCTTCTTCGAGCGCTCCTGAGGTAAGCAATCAAACGTCGTAGCCTTGCCCCCTCTTCTTTCTCACCGCCATTCCCGCAGAGCTCGCTTGCGACAATGCGACGACGTCGAAGACGCCCGTCAAGTGTATGTCGTTGCCGCACGCATGGATGACCTGCCGATATGTAAAGAAGCAAGCCGCATCGCGGTCTTAACTCCTGGAACGTCGGCAGTCCGCGGTCCTTGGACTATGGACACACCGCCAAGCTTCTGGCCCCTTGAATCGGTCAGTATACCTGATCGCTACAAAACAGTCATTGTAAGCCCTCTCGCTCTGTCGTGCGTTACAGCCGGGCATGCACTAAAATGTCTCCAACCAGCACGACCTCTCCGAACGGCGTGACCGCAAGCTCGCGACGTATCCAACGTGCATACGCCAAGCAGAGCTCGCAGCCCGCCTTGTCTGCGCGCAGGCTCAACATACGTCCGATCCGTGGCGCTTCCGCCAGTCACACGATTTCACCGGGCTCTGGTACCGCATCCGCGCGCGCCTCCGCCAGCGCAAGTTTGGGCATCTTCCCCTCGGGCGGTCGAGGGCCATCCTGGATGAGGTCCTGAAGCAGTCTGACGTTCTGGATCCGCACGGCACCCCCGTGCGCGGGCAATATTTCTCGCATTTCTGCATGCCGTGTTACGTGCAGCTCGTGGGGCGGCTGGAAGAGGAGCTGTCCTCTTTGCTGACGGAAGCTTCGGCGATGACCATTTGACCATCCCTTGACTCGGTTCCTTTATGTTATACGTAGTCGCTCTTTACCTTGGGCCACGCCCCGTCAACGCTCATTTTAAATATACCATGCATCCAGCGTCCCTTCATATACGTACTAGATAATATACTACATCCTCTATAATAACGATATATGCTACGAATATACAACGTATTGCTACATCAGCCGAGTCCTGATAACCACGCCAAGCTGTGGTCGAGAGCCTTCCAAGTTTTGTGCAATTGTGTTTTGCGAGACACTTATCCCATCACTTTCACCACGCCCACTTCCCCCCTCCAAAGCGCCGCGCCGGCCCCGAATAGCTCTGGCGCACGTTCAAACGGGACGACGCCGCCCGCGTCCTTATCCGCGAGCCCGAAGTCAACCGCCTGCGCCTGCGCCTGCGCGAGCATCGCCGCCAACGCATCGCGCACGTCCCCACCCTCGAGGTCAACGTCCGCCGCAACGCTGATCCACGCGTAGTGTACCATGCGCCGGTACCACCTTCCACGCTCGCCAGTGTTCGCATTCCCGTTCATAACGGCGGGTGCGGCAGCGGCCCGTAGGCGGCTCCGACTCCTGCTCAGCCCCCACCGGCTCCTCCTGCCCGCAGACGACGACGCCACGCTCACCGCGTCTTCCATGCTCGCCCGGCCCCTCACCTCCTCTGTCTCCCCGTCGCCTTGGCCTTGACCTTCTCCCGACCGCCGGCCTCTACCCTGGCTCGCGCTCCGCGTGCGCTTCAGCGACCCGGACCTGCCCAGCCCGAGCGCCCGCATGCCCGCCTTGAACTGTTCCTGCGCGCCAGGCACCGGCTTCTCCGGGTGGTCGCCCACGAGCGTCGTGAACTGTGCCGTGCCCCACTCGTCCTCGCACCGACACGTGTTCACCGCCGTGCCTGCCACCGCCGTCGCTGTCGCAGAGGCGCACCGACACCGCGCGCTCGCGAGCAGCGGCTTGCACGCCTCCCACAATTCCCTTCCGCCCGCCAGATCCAGCACGAACTCGAACCGCCTTTCCTCGCCCGCCATCCGCTGCACGACCTCGCCCACCTCGCCCCTTACAACCTCGATATCCTCGCCTCCCAGCCTCCTTAGTCTCGCCTCCACCCCCGCGCTTGCCGCCGGGGGGACCACCGCCGTCACCCTCGCCTTTCTTGCCCTCATGAGCTGCACGGCAACCATCGCCGGGGCCCCCTGCGCGCCGAGCACAAGCGCGCGCACACTGCCTCCTCCGCCTCCGGTCCCAGGTGCGGGCCCCTTCGGAAAGGTCTGCATAGCCCTGTACGCCTGCACGCCCGCTCCGGCGAGCACCGAAAGCGCCTCGGTCGTCAGCACCGTCCCCTGCGCTAGCAGACTCGACATCGACGGCGTGGGGGACGCCGCATCCGGGTTATTACGCCGCTTCACGGACGGCTGCGGCGCGCGATGCACGCGCCTCCTCTCGATGAGCACAAACTCTGCCAAGGCGCCGCTCTGTGTGGCCAATCACATTCGGTCGTCAACGCTCGTCGCGTGCAGAAAGCATTGGGAGGGAGAAAAACCAACCTTCCGCACGTCCAGCACGCCGATGACCCACTCGCCCTTGCGCACCCACTCCTCCCTAACCTCGTTCCCGCACTCCACCGCGCGGCCCACGACCGCGCGCCCAGGCACGAACCCCGCGCCCCTCTCCCTCGCCAAACGCGCGTCCACACCGTCAAGCGCGACAGCATGCACTTGTACCAGCACCGCCGACGGGGGCACATACGACGGCGGTGGCACATGGGACGTAAACGCGAGCCTCGTTTCTCCTCCCCCTCCTCCTCCTCCTCCTTCACCCTTCCCTCCTCCTGCCCTATCATGGTGCTCCGCCTTACGAAACGGCGAGGCGAGCGAGAGCGACGGCAGGCTGAACGACCCCCGCCGGCGCGCCCGCGCGTGCGCTCCGATCCCCTGCACGACCTCGACCGTCGCCATCGTCGTCTGCGCCTGCCCGCTCCGCGTCAGGTCGACCTTGCCGCGGGCGATGTCCGAGGGCGAGCCGGGCTTGTACGCCGCGCGGGGGAGCACGAGCGCCGTGTACCCTCCACCGCCTTGTCCTTCTCCCGGCCCGGCGTACTCCGGCACCGTCGTCGCGCTCACGGGGACGGAGGACGACGAGGAAGAATAGGTGCGCGAGCGCGGCCGGGCGCCCCGCCTCCTCTGCCCGTGCGCCGACGACTGAGAGAGCGCGTGCGGGTGCGAATGCGAGTTGGACGCGCGGTGCGGGTTCGGGGTCGACTGACTCACGTACGCGTCCTCGTCCTCGTCCTCGTATACCGTCGACACCCGGGTCTTGCCGGGGCCCGCCTGCTCGCGCGCGGAGCGGTTCCGCGTCGGCGGCGGCGGGTGGTCCGGAACCTGCAGCGTCCCGGCGCCGGCGCCGCTCCTGACCCTCGACAACGACGACGCAGACGAGGGCGGCGAGGACGGGAGCGGCGAGGGTGCGGGGCGCGTGAACGCCGCGGCGGAGAGGTCGATCGTCGGCGACGGGAGCGGGAACAGGTCCTCGTCGTCGTCTATGGCGGCAAGCCGGCTCGGGCTCGGGACGGGCACGGGTGTGCGCTCCGGCGACGGCGAGGACGAGCGCGTCAGCGTGCGCCGGGGCGTCTTCGCGAGCGAGACGGAGGCGCTCGCGGACGGGGGCGAGAGCAGGTGGCGGATGTCGCGCGCCCAGTCGTCGTCCCAAGACTGCCGATGCGGCGTGAGGTCCTCCGAGTGGCGCCGCCGGTGCGTGCGGCGGAGCGTCTTCTCGTGTTCCGTCTCCTCCTTGCCCTTCTTCTCCTTCTCATGTCCCTTCGTCGTTTCCTTCTTCTGTCCTATCTCGTCATCGTTCGATTTGCCCTTGTTCTTATCATTGGAGGTGCGGACAGAGGCAGACCTCGCGAGTGGGACGGGGAGGTCGAGCGTGGAGACCTCGCTCGACGTGGACGCTGTCGTGCTCCCGGACGTCGTCAGCCCGGGCGGGGTGAGGCCAGGCAGTGGCACCGAAGACACGGCGGAGACGCGGCGCAGGCCGCGGTGCGCCCCCGATTTGGTCGCTTTCGTCGTTGTCGCGGAGGTTGTGGGCGGGGGAGGGGGGTGGCCTTGATCGGAGTGGAGGGGGGTGGTAGCGTGCGTGGAGGTCGAGAGCGCGGAGGAGAAGAGAGAGCGGCGGTCGTTCGTGCTGGAGGTGGCGGAGCCGGCGGTGGAGGCGGACGAGCGCGGCGGGGTGTCGTCGACGTCATCGCGAGCCTTCGCTTTTGCTTTGCCCTTGCCCTTCACCGGGAACGTGAAGGAGCTTGGGGGTCCATTGGCGTCTGCAGCCTGCTTCTCGCGCGCGTCGTCATCGTTTTCGGCAGTGAGAGAAGTCGCAGGCGAGGATGGAGCGGTGAACCATTCTTCGTCGTCAGATTCGGGGCCGGAGTCGATCTCGTCGCCCGGAGCCGAACCTAGTGATGCCAACCCCGGAGCCGATCTTAGGGGCGAAGGCGGTACCGAGCCACCGGCGTCGGAAGAGCGCACGATGACGAGAGACGAGGTTGAGCTCGAGTTGGACGAGTCATATTCGGGTGCGAGCGCGTGTTTCTGGAGGGAACGCAGGAAAGAGAACGAGGCCATCAACGACGTCAGCGTAACGTCCGTACGTGGCGGAATTTAGGGATGGTTGAGAAGGTATAGAGATGAAATGTTAGATGACGATGTGATAGAATGGCTGTATAGAACGAGAAGGAGAATCGATACGAGCTTGTTTGTTTCGATAAGCCGAAGGAAGAACGGAACGGGGGAAGGGGAGGCGAGATGAACAGCAAAGCAAGGCACGCACCACGGGGGACTTGGCTTTGCGACTGCCGCTGCCGTTATGTGCGTGAACGTGGGCACGATCCGGGGTCCAAGGTGGAACACGTTGCGGGGCACGCTGCACCTCGGATGTTGTCGCCGCTCTCGCGCGGGTGGCAGTTGCCGGGCGGTCGCCGTGACCGTGGTGGCTTGTCCTGGTTGCCGTGCTCGACGACGACGAGCGAGGGCTGGGGTCGGCGGCCATGCGCGCCTCCATCTCCGCCAACACCTCCGACTCGCGCTGCGCCTGGAGCGCGACGCGTTTCATGTACTCCGCCGTCGAGTGGTAGTAGTGCTTCCGCGCCGGTGCCGCATCTTGTTGTCCCGCTGAGGATGTTGTTGCGGGACCGGGTGCGGGAGAAGAGGTGGAAGAGCGGGGAGAAGGCGTGGATGAGGCGTTGGCGTTTGTGCTGTATCGGCGGGTGGGCCGGTTGAGGATGGTCTGCATCATCGTCGGCTTCGGCATCCTCGCCCTCAGCTCTTGCGCCGCCCTTCGTCAATAAAATCTAGATAATATCACGTCCTAGCGAGAGGCGTGGCACTAGATTATTGAATAGAGACGCGGAGGAGGAGGAACGGGGAAGTCGAGCGGAGGGCGGGGACACCATAACGCCCGAAAAGGCAATGACGCAAACAGGTCCCAGGAAGTGGCTGTGCTCATTTTGGGCTTTTGCAGTGATCCTCCTCGCGTTCCCGTCGTCGATAACGATGGCGAGTCCGAATCCAAAGCTTACCAGCGAAACAAAGGGGAGAAAGAAGAAGGGGAAGGTCTCGGAAGATACGGTCGACGCGAGGTTCGTCATGGACGACGCGTTCGACGAGCAGGAGACTCGCGCCGGCCCGTCCAAGTTGCAAAGCGAGGATGACCAGGAGGGTCACTCAGACCGCAACGGGGAAGAAGAAGAAGAAGAGCACGAGGGACCAGTGAGCGACGAAGACCATGAGACTGCACACGACGACGGCCTAGGGGACGGCATGGACCCGTCCGGCTTCTCCGGGCCCTCCTCCAAGGTCGTCAAGCCGCTCACGCCCGAGGCGCTCGCCAAGTTCCAAGCGGAGCAAGACCGCGCGGGCGTCATCTACATCTCGCGCATCCCGCCCGGCATGCGTCCGCCCAAGGTCCGACATCTCATGAGCATGCACGGCGAAGTCGGGCGCGTGTATCTCCAACAGGAAGGTGCGTCCCCCAATAGATCACCGCCCCTCCCTCCCTCACACTGACGTCGGTTTTGTTCCCGCTGGTTCTGGGCAGATCCCAAGCGCGCGTACCTCAGGCGAAAACACACGAGCACCAAGAAGCCGCATTTCACCGAGGGCTGGGTCGAGTTCAAGGACAAGCGCGTCGCGCGCGCCGTCGCCGAGATGCTCAACGCGCAACCCATAGGTGCCTGCCTCTGTCCCTCTGATTTTCCACCCCCCCCGCGTTGCGCTTCGCTGACGTTTCCCCCGTTTCGCAGGCGGAAAGAAAGGCAGCCGATGGCGCGACGACGTCTGGACGATGAAGTACCTCCCGCGCTTCAAATGGAACATGCTCACGGAGCAGATCGGTGCGTCCCTTTTTCAAGCTTCCCTCCCTCACTTTTCTTTTTTCGTTCCTGATCGCAATTGGTTCGAACTTCTGTCACGATATGTAATATATATAGCGCACGAAGCCGCGGTCCACCGCGCCAAGCTCCGCAACGAGCTCGCCCAATCCCGCGCCGAGCAGCGCGCGTACCTCCAAAACGTAGAGACCGCGCGCGTGCTCGAGAAACGGGCGAAGCGGAAGCGCGAGGCGGGCGTCGACGTCCAAACTCCCTTCCCCGGGCCCCGGCCCAAGGATCAGCACACCAAGTCAGGGGAGAGTAAAGCCTCCGGGGAAGGGGGAAAGAAGAGGGCGATGCCACCTGATAAAGAGACGGAGAAAGAGAAAGGAGAGAAGAAAAGACGGAAGGAGGTGGAGAAGGAGAGAAGGGTGGAGATGGGCGAGCGGGAGAGGGAGGCTAAGCTGGGCACGGTATTGAGCAGTATATTCTGACCGTGATATAAGATGGAACGCGTCGACGCAAATCCTACGGATGGAACGCGTAAAGTATAAGGGCATACCGAGTGTTGTTTCATGACGGGAGGTGAGGACGCACGGATGCTGTGGTTGCGACTCGCGAGCGGTGGTACACGCGCTCGGTTCACGGCTTCACCTCCGACTGTCTTGGACACCGACCGGGATCCTGCACACGATGGCTCCATACTCATCGTTCACCGCTGAGCTCGGACACGGACCTGTCGCCGGTACTGAACCGCATCGGTAGTCTATTCAGTGCCTCGCAGCTGCGGCGCTGCGGACCTGTTGCTCCATACAGTACCACCTCCCACACAGTGCATAAAAGACCCCCCCTTGGCGGCCAGGCGAACTAGCAAACCACACGGATGTTCTACAACGTCCACAACGAGGACGCGTTGGAATCTCAAGTGACGCTGCAAGCCTTCGGTGCTTCGCAGCTCGCGCTCATCGACCCGCCCACCTCGCAGGGCGACGTCGTCCTCGTCTTCTCCCCGGACAACATGCGCAACACGACCGTCTACCAACAAGGCTCTCATCCCGATCGTGCTCTATATGCCGTCCGCTCCAGGGATCAATACATGATCACCGAGCTCAGTACGGGGCGACTCGGCCGCACCCGAGCTGGTGGCCAAGATTGAGTATAGATCCATCTTGCCCGATCGAGTGACGCTGAGGGACCGCGGCTACGAAGCGTCGAAGATCAGCGAATGGCTGAAGGAGATGGGTTCGAAATCCTAGTAAGCATGTCTCATGTTACGAGCTTGAAGTTTCGCAGGATGGTTTCCTCACGCCCGCGATGCTTACAGTGTGGAATTTGAGGCGAGCGGTTGTCGATACCTATGGAAGACCAGCCTTGTTGGGCAGGTAGCCGTAAGTCTATATTTCGCGCCCGAGATGATCATTGCTATTGGTACTTAAGTACCTCTGATTATTCCCTGCTATCAACAGCTGTACGGCGAGGAATCCGGCAAATTGGAACCGATCGCCTGGTACGCCCCGACTCATCTAGGCCCACAGCGTCGTGCCCTCCACCCCACACAAGCTCTCGGCTACCTGCACATGAGTCGTGCAGCCATGGATATCCGGTGCGTTGGCCCTAACCCCCTTCACCGGTCGCCGCCGACTGGCATCTGTGCTCAAGCCCGGTTCCTGTCCGCAGAGATCAGATAGTCGCCTCGTTGCTTGTGGTGCGACTGCGAGCGTGGATCAAACAAGACAAGTGGATGAAAGTAGGGGCCGGGCCCGTTCCAGTATGAGGATAGGTGACTACTACAAGCTCAAGCGCCACAGCGGGTCCGGAACCACGAACGGATTGATACTACTGCTAGAACAATTATCAATGTACACCATATCTCAGAAATACGTAAGGCAGAATATCATATCTCTATCTTAATTTAAGAAGTCGTCGATGTGCCGCTCTTCGTCTCGAACCATTCAGAGGCTCGGCGGGGTTGCCCGTACAGTATGTAATGACCTCACGTCCCGTCCTTTTCCTCGCTACTCGACCCAACCGACCCAACCTGGCTCGCACCCTTCGAATTTGACTCATCCTCACTTCGTACAAGGCGTGCACCTCGGATCCTAGGCCTTCCTTTCTATTAAATCAGACCTCAAAGGCGTCATGACGCTTATACCGATTACCTAGCCATGCACGTCCGCCATGCTCGCATGGACGCATCTGGCGTGACGGTACATGCCATTGACTAAACAAGACGGCTATCACCCTCCGATAACCCAATAATACGCAGATATCGGGCAGACGACTCCGGCAGCACTGTCCGTCCAACGATGTCCAAGAGCAAGATCGACGTCCACCACCACGTCTACCCCCCTGTCTTCGCCGAAGGTCTGTCGCACTTCATCGTGGCCAGCACTCGACGTCCTTGCTGATACGGAGCGCGCAGCGTTGACCAAGGCGGGCGGCGACCCGTCCGGCTGGTACATCCCTCCCTGGACGGTCGAGATCGACCGACAGATCAACGACGCCGTCAACATCGGCACCCCCATCCTCTCCGTGACCGCGCCAGGCCCCGCGATCGTCAAGGATGCCAAGGGCGCCGCCTCGCTCGCGCGCGCATGCAACGAATACGTCGCCGGCGTGCGCGACGCCTCCCCCGCCGGTCGCTACGGCTTCTTCGCCTCCCTCCCCTCGCTCTTCGACACCGCGGCCTGCCTGACCGAGCTCGCCTACGCGCTCGACGTCCTCCACGCCGATGGCGTCACCCTCTTCACGCGCTACGGCCCCGCCAACGCCTACCTCGGCCACGAGGCCTTCGCCCCCGTCTGGGAAGAGCTCAACCGGCGCAAGGCCGTCGTCTTCGTCCATCCCACGCACGCCGTCGACCCGCGCCCCGCGAACAAAAACATGCCCTTGCCTCTCGTCGACTACCCGCACGAGACCGGGCGCACCGCCGTCGACATGATCCTCAGCGGCGCCACGCGCCGCTACGCCGACTGCAAGATCATCCTCTCGCACGCCGGGGGCACCCTGCCCTGGCTCATCCACCGCGTCGTCGGCCTGGCCCCGTTCACCCCCACCGCGCTCACCGATCTGTCCCAGGACGAGGTCATCGAAGAGGCGCGCAGGTTCTACTTCGACACCGCGCTGTCCGGGAACGACTTCGTCCTCGGCGCGATCCTCAAGTTCGCCAAACCGGGACACGTGTTGTTCGGGAGCGATTTCCCGAACGCGCCCGAGGGGAGTATCCGGTACAATACCTCCGGGTTGGACAGGTTCGTCGCCGAGAACGGAGGCGCCAGCGCGAGCGTCTACAACGAGGCCGCGCTCGCGCTCTTCCCCCGGCTGAAGGAGTTTTACGCTCAGTAATTTGAAAAGACGTCGCAGACCAAGTCGGACGCGGTGTTGTAGCGTACTGCAATCGTTACCGTCAAACAAAGCACATGCTGCTACTGGTACAGTTCGAATCCGCGTGTCTCGATGGGCGCGGAGCCAAGTATGACCGAGGGCCGATGCCTGAGCTACCGATCTGCGATGCTGGACGTGCATGTGTCTTGGGAGCAGCAAGTGCATTCAGTTGGGACCGTGACGCGCCACTTCGCTGGTCGCCTCTCCGTTCCCCAACTTCTCGACCCCGCTCTGACTCACCGCATCCTTTCCCCACAGCGCCTTCATCCTCCGCCAACTCGGGAAGTGACAGTTGCGCTCCTTCTTCTTCTTCCGGGGTGTGATGTTGATTCCGCCCTGAGTGCTATGCGGAAGAAAACGCGCCAGGAGGCCCATACATACAAGCGTGCCGAGGAACGGGCCCATGATCCGCCAGTCGACCCTCGCGTTCGCGTATGGCTGGTCCCTGTACGAAGTGGCCCGCAGCGGCGCGGATCCGGCGAGGTAGGGCAGGAGATTGACCGAGTCCGCTAGCGCGCGCACGGAGGCGACACGGTCGGGATCGAGCTCGGTGTAGCCTTCGGGACCGTATCCATTAGTGAAGGAAACGACCTGATCGACAGGATCGTGAGGACAGCCTCAAAAGGCGCAGGTGATCAAGAAATCACATACAGTGGGTGACGGCACGTAAAACGCGTCCTTCCCGTTGTCCTGCGCGTCTCTGGTGAGTCTCACTCTGCTGAATGAGAAGCACACGCGGACCATACCTTGTCAAACTGGTTCACGGAATTGTCATGTGCGGCGTCGTAAGCAGGCCCCTTGTTGGTCGAGTTCAGTGCCCGGACGATACCATCCTTCGCCTGTGACGTATCGACGGCGCTTTGCTTCCTCACGATGCGCAGCGAGCTGGGCGGGCTAACAGTGCTGTTATATGCTTCCACCACCCAAGGCTCGATGAGCCGCAGGCACACCGCCGCGTCGTAGCCTGCATGCACGAACATCAGCAAACGGTCACGACGGTGTCGAGTATACGCACCTATACGTGTGGATGCGCCGTTGGCGTCCGACACTGGGTCGCTGTAGACGGCGAAGCGGCTGGAGGGGACGTAGCTGTCGTTGAGACTAAGCAAGCATCTGTTAGCAATGCCCACGATGAACGATGAAAGAGGATGAGAAACCGCACCGAATCAGCGTCGTCTCGATTGACTGCCAGCCTCTGCCGTCGTCACCGTAGTTGCGTGTCACAGGAAAACTCCACAGCGAGTGTCCGTCTCCGTTATTCCAGAACTTCCCTGTCGTAGGCATCAGTCACGTCTCACCGCGATCATTGCGAACCCGACATGCACATACCACCGTAGAGGATATCGCTAGCGTTCAAGCCCGAGGGAACGCTATCGTTCGCGCTCAAAATTGAACTGTCGAACACGGCATCTTGCATTTGAGAGGGCATCGACATATTGAAAGAGCTGTACAGCGACGCGATGAGCTCCCGAGTCATAAACACATAGGAAAAGCCGTCGGCGGAAACAGGAACTCTGGCAGGAACAGTAATGTGTCAGTGTCATCTGCAATAGTGGGTAGGACCAGAGCACACAGAGTATCTACGGGCCGGGTTAACATCTGGCAGTGCATTCTAATTCCCCATCGAGAAAACCTATGTGCAATCCAAGCGTCAGCAAATATGTGTCCTATCATATGGAAGATGCTCGAGGCCAAACTAACTGAAGAAGGTTACCGAAGCCAGTGACGGTTGGATTCAACGCGTGCGCGAGGCTGATATCTGGCCTGTCGTCAGAGTCGATGTTGAATGTACCCAATCCCTTGCCGCCCGGAAGCAGCTGATCGAACTCGATCTCGGCGAAGTACACGGTATCTTCGCCGAACTCCTCGGCTAAATCGCCGTCGAGTCGGAATGAGACGTTCCTAGACTGCCCCGCTCGAAAGGCGGCGGGCGAAAAGGTCCATGTGCGTACAAAATCCTGTAGTCGAGATCAGATCGCTTTCATAACGCGAAGTATGATCACACTTCAAAGGCGGGGAGCGAGGCGCTCGCTCTCTCGACGTCAGCTGCACTGAGGTCTCCGACGATTGTGACGGACTTGTGCGATTTCCATTGATGCTGGTATGCACGTCAACAGATTTGGCCAGGGCAAGGTTCCACAAGATTGTACCTTCACGATCGTGTCAATGATCACACCCCGATCGAGGGCAAAACTGACGGCCTCGCTAATCGAGAGTAGTAGAAGGAAGAAAAGCAAACTTCCGATTCCAGGACCACTGGGAAACTTCAATTAGCAGCGCACTTTTCCTCAGGATATTTTCCGCGTACCTGAGATAGTCCACTTGCTCGAAGTCCTTGCTGTGTTTGCGACGTCTACAAATCAGACTGATAGCGGTCAGGAAGCTCTTAGAACCAAGTAGCAGGTCCAGAATTTTGGAGGTCGTCATCCTATGCTGTTCCAATTGAGTGTTCTGTAGGATGAATCGACACACTGCAGACAAGCATGAGATATATCAGCGCCTTCGGAATAAGATAATACTCACACGCCTCCTCGAGCCAAGGATCAGCGAGTGCCGTCAGCGACAAGCCGACCAAAAACGCGAATACGTGCCCCGGAATAGCGATGAAGAGGCGAGCTCTCGTAAGGGGTAACTCGTGGACCAACTCAACCCCGCGTTTATAGAATGCAACCATGGAAGCAACGAGAATAATGTGCAGAACCCATGTGGGGCAGGAAACAGGAAAGCTGGGGAATGCCTTCTCCATGATTTCGGTCAATCCACTTGAACAACCAGACTCTGGAGCACGCGGAGCGGTGGGAGAGGATATCCCATGGAAAACCCGCCTTACAGAGCGCAATTCGAACGGCGAGCCAGATGCGTGGCGACTCCCACTTGTTAGCAGGGGCTCCTGAGAGGTCCGGGTGGAATGCGAATGAGTGCTGCTGCCATGGTGCCTTAGGACTTGAGGTCTCTCGAACGCCTCGAGTTCTGGAGGAAGATGCGGGCGGAACTGATCTACAGCTACAGGAGTGGAAGCATCCGCGTTCCTACGCCTGGATCCTTGAGGCGCGTTGGAACAAGCCGCAGGAGGATTGGGTGACATAGCGCTTGCTGGATCGCCCTGCACGATGTTCGTCGGTGCAAAACCCGGCCTTGTCGTAGTGGAGCTGACATGCGGACCGGTTTTAGACCGCTCGCGACGTCCCATGCGTCCTGAGCCTTCAAGAGCGGTTCGTCAGAGAGCAACGCCGGTCATATTGAGATATTACCTGAGATGATGGTTGGCGCGCCGGACGGCCAAGGGGGCAAAAGACACTGGGCGCGACGGCGTCGCACCTTATATCGTAGGGGTTCATCATAGCTTTGACAGGGATGCATGGTACATGTTAGAATCGCCGATCGGCGTCACAAAGGGAAGACATTCTGGTATCGGGGCCGCTTCCGACTCGAAGGCATGGATGTGAAACATGGTCATATTTGGGTAACGTTATAGATCGGGGTGTAGCGTCGCCCCAGGCGCCAAAGCGGATTGGCTCGAGGAAGGGGGCCTTCATGCATCACGTGCAACACGACCTGTGAGTTCCAGGCACCGGCCGTGGTTCCCCTTTGTCCTGCAACGACACGAGGCGAGACAAAGAGATAAAGCATAGATATCAACAGCACAACGTCGAAAACAGTCGCACATACGATATCCTAGTACCCCGACCATTCATCATTCCTCGCTCGTCTCCCGTTCTTTGCTCTTCTTCTTCTTGACCACGGGCTCCCCGAAATCGGATGCAACAGCTGCCTCGCTCTTCCTCCTTTTGCGTTCCCTCTTCTCCTCCACTGTTGGCGCTGCCTCTTCTGCGGGAGCGACAAACGCCTCTTGCCTTTCTGCTCGTCTTTTCGCAGTAACCTCTGCTTGCTGATGAAACATGTTGGTAGCCGCCCCAAACTATAGTAAGGTGGATATACCTTCTCCTTTCTGCGTTTGGCTTCCTTCGCCTCCTTTTCGTGGGGCTTGAGAAAGTATTCGCCGGACTCTAGTTGGAGGTCCACCTAAAGCACACCGAGTCAGCAACGAAGTCCGCAAGCGAGCGACGCCGTGGAGCGTTGGAATGAGAAAAGAGAGATACCTTGCGAGGAAGTTGCGCTGGCGGGAAAGGTGTGTAAACCTTTTTCGCTTTATCTTTCTTCGCCATTTCCTCTGGGTCCAAACCGGCTGCTGCCCGCGCCTCCTTTTTGGCCTCGACAGCCGCGTTCTTCCGAGCTGTTTTCTCCGATGTTTTGAGGTGCTTCCTTCGGAACTGGGGTAGGAAGCGATCCCAAGGTTCGGTAGCAAGTTTGGGATCTTTCGCGAGTTCGCGCTTAATCATTAGTTCCTGAAGGAGAAGTAAGAACTCGGCCAAAAAACGCAAATAACAAAGTGCGTACTTTGATACGATATATAGGGTGGATATTCTTCATGCAATCCAGTACTATCCGTCGAACTTCTTTGAGTGATTTGTATGGGCCCATTACGCTGACGGTGCTGCCTTGGACGAGAACGTAACACCTTGTCAAGAGCTCGATTGCCTGTTGGCGTGCGTTCAGGAACAAGAAGGAACAATGAGAAAGCATATAACAACAACCTTCAACGTACTTCCGTCGGGGCCTATGATCCTCTGTCGTCTCTTTACGAACCGCTCCTTATTCCGGACCAGGTTCCCAATCTTGATGATGTCGCATGCCATATCATCCTGAAGTATCTTTACCGCCTGACCAACAGCGACACCTCGCGCAAGCAGTTTTATCATGTCGCGTGCTTTCAAGATGATATAGGGGTCGTATGTTTTCCTCGTCGTCTTAACGGACATGGAACCGTGGATCAGGTCAAGCGTGCACGCAATGCCCTGTGAGTCGCGTCAGACAGGCATGTATGCCGGTGATCTCAGCACCTACATGCGAGTCCAGAGCCGCAGTTACTGCACTCCACACTTCTTGCAAGTACTTCTCGCGATATTTCGGAAATAGGGTGGCGAACGAGGATTCTTCGGTAAATGTTCCTCCTTTGTTATCTTCGGGAGTAAAAGGATCGATTTTCCACTGTCGAAACACGGTTAACGGAGGACCCCCATGGCACGCGTTGAGCTACATACACTGACGCAATTGATTAGCATCACCGTAGCGAGCAGCAGAGTCAGCTTACTGGTCGATATCGTCTGTGTCCCATGCTTTGTGACGAGGGTCAGTTTGAGAAACTAGTTTCGCGCATTCCGACATACGTTTGTCCTTCCTATGCCTTTTGTTCTTGTTGATGACAGGTGCATCTTCACTCCCCGATGCCATATTCCTTCTTTAATATGTGACAAGCTTATATATGGAGCAGACGGGATTATGCAGTCCCAAGGAACTGCAGGATGAGCGAGACCGGGCAAGCAGCTGCAAAAGCTGGAGAAAAGGATGTGACCGTGAGAACTCCATAGTCAACGCCGGCCTTTGACGTCTTTCGCTACTATTCAACACCTTTGTGACCGCCCGCCCACCTCTTCGTTCCCTCTTTCACTTCTGAATCACGACGAACGCGCTTATCCTACGCGTCGCAAAATGGACAACTTTGTTGATGACTTGACGCCGATGGATGAAGTGCCGCTTTCCTACGACGACACGACGACATACGAGGACCAGGTTACGAACGCGAACTCGAGCCTCGCCAACCGGATTTCGAAGTCTCGACTCTATTTACTCGAGGAATCTACGCTGCCTAGGGCGGCCAAGGTGCGCTGGCAGAATGTACGTGAACACCCCGATGAAGGAGCCTGACGTGAGAGTACGTCGGTCGGTAAGCGCAAGCGCGGGGGTGACGAAGAGGGGGAGGAGGAGGTCGCCGAGATCGAGGTCGACGGTGATGATGATGAAGGTATATCACATTGCTGATAAAGTTTGGCCACATTGGACTAACGTGGCCCCATGTCAGATTCGGTGTATAGGAACAACGCTTTATTACTGCAAGGCACTCCAATCGGTTCACTGCCTACGTCCCGCCTTTTCGCGTACGCGACTCATTTCGACGCAAAGCCTATGGGTCTGGAGTGGGTGGACGACACGACATGCGTGTTAGTGTTCGCCTCCAAGGCTGCTGCGCGAACCGCCCACCGCCATCTGCAGAAGTCCGCAGCAGAGGAAGATGACGACGACGGGTTCGTCACCGCGAAACCGGTTCCCGTTACCTTCTGGCCACCGGAGGAGGTCATCAACAGGACTTTGGGCAAGGGCGAGGGTCTCAAGGGAGTCATTCGTATGCGATGGGCACGGAAGGACGACGTGAAGAAGAAGGGGGCAAAGAAGACGAGCCAGTTCTACCGGAAGCATGGAGAGAAGGCGGGGAAGGAGGTGTGGAACCCGATAACGGGACGGGTGGAGGCACCTCCGGGAGACGACAATTACTCCCAGAAGCGGCGGAGGAGAAGCTCGCCTTTGCCCGGCACCGCGGAACTTGACGATGACATGGACCGTTTCTTGGCGGAAGGATCACCACCCCCGGATGAGGAGATCATAGAGGATGAATCGCGACCGTCGGGGAAGATGCATGCAGACCGTCTCGCCAGCAATGGAAAAACGTTGCTCGAACGCACGTCGATGATGCGGGCACATTCGCCTTCCCTCACATCGCGCTCCGTGGCGCCGTTACCTCGACGTGCCAGGCGCAGAGATGCGGATATGGATCCGGGTTCACTTGAGGGTCGGAGAGGGGGCGAAGGCAGGCGATCCCGTGGAGGAAGGGAACGAGGACAACGCACAGCACCCAGGCCGAAGAAGAGCCAACAGGAACTGGACGATGAATTAGAAGCATTCTTGAACGAACGTGATTGAAATCCGCCTCATAGAATTCTACATGTCTGTACTGCATCAAGAGATAACCCCAGCTCAGTTATTTGAACTGTTTTGCCATCGATGTCCAATATATTGTCAAAGTAGACAGCGCCTCAGAGTTGCAGCCGTCCACTGAGGCCAAGTGGGGCCCGCCACGAGTATTGACCCGAGCTACCGGGATCGTGCGCCAAGTACGGGAGATCCTGCTCAGCATTGCCGGTTTTTCAACATCATGTCATGGCAGCGCAGACAAGCTCAGGAGTGCGGGCTTTGCTACGCTACATGCGGCACAAATGGGACATGAACAGATCATTGAATACACCGTCACATATGCATTGTGGTACTTACGCCGAGCCTAGGACGGTCCACGAATTATGCAGCACGCACAGCGACCTGAAGCACTCGCTACATAGTGTGCTAATCATGCGGACGAGCAACCAAGCAGATACATCGCAGCGCGAATTGACGTATCCCTCGAATAAGTCTAAGATCAGACCAAAAATATCTAATCACCATAGCCCTCCAGATCGACGACCTAATCTTCGTCGCTGTCGTCATCCGAATCCGTCGTGTCGCCCTCATACGCGCCCTCGCCGCCCAACAGCTCGCTCATCGTGAGAGGCCGGCCACCTGCGCCTGGCGGAGCAGCGTCGTCATCGTCACCGTTCACTGCTGCAAGGAACTCGTCATCCGAGTCACCCTCCGCGTCCGCAGCGCCGAGGTCCGCCATCTCGGCCTCGAGCGCGCCCGCGTCGATCTCCTCGTCCTCGCCCTCGCCATCGTCTTCGCCGCCGTCGAGCGCCAGGGTGAGCTGCGCCTCGAGATCGTCTTCAGGCTCGTGCCCGTTGAGAGTTAGGGCGGACGTGGATGGCTGCGTGTCCGCCCCGACGACCGCTTCCCAGTCATCATCATCTGAATCATCATCCGCGCCTGCAGGAGGCAGACCCAGAGACGAGGGCAACACCGTGGAATTGGATGCGCTGGGAAATGAGAGCGATAGCGGATTTGGTGCCGGTGCCGGTGCCCGCGGCGGCGGCGAGGCCGGCGGGGACGGCCTTTTCCGTTTCCGCGACGGTGATGCCGGTGCCGGTCGCGAAGGCTTGCCAAAGTCGATCACCTCCGCCTCAACGCCTGCGTCTGCGGAAGAGGTGGGAGGGGGAGGGTCCAAATCCAGCTCAAGGTCAAGGTCAATGCTGTCCGCCTGCTTGAGCTTGCTCGATGACGCAGCCGCGTTGGCAGTGGCCAACGGTTTGGGCGTGCGTGAGGGGGTGCCACTCGGGGAGGGAGTGGCGGCCGTGACGGTAGGAACGGCAGGACGAGCGGGCGGAGAAATGGGTTTTCGGGCGGGGGCCGCTCGTTTTGATGAGGCTGTTGCTGCTGCGAGTATTTCGTCACCGGAGCTTTCTTCCTCTTCTCGACGGATGACCGGCGTCGGGGCTTCATTGGGCGAGTCTTTGGTTTCAGGCGTCGACAATGAGGCTCCCATAGCTACAGTTCGTGGTAAGAAGAGATATTCCAGACGTATGTCCGAGATTGCACATACGCGATCGATTGGCTCGTATAGTTGATTCGTGCGCCCGTACGTGGGTGTTCAGCACGAAATGGGTTTCTATCTTCTCCAGGGTATATTCCTAGCAGCAGGACTGAGTTTGATCTATCCGCAGGAGCATCGCAAAATGTGCTCACCTGTGTGGCTTCATCATAGATGAGGACGAAGTCCATGTCCCTTGGCTTCGCCGGCTCTTGGCCCGAATATATCAAGACATCACCTGGCTGTCCTCAAATGAAGTCAGTAATGCATAATCCACAGTGAGGATTGAAAATTGCCTGCGCTGTGCTCGGACGTTCGACGGTGACGGCCGTCTCTCCCGTCTCCTGGTTCTTCTTCACCTCTATGGTCCCAGGCTTTGTCGGATCGATGGATTCGGGTTTGAAGCCCCCTGATTCGCAGTAGTACTTTAGGTCCAGGACAGAAGAGGTCTTGAGGACGTGTCTCACATTTAAAGGAGTAAAACTCGCGGTCTGGGATGTTGCCCTTCTTCGTGGGCGGGGCGATACCCTTTCGTGCCTTGAGCGCTCTGCGCACAGAGCTGCCGATGTTAACGGAGTGCTTTCCGGTGGCGGGAACCCAGTCAGCCATGGTGGTCGAATGTGAAGCAACCTCACAGAAGATGGAGTAAAGGTATAAGAGCGGGTGAAGGGCCAAGGCGCTAGGGCGGCAGTAGGGCGGCAGCGACCGACTGCACAACCCGGTAGGCCCGGACAATAATAGAATTGCACAGCCACTCACGATCGAAGAGCCGTTCCCAGGTCCGTCACGTGGGGCGAGTAACTTTGGGATGGCCATTCCCCGTCGTACGATGCCCTACCGACGAGCGCAGGCTGCGCTGCTGAACGTCCACCATGACATACCCAAGACTTGTAGTGGTAGTGACTGGAGCTAACAGGTGTGGAATGTGGTATCCTTACCTGCAACGTACTTGTGCTAAGCCGCATCAGCGGGGTAGGCTTCGGGACTTGCCAACGTCTTCTCTTCGAGCTCTCACAGAAGAGCCCACCCGACGCCAAACCTCAAGTCGACCTAGTTACCTCGCAAGAACACGAAAATGACGCGCCAGTGCTTCCATGCGAAGCGCTCACGTTGATATTGGCCTGCAGAAGCGTCAAGCGCGCCGAAGCCGCACGGGAACAACTGTACAAGCTACTCGATACCGAGTTGACGCGTCGAAAGCAGCGAGGGTCGTACGACGATCACGCAGACCGATTCCGCACAAACTTGCGGATAGAGATCCATTATGTCGACATGGCCTCTATTCAGAGCATCCTGCACTTCGGCGAAGAAGTTGGCCACAAGTCGGTTCTGCAGTCGCGTCCTCGAGCTATCCTTAATGAACACGGCCCCCTTTCAGGTACTCTTATGTCTCGCACCTCATATGCAACGCTGGCATTGCAAGCTACAAAGGAATGGATCCCGTGAAAGCCTGCCTTCAGATCACCCGCTCCCCCATGATGGCCGTCACTTCACCCGAGTACAACTACCAGCATGCGGGTGAGATGAGCCCGGACGGTTTGGGCTGGGTCTGGCAATGCAACGTGTTTGGCCACTATGTTCTCGTACGTTTTGGTGCAATCTGAATCGTTCTCCTTGCTGACCTTCAGCCGCGTCCGGCACAGTATCGAACCTTGCAACCCCTTCTCTCTCGGATCCCCAAGAAAGATGTAGGACCAGCTCGTGTGTTGTGGACGACATCAATTGAAGCTTCCCCGTACCACTATGCGGAGTACCCGGGCGACTGGCAACTTCTCCGGACCAGCTATTCTTACGAATGCTCCAAATACCAGATTGACTTGATCGCCTCTGTGCTGGATAGGCGGTCACGGGAAGATAGCGCAAACGGGGACAGCGTGCCGCGAATACGGCATGTGCTCGTACAACCCGGCGTGGTCTCGACCAACTTCGCTAACGCACTGATTGGCGCATTCCTCGATATGTTGAAGGTGGTTGCCTTTTACATCGTGAGTTCGTTTCCTCTATTGTTATGTAGGCGTGCCTCAAACGCATCTACAGGCTCGTGCGCTCGGATCCCCGCACCACACAATCACAGCTTACAAGTCCGCTGTTGCTGGAGTACACATGTGTCTCGTACCGTTGTCTGTCATTCCCCTCTACATATCCGCCTTTTCCTCCTCCTCTCCTTCGGAAACGACGGAAAAACCGTTCTCGCCTTCCGTGCTGCGGCCTGCGAAGAACGACGTCACCAAAAATCCACTGCTGCCTGTGCGCTTCGGCTCGGAAACGGACCGGTGGGGCCACGAGCACGTTGGGCTCACCGTTGTTCAGCAATACGAGAAGCATAGAACGCATAGCAGCGAGTTAGTGGACAAATGCGAAGCGCTATACCAGTCTTTCCTCAAGACCGGTACGAAGGGTACGGAAGCTTGATCGTTATACCCTGAGCTTACGTTTCGTACACCGATTATTTTCATCGCACCTTATGGAAGAGGCGCTGAGCCTGGTCTACGTAATGGACAGCAATATTACGGAAAAGCACAGTATATACAGATCAATACAACGAGGTAAAATGCTAGCAGAGCCAGTTAAGCCAATGAACCATTGTTTTGGCGATCAACATAAACCCGGCTAACTGAGAGAAAGCACAAAACACAGCGGGGTTATGACACCTCCGACTTGCGCTTCTTTTTCTTTTTCTCGGGCGAGTCGCCGTTCGCCCCATCTGCTTTGCTAGTAGCGGCAGCCTTTTCCGCCTTCTTTGCCTTCTTCCGTGCCTTGCGCTGCTCCTCGGTCTCTTCAAGCTCCATCTTATGATCCGCTTTAGCATCCAGATCGGAAACTGGATAGATAATATACACACCGAAACGTCAGCAGCTGGAGGCTTCTCGCTTTCCCTCCGTTTCCTCTTCTTCTCCTTCTTGCTCTCCTCCCCGTCCACCTCCATCGCATTCTCGTCATCGCTTGCCTCCCCGTCCTCCTTCGCTTTCCCTTTCTCCTTTTCAGCCCGCTTCTTCGCTTTACGCTCCTCCTTCGCCCGCCGCTTCTCCTCCTTCACGTCCAACACCGCTTTCACCGCCTTCTCCACCGGTGTCTCGCCCTCGCCCTCCCTCTGCGTCGGCACGAAGTCCGCCGCAGTGTTGTACGTCTTCGCCTCGCCCTTCATCTCGAACTTAGCCGTCTTCTTCGGCCCGTTCGCAAACTGCCGCACGCCGCCGGCGTCCGCCTGGTGCTCGAGCGCGCGCAGGCGCGACTCGAGCTTGGCCCGGTTCTCGAGCCCGATCGTGGGTGCGTCCGGCTCGGATTTGCCCTCTGCGTCCGTGAGCGCGTCCACGCGGATGGAAAGCGCCGCCTTGGTGGCGACCATACGAGCCATCTGCCACGAAGAATCGAGATCAGCTGTGTTCGACACCATCGCGTAGCTAGAACGGTGAGGCGCACCTTGCCCTTCAGCTTGGGGGGTGCTTGGCCGATGAGCGATGCGTGATAGATCAGACCGTACTTGGGCGTATCGTGCTTGGTCTTGAGCGCGCGGAAAAGAGCCTTCTCCGCGCCGAGGATCTGCACCGTACTGGCGGGGTGCTTCGCGAGGTTGAGCAGGCTGCCGGCATGGCTGATCAATCGCGCGCCGACGAGTTCGCCGACGAGCGCGGTGAGATTGGGCGCAATGGCGTTCATGCGGTTGCGGAGGTACTCCGCGAGCTGGGTGCGGTAGGCGGATATCTCGATGACCTGGTCGCAGAGTGCGTGAATGTGGTCAATGTCCGAGTCCGAGATCTCGGTGCCCATGGAGATTTCAGCGGCAGCTTTGATCGTGGCTTCGAGGTCCTCAGGCAGGATTTTGGAGAAGTCAGTGTTGATGGCGTTCGTGCGGAAGCCTATGACATAGCGAACGCGTTAGCGCCGGAGGTACAGAAGCCAACGGGAGAGGTTGTTTACCCATGGCTTTGATGACTTTCGCGTAGGCGAGGTTGTCCGTGAGGATTTTAGCGAGTTCGGGGAAATGCCAGCCATACCATTCCTATGACGGGGGAAGTTCAGCACGAGTGTGATTGCGGAACTACGATTCCATACCTTTACTCGCATGGCGTAAATGTTGATCTCTTTGTCCAAGTCATCCAGCAGAGCTATCGCCTGTACTACCATGGTGTCGACCTTGTCGGGGGAGAACTTGAGCTTAAACCTTGAAGCGCATAATTTGAGCAAGAACATAACACGACACAGTATGGGGAGCGTACCGTGATAATGAATGGCTAAGACCTAGGCTCATGGTAGCGAGATCCTTAGGGTCCAGACCATCAAGTAGCGAAGCAAGCTGCTCCCGAATACCACGAAACAGGTCCTGATACTCCTTGTCCGCGACGACCTTGAGACCGAGCTTCTTGCTGATCGCGCTGCCTGCACAAAGCGATGAGCTTGCAGGAGACAAAAAGTTTCGTGTCATGGACTAACCAAGCTTGGGATCCACGACGGCAAGTTGCTCCTTGCCCTTTCCCTTCTCTACAATCTCGTCCGACAAGAATTTCTTCAGGCCCTTCCCGAGTTTACCCTCTTGGATCGCGGTGATTTCCTCTACCGCCGTCGCGGTCGAGGTGAACCGGTGCAAGCCCTTGAGCTTCAAGCTGTCCAACCCGCAGATCAGTCCATGTTTCTGTACCACGTCTGAGCATCCATGGCATCCCGTATAGACTTACAGCTTGTTTGCCCGCTCCGGAGTTTCGAATTCTTCCCATAGGTCGGGGCTGGTGAGCTTGGCCGAGTCGGTGAGCTTGAAAAGACAGAAGCCCAGAGCGGTTTCATATAGCACAAGCATCGTGAGCAGTCAAGCGGAAGTCCCAAGTAGGCCCCTAGTCTTCAGTCCGCCCGGGCCTTGAAGTGAGCAGACCCGACTGCAGCATGGGCAAAAAAGTTGGTGTGGATCGTGCGAATCTTGTATCCAAATCGGGATGAGTCCCTGAAGGTGGAGGCTGTCATGTTACCGCGAGAGCGCGTTGCATATGGCGCTCATGAAGGGTCCCAGCCGTCGGCTAATAATGCGACTGTTCTCGCTTGTTGGCTTATCTGTCCCTAGACGGCTCGTCGCGAGATCAGAAAGTCGAAGAAAAAGTGAAGTCAGAGGCTACGGGAGTCAGAACTGATACTCGGCTATGCTCTCTCATCTCCTGGTCGTGCTTGGGTTGGCGCTACTGCAGGGAGCTCAGGCAGCCTGGAGGGATCAGTCTGTGCTTGGCTCAAATGCACTACCGACTGCACATGTCTCCGAGCTACTACTGAACGCCTCCGAAATCCATCTCTCGTCGATCACCAACACGCACGGTTACGTCGCGTTGACTCACGCCAAGTACCCCAGTCATCAGGTTAGGGTCAAAAAGACAGACTTTTGCGATCCGACAGTGAAGTGAGTAGTGATCACGAAAACATTGCGCCCCAGCCCGCTCTGACCATCGCGCTCACAGTGTATACACTGGATATCTCGACGTTGACGATGGTGCCAAGCATCTGTTCTTTACCTTCTTCGAAAGCCGACGGGATCCTGACAATGGTGATATACCCTCGTACCTGCTGCACCCTGCCTGACTCAAGCTTACCCTTAAGATGACGTGATGATGTGGATCAACGGAGGGTGAGTAGCGCGTTGGTACAGGTGTGGGTGGCTCGCTCACGTCCTTACGTAGCCCGGGATGTAGCAGCATGATGGGACTTCTCATGGAACTCGGTGTGTGCATATATGCCATTGAATTCGCAGTCCTCCCTGATGACCGTATGCTAGGTCCCTGCCAGATCGACATGAATAACTCGTCGAGCAACGGAACGGTGTGGAACCGGTATTCCTGGAGTGCGCAGCAACGTCATCTCTCTCTGGAAGCTCGTCGTTGCTTACGCCTTCGCAGACTCCGAGGCGAACATGTTCTTCCTCGACCAACCGTACGCCCGCAACAACCCAGTACCGTCGCATTACAACCTCATGTTCCACTCTCCAGAGTAGGAGTCGGCTTTTCCTATGCCGAATTCGGCGAGACGATCAGCACGACGGAAGACGCCGCGAAGAATGTGCACGCGTTCATCACCATCTTCTTCGAGACGTTCAAGCAGTTTGCCGGCCGGCCGCTCCATCTCTCCGGAGAGTCGTACGGGGTGCGTAGTGAACCTGCCTCATGAACCCGTGTATTCCCTACGGTAAGCATATTGACGGGACGGGGTATCATAAACAGGGCCGATACCTCCCCGTTTTCGCAAGCGAGATCTACGACCAGAACCAGATCGCGAAGGCGGAGAACCGGACGGTGATCAACCTCCAGAGCGTGCTGATCGGTAACGGGATCACGGACATATCTACGTGGGTTCTCCTTTGCTACGTATTATCAACGTCGTTTGGTTGACATTGCTGACTTCACGTGAAGCCTGTATGAAGGGCGATACGCGATTGAATGCGGCACGTCGGCTTTGGAGGTGCCTTTCCAGTCTATAAGCACCTGCGTGCGCATGAAAACCGCGGTGAGTGACACGATTTTACATGCTCGGCGACCCTGGATGTGGGGTAACCTCGCCTCGTGAACTTTATCACACATATTGATCAGGGACTGTATGCGCGCAGCTTCCCCGTTGTCAAGCGGCGATGCGCACGAGCTGCATCGACTCGTTCGACGCCATGAACTGCGGTGCCTCCGTCGCGTTCTGCGATTCACAGCTGAGTACGGGTTACTGGGCGAGCGGGCGCAACGTCTACGACATCTCCAAGGTACGTGAGCAGATCTCCTCGTTCCATGAATCCGTCCATTAAACTAACTTATTCCCCGCCTTTTGTTTTTCCCACCATCGCCAACCCAATCGTTCTCCTGGCCACCTCGGACTCGGATATGACGCCGAAATAGCCCTGCCTCGGTGATGGGCTGTGCTACCTCGAGAACGGCGCGATCAAAGCCTATCTCGACCGCCCGGAGACGCGCGAGCTGCTCGGTGTCGAAACGCCCAACAACTTCTCCGCCTGCTCGCGCGACGTCGGTGCCGGCTTTGCTGCCCATCTCGACAAATGGGGTGCGTAGGTCCACACCCTATCTGCATCTCCTTCCTCCTGAACAATGGGGCGATCCCTAACTCTCATGTTCGTTCATGTACACAGCGGTACCCACGCAATACTACGTCGCGGGCCTGCTCGAGCGCGGCGTGCGCGTGCTGATCTACGCGGGCACGTACGATTGGCAGTGCAACTGGGTCGCGAACAAGCTCTGGGTCGACAAGCTCGAGTGGAGCGGGCATGAAGAGTACGTCAAGGCGGAGTGGCGCGACTGGCGCGTCGGCGAGGACGGGGAGAAGGCGGGAGAGACCAAGAGCGCCGCGGGGGGTCTGCTCACCTTCGCGACCGTGCGCGGGGCCGGACATATGGGTGAGTATACTTATTGCTTTAATCTTGATTGAGCTTCGCCCTGAGGGGGAGGCTGTCCCCTTGGCGAGATCTGCGAAATGGGATCGCGAAGGCTAAATCGCACGTTTCCTTGACCCGTTACTCACCTACGCTCATATGCAGTGCCGCATGACAAGCCCGCAGAGTCGCTCGCGATGGTGTCCCGGTGGCTCGCCGGCGCGGATCTTTGACGAGATCTGAAGCGTCGCGTTCGCCTTGGTATATGGGTCATAGGGAAGCATCACCGAGTCACTCTTGATCCCGTTCCGTGGCGATGCGCGCAAAAGGCAGTTCCATTGTATACTATGATTCACGTTCCAGTTCATCATGAACGTATACAGCCATCATACAGCTATGTTGACCCTGTACGGTGCCTGATTGATGTGTGATGCTCGCCCCGAGTTCACCGTGTTAACTCCCCACCATTCGCCGAAGCATGTAACCCAATAGAAATAATGATCACCCCCTATACGTCCATGCGTCGAGTTGCGTGCTAACTCCCTCGGGGAGAGCGGACGATTTCCCGACATAGCGGATGAGGCTTACATCTCGAACTCAACGCTGGATACACTGTGACCCGCTGGCAGAGAAGCATCGTTACGGACGTTTTGATCAGGAATGGGGAACTCGGAGTGCGCGCTGATTGGAGACCGTGGTATTTGGAGATCGGGACCCCGAACAGTGGCTCGCTGTCCATTGCCTGTCCAGCGCCGCGTCCACCAGCGTCAGGCTCTATTTACGGGATCCCGTTCCCTTGCCTGCCCAATGCGAATATGTTTTTCTCGCCACACCAAGTATACACCCTGTCGGTGATACGCTGGACGATGCTGAGACGAGCAAGCGATGGTGAGGTGGTATTCAGTGTTGCATGCTGTGACCAGTCTCCGCCGGGGTCCCCCCGCCCCGAAAGCCTGGTAAAGCACGACCAACTCGCACGGCCCTTGGCGACGAAAACACCATCACGTCTCCGTTTTTATAAACCCTGGAGAGATGTACTCGCCTCGTTGGTCTCTACCGTCCTTCGCCCCCTTCGTCCTTCTCCGTTCCCCCCCTTTCCGTACGTCCTCCTGACATCCGTATCGAAAACCGTGCAGTTAACTGACATGGGGCTGTTTGCAGGTCTTTCCTTTGGGTTGCCCGGTAGCGCCCCTGGATATCCCTCCGATCCCTTAGCAGCAGTGCTCCTTTCGCTCGTTTCACGCACACACAGGGCTCCCAGCTCCGGCAGCATATACATCTAGTTGAAGAAAAAATGCGTTTCTTTGCGTCTGCGTCTCTCCTCGCCGTTGCGGCACCTGCCCTCATTTCGGCACGGCCCGTTCGCCGGACGGCCAGCGCCACTGACATCCTTGTGTTGAGTGAGTTTTTCTGTGCGCTAGCTCTGCGTATATGCGTGGGTCTGACATCATTTTTCCAGAGTTTGCGGATGTCCTTGAACAGCTCGAGTCCCAGTTCTACTCCCAGGCGCTCCAGAAGTTCCAGGAGTCGGACTTCACCAGCGCTGGTTTCTCCAACGCTGCGATTGCGACCGAACAGTTCACCGCCATCCAGAGCGATGAGGCGACCCACGCGAGCATCCTCGAGGTTAGTATCCCTCGGTCGAAATATCAAGGGCTTGCTGATATGAACTCGCATCCCAGGACACCATCACGAGCCTGGGCGACTCCGCCATCTCCGGCTGCTCCTTCGACTTCTCGAGCGCCCTGACGGATGTACCGACCATGGCTGCCACCGCCCGAGTCGTCGAGAACCTGGGTGTCGCGGCCTACCTCGGCGCGGCGCACCTGCTGGACGACCCCGTCCTGCTCACCGCGGCCGGCTCCATCCTGACGGTCGAGGCCCGCCACCAGACCGTGCTCAACATCTTCTCCGGCTCCGGCTCCGCGATCCCCAGCGCGTTCGACCTCGGCTTCACCCCCTCGGAGGTGCTTGCCATCGCCAGCCCCTTCATCTCGGGCTGCGACACCGGTGTCCCCGGTACGCTCCCCCTTTTGTCTGCGTCTTGAGTGATGCTGACTGATTTCTGAACCCGAATAGCCAACCCCTCGCTGTCGATCACGAACCAGGGCACGGTCACGACCGGCACCTCGCTCTCCTTCAGCTCGAGCGCGCTCAACGGCTCGACCGACGGCCTCTTCTGCAACATGCTCATCGGCGGCCTACCCTTCGCGATCTCGCTCCCCTTCAGCCAGTGCGTCGTCCCCGCCGGAATCAACGGCCCCGTCGCCATCTGGATCATGTCCGACGACCAGCCCGTCGCCGCGTCCCCCGTCGACCGCGACACTTCCAAGCTCGTCGCCGGCCCGACCATGGCCTTCATCGACACCATCTCGCAGTCGCTCCCTGAGGCCGCCCGCACCGTCTCTGGCACATCGTCCTCGTCGTCCTCGTCTTCCAGCTCGGACTCGTCCAGCTCCGGATCGGACTCGAGTTCCGGTTCGGCGTCGAGCACCGACAGCGCGTCGACCGTCGTGAGCACGTCGACCATCAGCTCCGACCAGGCGAGCTCCATCATCGCCAGCGCGTCGGCCACCGCGTCCGGCGCCGCCGCCACGTCGAGCGCCGCCGCGTCCGGCGACAGCTCGAGCTCGAACCCCAACCCCGCCAACGACGCCGCCGCGGGTATCAACATCTCCTTCGCGAACATGTTCACCGGCCCGTCGCCCGACGGCCACACGAACGTCATCGGCTGGACGAACATCTAAACAATCTCGTTCGTTTTCGCCGCCGCGTTTATCCCGTAGGGGATAGATTTGGGGATGGGCCGTATGGATGGGGGACGGGAGGTACATAGTAGGGATCAGCTCTTTTTTTAATCGATAATCGGACACTTCTTCGCGGAGACGATCCGCCTTCAACGAGCAATATGGACTATCATTGGGCTGACTAGAGCGCACACCTCGTTCCTCAACGCAAACCTTGTTCGCATCTTTTTCTCTCTTCTTTATCTCTGTCTTGGTTGTTATTTTGTCCTTGGAGCGCAAGAGATCATTATGTACTCGCTGTACAAGCCTTTGTGTATGTGGAGCGCTGTCACCTTACAATCTCACACTGGACGAGGGGTGGTTTTCCTCGAGGACTGGAAACGCAGCTGTATAAGAACGCTCCGACGGCGACAGCGTCATGCGCCTATAAGCACTCGACTAGACTCGCTGGCTCTGCTGGCTCGTACATAGAAGGCTCCAGAGTGTTTGGCAACCCCGAGCAACCACTTTTGGCTCTGCCCGGTTGCCGCGTGTGCAACCACGAGGACGCGAAGATAAATGTTCAAACGACGGCTCATCAACCCGTTGGCCAGTATCTTGTTTTTTACCCTCGCACCCATCATTGCATGGATCGGGTCCCTATCGAAATCCTTCAACAGATCCTGCGAGATGTCGACGGCTCGAGCAACCTCTTCAGCGTCGTACGCGTGTGCCGCACATTCGCAGCTGTCGGTCTGCCGTATCTATACGAGGATTTGGTCTGGAAGAATGCCTTGCAAGCTCTGAACAACCTGTCTTTCTGGTCCGAGCATCCGCAATCACAGTCATGGGTGCATAGCTTGACAGTGCGTCGCTTGAATGCCACTAATAATGCATACAGTCCACCGCCCTTGACGCGATTCACGCAGCTTGGAGGATGCCGTATCCACCCTGGCTCGGTCGTCGCGGGGCCCGACTCGGTCTGGGGGTTGGGGTTCGCGACTAGGCTCGGCGTGGAGTTTCCGCTCAGCCGCCGTCCACAGGAAGAACATCCGCTCCTACTAAAATTCTCCTCCACTCATCCTTTGACGATCCTACGCACGCAACACAACCGGGATGCGGTGACGGAAGAAGAACGGAACAACGTTGCGCTCTGCTCCCTGGTCAGCTTCGCCAGCTTACGCCGGTTGACCCTCACCACCTCGCGCTTGCCTGCCCGGATCCTCGCCGTCATACACGAGTTTCCCAATCTGCGCGAATTGCATATCATCAACTGTGATGTCTCGTTGCGGTCAGGCGATGGCGAGGCGATTTTAGACCACAGCGGGTTGCAACTCACCGACCTCACTCTCTGGGGCATCCACCGCATGGATGTACCCTTTGCAGCGGACGATCATCCCGCTCGAGTGCCGGTATATCGCTTCTACTCGCTCATGTCCTGTGGCACATTGCGCAGGCTGCGCCTGCTGATCCAGGATCACCCTGACCTCGTGGACGTATTGTCTGAAACGGCGAGATCGCAGATCCCTGCAGATCGGCAACTGCTTCCGCGCGTTTCGGCGGACCTGGAGGAGCTGACATACGCCTGGGTGTCCGTCCTACCGGTTTTGATGCTTCACGCTCGCAAGGAATCCTTGCTACGGTACTTGCTGCAGAATTGCCCTCGCATCACCGATCTTTCGTGCCTGGGTACAGGCTTCCCATGGCTCCCGAGTAATGTGCTACCCAATCTTCGCGCTTTCCGAGGACCGATGACGAAACAATTTGTATCAAAGCTCGCAAACAGCCCCGTTGAACGCATCACTCTAGAATATGGCCTACTAGAAGAACCGTACCGGGACGTGCCCGCAGAGCAGCCAATTCCGGTCATACAGGAGTTGCATGCCGCGCAGCTGCCACTTCAGGAACTCTCCATGAGCGTCCTGCATTGGGATGATGATCTGATTCAAGGTATTTGTTCTTTGTTCGCGGGACTACATCGCTTGGAAGTGAAGTACACAAGGGGTTGTCCTTCCGAGGTATGCTGACGCAGAGTCGAACTGGCAAACGACTTAGAGCTGAGTCAATACCTTTCTCCTCAGGAGATGTACATGATCATGGGCAACCAACTTTGGCCACAAATGCCTGCTCTTCGTTCCGTCTCACTGTTTGCCGTACCGGAGCTTGGTCCCATCAAGCCAGGCTTGGAGCCGTATCCCAAGGACCGCCAGCAGCCGGCAGCGTGGATCGAAACGAGGTTGTCCCCGAGCTATCGCGTCCCGTGGTCGACAAACGACCGCATCTCGGAGCAGGACATGTTCGAGGTATTGATGATCTGGACCCATTATTGCCCGCACCTCCGGGATGTGCAACTCTGCCGCGATTTCGTTTGGCGAAGGAGCCACGAGAAAGATATTTGGGTCAAACGCGAGATGAGTAATGCTAGCACTGCGCAAGGCGAAAGCGTAGTACTACCAGATGATGACGACAATTAGCAGTAGCATTGCATCTAATGCTTAGGTCGGTTGTTCAACTGTTGCCATTCGCGACCATGAATGCCTGATCCAAGTGGTGCGTCAATGTGACCACTTACCTTGGTCAGTGGTTGTACTGTGTATAGTATAATACATGTGAATGAATAGGCGCTTGATTCGGCGATAACTGCGTATTAGAGAAGCGCTGGCGTCACTGTGGGTCTGAATAGTACCTACCCGGGCCCCGTACTATCGACCTCCTTCATCATGATGGCCCAAGTTCCCAACGAACTTGTGCAACAAATCTTGCGATATGTCAATGGCCCGAGCGACCTGGCGAACGTCGTCCGTGTTTGTCGCAACTTCAACGCCCTCGCTCTGCCTTACCTCTACGAAAACGTCGTATGGACGGACCCCCGACAAGTCGCACGTAATCTTCCCTTCTGGGTTGAGCATGCGGAATTGCGGTCAGTCGTAAGCAGCTTGACGGTGCGTTGTCCTCATATTATAACATCATTGCTACCGACCCTGACAAAACCATCGCAGTTCAGCATCTCCTACATCGAGACTGGACTGATTATGCGTCACCCTGGCCTGGATCTGGGGTGGAACGCGTTGGTTGGTACGTCCGGCGAGGCCATGCGACTCGGTCCACATATCTCACCAACCTCGTCAATACGGCGTGGTCCTCGAGTAATCCTTCCCGATCGACATCGATCAACGTACCTTCACCCAGTCCGATGGTATGCGGACGAAGAATTGTACAACATTGTTGTCAGCTCTCTGGCAAGCTTCAGCGGCTTGCGCCAGTTGAGAATGACCCATTCGCGCTTGCCAGACGAGATATTCGCCATCATACACGACCTTCCTAGTCTACGCGAACTCCACGTTGTCGGCTGCGTCATTCCACTTTCTGCGCTTAGCGATTCGATTCCGGACTACGCCAGCCTCCAGATCACCGACCTCACCCTTTGGGGCGTGTACGATACTGGTCCGGTCCTGCATCCTCCGCCTCACCCTCGTTCGGCCCCGCTACATCGCTTCTACTCGCTGATGTCCTGTCCTACATTGCGTAGGCTGCACTTGCTGATCCAGCGGGACAGCGACCTGATAGAAGTCTTGTCGGTGTCGGCCAGATCGAGGATCGCTAGTATCCGACAGCTGCTTCCCCGCATATCGGCCGGCCTGGAGGAGCTTACTTATGCCTGGCAGGACTCGACCATGAAACAAGTGACGCAAACACCAGCTTTGTCGCTTCTGCAGTACTTGTTGCAGTCTTGTTCCCGCATTTCCAAGCTGACATGCCTTGACGGAGATCCTGTTTGGATGCCAAAGGAGGCGCTCCCCAGGCTGCGCACCTATCGCGGACCAGCTGCGAAGGGCTTGGCGAGAAAGCTTGGCAATAGCCCCATTGTACACCTTTCCATCGAGTATGGCCTTCTGCGGGAAATGGAATCTAAGGATGTGTCTATCTTACCGGTGGTAGAGGAGTTACATGCCGTGCAGCTGCCACTTCGTGAATTATCCATGAGCTCGCTCTTCTGGGACGACGATCTGCTATATGCAGTTTTCCAACTGTTTCCGGGATTGTACAGCTTGGAACTGAGGTATACGAGTGGTTGTCCATCGGAGGTGCGCAGTTCGTAATCGTATCTGACGTGAAGCTCAGCATATTCCTCCCCTCAGACGTTACTCATGGGCTTGGGCTCCGACCTCATCCCCCGCATGCCTTTTCTTCATACCATTGCGTTGTTTGCTATACTAATACCCAGTGCCAACGACAAGAATCCTCTACAATTGATCAGAAGGGCGTCACCAGGCTATCATTCTCTATGGTACAGGCCAGCCGGCAGCATGTCGGAGTTGGATCAATTCGAGACATTGTTGGCATGGAGTCGTTTTTGTCCACAACTGCGCGAGGTCCAGCTTTGCGGCGAGTTCCTATGGCGCAGGAGTGACGAGACGGATGCCTGGGCGAGGCGGGATATTGCCTGGGCAGGTTGTCGACTGACGGAATTCCCGCCCTGAATTTGACGAGAAACCAAGAGATCCCAGGTCGATGCAGGTCGATGGCAGTCGTGTATATCATGTTGAACTTGGTCCCGTACATCCTGAAGAGTTGAAAATTAGATGTGGAGCTTCAGGCAGTCGTGCGTAATCCATGGCAATACATAGTCTAGACATGATACAAGTAGCCACTGCTGCTATACATTTGACCGTGTCTTGCGATATCAAGCACAGTACAAGGCTAATGATCACGATAAAGCCCCAGTGGATCGATTACATCCACCCTCGTCCACCTATCTTGCTTGAGCCATGCTCGAAGTTGTACCACCAGCAGCGACGCAACTATCTGGTCTCTGCACAGAATGAGACTTCATTAGAGGCACAGAGACGGAAAACGTGGCCGAAGCGCACCGGATATCCATTGCTGCACGAGTCATGTGCAGGTGACCGAGGGTGTCCTTGGGGTCGGTACGGAGCGCACGACGCCGCGGCCCGTGATGGCTGGAGAAGCACCAGGCGATGGGCTCTAATCTGTCCGAGCCTACTTCGCCATAGCACTGCAAAATCCGAACGATCATGAATGGGAGACAAGCCGTTGTCGCTCCAAGCGTCCACATACTGCCACTTGTCCCGTACGGCTGGTCTTCCATAGATATTGGTGACCGTTGGCTTCGAATACGACACTATAAACGTTGACAACAGTGAGTAGCGACGCTCGAACGGCGCTTACTAGGATTTCGAGCCCATCTCCTTCAGCCAGCGGCTGATCCTCAGGGCCTTATGGCCTCGATCCCTCAGCACAACTCGATCGGGTAACTTCGCACGTTGTGACCTCGGTGATCATATACTGGTTCCGCGAACGAACGGTATACAGAGGGCGATCGGGAGAACCTTGCTGGTAGACAGTCGTGTTGCGCATGTTGTCAGGAGAGAAGACCAGGACATCAGCGCCCTGCACTAGCGGTCTGACGAGAGTGAGGTGCGAGGCCCCAAAGCATTGCAGCGTTATTTGAGATTCAGAAGCGAATTCGTTGGAGGCCATGATGTTTACCAGTTCCCTCGCATGCAGGGTGGACAGTGGTCTTTTATGTACCGTGGTGCACATTCCGCAGTTCCGAGGCATGCAATAAACATCCGATGCAGTTAACGGCTGGCTCGAGATACGTGTTCAAGCGGTGAACGATAACCATCGTAGATTGTTCAACAGCCATTTCATTCCGAGGTAGGCCGTGGACGCATGAGCCAGAACCGCGCGACACAGGTACAGTAGAATTCATCCCGTGACAAACTCTTGTTCTCTCGCAACGATGTCGACCAGGGGCCGCTCCCGCTCAAGATCTCCTGTCTACAGAGATGGCGACGTCGACATGGACAGGTCGCCCAAGGACGACAAACGGGACGCGAAGGTGGTCGTAGTCACCAACCTCACGCGCAATGTCGTCGAGGGCCATCTCAGCACCATCTTCGGCTTCTACGGCGAGCTCGTCAAAATCGACCTCCCTATGTTCGGCAAATGTATGTATACACTACCAGAACATCGTTGGGGAGTATGTGAACTGATAACTTGCGCTGTTAGCGGGCCAAAACAGAGGCAAAGCTGCCTTGGAATACGCAGACGCGGATGCAGCTCAGAAGGCCGCGTCGCACATGAACGGCGGCCAACTCGACGGCGCAGTCCTCAAAGTCGAGCTGTCCGACCTCCCTATACGTACCGGCCCCGGTCCCCGCGACCGCAGTCGCTCGCGCTCGCGCCCGCCGCCTCCACGCCGGCGCACGCCCCCGCCCCCGCCTCTACGCAATGGCCGCTACGCGCGCTCCCGCTCCCGCACGCGCTCGCTCACCCCGCCCCGCTACGCCCGCCGGTCTCCTCCGCCGCGGTACAACGACAACTTCCGCTCGCGTCAGTATGGCCGCCGGCCGCCAGCGCCGCCTCCGCCTCGGGCGCCTTACCACCGCCCGTACTCTCGCTCTCGCTCGCGGTCTCCAATACGCCGCGGCGACCGCATCGCGCCAAGGCGCCGCTCTCCCAGCTACGAGCGTGGCGGCTACGCACGCGGCAGGCCGCGCTCCAGGACCCCAAGCGACTACTCTGTCCGCTCGAGCCGCTCGCGTGCCCGCACGCCTTCGCGCTCGCGCTCGAGGTCTTACTCTTCTTACACGAGATACTCCAGGAGCAGATCTCGTTCGCGCTCTTACAGTCGGGGCAGGGGTAGGTCCGCAAGCAGGGAAAGCAGAGACGACATTCGGGATAGCAGATCCCGTTCTCCGGAGCCGCGCAGGGACTGATGCAGATGGTCCCCTCTAGTATGCTGCCTTTCTTGCTGCCCGCAAAATGCTAAAAGTACATCCCGACTGAGTCATTATGCATGTATGTACGCGCGTGCTCTATCGTCGTCAATCGCTTGCAGTTGAGTCATCGTCAGCTAAGAATGGCCTGTTGAGTGAACAATAATCAGCACGGAGTGGAAGTATGAGCAATGCTTCACTTACGTGTACTCGTAATCGTTACGGATAGCGTTGGACATCCATTCCTCGTCGGCTTCCTGCATGGAGAAGCCAGGGCCGCCCGCTAAGCTGAGGATGACAGGTAGCAGAACCAACCCGTGCAAAGCTCCGGATATTATCAGCGTCAACCACATTCTGAAGTAGTATATCTGAGCGCACGTCATTAGCGTGACCGTCGGCCAGATTTTCAGATACGGCCCACCTCGAGTAACTTAGATCGTGTCAAAGCCAGAACACACATCCCAATAAGCTTCGTGAATGTTATTCCGGAGAGTACCTTAACCAGGACGTGAGTACACGAGGATGTTGATGCCGGCACGGAACGACGTACCGAAGGTCCAACATCCACCAATGCAGTCCACATCCGCTCGTCTCTCTCCTTCTGGCCGGCTGGGTGATCAACAGGTAGCCCAGAACCAGCGCTCATAAACGCCCTCGCAATATGCGCGCAGAACTCCACCGCGATGCCGAGCGAAATGACGAGGTTCACCAAACTGATGGCATTCAGGCTGATGCCCCAGACGCCCATGACGCCCATGACGCTGGTCACCGTCAGGCCCACCACGCCTGTCACGATCGACCCCGTCCTCCACGAGCCGAGCAGCAGAGCCGTGACGAGCAACACACCGGCAAGGCCTAGCCCTAGTATCTCCTGCGTGATGGCGACGATGTGCGCGTACTGGTCGAAGAAGACGTAGTGGAGCGAGTACGGGAATACCTTCGTACCCGACTTTTCGGACAGCTCGTCGGCGATGCGGTGCGCCGCCGCGAACGAGTTGATGAAGTCCTCCTGCGACCGCAGCGGGGAGTGGAACGTCCGGAAGTGAGAAGCCTCAACGAAGTCGTCGTCCTCACTCAACGAGAGGGCCGCGCCGAATGAGGCTTTACCGGCGAGGGGGCAGTCGGCGTTGGTAGGCGACACCAACCACTGCTTCAGATAGTGCATGAATTCCCCGTCCTCGGGGAACCCGTCCATGGTGATGTTCCACGCCGGCGTCCTGCCCTTGAAGCACGGACGACAGAGTCTCGGCGAGTCCCTCTCCCCGCAGAACTGCGATGGATCGCGTATGCGCACCCGACAGCACTCTTCATTCAAGGGATTGAGCCAGTTGAGGAAGTCGTCGATCCAGGACGCGGTTGGTTCGGAGATGAACGACGACGAGGGGCGTTTACGCTCCGCTTCGAGGACGTTGGCTATAGAAAAGTCATTGCAGGTCGTGAAGCGGCCGCAGAGCTTCTGTTGGCCGGGACGGGCAGTGACGTTGGTATCGTAGCTCACGAAGTAGACGGGCGGGCCTATGTCCAGGTAGGCTTCGAGGTTATCGAAGTAAGGAACGAGATATGAGTCGGAGGGTAGTGCGAGTCGTTGATCTGCGTATATGTCAATACCGGATAATATACCAGCAGATGATACGACGAACCAAGACCCAGCTGGAGATGCTGAATGGATATAACTGACAGCACGAACACGCCCGCGAAGGACAAGAGTACAGAGCCCTTGACAATTGGCTTGAGTAGGAACGGCGCGTAGTGCCTCCTGATGAACTTTCCTATCCGTCCCAAACCGCTTCCACTTGGCGGAGCGTCCAGTAGCGCGATCCTGGGAGGAAGCCGGATGCAAGGGAGGCAATCCACACGACTGGCCTGCACAACGATCAGTCGGGATGAGAACGTGATCTCACGGTCGAACGTGCATATGATCGACGTACCTCCACTCTCCGCAGGTCCAGTACCAACGCGCTCACAAAGACGGTCACTTGCAAGAACGCGTTGAGCATTACACTGCCGGCTGCATACAGCGCGAAGTTGCGAACTGCCGGCATGGGCACCAGCGCACCGAGCGCGAAGGCCACCGTCTCCGTGATCGTGGATAGTAGAATAGACGGCCCCATCTTCGCAAGCGCCCGTGCTACACGCTCCTCAGGGGAGAGGAAGAGAGGGGTTGATTGCGCATCAATGGCATCATCCGTCGAGGGATCAACAACCATGCGCCGTCCTCCGAATCCAGCGAAAGGTTGAGTCGGCGACAGCGACATCGTAGGCGAGCCAGGTACGGGAGCGTCGTCCGCACCAGCCAGCGCAGACGCATTCGGTCCATGGAGGAGGTTCTGCCGATCGAGCTCGTGCACGAGGATGAAGACGTTGTCGACACCGACGGCGAGTACGAGGAAGGGGATCACCTCCGCGATGATGAGCGTCGTCTTCACGCCCGCTAGCGAGAAGAACCCGACCGAAGACGAGACCGAGAGCACGACAAGGACGATGCCAAAGAGACCGAGAGTGAACTTGGAGTTGACAAACAGGCTGCGCGGGAGGCGGGGGAGCAGGGTTGGCGGGTAGCCGTCGTCATCGGTGGATGAGGTCGCAACGGAGGAGCCGCGGAACAGCTTGGGGAGTCCGCGCGCCCATCTATTAAGCGATGCCCACACGCCATCTTCTTTCTGACCAGAGGAGTTCGCACCGAGGGTGAACGCGACGTAGAAGAACATCGCTACGTAGGATAGTACGACGATGCGCACGTCCGTGTTGGAGCTCTTGCTGATCTCTTCTTCCAATGATACGCCGGTTGTCCAGGCTATCTCCAATCCTGCCTCCTCGCGCGCTTTGGCCGGAACGCTCTCCATGTACTCTCTCAATGTAGTTTCCCATTCCATCGCCCTCGCCTGTACCTCCGGGTCCAAGGAATCAGACACCACATAATTGATGACCATTGCCTCCGCTCCAAGGTAATCCTTCCCATCCGCTCCCTCCTTGCCCGGCACTTTACCCAACACGTACTGAGGCGCCAACGGCTGCCCGAACTCCGGGAGACAGTCAACCGGCGAATTCGCGCACTTCAGCAGCTGCTCCTTCCACGTGTCTTCATCGTACATCGACAAGTCGTTGTCAAACCACGCGAGTACGCTCTGCACCACGCAGGCCGTGTCCGTCGGTTTGAAGCAGACATCGTCGAGGGTGTAGTTGTGCGGATGGGAGTGGAGGGCACGAATGTCGGACTCGATGTTGGCCCAGTACTTGAGGTGATCCCATGAAAGCACGGGTGGCTTCGCGGTGGTGCCATCCGATGCTATGTTGGACGTCGCGGTGACGAACATCTGTTCCGTCCGATAGAACGGGCCGAAGTGCTCATCAAAGTACTCCTTCTGTATCCTGCTCTCGCTATTCGGCGCGACCCATAGTCTTACGGGGTCGGTTTCCACACTGAAATCTTTCCAACCGACGTTGAGCAGCCCCACAATCGCGAAAATCATCGCGAATGTAAGCCATGGGTACGAAGCGCACGAAAGCCCAAGACGGTAGAATGATCGGCGGAGAAAGGTATTAAGGCGGTGCTGTCGAGGTTGGACGGTCTCTAGCGGATCGAGGAGGGATGCGCCGCGTCCGAGATGACGAGACTCGGAGCGAGCGGTGGCTACCGAATCGTCGCCGTCGACGCCGGAAGCTTGCGCCAGAGATGAGGCCCCAACGAGGTGGCGCACATGTGCACGGGGTGAGAGGGGCGTATCAATAGACGATCCCTGGTCTTGTGCGAGGGTGATTCCGATGCCATCGTACGCCTTCTCTCTCCGGCGGCGGATTGTGAGCTGGAGGACGTATGTGGCAAAAAAGGCCGCGACAGCCAGCGCGTAGCCCAATGTGAGAACGAAGGTAAGGCAGGATATTGTGCCTACGTGGCAAGTAGGCTCGCTGCCTGGAGCGGGCACGTCGGGAAGAGGGAGGCAAACATCCGGGCAGTCGATGCATGTGCATCTACTGCTGAGATCGTTGTCGGCACAATTACGAGGAGTGGCGTTGAAGGCCGCGAATGGAGGAGGGGTATACGAGGGATAGTTGATCTGGAAAGGTGAACCGAGATCCTTCTCGTCGCCAAGGAACTTGAGGAAACCTTTATAGTCCTTTGCGCCTCCGCCAATGAGATCCATGGCCCAGCTGTTCGCGGATCCCACTTGGACATTCTTGCAGCTATCGAAGAAGCCCTCCGAAAAGCGCTGTGACGCGTAGAAGTCGAGCTCCTTCACGGCCGTCTGCCCAGTGCGGGTCTTCTGCGTCGCAGTAATGTTCACAAACGAGGCTTGCGTGGGCGAGCAGGTGAAGTGGCAGAAGAAAGACCGGAAATTGTTTCGACAGGCGGGGCATGACGAGATTATGGGCTCGACTTGCTGGAGATTATCCCGGAGCGTTTCGAGCTGGTCCGAGGTACAGCATACAGGCCCTTGGGCTAAGTCTGCACCACAAACTGAGGTAAGGAGTTCAAGGGTATCGGAGTCTTCGGGCTTTCAACAATGTGTCAATTACTTCAGACTTGCAAAAACTGTTCACGCACCTCTGAGGGAGGACCGTCGTATGGGCAAGGTAAAGGCTTGCCGAACCAGCCTTTGGATCCGCAGGAGCCGCGCATGGCGCATTGGCCCACAGAGGGCATCCATTCCGGTGACTCCATGTTGCAGAGACCTGCCCCTGCCAAGGAGATTTGTAGCTAGTCGCCCTGAAGGATGTTGTGGACGGCAATAATAACGAACAAGCACTGGCAGCAAGGCGCAGCTCCCTCTGTCGGTGACGCGCGCGACTCATGGCACGATTCGGTATGAGTCACGTGCAGCAACGCTCTTGAGAACGTGACGAAACGCGTAGTACTCGGACTCCCGGCATGACCACAACGAGCACATCCGCGAAAGAGGAGGCATGGTGAAGGTATTAAAGCAGGGTACGTGCGTGATCTCATATTTTCAGCACTCTTGCATTGACCACGCTCGCTTACCACGACAATCCTTACATCAACGCGATGCCTTTCGCCCTCTTCACCAAGGTTCGGCCCACCGCTGCCTTCGGACGTCGCGTCCTTGGCTTCTGCGCTAGAGTGATCTCTGTCCGCAACAAAGATGTTGCTGAAAACACCGAAGATTGCTGTGACTTTCCCGAGTCGTTCGGACCTATCGTAACCGAAGAGCCTTGCGTCACCCCCTATGTGACGTCCACTAGGGTAAGCGAGACTCGACCCTCATTCTGTTACATCTCTCACACCTCCCGTACCAACCTAGATCGAACATATAAATCAAGTGAAGAAGTCCGACAACGATGATGTACGTGTTACGATACCATGGTCCAACCTGATATACTGAACTTGCGGTATCAGGCGACTCTTCAGGCTGACACTTGCAGAACGCTCGTCGGCGCCAACCATTCCATCGTTAGTCCTTCCAAGGACTGTTCTCCGGCTCCGCGCCCTTCTGCGCGCAAACGCGTGTCTGCTCTTGCTCCCGGGCCGCGTTCGCCTCCTAGACCTAGCTCCATGAGGCTGCGCGCGTCTCTCCCTCCCCAATGGCGCTACTCTGGTTCCAAGGAGGCCGTCCTCGTTCGTAACGCCTGGAGAAAGGATCTTGCCTCCCAGGCGCAACCTCAATCGATGCCTCGCAAGGTCGTGGTCAAGGCTAAGGCTTGTCCGGCGAAACCGCCTCCTGCCGACAAGGTTAACATCGCGACCTCTAAGCGTCGCGCCCCTTCGCCGCGCCTCGTCCCCCTCGCCCAACTCGTGACGAAGAAAAACCAATCCACGCCTCTCATCTCGGAATTTCGTACGAACATGGATAAAGCGCGCGCAGCGACCGACTCCTCCCGCTTCTCATCGCATGTCGACGAGAATGTGCGGCCTGTTCGGTGAGCGATCTTCCTGCCTCTGATTTATGTAGCGATGCTCACAGTCCGATTCTTACAGCCGTACCGCCCGCCAGCCTGCGAAGCGTCGCTGATCGACTGCTACTCCAAGAAGCTCGGCATGATCGTCGTCCCCCAGATTGACCCTGGCCATGTCTCTGTCTCCGTTTCGCCGCCACCAAAGCACCTCTGGTTTTGGTCATTATCTCCGTCTCCGTCTCGTACCTTCATCTCGCCGTGAAACTGTAGCTCCATTGGATCAAATCTAGCTCGTGGTCTTCATATCTCAAATTTTGTCTCTGTCTCTCCGTCTCAGCCGTGACCTGCCTTATAATCCCCCCCTCTGTACCCTCGGACCTTGTATATCGCATCGGAACCGCAGTTTCATGTAGTACAAGAAATGCACACTATGATTCTCTAGCGCGTTTATCTGAAATTGCCAAACGATACTCCCGTGTAGTCGTCATCTTATGAATCATGCTCGCCGGAGGCTACATGAAGGGTACTTGTTCTGACATACGTATCGTACAATGTGAGCTATCGGAAGCGGCAAATGCAGCAAATCAACCTCCAGAGCAATGGTAAGGAGATCATGCAGAGCGCGAAGGATCAGTGTACTGATACGACGCCCAGGAGAGCAAAAGACAGGAGCAGGTTACTTGAACAACCGGTCATCGTTGCCGGTTATCGTCATCAAGGAGCTGGTTTTCATTCAGATGTTGTAATAGTCTTCGAGCGTTGATGATACGAAAGGGAGTGTGAACGAAGAGGTAGGATGTCTTTCCTCGCCAAAGAGACCAGGCTCTGATGGTCCGGCGTCAAACCCATGATCGTGCACGAGACGATGTACATACCATCTGGGTTCACCTGTTCGAGCGTTATGTTCCACTCGCGACAAAGGCACACGAGTTTCAACGGCGCTTGGCCGACTACCTTCGCCAAGAGTTGTGCGCCCTCGCGCCTGCTTGCTACGAGGTCCAGTCGGGCTTCGAGGCACCTCCCCATTTCCTCGGCGCTGCGGAAGAAGCACTCCAAATTACTCGATGTTGCGTCCGCCCTTAGCGCAATGAACACCTCCAGTGACGCAGGCATGCTCACCACGCCAAAGGGTGGTTCACTGAAGTGGATGGGCCCGAGTACAAGGCGACGCAGCACTGTGAACGCCGCGAGGTCCAGCTCGCGGGCGACGCAGAGCTCGTCCAAGCCGATCAGAGTAAGCTCCTTCAGCGTGCGGGAATACGACTGGATGGACTGAATGAGCGCGCCAACGTAGCAACGACTTCCTACCAGCTCGATTTTCTCCAGCATGGGAAGCGCCTTAGATGGTGGCACGGCATGTTCGAAGAAGACGTCCGAGATTGCGCGCCAAATGCGCAGGGTCCGGAGGGCGGGCATGGCCGGGAGCTGGACATGGTCCAGGCCACAGAAGTCAGCGAGGGCGAGCTCCTCTAGGTGCTGCAGTTTGGCGGTGGCCACAGAGCCCGCGTCAGACTCAACCGTGAGCACGAGCTTGTCGGAGAGCGAGCACCATTGACAGCCGAAAAGCGCGAGCCGGCGCAAACGAGATACGTAGATCGAGGATGCGCACGTATCACCAGGAGTGCAAGAAATTGAACCCCCACTTTTACGACATTCTCTCCGCGTGCAGAGTGATCGAATCCGTTTGTTTGCGCTCGCGCCGTTACACGCACTTGTCCCGTAGAACGTCGTTCCCTAGAACGCACTCGTTCCCTCCCGTCATCGACGCGCTCGTGCACGACTACAACTGATGAACGGCACGCGGTCTGCTAGCCTGAGGCTGGGCTCTGGCTCGAGTGGAGGCTCAACGACCACAAGCGTGCGCACGAGACGCGCTAGATCCTGACGGGAGGTGACAGTACGCGTGAAAAGCTTCACCGCGTGAGGGGAAGCCAGGAACGGCTCGGAGTATAGTGTGGCAATCCCTGCGAGATACCAGCCCTTGCAAACGCGGAGAAGGGAAAGAAGCTCGGCCTGGTTGAGCGCAGCCGTGCACGCGTCCGGCGAGCCCCCCGACTTTGAGAGCCAGTGGTCGCCAGCTTGCCAGCGGTTGAGAGCGTGCACCTGTGCGAGGATAAGGAGGGTGACTTCGGGCGGCAGTAGGCTGCAGAGCGAGTACGTAGGCGCTTCTGCGCGCGGTTTTCTGAACCACAGCAGCAAAGATGGCATATTCGGCTTCTGAGCAAGATCAGATCGTCAGGTCAGGTATCATGGGCATATATGGAGCAGAGAAACGCACGACTTGGGGCTTTGACATGACAGCTGTTTGCAGAGAGCTGCGCGTTTCTCTCTCCATGATCAACGTGACCGTGGTAACTGCCGCATTAGGAAACTTAGCACATCCCGCGCCCAATACTGCCCCAGCAGTGCGCCTCCTTCCGCTCTTTCACGATTGTTCACATTTTAAACTCTGCTTGGCGGGCTCCCCGTTGCTCGATATGATGGCAGCAATAGGGCTCGCTTGGGTTTACTCTCTTCATGTGGATCAATTTTTCACGAAACAGATTGCTGAGACTTGTTGGCTAAGGTCATCCATGAAAGCGAGCATATGTGATATGGAGTGCATTCCGATGATTTCCCGGTCTCGGCTTCGCAAATCTTCGATTTATAGACATGTATCGCAGCAGCTCTTTTGAGCAGGATGGATGTAACGACGGTTACCCACGTCGCTGTCGGCGTGCAGTGCCGTGCACCATGTAGTCGAGCACGACACTGACCACGACATTGATGACTAAACTCGTTCCTCTTTTGGAAGTCTCCACGACCACGTTGATTGTGGAGGGAGCGAGGCGCAGCGTCTATCACGGCGGTGGGTCTGCGATTCTGACAAAAGGTGGATTTATAACCGTAGGAAAACGTGAATTTAAAGATTGGTCGCGGCTCCATGACCTATTCGTTTTCGTGTTAGTATTGTATTATGTAAGCGCTCTCCACCAATCAGAGCCCGAAGACAGCATAAAAACGAGACTATAATTTGAAGTCTAGGTAAGTTAGAGGCGACGGACCAATTTTCAAGTTCTCGTTTCACCATGGATAAAAATTCGTCTTTTGCCGGAACCCTGATCCCACCGCCGTGTATCATCTCTCTGCAACACAGCTGGAATGCAGCAACATCAGGTCTGTTCACGATACAGCTCCTCGAGTCCGTGATCGACCGGCCGTCTTCGGCACACTTATGTACACAGCCAAGCCATCCGCATTCGTCAATGGAGCTCAGTACAAGTGACATTGCAAGCTCAAATTGGGGGACGATTTACGGACATTTCCCAATCCCTCTACATGGCTCGCTGACGGCCAGGACGAGCTTGATCTTGGGAATCTCAAGCTTTATTGTGAACGGACCTACTATGGATGTACCATCAATGCAATTTCGATTGCATTGATGGATGAAAATCGTCATTTCTTTGCTAATCTACCCAGAAACTAGATCATATGGTAGCTGAAACCTTGCAGCAGCTGTATGTCAAGCCTCAAATATTTTGGTACGCGGGATGCCTTGCCAGAACGATGCCGGTAGGACGTGTCGATGACTCTGCAGATTGCACAAGAAGCCGAGGCCGCCACCTTCTGGCGGGGAGCTCCTGCAAACTGACCCTGCTTTGTCAGCATTTGAAGCGGAGCTTTGATTGCATTCATGGCACCTCCGCCAGTAATCCTTGCATAGCAAGCATGAAGTTGCACATATCACGTATCGGGATAGACAGACATACCTTCCATGTAGTATAGAGTATACTTGAATATATTCAGACCCAGTCCTAAGTCAAACAGCATGATAGCTCTGCACACGTGAACATGGAAAGCGCCCACCGGTCCTACGACCGGTCTCTTCCGCGCCTTCTCCGACGTCTGCATTCATGCTGCCATTCTCAACAATTGCATCGAAACATTCTGTCTCTCACCACTAGCCGCGGAACACCGACTTGCATCAGAGGCATGCTATGTTACGACTTCCCATCAATGCGTAACTCTTCACCTTCATATCCGCAACGCGAACACGACCTTCAATCGGCCGCGGACAGCAATGTGTGTTTTTGTTGCTGTCCTTGTTGTTCTTTCGCCTTGCCAAAACCGGGCGACCGCGGGTCAAATACCGGCACGACAATAATAAGCTCCAACTTCCAGCGATAATCGATCCCAGGGGCCCATGATCTCATGCGCGTGCTTCTGCGAGTGAAGAAGCGCAATCCCGGCACCCCACCGCCGCAGGAATGCAGTCGCCCTTGTACATGACCTATTGTCTTAGACAACGTCTGGCTTCTGCGTCCCGTCGCTAGGCTCCGCAATGGCTCCGGTCGCTTTTTGTTCTCCCGCGGACGCGACTTCGAGAGGCTCGACATTAAGGTTATATAGGGAGCGCTCTTCGGGACCAAAGCTGCAACGACGACCGGCACCCGGAGGACAGAGGCTATAATCGAGCGGATCCCCTCTCTCCACGGCGTCACTCTCCATCTCCGCAATCCCCCTCCTCCAGGAAGTCCAGGTCGCGTGCAGAGGCGCGCTCGTTTGTGCGACGGCGCCCCAGTTCTTCCCCGACGGTTTATAGCCCTTCCCCCTTCGATTGCTTGCGGAGTCACACCAGGGCTGCGCGCACACGCTCACGTACACGTTGCCAGCCAGCGGTCCGACGATCCTCCACGCTTCAGGCCTATATTCTACCTTTCATCGTCGCAACGTCAGACAGACGATCGTTCCCGATCGTCCAACACCAAGAGTGTCTCAAACCTAAAACCGCGCCACGCCACGCCCCCCGACCGGACGCGCTCGTCCATTCGCGCCACGCCGCTCGACGTAATAGACTCAGAAGCCGATCCGAACACCGTCACAACCTCGGAACGCATCCCCCGCTTCTAGCCCGCGCCGCGCTGGGTTCTGTCATCTGGTTCCGGATCTATTTCTACCGCCTCCAACACGGGGACCGCCGACATATAACCTTCACCTTACAACGACCCCCATTCTCCTCCTCCTCCACGTCGTTCACATACTTTTCCTGTCCTCTTTCTCTGCCTTTTTGCCTTCTTTGCCTTTCGCATCACCCGCACGCCGTCAGCACAACCACCCACGCAACATACCTCGTTACGCCAAGACATACATAATTTACAAAAATCATGACGACGATCACCACTACCACCAGGACCGAGACAACGTTAGGACGAAGGGGCCCAAGCCGACCGGGCACAGCGCAGTCGGCCGTGTCGGTCTACCCCGTTCCGCCGCCAACGTCCAACACGCTCACCGGCGCCCAACGCGCGCGTCTGGTGCGCTCCGCGAACAAGATCGGGCGCGTGCTCGGGAGCACGCCGCGCCTCGTCGATTTCGATGGTCGGTTTTCCTCGCCACCTCCCTTCCTCCCTGTCCTCAGATCCGCTCACCAAAACCCCTTATTTTTTGTTGTTTTTTCTTTTGGGCTGTATAGAATCGACGGTGTCGCAAGGTCACAGGCGGCACGCGACGACGACGAGCTCGCGGAGGTATCCGCGCACGCCTGTACCGGGCGCCGCCGGCGCGCGGTTCAACACCGTGATCGACGTCGGGGGCGGATCGTCGCGCGCGCACTCGAGGACCGGGTCCGCGTCTTCTACCGCGTCCTCGTCCTCCGCCTGGTCTGCCAGCGCCGCGTCCGCGTCCTCGCGGACCGCCGAGACGTCCGTGTCGTCGTCGTCCCTGTTCTCCGTGTCGCCCGCAGAGGAGGAGCTGATGTCCGAGTTTGGCGAGCTCACGACGGATGCGACGACGACGGAGACGTGGAGGACGAGGCATGCGAGCCCGACGGAGCGTAGGCCGCCGTTGTTGAGGCTGGCGCTCGGGCTTCGCGCGCGCGCGCCGGTCGGGTCGAGGTCGGGGAGGGCCGCGGCGGCGGCTGTGAGGCCCGGGTTGGCGACCGTGCCGGCGTCGCCGTTGTTTGCGATGGATGGAGAGCCAGAGGAGGGGGAGGGGGAGGAGGGGGTGGGGGCGGTCGAGGCGCCGACGTTTAGGATACGAACGGAGGCGAGCGAGAGGAGGGCGAAGATGGAGAGGGTGAGGAGGCTGTTGGGCGAGTGCGTGCCGGTCGAGCTCGTGTTTCCGACGCGGGAGGAAGGGGACGACGACGGGCCGGATAGTCCGTCGACGGACTCGTCGTCGGAGAAGGTGGAGGTGAGGGTGACGAGGAACGGCGACGCGCGGTGCGTGAGGCGCCGCGGGGGTGGTGCGGAGAAGTGGACGTTGGAGGCGATCGAGGAGTGTGCCGGGGAGGATGATCGCCGCCGCGGGCGGCCCTGAGCTGCACGACAAGGAGAAGCGCGAAGGTGTGAGGATTGGCACTTGGAACGCGGGCCAGGCGCGGAGGCGGGATCTCAGGCTCGGGGGCGTTATCAGGGGCCTGAAGGCGTGAATAGACGCGGCAGAGCACGGATAGGCGCGGATCCCCTCCGTTTTTTTGATTTTGCTTCGCGGCGGGAGTTGCTCGGACGTTCATAGCACGGCGTTCTTCGCGATTAGCCGGACGCGATAGCATGTTTTGACTCTTCGGTCGCTGTGGGACTGGTTCCGCAAAGTTTGTTCGCTTATTGATAGCCAAGACGATTTATTGAACGGTTGTGTTATGTATTTCTTTCTCTATCTTATCGTATGTAGTACGTCTAATTATACCGCGCGACGATCGGTTTGAGCCTCGTAAAGCGCTTCGCTAGACCGTCGCCCCCCTCCGGAATCGCGATGCGAGCCAAAGGGAGAATTTGAAAGGCGGAAGGATGATGCCATGCGTCCCCATTGGCATCCGCCTCCCTGGACGTCGGCTGGGTGCCAAAGCGCTCCACAGTGCGCTGTTCGGGGTGCGAACCGGGATAGGGCTGCCGCTTCCCGCCGCGTTCGTCGAGTTCGGAAGGGTCACAGCCTGTGCTCGCGAAACCCGCCGATGACGAGATAGATAACGAGCGTGAAAGAGCAAGGGAGAGCGAGCCGGTCCCACTCCTGCCCCAGAGCTTTTTCGATTTCGATCACGATCAACAACATACAACCGTCGGCGTTCGTCCTCGTTATACCCCGCTCCTATCTTCGCCCATCCACTCCCCCCCTCTCTGTGTAATCCCTATCTCACCTAATCACTCGATCCGCCGTGCAACGGTCCTCCACCCCCGCATCAACAAAAAGTTTTGCCCACAGCGGCGCTTTGATAGCCAGCCCGCAGAATTTCCACACTCCGACGACGTCAGGGCCCAGGAGTTTGCGCATCATCAAAGCCCGCCCGCCATGCTCAAGTTCTGGCCGCAGAGCCCGCCGCCCGATCCGCAGATGACGCCCCGCGTGGGCGTCGACGGCAAGGAGTGAGTGGTCAGCTCGGGTCGCCAGAGCCACGACGGAGCTGATGGGTCGGTTTGGCAGGAAGAATCCGTTCGACGTGCCACCGCCGAGCGAGGCCGGGCTGAACAAGGTGAGTAAAGAGCCCGGGGCGGACAGAGGCGCCTAGGCCCTCGCGCCTCTTCCACTGTCGTAACACCGCACGCACGCCTCCTTCTCCCTACGCCCTTTCCATTGGCCCCCCCTTCCGTTTCATTTCATCTCCCCCTCCTCTCTTTCTCCCCGGCCATTAATGGTCCGATGCCCACCCCCGCCACGCACGGCACTGACACCGCCCTCCTCCGCTCGCAGGTCCAGCAGCTCGCCTCGCCCGCCGCTTTCGCCGGCACCCCTACCTCGCCTTACCACCACCACCTCCTCGCGCGCCCTACCCCGTCGATCAGCACCACCAGCACCACCACCGCGGGCGACCTCACCCCGCTCGGCGCACCGCCGTCCCCCAGCGCCGCTACGTTCGCCGCCGCCCTGCCCACCACCTCGCTCTCGCTCCATGCGCCCGAGTTCAAGATGCGCCCGCCGCCCGCGAACCGCGCCGCCATCAACAAGGCCCAGGAGGCCCTCAACACCGCTACCGGCACGCTCGCATCTGCCGTCCATCACCAACAGCAGCAACACCCTCACTCCAAGCTAAGGAGCGACGGCGCTCGACTCGACTCCGCTCCCCCGTCGCCTACGACGAGCGTCGCGTCTGCGACGACGACGAACGCGAACGGGAACGGGCTTAACGACGCTCTGGCGCCCTTGAACGGCGCCTCCGCAGCATCCTCCGCGAACGGCACGTCGTCGACCTCGTCGCGCGGCCAGATCCACGTCAAGGTGCTCTCCGCCCGCGGGCTGAACGTGCAGTCCCCCCGCGCGCGGCCGTACGTGGTCGTCCAGTTTGAGCAGAACGAGTTCATCTCGCGCGACCCGATCGAGGAGACGGAGAAGGAGATCAAGGGCACCGCCGTCCCGACCGGCACCGTCTCCCGCGTCGGCTCGGCGACCGCGCTCTCGGCGCTCGCCGCGATCAACAGCAAGAGCCACGGGCTCGCGATGAAGAGCGCCGCCGCGAGCGGGAAGAAGGACAAGGACAAGGACGGCGGCGCGGGGAGCGCGCCGTCGAGCGTCGGGTCGTCGGCAAAGTCGACTTTGGCGCCGTCGACGGACGGGAGTCAGGCCGGCACGGGCACGTCGTCTCGCACGTCGTCCGGCTCGTCGACCGCGTCCCGCCGCTCGGGCCTCGAGATGAGCCTCGGCCGGATGCCGGCGCATAACCCGGTCTGGAAGCACGAGGTGTCCTTGTGAGTAGTAGTCTCTCCTGTCTTGTGTCTCTTTCCGCCTATCTGGCTCTTCCGTGTTCCGATGTTTCGTCGTGCGCGAGTGGGCCGGATCTCAGGCTACACGTTGATCGTTGCCACCATGCGCGGTGCGCTCGGTTCGCGTATTACATATCGCTTGCGCTTTCTTTTCTGCGCTTAGCAATGGCGCTTTTCCCCACATACCGCACACCATCGTCCCCGCAACTCCCACCCTCCCCTACGATCATCTGACACCATTCCGTCCTGACCTCTGCATCTCACCGGATACTCATGATGTTTCACACCTCGCAGCGACGTCACATCGGAACAGTCTTATATTACGTTTACGGTATATGACCGTGCGGTCGAAGACCACTTCTTCCTCGGCCGCGTGCAGATCAAGCCCGTGCTCAAGCACGATCACACCGTCGACCAGTGGTACAAGTGAGTCTTTTCTGCTTTGACCGTCTATCATCACCTATTCCTCCCGCGCCATCCCGAGTTCCGCCCGCGCGACCCCCCAAATCTATTTCCATCTTCATGAAGGAGGGGGGAGGGTTGTCTTCTTCTGTGCCGCGCGCGTGCCCTTCCGCTCCACAGATCTGCCCCCCCCCCTCCCCCCGGGCCCGGGAGAGATGGGAACGTCGGCGAAGCGCACCGGGCACGTGGCGGCTTCTTTTCCAGATGCGGTGGGCCCCCATTAAATCGGGTGCGGACCAACCGGCCCATCCCGGTCGCATCTTTTCTTCCCTTCTCAGAGGGCTTCCTTTTCCCCCCCAAAGCATTGCGTGGCTTTGAGCGAGCCGGTTATTTTTTTCTTTCTTTTGCTTTGCTCTTTCCCACCCCGTTTGTGTGGTCCGCAGTGATGCGGGGACCTTCGGGTCTGGGCCCCGCGGCCTTGTGGAAGCAGACCGGACCTGGGCGCCGGAGTTCCGAGAGTCTTGTCTCTTGGTCACCGCCGGCGTGTTGGATCTCTCCTCGGATGCTCGGCGTTTAGCCATTCGTGTGGTCCCGAAATTCTGACTCGCTTGGCTCTGGCGCAGGTTGCAGGCGACGGGAGATGAGGCCGTCACGGGCGAGATGCGCATACAAGTCCGGTTCGAGCAGTTCAAGGTTCGTCGGCGCTCGTTCCGCTGCGGGCAACGGGGGGAAAAAGCTGACCATCGACGTTTTCTGCGGCCGCGTCTCATTGTTGGATCCGCACAGAACAAGCGCGCGCTGACCCCGCGTGACTTTGAGTTCCTGAAGCTCATCGGGCGCGGCACGTTCGGGCGCGTGTTCCAGGTGCGGAAGAAGGACACGAAGCGGATTTACGCGATGAAGGTCCTGTCGAAGAAGGAGATCGTCGCGAAGAAGGAGGTCGCGCATACCATCGGCGAGCGCAAGATCCTCCAGCGCTCGCTCGAGTGCCCGTTCCTCGTCGGCCTCAAGTTTAGCTTCCAGACCGAGGTCGACCTCTACCTCGTCACGGACTTCAAGAGCGGCGGAGAGCTGTTTTGGCATTTGCAGCGCGAGACGCGGTTCTCGGAGGAGCGCGCGAGGTTTTATATCGCCGAGCTCATTTTGGCGCTGGAGCATCTGCACAAATACGATATCGTCTATCGGTGGGTGATTTTTTTTTTTTTGGCGAGACTCCGAGGCGGAGAGCGATGCTGAACCGATGGTGTCACCCAGGGATCTGAAACCGGAAAACATCCTGCTCGACGCGACGGGCCACGTCGCGCTGTGCGATTTTGGGCTGTCCAAGGCGGACCTGCGCTCGGACGAGCTGACGAACACGTTCTGCGGCACGACCGAGTACCTCGCGCCGGAGGTGCTCCTGGACGAGCACGGTTATTCGAAGCTTGTCGACTTTTGGTCGCTCGGCGTGCTGCTGTTCGAGATGTGTTGCGGCTGGAGCCCGTTTTATGCCGAGGACACGCAGCAGATGTATCGCAACATATGCTTTGGGAAGATCCGGTTCCCGAAGGGGGTGATATGCGAGGATGGGAAGATGTTTGTCAAAGGGGTGAGTTGCGCTTTCTGCAAGTACGTGGTGGGGGAGGTGTGGATTGACGGGCGATTCGTAGCTCTTGAACCGGAATCCGAAGCACCGGCTCGGCGCCCAGCGCGATGCGGCCGAGCTGAAGGAGCACCCGTTCTTCAAATCGATCGACTGGCGCGCGCTCGCGCTCAAGCAGGTCACGCCGCCGTTCAAGCCGATCGTCGAGTCGGACGAGTCCGTGGCCAACTTTGACAACGAGTTCACGTCGGTCGACGTCAGGGAGATGGTCGACGGCGAGGCGTGGGACGAGGACGACCCGTCGGAGGCGTGGACGTCGCCGTCGTCGCTCACGCCCGGCTCGCACACGCCGAACGGCCCGCTCGGCTCGGATTTGGGCAGTCGCCCGTCGTCCGCCGCGGCGCGCACGCCGGCGGCCCCCGCCCCCGCCCCCACTCCCGCCGCCGCCGCCGCCGCCCCGACGCAGAAGGCGAACGGGGCGGGGCCGAACGTGATCGAGATCAAGAGCACGAAGCGGAGGGCGCGCGAGGCGGCGACGAGCCCGCCGCTGACGAGCAGCGTGCAGGAGCAGTTTACGGGGTTCACGTTTAGCGGAGGGGAGAGCTTTGTGGGCGGGAGGGAGCGGCACGAGGCGGACGCGGCGGCGGCCGAGGACGAGGACGAGCAGGCGGTGGAGGACGAGGACGGGAACGAGCCGACGACGGAGGACGAGGCGTGGGACGACGAGCGGCACGCGGGGAGGTATGCGAACGCGAGGCGGAAGGGCGCGTTGGACGGGCTGGACGACGTCGATCCGGAGTTATGAGGGAAGTACGAAAGCCCGTTCGGGGAGGAAGACCAAGAAGAAGCCGGCCAAACGCCAGAAGAAGAAGACATTACGACGCATTCTTTTTAATGAATGCCGGCGCGGTCGTCGGCCTGACACCAGCGTCGAGCAAATAACGTATCTTGGTCCAGCCTCTTTTTTTCTTTCTCTCTTTCTTTTGCCCCTCTTCCAAATTTCATATGGACCGGATCGAACATGCAATTCACGGCACAAACTTAACCCATCCTGTATGCGTTTTAACCAATTGTCTCCCAGTCCGTTCTTCTTCCTTCAACCCTTCCCTTCACCATAGTCAATCAATACGGTAGCAAGTGTGCTGTAGTAAAGTGTGTAATTAAATGTAGGAATATATGTGCTGCAGCCTGCCAAGCAAAGGGTTACGGCTTCAATAACTTTGCGACATCGAACGCAGAAACTTGACAGGAGGACCCCGGAAACCAGAGGCAACCCAACCACATTCGCGACTCCGACGATAGCTGTGCCTTGGACTACTTCTTCGATCTACGTGATGTATAAGCATGGTCATGCAACAAGCAATCATACAAGGCTACGTTCTACGAGAGGGACCTGCCAGACGCCTCCTGAGAAGTGTTGCCAGCGTGAAATTGTAGCGCCACCATCGGACCTTCGCCCCGACAGAGACTCTCCTGACGAACGTGCACTCGAGTCGTGATAAAACCCCCACCGAAAGACACGTATTACGCCCTATAAAATATGACTGACACGTAGGGCCTCCGTAGTATATAAGTAGAGTACAAAGGATCATGTACTCTAGCTTTCTCCTGCGCACTCAACGAGACTTACCCCGGTCTATTGTGTGAACTCTGAGGAACTCTAACCGTGTGACTACACTTCGCTTACAAAGCTTACCCGTCGTCACAGAAATGCTGTCGCAGTCACCGTCAAAGCTGCACGTTTCACCCCGTTCACGGTCTGAGTCCCGCTCGCACTCGCCAATCCTGCTTGTTGTTGCGTACGCTTCCTGCTGCACGGATCAACAGCTGTGTTTGACGCTTGTGTAGCATCTGTCAGAATGCCAGAGAGGATATGAAATGTGGAAACACTGATATTCGTCCAGGGAGATTAGTGAATCCTCGGCAAGAGAGGAGGGAAGATCCTTCCGAAGAGGAGCATCAGAGAAGTATGCGTCGAAGTGAAGCTTGATCTTACGAAAACGTACTCGCAGCAAGACCCTGAGAGGATTGACAAGCTCTGTCGAGTTGTAAGTGAGCCTCGACATCGACATCGATGCCTTTAACATAAACATGTTGCAGTGCCGACGTCGCGAGCCGTACCTTGAACGGTTTGAACGCGATTGGCCTGTCGTCGAAGTTTGCAAGCAATACCTCAAGAACCGCAACAAATACTCGCGGATGCGCGCCCGTCAAGTAAACGACGCCACCAGAAATGCTGGTTGCGAACCTATGGACCTCGACGACCTCGAGGAATCTGAACCTCGCGATGGGACGCCAGATGGCGATGGGTAGTCTTAATCACATATAGTCGGTGTACATACTGTCCTGTACGGTAACCTTATAAGTATATAAGCAACGAGTATTGCATTCCTACGCTATTCCTGACTACAGGCTGAGCATGCACGAGTGAAATTTGCCTCCTTTCATAGTGAAAAGTTCGCCTCATATTCAGGAATGAGGGTTTCGATCACGAGGGTGAAAGAGTTCATACTTCAGGCTTTTTTCACCCTTCGTGGCAACCCGTTGAGCCGGTTAAATTTACCCTCTGAGGGTGAAACTCGCCCGCCATTGCGGCAAATGCGGACTGGCGTTTGGGTGAATCGATGGGTGAATTTCGCCCTTCCCGAGCGCCACCGTGTAGATGAAGCTTGTACAGCGTGGGTAGGTGGAGTAGGCATGGAAGGGGTGACGGCGAGTTCTTCCGCCGGGCGCATTTGCGAGGGACCGTCATTCGACTCAATGGCGGTCATCGGGATAGCATCGACAGGTTCCGACGCAGCTTCGGGTGTAGCCTCAGGGGGGTGCATGTTGTATGAGATAGTTGTACTAGGTCTTCCGGTTTGTATCCCGAGCATCGCATAAATAGTCTGCACGGGTACGGATTTATAGATCGTCGTTATGGGGAAAACGAGCAGGAGCATGGGCAAAATCTGATTTATTGCGGGTGTAAGTGCATTCGGACTGACAAACATGCTAATCTACTGACCTGACCGAAGTCCCAGTCGTTGATCCCAGAGTGCACATTGTTTTCAACCCGCAGAAGTTCGATGTTGACGATGAACAACGAGACGATGACCAGAAGCGCAAGAGTCTTGGATAACCACAAAGGACGGAAACCCGGGCAGCGGCGGGTGCCATAGCAAGTCCCGACTGGAAGCGGGAGTCCTGGAGGTTTGTGAACCACGTTCCACAATCGACGCGCGGCTGCAACGAAAATCATAGCAGCCAAAAAGACCTCCGCGAACACTCGACCAGAGCCCAACACTTTGAAGGGAGCGAACAAAACGAGGACGACATCCTTATTGCATTCTGGCTGCGAACCAAACGTCTCCGCCTGTTCGAAAAGCGAGGATGCAACGACCGCGAGAACAAAGAGTTGCAAGACCGCAGATGCGGCAACCAACAGGTGTGTTACGTCGATTTTTCGTCTGGACTGGCCGGCGATCCGTGGCCGGTTCAGCAGGGTGTCGATGAGATGCTCGTGAAGCCTTCCGATGGTTATTTCGATTACGAACGTTGAGAAGGCCATGAGATAGCATACTACGACCCCGCTAAAGAGCACCGTTATCGGCATTGAGGAACTTGGTACCAGAGATAGTCGAAGCATTGCACGCACTCGTACAGAGTCAGCTGTGAGTCGTGCTGAGACGCTAGTATCCAGAACACAAGGTAATAGGCGATGTTCGTGGTGATGAGCACGCATAATGGGCCCCTGGAATCAGCCGGGTTCTTCACGAGTAGGGCTGTCATGACTGCCACGTTGTGTGTCAGAGTATTGAACCTCACGCTTCTAGATATTGCACTGAACTTACGCATCAGGAGCGTCTGGATGTAGAACGAAAGGCGCACACCGATACCGCTGATGTCCGTATTAGCCTCGAGGCCGGTTGTGCAATTGACATTAATAGGCATGCCGATCGAGGTAGCGTTTGGAGAAACTGGTGCCATCTTATGAGATAGTCGGATCCGGAAGAATGATGACCGACAGGTGGAGAGCTGGGGGCCTTCGGTGTTGAGTAACGACGGTCTATATGTTCAGTATATCGTGGACGCCTAAGCTGTACATGCTGTTCGCGCGTGACCGAACTGGTTGCATCGCCATAAGTGTTAGCGCACTCATTATAACCAAGCTAACCAACTCACGAGACTTCAATTCGTGTGGTCATGTGTATGCTATGCAATTCAACAGTTTGGAAGAAACGGTGAAACATGAGGTGGCACCGCTGGTGTCGTGGTTCAAAGAAAGGCGAGTTCAGAATGACGATGGGTCGACGATCCGTCATAGGCAGCAACCACTCGAGTACACGATATGAGTGAGGGTCTGGATTGCAGTAAGGGGGCGCACATGGATTGGATGGGGCAAAAATCAGAATACACTCTTTGCCCTTGACACAGCCCACGGAGTCCCAGCTTCGTAGAAGTCCATCGGATACACCTCCTCTTTCTCGTCCGCCCCAACTCTGACGTCTTCGATTTTGCCCTTGACCGTATTCATCCATCCTGCCTGTACACTCGTGCCACCGACGGCAACGCATGCTTCGTAAGGACTCAGCAGAGGTCTATCGAACGCGTATCCCCAATCGATGGAGAGGCGAGGACAGGACGTTTGCACGAACGTGGAGATATCGGCGTGAGAGGCGTTGAAGAGCGCGAGTTTGGCGGGAGAGAGTTCGGAGAGAAGGATGGGCATGTATGGGATGGGCGTCCGTGACTGGGAGAGAAGGTGCGTAATCGCCTGGACAGATGCGGTTGAGTACGCTGCGAGCACCGTGAGTTTGGCTAAGAGAACTGACCTGGAGCTGTTTGAAGCTTCCCTGCCTCCCAAGAGTACCCAGTACGATACCCCACATCGCGGAGTCCTGGCTTTCCTGCGTCATATTCCCACTGTTCGTCACCTCCACCAGCTCATCTTGCGTGGGTCTGATGCTTTTTCTTGCGCTACCGATCGCGTCTCCTCTGACCTGGCGCATCTGTACATGATCGTAACGCTCTCGCGTGAATTTCTTGGAGTAGGGGTCATATCGGAACGCAGGGACGGTGGGATTGGCGATCATGATGGATTCGAGGTGGAAACGCCCATCCCCAAGATATCTAAGAGAAAGACGGTGTAAGCTGGTGGTGCTTGTACAATCGCAAAATGAGCGACGTACAGGAGGGCGTCGACATCTTTTAGTCGAGGTGCGGTACATCCGAGAATCTCGCCGGGCGACAGCGGCTTCGATCGCGGTATCGTAGCGTCGTACTTGCCTGTCCAGAGTTTGGGCTTTCCGACTTCGAGTGCACCACCATTCGGGCCACAGCCAGTAATATCGGATGTGGTTGAGTCGGTGATCAAGGATCGAGGCACGGAAGGAGCGTGTAGAGGTGTATCATCTGCCCATTCCACGCATAGATTTTCTTTGAGCTGTTGCAAAGCGGCAACGAACTGGATGGTAGAAACCAGCGCAAGTCGGGTGGGTTCGCCATATTCGGATGTTGGAGGACTCGAACTTTCGGGGCGGCTATCAGAAGGTTGGGATCCCGGGTCCACAGTCTGAGGTCCTTCTATTCGCAGATGCTGAGTCCTGCCAACGGGTGCACCAAGAGGCCTTTGGGAGTCTTCATATTCATGCTCAAGAAGGGAGTCGCGGAAGCGTTGGCGGTCGGAGGGGAAGTTGAGGCGTACGGACTGAGCGAGATGCTGGGAGTCGATAGAGATCTCTACGAACACGTAAAGTGTCTTGATCGACGTCTGATCGATCGGCACTGTATTAAATTCGATGAGACAGTGTACCAAGATGTGACTATGACAACTCACCAAGGCATGAATGACCGTAGTGCACCAGCATATCGCACCCTAACGCGACAGCGGTATAATCATCGATGCAGCAAGCACCATATGTGACATCGCCCATGATCACCGTCAGCGCATCCGTAAACCTATACGGACCATCAGTTGAATACATTATCGGCTTCAGCAGCAGCCCGTACCCGCGCACCGCTCGATGATATCCGCGATCGTGCACGCAAACATCTGCAGACCTTCCGGCATCTGCAGCGCGACCATCTTGCTCCCATTCTTCCTGACATGGTGGATGGTCTTATGTATCTCGAAGGAGTAGTTGGACGGCAGGACAGAGATGGCGGAGTTGAGTTGAGGATCGTTGAGGATCTCCAGGGGTACTTGGTTGGCGGGGAGCTGGGGTACGGATGGCTTAGACGGCTTCGCAGATCTAGATCCAACAAAACGTTTTCGAGGCTTGGACGCAGTTGGATTCGTCGTCGCAGGAGATTGGTCCACTGCAGTATTTGGGGTAGGTTCTCCAACAGACATGGCGATTCGGTCAGAAGATTGCAGCAGTTGAGTCGGCAAAGAAGACATATGTCCACGTGACAGCTCCCGACGCAATTGCCTTTCCTGGAATATTGAAGTCAAAGCACCGCGCCGCGTTCGTCATCCGTGTCGATGTCGAGCATCACTACTCCTGGTCCCGGGTCAGGACCTCCCGCCACTGCAACGCCTGTTCCCGGCTCTTCCTCCTCCACACCGCTTCCATCCTCTGCATACGACGCCGACGATGACTCCTCGCCTCGCAACATCCACCTGTCCATCCCGACCCGCTTTCTGCTCCTCCCAGGCACGGCCATCCTCGTAGGCACCACGCTTGGCCTCGTCCGCGGCTCACGCGTCGCCTCCCTCCGCTTCCTCGCCGAGAACGCGCACCGGCCACCGACGACCGTGCGCGGCTGGTACTTCTACAACAAGACGAAGAACTATCGCGTCATGATGGCCGGGCTGAAGATGGCGGCGCTCGACGCGGGGAGGCTCGGCGCGACGGCGGCGGCGTGGGTCGGCGTAGAGGAGGCGGTGAGCAGGGCGGGCGAGGGATGGGAGGACGTGAGCGAGGTCGCGGCGGGGACGGGCACGGCCGCGCTGTTTTCTGCCGTTTGTGAGTATATATGCGTGCCCGGCTTGCGATCGTGAGTTTCGTAATGAAAACTGATAATGCGCCGCGAACAGACCGGCTGCCTCGTAAAGTGGCCTATCGTACCGTTGCGCTCGGTCTGCTCGTGGGATGCTCGCTTTCGGCCCTCCGCGCGTCTAGACGGTACCTCGTACGGATGCGGGACGAACGCGCTGCTCTTGCAGCGGCAGACCCCGCCGCCACTGCCGACGCGGATAGCGCGGTGACTACGAGGCTCGGTGCCGCCCATGTCGAGGCCCCTTCGGACGCCAAGAAGACATAGTTCATATGTCATGAAACCGTGAATGGCGATCTCATGTACAGTCTGGGCCCAGAAAGCACCTCGAATGCGGACCCCACCGCGATGGTGCACCGTGGCCCTCTCGAACTCTCGTCCAGGCGGTGGCGTTACCCAATCCTTACGTACGACAGATGTCAGTCTGGCCGCTGAATCAGGAAGCCAAGAAGGAGCATGGGAGTCATTTACTACGACGAAGCGAGGATGGACGTATGAGAGCACATCGAAGGCAGGTGTTTGGCTATCATCGTTCAAGCGGACGGTGTACCACCCACAGTTGGCCATTGTGTAGTAGCTATCAGAATCGAGCGGCGAACTCGCCGTTACGTTCTCTCTATCAGACGCACATACAAATGAGCATATGCACCCTTAGCTTTAGGGTTACCAAGTGGTAGCAAGATTCTACGAGCTTTCGCCGACACTGCGTGTGCGCCTTCCCCGACGAGAAAAAGGATAACAGGGGTCGCCGTCCGTGTGTGAGGCGTGCTCCCCCTCTCGGCAACCGAGCCCACGGTGAGCGGCCGAGAACGGCGTTCAAGTTGCACCGCAAAGGGCAGAAAATGGGGCCCGCCGCCGGTCAGTTTGCGATTGTATATCACCGTTTGGGCGTTGTTTTAGCCTGTCGTTCGCGCTTTGGCCGCCATCAAGCCAATGCAATGTTGCTCCGCAGCGGTCAAACACGACCACACCCGCTCCCCCGCCCTCCTCCTCCCGTCGTCCACTTCCCATCGACGGCCATGCAGGATATCTACGCTGGACGGATGTCCTGCCCTTTGGGATGCTCAGCGAACCATGCCGGGATGCGTGCGACCCCGCCACGTGACGCGTGATCTTCTGTCTCTTGTCCGCGCCAACCAACGTCGTCGACGAGCATCGTCCCCCCTTCCCCCTCGTCTGCCCGGTCTGCGCCATCACGCCCCCATACCACATCCGATAAAGGGCGCGAGCGAATACGATGGCGCAACCTCACCCACAGGTGATTCCACCCGAGATGATGCATCCCGCGCCGTCGGGGCACAGCCAGGCGATGATCCCCCAGGGCGACGTCGGGAACTCGTACTACCCCGACAGCGGGCATGATCTCACCGGTGGCCTGCCCATTAACCTCGACTCGCTGAGAGATGGGCCACCGGGCAGCAAACCGTTCTATCCCTACTCGACGCTCATACGGTATGTGGCGATGCATGTGCGGCCACAGGAGGGCAAAGCTGATCTAGCTGCTGGACAGATACGCGATAAAGGGGTCCCCCACGGGCAAGTTGCTACTCGAGGATATATACTACGCGATAGAATCGCGGGTGAGCTCGGCTTCCTATATCCTCACATAGGCTGCATATAAGCTAAGCCTGTGCTCAGTTCCCTTATTTCCGAACGGCTCCTGCGGGGTGGAAGGTGCGCCAGTCCATTGTATCCTCAGCGTTGTGGCCTTCTGATGCGCCGATCAGAATTCCGTACGACACAATCTCTCGCTGAACCCTTGCTTCGTGAAAGTGCCGCGGCCGCTCACGGACCGAGGGAAGGGTTCCTACTGGACCGTCGACGACAACGTCGACCCCCGCACGGGCGTGCACCGCGTGCGGCGAAAGAAGACGTCGGGGAAGAAGAAGCGGGGCGACGTCGACCCCGCGGAGGAGCACGAGCAAGACCGTGATTTCCCCGAGGGCCCGGGGGAGTACGCGCAGCATCCCCAGCCCGAGTTTGACGGTGGGGCGCACCCGCCTTCGTTCGATCCCTCTTCGCTGGACCAGAACGAGGCGAACCGATCGCAGCCGTTCCAGATGCCCTACAACACGTACGTCGCCAAGCTCGCTCCTTCGCGATCCCATGACACGAGGTGTCTGATCGGTTGTCGACAGGTTCGACCCGAGCTCGTTCATGGTGCCGCAAGGGATGCGGTTCCCGCCGCAGATGCCGATAGCGCTCCCGGACGAGTCGCTGGAGGTGGACGAACACGGGAACGTGAACTGGCAGCTCGCGTGGCGGAAGGAGCTGACGACGCTGATGCGCGTGACGGAACAACAGGAGGGTTCGGGCGCGGAGCAGGATTGGTACCGCATGATGCTGATGCGGGTGCGAGGCGCGCTTATGGCGCCTATGCACCCTGCGGACGGCGTCGTTATGCCACACGCGATGGGCGTGGCGGAGCCGAGCGTGCAGCAGGAGCAGCACCATGATCAGCCATAATGGCTGCCATGGTCGTTGTAAACGTTAATGACGAGATGAACATCCTTTGGGACCTGGCGGTTGCTCCGTGTTTGTTGTTTTCGATATGCATACCACTACCTTATCTATCTATCGGCCTTTCCGCGTATTACTTAAGCTATTACTTGCACCGAACGTGGAGTCTGCCTATGCTTGTATTCTACTTCTGTCGCTGTTTTTATACCCAATCGTCGCGCTGCTTGTGTAAACAACTGAAGGTGGTGAGACTTCGACCGAGGCGGGAGAAGCGGTCGCTCTGTCATCGGCCGATATGATTGGCTCCAAAACCACCCATGTCGAGGTTATGGGGCTATCAGATAACCGACGCTCGTCATTCTGCTGTGTAATCTGACTCCTCCCATTTGCTTAGTACTCCTCCATTACTTTTCCTCTCGCCTGCCACTCCCTGTAACATCCTCCTCCTCTCCGCTCTTTGAAAAAGTTTGGCCGGCATACGTGGAACACACGACTGAGATGGCGCCCACCGCGATATACTCAGCGACTCCGGTCGGCGAGCCTCACAAGGTCGTGGCGGCGATTCCCACTAAGGGCCCAGCACTCGCCATCGGGTCGCCGGCTACCGCGCAGGATGGGAAGTACCAGACGCTCGTTACGGAGCTGCAGGGCAGCAGGGAGGTCGAAAAGCAAATGCTCGATCGGCTGATCGATTCAGGTATGTCTCGACGCTCTCACCCCGTCGAATCTATAATCCTGACGCTTTCGGTACAGCGACCACGCTCGCTCCCAACACCTACGCATCCGTCCACGTCGTCCTCTCCGAGCCGGATTACGAAAGCCTGCGCCCCAAGCTGCCGTCTCTCCTTTCCCAGCTTTTGGCCGGCCTCTCACCGCTCGGCACGCTCCACCTCCTCAACATCACCTCCGCGCTCTCCTACATGCCGTCCGAGCTCACCCTCGCCGGCTTCAACGTCCTCTCCTCGCTCACCGCCGAGAGCGGCACCGTGATCGCCCAAAAGCCCGCGCACTCCGTCGGCGCCGCGTCCTCGCTCAAGGGCCCGGCCGCGTCTAGCATGCCCGCCGCCCCCGCCGTCGCGCTTCTCCGCAAGAAGCCTGTAGATCCGAGCAAGGCGGCGACGAAGAAGGCGTTGTGGTCGCTCAGCGCGCCCGCCGCGCCGTCGATCGATCCGGAGAGCCTGCTCACCGCCGCAGACAGGGAGAAGCCCGCGGCGGCGTGCGAGCCCGTGACGGGCTCGTCGGGCAAGCCAAGGCGGAAGAAGGCGTGCAAAAACTGCACGTGTGGGTTGGCGGAGCTCGAGGAGGAGGAGCTCAGGAACAGCAAGGTGGTCGTGCTCGACGGTGCGGAGGGAGGACAGACGAGCGAGGTCGCGAGGGAGGAGAAGGAGCGGTTGGCGAAGGCCGCAGCCGCGGCGCCGAAGGCGACGAGCAGTTGCGGGAACTGCTATCTCGGAGATGCATTCCGCTGCGCGAGTTGTCCTTATCTTGGTATGTTGTCATTTTTATGGATGCTCTCGTCGTTGTGATGGCGTCGCTGACTGTATAACATCAATCAGGGTTGCCTGCGTTCAAGCCGGGCGAGAAGGTGGAGATCGACTTCGGCATGGATGACGTTTGAATTTGGGGCTGTATTTCGCTATCTCTCTTCTCGCCGTCTTGGATATCTTGTTCATCAGTACATACAGCTTGAATGCAGTGTAATCTCACAGGGCTTAGAGTCCCCGCGCTTGTGCCGACCTACGCGAAGACAAGAAGAGGGCCAGAACATAAATTTTAATGCCCCCGAGGCACCCTCAGGACGGCCCCGATGGTCACTGTGATCGTCCTGAGCTCCTTCAGCTCTCGGTGCCGTGGCATGCCGTTGCGGACCTCCGCGCCTAGTCTCTGTCAGTATTGACCGCGAGCCGTTCCTAACTAGCTGGCTCGAATTTGACGATGATATTGGTGGTGGCGCAGAATGACAGCACAGCCACCAGATACCGCGTTTTGCCCGGACCGCGAAACTTGCCAAGTGGTTGGTCCTTCGCCCGACGATAAGAAGTTGTAGGTCTGGTGAGTGACTCCTTCTTTGGAGATAAGACAAAATAGCTCATGACATTGACACGTCAGGCCCGGATTCGTCGTGACGAACAGCTCGAGACGATGTAATACAGGGCACCGTCAGCGCTGCGCGTTCGCGCCCGCAGCCTGCAATCGCAGCCGTTTGCGTCGGGACACGCAACTATTGCAGCGACGCCCTCCACTACTGTCCCTTATCGCGTTATCAGACCTATGCCTTCGAATGTTCGGTAGGTACCTGAAGCGCTCCCCAGCCGCGCGGAGCCTGACTATCTTTTGTCCCGTCGGCTGCGCCGCTCCCCCTCACGCGGGCTCATCAAGGCCTTCTCCGGAGAAAGCGGGCCTCCTAGCGGCATTTTCCATGCGACAAGCAGTCGGAAAAGAAAGTGGAGTCAAGATGGCATTGCCAGATCCGGAGCGCGCGCGATGCTATGGGCGCCGCTAGCTCGGAGAAACGCAAGCAGACGAGCGTACTTTAATAGCGCAACGGGCTTGGTGCTTTGGACACGCCGGGGCTCTTCTTTTTCTTCTGTGCAACACTGAAGATGATCCCTCTCGGCGGTGCAACGGACGGAGCGACGGCTCTCCCTGCCCTCTCTGTCCTGGACGAGAAGGACGATGGCCTGCCCAGCCCGATCTTGGACGAGAAGGCGTCCGTGAAAAGCTCCACTGATGGCCAACCGCTCGACAATGTCGGCGATGTCTACGACGACGTTCGTGTGATCGACCTCGGCTCTGACGGGAAGGAACGTCCCATCGGTACGTCTGCATATATGCGTCGGGGGTATTTCTTCGTTGCTCACGTCTGCTACCAGAAACCGCTTCGGACTGGTCACTGCGTCTCATCTCGCTCGACGATGATCCGACCCTGCCGGTGTGGACATTCCGGCTCTGGTTCCTCGCCGTCGGTCTCTCCTGCTTCGGTGCGGTCTTGTCGGAGATCTTCGTCAGCAGCGACCTTCATTTGCCATACCATGCCGACATACTGATCGATACATTCTCCAGGCGTTCAGACCGCAGTCCGTCTACGTCAGCCAACTTTTCCTGCAGACAGCGGCGTATATCCTCGGAAGAGTACTCGAGGAAATCATCCCTGGTCCCGGAAATGCGCGATTCAAGACTCGTGACAATGTGTTCACCCGTTTTATGAATCCAGGTATACCTCTTGACCGCCTATAATCAAAAAATCGGTTAATGGTTTTCCGCACTTGTTCCAGGGCCATTCGATATCAAGGAGCACGTCGGCATCCTGATTATGTCCGCTGCCGCAACACACGGAGCGCTTGCCATCAACATATTTGCTGCGAACGACTTATTCTACGGAATCAAGTCGAACACAGCTGTCGCTATCTTCACGCTTCTCGGCAGCCAGCTCCTTGGATATGGTCTTGCAGGTCAGTTTGGTTCGCTGGTGCGGTCATGGTTGTCGCTGAGTACCTCGGCAGGAATGATGCGCAGCTTCCTCGTCTACCCGACGTACTGCGTCTTCCCCAACTTGATCCCTACAGTACAGGTCAGTTTCTTAATGATGCCAGGCCGACAACATGGGTTTACCATATTCTAGATGTTCGATGTTCTTCACCGTGGGCACGGCAACTTCCTTCAAATGAAGCGCGTCAAGTTCTTCTGGACGCTTTTCATCGGCATATGTGAGCACCTCGGTACAATCGGTCCAGACAGATCCTGACTTCGTCAAGTCTTTTGGCAATGGATTCCGGAGTACATCGCACCCCTCCTCACCGGATTCTCGGTCTTCTGTCTGGCGAGGAGAAATTCGGCGTGGGTAACGCGCCTCTTCGGCGGCGCTGCAGGAAACGAAGGTCTTGGCCTATTCTCCCTATGCTTTGACTGGAATTACGTCGGCTCTGGAGGTTCGGCCTACGGCGCTCTCTTCCAACCCTTGGCCACTCAGCTTTCCCTGTTCGGTGGTGTCTTCATTTGCATGTTCGCGCGATACTTCTTCCGCCCCCTTTGTTATAACTGACCTGATCCACAGTATCAGCTTCATTGGCGTCTATGCGAACAATGTGTGGAATGCTCAGGTAAAGCCCCAATCGTCGGTCGGAAACGGTCATTTCTGAACAAACTTCGTCCTGCAGAACTTTCCCTTCATGTCGCAACTCCTGTTCTACCAGAACGGCACGGAGTACGACCAGCTGCTCATCCTCAACCATGACTACTCCCTGAACGAGGATAAGCTTGCGGTTCAAGGCCTTCCGTGGTTCGCTGCTACCCAGACCGTGGCCAAAATCGGCGCCAGTCTGTCCTTCGGCGCCACCATCACTCACATGATTCTTTGGAACGGTAAGCAAGTCTGGGATGCCGTGAAGACGAGTCGAGTGAGTTGCCTCCAATGAATCCACGTGCAATTCGATTCTGACATCTCATGTAGCAGGGCGCTATCAAGGACGCGCATTACGAGAAGATGAAGGTGTACAAAGAGGTGCGTTTGTTATTGCCATCTTACCTTTAAAATATGATGTGAAGACCGATCAATACTTCTGCAGGTTCCGCAGTGGTAAGCCGAGATGAATGAAGCAGTGAGCCGACCTCACGTGTCGGTGTAGGTGGTACGTTGGGATGTTCGTCAGCTCCCTCGCCATGGCCCTGGCCACGAACTACACGTCCGACTCCGGTCTTCCTTGGTGAGTTGTTCAGACTCCGACTGCACTCGGAACCAACTTGCTAACTCGGAATGGCAGGTGGGCTTTCTTCATCGGTGAGGCTATCATGTCTGTGGTGTGGCCGTGTACCAGTCAATTAACCCGAATCGCACAAATAGCTGTCGGATTTGCGGCGATCTTCCTTCCCATCATCTCGACCCTCTACGCCATTCTCTGGTAGGCCCCGTTATCTAATGCCAATAATCTCATCTGAAGAACCCATGCAGTTACGTGCCTGGTACGGAGGACGTTGCGCGGGTAAACTACATCAATACCTCGCTCGTTAGGAGAGTGCTCACATCTACTGCAGATGCTCGGCGCCGCCCTTGTCCCTGGCAAGCCTCACGTAAGCTATGAACATCCTGTCCCTATGTCCACAACAGCGATTAATGTTCGACCTCAGGCAAACATGTACTTCACCTTGTACGCGTACAACTCGACCGAGCAAGGACGCTCGATGACACGAGACCTCAAGATGGGACAATACACGAAGCTGCCACCCCGTGTGACGTTCACAATGTGAGCCCTTCTCTGGTGATGTGTTGCGTGCGCGGGGCTCACGAGAGTGTTTACAGGCAATGTCTTGGTGAGTTACAGCAATCGATCTGTAATTGACATAGATTGACGATCATCCGATCTTCGCAGGCGCAGTCATTGGCGGTGAGTTTGCTGTCGTTGTGCTATCCCCTCGGGGCTAAGCTAATGCTCCCCGCAGCTCTCCTCAACTATGTGATCATGCGCGTGGTCATCTCAGATAACCGCCAGATCTTGTTGAGTGTCCAAGGTTCGAATGTTTGGTCCGGCGCCACCATACAGTCATTCAACAGCGACGCGTAAGCCCTCAAACGTCGTTGACTACTCGAGACTTACCGGGTTGACACCCTACAGAATTGCCTGGGGTGCTCTTGCGAAGCAACTCTACTCTCCCAGTGGGCGCTATGGGGTATGTCCTTCCTTTCGCCTCTGTTTTCCTGTTCCGGTCGTTTACGCAAGCGAGTAGATTGTCCCTCTATCAATCCTAATTGGCCTCGCTGTCCCGATTCCTCTCTGGTGGTTGCACAAGCGTTTCCCCAAATGGCACCTCGACAGCGTCATCACTCCTATGATCCTCTCTGAGATTGGCGCCCTTTCTGGTATGTGTTCACCCCTGCCCGCATGTACCGTCAACATCCGAGCTCCATTGACGTTGTCGCAGGCGGCATCAACTCGTCGGTATTCGTCACGTTCCTACTCTGCCTCTTCAGCCAGTTCTACCTCCGCAAGTACCGCGCCGGTTGGTTCAGGAAATACAACTTCTTGTGAGGCCTCTTTTCCTACTGTTCTTTCCGCGGCGCCTCGCTAATCGGATGTGATCCCAGGATGTCGGCTGCGCTGGACGGCGGAACCGAAGTCATGGTGTTCGTCTACAGCTTCGCCGTTGGCGGTGCGGGCGGACGGGTGGTCAACTTCCCGAACTGGGCTCTCAACCCGATAGGAAACCCGGATTACTGCAAGAGGCTCACCTAAAAGAAGGCCTTGCATCTCGTCGCGCCAAATTGCGTCAAGATTTTGTTTGGCTCTGGTGGGATTTACAGGCTGTGCTCCGGCTCGGTCTGTTACTATAATCTCTTTCTAGTAAGTATGTCGGTGAATATTCACGTTATTCGTTCATACGGGAGTTGCTCGGGAGTAAACGTGTTCTCGGGGAGTTCCCATTCCCACGGTAGGCTTCATCTTCGCAAATTCCGCACAGCCACGCCCGATGCTACGCCTCTCCCGTGCCCATGGCCATCCGCCACTCCGGCTTCGTGCAGTTAACAATGCCCTGACCCGGACCTGCGTGCGCCGCACACTCTTTTCAAAGCAGCCGCTACCCCCTCCAGACGAATGGAAGCCGCTCCAGGACGACGACCCGAACCGGCCGCTGAGTTGGCGGTTCAAGCTCGTCTACACCGCCGCCATGGCCGGCGCGCTCGCGCTCTTCGCGTACGAGGTATCCAAGCCCAAAGACAAGTTTTCCGGGCGCCCGACGGTCCCGGACTTGCCTATGATGCCGAACCACTTCGTCGAGACCGTCGTGCTCGCGTCGACCGAGACCGGCCCGGACACGCGCCTCATCACGCTCGCCGTCCCGCCCAAGCTGCTCCCTCCGCAAGAGCCGACGGAGATCATCACAGAGAAGCAGGCGAAATACACTCAGGATACCGTCGGAACGCCGGTGTGGAGTTTGTATGCTAAGAACCCGGATATTCAGATCGAGAGGCCGTATACGCCGTTGGAGGGGATCAGCCCCGTGGACGGCCGGATGACGTTTTGGGTGAAGCGGTACAGGGACGGTGAGATGGGGAGGTGGTTGTGTGCGCGCGAGTTTGGGGATAAGGTCGAGGTGCGCGGGCCGGTGAAGACGTGGCCGTGGCAGGAGGACGAGTGGGACGAGGTGATCATGGTAATTTGGCGTCCCTCGCTTCCCTGTTATGGTGCTGCATCGAGCTTACAGTGTTTCCATCTGTAGATATCGGGTGGAACGGGTATTACGCCCTTCTACCAGCTGCTGCACCATACCCTTTTCTCTCCTCCGCCTCATCCTGCGGCGACTTCGGACTCTTCTCCGGCCAAACGTCCCCACTTCACCCTGCTGCACGCCTCTTCCTCGCCGTCCGCCCTTCCTCCTCCAGTTCTTCTGAACAAGCTCCTCACACATGCGCGTCAGCGCCCGGACGAGCTCACGCTCAACCTCTTCGTCGACCAGCTCGACTCCACCACCGCCCGCCCGAGCATCGCGTTCCCGCACCCATCGTCATCTCGCTCCATCCCAAGCGACGCGAGCCTCTCGTACATCAACGTCGCAGCCCCGAGCCTCGTGACCCCGCCGATCGACGCGAAACGCGATAAAGTCGCGTACCATCCCGTAACGGTGGGGAGGATCGGCAAGGACGCGATCGAGCGGACGGTGGAGGACCGGCTCGGACTCGGGCTCGGGTGGTGGCAGCGACTGTTCGGTCCCGTCGTGTCCAATTCGTCAGAGGCGAAGAAAAGGGAAAAGAAGATCCTGTTCCTCGTCTGCGGACCTGACGAGTACGTTCCCTTTTCTCTGAGACTACCTGTTGGTTCTGGGGCTAACATCTGTTCTCCCTGCAGGATGATAAAAGACCTCGCTGGACCGCGCGGGCGAAACCTTTCTCAGGGCAAAATTGGCGGTGCCCTCGGAGAGCTGGGATACACGAAAGAGCAGGTGTATAAGCTCTGGTCCTGAGCCTGGTTGATGTAACAGCCGGTTATTCACGCTTGGGTCCATCGGTTTTCTTCTCGATGCTATTTGTACCTTCACCACCATTCTATCGACCTTCACTCATCTGACATTATATATGCGCGTCGTATACACCAGCTTCGCGAACTCGTCCTCTTCAGGATTGGCTGCTTTGTTATAACAGATTCGTGCTGCTATTGCAAGGCCCTCACTCTGTTCTTTTGCTCGGTTCTTGATATAGCCCCGTGAGGTGCATATGTGACCGCTTAGCGCAGATGACGTGCCTTGCGCACACACTTCTGTACAACCCATCCTGACTCCTCCTGATTCCCGAGTCGATGGATGGATGGGGGCGTCGGCTTTTCTAAGTATAGCACAGATGCTGAGCAACCCTCCGACCCCGCTATGAACGTGCGCCTCACACTGATGACAACGTGCAATATATTGTGTCATTCGGACTCGTAATATGGGTTCCTCTACGCATTCAATATCGCCTGATTCTCCAAGGATATGACCGAGCGTTAGAAGCTGACGCGTCTTGCCGCGAGGAGTCTGCCGATCCCATTGCGCGTCGTTATCAGATAAGCGGCCTCGGGCGCCTCATAATCTCATGACCCGCCGCAACCATGCAGCAATAACATCGTTGGCACTTCAGCCCCTGGCAAGACTCGCTGCTATATATTCATCAGCCTGACTGATCGAGGCGAAGATGTCGTTCATCCCCTCGAGTTTCCGCAAGATCAAGTCCGTCGTTCTCATGCACGACACCGACGCGGAGAGCATCAAGGCTTCGTTGGCCGCGGCGGATGTGCCGTTGTCCGAGGCGGACTGCAGGAAGTGCCCTGACCCGTGCGAGGAAGGTGTGTGAGCGCATTACCTTCTGCGACCGTCTTTACCTTCTTCTCCTCTTCCTCCCGCTTTTGCGTGCCGACCTCTGTTGACGATGTGCTTGTCCCCGCAACAGACCACGAATGGTCGCGCAGCTTCGACGTAGATCGCGAAACGCAGATGCTCGGCTCCGTCAAGCCCTATAAACGCCAGGTTCGTCTCCAGCCAGGCCGTACCCCGTGCTCAAACTCAAAAAAACCGGTCCCCTCTAGCTCGTGATCTCGACGGGCAAAGCCGACTGGGATCGCGAAGTGACCAATACCACCGGCTCGCTCGCGTACCACCTTTACCATACTATACCCTCCCCTCCCCACTCCTCCTCCTCCTCTTCTGTACCCTCCGAAGACCACCGCAAGCTCCCGGACGGCGTGTTCGCCACCTCCGGCCCGAAAGGCCGCACGTCCGTCCTGAACGGCTCGCACCACTCGCTCGCGCACTCGACCGGCGCGAAGGGGGTGCCGGAGGAGACCGTGCTGCTGTTCCCGGAGTACAGGGTCGTCAGCGGCGTCCCGCGCTCGGCCGATGGCGCGCACGCGTTCTGGGAGAAGGTCGCACAGATCGAGGGCGGGAGCAAGCCGGGCGACGCTACGAAGGAGGCCGGCGAGGATATACGGACGTACGTGCTGCCGTACGCGTGCGTGATACTGCTTTGTACGTCCTTTTTTTGTTTGTCGCCCTCCTTGGGACTTGGTATCGTGATCGTACACGCTGTCTGACTATCAATTTCAGGTTCGCACAAGAGACGGGATAACCGATGTCATATTACCGCCGGAAAGCTCGAAGACAGTGAGGCTCTACTCACCCTCGCGCATACATGCCCCCGTTCTCATCCGTCCTTGCGCCCTCCACAGCCTTTAGGCACTCGCTAGAAACGCGCGGCTGGGAGGTCCACACGGATCTCGATCCGTTCATCGAAAATGATCCGGACTTCCCCGCGCTCGAGTCCGAGGGCGCCGTCTTCCTCAGCAACGGTTCGTGTTTTTCTGCCTGTTTTTCAAACCTACGCCCGGCGGGGAGGCTCACATTGACGGATAACAGAGATAATCGAGAAACAGCTCCGACACGCGGCGTCCACCGAGCGCGCGCTCATCCTCAAGAACTCGCATATCGGCGGACACAAGTACGCCGGGAACACGATCGTGCGTCTCTTTCGTCCTCACACCAGCCCGTTTTCCACCCTGACGGTTTTATCGTTGAAGATATATACTCCGCGCGGGGCTTCCGTCTGGTACGGCCGCGTCACCCCGCACGAGGTCGAGTCCATAGTCGAGGAGACCATCCTCAGCGGACGCGTCTTGGCTCCTCTTCTGCGGGCTGCGGTGAACGTGGCGAGACCGGGCTGCAAGAGCATACACGATTGGTAGCCCCTCTCTCTACGGTTCGGTGATTCACCGGCGGTGCAGATCTCCCCATCATATAAACGACTCGCATATATATAGGGTGCATATATGACCGTAATGGCAGCCACTGTTCCGGTTTTACTTGCTGACGGTTTTGGTCATGCTCTCATCATAACCTTACAAGCCCTGTGATTGTCCTACAACACGAAGGCCGGTCTCAGCTCAAAGTTCTGTGGTACTTCCCCTCGTGATTTCTCGTAGTATGCCAGAACCCTGAGAACGTTCTGCACCATTCCAAGACCCAAGTCCTTGCAAGGACTGTGTTCGAGATGCTGCACGGTGGCACTGAACGTGGTGAAGGTCTTCGCACAGTTCGGCTCGTTCGGGCAGCGATAGACCTTGTGGCCTCCGCCGAGGTACCCGACGTTGTGCTTGGACGACGTGATATGCTCCTGCAATTCATTGACGGTTTTTAAGGTCTTGGGACATAGATCGCAGCTCAATCTGGTGCTGCCTAGGATCCAGCGGTGACGGGTCACTGGGCGGGACTGATAAGGAGGGTGGTAAGGCAATTCCAGACGCTGGTTCGTGATACTTTCGCCCGCTGCGTCGTTGAGAAGCCAGCGGTCGACCTTTGCACGAGCGATGCCGCTGGGACATTTGCTGGAGTCCAGGTGGAGGGCGAGGGCCGAATAATCGATGAACCTCAAAGAGCAATCCAGCCCAAAGCACGCGACTGTTGGCGGGCTGTGTGATTTCTGGTGCTAGAGGAGCAGAATGACGCGGGTGGGTGCTCGCGTCGAGAGGTGTAAGGTAATCTGTGCACCGATCTAAAGTTGTTCCCGTTCTGGAATGATTTGTCGCAGAACCAATGTTCTTCAAGACGGTGTCGCGTACGAAAGTCGTCTTCACCGTTGGCTGTGTGTAGTGTCCTTCGTTCGCCTTCGAGACACTCAAACTCAACGACAATGATTGATACACTTGGATTATCTTATTAGTGAGACAGTGAACGACAGGAGATGCAGAGGTGTGGGTTCAGTGAAGAGAGACAAGTAACGATGTGCAGCAAAAACCCGCACCCTTTGTATCTCTTGGGTGAGCATGAGTCATTCATTACTAACGTAGTGACACTAAAGTTAAGGAGGTCGCAGAGCGGGAGCCGTCGTGCGGTTAGTATAAAGTCCAAAACCAACCGACGATCGTCGAAACGGGGGGATTTATACGACACCGCCACTTTGCCTGTTTGGGAACTCAGAAAGCGAGCCGTTTAAACCCATACATCAACCCTTCCATGGTGTCCTTAACGCCCCTGATCTTCAGGATCCCGCAGTTACCACGCTCAATGTGCTGCACGGCGCCACTCAGCGTGCTGAACTGCTTACCACAGTTTCCGGTATTCGGGCATCGGTAGATCTTGCCACCGTTGACGGTCCCGTTGCTATGCTTGGGCGAGGCGAGGTGCCAATCCAGTTCCCCCAGCGTCCGGAAGGTGATAGGGCAGAAGTAACATTGGTATGCGGATCCGTTCCATGCCAGCTCGGTTGCTTTATATATAGCGGGGGGCTTGTACGAGGCGTTCAGGGTGCCCCTTGTGATCATGCGGCCGCGATTGCTGATGAGGCCCCGAAGGTCGTGCTGAATGATGTACCGGTCGATCTGTTCGCGCGTAACACCGCCGGGGCACTTCTGCGCGTCGAGGTGGAGAGCGAGCGCAGAGAGAGAGGCGAAAACATGGAAGCAGCCTTTCATAGGGCATCTCATAGTCTTCGATTCATGAGCGGCCGATCTGAAGTTATGCCACGTCGACTCCCTCAAATGGCGCGAAAGAGAGCTCCGATATTGGAACCGCCGATCGCAGTCTTCGCAATACCATTCCCATTCGCGCCTGTCGAAGTACCAACCCATTGTCGTGTTTCTTGGCCCGCCTGTGTATGTTGCAGGACAAGAGAGCGTGTGGAGTTCTGGGGAAAGCGTAGGATTTGCTCGGTTTCGAACGCGGTTTCGAGTCGCCAACCGTTGTAACACCAGAGGGCGTCTGTAACAAGAAGGCGAGCTGAGTGTAGGACTTCAGCTATCGTCATTTATACACTACTGTATACGAGTCATGCTCAAATCATACCCGTTCCTGCTTCTCTATCCCACAATATCCTACGCTATTCTACACCGTTCCACAGCAATCTCGAGTCCTACGAGTATGCCTATTTGCGTCACGACTGAGTTTTCTTGTATCAGTGATTCAGCGTGTTTTCAAGTTGGCGTCCCACGCCCGATTTCCCGACCATATGAGTATGCACCTTCGCTTGATATATTCCGCTTTTGAGTCTGGAATTCTATTAGAATAGCTTCTCAATCGGCTCAGCACGGCAGAGTCACGCTAGTTGTTGTTGGTATAGTCAAATAAACATTGGATCGCATGTATGGCTTTGTGTTGCCGCTTTAAAGTGTTAAGCGCTTCCTGAATCCCTCCACGAAAGCATCAATAGCACGTTCCACACCCTTCATCTTACGGATCCCGCAGCTGCCGAACTCGATATGTTGCACGGCACCGCTAAGTGTGCTGAACTCCGTACGACACGATATATTGGGGCAGCGGTAGATCTTCTCGCCATTGACGGTGCCGCTGGCGTGCTTTGGCGATTCAAGATGCTGGTCCAGTTGCGGTATGGTTGTGAAAGTCGCGTTGCAGAAGTAGCATTCGTACGCGGTACCGTTCCAGGCACGCGGTGTTGCTTTATACTTGGGAGGTGGGGTGTAGGAGCCGTCTGTGATCCTCAAACGAGGGTTCGTGATTAGATGCTTCGTATCATTCTTGACCATCCACTCGTCTATCATGCGACGGGCGGCGCCGCTGGGGCATTTCCCTGCCTCCAAGTGGAGAGCGACGGCGGATAGAGAGATGAACGTCTGCTTGCAACCCTTTTTGAGACCCTTGAAGGGACACTCGATCGTCTTCGGTTTGTGTTTAGAGGAGTTTAGGTGCTAGAATGTTAAGGGACATTGAGGGAGCATCTTCGGCGGCAAAGGAGGGCACTCACAGCCTTGAGATTGTTCTCATTGTTGAAGTGCTTATCGCAGGCTCTGCAGTACCAGTGGGAGTCCTCCCAATGCTGCTGCATTTCCGTGAAAGTCTCAAAAGCTTCATCGCATGCATCGCAACGGTAGTGCTCTTCTCGCTGATGCTCTTCGAGGTCGGTCTCATCCTCGAAACCGGTATCGTCGCAAAACTTGCACCAGTAGTGCTCGTGTTGATGATGCTCTTCGAGTTCGTCATCGTCGTCGAAATCGGTATTGCATACCGTGCAGAAATGATGCGAATTCGACTGGATCCAATGCGACCGCAGACCTGAGTACAATTGGAAATCGCGTTCGCAGTCGTTGCAGAAGTTGTGCGAGTTTGAGTTGTTGAGGTGCTGAAGGATGGCATCTTTATTGCAAAACCATCGCTCGCAGCTTTCGCAGTACCACTCGTCTTCGTCCCGATCGAAGTGCCAGCGCTTGCCCATGGCTGCGATACCTACCAGCGGATGTTTAGCGATCAGAGGAAAGGCAGGGACGATTCTGAGGACTCACAACAATCGACGAGTGGTTTCACGATGGTAGAATGGGAGATCAAAGACCTCAATTTACGTAACGTTCACGACGATGTCATGTTATCTTCCTCAACAACGTGAGAGAAGGCGCAAGCGACTTCGGCTCACATGCTACAGAATGCGCTACGATTGCAAGCAGAGATTGTTACGCGTACATATTGCTTGAAATATTACATCAGTGCAGTGGCGAAAAGCATCCCAGGCTACTCAGCAAGTTCTATACCACTAAACAGCACTAGGCTTCACATATTAGGCCTCAGTGACAGGCCGTTGGAAGCATGATCCCCTATCCATTCCTAGGGTACGCATCAGATCAGGTCTATGGTCCGGAACATTCGCACGCACAGAGCTCTCTCGTTCTGGAACGTGGTCTGGAACAAAGTTCGTGTTCATCGACATCGGCGGTCGACCAGGAGGCGGGGGAGAGGGGTTTCTCATCTTCTTGAGGTAATCCCGTAGCGCCGTTACAACGATCTTAGGTAAACTAAATTAGTATCCGTTCTCGTGGGAGTTCCAAGCATGGTCTCGTACTCGATGATCTTCAGAACTTGATCCTGAGTAACATGCTACGACCGCGATAGGGCAGCAGAGCGCGTTCTATCGAGAGAGAATCGGGTTAGGTCCGAAGAACCTGGCGCAAGCCGAGGTTTGGATAGCACCTCGAGCCATATCGGGAACGCTGCCAGCTCGTTCAACTGAAAGACAGATGCAGCATGAGACCGTCATGGAAACGTACCTCCGCCTTGTACTCGATATTGATTCTGGATGCCGAGCTGTGACGATGTCTTACCGATCGCCTGCAAGGCTTGTCAGCCCAAGCACATGTTCGATGCAAGAAAATATGCTGACCGCCATGCCCTTCTCGACGTAGAAACTGCTATGACCCGTTTGCCGCACCACGTTGATCATCCCCTCCAGCGTCGACCACGCATGCATGTTGACATCTCCTATTCCTGATACATCGCCCAAGTCGCCTACCGTACACGAGAAGAGGGTATGGCCCTGAATGGTTTGTATGGAAATGACCATGCCGACGCCTTTGTGGTGCTTGGACGTCGTACGGAATCGCTTGCGCAGGGACAACCCTGTTAAGACACGTCATGCGATGCGTTCGTACGTCCATCGCGAGGAAAGGGCCAGAAACGAACATACCTAAGGTCACGGCATCGTTGGCGGAAAACGACGGGAATCGCAAGCTTGACTCTTCGTTGAGCGTTTGCGTCGCTAGCTCTGCCTCGCTCTGCATGGGAGAGTACCCGTTAAGACCTTCGAACATCGGCATTTTTTTGCCTGCTATCCTTTCCAATCTCAGCTCCGCTACGCGGGTCCATTGACGTCCGACTTCACCTATCGTTGTTGCCTATTACGTCTTTGGGGGTCGCCGCGGCGTCGGGGAGTCGGACGTATATCGATAGGGGTCAATGTCGGTAGCATGCACACGAGGCGGGAAACCCGCTAGCGGAGGTATATCAAGGACAGACCCGAGTCCATTGTTGGGTGGACTAAAGCCATGAGGTCGTTACCGCGAGTGATGGGCATGGCCTTGCAAGGAACGAGGCAGACTGACGTTCCGCGCGTCTCGCCTCGGTCATCCACTTTTCACTTCACTTTGCCCACAGTTGGACCGTCCTGTCGTCTTCTTCAACCAGAACTGCACGCTAGGCTGTTAGAAATCGTTTCTCCTGCCACGCTAGAAGGATTCTGAGTTCTTTGGGCCTCCAACGAGGACGCAATTAGCGCGCTTGCCGGTCGTCGAACGGATGTCGCGTGAATTCGTCTTCGGCCATTGACCCAAATCACAGCTACCGAGACTATTCCGCACGCGACTCCCGCTCCAGCAGGACCTCGCAGTCGTGCCTACACTACCGCGGAGACGATACCCATGGAATTCTTCAACGATGTGGGCTCTGACCCTCTCAAACCCTCCCTGTTCGAGCTTGTCGCACAAGAGCAACTCAGAGACCTGTTACAACCTGCGTTGAAGTATGTTCTTTCCGTAAGCCATCTCTTCATGCGTTAGAGATGCTCAGAAGTCATGCCCGCGCCTATGAAGGTCTTTGCGCAACGTTATCCAAGATACCTCCTCCGAATAGTCAACCGCCATGAAGAGTTTTATGCGTTCATCATGTTCTTTGTCGAGAGACATTTCTTGAGGACGCATGGTACGCATTTGCATTCGATTGTTTAGTGCCCAGCAATGAATGTTGTGATTGATTGCAGGCGCATCCTTCTCCGAGAACTTCTACGGCTTGAAGCGCCGCCGACGACCACTCATCGAACCTGAACGAGCACGGGCGGCTGTCGGCGGTGTTTTTCGCGAAGAAAGGCTTCGGAATAGGGACATCCGGAAGTCACTCGTGTTCCTGGTCAGTTTCCGATGGGCACACAAACCGTCTTGCTCTAACGCGCAAATTGCAATCTTGCAGATCGGTCTCCCGTATCTGCGTGCTAAGGCACAAGACTACTACGAGGAACTGGGTGGTGGTATTGACCCTGAGCTACTCGAAGGAAGCGAAGGAGCGCGCCAGACGAGGGCTTTAACAGAAGAGGTAAGATCCATCGCCATCTCCGTCAGTACAGTGCGTTGATCAATATGAAGACGTTGATGGGCAAGATGCGGAGAGCGTTCAAGGCGATATATCCATGGGCTAACGTGACGTTCGAATGCTGGCTTCTGCTCTACAATATACTATACCTATTCGACCGAACGCCTTTCCACCGCCCATGGCTGGCTTGGACGGGCATCGACATCCGGCGCCTCGGCTTGGATGATCTGGTCAGTGGATCTGCCTTGATCGCGGGTTTCCGTGGCTGATCTTCGTGTTGGAAGCGTCTTGCCAGCCGCGCTGCCAACGACAAAGGCCGATCACAGATACGACGGACCCTTTTGCAACGCATACGCCGTCTGGTTCTGACGTCGCCGCGGCTTCTCCTAGACGCGTTGAAGGTCCTCCTTCCCACCGCTATCTTCTTCATCAAGTTCCTCGAATGGTGGTTCTCGCCTTCTTCCCCAGCGCGTGCCCTCTCGACGTCCCCGCTCGGACCCGCCGTGCCTCCGCCGAAATTGCTCCCTCCCCACCCCCAGAGCCTCATTCCGGTGGACAGGATCACCAAGTTCGGTATGTGCCCGCTGTGTGAGCAGCCGATTGCGAACGCGACCGCGCTGCCGTCGGGCTACGTGTTCTGCTATCGTTGCGCATACGGTCACATCGAGCAGCACCACTCGTGTCCTGTGACACTGCTGCCGGCACAGATGTGGCAGATGCGAAAGGTACTGGTGTAATATCGCTGGTTTTGCGTCTGATCATCAGGTCAAAACACGGCATGCAGCGGGACATATGGAACGTTGCGGAGGCACGGAGCGACGCACGTTCGTCATCCTTCCGTACTACAATAATAACGTGCAGGGCCAAGGCGCTGCGGGGAAAGTAGCGTTAGCTCCGTGTATTGTATCTGTGAGAGGCCTTGTCGGATGGTTAGCTTCAAGTCGTGTTTTGCGTGCGTTTTGCAATCGATCGAAGCGGTTGGGCCTGTCGGACGGGAGTGTGAGTCTGGGAGGAATGGGTCCTTGGCCGGGGATCCTTCTCTTTCGGCTCTACTTTTCACCATATTATCCATGAGGAATATATGCGCTCGCCCCCCGTGCCAGTCTGCACGATCCTTAAGTACGAGCAAGCCCTGATCGTCGACACTTCACCCCTCGACTGCCAGACTCGGCCATACTTGACGAGGGACTGTCATGAAGGTGTGCAGCATACATCGCACTAGCCGATGTCCTCCTTGGCTGATCGGGGCTGTCCTTCGCTCGTGTAGTTTGGCAAACAGATCCAGGCGGATCAGGTCCCCGGCTGGTCCGCGTTCTATCTCGACTATAAGGGCCTGAAGAAGATTATCTCCTTGTTGGTGTCTCAGCGACACGCCGACATCGCTCCAGCCGCACCCAGCAATGTGCCTCTCCATGTCACGACCACGACCGCCGCACCTTATCCGGCTAGCGCACTACCGAGCCCGCGAACACTCCTGCGTGAGGGCCCTGCCAGTTTACCTGTGCTTGCCGCGTTGGGAGGACAAGATGAGGATCGCGGCCCCAATTTCCAGGCGCATAAGGCTGCTTTCTTCTTCAAGCTTGATCGCGAGCTCGAAAAAGTGCGTGAATATCTAGTTCCTGCGTCGCCCTGGGATTGATGAGTTGTTGCAGATAAACGCGTTCTATTTGCAGAAGGAAGCGGAACTGAAGTTGAGGCTTGAGACGTTGCTCGCAAAACGTCGGGCCGCTGCTCTAAGAGTCCTTCCGAGTGAGGATGATGAATCCATGCAAAATCACGTCGAATGGAGCGCCGTAGAAGAAGGGTTCAGGTTGTTGGAGCGGGATCTTCGTAAACTGCAGGTGCGTCGGTCATTCGTGTACATACAGACGCGACCCTCATGAGCCACACTATAGCAATATGTCGAGATCAACGCGACCGGATTCCGCAAAATCCTCAAGAAATGGGACAAACGCTCAAGATCGGCGACTAAAGAACTCTACCTCGCCCGTCAAGTAGAGGTGCAGCCGGTATTCAATAGACAGGTTTGTCCCACATCTTTGTACCTACCGGCCTATTGTCGACTAGCTGAGGCTCCGTCAGCTCATCTCAGAGTTGTCCGATGCCGTCGCAACGTGTCTCCTGGACGTAACTGACCTTTCCAATGGACTCAACGTCGAGAAGCCGGCCGTGAACGACCTCATTCTGAGCAACCAGATTCTCGCCGAGCGCAGTTCCCAGCCTGGCGCCTTCCAGGATCTCGAGAACAACCTGCGCACCGCGGTCGCCAACGGGGATGAGGCCACCATCCGTGACCTCGTCCGCTACTCGGACGTGCTCGCCTCCCAGCCCGGCCGCGCGATCAACGTTACCAGGATTCTGTGGAAGGCGATCATCGACGCGCCTAAGGAGATCGCCGACCTCATCCTCTCCTGCCCTGCGAACCCCTTCGATTTTCACTTCATCGACGACATCAACGGTCGGACGACGCTCCACTCGGCCGCCATGGTCGGCATGCTGCGCCTCGTCAACATCTGCCTGGAGAAAGGCGTGGAGGCGGCGAAATGCGACGCATACGGTCGGTCCGCGCTGCATTACGCCTGCATGAACGGACACCCGGATGTATGTCGCCGGTTGCTGGAAGTCGGGCTCCCCCCGGATCAGGTCGACATGGACAACTACAGCCCGCTGACATATGCGACGTTGCGCGGCTCTACCGAGTGCGTCCGAGCCTTGCTCGAACAGGGAAATATATCGCTTGGACAGGAATCTCTCAGTACGGACTCGATGCCGCTTGCGCTTTCCAGCCAGGCCGGGCACGTGGATGTAGTCAACCTTCTCCTCGATCACGGCGCACGGTCCCTTCCGAACACGAACGGCGAATACCCTATCCACCTCGCCGCCAAAGAGGGGCATTCCGAGGTTTGCAAGATCCTCATCGGCTTCGAGGGTTGGGACGTTGCGGACAAGTACAACGAATGGACTCCTCTATTCCATGCCGCGCGATATGGGCACACGCGCTGCGTCGAGGTTCTGCTCGACGCTGGTGCTCGCGTCGACGCGCTCGACGAAGTCGGAAATTCGCCAGTCTACTATGCGGCATGGTATGGTCATCGGGATTGCGCAGGCCTTCTATTGCATGCTATGGCACTGCTTCCTAGACGTACCAGCCTCTCCCCGCCTCGGAAGTCGCCACCTTCCGACAACGTCAAACCGTTCGAGTCCGACATCGACATGATCCCATCCCTGTCTCTTCCCCCTCCGATCATGCCGTACCGCATATATGGCCACAATTTCCTTGACAAGACCTTCCTCGTGCAAATTGCGCTCGGCCAGAACATGTGGGACAGGCCGTCCGAGCCCCACTCCCCCATAAAGTTGCATCCGCGCTTGACGGGCGCTCAGAACAGGGACCTTACCCTGCACGCTTCCCCGTTCTTGAAACTGGTGATCACGGCCCGAGGGGACGCTACGACTGCCCCATTTACCATATATCTCCCCATGAAGGACGAAGCGCATGTATTCTCTTTCCAAACATCGTCGTTGGACAAGTTGACGTTAGAGTTCTCTATCTACCCGAATTTCGGCACGAAGACCATCGGCCGAGCCACCGCTTTGCCTGCACTATTTCCGGCAGCCAAGCAGGATGCCCCATACGTCCTCCCCATCTTGGATCACCGACTGCATGTGTTGGGAGAAGTACGTCTCGCGATCATCATCTCCTGGCTGTAACTGATGTCATGCACCAGGTCACTTTCGGGATTAACGTCGTCTCGCCGTTCAGGAGCGCGACATTGGGGATCGGCGGTGCCGTTGAGACTTATTGGAAGTCCATGGCCATGCCGATATCTACTCCAATTCGTGATACTCCACGTTCAGGCCCGGCCATTGCGTCCGCCGCCACCTCTCCCTCAAACCGTTCCGTCGCTGCCATAGGTGGCCACGCCATCACAATTTCGTCAGTCACCGGAAGTTATCTCTATCTGGTGGTTCAGGTTACCGCGGATCATCAGCCAGTCATTTACCCTCAATGGCGTCTCCCAGAAGATCGATATTCCTTGGGCGTCGCGGATGTGTCGCTCGAGCAGTTTGAGAGGCTTGCGCATCAGCTCGGGCAGACGCTTGACCGCCCGGAAGCGGTAAGGCCGACGACGAGGGATTGGCGAGATTATCTGGATCGGTCGATGGTATCCCTTCGGCGTCTCCTCCAAGTGCGTCGGATTTAGTCGTGGTAAGGCTTGGACTGATCACGGCTCAGGTACTCCCTGCCACCCTCGGTGTTGCTTTAGAGCTGGCGTCCCCGTCTCAGTCTCACATGGACCACTTCAGCATCCGCAATAAACTGAACTTGAACGACTTCGTGGACTCCGTGCTGCGAGTCGTCTATGAGACACCCACTCACGTCGACGGGGCAGGCTCCGCAGTGCGCCGTAGGGTTGTGTTCTCTTCGTTCTCTCCGGACGTCTGCGCCGCACTGAACTGGAAGCAACCGAACTGTAGGTCTCAGATGCTATCACGTAACCAACTTCTTAACGAGATCCTAGATCCGGTTTTCTTCGCATCTCAGTGTGGTAAGACGCTCCAGACTCCGCCCAGCTGCGCGGCTACAGGAGCACCAGATTTATCCGATAGGCGACTCTTCGGGTTGGGCGCCGCCGTTGGCTTTGCCAAGAATAACAACCTATTGGGCGTTTTACTCGAAGCAGAGACTCTTGTGAGCAACGTGCATACTCCTAGCCTCGCTATGGAAAGAACTGAAAGGTTATATTTAGGTACAAGTGCCATCTCTCGTTCAAGGGGTCAAAGACGCGGGCCTTCTGGTTGGTGCTTTCGGCAAGGAACAGGAAGTCTCCCCGCTCACTCCCGCCGGGGTGGACGTACCGACGGTGGACGCCATCTTGCAGCGAGGCGTGCTTTCCGTCGAGCATTCCATGCGTGGCTTACTCTATTAGTGTTATACATATTGGGACGTCCCGCCGGGGCGGTATATATATATGAAACAGCGAATGTATTGTAATTACCGGGACACGCGTGGTTCTTATATTATTGTTAGCGCATGGATCTGCGGAACCACACCATATTGGAAAGCGCTCACAATGCGCTAGATGCAGGTCGAAGCGCGGTATAAGGCTGCGAACGTGCCGTCCTTTTCGAGAAGCGCCGATTGCGTTCCGAACTCCGTGATCGTCTGCACGAACAAGATTTCATGAGTCGGAGATGAATGCTCATATACCATGAACGCGGCTCACCCCGTTCTCCATCATCGCGATTTTGTCGGCTATGCGGCACGCGGCTTCGAGCCGGTGGGTGATGAAGATGACGGTTTTGACTTTTCCCCCCGAGTCGGAACGGGACGTGCGATCGATTGTTTCCAAGACGTGTGCTTGCGCGCGAGGGTCGAGGGAGGACGTCTTGAATCAGCCCTTAAGTCAATGGATCGTCCCCGCCAGAAAGAGGTACCGAACGCTCACCGGCTCGTCAAATACCAGTAGTTCGACCTCTGGTCGAGTCGCCCTCATGAAGGCACGCGAGAGCGCGACCGTCTGCCACTGCACGCAAAACCACACGAGTTAGCGATTTTGTCAGACGTTGGTTCGAGCCGCGTACCTGACCACCAGAAAGCCCTTGGGACCGTTGCATCGGCCGGTCGTCGATCACCGGCGCCGGCGACAACGTCGCGCTCGCATCCAGAACGGTGTGGAGGCCGTCGGGCAGTCCATCCACGAGCCGTTTTCCGCCCACGAGGTGGACAGCTCGCTGGATGGTAGGCATCGAGTGCAGTTCGTCGACCCGTCCCAGCCCCACGTTTTCCCACACCGGGGCGTTGAAGCGGGAGAAGGATTGGAGTACGGCGGCGATACGGCCGTGGTAGTCCGGCGGGGAGTACCTCCGGATGTCGACGCCGTTGATCAGCAGTTCCCCGCCGTCGAAGTCGAGGATGCGCATGAGTATGCTGGCCAGCGTAGACTTTCCTGAGACAAACGGTGTGAGGGATGAATGTCGAGGACATGGCCAAGGTCGTACCTGAGCCGTTGAAGCCTACGATGGCCAACGTCTCGCCAGGTTCGAGTACGAAGTTCACATCGCGTATAGCCGGCTCAGTGCTACCAGGATACGTATATGTCAATCCTCTGGTACGGATACGTCAGAATAGCTATACAACTCGGACAGTGGGAACGTTCCGAACCTCGCTTCTATCCTCATACCCTTGAAAGTCGACTGGAAAGGCAGCTTATGATTTTCCGCCGGTTCTAGCCTCGGTTGGATCTCCATCGCCGCACAGAAAGCGCCCATATAGAACACGGCCTGGAATATCAGCCGGACGGTATGCCGCAACGTGGTCAGGGTGGATAATAAAGCTTGGATGGAGTTATGGTACAGCGCCAGCGAACCCCAAGATGTCGAAGAATTTCGCATCAGGAATAGGTAGGGCAGCTGCGTGTATACCCATGGTCAGTCCCAAGCGTTTCCAGGAAATCTATGATATAATCCTCACATTTTGTGCGGCACCGCAAAATTGCGATGGGCACAGTTGATCGAAGAACGAAGAGAGGAGGCCGTGCCCCTCTATGATAGAAGGCTCGTCCATTTGTAACGTGGTCTGCCGCGCGTGGGCCCATGTGCTGTGAATCCAAGGGCCAAGGCCGAACAACACGATCTCGGGCCGATACGCATCATTGTAAGCCATCTGCCTCATGCGCTCCTGCTCCTGCGCCATCCGCTCTTCGTGAGGCTTGTAGTACATCACAGAGCTATCCGCCGACGAGCCAGAACGGACCGATAGATTCAGGAGCGGGAGGAGCGACCACGCGAGCGAGTACAGCAGCAGGCAAACATGCGTCGGCGTCTTGGTGAGCGATAGCAGAATGCATGCCAGGGAGAGCACTTCCAGCAGGAGGCCGACGACCCGTGCGAGGTCTAGAGGAGAAAGAAGGCCCATCATGCCGGAGAAAGAGCGGACAAAGACTTCGGATTCTTGCAAGAGATCGCGCACGGCCGGGTCCGACAGCGACGGCACGTCCAGCCTCGTCCGCTGCGCCATCTGCCGGCTTTCAATAAAGAACCGTGCGGATTGGTTCACGAGCACCTCGTTCTTTGACCTGGATGGGGCGCAGCAAAGGTAACCAACAGGAGTCTCAGCGATCATCGCGGTCGTGTGTGGTGTTCAGGGGCGGGCGGATGGAAAACTCACGACAAGGAATCTATTGCGAATTCCGCGGCCATGCGAAGGAGTTCGATCGACACATTGCTCGCGATGCGGGACTTGTTCCAATTCCCCGAAGTGATGAGAATCTGCACCTACGGAAAATATTTCTGATGGATGACGGTGTATGTATTGGTAACGCGAACATTCCATTACCTCATCTGCTAAACGCAAATGGGAGTAGCCCCTGAGCGCAGGCAGGACGCCTCGGGCGGCGCTGAAAAGGAACATGGTCGCTGTGCGCGCCGGTTGTAGATTCCATAGCGAGATGTAGAGAGGCTGCGCGAATCTCACGGCGATGTGGCAGGCCAGTTTGAGGTTCGCTAGCGTCAGGGGGCGTTGCGCGCCCGGCGGCAGAAGCATCGAAGTCGATGAGTCTGAGGATCTCCTAGACGCTAACCAAGTTCGGTATACGTCCGGCGGGCCGTCCTGGCCTACGAGAAAAGAGAGGGCGTTCTTTCGCCGGACGTTCGCGCGTGACCGGTGCATCGAGGGGGCCCTAGGAGAGCGGGGCGAGCGTTGGGTTCTGCGCTTGGGGTGCATCGGGGTGCAACAATAGGAGAGCCTGAGACATTATATGAAAGATCGGTGCGGCTGTGGACGCGCCGCTCCACCGCAAGAATCGAGTCTTTTTGTCGGACAGAGCATCCCGCCGGGCCACCGTACACAGCGGCAGAGGGTCCGGGAGGGCGATGATTTCATCTCGCAGCAGTATATGGGAGGGGCGTCCCGAGACCCTGAAGCCGTAACAACGATCATGAAGCCATGAAGTACCGAAAATTCCTTGTTCGCATGTCGCACCAGGTTGGATATGGGCATTGGTGTACGAAGGAGCGGTTCGGGGTGATGCAATGTCCTTGATCTCGGAGCAAACCCAGGTCTCCCAGCACTGAGTACATACTGGCGGGTCAGTACCCATTCAGATAACCGGATGCGGACACAAACCCACGGCCAGCGCGGTCCTGGTCTGACGGGAGCGGGGGCGTCCCGCGAGCGAGCCGTAACTATTGAAACTTCCGCATATGGTAGTCGCCACGTGGGTGGCAATAGGGGCTTTGCATCCCCTGTGTTTTCCATGGCTCCGGATCTTCATTGCGTCTTTTGATCTCTCGAGTCCATGGCCTCACAGGAAGCACACGGAGAGCTGCTGCAACATGGCCTGCGCCGGCTCCAGCTCGAACAAGAGCGGGAGGAAAAGTCGAAGGCCACAGTGACCGACGCGAGCGACGGCAGGGCGGATACAAATCCATCCATCCGGGGCGCGAACGGGCAGCCCATCCACGATTTGACCGAGCCCGTGGTGGCCCCCTCAGGCTCAGGAGCAGACAGGCTGACGTTGGCCGCGCGCTCCCACATCCACGAAGGTTACGGCTTCCGCCCGACTTCGGGCGCCTCCACGCCCCTCACCACGGCCTCTCACGACGGGACGGGAATGGCCAGTCCTCTGCCCGACCCTAACGGTCTGGGTTGGCCAGGTAACGTAGCGGCCCAACGCCTCTCGATGCTGCGTCATTGACGTTCTGGACCCTTCGCAATGTATAGCGAAGTCGACCGTCAACCGTCTCAACGCTACCCCGGCCGAACGCGCCCTGCGGGAGAAAAAGCTTGCCGGCGCTGTTCGGACGATACTCGAATGTATAGGAGAAGATCCCGACCGCGAGGGTTTACTTCGGACGCCCGATCGCTACGCGCAGGCGTTGATGTGGATGACCAAAGGGTATGAAGAACGATTAGCAGGTGAGCATACGCGGAGTTCGTGACCTTCCGTACACCAGTGCTGATCAGAAGTACAGACGTGATCAACGATGCTATATTCGCTGAGAACCACGACGAGATGGTGCTCGTCCGCGAAATCGACATATCGAGTTTGTGCGAGCATCACCTCGTCCCATTCACGGGCAAAGTACGTAGTCTCGCCTCTCCCGGGTAAAATCAAAGTCGGTAGCTAACAGCCTTACGTCAGGTCGCCATCGCGTATATACCCAACCAACTTGTTCTGGGCATCTCCAAGTTGGCCCGCATAGCCGAGACCTTCAGTCGTCGCCTGCAGGTGCAAGAAAGGCTCACGAAGCAGATCGCGTTATGTGTCCAAGAGGCCATCAAGCCCCGAGGGGTGGCGGTCGTGATGGAAGCGACGTACGTACCGTGTTCACATCCCGAGTCCTTCTTTGCTGATACGATTCCCCGCCTCCTCAGGCACATGTGCATGACCATGCGCGGCGTACAAAAACCAGGGGCGATCACCACAACGTCCTGCATGCTAGGCTGCTTCCGCACGCAGCAGAAGACACGGGAGGAATTCCTCACGCTCATCAAATCACGATGATCGTCCCTGCCTCGGAAGGTACCATAACACCAGAAGACGTGCGCCCTGCTTTCCCCGCATTTCACTACATGAATCCGCAACGATTCAACTCGGAGATCTAAAACTTATTACCTGTATCGTTATGTTCAACACACCGCACTGTACTATTTCTCACCCCACCACTGCCGCACGTTCTGATCAAACCCAATGATAAGCAGAAGGATACAAATGTGTAATGCAATACAAATCGCTATGCGATTGCTCGAGACGAGGATTCATCGTGGATGTTCCGAACGGGAGTCATTAATTCGGGCGGGCCCTGTCCGAGCCGAGAGCTCTACTGATTTGTTCTTGATATCTGTTCCGCACGATTCGCGGTCGTTTCGGCGGATGCGACGAAGGTTCGGTCGGCATCCCGAGCATCGGCTCGCTGCCGTCCTTGTCGCGCTCTGTATAATTTGGGTATTAGCACCACGCAACTCAACGGGCTTGGAAATGTTGTCGACATACCGGACAAGGTTCGCTTCCGTCCGCCGTCTCGATCGTCGTCCGTGACGGGGCTGCGTCGATACGAATCGCCGTTTGCAGGGCCCTTCGGCGCCTCCTTGGATAGCCGACTGAGCAAGCTCTGGTTCTGGGAGCCTGTCATAGACGGGGACCTGCTTGTCGCCACGTGTGCCAGCACCTCACGTTCTCTCCCGCGACCGCTGGGTTCTGTTCGGCCGGGGCGGCTATCGGGAGCCATGGCTCGAGGACCGGAAGGCACCGACGATTGGGCCTTGGGTCCGGTGGGAAGGCTTCCTCTGCTGTCGCTGGGCTAAACACAAACACCTGTTAGAAACGACACTGCATCTTGCGAATGCTCGACGAACCTCTATGGGGGTGCGGGGATCGTTGTCCCCGCCATCACGATCTTTCCGTCTTCTATCACCCTCCCTGCCGTCACGAACCCGTTCAGAGTTGTCCTTGTCCTTGTCAGAGACACGGCGGCTGCGGTCGTCCCGTTCGCGATCTCGATCACGTTCGCGGTCCCGATGAGTCCGTGTACCACGCTTGGAGCTACGGTCGAGCTGAAGAGATTTCAGTATAGAGATATCCAGCAGTAAAATATGGAACCTACATCGTCTTCCCTGCGTCGTTTCCCGAGAGCATCATCGCCATTTGTCCGCGACTTCGCAAAGTCAGGTCTGCTCGGAAGGCCGCGCTCGTCTGCGGGAACAGGAATCACCGGGGTGATGGGGCGAGCATCACGTTCCCTCCTCTCATCGCGATCACGCTCTTTCTCGTCTCGACTGTCTCTGCGATGACGGTCTCGGTCGTGCTCTTTACCCCGCTCGCGGTCGCGCTCCCTCTCACGCTCCTTCTCTGAGCGATCGCGCGGTTCTCGCGGCTCCCTCGAGCGCTCGCCGTCACGCTCCCCAGCCTTGTCGCGACGGTCACGGGACGGCCGCTCCCTGTCCCGGTCCCGATCTCGCGACCTCTGCGAAAGTGTCGAGTCGCGGCGTGACAACTCTCTGGGCTCATGGCGGTGGTCACGCTCGGGCCGCCGCTCGTCGGGTCGGTCATGATCGCCATTTCGTCCGCCGCTGTGACGGCTGTCGGCACTGTGGTTCCTCGTGCCCGGACGACTGGAGGGCGAAGGCGTGCGTCGTCGCGATCCTGGCGGTCCCGCACCGCGCTCGGGAGTGCTCCTGGGCGTCTTGTCTTCACCTTGCACGGCGGACGGTCGGGTGCCTATGGACTGCTTGGCGGTCTCGCGGAGTTCTTGAGCGGATAGGGTCTGGCTCGGGGCAGACGGAGGCGGCATGTGTGACTCTCCGCGGGCACGCTCATCCGGCAGACGGTCACCCCGAGGGGACTTGGGTGGTTCCTTGCGAGCGGTATCGGACTTCAACGTTCCTTGCACGCTCGGCGAAGCAGGACGCGACGTCCTTGATTCCAAGGGCATCGTCCTCCGTGGAATGTCAGGAGGAGGGGGTCGGGTGGTGGAAGGAGCTTCGGGCGGTTTGGGTGTCGATGGTTTTGAATCCCTGGGTTCCGGTTGCAGCGAAGGCCTGCGATCGGGCGCGGGAACGTCGATGTCCATGGCATCACCTCTCAAAGGAGTAGGCGTCGCGGGCTTCGGAGAATCGACACCCTTGGTATCTGGGCGGACGCGCTTCACAACTTCCGGTCTTGGGATGCTGTTGAGATCGTTGGCAACCTTCTACATCGGGCAATGCTAGGCGGACGTACTTTTCGAGAGCGAGCTTCGCATGCGAGGGTCCCGTGGGCACCTTGTCGACTTTGGCTTGCGGTGCACCATTCGTCGTTGGGTGAGCACGAGGCGCAGATGGCGCGGTCGCAGGGGCGGGGACGCCGGATGCGTTCCGCGGCCTTTCTTCTCTAGGGCCACTCGGAATTGCACCAGGAGCAGCTCTCGCGGAGGAGGATGTTGTCGGGGTTCCGGCAGGCGTCTATCCGTGAATATAAGACATTACTACATAAAGCTATCAGAGTTGGAGAACCACGTACCCTGGGCTCGCTCTTCGTTTCGGGTTTCCAGAACTTCTCGCGCTTTTTGAGACCCGCGGCATAACTAGTATATATTTTGTTAGCATGCCTCTATGATCTGAGTGGGTTGGCACAAACCTCTGTCCGAGAATCTTTAAGTCACCTCGTTCTTCCGACTGTATGGCATTTTTTATGGATGCCTCAAGGTGCAGACCTCCTTGCCCGATCACTGCTGCCATTGGAAAGACGGGCAGAATCTCCTTGAGGACGATGATGGTGTTAGACACATGCATGAACTCCCCAGAGTCGATGCAGCTAATAACTCCCTTCAGCAACTTGCGATGCCACTTGACCATGAAATCCTGCTTGAACTGCGTCCAGGGGACAACATCCTCCTCGGTTATAGGCGACTTGTTTGTCCAACGGGCACGCATGCCAGGAAGCCAAACGACCTTGCCCCCGACCTTCGATCGATTGTCTTGAAGATATGCCTGTTCATCCTGATGCCACTTCCAGAGATCACTGAGAACTCCAAGCAGAAAACGGCCTGAAACAGCGTTACACTAATGGTCATAAGCAGATTGATCTACCACGTACCATAATGGCGAGCCTCATATTCGCTGCAAGAGAATATGATTGAGGGGATATGCGAACCAAGCACCTTTCCAAAAGGAATTAGGCTGGGCTAGGGACTTGATGTTCTGGCACACATCACTCACCATGTCATAGCACTTCAAGGTATAAAAGTGGGGCGTGCCCTGTGTGTGCATAAGCTTGATGAACTGGGCGCAGAAGTCGGCGTCCATGGGCGAAAGGAGGCATCGAGGTTGGATACAGTGCTCGTAGAAGGACTGCACGGTCGTCGCGACTCGGGTATCTAAAATTCATCAGACTTGATCACTGAGACAGAATGTTACTGATGCTCACTAGCTGAGAACCAATGCTGCTTCTCCCGCGACAGCCGCTTGACGGTGAATGTCCTCGAGATAACTTGTTCCTTGAACTCCTCGTTCAATTGAGTGATGAAGGAGTTGTATCGGTCTCGCTTCGCCTTGTGCGTTAACGCAACTGTCCGCATGGCACGCTGGGAAGATCGATCTGCCGCACTGTACTTCGACTCTTCTTGGCGACTGAGGGACCGCAGATTCGCAGTCTCCTCCGCATAGCGTACGTCTGGTGGAGATAGATCATACGTCGAAAGCTGCCAGAACGTGAGATAAAATGCAGGTCTGTGCGCGATATCAGCAGTGAGCACACAGACTACGAAGCAACTAACCCTAAGGCGGCGCACGCGGCCGGCGCTATCCGTCGAGCATCGTCAAACAGGGCTTTTAGCTGTGGCAACCACGGGTCCTGCATCGATAGTATGAGAAGAGTTCTAACAGGTGAAAGTTGACTGACCTCCACAGTGTTCTGGTTAGCCGGAGGGTCTGCAGACGTATCCATCGCCGCGTCCTGCGAAGTGGCACCATCGGCCACCTCAGGCTTGGATTCACTGTCCACAATCATGGTGTTATCGCCATTGACCGCGGGCGAAGCGACACGCGAGACACCGCTGGGTTCGCGCTTCTCTTTCAACGCGGCTTTCAGACGCTTCTCGGCCTCTTCGCTAGCCACGCGCTCTTGCTCCGCTGAAGACTTCGCAGCCAACTGAGCGGGAACAAATATGAGTAAATGGAACTTGCATTCTCGCTTCATTACTCACCAACAATTCCCTGGAAAGAACAGGGCGAACAATCTGCATGCAGATGGGCGCACATATCCCGTACTTCTCACCGAGGTCTCCCAGGGACGGAATGACTTTGGTCGCGTAGTCCTCAGGAGATATTACTGCAGGTGAAGTCAACAGGTCCAAGTACTGCAGTAAGACACCGTGGGTCTGAGCAGTTCGACCACGGGTTAGCCATAACCTGTACAAGGAAATATCTGCCCCATACCTGGTCGAACAGATTCGCCAAAATCTTCAAAGGGGCATCGCTCGTTCGGAAGATGCACGATTGACGCTGCTGAGCAACCTGGATTAGAAGGGGAAGAGCCAGACCGGAATCCAGCAAGGCCTTGCCCAACCTCTGCGGGCTGCGCAACGTGATGTCGCTCGGGTCTTGCCGGGCACCACGGTTGACGGACGCCACCGCTTCGACCCGCAGGACGGGGCCGCCAGCCATGGCTTGGATCTGCGCATTGGACAAGGTGGGCAGAGGCTCGATCCCAGCCATCTTCCATATCAGCTCGCGTAGCATGAGGATGTCGCCCGTCTGTTGGTTATACAATTGGTGCACGATGTAGCGGAGGAGCGGCGTCAAGTCGGCCTTGTACCTTCGGAAGAGCATCCCGGTGAAAGCGGCCAAACCTGAAGACGATGGATGTTTAGCGTCAATGACACGGTCTGAATGCAAGGTCTCGTACTCGTAAGCCAGTCGGTGGCGTTGATACCGTCACTCTTGACACGTTCCCTGGCGGGGTCGGCCAAGGCGTCCAAGACGACGAACTGCAGGACGTCGAAACCCATGTTCGTCGAGTACCGAAGACCTTGGACAACCACGTTCGCCAGATTGTCGTAAGATGCAATCTGCTTGACCGCCTCCGCGAAGAAGATCGTTGGATTGGCGTGCGTAAGCTTTGCAACCGTCCCTGCGATCACCTCGATGTTATCGCCCGACAACCTCCGTAACAAGCCTTTGGCCTCCCGATCCGCCCAGGTTTTGCGTATTCGAAGTTCGGGACGCGAGTTATAGATCGTGCGCCATTCGCCGTACAAACGCCACCGCAATGTCGTGTCGTACATCCTGATGATGTTCCAAACCTCTACCGTACATACCGCATTCCCCGGTATGAGCGCCAACGCCGGCATCACGTATAATCGTAACATCTTGAACCAGAATTGGCGTATGGGGTGCTTTAGATCATGGTCTGCGATTGGCATCCTGGAGTCCGGGTCGGAGGATAGCTATCAAGATGTGCCTCAGTCAACAAACAACCTAAGATATGCTGTTCATGGGGGCTGACCGTAGAAGCCACATGGTGGCGACCCAGGCGAAGGAATTTGGTGACCCAAAGCGGGTTGCGCGAAATGTGAGGACCAAGGAAACGCAGAATGGGCTCGACGAGGTCCGCAATGTCTTCCAAAGACGCGCAGAGCGGTACACGGCTCGACCATTCCGGAAGGAAGAAGACGAAGTCGAGCGTGCTCGTGCTGGGAGGTGTCGGCGCCCATAACGTGAGCTGCGGTCTCCGCGGAGGCGGCATACGGGTACCACCTGCGCCGTATCTCGGCCGGGGAGCCATGAACCCCGCCTTGTGTTCTCTCGGGAACGTGGAGTTGTACAACGGCGACAAGCTGACATCCAAAACGCGGATCATCAGATCTGCAATCTCATTATGTGCGTCTATCAACCAAGGAAACTTGGTCAAGATCGGCAGCGCTTGCCGTATGGCGCCCAGAGCCAAGAGGCCGTTGACAATCCCTAGCTTCTGATTCGGCAATTCGGTGTTGGCAGATTTAGGCTCCGTTACGGTGGCCACTTTCGGTTTTGATGAGGAGCTACCTCCGCTTTCGAGCGGTGCAGCTAGGGCGAGGAGGTTCACCTTTGCGCTTGCTATCCGGTCTTCGACTTTCTTCAGGTAGGCTTTGTGGAACCGGTCCATGTCGTCGTCCGCGGGTGAAACCTATGGACAAGGATAAGTGTCCGGTGTTGGGTGCGACATGGCGACGTACATGAGGGTAGAGATCCTCCAGCGTGATAAAGCCTTCTCGGATCAAAAGTGCCGCTACGTAGTACAGACTTCGAGGAGTTGGCTCTCTGATAGCAGGATTCTACGCCGGATTAGACATGGCTATTCTGCTCGAAGGTATCGCAGCCAACCTGGTAGTGTGTGAACTTGAAGCCGAGTACCTGCGCCAAAACTCGGCCACTGCCCTGCTTGAGCGGCGGTGGCTCGCGCTTCTCCCCTTTGAACGACGCGTTCTCGGCGGTGAGCAAGACCTCGTCGAAGGATTTGCCTTTGTACGTTTGCTCCGCTACTGCCTCATCCGGGACGATCTTCGTTTCAGGCGCCCACGACGAGAAAGATAGAAGTTCGAGGAAGAAGGTATAATGGGCGGCGAGGTTGGTGGAGAAGATGTCCAGGATGACGTCGAGAGCGCGATTTGGGTCTAGGTCGAAGTACCCGATGAGGGAGACGACACGTTTCCAGGCTCCACTCGCCCTCGCGCGGATCTCGGCCAGAAACTCTACGGGACGGCCGGTGTCGGACGCGTGAGGGGGGCCCATACTGCTCATGATCTCGACAGTCAACTTGGTGTATCCTTCCGATTGCTCGCGTAGCAGATTGAATTTGTTCTGCTTGTAGCTAGTGGCACGGATCGTTGCCGTCAATCAACTAGTCTTCGTCGACAGGAGCTTGCACGCACAATAACCCAGTTCGGTTCCTCACTTCTTTCTTCGAGAAGGCGTTTTCGTCTGCGATGAGGCCGGCTTTGGAGACGAGGCCAATGTCAAGACGCTCCCGGCAGACCGTAGGGTCTAGAATTCGAGCGGACTGCAGGGGCGCCATGAGGACGAGGTCGTGGAGATCGAATGAGTGCGCGCACCAAAAGCATCTTCAGGACATTTCCCAACAATTGTTTGTCCGTCTCCAGAATCTGAGTTGTTTGAGACACCGATGCCTCTTTGTCCGAGTTCCCCTGCGCGGAGTCGGTGGCGGAGGCGTTCTTCGCATCCAGCAGCAACTCGTCGAGCTCTGCGTCTATTGACCACAAAACGTCGACGAGGACATCGCACAGGGCTGGATCCGGCTCAACCGGCGCAGTGCTTGACGAGGATGGGAGCGCGTCGCGGATGGAACGCACGAGCGCCACAAAGTCGTCCGGCTTGAACGAGGCGTTGGCCGCGCCCACGCCCAACGACGAGTACAGCAGGGTATGATACGCAGTTGTGACGGTATCTACGGATTTGGGGTCCGAGATCGTCGAATGGCATGGTAGGAGTATACTTCGGCTGAACACCGCGAGTTAGAACGCCTTGTGGCGACCGGGAGTATGAAGCAGAATACACACCATTCTTCCTCAGCGCCCCGACTCCATTGCAACGTTAGGTTCCGTAGCCGAGAGACCACGTCCATGGCAAGTGAGGACCTCCTGCTTGAGCGCGCAGGGAAAGGGAAAGCAAACGCGAGAGTAGCGCTGCAGGCGAGGGTGGCGTGCCACCGAGCAAGACTCCACAGCTTCTGTCCGTGGGAATCTCGCGGTCCTCGCCGGGGATCGAGAATCGGAGATGCCTTCACCGCGACTGTAAAGTACATACTCGCTGCTCGGAAGACGACCGTGAAGACATCGTGAAGACATGGCTTCATTCTACCACGGCCCCATTGTTAGGATACTCCTCTCCACAGCACGATGATGGTTCCACTTCTAATAGACTTTATCGCGACGAAATTGCCATGATCGTGCCATTATATCGACGGAATTGCCCGCAGGACTGCCAGACGTTCGGACATGCCGCCGACAAAGCATTTGGGTCCAAGCGCCTTTACAGTGCTTGGCTGGACGAGCCAGGCCCGCTAACATGCATTAACGCCGGTCCATCGGACTCCGGAGTCAAAAGTCGGTTCCTTTAATCAACGCGAGGCCGCCGTGCGTCATTGCCTATCAATGTCCGCCTTGAGGTGGCTACCACGCCCGCTACATACTCGAACATTCCGGATTTCGGACGACCTGATCAAGGCACTGGAGTGCAATCCTTCTCATGCTGGGCCTCGGCCCGCGTGCGACTTCGGATCAGCGGTATAGGTGCTCAACACATTGTCGCCCGCCGCGCCCGTCGACTTCGATCACTAGAGTCTAGCGCCACTCCTGCCTCCGAGTCCAAGTATATAACGCTACCGGATGCCGTCGTTAGGTCCTTCTTGCCCTTCCCGGTCCGCATCCTTGATACGCGTTCGAGACACCCTCGGTGGGCTCGCCTTCACCATTGCATGGTTCTAGGATTCGCCTCTCTATCCACGTTACTAGGGCTTGCAGCTTCTGCCGCCTCTGCTCCGTCTTTGACTTTTCAGCAAGGGCTGGACGATGACGTACTGACGAACGTGCGGGATCGGCTGCTTGAGGCCGCAAGTCAAAGGTAGCGCATTCGCTCTGTGTTTGTTGTATGTTTTCACTCATAAACGCCTGGATTAGTTGGGAACTGGGGACAGCTGCGGAGGCCCTGACTGAAGTCTACTGGCCAACTTTAGCTGTCTTTCAACCAACTGCATTCCCCCCGAGCTTAAACGGGTCGTACAATGCATCTTCTGTTCTCGCTATAGCAGACACGTAAGTGCCATCATGCACAGGCTGTCTTCTCAACTGATTGCTATCGTAGCGTCGTCGCCGAAAAACCGTCAGAGTCGCTCATGCTCATAGAAGAGGGTGCAGTAGGCGATCCCGCAAGTACGTCATTTACCTCGTGGATGCAAGGCTTGTAGCTAATCTGTCCCCGCAAAGGTATCGGGAACGCGGTCCTACTTGCCAACTGGACTCGGCAAGACCTCTCTAACGCAAACTTCTCTATTGCAGCAGGCGAGGAATTGGACTACCTCCTCAATCAAGCTCCACGAACCGATGATGGCGCGATATCGCACCGCAACGACCAAGTCCAGTTATGGTGAGTATTCTCCCAAAAAATGCGGGAGGCCATGAACACGGTAAATCAAAATGCTTTACAGGGCGGACTTCATTTACATGGCTCCTCCCTTCATCGCCTATTTCGGGGCCCTTCAGGGAGGCGACGGAGGCAAAGCGACCCTTCAGGTCGCCTATGACCAAATTCGTCTCTACCGCAACTACTTGCGAGACGACAACGGCCTATGGAGGCATGTCACCCTTGGCACTTGGCAAGATAACACGCACTGGGGAACGGGTTGGTCAATCGTGTTCAAAGCCTTCATCCGATAACCTGACCAACAAATCACAGGAAATGGCTGGGTTGCTGCAGGAATGCTCCGCGTGATGGAGACCATGGCCAACTCTGAGTTCGCATCGGACTTCGAGGAACAATGTGCCGATCTTTCTACGTGGATCCAAGAAATCGTTAACGCAGCTTGGACCTACCAGGTATGTTTGATTCATCCTCGTACTCGCAGCCTGCGTCCTCTAATGCGAAGATGGCCAGAAACCCAACGGAACCCTCTATAACGTCCTGGACGACGACACCTCCTTCGCCGACAGCTCCTCCACCGCCCTCCTTGCCTCCGTCACCTACCGCATGGCCACGCTCACCAACGACCTAACCTACATCCCCAATGCCAACCTCGCGCTACAGCTCATCGAATCTAGCCTCGATTCCGATGGCTGGTTGCTGAACACCGTCGATCCGTACACGTTTTCGAGACCGACCGCATCTGGAAGCCACAGCCCCGAGGGGCAGGCGTTTGTACTTTTGCTTCACGCCGGCTGGCGAGACTATATTGCCTGGCTGGTGCTGCAGGTCATCGCAGGAAACATGACCATATGATATGGACTTCTGTATTCTTTCGTTGTTTGATAATGGGCTTTTTGGAGATTACGTTTGTAGACGATCGCACGACTAGAAATCACCAATGTATCAGAATGAATCGACTGGATGGGTACTGTATGTGTATGAAGTACTGGGCCGCATTGTTGCGTCTCATGCGTATAGACTGGATGTTGCGGTAACAAAATTGCGTTCGAAATGAACATGCATGCAAGATACATGGGCGCGTTACACGGTATCTCTCCCTCTGATGCTCGGTAAAGGTGTCTTATCCGGCAGAACCATTGCGGCCTTCGCACCTGGGCTCATCATGAGTTCCCGACTATAGAACCTCTCCCATAGAGCAGGTTCCGCAAGATACGGGTTAGCAAGGAGAAAGGACGCGAACGGTGATGAAAGTGGCTCTCCCTTTTTCACCGATGTCACCTCCTTGCCACTGTCACCAATGTCCTCCTCGACCAGCGTGGCGTTAAGGGGAAAGACCTCCTCGGAGGTAGTCGGGGGGAGGTCCTGCCCAACGAGCATGATCCCGAAGTGTACGAGCTGAATCCAGAAATATGTCATGGTGACGTGGAATTTGCGTCCGTCGGATTGCGTCTTGTTCGTGGCGATGTAGTGTTGGATGCCATCGAATATGTCGTTCTTGCCCTTCTGGCGCCCGTGAACCTTCAGCAGGACGTATGCGACCCGCACGTGCGTGTAATGGTCCCAAGAGGGCAGGTCGGCGGCCTTGAATCGCGCCAGGAATGCATGGTCGGGCAGGCTCGCCTCGTCCGCAATCGCGCGCTTTACGTATTGAGAAACGCGAGTCTCCGTTTGCTCTCCCTGAGTTTGCGATACTTGTGCGGGAGCTGACGAGAATGATACATTCTCTGCTGGGTCGTATTGACCTGATAGTGTCCGGCAGAGCCAGCTGATGCCTGTGGGGATACCAACGTCCTCCGTGACGACGGACGCAGGAACGATGGTCCAGATACGTCCCTGACATACGGCTGCAAACATAGGGTGAAGTTCTGGGATGCGAATCGCATTTGGTAAGTCTTGCTTGTTTGCCAGACTAGGATCACAAGTGAGCTGCGAACAGTTTTCGAGAGATAGTTAACTGACATCAGGAACGGGATCTTTTGAGAGACCTCGACGCCGAGTTCTTGATCAAGCTCGTTGAAAAGGAACTTGAGCTCTGTGAGGCTTTCCTCTAGGAAGTTCCTGTCGGCCGAGTCGACCATCCAGATGATGGCCTCCGTGTAGGAGAAGTAGTATTTGAGGAGGCTCCGCATGTGCCCGCCGCACCCTCCCCCGAGATCCCAGGCCACGAAATAGTCGCGCGAGTCGGGAAATCTGAGCGACTCGGCGTTGAAACCGATCGTCGGTATCGTCTGCATGACACGGTGCAAGTTGCCGTCCTTGAGGAAATACAAGAGTGTCGTTTTGCCGGTGTAGTGGAGACCCAGGATCAGAATCTTGCGCGTCCGTCGAGGACTTATGAAGATCTCGAGGAGTCTGTTGAGCATCGTCGCCATATCCGAATACGATTGCTGGACGGTCGAACGAAGCTGAATGAGAAAATTGGCAGAGGAGGTCGGGGTCGGGCTGCAAATAACGTGTTGAAACTCCCGCCTTTATAGCCGCAGCGCGGGGCATATGGCTCGCACGAATGACTTGGATGCTACACGTTGAGCCGCCGACATGAAGGCCTGGGGATCGACGTGTATATATCATGCCGCAGCATGCATAGCCTCATAGATGAGCTGTCGACTACAGCATCCATTGGTATCCATCAGTCAAAGTACGACGTATCAGAGTCATACGCACCTCGAAGTGTTCATGAGCTGTGATGGAGAAGCGTTAATGCCCAGCTTTCCGTGAGTCGTCAAAGTGGTAAAAACCGTCAATGATGAAGCGTCGACTAGCATCCATACCATCTTCGGTCGACTTTGCACTAGCTAACCAGGGCGTAATGTAGTGAAGGACTCGAATTGCGGATTTAGAATATAAGTCAAGCTCGTATTCTTGTGCGATGAATAGGGCATTCCCTGGAATAACGTGTACGATGTTAGTGGCGAAGAATGCTGCGAAGGGCCGTTGGAGCCAGATAGAATTGGGATGAGAGAACGATAATTATAGGAACTATAGCAGACAAATGCAGAAGAGCAGGTACGCAACGGGCATGGCACTATATACACCCAAGTCAATAAGCCATACGCTTGCAAACTGCACAACAAGAGGAACGCACACTCGGCTCATAACCGCCTCGCCTTCTTCGACCGCGTACCTCCAACCTTGATCGCCGTCCTGTCCGATATTTGCTTCAACATGCCCCGGACCTTTTCCCCTTCCACCGCCAGGAGCGCCGAAGTGAGCGCTTTCCTCCCCTGCCCGTACTCCTTCATGATCAACTCCCACTCCATCAACCCTCCAAGCTCCTCCGCCCGCTCCTCGATCTTCTTGAACATCTTCACCGCGCACTGGTACCCCGCCTCGTAGCTGTTGCGATTGCTCTTCTTGAACCCGCAGTTGCCGCCCGACGTCCAGAATATGGGGTTTCCCTCTCCCGTAGTGAGCGTAGCGATCGTGTTGTTACGCGTCGATTGGAAGTAGAGCCGTAGCCGTTGTCTCTTGTCGGAGGCGAGGTAGTTGTACTTGCTCGCCTCACCTTTTATCGGGGAGAAGGCCTTCTCGTCTTTCGGAAAGCTGTTCGGACCAGCCGTGGGCGGCGCATCGTTCTCTGGCGGGGTTGAAGGTATCGGCAGCGAAGTCGGTTCACCGCCCTCCGGGTGCGCCAGCTGGTTAAAGAACTCGGGCAAGAGAGATGAGGACGTGGATTGCCTAGCAATCAGGCGGGGCTGCCTGGCAGCGTGCTGGAGCAGAGAGCGCGATGCAGTCCGAATCATGGTCGTAACCTGTGCGGCTCGTTGGTACATACACTTGTACTGTAGCGGAAAGCCAACGACACGTACAGTCTGCCAGGCCGTCGCCGCGGTCGCAAGCTGCGAAATAATAGACGCCCGTGGACTGGTGCGTGTAAGCGCGCAAGCACAACCCGGTTTTCCGCCACAATCCGACCTTCACCGAGTCTCCCCCCCCATCACCGAGTCCCCTTCGTCATGGCCGTACGTCCCTCACCAGGTCATATCCACCCGCAATGCTCACGACGGTCATAGCTCGCCACCACCTTCTACAACACCTTGGTCAAGCGCAATAGTGAGTGACCACGCCGAGTTTGCTCGGCGCCCTTCAACCAACTTCCCGCTCAACAGGCGTCTACGTGACCTCCATCTTCGCGGGCGCTTTCGCGTTCGGCATCGGATTCGACGTTGGAATTACCGCGCTCTGGGATACCTGGAACAAGGGTGTATGTCCTGATTCAACTCACTCGTCGTTTATACTTGACCTTACCCTCGCTTGTACAGAAACAATGGAAGGATATCCGCGCAAAATACATTGAACAGGACGAGTAGACTTGTAAATCCCTTATAATGCATGACGAAGCCCCCGGAGGTGCAATACATACAGGCCAGGGTCTTTGATCCACAAAAACGCAGTGATCGCACGTCCACGTCGCCATCAATTCGAAGTTCGACTCCTGCTTGCATATAACCGTCCTACTGGGCTGTACCGCGCACGAAAAGCAGAGAAAATGCATCCGTGAAACATGTCCCGGATCTGGCAAGGTCGCATGCCGTGCAGGAGCAGACCTCACTGGGTTTTTGGACTTCACCTATATGCATACGGTCGACCAACCACGCTGCACGTTGTCCATGAAGCAGAGAAGCTATATCCGTGGTCCACGAGATATCCATGGTCACTCCGGTGCTCGTCGGGTGCTCGGTGTGAACCCAATACTTCGCCATCCACGCTAGGTTGATGCAATCTGAGGACGGGCAAACAATTAGTACCATTTGAGGTCATGCACACCCACTGAACTCATATATACCGAACCATAGAGTGCCGTTCTCGATTACCGACAAGGACTCCGGACGCATGGCACGCCTACGCACGTTGTCCTGCTTCAGTTACAAGTAGGACTTGCCGACTGCATCCTCACGTTGTGACTGTCCTGACGAACATTGAATCACCCAATGGAAGACCGACGGTTCGACCAACAAGGAATGTATTGAAGCAGGTGCAGCGGAACGGCCCGGACCAGGGTATGCTGTTTTGTTTCTACTCACGGAGCGCTATCCTGGTTATATTCAACGCATATATTCACCTTGAGTGGCGAATCTGATATGTCAGAACGAAAAACAACCGCATATGACTCCTTTCATAGAGTGCACTTGACGACGATGGGCGCCGTCAGGCTGCGTATTTATAGTCCACGCACGAGGCGGGTGATCATGCGTCTCTTACGCGGAACAGGGATTTGGAGACTTCAGAGACGGCGTTTTCCTTCTCCTTGTATCATACTCACAACATGGTATCGCGGGCTTACACGCGGGATACGGGCGCGGGCGCCGGGCTAATCCTCTGAGCACCTCCGCGTCGAGAGCAAAGATCGAAGTCGCGAACGTTTCGGAGGCTGACGAGACCTCAGGTCTTCCAACTGGCGGCCTATCTATCCCCGGTTTTCGATAGTTTCGCTCTCACCGATCGTCGATGCACCGTGAGCGCCAGCATGTCGTTCTCCCCGGGCGGTCGCATCCCGGATTGCCGGGTGCAGACGAGTTGTCGTGCACGCGCATGCGACCGTCGCCCGCGAACGCACGCAGGGCGCGCAAGCAGCAGATGGGACGAGCTAGGAACGACGACCTAATCCCTATATGAAAGAACCACGAAACGGGGCCGTGCGAGCATACAAGAGTCACGAGGCAGTCGGTTTAGACTACGTACCGTTGAACGAGGCCGGACCTGGCAGAGCGTGTACGTGCCAAGAAGCGTTTGTGGACGGCGAGAGGGCGTCGAGGGTCATGGGTCCGCCATGCGCCCGGTGCATGACCATGCACGCTAGGATCCGCTGGGAAGCATGTGCGGTACGATGCGGCACGCACCAAAATTCTTGTATGGAAGGAACGGCGTCACTGGCCCAGCGCTGCAACGACAAGGGAGCGAGCCCAAGCCCAAGTTTAGGACGGGCCTGGACGGGATTCCCTGGAATTAGGCGTGGCGTTGTGAAGATGCAGGGCACGATTTGGCAGTTCCATATTTGAGTGGTGGATATTTCTCATCTCGCGTACACGGAGATAGTATCGGTTTCTCCGCCGACGAGGGGGCAGAAATAAGGTAATACATGATGTCTATAGAGGGACTGTGACGAGAAGAATCTACTGTCGAATTCAGCACTGGATATCACACCACGTTTGCGGTACGAGCTTACTTGCTCAGAAGTGCTGGGTCGGCATGCGCGCCATCTGGCCGCTCTGACTCCAAAGGGGGGTGATGCCCATCATCTTCGCGCGCTTGATCGCCTTGCGGAGCTTGCGCTGGCTCTTCCACGTGAGGCGGGTATGGGTGCGGGGCAGGATCTTGGCCATGGACGTCTGGAAGGCGGAGAGGAGCGTCGCATTTTTGTACTCCCATGACGGGTCGATCGCGAGCTGGTGGAACACGTCCGTCGAGCGCGCCGACGAGGCAGACGGCCCGAGCTGCGGCGGGCGCGAGAACCCCGCGCGGCGGAAGGTGCGGCTGGAGATCCGGAGGTCGCCAGGTTGGAGGAACTAAGGTGTGAAGAAGCGGAGAAGGTAAGCCAGGCGGAGATGCAAGTGACAGAAACGGGGAGGTGGGCTTACGTAATTGGCGCGGAAGTTGTGAAAGTTGAGGGGCATGTTTCCTGCTATTTGTGAGCAGCGCTAGTTCAGCAAAACAAGGCCGGAGACTACGTGAGCGGGTCGGGACGCACAAGTCGCGAGTTGCTGCTGCTGCTCCGCGGTCTCATCGATCGTTCTGATCATTTGACCCCAGTCAGCGCCAACAGACTCGTCGTCGAGTTGGCGGGCGGACGACGAGAACGCGCGGACGGTGTGCGCGACTTGCGCGCCGCATCGTTGCGTTCGTTGCAGGACGGCGGCCAGCATGGGTGTGGCGGCAAAAGCCAAGGCGCTCGATGATCACATGACTGCGCTGAGCGGGAGTTGCCGAGCAGCGTCAGCGGGTTTCAGTGTGCCCTGGGAGCGTGGGTGGCTGCTGAGCTCGTTATGAACGTCTTCGAACAGTCGGAAGTGTTTTTGGATTGGCTTGACGAAAGTGATCAAACCGTAACATAAGATAAGCCCGAGTCGAGAACTCGACAGACCGCAGACGTAGCGAGAGCCTAGAGGTAATATGATGTAGGGACAGTAGCGTATACACATCTAGGGCCGCCGGGTCGGGTGGACGGGACGGCGACCTCGTCCATCACCTCACCCTCCATCACCCAGCCCGCCAGCCACCAACAACACCGAACAACCGCGTTTTCCTGGAAATCCATCTTGTGTTTCTGTTTTCTCTGATACACGAGACGCATCTCCCTGCTATCCGGATCACGGCCGGGTAGCCTGCACTGCGTGTTACCAGGCGCAACAGACCTGCCCCACGGAAAAAGCGGGCTCCAACGTTCCACGCCTCGAGTCCATCTCGCTTCCCAGCCCACCCGACCAAGGCGACCACCACCGTCCCCCGCCCGTCTCGCTCGAACTCGTCCGATGAGTGGTTGATCATCCCGCCCCCCACGACCGTGCCGCCCGCCACTCTTTTCTCCGTCTTTTCTCTCCCCGATTTCACTGCCCCGCCGCCGCCGCCAACACCCGCGTGGCAGTCCACACCCGCCGTGTTTGCTGCCACCGACATTTCCAGCGCATCTCTGCCACTACCAGGACGACGACCGTGCTACGATGTCGGACGCAACGGGCGCAGAACGGCGCGGCACGTCGCCGCCTGCCCCACACCACGCACCTCACCGCCTCAACCGCCAGGCCCCCAGCCCGCTCATCTTCTCGCCCGAAGCCATCTCCCCACCCACCCCGCCTCTCCGCCCCTATCCGCAGACGCAGCCGCCCAGCGCCGGGGCCTCCCACTCGCAGCTTCCAGGCGCCGTCTCATCCTCGTCCGGCTCCAATTCGGTCTCGATGCCGTTCGTGCGCCGGCACGTCACCCGCCGGCTGAAGGCGGCCAAGGCGGACTGCGACAAGGAGCTCCAGCGGGTGACGAACAGCATCACGCAGTACTTTGAGCAGAAGCTGAAGGAGAGCGAGGTCGAGCAGCAGGCGGAGCGCGAACAGCGGGGGAGGGAGCGGGAGCGGGAAAGGAAGGAGAGGGACTACGAGCGCGAGGCGGAGCGCGAGGTCGCGAACGCGATGGAACGCGAGCGGTCCTGGCGGGAGTATGCGAGTGATTCGCCGGAACCGACTCGGGAGCCGTTTACCTTTCAACCACACGATCTGAGCATGGCGCTGCAAGAGCAACACCGGGTTCAGGATGGCGCGTCGGAGGCAGGCGACGAATCCGATGCCCGCGCTCGATCTCACAGTCGTGGCCATAGCCGACAACGTACGTTGTCTGCTCTCTGCCACGGTTTATCCTGGTTGCCGCGTCCGTCTTGCCAATGCACGAGCTAATATATGCCACCTTTCTGGTGACCTACAGCCTCCCGACATGCGCATTCAACGGCGTCCTCGTCCCCGGCGCCCATGCGCCAACGACCACCCTCCTCGTCCTCCGTCATGATGCTCCCGCCACCAGAAGTTCCGTCCCGCAAACAAGGCTCCGGCGCCCCCATCGCCGGCTCTTCCACGCTCGGCGCGCATTCGCAAGGCATGATCTCCCGCCGCCTCTCGCGGAGCATCCACATGCAAGCCCGCCCGACCGCGTCCTCGGCGTCCTCGCGTTCTACGTCTCGCTCGCGCTCGCCCATGCCGCCCACGACGCAGCCCGGCTCCTTCTCCGAGGTGTGGTCTCAGCAATCCGCCGGCTCGGGCGGCGCAGGCTCGGGCACGATCTCGCCGAACGCGACGCGTGACAACAGGCGCTCATCGCGGGTCCTCGTCGACGACCCCGTGGACCCGATCATGTCCGCGCTCTACGCGATCATCGGCGTCGCGACCGACATCCAGGACATGTCCGTCGCGCAGCTGACCGCGAACCCGAAGGTGTGCGAGGCGCTCGTCCAGCGCGTGCAGGCGATCGGCCGCATGTGGGACGAGCACCCGGACTGGCACGGCCGCAACTGGTACGTGCAGGTCCTGCTCGCCGTCGCGAGCCTGAGCCGCGTCGTCGAGTGGTGGGAGGCGGAGAAGAACTTTTGGAACTTTGACGACGAGGGCGAGGAGAAGGACGAGCCGCTCGCGTTCGTGATGAAGCCGGCGGAGGAGGAGAGGGACGAGGAGCGGTCCGCGGCGGTGGAGCCGACTCCGACGGCGGAGACGGAGCGGGAGAAGGAAGGCGTGCGCGCCGCCCCTGCGTTTCAGAGTGGACTGCTGCTCGCGCCCGAGGAGGCCGGCAAGCTACGCATGTCGAGGACGACGTCGCAGGGAAGGAGGTCGAGAGAGGACGTGGCGAAGGCTAAGGACCTGCAGGACGCGATCCACGAGAAGGAGCAGGAGCTCGCGTCGCGGCCGTACAGTGCGGAGAGCGCCCGGGTGCTGGCGACGGAGCGGCTGAGGCTGCAGGCCGAGACGGCGCAGAACCGGAACATTGTGATGGAGCTCGACCAAGACGGCGACAAGATCCTGTGGGTCAATTACGCGTGGGCCGTTGTCGTTGGGTAAGTGGTGGACGCATTTCTCCCTTTCTGCATACGTTTCGTGCTGACGGTGGGTTGCAGCACCGAACCGGAAGAAGTCGCTGGGACGAAGATTACGCGCATGCTGGCTCCTTCCGATTGGCATGTCTTCACCGACGCGTGCAGGCGCCTTGATCAAGACGATTCGCATACGGTCGAGGTCAAGTTCCGCATGCTCGTCTACCCTCCGAACGACGATAGCAACGCATTGCACTACCAGCCCTTCGAGGGTAAGGGTATGCTCATGGTCGACCGCGAGACGGGCCATCCCAGTCATACGATGTGGGTCATCAAGCCTATCGGTCCCCCGGAGGACCAACCAGCGTCGCAGACTGTCTGGGACGTGGCCGGCGACGTTACCGGCGATGCCGCCGACGAGTCCATGTACGAACCAGCGGACGAAGAACCGACGGGCAGGCAAGACATGTTGTCGCCGGTCACGCCCTTCCCCTTCGCACGGCCGGTGAACACCCAGCCGATCCTATGCCGGATCTGCGAGTGCAACGTCCCGCAGTGGTACTTCGAGAAGCACAACGAGACCTGCGTGGAAGTGCACCGACTGGAGGCAGAGATCGCAGAGTGCAACGAGTCCATCGCCGAGCTGCGGAACACGATCCGCGGCCTCACAGCGTCCATCGACCGCTCGCCGTCGCCTGCGAACGCGCCGGAATACCGGGGCATGCCCATTCTCAGCCCCTCGAGCAGCCCGAACCAGGGCAGCCCGCTCCGGTACTTGAGCAGCAAGCTGCAGAGGCTCGGGATCAAGAAGATGCAGAGGCGGGTCTTGGAGCAGCTCGAGGATATCTTGCAGTTGGCGGCGGAGGTGTCGATACCTGCGCTTAAGGAAGACGAATCGAAGGAACCCATCGAGAGGCAACGGCTATTGTCACCGTCGTCGGAACGGAAGATGACCCAGATTCGAAACTGGTCGAAGCCCTCGTCCGAGGACGCAGCGCTCACCCAGCTCTTGGACGATGCGGAGAGGGTGATGCGTCAAAAGCTCGACAACGTTGTCCGGATGCAGAACACGATCAGGTATACGGAGAAGGTGCGGCAGGAGTGGGAGGAGAGAGTGATGGAATGCTTGAGTACGATGGGCGACGTTGATGAGGAGGAAAGTGACGAAAGCGAGTACAGCGATCAAGGAGATTATGCCGGGGGTTATGCGAGCAGCACCAAGAGCGAGTACGCGTTCAATGGAGAGGAGCCAGAGGCGTCGAGCGAACCAACGCCGCTCGCGGTCACGCCGCCCATTTTGGCTCCGTCAGAGATGCCAACACAGACGCAGCCCATACCGCTTGCTGCACCAAGGCCAGGGCCTCCGCCGCCACCACCACCACCACCACCAATGTCGAGGACGGGGGCCAGTCTTGCGACCAGGTCATCCACGCCCTCTTCTGTGTCGTCTCCCTTGGCACTTGTACCTCCCATCGTGGCCTCTCCATCGCCACCTCCACCTATCAACCTCGACGAAGGAACTCTCAGACTCAACACGGATCTACGGTACTACCTTCCGGAATTGTATCCTCAGGTCCAATCCCCTGGAGGCGTAAGCCGCTCGTATAGCCAGGGCGATGTCCGCCCGTCGCCGGACATGGCTTCGCCGCCCCGTAACCGAGACGACGCCACGAGTACGCGTACCATCCGATCCCAGAAGTCGTCACAGAGCCTGCAGCAGGTCTTTGAGCCTCGTTCAATGCTTACTCCGCCCATGTCGCCGCTCGTGTCGCCTCGTGACGTGACCGTCAAGAAACATCGTCGGCAGTCCACTGCGCACAACCTGATGAGCCCGACAGTCGGGGTCGCGGCTCTGTCTCCTCGCCTACCAGCTCCAGCGCCCATGTCGAGGACGACTCCGACCTCGATCAAAGACTTCGAGATTATCAAGCCCATCAGCAAAGGCGCCTTTGGCTCCGTGTTCCTTGCCAAGAAGAAAGCGACTGGAGACTACTTCGCGATCAAGGTGCTCAAGAAGGCAGACATGATTGCGAAAAATCAAGTCACCAACGTCAAGGCAGAGCGCATGATTCTCATGAAGCAGTCCGAATCGCCCTTCGTCGCGAAGCTCTACTTCACCTTTCAGAGCAAGGAGAACTTGTACCTCGTGATGGAATACCTCAACGGCGGCGATTGTGCCGCGCTAATCAAAGTACTCGGATGTCTTCCGGAAGAGTGGACAAAGAACTACATAGCCGAGGTCGTGCTTGGATTAGAATCTCTGCATCGCATGGGCATCGTGCACCGGTAAGAGTCTCGAAATGCCCGTCACGTCTCGCTGCAGTATTGACCTCCTTCTTAGTGATCTGAAGCCCGACAACCTGCTTATTGACCAGCATGGACATCTGAAACTCACCGACTTCGGTCTGAGCAGGATCGGTCTGCTGGGTCGTCAGACTCGCGATCCTCAGGTTTCGCATCGGCCCCCTGCCAAAATTAGCCCGGGGTCACGACCTCCGTCCATTGACATGGCGAACTTCTCGTCGCCCATGACATTGGATCCAGCGTCCGGTTCGTATTTCAGCCAGAGGACGCAAATGCTGCCCCGCCTTGGATCCACGCCGTATCTCAACACGCCTACAGATGACCCGGACTCGTCTGGGTCGACGCCGGATTCGCAGCCAGGTGTCCGCCGTGCGCCGAGACCGAGCGAGAGTCCGCTCACGTCGTTCGCGACTGAGTTGACCACTGATCTCCGCTCACACTCGAACGGCACGCCCCCTGCAGAACAGCGCTTCGTGGGTACGCCTGATTATTTAGCGCCGGAAACCATTCTAGGTCTTCGTGGCGACGATGCTGCCGTTGATTGGGTGTGTGATGTTTGATCTGTTATTACGTGAATATGAATTGACGCAACTTTCAGTGGGCTTTGGGCGTAATCACTTACGAGTTCCTTTACGGTATCCCTCCTTTCCACGCCGACAGTCCCGGGAAGGTGTTCGAGAACATACTTTCTGGAAATATTGAGTGGCACGAAGACCTTATCGAGTATTCACCGGAAGCGCGCGACTTCATGCAACGGCTGTTGACCCTGGACCCCTCGAAACGTCTGGGGACCAACGGCGCAGATGAAGTCAAGGCTCACCCATGGTTCTCGGACATTGTATGGGACCAGGTTACGACGCGGGAGGCAGCCTTCATTCCGCAGATCACCGACCCGGAGTCCACGGATTACTTCGACCCTCGAGGTGCTATCAACCAGATGTTCGACGACGATGATCTCGTGGTTTCCGCTCAGAACGCCGGCGAGAGTCCTAGCGCTGTGTCAGAACTGACTTTGCCAGCGGCGGTTCCAGTTACAGCTGTCAGTCGCGAGGCATCGGGCTCTCCGGGCGACGACAGCTTCGGTACCTTCAACTTCAAGAACCTTCCCGTTCTGAAGCAAGCCAATGACGAAGTTATCCGCAAGTTGCGGACGGATCAGATGGCACCGATCGCCCATGCACTCTCGGAGTCGAGTGCACATTCTCGGAGGCGTAGCATTTCGCACCGAGTCAAGAAGCCTCCCAGTGTTGTCACGACATTCGACCCCAAGAGCATGCCTCCAAATCCACCTTCTCCTGCTACTTCGACCTCCTCGGTTGCATCCTCACCGTCGCGTGCCAGCTTGCCGCCGTCCACGCCCGGAAGCGCCACTAGCCACGCCCGCAAACCATCGGAATACAGCGCCATCGAGCGCTTCAAACACAACCAGATTGAAGGGGAGGGTATCCGCCGACCAAACTCGATGCCGAGCCGGTTACGCACCGCGTCCGTCTCCACGAGCAGCGCTGACGGGTCGGTTAATTCGGAGTGGCCCCAGTCCAGCGGGCAAGGCTCGAGTCACTTCGAGCCCAACACGCCGCCGTCGTCCGTGGTCTCGATTGACCTTAGGAAAGCGCCTGATCCAAGCGACCGCGCGGTGACCTGCCTCCTCGCGGAGGACAATCCTATCACCGCGAAGATCCTCGAGACCTTGCTCATCCGTCTCGGCTGTCGCTGTGTCGTGGTTGCGGACGGGTCAGAAGCGATCAGCGTGGCCATGGGAGACATCAGTGAGTTTCATATCAATTAGTCTCCTGATACTCGTGTTTCTGACATCCGCTTCTTGCAGAGTTCGATATCATCCTTATGGATCTGCACATGCCTGTCCGTGAGTATCGGGGTTCAGTCTAGTGAGAATATCGCGCTAATTCTTTGAATTTCCGCAGTCGATGGCGAAGGGGCTGCCCGGTACATCAAGAGTACCAACGGCAAAAATACGAACACTCCTATCGTTGCCGTCAGCGCCTATAGCGGCACCGATCCGCACGAAGCCAGCAACCTATTTGCTGCCTCACTAGCCAAACCGGTCCAAAAGGCCGATATATTGAACGTGTTCCGTCGACTTGGCTTCAAGACGGCGCAATCCACAACTCAAGGCAAGGGCGCGGAAACCAAGGTGACCCCGGTACGATGAAGGGAGTGGCGTTCCAGTTACATACAGCTGTGGATTTCCTTTCTCGTCGTCTCATGCTTACTCTACCCATTCGTTCTCTACTCTATCAACTTTCCTCTCCGGCCTCTGGTCTCGTTGCTCACGACTTCATGATATTACTGTCTCTCAACCTCACAATCGGCATCCCATCGCATCACGATCATACTCTTTTCTCCCATTAGTCCGCATTCTGCTCTGCAAACATTCCCTTGATATCTCCTGCATTTGTACGTGTAAGTATAGATTCATCGCGCCCCACCAACACGTTTGGAGCCTGTACTTCCAGTCGAGACTGGCCCTTTCCTCCGTCCTGCGTTGTGCCATACCTAGCAATCGGCATCATTACCTTGATTTGGGTAGAATCGGCGAATGTGAGACGAACGGACAGCGCGCTGTATCCGCATGCCACGCTCGGCGTTCGGATTAGCGCCCAAGCCTCTACCGATGGCGGGGCCGTGGGTCCTGCGCCATTTCGCAACAGCTTTGGTTGTTTTGTTACTTTCTCTACAGTTCCCTGCCAGCGCAAACAGCTCCGATCACGATTTAAGACCGTGACTAGTTCAGGCTCGCGCAACATTCGACCTACTTGAACAGAACTCCCCCGGGTTTTATCGGTTCTGTCGGCCGTGGGCGTCATGGCACATCCTCCCGCATTGCAACGTAAGTCTGATCGCATATCATGTTTTAACTCCCAGTCATTCCATCTATCCACAACTCTTCTGAATGACTAGGTCATTGCCGTGCACAATCCTCATAATCCAAACAACGGCTGATGATCGACGTGAACAGGTACTCCCGGGATTCCGTACGGAGATAACGGCCACGAAGCGCGACGTGCCAGTGTTTCATCATCATACTTCCCTGAGGCAGAGTCCCAGGCAGGCACATCGCGGAGTCCCACAGACGCACCATTCCCCGGTGGATTTGTTCGCGCACCGTCGTTTCCGGTGCCTACGATACCTGAAGTCCTGGCTCCCACCGGCCAACACAACAACGGGTATCTGACGGCGTACGACACGTCCAGTCTGTTCTTCGACTCGCCCTCGCCGAGCAGCCCCAACTATCCGACACAGTATGAGTTCCCTAGGCCGGTATCGGACACTGCGGTTCCTCTGCATATACCGAGGCCTGCTCGACACAGTTCGCTAGAAGGCGCGTCCACAACCTCATCGCCCCCCTCCGCTGGTGCGATTCTGCACCGAGCCAGGACCTCCCCCGCCCCAAAGCTTCCTCCAAAGCCTCGACTGCACCCTCCCGGCCATGGCAATATCTCGTATCCAGATCTACGCCCAAAATTCGAGTTGTATCCACCACCGCCTCCGCGGCATGATACGAAGCCGTCGCCGCCACATATCACTGCTACCCCCGAGCAACAAAGCCCCTCACGCCCTCCTCCGTTGCTGCCGCCGAAGCCCGATAATATACTGTATCCGCCACTGCCGCCCAAACCGCCACAGCTGCAACATGCTGATGCCGCGAATGTAGAGCATCACGACCCTGTTCCCGCTCCTTCAGGTGTTCCGCAGTCTCCCGTACCTCTTGTTTCCGCGTTCACCTCGCCCTTACCGCAATTCAGTGCTGCTGCGAGCCCGTTGAACGAGGAAGATGACCAGCTGGCTCGCGCTCTGGCTTTATCGATGACTGAGCAGGGTCCGGCATCCCATCATGATGATGAGGATGAGGCGTTAGAGGCTGCAATGCGCGAATCGTTGCTCATTCATCAGGCGGCCAGCGGGCCACCGTCGGCTCACGATGACGACGATGCGCCGACACCAACGGCGTCTGCTTGGTCTGGCTGGTCTCATAAGGATTTACAATCTACGCCTGCAACCTCGTCATCATCACACGAAAGCCTCTCGAACGGTCCAAGCTATGCAAGCTCGCTTGCTCCTAGCAAGAGCAAGTTATCACAAATCGAGGAGGATGAGGCGTTTGCGCGCCAACTAGCACAAGAGGAAGAGCAAGCTGTTGCTGCTGAGCTTTCGGCAATGCAGGCAAAGACGGCCGACGCATCATCCTCTACTGTATCGTCTCCAGAGCCTCCGCCACCCTGGACGCCTCCAGAAGCCGGCCCTTCTACGCTGAGCGCTCCATCGTCCTCCCCCTCACTATCTTCACTCCATGATCGCACCCCTTCGCCGGTCCGGACACGGCGTCATTCGGAGAGCCCGAACAACGTCCGTCCGCTGCCACGGCCCAACAGGGCTTCCATGGCTATGCCCTCACCGCCCTTGCCTAACACACGACCTCCCAGCGTGGACGTCGCGTCCCTTCATCCACCTTCGTTGCCGAGTACGCGGCCGCCCAGCATGGACGCCATGTCTCCCCCGCCGCCTCAATTACCAACATTGACGCGGCCCACGTCTGTGGTGAGCGCGTCGGAGCTGACTGGCGTGAACGAGTTGTGGTTAGAGGAGGAGTCGCCTACCCTCCTTGAGCCCACTCCAGCGCCATCGGCGAGGTTCATCGATCCAGAACTCACCCGCGGCATATGTAAGTTGCTTTGAACGCCTTCGAGCGCACCTAGAGCACCCATCTTACTTTTGGCACCCAGCGATGAGCTTTGCGGCACCGAACCTGGCGGAGAGCGCACTGCCTGAACTCGCGGTCCCGGATGTGGTAGAACTACCCTACGGGAAGGCAGCACCGATGCATATACAGGCGCCAAGCTGGCGGCAGATGCTCAAGCTGTTGGCTAGGATGAGCGGGTCTAGGATAGAGCCTACCGTCGAAGCGATAGCTCAAGTCAAAGACGGCAGTGGCTTGCGGCTCAGAGCGGTCGTGCAGTTCGTGAAAGCGAGTCTTCCTGTCTTGTCCGTTCCCGGCGCTGCTGACAAAGTTGTAGGTTCATCCAGCATCACCGGACTGGCGAACGATCCTCTATCTGACCATCGATCATGATGTACCTCCATCAACGCCGAACGCGTGGCGATTCACGAACGGCGACGTCGGGACGCTCCCGTTCTCGTACACGCTGTCCACGGTCCCCGCCCTCCTTCGGGACAGCCCGGACGCGCCGCTCGCGAAGTGGTACGCCGTGCCGGCGACGCAGAGGCTGCCGTACCCGACGCTTCCCATCGAGTTTCCCGACCTTGCGCTCTACCTGCACGCGGCGCTGCAGGAGTCAAGGAAAGCGATACACGACAGCTCGAGCGGGATGCGCCGGTTGGCGCGCATGGTGGACGACTTTTATCCGAAGGAGAAGGAGGTGGACGATCTCTCGCCGAAGAAGCCGTTCTTCAGGCGGCTCATCGGGCGGGGTAGAAACAAGGAGGGCGGGAGGAACCAGGACACGTACGAGCTGGTCACGCCATTTATTGCGAGCGAATGGGGCTAGACACCGTTACTGTAAACTGAGTCTCGCCTGTCAAGAATGTTAGCTACCTTGCTTACGTCTAGTATGGACAGGGACAGCTTTCTGCCCCCGCTCGGTGAGGTCTTTTTCCAAATCTATGCGGGTCATCATTGCGTTCAACTTGGGGGCGATAGAAGCGTTGGGCCCGATCCAGTGTTTGCAACGTACTCTACACTATATAGCACGAAGGATGATAACGGAAGGGAGGTCGAGCGTGGAGCAAGCGTGAGACAAGTGACCCGCGAAATGAACACAATGCAGAACTTGCATCGGACCCGCGATAAGTCTGCCTCCATCGCTGTCGGCAGAGGGTGGTTCAATACAACAATTTCTTCGCCTTTTACTAAGGAATTCCGTGGACCACCCTCACTGCAATGCCGCATACCAATTTCTCGCCACCTCAGGTTGCCTGAGCTTCATGTTTTGACCTTCTGCAGGTTCGCTACTTTTTTTTGCTGAGTAGTTAGAGGTCCTGTGTAGCTCTTTGAAGTCTCGTTTTTGCTTGCTTTCCTTGCTTGGAGCTCACTGCGTCTGCCCTTAAATATGCTCGTGGTCGCATGAAGAACGTGAACCCGATGAAATAAGCCATTGTCCTTGTGATATACTACATTACACCGCCCCTTCCTATTATAAACATAACCCCATGGGTGAAAAAGTCTACTATCTAAGGAGGACGCTTGCGAAACGGCTATATAAGTCAAGATGAGTGGAACATGCGTATGTAAACCATATCGTGTCGAATCGTGATGTATTCATGTAAGAGGGAGACGATTAAGGTGCGCGGACGACCGGACGGTCGAGCTCCTTGACGAGCAGCTCGTTGACGGCCTTCGCGTTATCCAGATACACTGATAGCTCGGATGTCAATATGCCTTGGTCAGAGCAGTGGTAGGAAGACAAGCGCTCACCATGATGACCCGCGTACGGAACCACGTACATCCGACCCTCGGTGTTGCCGGCCTTCTTCAAATTCGCGACGGACTGGCTGCCACCCTCTGGGTCCATCCAATCGTGGTCTCCGTACACGAACGTGACCGGAATCTTGAGCGCCGCGACGCGGTCCACGAGCGGTCGCCTGGCGTGCGCGCCCGGCGCGAGGATGTGGCTGATGCAGTACTCGCCCGAACCCTTGGCGAGGGTGATGTTGAGGATGTACTCGTGCATGTCGCGCGTCTCCTCCTCGGTGAGGCCGGAGAAGCGGCGGGAGGAGTATTTGCCGACGAGGAGCGGGCCCCAGAAGAGCGAGGAGCGGACGAGCTGGAAGGGAGAGAAGCCCTCCTCCCACAGGTAGGTGAAGACTTTGCGCATCTTCGTCTCCTTCTGCTTCTCGGCGCGCTGCTCGGCTTTGATCTTCTCGACGCGGGGAGGGGAGGCGGGTTCGGCCGTGCCCGCGGCGCGCTTGGCCCCGAAGCGCGCGGCGAGGCCAGAGCCGGAAGGGGCGCCGGAGCCGGCGTCGGGGAGCTCCTGGTCGGCGGTTTGCGACTCGGTGAGCTCGCGCGAGGGCTCCTCGGTGCTGTCCGGGTCGCGGGGGACGCCGGCGGGGGAGAGGAGGACGAGGCGCTCGACGCGGGACGGGTACTTGAGCGCGTAGGCGACGGAGAGGTAGCCGCCGAGGGAGTGGCCGACGAGCTGCATGCGCTCGAGGCCCATGCGGACGCGCCACTGCTCGAGCGCGTCGATGAAGAAGGCCTCGGCCTCGGCGACGCGCGCGTCCGTGTCGGCGCGGCGCGCTTTGACGGTGAAGGGCACGCGCGCGGAGCGGCCCATGCCGAGCCAGTCGAGCGCGTAGACGGAGGTGTGGCGGCGCGCGGCCCAGGCGGCGAGAGGGGGCAGGTTTTGGAAGAAGAAGCCGAGGCCGGCGCCGTAGCCGTGGAGGAGGACGGCGGGCGCGGGCGCGGTGGGGGAGGGAGAGGTGGAGGTGATGGAGAGGGTGTTGAGGTAGTGTTTCGGTGTTAAGAGCGGGACGCGGCGCGAGGTTGCGGTGACGGGTCCGGCGGAGGGCGTGGAGGGCGGGGAGGCCGAGGGGCGGAAGTACGGGAGGCGGCTGAGGGGGAGGTGATTATCAGCACGGATTTCGAATCGTAGCATGGGATCAACCGCTGGCGTACCGTAGGAGACGTTCTTCCGCGAGCTGGGCCTCTTTCTCGCCGACATTCCACCTATAACGTCGTTCAGTTACGATTGTCGGGATCAGAGCGGGAGTGGCGTTGCTCACCAGCTGCGGAAGCTGGCCGTGAACGAGCTTGGGATCTCCTTCGCTGGAGGCAGCGGCGGCAGGCTCGCAGTGGCGGCGGCCTCGAGGATGGATGCGGCGGACATGAAGGTAGGAGGTGAAAGGGGTCTATAACGAGTATTAACCAGGTCGGCGGGGCCTGCTATTATAAAGCTGCATGCAGTCCTCCGGGTGGCGACCGTGCCGGATGAGGAACGTCACCACGTGGCTGTGCGGAGGTCCTGAAGGGCCGAGAGCGTACGTGGTGATGGCGTACGAGCTGGGGATTGCGCAGTATGGTACAATATTTCTACGGACATGGGAGGGCGCTCGACGGTGCGCAGGAGCTTGCGGAGGGTCAGACAAGGCGAGACACCGGGGATAGGGCGGAGAGTATTATATTGCTTGGGCATATCGTCGGTATATATGAGTTCGTGAGGTTGGTGGGATGTACACAGCATACCGTTAATATCGACCTCTATAGCTCTTTCTTAACGTCCGTCTTGTTGCGGGCCACCAGTTGCTCCTCGACCCAGTCAAACGCTGCGTCGGTCGCCTTCTCCACCGGGTGGTCGAACAGATAGGGGAGGACGGGAACGATCGAGAGGCCAGTGAGCGTCGGACCCCAAGTTTTGACTTTCACATTCTTCGTATTGACGAACGCCTTCTTCGCCTGATTCACCGCAGTATGAATCGTGAATGCCGGAAGAGCCCTACGAGCGCACGAAGTGATTCGTTCAGTTACGGCGATGAACGAAGCGTTGTGATGCTCTTACATGGACGCGATGGACTGGAACACGGCGCGCTTGACGGCGACCATGCCCAGCCGGGTCGGTTCGGAAAAGTTGGCAGCTTCGACGGGCGATGGGCCGCGCCTCGAGGCCTTGTAGGTTTCGAAGCTGACATCGCCCGCGAGGTAGAGCCAGGAGATGCCGTATGCAGCGGTTACGACGTAGGGCGGCACGACCGGCCTTCAGATCCCGGCACATTCACATTCAACGTTGTGCACGTATAATGACGTGTTTTGAGAATCGCATGTACGAGCTGTCTGTCGGGAGCGGATTCACAAACGGAGGTAATGAAGGGCATTCACCTGAACGCTTCGCCGACGTCACTGGTCTGCGCGTAAGCTCGTCGTCACAAACCAAGCCACGGGGAACGGAGAAGAGGGACACCGGAGACGTACGTAGGCAATGTAGCGCGAGCCCGCTCGGAGCGCGGTCTGTATGCGCGAACCGTACGCCATGTAACGCAGGTTCGAGTTGGTCGAATCTGCGTCCTCGTCGGCGAGGGTCTTGACCTCCTTCTGGGCCGCAGCGGGGAGAAGCTCTTCCACGGTCGACGACATATTGATGGTGATCTACAGTCTCTTGAGATGACGATGCAAATGCAGCGTTGACGTTGTGTTGAAGGGAGGCTAGAGTGAACGTGCGTAGAAAGAGGATAAGCTCGGGAACGTAACGTCAGAGCGTGATCGTATTGACCGGGGCCTTGCGTTGTGGCTGAAGCCAAGTGAAGCGTCTTCACTCGCCCTCTCCTCCGAGTCACTCCCGCCCCGCCCCCATGGACCTCCTGGCGCCAGCACTCCCTCTGCCTTCCACCCCCGCGCCTGCGACGCCACACGCCGGCGTGCCCGACGACGACGCCGAGAAGATCAGCGCGTACTACTCGCTCGTTTTCCCTGACTACACCTATTACCTCCAGACGCTCAATGTCACCATTGGCCGGCGCTGCCCAGCTGGCCCATCCTCCTCCACCGCCGACGCTGCCACCGTCGACGTCGATCTCGGCGCCCTCAAGAGTGTCTCGCGCCTGCACGCGCGCATCGAGTACGATGAGGACCAGGAGCGCTTCGTTCTCATCGTCGTCGGCCGCAATGGCGCGTGGGTCGACGGCATATGGTCCGGCAGCGGCAGCAGGGTCCCCCTCGGCGAACGGTACGTTTCCTCGTCCTCCCTACCTCCCTCACACTCTCACCACGCCCTTATCGCGTGCATACACGCATACGTCCGCTCCGCTACGTGTCTTTGTCCGTCCCCATGTCTCTGATTCTCGAACCCGCACCAGATCACAAATCCAGATCGCCTCGCGCACCTTCCACTTCGTTTTGCCGCCTCCGCCTGCCCCGGAAGACTCGCCGTCGCCGAGCTCGGGCTCCTCCGGTCAGCTACGCCGCTCTCCCTCCGTCGATATCACCTCCATGTCATCCCCACTCTCGGAACCGGCCGTCTCCCCTCCTCCACCTTCTGCGTCCACCCCTCCCGCGAACACGAAGCATCCCCCTGCGCCACCCCATGCCTCTACTACCATCACCACCGCTACCGTTAAAGGCAAGACGAAGGACAACCACCCGACCGCCGTCCCAACAAAGAGCACCACATCAGGCAAGGGCAAGGGAAAGGCGCCCGCAGCGAACAAGAAGAAACGGAAAGCCCCACCCGAGCCGGATCGTGCTTCGTCGCCCTCCTCCTCGTTCGTGAAAGTCGAGGACGGCAGCAACGAGCCGGAGAAGGAGAAGGAGCCGGCAGGCCCACCGCCCCCGAAACCTACCCTTACGTACTCGCAATTATGCTACCGCGCGATCAAGTCGCACGGCGGCAAGGCGACCCTGCATGAGATCTGCGCCTGGGTCATGGACCACTTCGAGTGGTACCGGCTCAACCGCGGAACCCCGTGGGAGGTGTGTGACCCCCGCCCTCACGTCTACCCCGGCCGTCGACGCGTTGCTAACCGAGAGTACGTGTACAGAGCTCGATCCGGCATAACCTCTCCTCCTCGCGCGCGTTCAAGAAGCTCGAGCGCGTGGCGGGCGAGGCCGGGCGCGGCAAGGCCTTCCTCTGGGCCGTCGACGAGAACTTTGAGCACACGCTCGCGCAGCAGGAGGCGCGCTACGCTACGAGCCAGGCGCCCCAGCCGCCTCCGCAACCGAAGAAGAAGCAGCCGACGACGGCGGAGCGGAAGAAGGTGGAGAACAAGCCGAGTCCGTTCACGAGCCGGCCGCTCGAGTTTAGGAAGGAGGGCAGCGCGAGTGGGGCCGCGACGCCGAGTGCGGAGCAGGAGCAGGGGCACGGGCGCGGGCACGGGCAGCAGGAACCGCCGGGCGTACACCAGCAGCCGACGTTTATAGTGCAACCGCAGGCGCCGATGGTAGCGCAGGCGGCGTCGGCGGTGGCGCCTCCACCTCCTCCACGACCGATATCGACCGCACCGAAGTCGCAGGCTGTGGGAGGACCCTCAGCGCAGAATCCGAATCCGACTCCGACTCCAGGCGGTATGCCGCGGTTGCCGCCCGACCTGCGCGTGCCGATCGTCGTCGGCCCGCTCCCGCCGTCATACGTTCCTCCTCCCGCTCCCGCCGGGTCGCAAACGCCGGCGCCGATCGTGCTGCACGACAACACGCTTTTCCTGAATCCGGCTATCTTTGCATCGCTCTCGGCGGAGCAGTTGAAGGCGCTAGAGGCGCTCGGCGCGGCAAAGGCGCTCGAGATTTTGCAGGGGTATATCAAGCGGTACATGGACGAGAAGAGGAGGGCGGCGAGGGGAGGGGCGAGGGGGCGTGGGAGGAAGGTCGGGAGGGGGAGGGGAGGGGCGGTGGGAGGGCAGCAGCAGCAGGGGACGGGGCCAGGGCAGGCGCATAGAGGTCAGGGAGAGATGCAGGTAGATTCGCAGGAGCAGCAAGGAAGGAAGAACGACGCCGCGGTGGGAGCGGGAGGTGGGCAGCGCGCACCGTCTCCGGTGATCGTTATTGACGACGATGACGATGAGGCTCCTGCGCCGGATGAGGGCCCTGTGGCTAAGCGGCGGCGCGTGGAGGGCGGGACGCAGGCGTGACCGATCGAGATCGGGTTGCCCTGTCCGTTCCTTCGTCTTGCTGGTCCTTTCCCTTGCGTCTGAGAAGGCTTGGGCTCCGGACGGCTGCGATGTGGATCTGCGATACCCAACCATACATACCTAGCGATGTAGATGTTTCACGCGCGCTCGGCTAGAGGTCGGTTCGTCTTGCGACGTGTTCATGATTCAACTGTCGTGATTCGTGTTTCCTGTTCTCGTGGGATGTAGTAGCTTACGTTCTACGCGGTAATGTGCGCCGACACGCGCTGGTAGATTATAGCATACTCTTTTGAGCGCGTGATGCGGCTCTTTCTAGTACCTAGATGATTCAGCGGGAGTCGGAGTCATGCGGTTGTTAGTTTCCCCCCGAGGGGTACTCGTCCCAAGAGCCACGGAGAGGCCAACCGCTGGACTGAAGTGATCCTTATCCTTGGGGCCTCCCAACCTACATAAATACATAAATGCTACATACCTACTTACATTCCCTCCCTTCTTATATACACACTACCTACCTATCTACGTGCCCTCCCGCCCACCCTATATACTTGCCTATTTACACGAGAACAAAATAATAATGTCTTTGGCGTTGAACACCTAGTGAATACGGCGGAACCGAACCATCGCTCGAGCCCATACTCATTCAACATCAAGTCATGACCACGAACAATTTCCAATCCGGATGAAACGAATACATAAATAAGAATGTCCTATGAACCGACCGGGCAGGACGGGTCCTTAGGAAATAGCTGTCCAATGCAGTACATAACGCGCCACAACACCCCGCTGCACAGCAGTGGTCTCAAGTTGCTGATCAACCACGACCACCACAGCAACCTGACTTTCACCTCCTCCGTTCCTCCTGCATTGCCCGCAGACGCGTTGTCTGCCACATACTCAACGCCCGGGCTCGTTCCTTCAACGCCTCCGGCACGTCTGGCGCATCGCTCACATCGTCCAACAGCCACCATGCGCTGTCCCGCAGCCTCTCCCCGTTCTGCGACAGGCACACCCTGGCGCCCTCCATCTCCTCGATGACCTGCCCGATCATGCGAAGGCTCTTGGTGCTAGCAACAGCGACGGACGACGATGCGTGAGCGCCCGTCTTTCGGCGCTTGTTCGACCCCGCCAGGGCCGCCTCGAGCTTGGCCGCCCACTCGTCCGTCACGGCCCTCCCGATGTTCTTAGCCCGCATCGGGTCCTGCGTCTCGGCGGCGCGCAGGTCGGCCACCCTGAAGTCGTTCTCGCTCGGATGGCACTCGCCACGTTTGCGCTTGCGTGCGGACCGTGGAACGGTGGCGTTGTCGCGTGCGGGCGCAGCGGTGCGCGCGGCCGCGACACCCGATCTTGACGACGACGACGAGCGGGAGTCGGAACGCGAGCGCGTCGGCGCCGGCGCGTTCCTTGCCTCTTCGGGGAAGAAGGGCGGAATGTGCTTGGGCGACAGCGGGCGCGGGATGTACGGATTCCGTTGGATTTCGCTCAGAGGCCTCGCCCCGCCCATCCGCGAGGTTGCAGGAGGGGGAGGTGGCGCAGGCGCATGGATTTCGACCGGTCGGGATGGAGGGGGCGGCGCGACCGGGCGTCTCGGTCGGATCTCGTTGAGCGGTTGCGGTGTGCGACGGCGCGTTGGCGCCGGCGCTCGAATGAGCTTGGGCTCGGGTTCAGGGGATGAGGATGGCGGCGGCTCGTTGTCGTCGCTGTCGAGGGCGTCGACGTCGATGATTTCGATGCTCCGGCACCGCGGATTTGGCGAGGATTCCGGGGTCGCGATGGCGATGATCTCGTCCGGACATGGCCGTGGACGCGGCGAGTCACTGGGAGCCTTGGGTGCCTGGTAGCTCGGGTCGTCCGCCCAATGAACGTTGCCCGAAGCGGGTGAGGTGTGCGAACGATGATCTGCGGCGCGGGACGCGTGCGTATCGTCGCGGTTTTGGTTTTGCAAGATGTGCGTGTCCGCATCCGCATTCATTGGTATCGTGTCGCCTGATCCTTCTACGGCCATCGCTGAAGGGCCAGTCGCGTCCTCTACGTGTGCGACCTCCTGTTCTTCGTCTTCATCTTCATCAAGCTCGTCCTCCTCGTCCTCGGCTTCCTCCTCCGAATGCAAATCCGGTGAAGGCGACAAGTGTTTGATATAGGGTGCCGGCTCGGTACTCAACGCACGCAGCGTGGAACGATCGGGGTGCATTGTAGCAGATGGCGCAGGCTCGTCTGTATCCATGCCCTTTCTCGCATCGGTGTGATCAGCATGCGGCACGGCATCGGGAGCAGAATGTCGACGAATTGTCGATCGTCGAGGAGAGTCTGACCAGGTCCATGCGAGAGACCGAGCTTCTTCGTCTTCCTTCTGGCTGGGTACGTCCACCTCTTTTTCCTTTCCTTTCCCCTCCTGCTTCCTTATATCTTCACCTCTGCCTGGCAGCTCCAGCTCCAGCTCCAGCTCAACCTCTTGCAAGTCCTGTTCCTCTTGGTGAACAGCAGCAGTCTCTGGAGATTCAGCAGGAAGCTCTGGTTCAGGAAGTTGAGAAGCTTCCTCAGCATGAGCAGGAGTGACCGTGCCTTTCGGCATAGTCTCTCCTCCCGCTTGAATCTGCAGAGATGCGCTCGTTTCCACTCTGAAGGACGACAAGGACATTGGTGGGTCAAGGTTGATCCCATTCTGAACAGCAAGTGGTTGGAGGTTGAGGCTGAGGATCACAGGGTCTGTGAGATCACTGGTATGTGGTGGTGCAGCATCAGAAACTGTGCCAGGTAGTCGCTGGTATCGCTGGCAGAGTTTGAGAATTGATTGTAGAGGTGACCAGGAAACCAAGGGTGCACTGTGGACAGTAGTGGTGGTGGTCATGAAAGGGGGAGTAGCGGTGGAGGAGGATGTGGGGAATGTGGTGGAAGTGCTAGCCTCAACAGAACAGGAAACAGATGGGATATCAGTGGAGAATATGGAGGCGTTGGCAGCACTAGCATTGTTGATGGCAGAGGAGATGGCTGAGGCACCAGAGTCAATCAGAGCAGGAGGGGAGGTGGACCTTCCATGGTGAGGGATGGAGGGTAACACATTATTCTTCACTGAAGTTCTCCTTGGATGGTTCTTGGGCACCTTGACTGCAGGTGTCTGCTGTTCCTTTGGTGTCATGTATCCAGTCAGAGGAGAGGCCTGTGACATGGCTACTGAGTTATGCAGGAACTCTTGGTGTTGATTTAGAGTGGTTGTGTGAGAGAGAGTATTGGCTTCGGTCTGAGCACACTTTTCTCGTTTGATGAGATTGTGGCTGGGGAGAGAAGAAAAAAGGGGGGGGCCGGCGAGAGCGAGGGTTTATATACCTTGTGGACAAGCCCACATTCTCACGGTGATGAGTCACTACCAAGAATCACATGCTTTTGCACCCTAAAAGAAGCAGGGTGCCATTGCCTTATTGGTCTATATATTCTGTGCTAAATGCTATATATAGCTATGTTTGGGTGTGAAAAGCGAGGGGGCTGCGCAGCAGCGTTGTCCTGCACAGTGTTGAGGCAGTGTGAAGGCTGTGAGGCTGTCGACGGCATGAAAGGCCGTGTGTGATAGCGGAGCAAGCGGGTGCGCGAGCGAGGAAATGGAGGGTTGACCGTTGGAAATCAGGGCGGGCGGGCGGCGCTGCTACCCCTGCACGACGTGCGCGTTATCGCGTTTATCTGGGGAAAAGGTGAGGCTGTTTGTTGTTGCCCGTGGGGAGCGCGCCAGGTAGAGGGCTTTCCGTTAGTCGACGAGGGATCAGAACGAGGAAGCGGACCGAATGTGAGCGTGAGCGCGAGAAAGTATGAAGGGGCGGCGCTGATTCGTGCGCGCGCTAGGCGAGTTCGCGGTTGGCGGGGGGTTCGGGGCGTATCAAGCTATCAGACTTTTCAAGCTCGACGGACCGTCGAGATAAGCCACGTCGCAGATTTCCGGGAGGATGAGATTGCGGCCGCTTCGTGGACGTGATTAGGAGTTTTGCGCCCGAGGGGAGGTCTGGAACGCGTGGTAAACGTGGACACTTCGGGATGACCGGGGGGGAATACCGTAACGGGCGCGTCATCTGCGATTCTTCCGCGAGAGTAGATGAGATATCGGGGGGCTGACGCAAAAGCCGGGGATTGTCCGGTGAGCGAGCGAGCGAGCGGTTAACGCGAGGGGCTCCGGGTGAGGGCGTGTGCGATCGATGGACGGCGTTGGCACAAGTTCGATCAAGGGTCGAGGTGCGATAGCGAACATGGCTGCGGTGAGGAGAGAACAGACCACGGGGCGCAGGCGAGAAGACGTGCGGGCGGGGGAGGATGCCGGGAACTCACCGGGAAACGTTGGTGGCGGGCATCGTGCTTGAACTCATTCGGGATCGGTTGCTTTCGCGGTGCGCGGGCGATGCGATACTTAGGAGCTACGGCGAAGGGGAGAGAGGGGGTGATAGAACCGGTGACGCAGGGATGATGGGTCGAACGTGCGTGCGCGAGGGAGAACGGTGGAACAGCGCCCGCGTCTTTTTCAGGCCCTCCCGCCGACCCGTTCCTGCGACGGACACTCGGATGCGGATGCAAATGAAACGCGAATGAGTGATGTATGAGCGCAGGACGGCAGGGATTTGTGTGGCGGGACTCGAGGGGGACAAACGGTGGTGGCTGAGTCATCCCACGTGTGTTGTTTTGGGTCGAATGACGAGCGTCCTATTCGAGACAACGACCTCACCGCACACACACTCACGCCGACGACGGGCCCGGATACATAAACCGCTAGCCAACTCCTCCCCCCGGATCCTTTTTTCTTGTTTCCTGATCGCGGCATCCTCTTTCCGCTTCGCATCCCGCCCAGCGCCGCCCGAAGTCGCATGGGGCCCCTCGTCGACCCGAGCTCCTTCCCGCCGTCCCCGCCGAGCTCGGCGACGATCACCGCCCCGCCGTCGCCCAAGCACAAGCACGCCCGCCCGAAGCCGCATCTCGCGCCCGTCGAGGCCCAGCTCCCCGCCGCGCTGCACCGCGCCATATCCGACACCGTCGCCTCGTCGTCCCGCAGGCAGCACGACAAGGACAAGGATCGTGCCGCCTCGTCTCCTTCGGCCACGATACCGTCGCCGGCGAATCAATCGACCACATCTACGACGGCCGTCGCCCCAGATGCCGCCGTTCGTTCGTCGACGACGCTCTCCAGACGCCGCACCGCGCGCCGGCCCGCGATGAGGTCGTTCACCCTGCCCACCCTACACCCCAACCCCTCCCCAAGCACCGATCGCCCGCCCATCTCCTCCGCCCGCGCCTCTCCTCCCGCCTCTCCCGCCTCTTCATCGCCCTCGCCCTCCTCTTCCCCGCTCCCGCTTCCCCCGCACGCCACCACCGGCATGGGCCGCAAAGTCGCCGACTCGCTGCAGCTCTTCAAGGAGACGTCCGCGGCCACGCCTGCGACGGATGCCGTCGTTAACCCGTTCGACGAATTCGAGGACGCCGTGCTCTCCGTCGACGTCTCGGCGACCGCCGCCGCCGCTACAGCCGTCTCTTCTTCTTCTTCCTCTTCAGCGCATCGACGGCCCTCCCTGTCTCTCCATCACAACCACCACCACCATCACCACCACCGACCGAGTTCGAGCTCGGCGACGGGGACGGTCGCCGAGGCCGAGTTTGAGTTTGTGAGGAGGAGCGAATGGCCCGAGCGCGAGGCCGCCTTCTTTCGCCGCGAGCGGGAGAGGGAACGAGAGAGGGAGAGGGAGAAGGGCGGCGGCGGCGCGGCGCTGGAGAGGGTCAGGACGAAGGATAGCAGCAGCACCGTCGCGTCCGCGTCGACGTCCCGCCGGGATCAGAGCAAGACCGCGGCGGCGGCGATCAGGGACAACGTGATGAACGATCTGGCGCAGTGGAGGAAGGAGGTCGTGGCGAGGCAGGACGGCACGGCGGTGGGTGGAAGAGGACGGACGAGGGAGCGGCTGGGACAGGCGGCGGCGACGTCTGAGCCGGCGTTATTGCAGGCACAGCCGCGTCGAGAGTCGGTTTTGGATCTCGAGGTACGGATTTTTCCTCCCCCTTTCGTGATAAAGTATGCGACTTGACTCACGATGGGGCTTGGATGTAAACAGCGCGATTATGATCGCGAACGGGACGTCACGCGAGAACGAGAGAAGGAGCGAGAGCGCAAGGCGACGACGTCGCCGCTGCTCCAACCTTCGCGCCCGCACTCGCGCCCGTACCCGCCCTCGCCGGAGCCGTCGCGCCCGCCGCCGCCGCACCGCCTCCCGCCCTCCCTCTCGCGCAAGTCGGATGCCGACCTCAACTTGCACCTCAATACCACCATCGCCGCGCCGTCCGCCACCGCGTACTCGCCGTGGTCGACGGACGACGAAGAGGAGGAAGAGGAGGACGACTCGGAGTGGGAGTCGGCGTCGATGGCGACGACGACGTCTGCGACGTCCTTTGCGTCGCCGTCGCCGTGGCAGCACGCGCCGCTTCCCCCGTCCCACGTACATTCTCATACGCATCCTCACCCTCAGCACCACCACCACCACCACCACAACGGCGCATATACGCAGCACGTATCGCAGTCGGAGCCGTTGTCGACGCGGCACTCGCCGCATCCGTTTCTGTACGACCGCGTACGGATATCGGAGCACGACGCGGACCACGACGACGCCCCTGAAGACAGCCATGCGTACTTCAACCTGTCCTTCGACGAAGACCTCGCCCCTCCTCCTGCACAAGACGAAGACGAAGACGTGTACTGGCACCACGACCGCCACCGCGACGAAGATCACGAGCACGAACACGGCCACGAACACGACACGGTCGGCGACCTCCCGCCCGAAGATTTACCTCACATCCCGCTCCAGCCCTTCCGGAACCAGGTCGGCGGCCACAGCGCCATCTACAAGTTCACCAAGCGCGCCGTGTGCAAGGTCAGCATCTGTCCCTTCTCCGTGTCGTCGTTACCTCTTCTCCGTCTCTCTCTCTCTCTCTCTCATATCCTCTGATCCATGTCGTACGAGATTGTTGAACGTCGTTTTTTTGTTTCTTTTTTTTTATTTCTCCCTCGGGGGGTTTTTTACACGCTCTCCATGTGTATCTAGCCGCTGGTGTCGCGCGAGAACCTGTTTTACGAGGCCGTCGAGCGCGAGGCGCCGCCCCTGCTCGGCTTTATCCCTCGATACCTCGGCGTGATGCTCGTCAACTACCGCCGGGTGCCGAAGCAGGGCGAAAGCAGCGTCGACGCCGCTCGTCTCTCCACCGCCACCGAAGAAGCGACCCCGCGCCCGCCGCTGCACAAGGCGGCGACCGATGCACCCGTCACCGCCGCCAAATCCGCCAGGCGGTTCTCCCTTGACCCAGGCCGGAAGCAAGAGCAAGACCGAGACCAGGGACAGGGACAGGGACAGGGACAGGAAGGAGGCGACACGGACGTCGAGACGGAGGCGGAGATGCCCGAGGTCGCGCTCAACTGCAACCGGCATATCATCCCCGAGTGGGTGTTCACCGGCGGGCGCCACCGCGCCGTCTCGCACTCGGGCGCGTTCTCGTCCTCGCACCATCGGCATCAGCAGCAGCAGCACCACCACCACCACCACGGGCCCTGTCTGCAGGGCCACTGTCGGTGGGCGAGGAGGCCGAGGCTCGCGGGCGGGACGGCTTCCAGCCCGGATTTGGGCGTCGCGCCGACGGAGTTTAAGCCTCGTCCGAGTCCGCTGGCGAACGGTGCGAACGCGAACGCTAACGCGACGGAGGAAATGGGCACGTCGCCTTCGACGCGCGAGCCGCCGACGCCGCAGAACTCGCCGGTGATCGTCGCGCCGGCGTTGTCGGCCTCGACGTCGGGGTCGCTCGACGGCCGGCGGCCGCACCGGTTCTTCTTCGTCGACGCGAACGCGCACGAAGGCGAACACGAAGGCGAGCACGAAGGCGACGGCGAACATCATCGGCAGCACGGGCAAGCACAGGAGACGATGACGCCGGCGCTGCACGCGTTCCCGGGCGCGGACCAAGCGGCGTTCGGCGGCGGGTCGCCCGGGCCGAACTGGGTCGGCGGGCTCGGGTCGACGACGGTGAACACGAAGCTGAAGGACCACGTGTTTAGCCAGGTGCTGCGCCGGCTCGCGAAGCAGAACGGGACGCGGTGGATGAACGGCGTGAAGGAGCGCGAGGGGCGGTGTGCTAGGGAGGAAGGGTGCGAGGGGGAGGAGGAAGGCAGGGGGGATTGGGACGAGCAGCGGCAGGGGGAGCCGATCCGGCGCGTGCGGAGCGCGGATTCGCTGGAGAGGACGGTAGGAGGCGACGGGGCCGGGTTCGTCCCACCGAAGAGGCATAACACGCCCGTCGACATGTTCGGTTGGGTCAGGGAGGGCAAGCGCGAGCCTGAGCCGCTGCTGCCCTCGCCGCCGCGCCGCCGTTCGCGGTCCCGGTCGTTGGACGCGCCCTCGCGGCCGTTCCGGTTTGGCGGCGGGGTGATGCCTCCGAGGATCCCGGAGGAGGGCGCTGCCGGGAAGGACAAGGACGAGGGCGTGATCACCCGCCAGAACCATTTCATCCTCATGGAGGATCTCACAGGCCGATTGAAGCACCCGTGCGTGCTCGACCTCAAGATGGGCACGCGGCAGTACGGGATGGACGCGACGCCGACGAAGAAGAAGAGCCAGCGGAAGAAGTGCGACCGCACGACGAGCCGGACCCTCGGGGTGCGTGTGTGCGGTATGCAGGTAGGCTCATCACCGGGACACGTTGACTCTGGTTCACTGACACGCCGCTTCCGCTCGACTCGAAGGTCTGGAACAACGTCACGCAGTCGTACGTCACCCAGGACAAGTACAAAGGCCGGGACATCAAGGCGGACGAGTTTTCGAGCGTGCTCGCGTCGTTCCTGCACGACGGTGAGCGGCTGCTCACGCACCACATCCCGCCGATGCTGCAGAAGATCTACGCGCTGGCCCGGATCATCAACCGCCTCAAGGGCTTTCGGTTCTACGGCTGCAGCCTGCTCATGATTTACGACGGCGATCGCGAGGCCCAGGACGCCTACCGCTCCTTCTATCTCGAGCACCCGTCCGCTCGAAGCAAGCGCGGCGAGTCGCTCGAGCGCAAGCGCGGTCGGCAGGCGCCGGAGGAGCAGCGCGACGCGCCGCCGCTCCGGCGCTCGCACAGCGACGACCTGCTCGTCGGGCCCGTCGTGAAGCGCTCCACCGGCCGCCGCAAGCGCGGGGAGGTCAACATCCGCCTCGTCGATTTTGCGCACACGACCACGGGGCGCGACTGGTTACCGCAGCCGCCCGAGGCCGAGCTCGACGCCGGCGGGCTGCCGGAGGTGGCGAGCGGGTCCGGGTACCGCGCCAAGGTCGACCCGGAGACGGGCCTCGTGTACGCGCGCTTCCCGCCGCATTACCCGGACGAGCCCGACCGCGGGTTCCTGTTCGGGCTCAAGAACGTCGCCGCGGCGCTGGAGAAGATATGGAACGACGAGCGGAAACGGATCGTGAAGGCGGCGAGGGACGATCCCGCGGCGAGCGCGATGCAGCTCCCGGCGCTGTGCGCGGACGGCAAGGAGATCTTTGCCGATATATTTGGCTCTGGAGAGCACGAAGATCTTGGCCATCTCTCGACATGACGAAGACTTTTGTATGTTGTCGACCGACCAACGCAATGCCTTTTCTCTCTCTCTCTCTCTCCCCTCTTCCGAATTACCTCGTATATGCGCGTGTTTTCTCCATCTTTTTTCCCACCCTACATGTCTGATCACGAAACGTTTCCTATCACTCTCCCCACTTTCACCGCATCCCTCATCTACATGGAGCTTCGTTGCATCATCTCGTAGAAACATGTTGTCTCGCGCATGTAGCATATCTATGCAGTAATAGATTATGATCTTGTTGCGTCGTGAGAGGCCCCAGCTAAGCGCGATTGGAGATGGGCCGGAGCGGAAGACGCTCCTCGGCGGTTGTCCCTTTGACGCCTCCAGGCCAACTGGACGGATCCCAGCCGATATACTTTCTCCACGCGCCTTCTATCTGTTTCCCGACGTTCCCTGGCGGGCAGGCGGCCGCACGAAGTTCGCAAGGTCTGCCGTTGTGAGTCGCTTGTCCGGATCGATGGCCGCGCTCGAGACACTCGGCGTGGCTCAGGCTGGTGAAGCTAAACGGCGGCGCGGCTTCGGCTTCAAGAAGGAAATTTATGTACGGTGAGCCGGCGAGTGAGGACAAGACGTCGCGAGGAAGCGAGAGCTTGGAGAGCATGGGACGCACCTCTGGCAACAGGGTTGGCCGATGTCTGATAGCATAGCTCTACATAGACGTTCTCGCAGCAGCAAGTGAAGCCAACGCGGCGGATCGGACTGGCACCGCAGAGCCTGGAAAGTCTAGCGTCGACGTCCGCCGATAAGACGTCTAGCGTATACTGCGTGTTGGTGATGTGAAGCGACTCCAGGGCAGGGAGGAGGCGCGGGCGGTCCGTGTCCCAGCGGGTCACGTCGGGCGTCCAGAGAGCTCGGAGGGCAGGTAGGGGCGTCTTGAAACGGTGCGGGTGGCCGGAGACGTACCAGCACGCCTCCCCAATGAGCGCGCAAGAGACCAGCGTAGGACCCACGAGGGTCAGGAGCTCGTCCAGCGCGCGGCTGGTCTCGGCGTACTGTCGTCTTGCCTGTTCGATGTAGGTCGCCGGCGACACGAACGGGGCTTCGCCGTAGAAAGCGCATAGATGCGTAACGGATGGCGGAGGCTTAGATTTGGGCCGTTGAAATTTAAGGACGACCAGGAAAGACTTGATCTGTCTCTGGTTCCGAAGGACGACGGTCTGGTAGCGGTAGCGGTCGGAGGCTGTCCGGATGGGTTTTGAGACAAGCGAAAGCGAGCAGCCCATGGTGCCGTCGTCGATGCAAGCAACAGAGAATATATGCTGTAAAACCTCCAGCGGAAGTCGGTCCATCTGATTAGGAGGGAAGGTGAAAGGCCCAAGAAAAGGATGCCATGGAAAGAGGTGAGCGTTTGAATTTAACTGACCGTGAAGACACACGGAGAACAACGCCCACGACAGCCAAATGAGGCTCGCGTGGGCCATTTTCTTTGTTAACTAGGCCACATCAATTTGGTGGTTACGATTGATTCGTTCCGAATTCTGTGGATGGCAGGTCAATGCGGAAGTGCCTAAGATTGATACGAGAGTCCTGTAACTCAGCCGAGCGCCATCATAGAAAGCTGGAGCCGGGTGGTTTGTCAAGCGAAGAGTATTCTTCGGAAACGACGCTAGCATGGCATAAAGGCACGTACCGGTACGTACAAGCCACCGAACGTCGTGTACCTGGTGGCTACCGCTATTTTTGCCATGTGCCAACGCCCGACCGTCCTTACGAGCAACACCGGGAATGCTGCTACTCGTCGCCCAGGTCAGAATCTGCGGCATACAATGCGATAGTCCTGCGACGTTAAAGCTGAGAGTTGTTTCGGCAATTCCCGACGCGGATTCGTTGATGTCTCCTCTTGACCTCCCTCCTCAACACTGGAAAAAGGCCGCGCTTGCTGCGCGGCCGATCCTCGCTTGACCAGTACCAGTAAGAAATGGAAAGGGTTTGTAAGGCAGTTAAGACACGGCCAGCGCAAACCCTGGTAACTTACAGTGAACACTGCAAAAAAAAACGTCCCGGAGCCTCGTCAAGGTCGTAATTTCGTAGAAAAAATATAAACAGTCCAGAAACCACCGTGGAAGCCAAGTTATCAGACTATCTCATCTTGAGTTGTAAAATATCCTCCCGATAGAGGGACAGCCCGCCGAACGCTGTTCCATCATGCCCTGTCCCTTGCTGGCCCTGGGGATCGGACTTGGCGCATTGCTATCCGACCCCAGCACCGATTCGCGACATGTACCCCTTCCTGCCTCATCCTCCCAAACAATTGCAGAGCCGAACCAAGCATCCCCCTTCTCGGGATGGCATAACTGTTCGACCGCTCACCTGCACCCTTTGCCTTTCTCCCCTCCGCCACGGGCCTCGTGTTCACTGTCGAATTGTGCGGCATGCTCGAACCCGGACATACGTTCGCCCTGTTCCGCTCTTCTCGTGTTCTCGTGCTCGCCGAGGGTGACGCGCGCAGGCTAGCCCAGCTTGCGCTTGGTACCATACACCATGTGTTTCTGTTGTGGCTGCGTGGCTACTTATGCTATCTTCGGTTCACACTCACCCGTGCCGGCTGATCTATTTGGGATACGATAACGAGATGTTGCAACCACGTCGGTTCAAGCATCTGGACAGACGACCATAGGGCGTGATGAGCAAGTACGACACGGTTGTCGTCAACGGAGTGGTGGTCACTGCCGCTGACATCGGGTGAGTCCAGACTACCCTCGTCATCTTCATCGGCACGTCCTTGGACGACTTTCTTTCTGCGCGCAAGGTCTCAAGTTGACTCGAATGAACGCGCAGGGCGTATGCAATTGCCATCAAAGATGGCAAAGTAGTCGCTCTGTTAGCAGGTATTTCTCCGGACGACCTCGAGGGGGCGGTGGTCATAGATGCAGAGTATGCAGTGACGCTCATTCACTCGCTGTGCGAGAGTATCTAACGATTGTGACTCTCAGAGGCGGTTTGGTTACTCCCGGCGGCGTCGATGCTCACGTACACATCGCCCAGGGTCAAAATACCAGACCGGATTCCGGCTCGCCAGGTGCCGTATGTGCGGACGACTTCGAGACCGGTTCTCGCGCTGCCGTTGCAGGGGGAACGACCACCATGATCCCGTTCGCTGTCCAGACGCGCAACGATAAGAGCATGCTGGCCGTCGTCAATGCGTATAGCAAGAAAGCCCAAGCTTCGGGAAGTTACATCGATTACGGTTTCCACGTCATTTGCACTCGCGCGGACAAGGAGGTTATGAAGGATGAGATGCCTGTCTTGGTCAAGGATTGGGGTATCGTAAGTCCCTTCGACGCATGAGTGCCCCCTCCCCAAGAATGACACATGCATTGCAGACGAGTGTCAAGCTGTTCATGACGTATGAAGCGATGCGACTCAGCGATTCCCAACTCCTCGATGTCATGCTTGAAGCCAAGAAGAACCGTATAACGACGGTATGATCCACATCCGGCCACACGTTCTCGTTGCAGAGCCGATTCTGTGTCCTTCCAGATGATCCATGCCGAAAATGGCGACCTCATTAGCTGGTTGACAGAAAAGCTCACAGAGAAAGGCTACATCGGTGAGCACGATATTCATGGGTCTTGTGCTCGTCACTCATATGCTTTCTATAGAGCCGTTTTATCATGCCCAATCGCGGCCCCCAATTGTTGAAGGCGAGGCGACCAACAGAGCCGTCGTTCTCGCCGAACTGGTCCAGAACCCTATACTCTTCGTCCACGTCTCAGCAGCTGTACGCACACATTTCCTTCCTTCCTGGTGTGTTCGCGATTTGAATCGTCTTCCCCTTAGTCCGCGGCGGAGGTGATCCGCAACGCTCAGACGCGCGGTTTGCCCGTATACGCGGAGACATGCCCTCAATACCTCCATCTCACGTGGCAGGACCTGCGCCGGTTCCACGACCCGAGCTGCTTCGAAAATTCGAAAATGATCTGCTCGCCGCCGCCAGGACCCGACGGGTCGGACCAGGAAGCACTCTGGACGGGATTGCACAACGGCACCTTCACGATCTTCTCTTCGGACCACTGCCCGTTCAGGTACGATGACGAACGCGGGAAGATGCGCGGCGTACTCGATCACTCGGAGAGCGTCGCGGGGGAGGATGTTGCCCACGCATGCGCACACGGAAATCTAACACAGCTTGCAAAGGGGAAGACGGGACATTTTGCGTACATACCGAACGTTAGTATCCGCGGCTTCTATCGTGACAACTCGTGTTCATGCCCGATCTTAGGGATGTCCTGGTATCGAAACGCGTGTGCCGTTGTTGTTCAACTATGGTGTCCTGAAGGGACGCATCACTCCCCAGAAGTTCGTCGAGGTCACGGCAACGAATCCTGCGAAGTTGTATGGTCTGTATCCTAAGAAAGGCGCGTTGTTGGTAAGTGCTCCATGGGATGCAACGATTCTCAATCTCGCCGACGACCTGCAAGAGGGGCTGACTCGTCCCCATAGCCCGGTCTATCCGACGCCGACCTCGTCATATGGTACCCGGAGGGCAGACTGCCACCCTTCAAACTCACGAATGACCGGCTCCATCACAACGTGGACTGTGCGCATTACCGCAATATTTCGCTTTGCTTACCCTTTTTTCCTCATCGCCAAACATCGTCTAGACACGCCATTCGAGGGCATGGAATTCACCAACTGGCCGCGATACACCCTTCTTCGGGGGAAGGTGATGTGGGAGAACGGCGAGCTCGTCGGCACACCTCGCGATGGCCAGTTCTTGCGCAGGGGCCCGTCCCTCTTCGCTGACCGGTTTTCGGCTCGGGGGACAGATCCCAGACGCGTGGCGGCGTGGTTGTACGATTGAGAGGCCCTCGTTGCGTATATAGTACCAGAAATAACGCGCGTATCAACATGAACACGTTTGCGCGCTGTGAAAAGCAGGCCGCTCCTATAATTATCGGGATGGGTGGCGTCCTTCTGGATAAGCTTTAAGTATTAGCGTGTGCGATAGCGCATCTGAGCTATCGCGGTCGTCATGCTTTCCGCGCGTCATGATATTTAGAGGCTCTCGGATGCAGTACCGTCCACTTCCGTGTGCCTTGATGGTGATCAATACGGAGGCGCGAAATGACTGGTCTTTGATCTGTCGGGGCCCTTCGAATTCGTGCCCATCGATTGTATCGCGGAACATGTTGCAACCGTGCGCATATATGCATTCCAAACAGCCTCACGAAATCGCTCAAAGTAGGATCCATCGTGGAAGTGCTAGCAGCATTTCATTCCTGTTATCAGAGTACGCAAACATGCTGTATCCGTGAGTGCATCCAGTAGTATGTAGGACCCTTCGGACCGCCCGTTAAACTTGCGTCCGCTGGTAATGCCGTCAGGCCCCATAGAAGCAACCCCAACCACGGTTCTTTGAGTGCTGCCGACCGCGGCACCATGAACCCTACAGCGAGTTGAGAAGGAGTGGAGGGGGGGCGTTGGTCTCGGCGAGTGGAGCGAGCATGAGAGAATCAGGCTCGACGAGCATAAACTTATGAGCGTTGCGGCGCAGGTCATGACGACTAGAATACAACGCTGTAGTATCCTGGTCCTTGCCTCTGCAAGGCAGGATGGAGTGTCCTATCCGCTGTTCCCCATCTCCGAGATCTGCGTAAGGCATCCGGCGGCCCGATGTTCATATCGATCCCATTACGAGTGTAGGCCGGTATCAAAGCTTTCCAGAGCGCTGACTTGGACGGTTCTGTGAAAGGGATATCCGTTCCGAACGCCCTGTCGATGGCTTCCGCGGCTTCTTTACTCCGTTTGCGACCGGGATCGATAGCGTAGAGAACGTGTTTGCCGCGACGTGCGAGGAGGATGGCACGACGGTTTAGAACATCGCATGTGCTTGACATCCATAGGTTAGTTAAAGGTGCAAGTAGCAGGGATCGGGAGCAGAAGAGGGCCGGCAGCTCGTCCTTCTGCAAGGGTCAGTACCGAAATACTCGGCGAGTTCCCGACTTTCTCGATGGGGCGTAAATCTGGTGACAGCCCTGGGCCCGAGCGTTCGTGAAGCCGGGTAGTGGCGAATATTGATTCAGGCGTCACGTTACCACCGGGCGGCTCGAATATATTGTATCGTATGCGTATTCTTGGCGCGAGACTCGGGCACGGGGGGCCGCACTACGGCCACTAGAAATGAGATGAAGAAGAGGTTCTACCAGATAACCACGAGACCTGGGCCGGCGAGTGATTCACGCCCATCCACGCCGTTCTGTCGAGAGAAACCCAGGGGTTTATGAGGCGTGACGAGCCAGTGAATGGATCGTGTGTGCCGCAGCAGCCGCCAGAAGACGGGAGGAGAGCTACTTTCTCGTTATCCGGGAATTCCAGACTGTGGTTCCGACGCTTCATGTGAGCAGATACGTGCAGCAGCGAGGCAACGTGCCGAAGCTTTATAGTTCGGGGGTTCAGGTCTCAATATTCGCGATCTGCGAGTCTCGATGGAGGGTGGGGATGCAGATCCGTTGTAGTATTTGCGATGTCCGAGTAGTCCGTTAGAGCGGGGGTGGTACCGGTGCGGAGGCGGAGGTGGGCCGCGTGCACGTCCTCCGAGTTGAGGGAGCGTAAGATGACGTGCGAGGCGTTCCTCCCATGAGAGAGAAAGACCAAGGTTCGGATTGGGTTGAGAGGTTGGTTTCGGAGATACCCGCAGCGCTCAAATCGGGCGCATGGATTGCCGCTATTCTGGACGTGAGGTTGCAGCCGTGCGTGTTTGATGAGCGCGCGACGAGACCGAAGGTGAACATGGGCGCAGAAGCGTACCGCTGGGCAATAGAGCATACACTCCCGAGCAGCTATGTGCAGAACCGCAGCGCGAGCAGACCGCGAGGCGTTGTGCGAGACGGAAGGGGATGACAGACTGGGAAGTCGCGGTTCGATTTGGGTTTCGGAAGAAGTCCTGGCCGTGGGAGCGGTTCCTGGGCGATGGCGGAGCGCTCGTCGCTGGCGCACGGGTCCTGCATTTGAATCGCTGTTCGTCGTCGCGATCCTGGTTTTGGACGAGGTATTCCGAGCAGGTGGACGACGGAGCCGCGCGGTGGTGGCGCCGGCGGGTTGGGCGCCGCCCTCTCGAGCGTGTCCGACCCATCTGTTTCTGGGCGGAGGCTGGACCGATTGCCAGCGCCGCGAGGCATTCGAGGGGTGGTTCCTTGCGTGATCAGGTGGATGAAATGCGCACGCAATCACGGCATGGACCTCTGTTGATTGCCCTTCTCAGGTGTTATGTTACAAGGTTGTATGAAGTTCTCGATTTCTAGACTGGATTGCCCAGCGTCTGCCCTCGCCACGACCGGCGGTGGCCTTGTGCCCGGGACGGAGGAACGACATCCGAGAGGAAGATTGGCGGGTGATCTTAGGGGGAGGCGGGCGGCGGCATGGTTCAAGTGGAGCGTCATTTGGGCTTCCGATCGAGACCCGAAGAAGCGGGAGATGCTTTGTCAGCTGTATATCAATGACGACGAAATTCGACGTCACTCCGACCCCCCCTTCCCTCGCCTCCGCTGACGTCGAGCTTACAACAGCGTCATGGTCGCCCGAAGTTCCAGCTCCTCCCCCGAGCCCGCTACGAATAATCGGGCGCAGACACAGCCTAAAGCGAAGCAGGACACCGACGCCGACGCCGACGCCGACGCCAAGGTCACCGTCACCGAGCCCACCCCCGACGCCTCCCTACCACCGCCTCCCGTCCCCGTCAAGGCCCAGCAAGGAAAGGCTCCGGCCAGGCCCCCGCCCCGACCGCTGGAACGTCGGTCCAACTTTGACCTCGAGCCCAATCCCTTCGAGCAGTCCTTTTCCGTCTCGTCCAGGCACAGCGCCTCGTCGCTCCGCACCCAGTCGCATCCGTCGTCCGATCGCCAGCAATCGCTGGGTCCATCCACCCGCGACTCGACCTCGTCGCAGTCCACCAACGCGGCCCGCCCCAACTCGCCCTCGCATCAGGCCGGTAAAGATGGCAACACCGAGAAGCGGTCGACTTCGCCCAAGCCCATGCTCCCGCCGTTGGCGTCCATCAACAGCCCCGCGGAGTCGTACAACTGGTTCTCGGCCGCCTCCTTCGCCAACTCTTTGCGGTCGGGGCCCTTATCGCCCGCCATGCTCGCCGGTCCTCAGTCGGGCACGCAGCAGGACTCCACCACCCACGTCCCCTTCGACCCCGCTACGTTCCGCACCGGTCTCACTCCTCGTACAGGTTTAACACCCGGGACGGGTCTCACCCCCCTTCTCGGGGGTCCACTCAGTTTCCCACCACCTTCTCCGAACACGGCAGCCTTCTTGGGTCTCGTTCAAGGAGGAGGTCAAGCCAACGGCACGAACGCAGCGACCATCACGCCCAACACCCTCAGCGCCATCACCGGCGTTCTCGCCGCCAGCAGCGCCCAGAATTCGAACAATGCTCAGGCTCCGAGCCTCGCCAACCAGCTGTCCTATCAACAGCAGGCGCAGATGCAGCACGTACCCCTGTCTCAGGAAGGCTACGCCGGCCAAGGCGACTACGACGACCCCAACGGGCAGAACTACGCGCAGATGACCAACGCGGCCAATACGGCCGCGAACGGCCTTTTCTTGCTCAGCCAGGCTCATCAAGAGTTGACCAAACGGGAAGAGGCGCAGCGGCACATGAACGCTCAAAATACTGCTGGTAATGACGTCAATGTCTACGATGTTCGTCGCGTCACCGTTAACCCCTGAGTGAAACAGCTAACAACAAGCGGGGAACCAAGCGCAAGTCCTACGACGTCGCCCCAACCCCCAACGAGCAAGCTGTTCATACTGGTACGTTGTCCGCCCGTGTGGGGTTGGTCGTTGTCCTAGAGTTATATCGGGCAACGGCTTTGCCGCGTAATCAGTACACGATCGGAGACATGCCGCTGACCACATGTCGCAACAGCGACCAAGGGCAAACGCACACGCTCGAACACGACCTCTTCTCGCGGCAAACGCGGGGTTAGCACGGGTGCATCCGACGAAGACGACGACGACGACGACGATATGGACGGTAAGTCTCACCGACGGTCACCTGATTTCCCAACGTGCCGCCGGGGGCGGCCGATACTCGGCGCGGCGTGTTTCCCACGCATGCCATGATATGTTATCCCGCCTCCCCCCGTTCCTGACCGGGTTTGAATCGTGCCAGCATGCAGAGGGCTGATCAACCCGTTCTGTTTCTGCCAGGCGCGGACCAGCAGTCGCTGTCGCCAAGTGGGACGGGCAAAAACGGACGACAGAAGAAGCCCGAGACGGAGGAGGAGAAGCGGAAGAACTTCCTGGAGCGCAACCGACAGGGTGAGTTTGCGATCTTTTACCTCATCGCGACCCCCGCCGTGGACGTCATCGCTCGCATATGCCTCCGAAAGTATGTTTTGTGTATGTACTTGATGCTGATTAGCTGTCGCCAGCGGCGCTCAAGTGTAGGCAACGCAAGAAGGCCTGGTTGGCCCAGTTGCAGGCCAAGGTCGAATTCCTCACGAACGAGAACGAGCGGTTGACGAGCGCACTGGTATGTCTGTACATCGCAGCGCACTCTTGCTCGTCGCTCATCCGCACCCCTTTCCTCTCAGGTGTCATCACGAGAGGAGATTGCGCGATTAACGGCGCTTGTGAACGCTGGCCACCCCCACGCGGCCGCGACTTCGGTACGTTACGCCGCGCGATGATATTCAAACCGGAGTGGAAAACTTATCGCGAACAAACTCCTCGGGAATGTCTCTCCTTCAGGCGAACACGGTGCCGGTCGTTCCGGTCGCGACGAGCAACGGGCCCCCGGTGAGCGTGAACGTGAGCATGGCGCCGGCGAGCGCGAAGACCGCGACGGTGGGCGGAGGGAGCAGAGGTTACGGGTACTGATCATCGATCATGCGCCTTATCCGACCGTTGGACCCCGTGCCCCGTGCTTGTTCGCGTATACCCACCACCTCCTCCTCCCTCGTCCTGCATTCAATTCACGACACCGCGACGTCGCTGCACCCGGAGATATCCGTGCATCGGTTTCGCGAAGATCATCCATCATTCACGAGCGCGCAAGACTGTTGTTGTTGTTGTTCTTGTATCAAACTCGCCCACCTAGGTCCCTCACTCCCTGCCTGAGCCGCCGCCGCTGCTCACGAAGAAAGTACTTACATCGCCTTTTATCTATCATTATGCTGCTGCGATACACGACGCACTCTGGGTTAGCATACAGCTTACCCTTTTCATTTGTACAACGTCTTTACTCCTCGCCTATCCCCTCTATCACAACCTCACCGTCCACAGACTATATCTCCTATCTCTTTGCCCCTCTGTCTCTTCGAGCATGTCACGACTGTACACGATCCCCCGTATGTGTCTCTACTGCCCCCCAGTGCCGGTGTACACATCCTTGTGTTGTTCGCCGTTTGTTGATTTTTTTTCTTTTCTTTTTTTTTGATACGTGCACAAACCAATGTAACCCACGTAGTAGAAGCCCAATGCATGATGTTCGTATCCGATGGTGTCAGGTTGAGTAATCGGTGAAATTCTAATGCGCCGTGATGATTGCTCCTACATGGATTTCAAAGCTGCAACACGTCACGATGACCACTCAAGTCTCTCTCATTCCATCCTTCATGGACTTCATATCAGCAGCAAAAAAAACCCGTGGCGGCGTCCGATCCATGCGCGTATAGTCGTGAAGAACAACCGAAACCCACGAAGACGTCATCAGACGTTCCCCGGTCTTCCTGATGTCCTGGCGCGGACCGCCTCTGCCTTCGTGACCTGCGCGAACGCGCCGTGGACGCTTCCTCCGGTTCTGCAGCCCATCATCTGACCCCGCTGGTGGGTCGGGTGCGCGGCCATACCACCTGCTTTTCTGCAACTTTTCCCCCCGGGTGTTACGACGCGGAGGCGTATGAAATACGGCGGCTAGGTGGTGCCATCAACCTTCGAAAAGCCGGGGATGCTGTGGGGGATGTAAGGGGACGCTCGGTGGTCATGCGGGGAAGTCACCGGCCTGGGGTATAAAGCCTGCCTTCGTCGGGGCCGCGTTTCCTCGTCTACGGAAATCCCTGAAGTCTGCGGAGGAAGCGCCGAGGCTACGATGGTGATGTTCGCGAGCTTGGCTAGGTGCTTCGTTGCATGTGCGTCTTTGGCGACCGTTGTAGGAGCGCTGTCGTTGCGGCAGAGAGGAGGGACGGCCAACGTGAGTGTGAGCGCGCGGGGGCCTTGAATCGTGTCGAGGCCCGACGGCTGACTTGCTATAACGTTCTGCAGCCTCTGGAAGCTGTCAAGATATCGTCTCCAGACGGGTCCGCATACGCCAATTTTATCCCTTACGGCGCGATCGTGACCAATTTCTTCGTCAAGGACAAGGTACGTTCCTCTGTTTGGGTTTCCTGAGGCCGGTCTGAGCGAGCTACTGTGTTAGCATGGAAAATTCCGCGACATTATCCTTGGCTACGACAACCATGTGAGCTGCTATGACATGTTCATCACGCCGTAGACGTAGCCGGCTGAACGCGTCGCAGACAAACTATCTGACGGACGCGTTGGGTCACCCGTACTTTGGGCCTATCGTCGGAAGGTTCGTCGGAATCCTTCTCAGACCTTTTTCGTCGCGACCGACGACTGATATACATCCGACTGTTTTTCCCAGATACGCCAATAGGATCAAGAATGGCACGTTCTCGATTCCTCCGACTCGCAGCACGCCGTCGTCTGGGCCCGGCGTTTTCCACATCGTCGAGAACGAGAACGGCGGTATGTTTGTATGGTCGACACGCTCCTTGGGAGACACTCACTCACATAAATACCGTTTTTCACAGGTAAGGATACACTACACGGAGGTTCTGACGGGTTCGACCGTCGCGTGTGGACCGTCTCCAAGCAGACGGCGCACTCTGTTACTTTCACGGTGCTCGATCCGGACGGAATGCAGGGATTTCCAGGCACGGTACACGCCACCGTACGCACCTTCATTTCCGTATGTTATCCTTCGCAGATTGACTGACACGTACCGCAACGTGATAGGTCACGTACACGCTCGAGAACCACGCGACGTGGAACATCAAGATCCATGCGACGGCGGACAAGCTGACGCCTATCATGCTCTCGGGGCACCATTATTGGAACCTCGAGGCGTTCGAGGAGTCGGCGGACCTGGACGCGCACTTTGCGCAGTTCCCGTCCTCGAGGGTCGTGGGCACCGACGGCATCCTGATCCCGACCGGAGAGTTGCTCGAGGTCGAGGGCACCCCGCTCGATTTCCGCAAGGCGAAGAGCATCGGGGCGGCGATCAACCAGACCGCCGGCCTTGACTACTGCGGTACAGGTGAGATAGGACAGTATATGAACACGAGGGATACACATTAAACGGGCGTAACCAATAGGATGCGTCGGATTTGATAATTGCTGGGTCTATGACGAGCACGACGAGAAGAAGCCCGTCTTCTCCCTCTGGAGCACCAACTCGGGTATCCGGTTGGACGTGACCACCAATCAGCCTGCGCTGCAGGTACGTTCATCGCGCCGCATGTCACACCGCCCCCATTCGACCCGAGGCCTGCTCACGATTCGTTCTCCTTCCCCCCAGGTCTACACCTGTGACGGCATCTTCAACGCCAGCCTTCCAATCCCGCGCAAGGCCGACCAAGGCGGCCCGTCCGAGTTCTACACCGACCACTCGTGCCTGGTGGTGGAGCAAGAGTCGTGGATCGATGCCATCAACCAGCCGGAGTGGGGGATTGACCAGATATACGGGCCGAAGCGGGACTATAACTGGGAATCTACGTACGCATTCAGCGTCATCCACTGAGCGTGGAAATTGTAACTTAGCAAGATCAACAAAATGATGTATTACCCTGCACCATGTGAACGTCAGGTGGTATGGATGCCGAAGCGTTGGCAGAAGAAAGTCGTTGCCGCATCCACACTTACCTCCGCAGTGGGAAGTGACTTGTTACTCGGTAATCGTGATATGCACTTGCGTACAAATGAGCGTACATTGGTTTAAACAGGAATAATGTCCCGCACGCGGGGCCCGTAAGTCCGAAGGCGCTAATTCTTTGAGCTAGTACCACCAAACATCTCCACGAGACTTCTTTCAGCTGGAACCGCTGTTATGGTCTGAAGATGAGGGAGGCTGTCAGGCTGTGCTATTGACGTACGATATGCGGAGAACTGCACCTTTACACCATCGACATCCCAAGCGATCTCCCGCATATCCTTCAGCCGTTCTTTAAGCATGCTGTAGTGCCGCTCGGGAAGCCGGCGTCCGGCGTCGACGGATTCCTCGAGCCATGTAGGTTTCAGGATGTGTGGCTTGGATATGGAGATCTCTGAGCTCAGCGAGAGATACGCGTATATCAAGCTCAACTCACCTTTTGACGGGTAGTGGTCAGCCACTTGTGCATCTTGCTCGCGGATAGTTGCATGGAGGTGAGGATATGGGTCGCCCGAGAGGCGCTGTGCAGCACTTCGCCTCCGCCAAGCGCGATGAGGCGCTTCAGCTCCTGGTCTACGCGTCTGATGAGCGACTTGCCGTGACATGAGTGCTGGAACTGTCTGAACCTGTGGTGTATCCGGTATAGCCGTCGATGTATATTCGTAGGCCTCTGAAGATCTTCTTCTCGAGTCTGGTCTTCATCCAGGAAGGCTTGGAAGAAGATTCCCCGTCGAGCGAAGCAGACGGGTCGTCGAAGGTCTGGCCAGGGTATTGTTCCTTCAGCTTCGCGGAGCGGTCGTCCATGTATTCTTTCGGTGGGCCGCGCCTTTCACCGCGCTGGTGACCGGTCACGCCGGAGTCGATGTATTCTACATCGCATTGGTGTTCGGACCGGCGGCACGCCCCTTAATCTCAATTTAGCTCACCATAGCGCAGAGGAAGGTCTGAATGGGTGATGGGATTCGCTTCGTCTTTGAGCGTGTTGAGCAGGTGGCGGGTCAGAGCTTTGTCTGACGGAGGCTTCCTCGCGGTTGCGGCTTCCGGATCGCGCTTTCCGACGCGTCTTCGCTCTTCGAACGCGTCAATATGGCGCTGGCTTGCATTGTGAATCGCGTATGGGTTGTACTTGAGGCACGCTTGCTTGGTGGTAACTGTCTTGTGTCGGACTGCACCGGAAGCGGAACGGGGCTCTTCTGGGTGCAGGTCGTCTGAATCGGACCTCTTCTTCGACTTGATAATCGTGACAAATTTGTCCATGACGGTCGTTAGGATGCGTGCGATCACTGCAATATATACATAGTCAATGTGGACGTGGTCGATGTCAGACCCGGATGTGGCGCGAGTTCGGTTTGTGGTTGAGTAACCACGTGGCGGATACGTGGTTATCTAATCTTATCTATTTGACTGGCTGGAAGTTCTCGCTCGTTCTGAAGGGGACTCCTTTGATGCTCCGAGCTTCGAGGACAGGAACATTACCAATTGTAGACATCTGGTCAAAATCGACCTTCGAGCGTTTCCGCCCGCTGCGCCTCCGCCCGCTGCCTTCACGTCGACACGCTCTGCACGGACAGGGTATCAGGCCCACGTCGACGAGAGGATTAGTCTCAGACGCCACACTCTTGAGGAATACCCACTTGCAAAAGACTCGAGAAGTTATGAGCGGCGCTTCGAAGACATACACCGATGCCGTCGCTGCCCTCAATGACACGCAATCGAACGCGGCTACTCTAGATGCAGTTCGTGCATCGGGCGGGAGGTTGTCGCAGTTCGCCATACCGGAGATGATAGAGTACTTGCACAGGATAGGGTACACGGTGAGTTGAGTTTGCATACCCCACACCTCCTTGTTCGTGATACGGAGCGTCATCTCCCTCGATCATGCACACCCCTCACTTGTATACTGGATGCTAACGCAGGTGATAGCCAGAAGATCTTAACAGAATGAACGTCATCCACGTCACTGGCACGAAGGGCAAGGGATCCACTTGTGCGTTCGTGGACTCGATACTCCGTCGGGAACGTCCCAGCTTCAAAGTCGGTGCGTTCTCGATAACGGCTTTCGTTCAGTCTAACAGCACTCTCTGACGCCTGACCTGCACCTTCTATCGCGATACACAATAGGTCTCTACACGTCCCCTCACCTCGTGGCCGTCCGTGAACGCATCCGCATAAACGGCACTCCCATATCTGAGGAGCTGTTCGCAAAGTAAGTAGAACTTGTTCCTCGTGACGTTCCTTCCACGCTTCATACTCATGACCGCCTCCACGCCTCGTGTTTGCGTTATGCCTAGGTTCTTCTTTGAGGTCTATGACCGCCTGTCTGCGAACACTAAGAGGGCACATGAAAGCACTCCTGAGAAACCAAACTACTTCCGCTTCGTCACGCTGGTCGCATACCATGCGTTCCTCCAGCTTGGGGTGAGTGTTTCTCATCTTGTGCCTGGGGTTCGTCAGCTATTTTTGACGATCACCTAATCTTTTGTTCACAGGTGGACGCGACCATCCTCGAGGTCGGCGTGGGTGGGATGTACGACTCAACGAACATTGTCCCGAAACCTATCGTCACAGGCGTCACTGCCCTCGGTATTGATCATGTTGGGGTCTTGGGGAAGACTCTCCCCGAGATCGCATGGCAGAAGGGAGGGATATACAAAGTAGGGGGAGATCCTGGCTCGTTTACGCTTTCAGGCGCCCTGACACCGCAGATCATCCAGGAAGGAGTTCCGGCACTCTCTGTAGCGCAGCCTGAAGAGGCACTCGAAGTCTTGCGAAAGCAAGCAATCGACCGCAAGGTGCGCGAATCCCACCATATTCGCCTACGAAACTCGCTCACACGACTGTCTCCATGCAGGCTTCCGAATTCATCGTCGTGCCCGACACTGCGGCGTTATACTCGATCAAACTCGGACTCCCGGGTGCTCACCAGCGCCAGAACGCCAACCTCGCCATACACCTCGTCCGGACCTTCCTCGCTAACCCGACCATCGCTGCCAAATCGAACCGCCCTCCGCCGACCTTCGACTCGGAAGGTGCAGCACCGCTGCCGGCGACGTTCGTCGGCGGTCTGCAGAACGCGCGCTGGCCCGGCAGGTGTCAGACCGTGCCCGACCCAGACCCGGCGAACGCGAAGACGACGTGGTACCTCGACGGCGCCCACACCAAGGAAAGCTTGGAGTTCTGTATGGCTTGGTATGTCAGCCCGGGGGCCGGCTTGCCGTTGTACGAGAGGTATGTTCCCCTTCGTTCTTCTGACCTTCACCTAGCGCATTGTCTTTGATGGTGACGCTTCGATCTTCGTAGTGCGCCGCGTCCCATGCGTGTCCTCGTCTTCAACTGCACCGCCGGTCGGTCGGGCCCGGCGTTGCTGGGAGGCATGCTGGAGAAGACGGCGTCGCAACTGCAAATTCACCACGTAGATAAAGAGGTTAGCGTGGATTCCTTCCGATGCGTCAGCTTGTCGCTGATTCGTTGGGTATAAGGCTGCCGCGGAGGATCTGGAAGGTACAGACGACGATGACCTCGATCCAAACAAGTTCTTCGACCACGTCATCTTTTGTTCGAACGTCACGTATGCCGACGGCGGATATAAAGGAGGTTAGTCGACGTTGCTATTTCTTGCTCCTTCGGGGTTGTGCTCATCACGCCCGCTCGTATCAGATCTGACCTCGAAGAACGTCCACGAATCCGACCTGGCGAAGATGAAGGTGCAGAACGAGCTCGCCGCGGCTTGGACTGCGCTAGTGCCATCGTTCCCCAAGTCGAACATCCACGTTCTGCCCTCCATCGAGCACGCGATCAGGACCGTGCGCGGGCTACAAACCGAGGAGCGGCCCGTCAAGGTCCTCGTCACGGGCAGCTTGCACCTCGTCGGAGGCGTCATCGAGGTGGCCGGTTTAGCCAAGGTCGCGCTGTGAAAGGGAAGTCGACGCGCTAGATGCCTTCAACGGGCATTTTTATGGCCAATGATATCGGAACCCTCATCGGGTGCGGCCCCTGGTAGTTCTCAACACTACCTCATGCGATGTTCGTCGACGCTCGTTTGGGGCGTGTCCATACCTGGATTGACATGAGCCTGGGCACGTCAAGGCCAAGCTGGTTTTTTGACGATATATAGTCTTGAGAGACATGCTTTGGGGAAAGGGGTTGTTTCCGCTGCAGATGCATACACCATGCATAGAGAAGATTACAACACAAATTTCGTGTAGAGTAGAATATCCTAGGTATACTGGTCTTGCATGCTTCACGACCTTGTGGTTGTATGTTAGATGATTTCACTGCTAGCTTTCAAAGTTCATCTTTTGCTTTTAGCAGGCAATTTGGACGATACGCATACAGGGGCTCTATGAATGGACTCGAGGAAGCGCTCTAAAAGCCCCTGTTTCATCGGAATCCGGAGGCCAAGCTGCATTACGGCCGGACCGATCGAGAGCGGATCCGGAATTTGAATACATTGGTGCGGATATACTTGCTTTGCACTGACCGTGATATAAATCGCAGAACTGGAGTCGATGTATATGTAGGTGTAAGGAAGTTGACGCCCATGCCATGCAACACGGGTTCAAATAACTGGATGTTGCAGTGTTCCCTAGGTTTGATGATAGTGGTCAAGAAGAAGTTGGTCGGTGTCGAAGGCGGAAAGCACAATCATTGAGGTCGGAGTCAGGCACGTCATCTTCACGGGAACGACCGAGATGGACTGGCCGGCGCCGTAGCGCCAGCAAGCGGTCTCCTGAAATACGTACAGTTACACCGACACGATACCGATACCACTACTTGCTCTCTACATGCTCTCTGGATAACCTCGCCGTCTTTCGCTCTCTGTAACAAACCCCCCTCGTCCTGCTATCCTCATGCACCTTTTCGCCCCCAACCACGTTCAGCTCATCAACGCTTGTTATCCCGCCTCGCAAACCGCCCTCGTCAACTCGGGCCCCGAATACAAGCCAAACGCGCAGGAACTTTCCCGTCTGACCTACTATGCCGCGAATCGCTCGGGGAAGATCACCAAGCTCGCGAACGAGTTGACGAAGCGGGTGAAGGGGGAGTGCCGGAAGGCGCACGCCGGAAATATGCGGTCGAGAGCGTATGTGGACCTACCACTCCCTAACACTGATCTCTGTCTGACTCAACCCGGGTACAGGTCTCTCTTGATTACTCTGACGATATTCAGAGCCCTGGCGACCGAATGCAGGAGGGACATCACCCTCCTCTCAGCAGCTTTAGTGACTGCGGTCGATGATACCCTCTCATCCCTTTCCTCCGATCTCGAGGTATCAGCTAGGGCGGCTAGCTTGGTAAACTGAACAACACAACGAAGATCTTGCGCTCACTGATCCTTGGAAATTTCTTCTAGTTCACCGCCTGGACGACATATACCGACGGCCATCTCATAGGGGCAGACCCGAACTTGACGGAGAGCTACATGTCCATACTCAAACAACTTGCACAGATGAGCACCGTGGAAGAAACTCGGACGAACGATCAGGAGAAGCGGAATCGGTGAGCATCAACAACCCAGTGTGCTCGTTGGTCACCCCTGATGAGAGTATCGTCAGCACCCGACTCATCGGTCTAAACGCCTTAACTGGCGCAGTGACCTCCGAGGCTCTATACAATGCCCCCTCTCATTTCACCCACCAGGTTTCCACCATCATAGATGCCGTAATGGTTACAGTCTTACAATCAAAACTCAACGATCTCCAAGAGCAGTAGGTTTTCTCGAGCACCTCTACATTCGTGCGCGTGGTTGACTCATGATCTTCTCGGCCGATAGATCCTCCTTACTCCATCACGACGACGACAAAGCGACCGCTGCCTACCTCACGGATTTCCGGTCACGACCCGCGTACGAACGGCGCGCGCTCTCCATCCACGCGCACGTCGACGGCCAATCAGGCCCCACAATGCGGGACGTAATCAGCGCCTCCCTTCGTGCGCTTTCGCAGCTCTTCGCGCAGTCAAACGGCAGCCAGGTCGGCCAGCTCATGCAATCCGCCTTCAACAGCCTCGACGCGCGCCGGGGGTGGGAGAAAGCGGACCACTGCCGCTGGTTCGCGCAGCGCGCGGCGGACTGGACGCGGTACCAGTACCGGTACGCGGTGCCTACGCGGCTAGTGGAGCGCCTGCTGGAGTCGCAGGACGTGACGGACCTGACGGTTCAGCGGAGCCTGGCCGGGATGGTCACCACCGTGTTCACCTCGCCCACCCCGCTCGTCAACCTCTCGACGTCCGACATTGTTTCAAATCTCATCACGCTCGTCATACGGCGCATATCCGTCGATCCCGACGATCCCCTCGTGCCCGACCTGGTCCACTGCATCGCCGCGCTCGGGACGCACGTGTACTACGCGGACCAGATACAGGACCTGGCCGGCGAGCTCATTAGCCGTTTGCTCGTCGTCGAATCCAACGGCGTGCGCACCTCCCGCGGCGTCGTCGGCGAGAAGAACCGTTCGCAGGCCATCCGCGCGCTCCTCGCGGGCCTGCTCGGCCTCATGCAGGCCGCGCACAACTCGGAGAAGGAGCACGAACTCGAGGGTGGCAGGCCGGCGTCACCATCGGGCAAGGACACCACCAGACGTCAGAGCTCGGACAAGCACGTCAAACCCTCCAGCCGGACACGCATCTCGCCCGAGCTGTGGATGGACACCCTGTCTTTGCTGTGCGACGGCGACTACGCCGTCCGGGCGGACTACGCCCGCGCGCTCGCTGCCTACCTCCGCGACGAGATCGACTGCCAGGGAGACACGACGGACAAGGACGGTGTGCGTCGGATGCGGCCGCTCGCGGACGGGCCCCTCCGTCAAGCGAGCAACATCACCGCCGTGCTCTACGGCGATGCCACGACGCGCTTTCTCAGCGCGCTGCACGCATACGTGTACGTCCTCGCCACGTCGTCCACCCTCGGCCACAACTTCACCGGGTCCGGGTCCGGGTCGGACAGGTCGTCCTCGGCGGCGCTCTCGGAGGAGCCCGAGGACGCCGGAGCGGGGTCAAGCGCGCCGTCGGACAGCGGCGCATCGCAGCGCACGCGCGAGACGCAGTTGACCGCGCACCCGCGACGGTCGCTGACGGCCCCGACGCGCGCGCGCAAGATGGACGTAGCCCATCGGTTCATTGACGCGCTCCCGACGCAGCTGTCTTCGAGCCCATCTTCGGCGACGGCGTCGGACTACGCGCATATATTGGACGTGCTCGTCGCGGTGCAGGAGAAGGTGCCTGTGCGCGGGCTGCTGACCGGCGTGCCGATGCTCGTGGCGTTGGATTCGTTCGCGCGGGTGGGTGAGGTCGCGGACGCGATGCCACTGCAAAAGGCAAGGGCGATCAAGAGGATCGTTGCGACAGTGTGCAAGTCGATCGGAGTTGTCTGGGATTCGCACCAGCTTGCGGAACTTGCGGAGCAGGTGAGCACATATACTCGAGCGGGTGCGATTGAAATCCGACGTTGACTCGCGTGTTCGTTTTTGCTACGAAAGGCGCTCGCATTGTTACCGAAGTATCCTCAGCTGCCGGAAGTGGAATCCGCCCCGCCTGGCGCCTTCCCCGCCCCGCGAGAACCGGCGCGGTTCTCAAGTGTGGACGGTGGTCTTGCGGCGGATGGCGTCCATGGTATCAATATGGAGACGGTGTTGGTGATCCTGGCGTCTAGCGCCCACGTGCAGGATGCCGTAGGCTTGGATGAACAGGGAGTCTTCCGACGCCTGGCCCGGGAGTGGACTCCGAAGATGGCTGTCCAAGACTGTATGTACCATCCTGTTTTATCGATTCATGTTTGCTTAGCTTTCTCAGCCACCGAACAAAATGCCCATTCCATACGCGCCGACGGCACGGCGCCTCTCCTCAAAATCTCGCCCGCGCTTATGCATATCGAGAACCTCTCGCTCGCGAGCCTGAACCGTCCCACGCGCGGCGTCGGCGTCAACGACCTCCGGGAGGCGCTCGAGGGTCGGAGCAGCATATCGCTCGTGCACGGTGGCGGCGGAGCGCCGTCGATATCGACGCTCGACCAGGGATCGTCGATCATGCCGAACGATCCCCTCGCGCTCCAGCTCACGCGCTCGCGCACGAAGAAGACGGCGGCCAGGCCGCTGAAGGGCCCGGGCGAGGTCCGCGACGTGTTGAACAAGCTCGGGATCGGGAAGCAGAACGGCGGCGGCAACGGCTTCTTGAAGACACCATTCCCGGGCTCGCAGGCGCGAGATCGGCCTCCGTGAGTGGATCATTGACTATGCTAGGTACTCGACCGTGCTAATATATTCCGGGACAGGCCTGGAAACGCCCTCGTTCCTCCGTATCGCTCATAAGCCCGGTCATTTCAACTTCTTGATTTTTCGTGGCTTCACTCACCCGCTCTCTACGGATTCTCGCATTCTTACACCCATCTCTCGGACACGTGTAGAACAGAGCAGCAGTCAGCATCACAGTACCCATCTCCGCACTTAATGCTATTAATTTACACATGAAAAATCCTATGGGTATATACCGTCGATATCAACGACGTGTTTGCGACGAAGAAATGATGCGCCTCCGAGCCTGCTCCTCACATTCGCGCCAATACGCAATCTCGGACTGCGCCTTGGGATGACTTGATGTCTGAAGTTCTCTCTGTAAAGCAAGGCATGTTAGCTTGAGGCGGGACATAATCATAGTGACGCACAGTGAGACCCTGCAGCACGGATTCATATATTGACGACTGAGCCGTTGCCCGCCTTGCAGGATCTGTGACCTTTTCTGTATGCTTGAGGATGAGCTTGGCCAACTCTTGCCGTAGACGGAGCAGGCTGAACACGATATCAGCAAGACAAGGGGGTGTTAGGCGTCGTGCATCTCACTTCGAGAAGATCATCGTCTCATCATCTTGTGCGGTCAACGACAGGAAAGAGCCGAACATCACGACATAACGCTTGCAGACCTAATGGACAAAGCATACGATGAGTCGTCCAACGGCAGTGGCGAAGGGAACAATGGACGTACGGTGAAAACCACGGCGTCCGTCAACGGCGTCGCCCTGCTGAAGAGCGCCAGCCCAGCGCCCGTACCTTCATGCAATCTCTTCAGCGCGTCGACATGTTCCGACATCCCCTTTTGGAAGATTGGCCACATCTGCAGACGCTGGGTGAAGATGAACGACTCGAGCGGTCCGCACTGAGGCTGGCGCTTCTGCACTTCGGCCATGACGTCCTCGGTGAGGCGAATGAGGGTCAGAAGCGGGATCGTCGCCGGGGGTGGGTCGAGGATAGTCTTGGAGAACGACTGCCGCGAGCGACGAGATCAGCGGAATTCACATGGGCCGAACAGATGAGGCTCACTTGACAATATTCCATGACCGGATCCATGACCTGTTTCCAAATCGTCTCCAATGCAACTTTCTCTTCTTTCTCTCTCGGCGCATCGGGACGCGGTACGAGTGGCGCACCAGCGCCGGCACTGAACACGCTATCGGCTCTGCGCCTCGCCTTCGGGGTCGGCCCATCCATCTCGTCTGCTGCATCAGCAGGATCAAGTTCCGAACCTCCCGGACTCCTCAGCCCAGTCAAACCGGTGGGAGTGAGTAAGGAACCAAAGGAGGGCAATGGCGACAGCTGCGCGGAAGCCGATGCCGGGAGCTGTGGAGAGGGCGGGGCGAAGAAGCTGCAGATGAACGTGTACTCCGCGGTCGCGTTGTCCATGAGGACTAGGAAAAGAGAGCGGAGGAGTGCCTCAACTGGTTCCGTCTGGATTGACCGTTATCAGCTTCGCGTGGCCGCAGGTTATACAAGATACGTACATGAGATTTGTCGTCAGCCATATATGCGAGCGTAACGCCAGGACCATCAATACGGGACAACGCGAGTCGGGCATCATTGAGCTCCCAATCTGATCCCTTCTCGCCTGCACTCGCCGTGATAGTTTGAAATGTCTCAGTGTTGCGCGTCTACGAGATGTGAGGAGACTTCAGTCTCGAATCCTCCATGAGGAATATTCCCAAGAGCTGACCTTGATATACCCTAGGCTTCTAGCGTACCTCCTGAAGCCCGTCTCATAGAACGTCCTCGCCGCACCGACGTACGCCCTCTGAATCTCTTGCGCCACGTTGGGAGCTTGGCGCTGGAGGAATGCGAACAGGGGCTGATACTTCAGGAACACAGACGTCTGCAGGACCTGCATGTTCGTAGTAACGCTAGATCGGATGGGCTGGAAGAGGGTGAGAAAGAAAGCGCGGATTTTCGTCGCTGCCTGTGTACTATGGAGTCAGCACGGTAGTTACCAAGGTAAGATATGGCGAACGTACGACGATGCGCAAACCCTCTGTCACGTCTGAAAGATCTCGGGCGGCCTTCACTCGTGCGCGCGCTTTCACCATCTCGAGTCGTTGCTCGAACTCAACTATGGCGCCGATCCATGGCTCCTTGACTTCCGTGTCCAAAATTGTGGTCGCCAAGGAAGGGGGGATCGTGATATTCGACAGCAGGTTTGACAGAGGTTTCTCTATTTTCTAGAATATAGGTCAAAACAGTTTCCAATAACGTAGCCAGGTGAAACTGACTCGACGACTCTTGAGACGGTTGTCTATGTCTTTGCTCCGGCTTTGCAGGTCCGAAATTTGCCCTGAAACAGCGGATAGGTCCTTCTGGAACGTCGAGAGAAATGACTCCAGCGAGTCGAGCAGGTTCACGCTTGTCTGAAATGCTCATGTCAAGGGGTAGACACTACCACATGAATGGGCATGATGCGCACCTGAACCTGGTCATGCAACTCGACGAACTCCTTGGCGCGCCCAGTAACTAGGAGGTATTCGGCATCGTTGCATGTTGGCTCAGTCTGACACGTACGTACATGTGGAGGGTCCATGGATTGTACTTGCTGCACGTTCGGGAATAATGGTGGAAGCCATGATCTTTATGTGGTGGTTCCTATAGACTGGAAGTGATTGTGCCAGCTGGATGTGCCGTAGGCACGAAACGGCAAGCGCGGTCAACGGCAAGCTCGAAGCTCGAAGCTTCAACTCAACCTCGTCAGCCTACGCCGACACCTGTTGTCGGAGCGACGCGGTTCTGATCAAGGAGGTCTTGTACAACGTCAGAAACCGACACTGCAATGTCATACGATGCCGCCGAAATCATGCAGCAGTCGTATCACCCTGTGTTACTTACCCGAAGAACGACTGATCTATGTCTGTTCGTTCTGGTCATCTAGGTCATGCACTCGATGTGCTACTTTGGCGCTGAACATAGTACACCTCCGGGCATGCTGGGCCATTGACCGCCCTCGGCGCGTTTCGTCCTGGAACCCGCGGACGGTTTCGATTTCGCTATGTGGGGACGGTCAGCGGGCTCGAATAGTTGGTATGTGAAACCAAAGGGACTGTCTCTCTGTCACCATCGCCGCGGCCGCGCTTGTGGACCTTCAAAGACATCGCATGTCCTCGCATAATGTTGCTCCCACTGTGGCATTGACTGATCGTGCGGACAGGGTGGCCACCGATCCACCGGGCCATGCAATTCCAGTAATACAATGTATCTGTCCGGCCCTGCTCGTCTGTGGCCCTACGTCCTCCATCGTGCTATAAAGGCAGGAGTGCTAAGCTTACCTCGGGTACCTCTTCGCCTCCTTACTTACTCTCCTCTTACAACCACGCCTCCTGTCAACATGCCGAGCCTTCCGGTCGAAATCTTGCAGATCATCTTCTATTTCGCCTGTCAGGGCGACGGGGTCACTGCTCAGTCGTTGTCTCTAACATCCCGGCATTTTCTCGCCGTTGTCGAACCGTGGCGCTTCCAAAGCATCGTCCTACGGGGAAAGGCGCAGATCCACGCCTGTACCGCGACTCTCAGATGCCGGCAACTCAAAGCCAAGCCTCAAACCGTCCTGCATCTATGCGTCTTCTACGAGCAGAGTACATTTTGGCGCGACTGGATCCAGTTATACGCTAATAACCCCGAACACCGGAAGGACCGGGAGGCCCGCGAGAAATGGCTAACTAGGTCGCGGTTCCTCCAGAAATATACCTACCTTGAAGCTCGAGATATCCATCTCGCTGTCAAGGAGCTATTGTCACTGGTGGCGAGCACGTTGATCACATGCGCTTTGATCGGGGAGGATTGGGAGCCGCTTTATATCGAGCAGTACGCTATCGACGCGTACTTCCCGGCCCTCCAAGCTCTGTGGATTCCCGACATCATGCGGTGGGACACACGCCGCGGGATCTTGTTCCCCTCCTTGCGTTTCATACACGTTCGCTACCCAGCTACAATCGATGAACTCTACCAACCTGAGGTCAACGAGGCACTTGCCGCCCTCTGCAACCCCGAGATACCCCACGTCCGCCTGACTTGCATGTGTGCGTGCTTTTTAAGATGGGCCAAGAACATTGACATCTACTACTCGGCGCCTGGGCCGATAACCGCAGGCCGTGGTATGCCTCCATTCTCTCGTGGCTTACTCTTCTCAAAGTTCTGATATATACTGTTTACAGATTGGTTCAACCTCGACATCTCGGCTTGGTGGGCCGGCGCGGGTTGCTTGGAACTCGGCATATCGGACATACATGACCTGTCGTGCCACAGCGACGGTCACATCTTCGGGAGAGCTATCCACAACGGCAGATACTGCGTCGTCAACTCGGAGTCCTGCGCGTATAAGCAAGAGGATGACGTGCCCGAAGAGTGGAATAAGTATATACACCACTGGTTCGAGGGCACAAACTATTCGAGCAGTTCATCGCTCGCCGAAGACGTCACTCAGTTTTACCCATGGGAGCGCATCCAACGTCGTTGCCTCAGCTGTCCCCGCTGCATCAAACATATGCCACGGCGGATCCTAGGTCCTATGACACCACCGCCGTGGTTCGGCACGTTCGATCTCGACACATCTCATTATTCACTACCACAAGGCTCTCCCCGCATCCTCCTGCCCATGTAACTCGTGAACAATCCGCGACCTCCACTATACCATCGAATGAAGTATGCGATTATCCTCCGATGTACTCTACCGCTGAAGAAGAATTACTAGACGAACGCCAAAGCCATGTCCTGCGGACCACGTAGCTATGCCCACTCCAGTCTGCCGGAGTGTAGATCGACATTAATTTTGATATTCTACGGAAAGCTGGAAGCGTGTGTTGTACCACGATGGCGCGGCTGCGGTCGGTACGAAGGACGAAGTTTGTGGCCCATCATCGCGACTCTTCGAGTCGAGCTAGCCACCGTCTTCCTGCATGTAAAAAAGAAAAGGTCCCTTTCCCGGGATGACCCGCAATACATTCGAATTCATATGGAGGGCAATGCGACGAAATGCGGTATGCACCCCATACCGTCCTTTCCGGGACAAGGATGAGGGGCGATCACTGGCTGCTATCCCTCATCCTCGACCTGACCTGCACCACCCTTTCCGCGCACGGCATGGTGAGCTCGCCCCTCCCGTTCGTCCTCCACCTCCACATATTCCCCATCGGGACCGAACCGGTCCCACTCCTTCCCGCTGACGACCCATCCCGCGAACGGTCCCGCGGGTCCCCTCAACATGGCCTTGGCGGCTTGGTACGTTACACAGGCATCCTTCGCGTCGCGGTATGTGCGATGAAAAGTAGGGTGAGGCTGAGGACGATCGCTGGAGAATGGAACACGTCAGAACGGCACTGTCCAATCCCTGCAAACGACTCACGAAGGTAATCGTCGAAGGGATGGTGAAGCATGTTGGTAAAGGTCAAACATCGCGATCTTGGACAGCATCGGTCTAGGCATGGTGATTGTGAGCCTCGCCATCGAGAGGTGCAATTGAGGGCTGTGAAGGGAAACTCCGCATACCGAAATTTGGGCTTGAAGCGATGCTTCGGGGGCACGCCGCGCCTCATGCCATTGATGAGCACTTCACGTCCGTGGGGCGAGTCTGCGACCCAACAGAGCGCTGTGTATCTTTCACGGTGAGCGTGCCCTTGCGCGCATCCAGAGAACAAACCAAGAAAAGTACGTACAATCGTTGCAAAAGCCTCCACCCCCGACTGCAGAGGCATCGGGGACTACCGGCATCGGTCGCGAATGCGGGAACGCGAGAGAGGTGAATGCGACCGCCGGCGCGTGCACAGCGTACACTTCAGGAAGAAGAAGGCCTGAAATCTGGGTCCTTCAGGGCACGATTCTATATTTTTTTGCCAAGGAGGCGAAGAAAGAGAAAATGCACCTCGGGCGTCGCCGACACGCCTGTAAAACGCTCTCTGGCAGTCCTCCCCCACCACTGCTCTGAGCGCCTCGGGCACGCCGCCGATCACGACGCGTTCCAGGTACACGGGTCGATAGAGGGAGGATCCCAAAGCCCCCTGGACGCCCAGCACGTTCCAGGCTGCGATCTTGTCGCTGCACGACATGCACGCCGTCGGGGGCGAGTCCGCGCGCCCGGGCTTCGTCCGGAGCGCACCGAGCAGCGCATAGTTGTCTCTACCGCGCGCGGACGAGCCCTGAGCCAGCGCCGGCCAGGCGGTGGAGTCTTTCAGCGCCGCGATCTCTGCGTCTTGGAACGCGGCGAGGTACCGCATCGAGGCGTCGCCGCCTGACAGGTCGAACACATCGAGTCATCGGGTGAGCTTGAAGCCTATGCGCCACGATAGTAGTTTTGCGAGCCTCTCACAAGGTGGGGTGGATATGTACAGGTTCAGCGAGGCGCCCGATCTCAGCTTGAACGGTTCATCGTAGTCGGCGGGTGTTCGCTCGATCCAGTCAGACGTGTAACCCTCAGAGCACATCCGGACGGCCTCTTCGAGCAGCCATCGAACGGCGCCGCGTCGCGCGAGAACTTCTGCATGACTGTCGCGCAAGGCCTCCCCGCGCCGGGGGTACCGCGCTGTTGGGAGACACTTTGTCCCTGTCCCAAGAGAAATCGCCTTGATCTGCGCGCCGCGGGATAACACGAAAGACGCGAGAATGGTGAACTGACCGCTGGGCGGCGCGAAAGATTGAAGAGAAAATGCCTGCAACGCGGCGGAGGCAACATCGTCTGCGACCACCATGGACGGTGGGAGTGAGCCTGAGAACGAAGACGTAATTGTGCGAACGCGTGTCTCGCTTCGGCGTGTGATGCCTCGGCAAAGCGACCACACCGACTTCGACCTCGAGGCGAACGTTGCTCTTTTGCTCCCGCCGTCGACGACGAGCCATTGCAGTCCCCTGCCCTGCACTCTGCGAGGTACAGCGCGCACTTGCCGGAGGCGACGAGGAGGCATGCTCACTTGAAACGAACAGGTAGTGCCTAGTCACGACTCTCCACGACTACACGACGATCCTCCCTCTTCCCACTGTCCCAAGCGGAGATCATGGCCGACCTTCATGAAGCCGTCTTTTCATGGTGATTATTTTTCTCGCATCCCCCCTTTCCCCCCTCGCTAATTCCAACGCATACGTTCAGGCCCGACGCAGGCGCCCACGATGTGATTGTCACCGGCACATTCGATAACGTTCGTATGCCCTCCCCATCCTCCCCCCGTCTATCATCATGCTAACAATTCTCTGACGCAGTGGTCCTCCTCCATCCACATGACCAAGACCCCTTCCGGGTTCGAAGCGAAGGTGAAGGTCCCCTGGGGCCAGAAGATCCTCTACAAGTTCGTCGTCGACGGCACCTGGCTCGCTGCGCAGGGCCAGCCGACCGAGCTCGACGGCTGGACCGTGAACAACTTTTACCACGCCCCGGAGAAGCCCATTGCGCCGGTACAGGACGCTCCCCCGGCCGTCCTTGCTCCGGAAGCGGTCGCTCCTGAGCCCACATCAGTGCCTGAGCCCGCACCCGAGCCAGCACAGGGTGTGCTCGCCAGCGCAACATCCGCCATCACCAGCGTGTTCGGCGCTGCGCACGAGTTCGCGAGCCAGCTTGTGACCCAGAACGGGGTTACCCCGATCGACACGCCCGTATCCGCAAAGGACGGCGTCACGGAGCACTTCCCTGCCGTCTCCTCCACGGCGAACGGCGTCGTAGAGGCAGCGCACGAGTATGCTAGCAAGATTGTCGACCAGGGTACTGCGACTGCACCCGCCGAGGTGCCTGCGCACGTCAACGGCGTGGCGAAGACGGAGGAGGCCGCTCCAGAGCCTGTCGCCAAAATTCAGGAGCCCGCCGTCAACGGCGTGGAGAAGGCTGCGGCACCGGAGCCTGTCCCCGCTCCCGAGGAGCCTTTGCCCACTCCGTCGCTAGGCGCCGAGCCTGTGGAGCGCGCGCCCCGCGTACCGCTCCCCATCCTGCCCCTCGGCGAACAGGTCTCGGATACAACGCCCGCAACCGCCACAAACGACGCGACCGTTGTCCCCGAAGCCTCGACGCACGCACCGGTCGTCGTAGCGAGCCCCGCGGCATCGCCCGAGCCAGCAGCAGTCGTTGGCGATTCGGTCGCGCCAATCACCAAAGAGGGTGTCGAGAGGGCCACTGAGACGCCCAGCACGCCTCCTCCACGCCCCGAGACGCCGAAGAAGGAGGCCGCCGCAGAGAGGCCGACAACGCCCAAGAAGGAGACACCGACGACGCCGAAGAAAGAGGAAGCACCGTCCGCGCCCGCGACGCCGAACCAGAACGACTCGCGCCCGTCGACGCCATCGAAGAAGCAGGCATTCCCCGCCTCTGGCTCCCCTGGCGGATCACCGAGTTCGTCCAAGTTCAACACGCCCACGCGCAAGAAGCGGAACTCGATTTTCGGCAAGATCAAGGTACGGTGATCATCTCTGCCACGACCAAGTGGAGCTTGCTTGCTGATCCACCACTTCTGCAGGATATCTTCCACAAGGACGAGAAACTGAGCCCGAGCCCGAAGAAGGAGAGGAAGCAGCCGTCGTTCGGTTGATCGTGCTACTTTCCCTTCGTCGTCATCTCATATCTGTAAGGTCGTCCGCTTTGATCCCGCCGTCATCACATTTAGAATAGGTGTTCTCATGTCCCGTTTTCTTTAATCGTTGTTTTTGGCTTTGCTGCGTCCACTCGCATAGATTCTAGGTCTGCACAGCTCTCACTGTATTTTATTTGCTTTACTTCGTACTTCGATACATGGGATGGCTTTGTTATACATTCCGGATTGCTTTTGACCTCTTCGTCTGCCTTCAAGTCTACGATATCAAGCCAAGGACGATTCCTAGCACAGCCTGTCAAATCAAGCACCTACCAGCATAGCACGAGCACGTACCGGCAGCGATGGTTTCCCCGCCTCTCCGGACCAGAACCCGGCCCATCTCCTTGTTGACCGAGAAAGGCTCGAGCGGGATAGCGCGCGCTCTCGAGGTCGGGCCCGACATCGACGCCGTGCGGAGCGTTATTTGCACCTCAGCCGACGCGCCCTTCGTGAGCACGCGGGGGTTCGACTTCACGACCGCGCCCGTCGCACGGTCGATTAGCGACGCCAGCTTGAGGATCGTCGCCGGCACATCTTGGGAATGCACGAAGAGCTCCACCTACGCATGGCAACCGGAATGCATGCGATCAGAAGGGCGGGAGAAGAGGAGAAAGAAAAGAGGGATAAGAGCGCACCGATGTACCGGCCGTGATGGGTACCTGGATGTCGAACACGATGATCCGCGCCGTGAACCCGGACACGACGGGGACGGGGTTTGTCGGTGGGCAGAGCACGCTGCCGATCGCGAGGTGGATGGGGTCGACCTGGACAAGAAACAGGGTGACGTTCGACCCATCCGCCGCCCAGGGCACCGTCTCGTCGTTCGATTGAATCACTGTGCGGGCATGAGAAATATCCCGCTCGCCTAGTTTCAGGACGCTACGCACATTTTACGACACCGGTCTCGTCCCCTGGGAGCACCCGCAGGCGCTCGCCGACCTGCACGACGCCTCCGCAGACGCGCCCCGAGACGGCTGTCCCGGCACTTTGCCCTTTGAACACGTTTGAGATCGGGAACCGGAAGGGAGCGGCAATGTTCCGAGCAGGAGGTTCCAGTTTGTCTAGGAAAAGATGTCAGGGTTAGTATTGAAAAGCGATGATGCAGGCAAACCGCGTTACCTAGGAGGTCAACCAATGACGGACCACTGTACCAGGTACGCAGCAGCTCCGCGGATTCCTGATCCCTGTCTACTAGATTGATGCCTTCCATGGCGCCAACCGGGACGAAACTGGTCTTCGAGGACGAGAAACCTGACTGCGCAAGGAATGGTTTGAGCTGGTCGCAAATCTCATCGTATCGGCTTTGGTCCCAGTTAACCTTCGCGAGGGTGTCAATGGCCAAAATCAAGGTCGCGGAATGCATGCACCCTCACCTGGTCCAGCTTGTTAACGGCGGCGACGACCTGGCTAACACCCAAGCTTCGGACGAGCAGTAGGTGCTCCCGCGTCTGCCCGCCGCGCTCAAATCCGGCCTCGAATTCGCCGACTGCAGCGTCGACGACGAGCAGCGCGCAATCCGCCTGGGCCGCACCGGAGATCATATTCGGGATGAAGTCGCGATGCCCTGGCGCGTCGAGTACGGTGATCCGGCGGTGCGGCGTCTCCAGCACCTCCTGTGCAATGTCCATCGTCACTCCTCTGCCGAAAACGTCGAACGTTAGCGGTGATTCAAATGACGCGGGTGGATCAGATACCTTTCGCGCTCTTCCACCGTACCGTCGAGCCCCCAAGCCCAGCTGAAGCTGCCTTTACCCATCTTGTCGCTCGCGCGTTCGTTCGCTTGGCGCGTCTTCTCGTCCACCCGGCCGAGTTCGTACAACAATCTGCCCATGAGTGTCGACTTGCCTGCGTCGACGTGTCCTAACCACCAACTCTCAGCCCTCCGCACCTCACAATCATAATATCAGATAGCTTACCGATGACGACCAGATTAACGGCCTCCTTCTCCTCCGACCGCTTCCGCAACGCGGCCTGTACCTCCTCTAACAGCTTCTCCTTCGCCAGCGCCACCTTCGGCGGTTCCTCATCGACAACCGCCTCTTCCTCCTTCGGCCCCAAATTCAAGCCTGCAACATCCAACTCGCGCTGGTCAGCAGCCGGATGCTGCTGCCGCGCGGGTGTCCCCGCCCCGCCCTTGCCACCGCCCTTGGCCTTCGAAGGCGACGCGTGCGGAGACTGCGCCCTTGACGCCGCCGCGGACCGGATTCCAGGCGTCCCCTGCGCAACCTGCTTCTGCGCGGCAATCCTCTGCGCCTTTTCGCGCTCCTTGGCGGCTGTCGCACAGAAAGGGCATGGATTCGAGATGGTGAAAAAGGGATAAATTAACGTCAGCGTACAAATCCTAATACAAAGTGAGAATAAAACAACAAAAAGAAAGGATATGCGCCGTCACTTGACGGCGACCTTGGAAGCAGAAGAAGAACGGGGAGCGGAGGAAGGGGTAGTGGTGGGCTTTCCGGGGGACTGTTTGTACGCGTCCCGCGGCTGCGCAAGCGCCGTGCCTTTGCGCGCGTTGAACACGATGTCGTCCGGGCTCGGCGACGTAAACGTGAACGCGCTTGGTGACGAGAGGATGTGCTCTGGTGGGGGCGGGTACAGCCGACGGCGCGGCGTGCCCGTGCTCCCCGTCCCAGTCGTCCCCGTCCCCGCCGTGGACCGGCTGTCGCGCATGCTCTGGCTCCGCGCCGGCGAGCCGTGCTTGCCGCTGCTTGCACCTAGTGCGAGGTCATCGACGAGGATCGCGGCGAACGTCGAAGGGGACGCACGGCTGCGGGACGACTTGGGGAAGAAGATCGGGAGCTCGGGCGGTGGCGCCGGCTCCGGTTCCGGCTCCGGCGCGCGGACGTCCTCCTTCATCTGCGCCTTGCGGCTCTTCAGAGCGAGTTTGGACGAGCGCGCACTAGGGCTGTTCATGCTCGGATCCGAGAGCGCGGCGGGGTTCATAGGCGTCATAGTCGTCGGGACCGACCGCCGCGGGGGGATGAGGTTGCTCAGGCTCTGGTAGCTCGTCGTAATCGCTGTCGTGGCGCTTGCGCCGTTCGCGGTCGGTATGAGGTACTCCGTGTGCTCGTTCCCGTTGGTATCCCTCGATTCGCCAGAATGGGAGATGGGCGCACGCCGCTTGGGCATCGGCATGAAGTGTTGGCCCTGCGCCTGAACCTGAGCGGCCTTCGCTTGCGCGAGAAGCGCGAGCTTGGAGGGTCCCTTGGAGCCGGATGTCGCTGTCGTCGCCGAGGTCGGAGTCGAGGGCGTGAGTATGGCAGGTGCCTGAGCCCGCGGTGACGCCTTGATAGTCGACGCCGAACTCGCGGAAGAGGACGTCGAATGGCGCGACGATACCAAGTCCACTCTCTTCTCCCCTCCCTCATTGTTGTCGCCCTCTTCCCGCATCGCCGTCTGGATCGCGCGACGTACCAGCGAGCTCGTCGAGCTGCCCGTTTCTGATGGCGGCGGGGGAAACTCGCTCCCGGCCTTGCTCTTAAGCGACATTACGCTCTGCGCGCTCGGGCGCAGGTCGGGGTAGGTCGCGACGGACACGTCGTCGAGCGTAAACGAGCGTGAGCTCTGGCTTACCGTGCTCGCGCGCGAACTGGCGAGAGCAGAAAGCTTCGACTTCTTCGGCGTGCCCGTCGTTGCACTCGTGCCCGTCGCGTCGCGGGAATGGGCGTGCGCGTGTGGCGCAGGAAGAGGCGGGCCGGCGGCGAAGGAGACCGAGGGTTGAGGCGCAGGAGGCGCAAACGGCACGGGGGTATATTCCTTCGGGGGCGGGAGAGGGGGCGGGGGGCTGTGTAGATGCCGGGGCATCGTTCCCAAAGCTGGGGGAGGCCGGCTCGACTGGCTGTGCACGTCGGGAATGTCGGGCAAGGTGTCGATCGGCGGCGGCGGAGTAGGCGGAGGCGTGGCCGACTCGGACGGCGATTCCGACGGTGCGCCTTCGTAAAGGGACAGGCGCTGGAGCGCGGAGAGCGAAGGGGAGGGCGGAATTTCATTCGGGTCGTGCATCTGGAACTTCGACTCTGCAAACATCGAACGACACAGCATGAGTACGCCGTCATGATCTAGAGAAGGAAACGCACCGATGACCTCGCCGTAGTCGCTGGTGCTCGTCGTGCTTGCGGTCCCCGCGCTACCCGCGCTACCCGCGCTACCCGCGCTCATCCGTCGGTCCTGCCACGCTGGTGGCGAGAGCGTGTTGGACGACCCTTGCCCGCTCGCCCGCGCACTTCGGCCGATGGTGGACGTCGACGGCTTGGGAGATGGCTTGGGAGCAGGCAGAGGAGACGGGGGTGCATATATGCTCGTGCCAGCGACGGTCGGCTGTTCGGTGCGCTCCGTGATGGTGGTCAGGATAGAGCGTCCGTCCCCGTTGGCCATGTCGAACGAGGGCGGGTAGACAATTGCGCCGGGTGTGGGATGGTACGCCTGCGCGGGGTCGTACGAATCGTGCGGCGATGCGTACTCTTGTCCCTGTGGCGGCGGTACAAGCTCTTGCCCATGAGGCGGCGGTGCATATTCTTGCTCCTGTGGCGGATGCGCATACTCCTGCGCGTGCGGCGGCGGCAGGGCATATTCCTGCTCATGTGGCGGGAGCGCGTAGCCGTTTGCTAACGCCCGGTCACGGGCAATCAGGGCGAGCTGCTGCTGCTGTATATGCTCGCGCGCCGCCTCGAGGTAAGGCTGTGGAGCGAACCTCGGCTGCTGGTACTGCTGGTACTGGCCGTGGACGGCAGCGTTCGTTTGGCTGTACAGCCCATGGGAGAGCCGGGCCATCGCAGCGCCTGCGCCGGAGGAGGACGTGCTGCTGGAGCCTGAGTAGCGCGCGTCCGTGGGCTGGTCATGCAAGTAGTGTGTCCCGCCGGGCGGGAGCGGCGGCAGGTCTTTGTCGGGCGGGCCACCTGGGAAGGGGAATAAGAATGAACATGCGGGCTTTCATAGGCGGGCAGGAGCACCTTCTCGCATGTGGCTGTGGTGTTTGGAGAGGCTCCTCCGGAGGAACACAGGAGGGAAGGAGGGGGAGGAAGGAAAAGGGTGTTAATGGAAGGACTCGATGAACACACCTTTGCGTTCTTGTTGGGCTTTGACGCGTTCTTGGTGTCCTGGGGGTAGATTACGGTGAGACATCTGCCAGGGCGGGTGGCGTGGCACGGCCAGAGAGACGCACGGAGGATGAAAGGCATGCTCCAGTCGACGTCGAAGTAGTTATCCCAAAGCGTGTCCTGGATCACCTTGTCACTGACGCCGCTTTGCGCCTCGCTGCCGATGATCTCGCGAATTCGCTCGAGGCCGGCTTCCATCCGCTCTGGGTTGTCGAAAAAGACGACACATGAGCGATCCGCGGGCGCGCAAACGAGGAGAGAAGAAACGCACTTCGATGGGACTCCGACAGTTGTTCCTCAAACTCCTCATCGTACGAATCGTCGTCCATAATTTCTGTAACATGCACGCAGGTCGCCGTGAACACCACGCAATCCACTTGCTGTGGACGACCGATAACACGCACCGTGGACATCGATGTTGCGCACGTCTCTATGTCTCGACATCTTGCTCTAGCAGTTACAGCAAGTGCCCGTTTCTCGATACAGCTGTTGTGGAAGGAATATACAGAGTCGGGGATGAAGGACGAATCAGAGGTGATGCAATGGCCTTAGACTCAGGATCTGTGGCGCAGAGGGCGGACCCCCAAATCCGGCAATTGCCGAGACCTGCGACCCACTCGAGTTTTCTGCCCGTTGCCCGCGTCTTCTCCTTGCTGTCACCACCGACCATGTTCTCTGCTCTTCGTTCCGCGTCTGCTCGTGCCCCCACGCGCGTTAGCAATACCAATATGCTGCCTTGCACGAACTGTATACTGACCAAGAGGCACACAGGCGTTCTCGACGACCGCGACGCGTCGCGCGGATCTCTCCAAGCTCTCGCTCATCGGCCGTCTGGGCAAGGACCCGGAGCTGCGCACGACGAAGACCGGCAAGGAATACGTGTCGTATGTATACTTCTCCCCAGGCGCTCCCTGGTTCGCTCGTTTGACACGCCGCTCAGGTACACCGTCGCCACGACCAACTACCCGCCTCCTCCCCCCAATCCCGACGGCAGTGCGTAGTCTCTTTGCATTTCCTCTCCCTCTCCCTCACAGTTTCTCTGCGTTCGCATGCTCACCCAACCGTCGCAGCCCGTGCTGAATCGACGACGACATGGCACCACGTCCTCTGCTTCAACCCGAGCTCGATCGCTTACCTCCGGAGGCTCGAGAAGGGCGCCCGTGTCTACGTCGAGGCCAACTTCGAGCTGCGCGAGCCCGACCCATCCGCGGACCCCGCCACCCCCCAGGGCCAGCGCCAAATTTTCCTCCGGCATGGTGCGCTTCCCCCTATCCTGACCAAGCGCTCAGTTCCTGTCGCTGACGAGCGCGACCCCTTTCTCTTTGCAGAGCTGATCCGCGTTCTGCAACAGCAACACCACAACAACAACCAGTCTTCCAACAGCGAGTCTTCGGATTAGGATGCTGTTCGACTGCAGGGTCTCGCAGCCTCGCGTAGCTGCTGCGTTTACACTTATACACTTTTCCATGTCATAATTCTTGTTAATGGCTCTCCTTTCTATCCATCCTTCCACCCTCCCGTCATACCGCACCTTTACAGAGGTCTTGATTGCGTGCAGCGTACGAATGGCATGGCTTCCCCCACTCTCAACTGAGGCATCACACTGTATTTCCCGGCGTACGAGTCCGATGTAAGTACAGACAGAGATGAAGCGCGGCATGGGCACGAGCGCTCACCATCGAGCCTATGGCGGTCTCCCTAGACGTCGATTTCTACGCTCGTTGGAGACTCGATCTCGGGCATTCGGACTGTGACCGCCGCGCGTGCTGCTGCCGGGCTTTCGCTCGCGCTGAGCAACTTTGTGGTAGCGTCGACTGTGCGCGCGCAAGCGCTGCTTATGGCCGAGCGCACTGCTACGGTGGAGGAGGCCATTTGCCAGGAACGCATGGAATTCAGGAGGCTTTCTCGGCCTTACTTCAATATATTATATCTCCACGGTCGCGATGTGGACCACGTCAGCTCATGCAACGCCAAACAGATTGCCGGTTCATCTTGCCTCGCCACCTCCCACGCTACTGGAGACAATGAAATTGCGCCCGACCTGCAGTGTCGGTGCGCACTGTCAGCCTGGTCTGGCCGTGAAGCTTGTCACGCATCGCGCATGTCAGCATCCCCAGAAGAGATCGCGAATATCCGCGCCCCGTCGACTCCCTCTCCTTGGACACGAGGAACTTCCAGGACTAGAGTGAAGCCGTCAGCCTATCACTCCTTGATTTTACCAGGTAGATAATATATCGCATCTGGACACATAAAACGAATTTACTGGCATTGCTGCACGAAAATCGAAGCGATGGTATATCAGTTCATGTATATATTCAACAACCAGACTATATTTTGCAAGAGATATCTTCGATAACCCAACGACCTGAGACCGGATGCCTGAGCGACGATACCAACGAAGACCGGATGGAAACTGGATCTGTCCGAGTCCTGTGGTCCTGACCTGAGAATGTGACCTGAATGACCTGACGTCAGGTCGTTCAGGCATTGCAAGATTTACTGATGACTCACGGATGACCATAAGATTCGGACGATATGACATACCTGTAACCGCCTCCCGTCCAGCTCATGCACGTGCCGCTCGGCGTAAGGAAACATAACCGATGGTTAACGCGACTACAAGGGCTGCACAACCTATCAGGCAAGAAGTGCGCCCCGTCACCGTGTTGAGGGTGCTCATGTTGTCAGGAAGAATGGGGCTTGGACGCCCATCATCCCTGGAGTTGGTCACATCTTCCTCTGTTCCGGTGTTCTCCTCCGACCCTTCTGTTTCCGATGATCCGCCTGGTACTACTTGATCGCGTTCTGACTCAGTATCACCGGCCGACTCATCTGTCTCCTGTTCCTCGAATCTTCTCCACTCCTGGTCCTCTTCCTGCCAGTTCAGGTTGCCATTCTTGATTTTACGTCTGAGGGAAAGTGCTTTCCATAGGGTGCTCTTCGTGTTCCGTTCTGTTTCTGTGCTAGATGCGCCGTGGTCTCGAAGACGTTTCACGACTTCTGTATGTTTGCCCAGCTCCGCCAGTTCGAGAGCACTCTCAACATCTCCGCGTTCCTGGATACTGGCGTCAGCTTCCAGGAGTCGTTGTACAACTTCTGAATGACCGAAAGCAGCGGCGATCTGCAACGCAGTTACACGTTCGCGATGAAGCCGTCGTTTCCTGACCCACAATTTACCCCGGGTACGTGTTTCGGCCACTGCGCTCAAATAACCCGTTTGGTTGACCCTGGCACCGTGTCCAACCAACAGTGCGACAGCTTCGGGACGATCGAAAGCAGCTGCCTCCACAAGAGCAGTATTCGCATGTTTATCGCAAGAGTTGACCTCTGCACCCCGGTCGAGCAGAAGTGTGACGATATCGAGATGACCTTCCATTATCGCGCTTGCAAGTGCATACTCGGCATTGACATCGGCACCCCGGTCGAGCAGGAGTGTCACGATATCAAGACGGCCGCCCCCTGCCGCATTTGCAAGTGCATTCCCCGCGTTGACATCGGCACCCCGGTTGAGCAAGAGCGTCACGATATCAAGATGACCGTACAGTGCCGCTGTTGCGAGTGCATTCCCCGCGTTGACATCGGCACCCTGGTCGAGCAGGAGCGTCACGATATCAAGATGACCGCCCTCTGCCGCGCTCGCAAGTACATCCTCGGCATTGACATCGGCAACCCGGTCGAGCAGGAGCGTCACGATATCAAGATGACCGCGCACTGCCGCGATCGCAAGTGCATACTCGGCATTGACATCGGCAACCCGGTCGAGCAGGAGCGTCACGATATCAAGATGACCGCGCACTGCCGCTCTTGCAAGTGCATACCCCGCATTGACATCGGCAACCCGGTCCAGCAGGAGCGTCACGATATCAAGATGACCGCGCACTGCCGCTCTTGCAAGTGCATCCCCCGCATTGACATCGGCAACCCGGTCCAGCAGGAGCGTCACGATATCAAGACGACCGCCCCCTGCTGCACTTTCAAGTGCATTCCCCGCATTGACATCGGCACCCCGGTCGAGCAGGAGTGTCACGATATCAAGATGACCGCGCACTGCCGCGATCGCAAGTACATCCTCGGCATTGACATCGGCACCCCGATCGAGCAGGAGCGTCACGATATCAAGATGACCCTCTGCCGCTTTTGCAAGTGCATTCCGGGTGTTGACATCGGCACCCCGGTCAAGCAGGAGTGTCACGATATCAAGATGACCACCCGCTACCGCGATTGAAAGTACATTCCCCGCATTGACATTGGCACCCCGGTCGAGCAAGAAAGCTGTAATTTCTGTATAATTTTGCGACGTTGCCGCGTCAAGCATGTCATGAGAATACCAGAGAAATCTCCGGGAATATCCCTTTGCCGCAGCTGCCCCCAAGGGGGTGTCAGGCACGTCAACGGGCCATTGGAAGAACCTTTCGTTGACATTTGCACCTTGCTCAACCAGCCACATAACAACCAATGGCAAACCTAGGTCCGCAGCGCAGAATAACGGCGTAACCTTGCTGGCCCCATCCATGGCGTAGCTGCGGACGCGTTGCTGCCATGCCCAGCGCCACAATGCAAATTTGCTGTCCGGCGGCCAGAACAATTCTCGTGCAGGGGCCTGCATGTTCTCAGGGCAGCTGGCATTGTGCGATTGGATATGATCACTCCAGTAGCGAGCTGAGTAATCCAAAAATGGCAGCATGGTCAAATCGGGAGCATCATATGCATGGTTTGCAAGCAACGATACTATGTCCTCCGGGACGGCGATCCGTAGTAAATAGGTCATGCAAGACAATGCCATCTTGCGATTGGCATCTTTGGGTTCGAGCGCGATCTTGTGATTGTGCCCAGATACAAGGTAGTCCTTCACGGACGCGTGGCAGAGTTGTACTGTGGAATCAGGACCCGCCGGCGAGGATATAGTGATAAGGCTAGAAAACTCGGAGAAGGCCAACTCGGGCTTGAACGGACGATTTCCCGGATTCAATCGGGGATGCTCCTCAGAGGTGATGTCAATCATGAGACATTCACAGAGTTCACGTAGCGTCATTGGGCGGTACGAATGTGTGAGCCACATCAGCAAGGTATACACGTTACCCAACTTGTGGTCGGGTATCGGATCCAAGATGCGGTCGTAGGTGGCATACAAGTCTTTCGGTAATGTTGTTAGGACAGCAGTAATCTCATCTGGGGTGGTGCATTTCCGAAAGATTTCCAGTCGCAAACGCACGAGAAGAAACCTAAGACACAGTCAGCATCCTTGCCGCGAAAATCTGCGAGGCGATATCTTACATGCCATCACATCCTTCCACCAGAGCGCTAACGACCTTCTGCTTACTTTCGGGAGGCCAATGAGAGAAGGTAGGGTGCGTGGAATCCCACAGAACTGCCTGTGCATGGAGTTCGACATCCTGCATGAGAACGTCTCCAACGAGTTCGATTCGGTGTTTCTCTGATTCAATACCCTTGAACCACTGTCCAACGTAATATTCCGGTCTACTGGTGGCAAATATCTTCAAGCCCTCGATGCTCCATTGCATCATCTTCGTAATGAAGTTCAAGACGGATCTTTGCTCCGATTCGTGGTGTTCATCCAAGGCGTCCACTAGAATGAAGATCTGCGAGAACGTCCTCATTGTGTCCTCAAGGCAAGCTAAGAGAGCGGAGACCGACGGGCGCCCCTGAATCCGCTTCTCATACAGAGACTTTATGGCGTGGGGCACGTCTTGGGACCGAAGTAAGAGCTGAGAAAGAAGCGAGAGTAGTAGCCCTTCAAGGGTCCGTTTCGCTTCGTCCTGAAAGTCGAAGTAAAAGCAGGCCCAAGCAGACCGAAAGCCGGGATCGGTAGCGCAAGTATATTTGGCATCTTCCACGGCCGTTGAACTGCGCAAACACGTGTCAGAGCGCCCCGGAAAGTTTCTCTCCGGGACTCACCACAATATGGTCTTGCTGCTACCGGCTGCAGACCTATCAGTTTCGGGGGCTATAGCATGAAGTCGCGGAAGGCGTACGTTTTCCTTCCACCAACAACAATGAATTTGGCGACGTCTTCCAGCTCCCGTATTGATCATGCGCCAAGAACCACCGACCAGTTCCAGTTTGACGTCGGTCACAAGCCTTGTTATGGTTCGTAGAGGGATCAGGGGCTCCCAGCCATTGATGAATGTCCTGCCGCAACCGATCGTCTGCGCGGAGTTTATCATCCACCACACGCCGATGGAAGTAAACAGTTCATATACGCACGTGCCTGTGTGGTAAACGCCTCCATTTGTTTGATGACGAGCTTTCTGAGATCTTCAACGGCGGCACGATTGTCTTGAGATGTACCTGGCGGAAAGGAGTCATTCTCCGGATACTATCGTTAACGAAGAGAGGAGCTGTACTCACCACACAGCGCCTCCGCTTGCGAAGCGATGCTGACTAGCAGAGTTTGGGTCGTCGCAGCGATCTCGAACTTCGTCTCCTCGTTGGCTGAATCGACCCGTCAGATATACATGACCACATTTCAGGATGATGACCAAATGACCTTTGATGGAGTCCCCGATCTTTTCCAGTACAGTGTAAGCGACCGACAGCGTAACCTCGTCAACCATCTCGTTGTCGTAGCCAACCAGTCGTTCCAGTTCATGGAGTGCCTTGGAAACGCCGCTGTCGCTTCCGAATAGCTCTTTCCAGAATGTCACTGGCAAAACTCCGTCAGCTGGGCGTTCTAACTAAGCTCATGTAAGTATCTTCTCACCGAACCGCCCTTTTCTAACGAGCATAGTAGCTAAACCAAGGATACGAAGCATTTGCGACAGGATTTTGATCGCGGTTTCTTGCAAACGCACATTCATCCCGTGATCCAGGCGTAAAGTGAATCGTTCGAGGAATTGTTGGATGGTCTCAAACATGTCCGAGATAGCATCGTAGGATTTGCCAACATTCTCGGCAGCCTGAGGATAGTTCAGTGACTCGACTCATGTCTGAGTAAAGGGTATCTGTTGCGCACTTTGATCAGCACATCAATCGCAGCGAAGACTGCCTTTGCCGGAGCCTGTGAACGAGATCAGAGCCAGAAATTACGGGCAGGCTAGAGACTCGCCTTATCAATGCCCTCCCCGACAGCCTTCGTCAACTTGCCAACAACGGTCATCAAGGGCTTCAAGACCTTCCGCGCCTTTTCGCCCTTCGCAAGATACGAAACGAATTTCTCATCCGCTTGTTCAACATGCTCGGTGAGATCGTCGACAGAGAGCAATTTGTTCCAGAGAGCTAGAAGTTTGGGTTCCTTGTTTATCTGCGACTCCGACTTGTATCTCTCCAACGCCTCATCCCAGAGTTGCTTGAACGTGGACTGCGGATCCTGGGGGAAAGGTGGATTCGAGGGTGAGCGCTGTAAGTTGGGCATAGCGGCTGGTGGAGGCCTTGCAGCGAGGTGGTTGGCGCCAGTCCTTTTGTATAAGGAGCTATACATACAAGGTTTCATCTGCCCAAGTAGAGCCAGAGCAGAACACACGCACAGGATATCCCTGTATACAGCCGTTTCCATAGACTGCACCGCCAGTCCACCTTCGCTTGCATCTCAATTGGCCCATTTGCGATGCAGTAGTGTATTACTCTGATAAGATATCATTCCAGCTGCCGCTCAACGTGCCCTATTATACAGCAGCTCGCTATTCCTAACTGCTCATCATGTCCAGCGAACCGACCCAGTACATCCGCCCCGCGACGCCCGCCGACGCCCTTGCGCTCTCCAGGATTTGCCTCCTCACCGGCGACGCGGGTGATCACTCCTCCCCCTCACGTTGAATTCGACTGTACTAACGAACACCACAGGCCAATCAGCAGAGCACCTCCACAATCGCCCCGAGCTGCTCGGCCTCGTCTACGCGCTGCCCTACGTCTCCCCCGCGCTCGCCTCCGTCACGGGCGGGTACGTCCTCGCCGAGCGCCCCCCCTCCTCCGATTCCTCCCCCTCCTCCGAAACCATCCTCGGCTACGTCCTCTTCGCCTGCCCCACGCGCACATTCGAAGCCCTCGCCGAGGCGCACTACTGGCCCCCCCTCCGCTCTCGATACCCCTACCCTCCTCCCGCAACGGACGAGGACAACGCGCTGACAGAGAAAGACCTCCACTTTCACAAACTCATCCACAACACGGACACGATGTGGGCCGCGCACCCCGGCGCGCTCGCCTTCTCCCCCGCGCACCTGCACATCGACCTCCTCCCCGCCGCGCAGCGCAAAGGCTGGGGCCGGCGCCTCATCGGCCGCGTCGTCGACCACTTCCGCGCGTCCTCGCGGTCGGTAAAAGACGGCCAGGAGGGAAAGAAGGGGGAGGAGGAGGAGGAGGAGGTGAACGGGGTATGGGTCGGGCTCGACCCGCGCAACGAGAACGCGCGGCGGTTCTACGCCAAACTCGGGTTCGCGCCCATCTCCGGCGCGCCGGATAACTGCATGGGCCTGCGTTTCGCGGACTGGGCTGAGTAAGTAGTCCGCGATCTTCTTTATCTCGTCGTAAGAGCCGAGCGGAGCGAGAGAGCACCATTATATCTGAGCAAAAGCGTATAACGTACATCGCCTTGCGACGATCCATCGATAGTGATCATTTTCCGCCCCCTCCTCCCTGCTGTGCCGGGTCGCCGCCTTCCGGAGCGAGTACTGCGTGTAACGAGCGTCAATGTTGGCACGAGGATACGCCGAAAGAACGATAGATACGCACAGAGGGCGATGAGCGCGACGGCGATGTACACCCAGTACTTCTGCAAAAACGACTTCTCGGGCGGAGGTTTGACGACCTCGCCCTGCGCGTTGAGCGGCGGCGGCTGTCGTAGCTCGGGCCTATCAATCGACAGAGACACAAAAAATAGTTATAAGTCTGGTTCAGCGAACCGTATCGATCAGAAGAGGCGTAGGACGCACTGCGGGGGCGTGCGAGGCTCCTTCACGATCACCGTCGTGTTCGAGAACGGCGCGAACGAGATAGTCTCTGTCGTCGTCCTGGGGCACCGTCCGTCTGCGGGTACCGGCCCGACGAAGTAGTCAAGGGCGTACGCCTTGCCCTCCGCGAGGTGCAGCACGACCGTTTCCTCCGTCGCCAGCGGCAGATGGCACTGTACACGCAGTGAGCCTCTCTGACTCGACAGAAGACAACGAATAAGTGAGTTTGCATACCGCCTTGACGTACGCGACGCTCCACGTCGCCGGGTCGATCGCCGCCTCCGCCGCGTCGCGCTGGAGCGCGAGCTGGTACAACACCTCGTCCGCCTCCGGCCGGTCAGCCGCGATCTGCGCAAACGCCGCGAGGTCGTGCTCGAGCGACTCGGGCGGCTCTATCTTCACGCCCGTCTTCTGGATCTCATTGGAGGAGGAGGAGAGGGAGAAGCGGCCGCGCAGCGCGAAGGGCAGCTGCTCGTCGAGCGTCGGGAAGTAGATCCGGTGATGCAGCGCATACTCGTGCGCCTGCTCGTGCTCGGTGGGTTCTGCGCGGGCGTGGGCTGCGCAGAATAGAAGCAAGGAGAGAGGAACGACGAGCAGCCCGAGCCCGATGTGCATGGTTGGGCCGGAATGTGCTGTAGCTCGTAAACGTCAAGCCCGGATGTGGAGGAGGAGAAGGCGCGTGAATACCGTCACTTCCTCCTCCGCCTCTGTCTCCGTCGACCACAATGACCAGCGCGCCCTGGCAAGCAGCCTGGGACAGGGCCCAGCCCACCCTGAACACCATACGAGACTCGCAGTCCAATCCACCTTCTGACGGCGCACGCATACTGCGCGTCGGCCAGCTCGACGCCGAGCTACTCGACCAGGAGCTAGTGCAAGTCCTCCAGCAGCCGCTCGCGAACGCCCTCGGGCTCGTCAACGTGCGCCCATCCTCCTCTGCGCCCGCCGTACCTCGCTGAAGCTACTCGTCGGGCAGCCGACGTGGAAGACGCGCTTCACGCCCGAGCTGCAGCTCCTCCTCCACCTCGTCCTCTACAAGCTCTCAGTCTGGGACACCGGCGCCAGCTACGGCGCGAAGCTGCAGGGCCTCAGATACCAACCCTCCGATATTCGCTCTCGTACGTCCGTCTTCCTCGGTTTTACCGCAGTGCCGTCGCTGACATCGCTCCCAGCCCGCACGCGTCTCGCACACGGCGCACTCACCGTCCTTCTGCCTTACCTCCACGCGCTCCTCCGCGCCCGCGCGCTCTCCTCTGCATGGCCAGAGGCGCCCGCATCTGACCCGCGGCGGCGCGCTTGGGACGCCCTCTCCCGAGCCGAGTCCGCGCACGCGCTACTCGCGCTCGTCAACTTTGTCGGCTTCCTCTGGAACGGCAGGTTCGTCCGTCACCCTTTGACCATGCTGGTAAGCGCGGCGTACTCACGCTGTGAGGACACATCGAACAGGTATCGCACGCTCGCAGATCGCCTGCTCCGCCTCCGGCTCGTACCCGCCCAACGCCTCGTGCGGCGCGACGTCAGCTACGAGTTCATGAACCGCCAGATGGTCTGGCACGCCTTCACCGTACGTCCTTAACCCCCCTTTCCTTCCATTTCACCTGATCTCAAAGGCCTTTTACAGGAATTCCTACTATTCCTCCTCCCGTTGATCAACCTCCGCCTCGTCCGTCGGCGGCTCACCCGCCTCCTAGCCCATACCTCCTCCTCCCTCCTCTCCCTCCTCCCCACCCCTATCCGCGCCCCAACGACAACAAAAACCCCACCCCGCCTGCCCACGGGCAAATACGCCCTCCTCCCTCCCGACCGATGCGCCATCTGCGCCGACCAAGCATCTCACGCGCTCGACCTCTCCTCCGCCGCGGACGCCATCACCCTCACCTCCTCCCTCCCCTCCTCTTCCTCCCCCTCCGCACCAATAACCGACGCCGACGACGCCCCGCCCCCCTTCCCGCTCCACACGCCCTACGCCGCCTCCTGCGGCCACCTCTACTGCTACGTCTGCCTCTCCTCCGCCCTCCTCCGCGCCGCGTCCGACGACGAGCCATGGCCGTGCCTACGCTGCGCCGCGCCCGTACGCTGGGCGGCCCGACACGAGGTCCCTCCCTCCACGCCAGAAGACGCCAGCGAGGACGACGACGGCGCGAGCTTTTTCGGCGCCGCCGGCGACTCCAGCCTAGACGGCTACGAATTCACGAGCGGCGCCAGCGCCCTCAGCGACGGCTCCTTCGCGACCGAGAGCGGGAGCGAGCTCGGGCTGTCGGACACGTCGGAATAAATAAATAAATAATTCCCGGATCGGTTTCGAGATTTTTTTGCTATTATCATGGCCGGCCGTGGAAATTACTGTAAAGCTGTATATCTAAGAGCAAAGGAGCATGGCAGAACAATGCATGGACGGCGGGGCAAGCAACAGATGGTAAACACTGAGATAAACCTTGACATGCGTAAGAGAGATGGAGAAGAGGGAGAGATGGAGAGAAGAAAGAGGGGATCGCTAAGGCCGCAGCCCCATGAGCTCGTCCTGGATCTGCTTCAGCACCGTCGGATCCGCCTTGACCAAGTACCGCGTCTGCATGATCTGCGTCCCGCCGCACGCGGCCTCGGCCTCGCGCAGGCGCTCCGCGACGAACGGCGTCAACTGCGTGGTCCGCACGACGTCGGAATCGTATACCTGTAGAGAAGAAAGGGGAGGTGGGTACAAGATTCGAGCCGGCCCACGAACGGAGGCGGAAAGGGGGGGGAAAAACGTACGGCCTTGCGTCGTTCGTACTCGGGCGAACCCTCGGGCGCGGCGCCGACGTACGAGAACGGCATCGCGTCCTGGTCCCAGTACAGTACCGGGTGACTGCTACTGCGAAACAGTTTCGCCCCCGATCGCGTGAGCAAAAGGCGCGAAGGCTGAGAAGAAAAGAAGAACGCGTACGATTCGCTGTCGAGCGAGGCGACCTGCTGCCCCTCCTTGATCTCGCCAAACACGTCCAGCCAGAGGTTGAAGATCTCGAACGCGAGGTGGTCCAGCACCTCCGGGCGTCCGGTCGCGACGAGCACGGCGATCCCCATCGCGGACAGCTTGCGGTACCTCGGTTCGGATATGTTGTCGAACTGGGCGTAAGAAGCCCGGCGAGTAACAGGGATAAGCGGACGTTCTGAGCCCATCGGGGAGATTCGGCTGGTCTCACCTTGTTCCACCACTGCCCGACGAGCGCGTCGTAGAGGTGCGATTCGGTCCGGTTCGGGGCGTTGAGCGACGCGGCGGTGGCGGACATGAGCTGCTCGAACATGCGCACGTCGCTCAGCACCATGCGCGCCACGAGGTACACGTACTCCACCGCGAGCGTGGTCTCGATCTGCCATTTCTACGGATCAGTATCCCGCCGACATGTAGAGCGAGAAAGGCCGTTCACGTTGGCTTCTTCGTCGACGAGCTGCTCCAGGATGTACGCAAAGAGGCCGGAGGCGTGCATGGGAGGACCCCACTGTGCCGATTGCGAGAACTGCGTGAGGAGCGCGAGCGCGGCGACCATGTCACGCTTGTTGAGCGTCGTCGCGTGCCCGGCGAGGCCCTCACGGAACGCCTGGAACAGTTCCGTCCCGTACCCCTGTAACGACCAAGCGAGAAATCTTAAGTTCCCCCCCCTCTCGTTCCGATATATCGGGGGGCACTCACCTGGAGAATCGCGGGCGCGTCGGCGACAAAGTAGGATTCGATGAGGTTGGTCACCCGGCCGAGGATATGTATGTCGCCGGCGATGTAGGGTATCAGAATCGGGAAGAGGTCGATGAGCGCCGGAGCGCCGTTCATGCTCTGGATCGTGAGCGTATTCGACAGCGCGGCCTGCATCAGCACGAGCGCGTCTTCCTCAAGATGCAACCGGGTTTCCTACGTTTTGCGGAGCCACATCAGATGCTCGTCGCAACGAGCGCCTACTATGAGTGTGGAAACCTACCGGAACCGAGAAACATTCTTGGATCAAGGGTACTACGAGGGGCGCCAACGGGGTCGATTGCGCCTTGGCGGACTGGAAGGGGACAGGATAAGATGCTGTACCAAAAACGACGGCGTGCTGCTCTCACCTCGATCAACTTCGTCACAGTCAAGAGAAGGGAGGTCTTAAAAAGCCAGTCCGACGCGGACTCGTTCCCTGGTCGTCTGATGAGCCATGACGATGAAAACGATGCTAAACGTCGGAGACTCACAAAGTGCCGGTAACGGTGCCGTGATCATAGATATGAGAGGCACGATCTGCGAGAAACAAACGCGAGATCAACACCATGCGTTCGAGAGGAGACGGATCGCCAAAGCTTACCCGCTCCTCAACGCGCTCGATCACCACGTTCAAGCTCTGCGCCACGCGCCGCTTACTCTCGAGGCTGTCCACCTCCGACGTCAAGCGAAGCAGCTCCGTCACCGCCGTCTGCAAATACGGCTCGAACACGTTCGGGTCAAAGTCGATGCTCTGTTCGCCGAGTCAACACCACCCGTCGAAAACGGGTAACAAGAAGAAGAAGAAGAAGAAGAAGAAGAAAAAAAACGAACTGACATCGACCGCTTCCTGTATGGCGATCGCCGCGGTGAGGCGCACGACGCTGTCCGTGCCCGCCTGGCGGTCCTCGAGGAGGTGAACGAGGACGTCCCAGATCTTGGGGTCCTTCGCGGGCACGCACTGGTCCGCGACGAACTTGCCGATGACCCACGCGATGCGGCGCTTGATGATCGGATAACTGAAAAAAAAACAAAAATACACGAAACATCGCTGTCGTCAGCGCACCACCAAAGCCTTGGACTATCCAACGAGAGAGAGAGAGAGAGGGCCGTTTCGTCTCACTTTGGGTTCGTGTCTCGGGAATCGGGGAGGAGGGACTGCTCGAGCCACTGGCCGAAGGGGATCACGTCTCGTAGGCGGTGGGCGCAGCGGCCGATCGCGCAGTACACGGCTTCCTTCTGGATGATGCTGGGGAGGTCGGGGGTGGGGGTCGCTGGAAGACGTGTGAATATCGCACGAGAAATCTATGATACGATCGTTCCTCACCGATCACTTGGTTGAACGTCGTCTGCAGCATGGGCACCACGTATTGCTTGTACTGGTTGGCCAGCGTCAGGAGCACACGCTCGGCGCACGGCTAGAATCGACAACGTCAGCGAAGGTCGTCAACAGGCATCGCTTGCGGGAACGACCCCCCCACCCTGAGCTCGTACTCCCAATAATCCGTCTCCTTGTCCTCGTCGTTCACCCACTGTTCCGGGTCGGCCAGCCAGCCCTCGAGATCGGCCGGCTTGAGCGGGATGTACTGCGTCACGAGCAGCCGCACCGCGTCCTCCACGAACTGCTGTGACAACACTGATCGGGGACGCGATTTCAGCTCCTCGTAGAACCACCAGCGAGCGGCAGCAGACAGTGGGACGGGCAGGAAAAGAAAAGAAAAGAAAAGAACGCACCGTGTTCGTTGGGCGTGCCGTTGCGTTTGACCGGGGTCCACTCCGAGAGGTTACCCTTGAAGAGGACCATGGCCTGCACGAGGAACCGGACGGGAAACACGGCCTCGTTCGAGTCTGTGCGCCCGGGCCACGTTCTGGTCAGCACCGCCCGCCTAACTCCTTCACGGCCCTGAAAGGAAAAAACCGGGGCAGCACGCACCGGCGATCAGTTCCGGGGGTCCGTTCGCCGCCTGGACGACCTTGCTCCAGTAGTAGAGCACGAGGTCGTTGCAGTACGGCAGGCCGATGAACCGCTGCGCGCCGAGCTGCTGGAACCGGCGGAAGCACTTGCCGAACAACCGGACGTGCCTCGTGAGGCGGTCGACGGCGGCGCGCGCCGCGTTCGCGTTCGGGGCCGGGGCGAGCGCGCCGACGAGCGCGATGCGCGTTTCGGAGAGCTCCTGGAGGCGGCGCGCGGCGCTGGAGAAGAACTCGGCCACCTGTCGGCCGCGTTCTCGGTAATCGCGCGGGGTGAGGGGGAGCAGCGGGGCCTACCGAAGCGTGTAAGCGCGCGAGCTCGTCGGACGGGCTGCCGGGCCGGTTCCACACCCATGCGGTCATCTTCACGAGGCATTTGAAGATCAGGTGGGCGAGGGTGAGGTCTTGGAGCGTGCGCGGCAGGCCGATGCCGGTCGCGGTCAGGGCCGAGCCGAAGTGGGCGGAGGCGGCGGAGTAGTGCGCGAGGAACGGTTGGTGCACTTCCGTGACGATCTATGAAAAGGGGAGGAGACAGGGTTAGCCGTTGGCGGAGAGATTTTTAGGGAGTGCGTGGAGGTGGGGACGCGAGGTTACCTGGGTCATCGCGCGGTGGTGCTGCGGGAGCTTGCCAGAGGCGATCTCCTTCAGGACCTTGTTCACCATGCTCAGGCTCCGTCGAAGAGCGAGGTACACGACCGGGTCCGAGGCGGAGGACGAGTATCTGACGTGCATGTTTTGAGCGACGACGTTCGCTAGGTCCGTGATCAGGTTGGGCCTGGATATTCACCCCGTCGTTCAATCTGGCAAGTACGACTCAAACGAAAACGAGGCTCTGTGCTGCATACCAGTTTCGTGGAAAATCGGCGCGCGCGATCTTTTGCACGACGACTTCGTTGGTGTCGGCGATCTGCATGATAGACGATGTTGAGTATAGGGGAACAAAGATTAAGGTTATAGGATATTCACCATATCGTCTTCTTCTGTCAGGAACGCTGTCAAACATCTCTGACGGATCCGCACTCGATGTTCGTCTGATAGGTATCTGGGGAGAGGAGATGTTATCCCTCACGCAACGTCGACGGTGCACGCAACGGGCGCGGGGGGGTACGCACTTGCGAGATCTCCAGTGGTTGTTCACGGCGTTTTTGAATTGGATCATGCTCTGCTGCCGGACGGGTAAAGGCACGGACTTGGTCGCGGCGATCTCCTGGAGCGCGTCATACGTTCCGAACTTTTCGAGCAGCAGGATCAGGCTCGTCGACGCTCTCTGCATCTCGATCGGGTCCTGCGAGGCGGCGGCGCACATCACGGTATAGACATCCTGCGGGTTGACGGTCTCTACCGCGGCAGTAGCAGCAGCAGCACTACTTTTATTCATTGGTAGGGATGCGATCTGCGTTTTAAGGACAAAGACCAGACGAACGGCCACTAGAGTACCAAACGAAGAGGTAAGTAAGGAGGGGTAGAACGCGCGGACAACGAGGCGCCCAGTTTCTTTTACGGCGCGTGACGCAGCGTGACCGGAGCCGCGACGCGTCTGCGCGTCCTCTGGCTCGCCGCTCCCTTGTCACGACCGCGAATGCTCGTGGCCCGCACCGCGCGCAGATCGACCTTTCTCAGTCGGGTAACCGCACCGCGGCAATCGGCCTGGATCACTCGCGCGGTACCAACCTCCAATAGTATCATGCCGCGCCGAATCGGCCGAGAACCGTCGTTCGAGGTGGAGGAGGTCGCCGACTCCGAGCCCGAGCGCCGAAGGTCCGTGCTGCGCCGCCGCTCTTTACAATTTCCAACCCCTCATGGCGTAACGTAGGAGCGTCTCCAACGTACACGATCAACGCGTCGAACCCGGCGCGGGCGCGCAAGACCCCGCCCGTGCCACTCGCTCCAAGTATTGGCAGCAGCCGGCCGACGCTCAACCGAACTCGGGATCGGGGGTCGGCTCGTCGAAGCATGCTGGCGTCTCGTCGTCTTCTAGCAAGCCTCTGGGCTCTTTCCAAAGGCTCAACGCGCTCGGGGTTCAGCTGAGCGGAGATAGGGGCTCCCCCGCCGCCCGAACCGTCCCCCTCGACGACTCCGTCATCGACCTATGCAGCTCCGAAGGCGGCTCGTCGACCGGCCTACGTCCGTCGTCCGAAGGATCAGCAGACGAAGACGATGAAGATGACGACTCGTCCCAGGCCTTGCGTTACCGCACCAAGCTGAACCACTTTCGCTACCACAGCACGAGCGCGCGTTCCAGTGCGTCCAGCGGCAACTCTCCCTCGGACATGCCTCCCCCTCCTCCCCTTCCCCCTCCTGTAGCTGCCAGGATACAGAGGACCTCGAGCACACCCGCGTTCGACATACGCGAGGCCGACCTGAAGCGGCTCGCGGCCTGCGTCAGCTGCCAAGCACGCTGGACGATCCGCAAGACGCCGAGGGAGAAGGCGAAGCACATACGCGCCTGTGCCAAGAAGAACGGGCTCACGGACGTCACCGTAAAGTACGTCACTTACCTCTTCCTCTCTCTCTCTCTCTCTCTCTCTCTCTCTCACGGCTTCGCCGACACAACGCGTCCAGCATCCTCGTACAACAGGCCCTTTCCTCTTCCTCCTCCTCCTCCTCCTCCTCTTCCGCGTCCTCGCCAAAAGGAAAAGAACCAGACCAAGCCGCGCCCGCCGACCCGAAAACCTACCTCGAAGAGCTCGCAGGCGAGCCCAAGCGCAAAGGCGGGAAACGCGCCGCCGTGCAAACGACCGTCCAAGCTCCCGCCGCCGTCAGCGCGACCATCGCCCGACGCGCCGCCGCCCTGCTCGGCACCGGGCCGGCGGCCTGCCCGTCAGACTCGAACCGCGACACGGCCGGACCGCCGCCACCCACTCAAGCGTTCGGCGCCAGCTCGCTCGCGCAACGCAACGCACGGCCAGACCGTCGAGCGAACGGCGCTAGGCTGTGGGACGCGGACGCGGACGCCGCCGAGCCTGTGCCACCGCCCGCGACGCAGGCGTTCGGCCGGTCCAAGTTAGGCAGCGTGTTCTCCAGAACGTCGTCCAACGCTGCCTCGGGGCTCACGATCGAGCTCTCGGACACGGACGCGGGACCCCCTCCCGACGCGTCGTCGGTACGTCCCCCCTCTCCACCCACCGGTTCGCCCCAGACACCGTCACCCTGAGTCCGCGTTTCGTATATTGATCCTCAGCCCGCGCGCTCGCTCGCGGTGGTTCAACTCAGGTCCAACTCCTCCCACTCTCCGAGCGGCGGCGGCGGCGGCTGCTCTCCGACCTCGATCCGGTCTCGGCGGTCAAGCGGCCCTGCGCGGTACCACTCTGACGGAGACGAAGACGAAGAGGGACGAGACGACGGCGGCTCGGACCCGTGGGCGCACCTGAACGACGACGTGTATTTACATTACGAGCCCGACTGGGGCGTACCCGTCGGTCCTACTAATATCTCATCGCGCGATGTCGAGCGTGACGATGATGCCCAGATCCCGAGCGAGGCAAGGCAGGAGCCACCGTCGCCCGAGTATCCGGATTTTTTCAACGCGAAGCAGCAGACGCCCGAAGACGCGTCGAGCTCAAGACCAGAAACCAACGCCGCGCCCCTCATCGCCCCCTCAGTCGAGAACGCAACGATAACAGCCGAGAAACCCAGATCCAAGAAACGCGCAGCTCGGGACCCCGCGACCGAACCCGCGACCAAAACCAAGACCAAATCGACCTCGTCGTCGGCCGTCCCGGAAGACGACGCGGCCTTTGACCGAGCCCTGCGCGCCGCGCTCGTGCGCGACGTCGAGCTGCACCGACGCATCCTCCGCTACGAGCCCATCGCGTTCGACGTCTTCCTCGCGCGCGCGACGGACGCGTTCGGCGGGCCGCCGTCGCGCGCGCAAGGCGGGATGGGCAAGTTCAAGACGAGGGTGAAGCGGTTCTTGGATCAGCAGGTAGCGCTTTTTTTTCTTTTTTTTTGTTCAAACTCCGCGATATTCAGGGTGCGAGCGCTGACGGGGACGGGGCGCAGGCGATACAGTTTTACGGTGCGGATGGGGCTCCGGGGAGGAATCGGGCGCGGCGGCGTTGAGCGGTCGTTTTGGGTTGTACTCTGGGTCCAGCGATCAGACGGAATGTATATACCTTCTGGATGACGCTCCGATAGTTTCGAGCAGAAGATAGCAATGTCCGAACACGAGTAGACCTGCCAGGGCGGGGAGAACGCGTTCCGGTCTATCCTAAGAAGTTGAACACGAAGAAATGTAGCACGATGGAGCCTAGAGCAAAGTCCGCGAACGCTCTAAAGCACGAGGTAAGCGGATAGGGCGCGTGGACAGTGACAGAGCAGGCAGCGCTCACCTCTCTGGAGAGACCTCCTTGAACTCGGAGCGGTTTTCCGGGTTGACCTGCGAGCGCAGGCTGGCGGTGAGCACGAACTGGCCGACGGTGCTTCCGAAGCTGCCGTAGAACGGGGGCCGGTTTAGCACTGCAGCATTGAATAGGTATAGACAGAATACTCGTACCCGGCAAGGAACGCGTTGAAGGGGAAGTTGGTGACGAGCACGCAGTAGACGAACTGCGCGACGCCGGAGAGCATGAGGAAGAAGAGGAACGCGTCGACGAACTTGAGCCGCGCGGTGGTCGTCTCGTTGTAGGTGTTCCAGAGGTTCTCGATCGTCGTCTTCGCCGCCGGCGCCGGCGCTGGGGCGGCTGCCTTGGATGTCGTTGCCTTGGGCGCCATTGTCCGTCGAGTTGCCGATGGAGGCGGAACGACGTGGCCGCTGGAAGTGGGAGGAAGTCTCGGGTTTCCCACGAATGTAAGCTCGTTTCAGGAAAGTGGCTGGGTATCTCGTGAATTGTCTCCGTATCTGCAACGACATTGTTACTTTCGACCAACTTGTACACGACCTCTACCTCCGATGGACATCACGAGGAAGCTGCAGGAGGCTGGTCTCATTGACAAAGACGGCCTTCGTGATGAGGAAGTCATGACCAAAGAGAAGTGGGCAACCAAAGTTGTGAACATAATAGCCGGCTGTGATGAACAGGTCTCTGGAAGCACTCCACGAGAGCATTACGAGCGCTTCATAAGCGCTCCTGGGACCGTAAGAGCACACCTGTTTGACTTAGAAGCTGCATGTCGCAAACAGGATTTCGAGCCTGTGCAGACTGATTCTTCATTGATATGCACTTAGGTGCACAGTCTGGTCCCGCATTTGACAGCCACACGACCCCTCCTGACCAATTTTCGGAGGATCAGAATGCTACGCCAAGCATCAGGGCGATGTATGGAGGCGACGGGAACGGTCCGGTTCTGACAACTCGCAGCTCAGAGAAGCGGCAACAGCCTGGGCGGTATGACCTCACTATCATCGGTTGTTCGCCCGATGTATACAAAGCTATTGACAAGCTTGGTTGGAGGATCAATCGCACTCATTGGGAACAAATGATAAAATCTAAATCCATTGTCGATGAACACCCTCGGAGGGATGGAGCGGACGAGTTCTATACCGATCGCAATGCATGGACGAGGGCCACGACAAACTGGAAACCGTCCTTCGACTGCGCCACCGGTTTTGCATGGGCTCGCAATCGTGAGGGGCACGAGAGTTCGCCTGTCGACGAGTCAAAATGGGAGGGTGCCCTGATCAACCTGACCGAGGCAGAGCCAAAGCGATCGCAAGTGCCGAAGATGAGTATGGATGATTCGCGGAGTCGTGATCACGGATCACTCAGTCAAAGTGTCGCGTACATTGAGAGATAGGGTTTCGTTAGACTCCCGCGAAATATCGTCACATTCCGCGGATTGGTGTGCTTAGATATCGAGTGGGTTGCAATTCAATGAAGACCTCCTGGCAGTGCAGGTTCGAACGAATTTGTCCGAGAACACTAGCGCTAAAAGCAAGTGCTTTTAGGGCAGTCAGGCTGAGACGAGCACAAAGCGTGTTGTATCCTACGTTGATCATGTAGCTGATCACCTGTTCTCTGAACAGAGAAGTACAAGCAGCCTAGAATGGATGATCACGTGACGTGCCACTCTGGCGCATCGACCGAAAAAGTTGGCGCCTCCGACACCAGCAAGCCAGCTATGCATCGGGTACCGCGTCTGCTCACGAGGACGGCCTCGCCATGCTGGACGGCTCGGATAACAGCCTCAAATTCTCGGGCGTGGTCAACGCCCTTCGTGCGCCGTGCGCACACCCGGCGAGAGCTGCCCTACAGTATTTCTGAGGGCCTGGGTGACTTTCTGAGCCCGGAGGCGCTGCAAGTGATAGCAGTCGACTACCAGGAGGGGCTCTTACAGAGGCTAAATGAGCAAGTGAAGGGTCAGTCCACAACCAGAGTACTGACACTCGTGCTGAACGTTTTCGGGCAGGGACGGACAACGAGCGGACGAGTATTGCACAAACCGTCATCAATACGGCGACGGACCGGAGTGCCACGCTCGCGTTCACATATGCGAGCAGAGCGCTGAACAACAGTTACTTCCTCGAAAACCTCGTATGTCCCTCTCGTCGCCGTTCGGTCGCGTGCTCTCACTTTGTCACCTTTGCTCTCCGACGCTGTCATCTCTGCCTTCAGAAACCACCCCCATCCATACCCGAGGACGGAAAGGACCACGAAGGTCGAATATCTCAGAAGCTCAGGAATGCAATTCGGGAACAATACGGTGAAGTCACCGCCGTCAAGTCGACCGTCGGCGCCACCGCGCTCGGGATGTCCTCCGGCTACGTCTGGCTCGTCACGGACAAGACCGGCGAGCTCGGCGTCCTTCCCACCTTCGCCGCTGGCACCATGCTCGTCCGGGCGCGGGAGCAGCGCTTTTACCTCAACGGCGCGTCGGCGTCTTTCCGGTCTATGGTCGAGACGCCGGACCAGTCCTTCCCCACTTCTAGCGAGGAGAAGGACGCGGATGCGGACGACTTCAACTTTGAGGGTGACCGTAGGCAGCCGACGCCGACGCCGACGCCAACACCGCCCTTCGGCACCACGACAGATACCGCCCCTACCTCCCCCACCTCCGGTATTTCGCACGAAGCGGCCCCCTTCAACCCCTCCTCGCCTTCACGCCAGTTCTCTACCTCCGCTGTCGCCCGTCAGAGTGCGATGTACTCCCGTCCGCCCTCGATCTACAGCGGCGTGATCAACCCGACGGATTACCTCAATAATCCCGAGACGGAGAAACAGGAATTAGATAGCGTGGGCGAAGACCTTTTCCCGTTGTTCTGCGTGTCCGTGAACGAGCACGCGTGGATGGCGGGCGGGTACGGCGTCTGGGGGCAAGAGGAGTACCTGAAGAGGTTCTGGACAGTGTTGGACTGGGCGAAGGTGAGCCAGGCATACGCGAAGTTCGCCATCGCCGTAAGGAGGTCGTCGCAATACTAGCCGTAGAACAGCGTCGTGGATGCGTACCACCAGCAGAGCATACACTATGTCACTCGATTAATCACGCTGCATTTCCGAACATCTCAATTTACTTTTGACGAGCGCCTGGGTACGGAAAGATAGAAAACGGTGAAACTGGTATGATACATGCCGTCAGGAGTTTTTGAGGAGATCAGCTCTCCATCCTGCCCCACCGGGACGATCCCGAATCCAATTTCCAGCGCTTCCGTGGGTGCGTCGTCGCCTCCCAGTTGACGATGTGACCGAAGAGTTCCCCGTCCTCTTGGCCAGTGGTATCTTCCGTGGCCAATAATAGGTTCTTGAGGGAATCCTGAACCAAGCCGGCGGTCTTGAGCTTCTTTTCTAACGATGGTATGGCTGTCTTTCTCGGTGGTGCGATCTGAGGCCACGGTTAGGATACGTTCAACATGACCGTCAAACCGTCCGGAAATGGGACTTACGGGTGTCTTCAAATATGTATGCTTGGGGGGTAAGGATGGTAGTGGGTGTGGCATCGCCCGGAGCGTGGCCGGCACCTTCGGGGCCTCTTCGTCATCTGACCCCAGCATCTCTGGCTGAGGCTCCTCGGGCGGCGGTGGAAGTAGTGTAGTAAGGGATCCGCTGCGTATACCGAGGCCTGTCGGAAAACAGAGCGTCCAGCTCCGTAGTATGAAAGGATAGGATATTAGCACACACGTTCCATCTTCCGAGCCGACTTTACAGCACAGACGTGGAGGTCCTTGGGTTCCAGACTCTTCTCGCCACAAGCCTTCATCAAGTCGGTGACCAGAGGGCCCGACCTGTTGGCGAGGTTGGCATAGTTGTGCGCTTCCTCATACAACCTCTCTACAACTACGACCAGCAAACCCTCAGCAGCATACTGGATGCTCTTGCAAACCGGACTCACATGCGATGACTTCGCCCTCCAAGCGCCGGAGCGCTGCGGGTTCCGCCGACTTGAAGCCCGCAACGCGTAGCTGTGCCGACACGAGCTGCTCGACGGCCTGTGACGCCACGCGCGAGTTCACGAACGACGCATCCGGTGCGGCAGGCGTTTCAGCTGCCGGTAACACCAGCGTGCTTTCAGGTTGGACCGGGTACGCGTAGGCGCTCGGTGGAACGGGATTACTTGGGAACTGGTACACCGGCGTTTGGGCTGCGTACGACATGCCGGCCAGTAGTGACGGTGGGAGTCAAGTCGGATAGATAACTGGACCCAAGCACGATCCAGTGCGCGCGTTTCGCAACTTGCTCTCCCTCGCTCCTTGCACTTTCCCCTCGTCCATCCCCATCCCCTCGTCGAATATGTCGGCCGAGACGACGATCGTCGAACGGCCCTCGGCCCCGATGCGCACTGAGACGTTCCGCACCTCGCGCCCCAGCATCGTCGGCCCCGACGAGCCCCAGCCGCCGTTCCCTATCGTCCTCCAGGGGCCGGTGCAGCACGGCTTCGGGCGCGGCGGGAAGGACCTCGGGTGCCCTACCGGTGCGCTATGGGCATCCTCCTTCCGCCGCTGATCGCGTCTCTCAACGACCTCCGTTATCTAACCGGGCGCTTATGTGGTCTGCCGTCGGGCTTCGCAGCTAATCTCCCGGACGAGTCCCTGCCGCCGATGAGCAACGTCACGGAGACGGGTGTATACTACGGGTTCGCGCAGGTGCTCAAGGGCGAGGAAGGCGAGTCGTTATGCTCCGAAGACTCCAAAGTGTTGCCGATGGTCATGAGTTTGGGATGGAACCCGTTCTATAAGAACGAGCGCATGACGGCGGTTCGTCTTTTCACCCCCATGTTGATCAAACACCAACATATCGATCAGGAAATTCATATCATGCACGACTTCCGATCCGACTTCTACGGCTACGAACTCAAGGCAATCGTCCTTGGATACATTCGTCCAGAGCTGGATTATACATCTCGAGGTTGTACCAATATGTATGAACAATATTCACCGATTGACAAAGGTACAACAGAGGCACTCATAGAAGACATCGAGACCGATAAACGCGTAGCGCTGAACTGCCTAGCGCGTCCTGCATACGCCAAGTTTCGCACTGATCCACTGTTCCGCCAAGGTCCTCCTTAGACCTTCCCGCATCGCGGTCGTTTCTTGGTGCCTGATGCAACACAGGACGTATGTTGAAGGGCATATGCGTGGCGCATAGAGTAATATAAAGTACCGTACAAGAGTTGGGCCCACTTGATGTCGTAAGTACGCGAAGGAAGGACAATCGAGAGCTCTGACTGTATCCGCGTGATTTTCTGAATATTCTGAATCCTCTGGTATTTTGTTGGCGACATTTAGTCCCTGCTGCGACTGCGGGACGACCGAGTGCTGACGGACATCGCCGACGAGCCGCTCGACGAAGAGCGTCCACGCCTGCCGCGCCCACGGTCCGAAGGTGGGGACGCCGACCTTGAACCCGACCTACCGCGATTCCGCGCGCGGTCGACATCCATGTTGTCGTCGCGCTTAGGTGGAGGAGAACGGGAGCGTGTAGGGGAGCGCGTGCGGGACCTAGAGCGAGAGTCAGACCGTGACGGGGACCTTGACGGAGAGCGCTTGCGGCGCAGGGGAGACGAGCGCCGACGATTGTCTGGAGATGGCGAGCGCCTCGATCCGCGGAGTGGCGAAGGCGAGCGCCGTGAGACGGATCTCGGAGGATGCGGGGGAGGCGAGCGACTGTAGCGCCGAGAAGGAGGGGCGGGCGACCCTGAGCGACGACGGTACGGCGGGCGGGCCGGCGGCGGCGAACGCGAGGGCGAGCGGGAGGGCGAGCGAGAGTCGTACCGGCGCCTCGAGCGGCCTGGAGGAGAGCGAGATCGTGAGCGGCGGCTTCCACGGTCATCACGTTGGTCTCTGGGAGGTGGTCCCCGACGAGGCGGAGGGCTTAGGCTGCGTCGGTCACGATAATCCCTCACGGGCCTATCCCTGTCTCGGTATCCACCTGAACTCCGTGGAGGTGGCGGGGGTGGCATATCGCGCCCACCAGGCCTGCGGTCCGCATCGCGGCCTTGCGCCTCCCTCTCCCTCCTCAGCCTGTCTTCTTCGCGCCTCCGCAGCCTGTCCTTCTCCCTCTTCTCAGCCTCCCACTTCTCCTTCTGCGCCTGCCACTTAGCGCGCTCCTCCTCCCTCCGCGCCTCCCTCTCTTCCCTCTCCGCTTGCCGCTTAAGCTTGTTCTCCTCCTGCTTCTCCCTGTCAAACGCCTCGCCCTCCGCATAGTCAGCGCGGGTGCCTAGGGCGCGGGCCATTTTGCTGAGCTCGGCCTTTTTCGCGGCGGCGATGCCGTGGGTGTCGGAGGGTTTTAGGCCCTTGGCGTTGATGGTATCGTGCATGCTGGCCAACAGCTTTTCACGGAGCGCAGAAACCTGCTTGTCTATCTCTGCTTCGTCAACCCTGGCGACGCATCGTCAGTCACGTCATTGCAAACTGGCGGGTTCAGATGCTGGACATACCCATCGTCCTCGAGCTGGAGTTGAAGCTCCAAGCACTTCACTTCCACCTTTCGCTTCCGTTCATGTTCCAATATTTCCGCGTCTGGTTCGCGATGCTTGGGAGGCGCAACATCCCATGCGGAGGCTCTGTCAGCGGCTGGCTGTTGCGACCGTATGTACGACAGGTTTTTCTGGACATAACCGTTTGTGCCGCTGCACAAAAGTTGCTCAATCAACCGATATTCGAATGTGCCGACGGATTGCTGGCGTACCTGCCACGAGGAGTCGTTAAACCGATGCCGTTGTACATGGTCGCTGGAGTCGAAGGCGCTACCTGACGGAGTTTGAAATGGCCTCATGACGGTCACGTTACTACTGGACGAAAAGCTCCGCGCCAGGCTCCGCCCAACCTTGCTTCGCCTCCTTGGTCACTACGATCGCGATTTCAAGAATATTCTCCACTACGGACTAAACCTGCCATGGACGTGTCTATGGCCTTGGAAAATGCTGAGGACTACTGCCCTTCTCTTCCCGAAGGTCGTACCATTGCTCCGACGGCAAGCTCTACGATCCCTGAACCGGAGGATAGATCCGGCATAAATCACGCATATATCAACACCAACACTTCTGCTGGGACTTTGCCTCTTCATGACGTAGCTATTCGACAATTGTCGCAAAGCCCTACTCTCTTTTCCTCCGCACGGCGCGCGTGGCTCCCGGTGTTAATTGACCCAAGAGACATACCTCCGCCTCGACAACCCACCGTTACCACTTCGTACCCTCTGCCTAAGTCTTCTGACGTGCCCTTACCTGGCCTCTCAGTATCTGAACTCCTCTTGACGACCGTGTCTACGCTTCTTGATCCGCAGCTCCGACAGGAAAATGATACAGGCGCATATATGCACTCATCTCATGCTGAGACGGGTGGATCCCAGCAAAGCGGATTAATAGACAACCTCGCTGATGCTTTCAACTCTCCTCGCGGTGATGATAATGAAATGGAGTGCGAAACTGCCACCACATGCACCAATGATCCCGCCTTCTCAGACGACTGCGAGGCTACTGGTCCCTCTAGTGAAGAACCGCCAATAGGACCACATGAAAAGGTTCTCTTGGAGGCGGACCACGAGGCCTATGCATCGCCTCTTGAATTGGTAGAGGACTTGCCTCTTGTACCCTTCACCGATGGCCGATATCGACCGGCTGAGGATAATCTCGGTCATCACGACAATGTCCAACTGGAGCTTCAAAACGATTCCTTCAACGTTGGGAGAAGAGACTCTGCAGCCGGCTCTTCCGATCTCCCGCTTATTTCTCCATCTCAAAATCCTGTAGTTGAACCTGAAGCGCAACCGACGACTCGATTCCCAGCTGACCAATCTGATCCTTCTCCGGCTGAATCATCTGTATTCTCGGTAGCACTGCCCGATGGCGCGATGCTTCAGTCCAGTCGACACTCCCCAGTTCTTCATCTTCCTCTGCTGTTCCGGCCGTCCGTCGCTCTTACGTGCAACAACGGATCCGACCCGAGCACAAGCGTATCGGAGGCTTCGCGACCGTCGCTTCGGAAGTTGCTCACAGGCTATGCCGAATCACCGCCATCTTCAAGCCCGCCTATTCCTGAAGCTGATATGCAAGATCCCTGGACCGAGTCGTCTGAAAATCGCCCTCACACTGAAGACTCTGAACCAACGTCGACGTGCGCCTCTGCTGGACATGACGAAGATGCTACCCCCTCTGCGTCTTTGCCTGGCCACATCCAGCCGGATGGGAACTTGGAGCTACGGCATCCTCGGCCCTCCAGATTGCTCCCGGACCTCGACTCTTTCAAAGACTTCTTGCAATCACGGCCTGATTTCACGAGCACCCCTTTGCATCCTGATGGACTCGATCATGTCGGGCTGAGCGTAACGAGTCTTTCTTCTTCGCCGCCCCTAAGCTCGAGCCCCAGCCGCATATTCACGTCATCTCCTGCCGTTCCTTCATCTGGAGACGATCTGTTCCCGCTAGACGACAAGCATGATAACGACGGTTACGGGGATACCAGCGAGCTGCCTAACGCGGGAAACTACATGCTGGAGCTTCCTCACACTTTGTTGAGTGCCCCGGAAACGGATGCTCTTGGGGCTGCAAATTTGTTCAATCGCGAGATGGACGACCTTCAGATGGAGATAGCAGGTGGCGAGTACGATCTGCCGCCATCATCACCACCTCCGCTGTCGTGGTCACCACCACCTGCCAATGTTGATAGAACAGAGGCGGGGACAGCCATGATCACGGTGGGTGCTTATGAACAGATCATGACCTCTGTATTGCTCACAGTGATCATACCATGACAGGACCAAGGCGATGAGATGGAATCGCAAGCCGTCCAGGAGGCTGGACAGAGCAGTAGCTTCAACGATGTACGATCTCTCACAGCTCTTATGCAGTATCGATGGCTCTACATAACTCCTTCAGGACCATAGCGCTCATTCTACGTTTCAGCCCGAGGAATTGAAAGAAGTATCGGCCAAGCGGAAGGTACCCCTCTGCCAATCGCTCTTTGCTTCCATTTCTTATCCATTCTCCAGAGGACCGGCAGCCCTGCGCTGCCGAACCCCAAGCGTCATACGAGCGTCACTCTCGATCGCGAGCATAAGAAACTGATCGCGCCCTTCCGTTCGCCAAAGCCGGTTCCAAAGAAGAGCAGCGACAAATGCAAACCGAGCATGCTATCGCCGCTCGCGCTCGCACTGGGCAATACAGGAGTGTCGCCCGGCGTCAGCAAGGCGTCCTCGTCGAAGCAGGACACTTCCAGCGCGCCGCTTTCCGCTAAGGAAGCCGAATGGCAAAAAATCAAGGATTATACGCCCAGAGCGGCTGCCAAGTTCAAGTCACCCCTCGCGTCGTCCGCCTCCGCCTCGTCGAGGTTGAACGCTGCTGTCAAGTTCACGCCGACGATCCAAGCTCTGGAAAGGAAGCTACAGGTTCTTAAGCGCGCGGTCAAGATCAAAGAGGACGGCGAACAAGAGAAGCTGGACCAGCTGGCCGCGAAGTGGCGGGAGAGCGGGAGAGGGATCGCGTGGGAGGTATGGAATCTGGTCAAGGACCGCGCAGAGGCCGGAGACCCGTCGGGTTCGAAGAGTGGAGGCTGGGGATACGACGACGAGAAGAAACCCTTCCAAAGCAACTGGGGGTGGGATGTATCTCACGATCAGCAAGCGAACGACGTCGGCCCCTACGAAGAGGAACCACCGCGCTCTTCGCCATGTGACGATGAGAATACGGATCGACCGTCAGACAACTTGGGGACCATGCTCAGGCAACTCAAGATTGATCCAGCGACGCTTGGGTGGGATGACGCCATGGAAGACTTTGTCGATTGAGTATTGTCCTGATTTGTGCATTGTATACTGTATGCTTGCATGTGAGCCCACGCCTTGCGTCGTCCAGAACGAACGTGTACGATGTGCCTGTATATCCCTGTAGAGTCCGCAATCCAACTTTGACGTTCACGTATCCCACGTCGCTCACCATTGACATTCAGGTCTCAGAACTCTAACGCCTGACCAACACGCTAAAGAGAGCGGACAGACCTCGCTCTCCGATCTATGCCCGCACACGATGCCCGCACACCCGTTCATCCTCGTCGCGCCTGCCACTCGCGGCCTCTCGCTCGCAATCACCCGGCACCTCCTGCAACACACCACGCTCCCCATCTACGCTACGCACCGCAGTGATGACCCGGCCGCTGTGCACGCGCACATCCTCTCCCCGCTCACCTCCTCCAACATCGACGCCAAGCGCCTCACGCTCCTCCCGCTCGACCTCACCTGTCCCGATTCCATAGCCGCCGCCTCTCACCAACTCCGCGAGACCCTGCCCGAGGACGCGTACATGCATATGGGCTGGTTCGGCGGCGGCGTGCTGCACCCCGAACGCTCGCCGGCCGATTTATGCATCAAGAAGATCCAAGAAACGCTCCAGATTAACACCGTCTCCCACCTCCTGCTAATGGCGCACTTCTCCCAGTTCCTTCCACCCCGAACATCTCATCCCGCTCCGCTGTCGAAGTGGGTGCACGTCTCTGCGCGCGTCGGCTCCATCTCCGATAACCGCGCCGGCGGCTGGTTCTCCTACCGCGCTTCCAAGGCCGCGCTCAACCAGTCCATCCGCACATTCGATCTCTGGTTGCAGCAGCGGCGCATCCCCGCCATGGCTGTCGGCGTGCATCCTGGTACGGTGAAGACGGGCCTGAGCAAGGAATTCTGGGCAAGCGTGGAGAATGGCAAGGGAAAGTTGTTTGAGCCGGAGGAGGCAGCAGCGAATCTTGTACGGGTTGTGGAGAGTCTCGGAGAGGAGGGCAGGGGACGGGTGTGGGATTGGAAGGGGGAGGAGGTGCCGCCTTGACTACGACGTTCCTTGGGTATATACATTATTGGGGTATACGGATGCACAGCTCAACGGGCTATGGATTGTGAGCCGGCACTCGGATTAGAGATCGAGATTCTCTCGGGATATCTAGAGAGCCACGCCGTTCAACATCCAGAGCGTACACACCACAGAAAGATGACTCGCCTCGCTTGTATTCGCGACTTCAGATCTTCTTCGTATAACTGATCCGCGCCTAGCTGATTCCCGAGCGTGAGCCATCCTGGGCGCGTGTTGTGTTTCCGCCCGAAGATTTCAATCTTGCGCCCGCCGGGACACATGCGCTCGATCAGACCGTAGACTTCATCAGGCTTGCGCGACGTCTCCCGAACCTGGCACCCATGCGTCAAAACGCCGGACGCGAAGGGAGAAAGAAATTCATACCTCGGACACTATGACGTCTGTGTCGAGGCCTCTGTTGCACCATGAGGGGTAGACAATATTGCCGGCGGAGTCCGTGCGCGTTTTGACGGCGACGAGCATGTGCTCTTTAGTGTGATTGAGCCAATGACCTGTCCTGCCAGTCCGAATCACCCTTTGCAACTGCGTCACCGTACATTAGCGATGGCGAAGATGGGAAAGGAAGCCAGACGCTCACCTGATTGGTTTTGATCCAGACGACTTCATCGACACGCGTATAACCCCATACACGGAGGCATTCCCGACCGACTTCCATAGCGCGGCCGGTAACCCAGAGAAATAGCAGCCCCTCGTCTTGTAACGCGGGTATGGGCATCGCGCGCATCTCGTCATCCGTCATCGTTCCGTAGGGCAACTATCAGATAGCAATGTATGGGTATATCGGCGGTTTGGACGCAGACAAAAGATCGGACGCACGCTCATGTGGATATCCCAGGGCGGGTCGGCCATGATGACATGAAATTTGCCGAGCACCGAGTAATCGAACCGCCTCAGGTCGCAGTTTATCCATTGAGGCGGTAGAAGAGGTTTGTCCTCGCTTGTCGGTCCCAACCCGATGGGGAGTTTAAACTCCTGCGCCTTCGCCACCTCCTTGCTGCTGTCCCTTTGCGAAAACGTCACTCCGCCCTGGCTCGTGTTCGAATTTGCAACAAACGCAGATCCATCCCCTTCGTCCCAGTCTACCTCGTAGTGCAGGTACCGACAGGGCGCCTTTTCCTTGCCCCTCCCACCCGCGCCCAGGCCGCTGGGTAAGCTGACAGGCGTGCTCATAGTGCCCGGCGGGCGAGGTGCAGACGGTAATGGTGGGATGGAAGGCGAGAGCGCATAAGTTGGTTCGGAATAGCACGTGTTCAGGTATGAGCAGTGGCCGAGGGAAGGGTCGGTGTGCGCGCGGATGATGGGGCGGAAGTGCACACGGGGGCAAATGCTCGATCCTGAGTCAGCTCCCTGTGCTTGTGCGCGGAACTTGGCGCAGTCATCTTTGGTGATGCGCGGACAGACGGGCTCGAAGGCGTTGGTAGAGCGGAAGCGCTCGGCCAGCAGGCGACCCTTCGCAGTCCCTCGTTGCAAGATCGCGTAGACCTCCCGAAGCTCGCGGCTCAGATGTCTGCTCGGCGATGTCGGCGGGTCGGCGTGCTCATCCTCGCCAGGGGCGGCGTCGGCATCAACGTGCTCATCCTCCGGGTCGCCTGTGGCAGAGTCGGCGTCCTCGTCACGTACGGGGCGCTTGCGCTTCTTTGCGGGACGGGGGAGCGCGCTCGGTCCTAGCTGAACGTCGAGCACGACTAAGGTTCTGTTCCCGGTGTCGTCGCGGTGGACGACGACGGTGCCGTGCTCCCAGGTACGCGAGAAGGCCGAAAGGATGGAATCGAAGCGTGCGAGATCGGTGAGGCGTAAGGGTGGGCGCGCGCTGGGCGTGGTGCGCGCAGAGGCCGCGATGAGCTTGGCCAGGAGAACGGGCGAGTCAATTGGGAAAACAAGGCGGGACGGCCGCGCGAGGGCGGCGAGTCCGCTCGAGACGAACGCTGTCTGCGACGGGTCTGGGGCCGTCGAAGTCATCGTCAACCTTCGACCCGAATTTGGTTGTGACTGGGATCACTTGCCTTGCTGATGAATCAGAGCTTGATCAGAGAGAACTCTGACCGAATCATGTTAGATATCTGATCTACTCATTTGCATCAACTAATCATATCGCTCAGAGTTCAGTAACCCGACCGTGATCAGATAAGTCTTCGCCGTAAACGGGGCCTTTCTCGAAGCTTCCAGCATCCCGCATCGCCCAAGCCATGCACCGTCATAAACCCTCGCATCTGAGCGTCTACCTAGCGGATTGTAACTTCTACATATCACCATGGCCGACGTAAGTACCCCCTCCCCAATCCCTCCAGTCGTGGGAGGCTGACGACATGGTGTATTGCAGGTAAACGCACTGAAAGACCAAGGCAACAAGGCCTTCGCTGCGAAAGACTATGACAAGGCGATCGAGCTCTTTAGCCAGGCGATCGCGCTTGACCCGAAGAACCATGTGCTTTACTCGAACCGGAGCGCAGCACACGCCGGGAAGAAGGAGTACATCAAGGCGCTCGAGGATGCCGAGGAGGTACGTTCTTCACAACGGTGATTCTCTCCAGTTCATCGGAATAGCTGTTGACCGTTTTCCAACAACTATAGTGTGTCAAGGTGAATCCGAACTGGGCGAAAGGCTACGCACGTAAAGGCGCTGCGCTGCACGGCGCCAGGCGATACGACGAGTCCATCGCCGCCTACGAAGCCGGCCTAAAGCTCGAAGACAGCCCTGCACTACGCAAGGGTCTCAAGGAGGTGCAAGATGCAAAGGGTATGTCTGCGCTTATCTTGCACATTATTCCGCAAATATTGACCACGTTTCATGGGCCACAGAGTCTGAAGGTGGCGGCCTGGGACTTGGCAAACTCTTCGCCGATCCCAACCTTATCGGTAAACTCGCCGCGAACCCGAAGACCTCCAAGCACTTTGCCGACCCGTCCTTTGTGCAGACCCTGCGCAGCATCCAACAAAATCCTAAGCTTGCCGAGGGGTGTGTACAGTCCCCTATATTCTCTTACACGAGTCGACCGACTAACTGCGGTTCGCAGCATGCTTGGACGCGACCCGCGCATGATTGATGTGCTTGGCGTCCTTATGGGCATCGACATGCAGGGCTTCAGCCGCCCCGAAGGCTCAGAAGAGCTGCCGCCCGGTTTTGAAAAGTCTCCCACATCTCCTCCCGCCTCCTCCTCTTCTCCACCTCCTCAAGCTTCGACGTCAACCTCCCAACCCCCTTCAACTTCAACTCCTAAGCCGAAAGCTGAAGAAGCTCCCGTGGAAGATGTCGAGATGGAGGATGCCGACGATGAGGACAAGAAGGCACAGAAGGAGGCTGAGGCGGAAAAGAAGCTTGGATCGGAGGCGTACAAAAAACGCGATTTCGCCACAGCGGCGCAACACTTCCAGAAAGCTTGGGATCTCTGGCCTAAGGACATCACCTACCTCTCTAACCTAGGAGGTGAGCTCATGTTCGCTATTGAGCCTCTGGGGCAATGCTTACAAGGCGCTTTATCAGCCGTCCACCTTGAAGAAGGCGACTACGACAAGTGCATCGAAGTCTGCCAGACCGCCGTCGACGAGGGCCGTTCGCTCCGCGCGGACTACAAGCTTGTCGCCAAGGCGCTCGGGCGCATCGGCACTGCCTACGCGAAGAAGGGTGACTTACCCTCCGCGATCAAATTCTACGAAAAGTCGCTCACCGAGCACCGCACGCCCGACATCCTCACTAAGCTACGCGAGACGGAGAAGCTTAAGGCCGAGCTCGACCGCAAGGCGTACATCGATCCCGAGAAGTCTGCCGCAGCGCGCGAGGAGGGCAACAAGCAGTTCAAGGCGGGCGACTTCGCCGGCGCGGTGAAGAGCTACACCGAGGCGATCAAGCGCGACCCGGCCGACCCGCGCGGGTACACGAACCGCGCGGCGGCGTACAACAAGCTCGCGGCGCTCCCGGAGGCGCTCAAGGACGCCGAGGCGGCGATCGCGGCGGACCCGACGTACGTGAAGGCGTACATCCGCAAGTCGCACGTGCTCTTCGGCATGCGCGAGTACAGCAAGGCGCTCGAGGCCGCGCAGGAGGCGGCGGAGCACGATGCGGAAGGGAAGAACACGACGGAGATCCAGCAGCAGATGATCAAGATTCAGCAGGCGCTGGCGACGGAACGCGCGGGCCAGACGGACGAGCAGGTGATGGAGCAGGCGATGCGCGATCCGGAAGTGGCGCAGATCTTGAACGACCCCGTTATGCGCAGCATACTAGAGCAGGCGCAGAGCAACCCGGGCGCGCTGCAGGACCATATGAAGAACCCGATCGTGCGCCAGAAGATACAGAAGCTCGTGAACGCGGGTATCATCCGGACGCGGTGAGACGACAGATCGAGGGGGTATTTCACAGCCAGTTACGGGGTCCAACGAAATGTGACATAATATCCATATTGTATTTTACAGCCATCCATCGTCGTTGCATATACAGTTCTAACGTGTTGTCTCATCGCTCCGTATATGATCTCTCTGATCTCGCCTTCGATCAAGCTTTATCCGGCGACGACCAAGACCATTCTGCATATCCTGCCTCATCGAATATCCTCCGTACTTCCTTCTCCAACGCCTCATTCACTTGCCCGCCCTCTTTCGCGGCTCTCCACGCTTTGACACTCGCATGCACTTCGTCTGGCGTACTCAACCCTGCGATCATAGGCCAGCCGTTCTCATTCGCGAGCCTGTACGCATATCCCAGCGCGACGTCAGGCAGCGTCGAACCATTCTCGGAGGAAATCTGGATCGCCTTGTCGCGCGCGGCTTTGAGCGCCTGGGGCGCTGGGTGCCAAGTGGGCGTATTACCCGTGAGGAGACCCATGTTAAGTGGAGAGGCGGCGACGAGCTGGGAGATCTTGGCGCGTTCTGTGAGGGCCGGGGCGAAGGCGAGGAGCGACTGGTTCTGGAGGTTGAGGTGCGAGTAGGAGAGAAGGGCGTCGAGGGGTTTTCCGGTCTTGTGCAGAACGAGAAGGGCGATGCGGAGGAGCGTAGGGAGTGGATAACCTGGGGTTGTTGGCGGCATGAAATCAAGTATATGCACAGAAAAAATTGGAAACAACCTGCGATGCCGACGTTCTTGATCAACCCTTCATCCTGCATCTTGCGCATTTCCGCGATCGCGTCCAGCACCTTCTGGTCGCCCTCGCCCCATACTTTACCCTCGCTCCCGGGCTCAAGCCCATATTCTGCCACCTTTTCTGTGAGGGCTAGCGCATGTCTACCGGAGGAACCCTCTGCGGCAGTAGGCGGGGGTACGGGCGTCGCGACGAACTCGAGGTCGTGAAGGAAGACAACGTCGAGGTAGGGCGTATTGAGTCGCTCGAGGCTTCGCATGACCGACGCTCTTATAGTCGCCGGGGAGTAGTCGAAGTCCCATGGGCCGTAACGTCCGCATTTAGTCATCTGAGGCATCATGGTCGACATACATATCAAAAATGAACAGAACAATCGAGGCTTACAATTTTGTACGAGAGTCGAGGAAATTCAGCCTCGAGCGATTTCAGCACGGTGCCCAGGACGATCTCCGATGGGCCATCTAACAAAATGGCAATTTAGGTGCTAAGTTGTTGACAGAATCGGCGCGCTCACAATACGCGGACGTATCGAATGCCTTGATGCCGTAGCTTTACGACGCGCCGCAGTCATGAACAACCAAGTCCGCGTAGTCTGAGGCAGAGGGAACAATACCGGAGAGCAAGCCTGACGGTGCGCAATGGAACATCGCTCTCGAGGTACTCTTCCTTGTTGTACGAGCTGTTAAGAGGCGCAGCGCCGAAGATGAGTTCAGGTAGCTGCAAGGCGCCGACTTCGCTCTATGACCGCATCGATATCAATTGAGTTATGTTCCCGAGAGCGTGTTGGAAGCCAACATACAGGCGCCTTTCCTTCCACAGGGTTGTCTTCCGGTCCATCAGGGATGGAATCGAGGGGCGGGAACGCGAACACAGGCTGAGGAGCGTCTAATCGGGAGACCATGGTTGTCGCAGATATTGAAGATGTTCAATCGCAACCCAAGATGTCAGAGCGGCAGAACGCGATCGCATGGAGCGATCACGCTAGCATGGTCACGCGGGAGTAACGTCACGCAGGCAGAAACATGATATTGCAGAGTTCGCCGTTTACAGGGATAGGAGTAGCCGGCTCTACGGTTCCCCAACAATCCGTAGAAATCGAGTGATCTACCACTTGTCGCGCGACCAGCTAAGGGGTTAGAAGGACAACGCGTTAAAAGGAGTGTAAGAACCCAGTTCAGAGAGATGTTAGCCCACCTCTTCTCGAACTTCTGGTTGACGCTGATCAGCTTTGTACCCTCGTCGGGCTGAATCTTGTTCCAGGGCGTTGGGTTGTCCTTAGTCCACACGACTGAGAGATATTGAGGAAAGAGATTGGAACCAGCACGGATGAATGGTGGAAAGTCATGCGGAAACGAGCAATGAGATGGTGTGCCATTAAGCAGAAAGTGAATGGTGCGCTGACCGGTAGGACCACGCGCAAGGCGGGTGAGGTACCAGGACCCGCCCACGATGACGCCGCCAATGATAGCGTAGCTATTATACAGACGATGAGCCTCCCGAACAAATGCCCTCAAGGACTCAGCTTACATCGGGATCGCCTAAGCAGTTCGCGAAAACTTAGTTGAGCGCTACGCATCGCAGGAGGTAGGGTATAGCTGAACGGGTTGGCCCGGAACGTACCTCAATGGCGAACCAGTGCTTCATGAACGACTTCTGCGGGGGCCTGACAGGCATTGTGACTAGTCCCAGCAGTCAGAAAACAGCTCGAGTGCCTCCAGAAACCGGACTTGCTTGATAGTTAACGGGACGACAGAAGAGACTGAGATGGGGTTTGTTGGGTCCAGACGAGTTGACCGGCTGCGACCTCCGTCACACTTGGTCGTGCTAATTCCCACACTTAGCCCAGGTCACTTCCAGGCCCGTGCTGCCACCTGCTGCCACGCCCAAGCCACGCCGCCGCGCTGCTCGTCGGCAAGCACAATACCTACATTCATCCTCATTGCTCTCCACCGTGTTCTTGAAGCTCTCATCGCCGCTGCAACGATTAGCTCTGAATTTGTGAAGATGTTCGGCCGGATCACCCACCTCGCTTTTGACGCTCTCTTGATTGCTGCATTTCTCGCTGGTATACGGCGAACGACCGGTCTCACGTACGTACTATCGTTTCGGTCTGTATCTTTTCTGACCGGAGATTGTATGCATAGACCCGCGATTGCCAAAGTGCCGAACAAAGATATCCGTCGTAAGCATCCCTTATGCTGCCTTGTCCGCCCTATCATGCTTGCTTACCATCCGACAGAGTTCTTGCGGTCTTACCTGGAGGCGGGAGAGTATGCGTTTGACTTTGCCGTGGTGGTGATGGGCGTACGTTATCCCTCGATTGCTTCACGGCTTCTCGATTGATCCTCCTTTTGTAGAGGTCCCCGTCATTCACGCGCGAACGCGGGGATCAATAGAGTCATCTCCATCTCATGCTTTCAACACATATGCAAGTCCCGTGCATTCTGAGCCAAGTATGCGATCGATTGACGAAAGATTCGCAGATTTCGGATTGCCATTTGTATCTACCAGACGTGTGCACTGTACCATTACTAATGACACCAATAAATTATCGCCATTCACCCGATTGCACCCCGCACTTGCCGTCATAGGAGCGTCCGGGCTCGTTGCGAACATGAAGACGTAACAGCATTGATACCCGCTACGAAACGACAGCACAGGCATGTTCTCTATCGTTCCTGTTTGACAGGGTCTGGTCTGGCTCGTTCATTGCGGGTGGGCGTCGCCCGCAAAATTGAAAGAATCGTATGAGGCGACGAAACCGCGCCGTAAGTGCTTTCATTTGACTGGTCGCCGCAGGAGGTCAAATCTCACCCGAGGCGCTGATAGCGGGCGTGCCGAAACATATCGAGCAGTGGCTCCATAACAGCGCTGTGGCTTGAACTGAGTTTCTCGCTCTTCAGCGATGCAAGCAGGCCATTGTCACGAAATGATCAATCAGCGGACCAGTGGCCTTGTACACCCATTGTGTCTTTCAGAAATATAAGGCATCGCCGATCTACAATCCTCCGAGACACTATCCTCCCTTGTTCCAGGCATTCCACCCAACATGGACAGCCTGTCGTTGGAAAGCCTGTCGTTGGAGCTCTTACAGGAGATATTCAAACTTGCCTGTCTGGATGATGGCACTACCGGACGTTCGCTATCTCAGGTGTCACATTGGATCCGAACAGCTTCTGAGCGGTACCGATACCAGAGTCTCGTTCTTCGGGAGCGGGAGCAGATTGCGCCTTTCCTAGAAATCTTCAAGAGTGCGGCGCCCGCGAAGAAACCGGTCGTACGGCATCTATGTGTGTCCTTTGGGATGGAGGACGAAGCCAGAGATGCCCGCGCCTACGTGCAGTCGTTTTCGGGCTCGTGGGTATTCCGAACCCGGCAGTGGATCGACCACGAGGAGGACGCCGAGCTGTTACGGGAGCTGGTCTCCCTAGTCGCACCTACATTGGTGTCGTGCGCTCTCATCGGGGACCAGTGGCGCGATTCCGAGCCTCGCCGTTTCACAACTCGACTTCCAGCGCTTCAAGCCCTGTGGACATCTGAACTATTGCGTTGGGATGCGGGGCATGGACCTCTTCTTCCCGCCTTGCGTTTTCTCGACTTGGCTTGTGTCCTTCCATTTCGTGGGCTGAGAGATGGCATCAACGAACGGATCGTCCAGCTGTGTGGTCCCGCGACTCCTTGCATTAGATACAGCTTCTGGCGTCTGGCGGAGTTGTGTGGAGTGTGGTCCACACAAGTTACCCCATATGATGATGGTATGTCCGTCTTCTTCATGTAGTACATCCCCTCTTATGATTTCTCCAGAATCAGAATCAGTTGAGAGTTTGACGAACTTCCGACTCTCCTGGTCTAAACCCGAGAAATGCCATGGCACATGGAAAGCAAGCTACAACGGAGGACCATGCGTGGTGTCTTTCGGGCTGATCCAGGATACAAGCCGTATTGAAGATGTCGAAGCAGACTGGATGCATTTTGTCAACCATGGTGTGACCTCCTGGCATGATGGGAATCCCCCGCAGGCACTGGATCCGTTGCCCTGATAGCTAATGTCATTTACGAAGAATGGCGAGTGCTAAATTGTATACAGACCATCTACTCTAGCACAACGCCGAAAATCAAGCTTATCTATCATATTGTGTTCTATCTGCTCATACCAGCGATCATGATGAACTCATTTGCGCATCCTCAGCTTCTGAATGCGTGGGGAATTGACGTTTAGCTATTGCACTTATTACACGCGCAACCGTATCCTTTTCATGAATCTACTTAGTTGGGCGTGCATCATCTCGCGTTCTCTATGCCCTGTGAGCCAAATGCCCCAGGACAGCACGAACATCGACTACAGAAGCCTGTTCGTCTCACATCGTCAAAAGATAGCCATCCCTTTACATACCGAGATGTATGTATGGTGCCCACCGGCTTGGCTCAGGATGCACCGTCCGCAGCTCCCGCACTGCAGCATCGAGTGCATACTATGGGATGTCGTCCGAATTAAGATATTCACTCTCGTGCCGAAAATCTCCTTGTATAACGACCTTGCAATAATCGGCCCGTCAAGATCTTCCATGGACTCAACCGGAGTAGCATCAGCCCCCGCCATTCAACAGTGGAATTAGCACATGCCATAGGGTAGCAATAACGCTTTTGAACCCAGCGAATAATATTGTGGCTGCAAGATGGACAGCCTGAACTGGCTGTGCCTAAGGGGGTGCTCAACGTCAAGTCAATGGCGTCAAATAGAAAATAAGCTCTCACCTTATCTCCCTTGGCGGTTTCGCATGCGCTCAGGAAAGCCATGAAAGGTCGCTTCAGAGGTATCGACATCAACTGCTCGATGGTCACCATTTCGTCCCGCATCACGAAGCTACTCTTGAGCGGGTTGTTGGGATCTTGTCGCGCATGGCATGCGAGGTGAAGCATCGTTGCGTCTGGTAATTCTGCTAGTAGAGTCTGAGCCCGCAGCCCGTTTCTAGCAGGGCATCATCCTCAGGAGATCGTGGCAAGAGTAGTAGCCGGAACCGCCTAGATAACCTCGCCTAACTCTGCCACGGTTGACGGAAGGTCCGACCATCGGTTGTCGTGTGGTCGGGGCACGGCGGCGACTAGAATCCTTGCGTCGCCTTTAGACAGCGGCTGATGGGAGCGTCTCGCGTTGAGAAGACTGCTTAACGTCGGGATGTAAGAGGAGACCACGTAATCGTCACACGACATCTCTCCAAGGCGGGCAGCATGAATAGGCAGATGTGCGAATCGGCCAGTTAAACGCCACCATATCCGCGGGCGATCCCTACCGGATGACGGTTGCAAGCCCAGCGCGCCCATGACTGGATGGACGATGCGGGCTCACAAATCTTCCAGTAGTGCATGGACGGGACTCCGATGTGTAAACTGCTGTACCTCTTTCTTGATAAGCAGACGCCCCGGTCTCGCAGCTGCCCTGTCTCCGTCAACAGCAGATCTCCATGTCGTACTTGAGGCTAGTAGCCAAGGCTCGGTCACGGCCGACAGCGGGATGGTCAGAGGCTCGCTCCCGCATTAATATTGCACAAGGATGGCGTGACATGCGTGCCTGCTTGACACCAGAATAACGACTGGACCGCGGTCGGCAACCTTTCCGAGCGTCGAAGATTCCTCTGCAAGCATGAAACGGCCGAATCCCTCGAGATCGCGAACTTGACCGAGCAGCGTGTTGAATTCATCGCCTTGTTGTCTTCTTCTGGCGACGGCACGTTCAATGACACACTGATCAGTCATAATTCCCGCCAATTCGCTGCTCCGTTCGAGCTGCTGAGCCAGTGACAGCAGTTTGGGACGGAACTCCTCCGGTAACAGGTCGAACTGGGAGCGTAAGCGAAGAACATGTGTACAGAAGATAGCCCGCCCTTGTTCAAGAATTGCGACTGCTCTTTTGAGCTGGAAGAGCTCAAGTGCATGAGACGCACTGATGGCCGCTATGTCTTGTCCGATAGCGAGGGATGTTAAGCGGGAAGGGGCGTCCAAGCCGAAGTAAGCAACACGTGGGGTCTCATAAACATCCATGATATGTTGCTGAAAGCTAGCATTCTGGGCATAGGTATTCCGTAATTCTTCTTCGAAAGTATGTAGAAGACGAATTGCTCCACGTAGCCGGGACCGAACGTCCCTGTGATTGTCCGTGATAGCTTCTACCAAAAGTTGGACAGCGGTTCCTGGATCCTGAAATCCAGTGACAGGTTCGAAACATAGCTCGGCCGTGTCAAGAAGACACTTGAAGCGGTCCCGTCTTCCTCTGGGGACCTTTGTCGTCAGCTCTCGCAGAATTTCCTTGGCGGCCGTAGCATCGGCCTTGTCTCTTGAGCAGCGAAATCGCGTTAAATACGAGGAACCCATGGTGCGGAGATAATCCACGCCAGGAGCTGAGTCAACAAAAGCAAACGACAACCTCCTGTTCAATACCCGTTGATACAACAATGTGATAGCATATCCCGAGCTGAGCGGATTACTCACGAAAAAATGTAGCTTAATATGGGGAAGTCCTGAAGCCTGAGCGCAGCCACATGTCGTAAGGTAGCTACGGAGGCGGAATAGAAGTCCCAAGCTAATTAATAGCTGAGTGCGTCACGCCACGCCACGGGAAAGGCATTGGCAGAGTACATATGCGCTAACCCACGTCAGTTCTGCAAGCACACCGGAAGCATATGCGTCACATAAAGTCTGAAGTCTGGGGCACAGCTCATCGAGACATGACGAAGGACCCTCATAGACTGGAGTCGTGACATCAATAACCTTAGAATAGCCAAGAGACCCAGACCCGTACCTTCGGGGATAGAGACATCCTTTGCATTGGCGCACTCGTGATTATTGTAATTCTCTAATCAACATCTGACAGCAAACGATCAGACGTGGCCGCGATCCACAGGAGTTGTTGAACAGTGACTTCCGAGCTCGGTGAACGCAGAATCGGTCGATTGCTCGCGATACACCACGGGAGGCTGCTCGCTCGAGGGTGCGTCGACAACAATCCGTAGCATCTTGGCGGGTTTGTCCGCACGCGCATTTTCGCCCATAGCCTCAGCGCGACGCTTCCGAGGCACGTCTGCAATATCGCCCGCATCATCACTGGCGGACGGTCGGTGAGGACAAGCCGCCTTGTCCGCAGCTGTGGGACAGGCAACTTTTCCTTTCTTCCGTGGCCGTGGCTTGCGCTTGGGAGTGAGCGAAGCGATGGAAGGTTCTGGAATTTTCAAAACATCGGGTGCGACCTCTGAGCACAGCAGGGCGCTCAGAACATGGCGTTGCCGATATCATGGGACTGGTCACTTACGATCACCTGGCGAGTCATCGGAATCAATTTTGCCTTCCGGTTCAGCTGCTTTTGGTGACTTTGCTGACAAGCGAGTTGATCGCCGTGTGGACACTGGTTGCACTGCTGCAGGTTCGAGCCGTGCCTTCTCCTTCCCCTTCCCATGCTGCTTTTGCGTTATCTGCTCGGAGGGTTCCTGCGCCTCGCCTTTGCCTTTGCCCTTCGTTATCTTCTCTAGGGCCTGCGATTTTTTTGATCGTTCACTCATGTGATCCTTACCATCTGCCGGCTGACGCCGCCTTTTCAGTAATGCATGATAATGGTGCCGGCACTGTATAGCGAGTTAGTAGTTGCGCTCGTGCACGAGCAGGCGTGGAACTTGCCTGAGTATCGCTCCTGCCATCGCCGAACTGGCTAACGCATTTGCTGACCTCGCACCAGTCGGGCGTGTCGCCTCCTTGCTCATTGATGGCATCGATGAGCGCGCTATCCTCCGCCTCGGTCCAGCCCCGACCTCTGATAGGGCGTGGACGCGGATGTACTTTGCTTTTGGCGGTAGCATTGGTCTCGGCTTCTGAGGCATCCTCAGGTTGTGGACGGTCTGTCGCGCCCTGTGCAGAGTCGAGCACCTCCGAGGTTTCTTCAGTCACATTCTCTCCTTCCTCTTGCTCTTCCTGCGCTTGTTGACGCCCTTTCCCGCTGCCGGAGATATTACTCCATCGATCTCTGCACTGCTCGTTGTTGCGCCCATTTATGCACTCCGCGACGTCAACCCAGCTCTTACCCCAAACCGCGACCGCCTCTCGTAGTCGCTCGTCTTCTTCGCGCGTCCATGCTCCCCGCTTGAGCCGCGGATCCAGAGTCCGCAGGTACCGTGCCTGCACGATGGCGGGCGTCGTGGGTGGATCCATGCAGCGCGCCACTGAAATATTGCAAGATATCTGAGATCGTGCTTATATCAACAAGCAAGCAACGCCAGATCTTACCGAGTGCCCAATTGTCTGTACCATAGCGCTTGACCAGGTCTAATAAAAGTGTATCGGCGGCCCGAGTAAAGCGGTAACCTGTCCGAGATGATATGACGTGGCGCATGCAGTCGATAGGTGTTCGCCGTGTCTGTGTGAGTATTAAAAAAACAGACACAGATTCAGCAATGCAATTGGTATACCCCTAGCTCTGTGGACACTTTCACCCAGTCGACGGTGATCCCGGTTGCATGGGTATCTGCGTTGGTCTCACCCCGTCTCGCCGTCCGAGCCGCCTTTCCACCTCTCTTGCGACCCTTCTTGCCTTCATTCTCTCCCCTCTCGCCTTCCTCCGAACGCATCGCCCCCGCCTCTTGCAGAAGCTTGTTGTATATGTCTCTGACGTTCTTGACCTCTTCTGCACTCCATGTATCGTGATTCCACCGCGGGTGTCTGTCACCCAGCCACCGGATTTTGCATTCAATCGCGGTACGTAGCGTTGGGCCTTGACCTTCGGGATCGGCTGAGGATGGAGGAATAGTCCCGGATTTGCTTGAAACCTTGCAAGTAATCATAAGCTTGAGGCGGGGATACAAGGTAAGCATATATACATACATTCTCTGCAACACGTTCCCAATCAATATCTTCCGTGTTCTGCTCGAGAAACGAGGGTGATTGGCGGCTGGAGGAAGCGAGTGCATTTTCTCCTCTAGATGCCACGTCAATAACAAAACGCAGATTTACACGGGGTGGGCTGCGTACTAACCGTTGTTGGGCGGCATAAGCATGCAAACGTTGGTTTTCGGCTCTGACGGCTTCAGCCAACGTCTGCAGTTCCTTCCCTTTCACTGAAAAGAAGACATTCGTCATCCATTGTTCATCGCGCTACTGCCACGGACACGTACTAGGATGGGTTTCAGTGTTGGCGAGGTAACGCTCCCTTCTCAACGCATCCTTGCGAAAAGGCGAGTCCTGATAAGTGGCGCGTATAAGCATCATTGTAAAAACGTAGACATGGCCACTGGAAATAGCACCTCGGACAAAAGAGCGGCTTGTGATAGGATCGAGACGGGCTTCTTGGATCCACCGATGACTACCTGGCCAATGGAGTCGATTTCAGTCGCTTCCTCCTCAAGGTCCGGGGGTTCCGCGGCATCCTATATATTCAAATACATATTCAGCTTCGTCCATAGTTTAATGTCAAAGGTCGACAGATTAACTCACTAGCAATTTATCAACGTGCGCTATCTCCGCCTCGAGCCTCTGGGTGTAGACCTTGATCGCATACTGGTGGTCGGAGTTGGCTTGAAGTACTTGCTGCAACAACGCATGAGGATGTGCGCTATGTCCCCCAGTTGCGGGCTGAGAAAGCATGGGCGATATATTCCAACCAGGACCTTCAGGGCATGGTCATGCCCTCACACGAAGTCCACTGCGCCGGCACGACGCAAAGGAATATGACGCGTGCACCGCCACTCGATCTCCGCGTTCCTTGCTCGCGACGATGGCCAACGCGTCGGCCAAACGAATCGGTATGCATATAATCGTACATGATCGGAAGCCTTGTGTGTTCAACATACAATATTTTAGCCCAACAGAATGAAGCCGCGGTTCGCAACCTGCGCCTGGGGCTGTTCCTGCCGACCCTCCTCTCCTTGCTCTTCCGCCTGCTCTTCCACCGCAAAACCCTTCCCCCTTCGAAGAGTTTGGCATTCGTCTACGTCTTAACAGGCCTACCGACTGCATTTCTTACGCGCTACCTCATCAAGACCGGTACACCTCGACGAGATCCTACTACAGGCACGCTCATCTCCAGCGGCGAGGACCTGGCCAGTCCAGGCGTCACCGAATGGTGTTTTGATGTCCTTTATGTTACCTGTAAGGATATTGGTTGCCCTTGTAACATAACGATCATTCAATAACCAACTCGCTATAGGGGCGTGCCAGGTTGGCAGTGGTCTCTTCGGGGATTGGGTCTGGTGGTTATACCTTGTGGTACGAGACATTTCCTGGGAACGCCCTTTCGCTCATCTCCCGACCCGACGCTCCAGATACCGCTGTATGCCATCTTCAAGGCTGTCAGCACGTTTGCGCCCATGCTTGGCATTAAATTGCCATCTTTTGGGTCGTCCGAGGTACGAACAAACCTGCTAGCAGCCCCCTACCGCTCCGAACATCGGCGTTGACACGCTTCGTCCAGAAACCTGAGCCCGAAACCGTCGAAATGCAGAACGTAAGCAAGCGCCAGCAAAAGCTACAAAAACGTCAGGAACGCGGTGAGTGCATACGTGTGGCCACCCTCACTTGTACTTATACATATGCACAAGGCGATCCCCGTGTAGCTTCCCGTGCTGTAAAACGATGAATGTATTCTGTTTATATGGATCACACAATGTTCGACATCGAACGCTCGATTGTTCCGTGTATCCTCATCTCAGGAAAATGGCGGAATCAAGTGGGTGCGCAACGGGCGCTACGTTTTTCATTTGTGCTGGCCTCCTGCGACCGAATCAGACGAGCAGCGTACAAAGTCGGGAAAACGACATCGAGAACAAACGAACAGACAGGCAGACGAGAATTCAAGAAACTAAGCGACAACAACCGGCGTCGGCGAGTGCTGGCTAACAGGGTTGACGAACCCAGCCGTCGCCTCCGCCACGCGCGCACCAGAAGTCATGACCACCGTCGGCTCCTCGAACTTCCCGAGCAAGCCATCGAACCGGCTCCTCGCGACGCGCACCGCGTGCGGGTCCACGTAGCGATTGTCGCCGTTGTGCAGTTGCTTCGGCGCCGTCCCGTCCGCGAGTCCGAGCTGCTCCGGCGTCCAGATCGGCTGCACCTTGCCCTCGAGGCCCATGCCTACGCCAGCGCGGCCGCCCTCCGCGCGCCACTGCGACGTGCGCTTGATGCCGAGCTGGGTGAAGACGTCGTCGACGGCGTGCACGAGGCGCGTCATCTGCTCGAGAGTGTGCCGGGGGGTGACCGTGAACCGGAGCCGCTCCTCGCCGCGCGCAACGGTGGGGTAGTTGATCGACTGCACGTAGATGTCGTACTTGGCGAGCAGCATGTCCGACGCGGCCTTGGCGAGGGCGGCATCACCGACGAGCACGGGGACGATGTGGGAAGGACCGGGGACGACCGGCAGGTCGAGCGCCTCGAAGCCCTGCTTGACGACCGAGACGTTGAGCTGTTTGAGTTGCCTATCGCCGTTAAACTCCTTCTGGTAGACGACGGAGGAGTGTGCGCCGGCGACGGTGACGGGGGGGAGCGAGGTGGTGAAGATGAAGCCGGGAGCGTAAGACCGAATCATGTCGACGAATTCCGTGGAGCCCGCGATGTAACCGCCAACCGCGCCGTATGCCTTGCCGAGTGTGCCCGTGATGATGTCGACGCGGTCCATGACCGTGCCCTTGATGGGCAGCGGGCTCTGGCCGGCGGCTTTGTGCAGGTCGTAGTCGAGATGTTCCGCGACGCCGGCGCCACGTGGTCCGTAAAGGCCGACGGCGTGCACCTCGTCGAGGAAGGTCAAGGCGCCGTACTTCTCAGCCAGATCGCAAATTTCCGAGATGGGACCGATGCTTCCGCACATGGAGTAGACGCTCTCGAACGCGATGATCTTCGGCGTCTCCTTCGGGTACATCTGGAGCTTCGCTTCGAGGTCTTTCATGTCGTTGTGCTTAAAGATGTGACGTTTGGCGCCAGAGTGACGCATGCCTTGGATCATCGACGCGTGGTTCATCTCGTCGGAGAAGTACACGCAGCCGGGAAGCTTTGAGCCGAGGGTGGCGAGTGTCGCGTCGTTGGCCACGTAGCACGACGAGAACACTAACGCCGCCTCCTTGCGGTGTAAGTTGGCGAGCTCCTGCTCAAGACCAAGATGCCAGGCGGTGTTGCCGGCTATGTTACGGGTACCGCCGGCACCGTGTCCATATTTGTCGAGGGTACGGCTAAGAAGAATCGGATGAGCACACGCTCTGCCACAAAGACAGGAAGTATAAGAAACTCACTGCATGGTCTCAAGGACGACCGGATTGTTGCCCATCCCTAGATAGTCGTTGGCGCACCACACCTCGACCTCATCCTTCAGATTCCCGGTGTGAGCGACGGGGAACTTCTCGGCGAGACGATTGATGTTGTTGAAGTAGCGGTACGAGTTGTCCTTGTGCTTCTTGTCGAGCTCCGCGGCGTAAAAGCCCTCGTAGTTGAAGCCAACCTTGGGCTTGGGCTTAGCGGCAGCGCTCGTGCTCGCCTGAGCGCCACCGGCCGCAGCGTGGAAGGGGCATCCGGCCGCAGCGGCCTTCTTGGCTTCGACGCTCCTCTTCGCAGCGGCGAGGTCCTCGGCCCGGCGGGCAGCAGCGCGGGCAGCGGAGGCGTGCGGGCACATGTCAGGGTTGGCGGCGCCGTGGAGCGGGAGGGCGACGCCCTTCTGCTCGTGGATCTTGACGACTTCCTCTTCGCTGGCAACGCTCGTCCCGGCAACGCTCGCGTAGCCGGCGGCTATCTCGCCCGAGCGCACGGAGAGGGCGGGGCCCATGACGGGGCATTTCGTCGCCTTCTCGGTGAGGCGAGAGAGCGAGTGGTAGCGCGAGGACTGAGTGGTGCACAGGGTGCGGAGGGTGGAGCTGGCAAGTGCAAGCGTCAGCGGCGGACCCAGCTCGAAACGGGAGGGATGCGGATCCCTACGTCTTGGTGCGGCCCAAGAAGGGGCAGGACGACTTGAAGCGGGCAAGGGACGAGAGTTTGTCCATTGTTACGACGAGCGTCGTGGTCAAGGACAGGAATGAGTTGGCAGCAATTCGGAGCTGCTCACGAGGGCAGATCACTTCGGTCGTGACCGGTTTTATAAGCGAGCGGTGGCATCACAACTCCAGTCCCCGTGAAATCACGCCAGTATCATTGGCTGATTCCATCCCCGTCGGCCACTCCTCACGGCCGCGCAGCATTGGCTTTACCCGTCTCAGGAGCCAGTGCAGCTCTCATACTCATGGGTACTCTACCATAGCTCGCGCAGTACTATACGACTCCCGAGTGTCTACTTTCCCAAGGAAGCCAGGCATCCCTCTATCACATCCACCGCAACGTCCACATCTTCCTTTCGCACGATCAGACTAGGCACCAACCGGACAGCATCTTTCCCGGCAATGAGGAGCAGCACGCCCCGCTCCCGAGCCATGGTCACGATCTTCGCGGGTACCGTCTCGTCTTTAAAGGCAAGTCCCAATATAAGGCCTCGACCGCGAATCTGCGGCTGCAAGATGTCCGGGAACCACTTCGGGAGAAGCTCCAGGCGTCCCAATAGGTACGCAGAGGTCTCAGCCAGGTGCGCCACGAATGGACGCTCGCTCAGCCGCGAGAGGACGTGGTACCCAAGCGCGCACGCCAGTGGAGAGCCTCCGAATGTGGTACCATGGGTGCCTGTGCATCGGTAAACCCTGAGTTGCATGTCCTGTGCCTAAAGCTCTGCCACACGGGCAGGTGGGAGAGTACTCACCGGCGGTCATGGTAGCCGCTACGCTGTCTTTCATTAGCACCGCGCCGATGGGATAGCCATTTGCAAGCGGTTTAGCCATAGTCACCACGTCCGGATGGCAGTCCACCGGCAACGTGGAATGCGCCCAGAGGCTGCCTGTCCTGTAGAGTCCGCACTGTAGATCGTGATGGTCAGTTTCAGTCACTGATCCCGAGCTAATTGGAGAACAGGCAATGGGAGAGATGGATGAATGAATGTATGGGAAGCCTTCGGCCGCCAATCTCGGAACGCGACCACGGACGAAGGGCGGCGGCGTACGCATCGCACCAACGCTGCGCGAACGCCGCCTCCATCAGCCAAGCGTCGGTCGATACCGCCCGTCTTGCTGCCGACATGCGCGGAAACCTTTCGACCAGCTCGGAGTCCGCAGACCAGAAAGGAAATCACCCGGTCCAGAATCCCGACTCACCTGTACTTCATCATAGATCAACACCGCGCCGACCTCGTCGCACTTTTTCCTCAGCGCGCGTAACCACGCCTCCTCGGCGGCGGTGCATCCGCCTTCGCCCTGCACAGGCTCCACGATCACCGCGCACGTCCGCTCGCTAAACAACCCATTCTCGAGGTCCTCCGTCGAGTTCAGCCGTGCGACGCGAACGCCGGGCAACAGCGGCGCGAACGGTTTCTGGTACTTCGGATTCGGCGTGACGCTCAGCGCGCCCATGCTGCGCCCGTGAAACGCGTTCTCGAAGCACACGATCTCGATCTTGTCGCACGCCTCGACGTCGTCCGCGCTCCTGCCTGGCGCCGCGGCCGCCCACCGGTCCTTGCCCACCTTGCGCGCGATCTTCAGCGCGCCCTCGTTCGCCTCCGTGCCCGAGTTGGAGAAGAATACTTTCGCGCCGGCGTCGGATGGGCTGCTGCCCGGCTTGTACCCCAGCCCGCCTTCCTGCTGCGTGAGCGTGACGAGCAGCTCGGCGAGCTGGCCCGCGTATTTGTTGTGGAACACGTTGGACGAGTGCGAGAGTTCCTCGGCGGTCTCGGCCAGGACCTGCGAAGCAATGCTCCTTGTAAAACAATTCGCACCTCTACGGACGGCGTGACACGCACTTTGATAAACCCACTGTCCGCGTGCCCGAGAGCGTTGACGGCAATTCCGGCGCTGAAGTCCAGGTACGCCCTCTTCTCCGTGTCCCATACGTACATGCCCTGGCCAAAGTCGAGCACGAGAGAAGGTCGGGCGTAGACCGGAAGCAAATATTTGTCCGCACGCTTCAACACGGTCTCTAGCTGTGGATCTTGCGAGGAAGAGGCTTCCAAGGCAGACGGGAAGGTGTAGTTTGGGTGTATGTACTTGGTCGACGGAGACGTGGGCAAAGTAGGGACAGGTCGCGGGTCGGACTACTTGCGTATTGTCAGGGATAAGTGTTCGCGTAGAGCGTTGGCGAAGATGCATACCTCCGATGCGAACTTTGCCCCGTTCGATGTCCATCGCAACTGCGTGCGAGGACGTTTCAAAGCCCTAGCAGCGACAGTCGTTCCCCTTCGCAAGCGTGGTCCTTGCTTCAGCAGCGACATGGTGTCTACGGCGTGAGGCGACTCGGATACTACCTAGTCTTTTATCCAAGAGCGGCAAGCTGTAGATAACAGCCAGGCAATAGCAGCAAGACGGACGGAGTGTTCTCCCGAGTCATGTCGGGCAGAAATTGTGCAGCAGAGGGACGCGCGCTCACGTGTACCGAAGACGCGCCAATATGGCGGACGGCTGTTCCGATATAACCGACCGCGGTAGGAACGCGAACTCTCGAGGTTACAGCATACAGCAGCGCAAAGAGAGCACCCGCGCGATGATTGGCGCGGAAACAAATACGGGGATAGACACAACCTCTATGGCTATAGGTCATGTCCGAGGCGAGGCTTCCAATGCAGCTAATAACGCTTCTGTTCGCAGTTTCTTGACGCTTGCATGACTTACTACCTGGGTCACAGCTACATCACCAGTAGCATCCTCGGCAGGAGGAGCGTCAACTGCTGGTGGTGCAACGGGTTCTCCCGCCGCTGCCTCCTTACAGGCTTTGATCAAGTTCTGTATAGCGATGGATCAGGATTGTCACCTATAAAGAAACGGCAATGCGATGTACCTCTCGACTACCGCCTTGGACACCGCTTAGATAGCGTGTCGCAAGGGTCAGATACTTTTCCGGTATCTGTAAGCAACGTTATTCATGAATACATGAGTGCACGAGTTTCGCAATACTACTGACCGCTGTTTCTGACCATACGTTGCGGATAATCCAGTTCTGTTTCGCCTTGTTGAACTTCCATGACGTAGGATCGGCGAACTGCATATATGCGTAATGTAACGCTACACATAAATCCGTATCAGAACGTCAAAGCGTCTTGAGAGTCCGATAAACGTACCTTTGGACGCGCCGTCGGATAAGGTTACATCTGCGGATGGGTCTGGGAGATCAGTCTTTCTCCGCTTTGATTTCTTCGACTTGTGAACGCCTTCTTCCTGCTCGGCGTTCTCTTCCGCTTTGCGTTTCTTCTTTTTCTTCTTGGACATTTCCTCCGTCACGGGAGCGTCCTCGCCCCCATTGACCTCCAAGCTCGGCTTTGCTTTGTCCTTCGATTTCTTCTTAATTGGCTTGCCGACCTTCCCCACCGTTGCAGTCTCCCCCGACGGACGCTCCGCCTCATCTGCAGTTTTATTGCCATTTTCATCCAACGTTTCCTCGTCCTTCGACCTCTTTCCCCCTTTCTTCGGACTCGTGTCCTCCACATTTATGTCTGCGGCATCCACAGGGTTCTTGTGTTTGGATTTGCGCTTCTTCTTCTGCTCTTTAGCCTCGCCCGCGGGTTGCGCTTCCACTGACGGACCGGCTACGGCGTCCGGCTCGGAGTGCTTTCGTTTTCGTTTCTCCTTCTTCTCGCTCTCTACAGCTTGCTCTGGGACCACACTGCCCTCTTCTGCGCTAACGTCCGCCTTTTCAGACCGTTTCTTCTTATCCTTCTTCTCTTTCCGTTTCACGGTATCCTTCCGCTCGTCCACCCCATGCGCATTCTCGCCAACATCCGCCGGAGCCTCCACCACACCCTTCTCTTTCTCCTTTCGAGACTTTCGTCGTTTGGAACCGTCGTTGGTAGCGCTGGTCTCTTCATGGCTTTCCGTCACAACCGCCACATCCTTGCCAGATTTCTTGGATTTCTTTTTTACCAGTTTTTCCGCGGCTGGCTCCTTGGCAGTGATAGACATTTCTCCTGAGTCCTGAGATCGGACGCGTGCAAGCACGCGGTTTTGCGAAGCCAGACGACCTTTCGCAAGCAGATGTGAGAAGGAAAAGGCTATTTTAGCGCCCGTGTAGGCCCGGTCATCAAGCTGACCGGGGACCGGCGCCTCTCGTTCCTGACCAATCCTCGGACCTCGGTGGTGCCCTCCATTTAGACACCGTGCGCGACGTTTCACCTCTGGCGGTTCTCGACGTTCAGTCTCGGGATAGCTTTCCCTCTCCACCTCTCTCCATATTATAGCTTGACTGGGGTACCAACTTACGCTTGTGGACCTTCTCCCCTCTGACCTGGTGCCATGGGTTTGTCGATATCGTCGCTGTTCACGTCCTTGTCGTCCCTCGTGCGGTGGAGTAAGGACCAGGATGTGAGGATATTGATGCTGGGGTTGGACTCTGCTGGCAAGGTACGTGTATCCCAACGCGGACACTCAACGTCCTCTCCGACGTGTTCGCGTACGCTAACGTCGAGGCGCCAGACCACAATCCTGTATAGGCTACAGGCAAGTCATAAGCAGGCGCCTGTCTTTCCTACGCTGACAACGCTGCTATGAAGATCGGAGAAGTCGTCTCCACGATACCTAGTACGTGTATGCTACGTTGCATTGCCTCACGGAAACTGAAACATCCGGTTAGCCATTGGTTTCAATGTAGAGACTGTCCAATACAAGAACATCAAATTCCAGGTTTGGGATCTCGGCGGTCAATCCAGTATACGGTGCGCGCCGCGCTCTCGTGCCATACTACCGTCGCTCCGGCGCTCAATCATGACACGACCTGTGTGTTTAGGCCGTACTGGAGGTGCTACTTCCCGAACACGTCCGCCATCATCTACGTGATCGACTCCTCGGACCACGCCCGGCTGGCGACGTCCCGGACGGAGCTTCTCACCATGCTCAGCGAAGAAGAGCTGAACGGTGTTCCCCTGCTCGTCTTCTGCAACAAGCAGGACGTCGACGGCGCGCTGAAGCCGGCGGAGATCAGCGAGCAGCTCGGCCTCGCAGGCGGAGAGCGCCAGCGGGAGTGGAGCGTCCGGGGCAGTTGCGCGACCAAGGGCGAGGGACTAGAGGAAGGATTAGACTGGTAAGCATAAAGTCTTCTGGAGATCCGGGCTCGGCGAGAGGGCTGTGGTCTTAACAGCTGCGCTGATCCTTGATGCCCCGGATCCTTAACGCAGCATGCTGATCCACTGCTCTCCGTAGGCTGGTGAACGCCATCCAGAAAAAGTAGACGGCATCGTGTGGTAGTCCGTACGTCAACTTCTCCGTTGCTCATCTCGCTTTCCACTGGGACACTTCGAGTACACTTGGACATACCCTACTCTGCACATTCTTATACCTTATGGATCGCGCTGTTTGTCCCGCGACGTAAATAATCACGTTTTTGGCTTGATTTCATCTCATCGCAAGCCCCTTGGCTGGATCTGGCTGCTGTAGCAACGGCGAACGCGCTCGTGAGAGGCGGTCCTGTGGTTCCTGATCTGGGCGGAATGCGTCCGCTCGTATGAATCGCCGCCAAGCTATTTTCGTTTCTCTGGTCCGGTCTCTCTTCCACCACACCCTCCCTTCTCCTTCGTTCTGGTGAACGTTGACGGCTGAGCCGGATTCCCCCACTGCCATTCGTTTATTTTTCTCGCTGGTCGATCTTCCAAACCGCGCTGCCCGTAGCACTGGTTCATTGCTCGCTTACGTAACCCCACCGACCGTCAAAACATGCGCAAATCCGCCGCTTTCTTCGCTCTGCTCCTGGCAGCGAGCACCGTAGCAGCGCCGACGCGATTCACTCCTCGTACGCAACATACGTCGCACAAAATGGCACTTCTGGCAATGGGACGGCTGACTATTATCTCATATCAGGTGCTAACTTGGGATGTGCTGCCCAGGATGATGAAGGAGGCACGCTCACGAAGACGGGGCAGGATGGGGAGGACGTAACATGCCAATACACCAAGGCGGGCGAATGCTCCTACTTTGGCGAGAACGGGACATTTAGCTCGGGCGCGAGCACCTGCCCGAACGCGATGGTGGATGCAGGAAGCAGCGGTGCAGCCCAGACGACCCAGGCGCCTCCCCCGCCCCCCAAGACGACCCAGGCGCCGCCTCCACCAGCCGCCACGAAGGCCAGCACGAGCTCAGGATCGGGGTCGGGATCGAACGGATTCGCCTGCGCGCCTCAGGACGATGAAGGCGGTCAGCTCACGAGCCAGAGCGACGGCGGGGAGGAGGAGATCACCTGCGAGTACTCCAAGGCTGGCGAGTGCGTGTTCTTCGGCGGGAACGGGACGTTCAGCTCGGGCGCCAGCACTTGCCCGAATGCCATGGTCCCTGCTGGGAGCTCTGGCACGACCACCACGTCGACCCCCCCACCTCCCCCTGCTACCACGAGCACGCCCCCGCCGCCTCCCAAGACGACCAGCACCCCCCCACCGCCTCCCACCACGAGCTCTACGAGCACAACCAGCAGCAGCTCCATCGCTGTCGTCACCGTCACTTCGACTTCGACGTCCAGCTCCAGCTCATCGAGCTCTGTCGATCCTACGACGCTCAGCGTGCCGCCGCCTACAACATCAGAGGCACCCGTTGAGCCGACCACATCGATTGCAACAGGAGTCAGCGTCGGTGGCACGAGCAGCGCCGCTGCGCCGGCATCCACGACCGACTCTACGACCTCCGGCGCACTCGCGTCGACGCTCGGCAGGATGTCGAGCACCGGCGTCATCGGTGCCGTTGTCCTCGCCTCCTGGCTCTTGCTCTAGACGTGCTCCGATCGCACGTTCTCTAGATCGCTCAAGAAGGCGTGGATGTCAATGCCAGTGTCATATAGCATCATGGTTGGGGTTTCGAGGGAACGGACTCAAACGGACTTACAGCAGCGTTGGACTTTCACCGGCAATATCGATACTTGTTCGCAATTTATCGATAGATCATTCTTGTTTCGTACAGTCGATTCTGTACTTGCATTGCACCCTTTGCAACATTGTTCACTGTTCACTCATCGTACGGCACAAGGTTCTGGGCTTTCCGTCGGTACGTCCGTGGCTGTGCCTTCCTTACTGGTTTGCCCGATGCGCTCCCGTGCCGATGGCTCTTCACCCGGGTCGCCACCAGCACCACCACCCGTTTCTTGAAGAAAATACCCCAAGATGAACACAAGCAAGAGGAAAGATATTGACGAGGCCTACGCCTTACAATCTCGGGCCGCCGTCGTTGTGCGTCGCTCTAACACCAGTGACATTTACCTAAGCCGATCCGAGGTCTGACGCGGGAAGTGCATTTAGGGCGGGGCACGATACCTGTTCCTCGGTCTTGGACTAGCGACACTCGGCCATTACACTTGGCCCGCATTCAGGTGCGCAGAGGGCAACGTTCCCCGAGTTCCAGTAGCTGATCATTCTGTGTGAAGGCGACAAACGCTCGCGCTCAAGGGGTTCCTCGTAACAGGATGTCCGTATATGCTACCTCCTCAAGCTTCAGCCTCCCGCTAAAGCTTCGTCATACATACAGGCGCTATCTTTGGTATGGTCATGGAGCAAGAAAGTACGTCAGCCTCCTACCAAATCGACCTCCTCACACCTGACAGCGCTCCGGCAGCCGCCTTGCTAGCATATGAGAGCCATCGAAGAAAAGAGGAATCCGAGATCAGGAGAGCCGCGCGCATCGACTTAGGTTCGCCCTCTCATTCAATACCGCTTACTCGTGTCACATCCTTTTGTCTGACCACGCTCGCTTTCGCCAGGTCGACGCGGTATCGTCCCGACCGAAACCGCCATAGCAAAATGGAAGGCGGATCGGGAAGCAGCAGTAGCTGCTGCTGCCTCTGCTGCATCAGACGACAGCACTACGTCCTCATGAGAGCCGCCACTACCCGCCCCCACCTAGATGATTACCACACCACTTTCTGTATACGTTCCCGACTTATGTCCAACAAGGAGTAATCATCATATTGGTTGTTCATTGCGCTAGTACTTGGGCTATATATATAACTTGTGGCGTGATCTGCAAGATAGCAAGGGACAGACAGATTGCGGGGCGAGTAGGTGGTACGTAAGTAATGTCCGTGTGACGATATAGGAATGCTGCTGCTGTACGACGCGATGCGAGAGAGAGAGAACAAGCGGGATCCACGATCCCGCACACGCACAGAAAACACCGATCTTACAGTACCTTCGCATCGCGTCTCAATATAATGTCGGGAGAGCGCGATCGCTCGATGCTCAATAACCCCCGTGCATCGCCTGCGGCGGCGGACCGGGCGGCACGAACTGCTGGCCCATCCCGTTCGGAGGCGTATAGAACGACTGGCTTGACGGCGGCGCCGGGGGCTGCGGCAGCGGCGGGGGCGGACCGGGGTAAGCCACCGGCAGCTGCGGCAGGCTCGGCCGTCCAGATTGCTGCTGGATGGGTGGCGGCGGAGGCGGAGGCAGCGGGTGCTGCGGATTCTCGACGAGCTTCGGGACGCTGCCCGAACTCGCGAGCGGGGGCGGAGGCGGTACGGCCGGCAGGGAGCTCTGCGACGCTGACGCCCCGAGAGGCGGCGGCGGCGGGACGTAGATGGGCTGGCCGGGAATGGTGCTCGTGCTGGGCGGAATGGGTAAGGACGACTGCCGATGAACCGGCTGCTGCTGCTGCTGCTGGAACCCTGAAGATTGCAGTGCCTGAGGTTGAGGCGGCAACGGCCGCGAGCCGCTCGAGCTCGAGCTCGATGGCTGGTCTCGAGGCGGCGACGGCGGCGGTGGGACCTGCTGGGGCTGGTACGCATGCTGAAGCGGTGACTGGGGTGGCGCGTAGCCCTGCTGGCCCGGTGGCTGCGGGAGCGGCACAGAGTGGGGTTGTGGCGGCACCGACCCCGGCGGCTGGGGCGGGATGTACGACTGTTGCGGAGGCGGGGGCGCGGACGCGGGCGGGGCGTACGACGGTTGCGGCGTGGCGGGTGGCTGTGGCGCGTACCCTCCGTACTGCTGCGGGAAGGAGGAGGAGGGCGCGAGTGGCATCGGGACGAAGCCGGACGGGACGGGCGTCGGTGCACCGTAAGGGGCATACGGACCGGGAGTCGGCGTCGGCGCAGGGGCGAAATCGGGGTGGGGCGAGTAGGACGGCATAGGCGCAAAGCCGGACGGCGCGGGCGTCGCGGAGGGGAGCGGCATGAAGCCGGACGGCGCGGTGGGTAGGCTGTGGCGCGGGCCATGACCGTGATGTGACGGGGAGGGCGTCGACGAGTAGCCTTGGGGGGGAGGAGTGGAGTCGTACGGCTGCGGGTGATAGTCGTAAAGGTGCGAGGCACCGGTGTAGGGGTTCGGCGGGGCACCGTACGGGTCGGGTTGCTGCCAAGCGGACCAACTAGATGCGGTCGGTTCGGGGGGCGCGTCGGAGCGCCAGGTCGACCAGCTGTTGCTTGCGGGAGGGATGTCGGTGAAGGAACTTGAGGGGTAAGGATGGGCTGGAGGTGGATATGTTGCGCCTGAGTAGCGCGTTGCGGAAGACGCCCGTCTATTGTGAGGGTCCTAATGGGTTGCGGGGTCAGGAAATCACGATGCACACTAGGGAGACGGCCATACTGGATACGTTTCTCTTCGCTGATACGGATCGCCGACAGCGAGAGCGCCGAAGTCGTCCACAATCTGGTCCACGGGCGAGCTCCGGCGCTGCCGCGCGGTGTTCTGGTCGTAGGGCGCGACGTACAGGTCCGAGCTGGAGGACGCCAAGGATCCGGACAAGGACTCCCGGCGATCATCCGAGACGAGACTGCCAGACGAACCATTGTGGCCACCTGGTCCGCCGGTGAGCGATCCCGACAGTTCAGTGAACATTCCTGGGCCGCCGTATTGTTTGCTCGTCTTTTTCGACTTTGGCTTCTTCTTTTCAGGCGCGGGTTCCTAGTACATGCGTGGGTATCCGTGCTCGAACAGCTAGTATGCAGGAGTGGTAACTCACATTCGACCAAAAAGTGAGTTCGAGGTAAACCTCGCCGCAGTATCGTTCCTTGTTCGTCAAGGTGAACCATTCTGATGCGCGCCTATTTCAGCAACCATCGACTGAAACTACCAGTCCCGCATTCAGAGTATTGCTCACCATCGGTCTCGCCTTTCGTCAAGACCTCGGTCAAGTCGACAACGCACTCCCCGATCAGGTCAGGTTCGCGCGGATCGTCCGCGAAGCAAAATAAGCGCATTGCTTTTCCGCCCTTGATCTTGCGCTCGCCCTTGGCAGCATCATTCTCCTTAGGTGGCGGGGGTGGCGGCGCGGCATCGCTGTCCGCGTCGAGACGCGCGAGCTGGTCCTCGGCGTCTTCGAAGAGGGTGAATCGGACCTCCTCGTCCCACTCGGGGTGCTGCCCGCCGCGGCGGATCGCCTTCGTGCGCCGCTTCTCGCCGTTGTACGAGACGGCGCAGTACGGGTCCTGCTTGCCGATGTGCCGCTTGTTGGGCAGATTGCGCTAGACGGCGCTACGTCAGACGCGTCGTGAGCTGGGGGGAGACGGATGTGTGCGCACGGCTTTGAGGATGACGACGATGAGCGTCCCGATCTCGCGCGGTGTCCAGGACATCGTGCGTCGGGGATGCGGGCAACGTGTTTCAGCGGAGGCTCGGGGCAAGGCGCGGGCTCAGGCTGAGTATGTCGCACTTCGAACGCGCCCCGACTTTGTGGGGCAGTTCGCTCAAAGCAGACGCAATGGCTGTGCCCACGCTCAATGCTGCGGCGTGCCCCCATCACAGTGCCTGCGCTGGGCACCCATCTCCGTTATTGCAGTCGCCTGCGCATTTGCCGCAGCGTTCGACAGTTCGGACAAGCGGACTGTGCAGTCAATATCAGAGAAAGATGTTACGTTTCGTGCAGCATCTACATATTTTTCACAGCACCGTTGGCATGATTCTCCGATCCATGGGGAGTACCCATGCGGGCTTTCTCGTGCTTTTCCTCTCAGACCAGTTGGGATGCCCACTCGGCGGGGATCAAATTACATAGACATATCATACGGCGTCTGGGAGACCACGGGCAATGCCAGTGACGTTAGCGACTACAGTATTGCGGAAGCTGATTGAACTCAAGGGTGGAGGCTTGCAGAAGAACTGACGCATGGCACAGAGGCTGATTTCCGTAGCAAAGAAGCAAGAGAGAGAGATCGGTCCCATAGTTAAACGTCGGCCCAGCCTCCTTCGTCGAGTTTGTACGAAGCCTCGCTCTCCGGTCGATCCGGGCTGTCCACGAGTTTCGCAACACGTTCCTCGGCGCGTCCTGCGCACGGAACCAGGCAGAAATGTCATAGGAGCAAGCAAGGAACAGGTTAGTTATGGGCGCCGACAAGCTCGCTGTGGTCATCCTGCAGATCCTCTGTACTCGCCTTTGCGGAGGAACATCCTTGTCGCGGAGGCATGCGACAGAATATGGCCGCCGATGGGCTTGAGTGCTCCGCCGGCGACGAAGGTCATCGTCGCACCAGGGTCAGCTGTTGGTATATGCGATGTCGAGCAGGTGGTGCATGGTCAAGAATCCCACGTACATTGTACTTGATTCGTGATGAGGATCGCAATCTGAAAGCAGCATCAACCTCAGAGAAACCACAGAGCTCAAATAGATTGCGGAGACAAACATTGTATTCCTCCGAGAGCTTGGTGAGCTTCGAAAGCATTTGGGCAAGCTTATGATATCGATGAGCGTTCGCTGAACGTTTGCAACGAATCGCACTGTCACCTTCTGCTGCCTCTCGCTTAACTCTCCTCGACCGGAAAAGTCAGTCCTGAAAAGCGCCATGATGCTATCCACAATCTACGACGACCCTCAGCACCTCGACGAAAGCAAAAGCAAGAAGAACATGCCAACAGTCGGAAGTCCTTATCTTCCGCAAACCGCATCGAGCATTCGTTTATGAGTTCCATCTGCGAGTTCGGCGTTAGCACTCGTAACGTTCCCCGATCCCATGCATTTTCATACTTGGTGTTCGCTGTTAAAAGCTCGAGCTGTATGGCCAATCTTAATTCTCAGAAGGTGCATGATTGAGCAATACTGACCGTAGAGTATGTTTTCCAAGGCCATGTCGCCGTTCACACCGAACCTGTCCGCAATGGATCGGATACGATCGGGGCGGAATGTACCTGATCGTTTCCGTTAATGTTGTTTATTTTCGCGTTAGTAATAGTAATGCAAAGTACCCTCGGTGTCAATATATGCAACCTATGGGATAACATGAGCTCATGGTATTTGACCTTCTCAAAGGGCTAAACCTTTCCGCTAGCTCCTCCCATGTCACGAGGAAGCTGCGTAACCACACTCATAGTATGCGCTAGTTGGGTCTTGCCTGTCCGGAACTCGCCATAAACTAGGACAACGTCAGGATCATGCATATATGCGCGTGGGCGCCTGAACACGCGCCTTCCGTGATGGATTGCGATGAAACGCCGCCTAATAGGCGCCGACATATCAATCGTGGGCGATGTAGGCAGCGACGCAGACAGAACAGCGTACCACCGAGGATAGCATCTACGCTTTTGCTTCCGGTGCTGATCTCAAGAACCCGTTTGCGCTTGTCTTGGATCTCAAGGCCCGTGGCGAAAGACGATCCCTGTAAAGACATGAAACGATCCACCTTCAGAACCTTCCGGATCCCTACCAGAATTTTGTGCGCAGCTTCCTATGGGTCAGTGTGGCGAGTGTTGGGAAAGATGTCACGGAGATATATGCTTATAACATACCTTGATTTTCTCCACTTTAGCTTCGGACATGCCCTGAGGCAATAGTTCAGCACATATATGCTATACAAATCATCCAACTAGGGTAGATATATCACCTTGATCTTCAGCATTTGCCTCCGGGTAGTCATACTAACACCAGACACGGTATGAATAGCGCTCGCTTTGAGTTTGAGGATGTCTTGCACGTTGATGCCCTGGTTGTGGTCAGCGCATATATTGACCTGAAATAATGGCCGCACCCACATGCTGCTGCAGTTCATCGATGCTGTCAAATGCGGGGATCTAGTCAATTGTAAACATGATTTCAGGTTAATCGATCGGCCATAAGGCGCATACATCCTCGAGTTCATCTGGTGAAGGGCTCGCTGGGCGAGAGGGAGGCGCAGCCGAGGCCCGGGATGCAGCTCGAGGCATATAATCTGATCGTCGCGCACGTAAAGTTGGTCGAGCTCAAACAACGAGCGAAATGGTCGGCAAAGCTGGAAGCTAAGATGATTTACGCGCCCTGCGCGTCGCGCTATTTCAAGCGTCTCCGCGGTCACCTGATACTTGGGCACCCTCATTGAACCCATCCGCGTATTGTAGCAACTGGCAGAATCAATACGAGAGCATGGCTTGCATTTGAGAGAGGTAATCTGCACACGAAACGTAAATATCGGTCGCTGAAGAGGGCCATAATGACGTCGTCTATCCGCCGGGGACGTAGGGTTCGCTGGTCTTGAAGATGAGGCCCGGCTTGCGTTTCGCGAGGTCGAGCATCATCTCCGCGAAGTAGCTGTTTGCCCACGCGAACCAGGGGCGTGTCCAGTCGTTCGCCTTGTAGATGGACTGCGACTCATGGATGAGTCCCAGTCCGTCTGTGTTCTAAGAAAAGGTACAAGTATGAGCATCAGAGCCGACGGATCGGGAGTGACATGGACGTACCTTCGCGATGAGGTAGAGTCGCTCCGTAATCTCGTCGTCGTCGTCGGTGCCGAATATCGCGGATATCTGTGACATCGGCCACGGATGCCAGGGGTCGACGTGCGGTCCTCTAAAGATCACGATGGTGACCACAATCAGAATGAACACCGGCTCGCGAAAAAAGGTAGCGCACCCGACACCACTGAAGTTGGCACCTGCCGCAAAGTATGGGTTGTTCCGAGAAAGTACGACTTTGCGTGTCGCGACATAAGCCGGGTGCGTCTTATCGAGGAAGCCCAGGTACGGCAGCGAGAGCAAGGAGGGCACGTTAGCGTCGTCCATCACATACCGACTCCCCAGGCCGTTCGTCTCGTATGCGAAAATGTTGTTCACAACCTGTCGAGCCCGCTTGTTTATCAGCATCTCGGTCAGAAGCAAGGTCAGAACGCAGTCACGAACAGTAGTATTCCAAATCGCGTCCCGCACCCGCGCGCTCACCGCTCGCGCCTCCTTGACCGCCGCAGCGTTCCCGCCCACGGCCTGCAATACGTCCGCCACGTGCCCCATCTCGACGCTCAACATCGCGTTCGCCGGCGTTAGGAACGCGAACACGCTCAGGTCGTCGCTTGGTCGGTGGTGCGTGCCCACGAGCCCGGAGTAGCCTTTCGGCTCGCCGTTTCCCCCGTTCGGGACGGCGGGCGAGAGCGCGCCGTTGCCGCCCGTCCAGTTGTAGTAAGAGATCCAGTTGAAGTCGGCGTCGAAGGATGCCTGGGATTGGTTCGCGACGACCTGGAAGATCTGTGCAAGCGCCGCGTGCCCTGGACAAAGCAGAAGTGAGTCGAAAGGCGAAAGGGTGAGGCACGAGTGGCGCACAATTGTCGTTCATGAACGACGAATCGTTCGTGTTTTGGTAGTACGACCTCGAGAGCTTGAGGAACCCACAAAGGGAGTCGATCTCGTACTAAAGAGCGCCGAGATAATCTGTTAATGTTCCTCGGACTGAGAAGAAGCGGGACCGCGCGCACCTTGCATTCAAACACCGTCTGATTGTCAACGGGCGGGTTGACGGTGACGCCAGTCGCCCAGTCGTTGACGGACGGAGCAAGCCCACTCTCGGGCGGTGGCTGGAATGCGCCGCAATACGGGTACTGCGAAACATAGCGCGCCTCGTTATTGATCACCGCCTTGACGAGGGTCTTGAGTTCGGAGTCCTGTCCGAGGAGGGGGTAGTAGGCCGCGAACTGGTTGGCGGTGTCGCGAAGCCATTGCGCCCTTGAAAAGCGTGACTCAGCATCCTCACCGCTGAGAATGACGCAACCTACGTGATATCCTGCGATATATAGCATCAGATGAAGTCCAGTTCTAGATGTCATTTGCAAGGACTCACCCCAGTGATGATGAACGCCAAGTTCTCTGTCTGATCACAAATGTAAGCAGGGATGCCCGCTGGGCACAGCATAAACACGATCACAGACCGAGTTAAAGTACTTGACAGTGGTATCTACCACAGACGTTTGAGCAAACTACATTGATGGCATATAACGAAGCTCACCGAGCGTATTTGGAAACGCGTTTTCGAAGAGACGGGCCAAATCTGGGTCCTACCGTGATGTTAGGTGACGTCCATAGCACAAATCTAATGACTACCTTGATCCTTGTTGTCATGTCGCTGATCACTTTCTGTGCGTATGTAATAAGCAATCGTCTAGTGTCAAAGGAGGCAACTACAAGTACCTCGACTGCAGACGAGTTGAACGTCCGACAAGCCGGAGCCGGACGCATAAAGGGCAATGCGAGCGGCCCAGTAGACGCGTTACCCTGCGGGCTCTATGGTTTCTCGATGAGCATTATCGAGATGGATGCAAAGAACATATACTCGTACCCCAGCAAAGGTTGTATAATCTGGGCATTGTGCCTGCACGCTCGCGCCTACAAACGCAGCGACCGCAAACGTGCCCAAGCCAAGTTTCGGTTTCATCGTGTTTACGACAGTTCCAAGCAGAGATGCGGGGTCAAATACAGTCTTGGTCACCGATAGATACAGCGATAACCAGTTATACGTCCCGTCCGCGAATCCGTCGGGACGCGCGAACCCCTGCACGGTGCGTTTTATAGACTCGAGCATAGACATCGTGATAGAACCTCGGGTCAGCCTGTGGTCATACACTGTCACGCGGTACGAGCGTCATGCGTTGCGGCGGGCTCATGACCGCGACCACGACTCGCGAAGACGGAAGACGGTGAACGAAGCTCGGGCATCGGCCAGGTCGGGCGCGGGATTGACTTGCCTCTTCCGGAGTTGTGCACAGCTTGAGACTCCGTGCTTGATCTGCTTGTTGTTCTTTTTTTTNTTTTTTTTTTGGTTTGGAGCTCCCGTCCGGGCAGCGTGACAATGTCAGCCCCCGGGGGGATTGCTAGAGTTAATGTTGAGGGCCATAGGTAAACCATAAGTAGACATATTGTTCACACCAGCGCGGAAATGCGTTATTCGCACAGAGTGTGAGGCTCCCGGCCTAAGGAGGTGCATTCTCCTCTGGGGGAAGGGGCCGGATACTCACTAAAACCGCGTCGTCTCGGATCCAGTCGGCCTTAAGGCCCTCACGTGCCAGGAGGCACTTATCCCAGGTTTTCAGAACGAGATTCTTCGACACTGCTTTCTTCCCGTATCGGATCTTGTTCGTTAATGTCTGATCGATGTGCAGTCTGTGGTTGAGTCTGGCGACCCATCTGTTATGGATCTCTCGCTCTGAATGTCGTTTTCTGGGGTCATCCTCTCGCTGGATCCGTCGCTCACAACGGATGACCCATATCAGGTACGAGGAGGTCGACATTAGTATTCTATAGAATCGGCTGGTCGCTCCACCGGGGTCGCTTGGGAGGTTTGCTACGAAGCTCGCGAGTATAGTGTCAAAGGAGGTACCCGGCCATGGTATGGTGGTCTTCGTTTCCCATATGGTCCTAGCAAGATTCCAGATTATCGCGGATCCGTTTCCGGGACAGTCCTTGAGTGTGTGCTCCATTGTCTCAATCTTGTTGCATAGCTTGCACTCAGCTCTATCTTCGTAGTTGGGGATTTTGCTCCAGAACTCGCCTATGCGGTGGGCGTTATGTAGGGTCTTGAAGAGGAAAGCCCTTTCGCCGCGTAGGAGGTCGGGGCTGCGCGACGCTTTCCAGATTTGTGCGTCGGTTATGTGCTTTCTGCCTAGTCGATCGCCGACTGCTTTGATTTTTGATAGGTTCGCTTCTGTCGCCCTACGGCCTGGGTGTTTCCGCGATTCCATAAGTTTCCGATATAGCTGCTTCTGGGATAGAGCAGTCAGTTTTGCGCCTCTAAGGGCAAAGTCGTTCGGCACCTCGGGGTAGGGGGTTGTGGACGGGAGGTCAAGGGCGTGGTTTGCGAGACGTTTCGCTTGGTGGGAGTGCGGGTTCGTGCCGCTGAGTGGGCTATCGACTAGGCAAGTCCATCCCTCTCTTTTACGGAGGTTCGCGATTGCGGATCTCTTAATATCCGCATCGCTGTCGCCCAGCCAGTCTAGGTCTTCGTTCTTCTTGAGGTTGATTGTTAGGTCTTTGACCACTCTTTCGCTGGGGATGCGTATCAGTAGTGGGGCTGAACCAGGGAGGATTTCTGCCGCTCGCGCTATTGCCGCAAAGATTCCTGCGGTGAAGTCGCTCCTACTACTTGGTTCGATGCGTATGCTTTCGTTTCGGGGGTCGTTCGGTCCTACCCAGAGTCCCCCGCCCAGTTTGGTTTCTTGGTTAGGTTTTGCGCGTTTCGCTCCGGCTACGGATATGACTAGGGGTCTGGTGTCTGTGCTGGTCCGGAGGTGGGTCGCCGGAGTTCGGTTTCTCCTTCCTTTGGCGAAAATTCGGAAAGCCTCTCCTAGCGGGCCGTGGACGGTTGCATCTTTGTCAAACGGGGTGATATGTCCCCGTTCGTTTCTTGGGATCATGTCATCGAATAAGTGGACCGATGGGTGGTTCTGGCCGTGTCGGGTTGGTGAGTTTGGTTTCCATCTTTCGTCCAGGCTGTTGAGTTGGCGTGAGCACGTTTTTAGGCATTCGGACGGGTTGCGGCACCCGTTTGCTCTTGCGTTTTCGCAGGAGCCGCATGTGCATCGGCTATTCGGTAAGTGCGCTAGGGACCAGTCTTCTATCAGGTCCTCGGCGTTACCGATCGTCGTGATTTGGTGTCTGCTCCTCAGACACTTTGCCCTGTGTGAGTTTTGGGTTTTCGCCGCACCGGCTTCGGCTTCGGGGTGGAGCCAGAGGGGGTGGTCGTTTATGACCTCCTCCCCAAAGGTGATGCCCTCTATGCGTACGTCGTGTTTGATAGCGATGTTGATCATGTCCTTTAGTTCTTTCGGTAGGCTTCCTCCCCTGAGTTTCGGTTTCCAGGTTTGCAGGAGGCAATTGAAGAGTGCGGTTGGGTCTTGTCTGGCTGAGGACTTTGGGAGATTTCGTCTTATTAGTTCGTCGGCAATGAAGGCCCATTTCGGGCGTTTGGGGCCAAGATTTAGGTACGTTTGTAGCCATGTTATAGTTATGGCTTCATTTCTTTCTGGCAGGCATAGGACTTTCTTCCCTCCGTTAAGGATGGGTTCCGCCATCGTGTCCTTGTTTATTGGGGGTATGCTGCTTCCGTTCCACATGAAGGTTTGTATCCTTCTGCTGAGTAGTTTTTCGACGTGTTTGGGCATACTCTGAACTTTCGTTAGGTATTGGGTCATGCCCCCGATGATCATTTGAATAATAAGTCGGCGCCCTTCCAAGGTGGGGTTACTCCGGCCCCATCGCACTAGCGCTGATTCGATCTTCTCAATGGTCGTTCCCCACGGTGTTGCGTCGTCGACCTTGTTTCCAATCCATGCGCCAAGGAGGCGGATCGCCTCCTCGTCTGCCGCGATCTTAATATCAGGTGGTATTGGTTCTTCGTTGCCGTTTAGTTTACGGGTTTCGATGAGGCTCTTTCGGTATTCTTCTGGGCCGAGGGGGATGATTGCGGTCTTGGGTACGTTGAATTTAGCTCCGGACGCAGTGCACCATATCTCCAAGATCATGGTTAGGTCATAGAAGCTGTCGTTTTTGCTTAGGACAACTGTTGTATCGTCCGCAAATAGGGAGATGATATATCGCTGCATGCTCCCTGGGATCGGCATGCCCGCTAGCTGGGAGTCGCGGATCAGGCACGCTAGTGGTTCTATCGCGAAGTTGAAGAGGAGGCAGGAGAGGGGGTCGCCTTGTCGTACGCCCCTCGTCACTTTGTAATTGTCACTCATGACCCCGTTAATCATAACCTTAGTACGGGCGTTCTGGTAGAGGCTGCGAACCGTTTGGATAAACTTCACTGGGAAATTCATGTGTTCCAGTATCTCCCAAAGGTAGGGGTGCTCGATTCTGTCGTAGGCTTTCTCCTGATCCAGTGATACTAGGGCGCCTTCGAAACCGGATTGCTCGGCGTAGTGAATAGTCATGCGAGCAAGCTTGACCTGGTCGAATATTGAGCGGCCAGGGATAAAGCCTGCCTGATCATTGTCGATGGCCGTTGCGGCGACCGGGGAGAGTCTCAGAGTGAGTGCTTTAGTAAAGATCTTGTAATCTGAGTTCAGGACGGTTATTGGGCGGTAGTTGCTGATATCAAGTTTGTCTTTCTTCTTATAGATGGGACACATCCAGCCGTCAGCGAAACCTGTGGACTCGTCGACGCCGTGTTCTTCAATGTCTTGGTATACTCTTGTGAGGGTGTCCACTATGTTGCATTCCTCGTCATCTGTGCCTTTTGTCTTTTCGTACAGGTCATCCAGGAATTTCCACAGTTCGGTTGGCAGGCCGTCTACGCCCGGGGCCTTGCCGTTTGGGGCTTCTCGGAGGGCTTTTTTGACGTGGTCGTTGGAGGTAAGTTCGGCAAGGTCGTTCCTGTGTTGTCTGCTGATGCTGCATTTTGTTTTCTCTTTCGTTAGTCGCTGCGCTATCTTTTGGAGGATGGGATCACGTCTGTCCTGGTGTTGGATGTCGCGGTGATATTCCATCGCTAACTTTGCCATGCCCGTAGAGTTTGTTATGAACTCAGGTTGTCGATTGGTTCCGTGTTTGGGGTTGCGTAGTTTCGTGAGCGTGTCTCGGGGGCGGCTCTCTCGATTTATCGTGGACCAGTATTTTGATACGGTCTCGCCCTCGATTTGGTTGTGTGCCTCAGTGCTTAGTCGGATCTGCTTCTGGCGGCTGTATGTTTTCTCTTCTATCTGTTTCCCGATTGCGGCGCTAAGGTCTTTCCTCTCCCCTTCTGCCAGGGAGTGGTTCTTCCATATCTCGCGCAGTTTTACCTCAAGGTTCTCGATCTCTACCCTCGCTTTTGGTTTGATCGACTTTAACCGCTCTTTGGCCTTGTCGGAGATGTCGCGTTTGAACTTGGCGAGTACAGTCTGCGGGTTATAGAGAGGAGTACGTATCGCGCCCGCCTTAATCACGTCGGTCTGCATCTTTTTTGACGCGTCTTTTAGATATTTCGCGAACGTCTTATCGTTCAGTATATCCATTTTGAGGCACCAACGGCCTTTACCGATATATGGCAAGGTGGGGTCGGTTATGCGGACGGAGACCATTCGGTGGTCGGTTTCGATTGCCCCAGGGTCTTCTATTCTCCAATCATCGCAGATTTTGGAGGTTCGTTTGTTGACATAGATCCGGTCGATTCGAGACTGGGATCCGGTCGCCTTTTGTAGGAAGGTGTAGGCGGGTGTTTCTTCGTTTTCGCCGCGCCATCCGTCAATGACGTTTAGCTTCGCTTTTAGTTCGCGGAGGGCGTTAACGGCTTCTCCGTTGTCTGGGTGAGTCGGCAGTCTGTCTATTTTATCTTCAACGATGTTGAAGTCTCCTAGTACTACGTCCGGTTGTGGCAGTCGGAGGGTCTTCAACTGGCGTCGAAGGTTTATCCAGAAGGTTCTGTTCTCCTCGGGGTCGTTAGGGGCGTATACGCCGAGGGTATGGAGGGTTTTTTCATTGTGCCAAGGTAGGGATACGAAGATCGCTCTACCCGGTACGATCTCTACCATAGTGGCGTCGTTTGCGTTAGTAATTTCTTTGTTTAGGACCATCGCGATGCCTCTCGCTGCAGTTGGGGAGTCGGCATCAAACGAGTTCAGTATACGGACTCTCTTGTTGAATACACCTTCTATCTGGGCCTGCATTTCGGCCGTTAGGTGGGTTTCTTGCAGGCACAGTATCCCTACGCGGTTGGTTCTTAGGAGCTGGTTCACATGGAACCATTTGTTTCTAGGACCTTCTTGGTCTAAGTGTGTCGTGTCTCCTCTGCCTCTCATATTGAGGCTGGCCACTCGGATTGCCGCCCGAGTGTTTTTCCTACGTTTACTGACTCTTTCAGTGTTATAGGTTTCGGGTTCCTCCTGCGATTGGGACTCCCACATCAGGTCGTCGTCGAGTTCGTAATCCCAGCCGGCGTATCGATCATCGGGTTCGTCGACTCCCTGTTCCTCTGTGTGTCTAATGGCATCGTTGTCGTTTAGTTGCGCTTCGTGGCTGGGTTCTGGTGTGTGGGCAGAGGAGGCCAGGGGGTCGGGGAGGTTATTGACTGCTCCGTCCTGTGCTCGGGGGCTTTCAACAACCCTCGGTTCTCGTATACGGGTCTGCGGTGGTCGAACCGGTGAAGTCCCACCGCAGGGCGGGGGATTCATCGTGTTTAGACTACGCGCCTCCGGCCCACGCGTAGCGGATCGCGCTCTCATCCCGGGACCGTCTCCCCGCGGGGGGCAACGGTCAACGCTAACTCTTACTTCGTTTATTGTGTCTGTCATTGTGCTATATAACATGGATAGGGTGTGTACGCGTCTTGGGGACATATATTTACTGGTAGCTTCTATAATGTGACGTATGTGGCTATGTTAGAAAGCAGGGGCCCAGGGTGTTTCTCCCATGGGGGGTTCGCTCGGGCGGATATATCCGAAAATTTTCGCAATCCACCATTGCGCCCACGTAGTCTCCTTACGAATACTCGCTTCTATCTCTCGGGGTATCAGGAGGTACGTGCTCCCGCTGATTGGGGTGGCTAGCTCGTCGACGCTCGGTGGAAGGGTACTTAGGTCGACGCATCCGGTGAACCACGTACCGCCGTCGAGGCGGAGGGTGATGTGGTGGTTATCGACGGTGTATAGGGATAGGGTCCCCCAGGCTATGGTCATAAGATCATCGTGGAGCCAGATGTCTCGTCCAAGCCAGTTTGGTGGGAGAGGGGGGTCGGATGGGAGCCTGGCTTTCCAGGTGCCGGCAGATGCTCCGGTGCCGAGGTGGATGGCTCTGATGAGGTGATAGTGTTTTCGGAAAGGAGTGGATAGCATGTCTGCCGGGTGTCTGCTAATGTGCGCTGCTTTAGACATCGTCGGGTGGTCTGGGTTGGGGGCGCACCGGTAAAGAGTGTGGGGGAGTCGACGCTGCTCTACGTCTGTCAAGGGTCGCCTTTTAGCGTCTAGAGTCTGCTGCGGTTCGCTTAGTAGGCGTCTGGAAGGTTCGATTCGAAACGAGAGGAGGGCAACGAGTGATAGGCTCAAACGAGGGGGTCATCCTGTTTGTTATGTCACTCGGAGTTCCTCTAGGGGGAAGAGGGTCTGATTTATATAGTGGGTGCTCGGATAACGGATTGATTACATTTTGTGATGGAGATAGGTGAGGTTAATGCTAGTCGTGCGGTTCAGTGGTGTCACATGGTTGGCCCGGCGTGTTTCGGTCGGGCGGAGCATCGGGTATCACATCCGGTGGTTTAGTTCCGTTACTCGGATTCGTTGGGGTCAGCGGTTATTGTGCCGTTATTTGAGAGGGCGCGCATTGGTTCTGGATTATAGATAGGAGCGGTATGTCGGTTGGCGTTCCGACGAAGAATATAGTTTCATTGCTCGTAAGGTGTGGGGCAACTCTATTCTGTATTTCGCGAGTGGGGGTTTGGTATCGACAAGGCAGGGCTATCGGTAACTGTCTAGACAAAGTGTTTCTATTCTAGATCTGGTCGAGTCAGCCGAATTAGTTCGTGTTGCCACGGCCGCGACCGCGGCCGCGGCCTCGACCGCGCGCTCCTCCCCGGCTACCGCGGTTGCCGGAGTTGTTGGATTGGTTATTCTGCGAGGTTGGTGCGACGGCTGGGGTGTCGAACCAGCTGGGGTGCTCCTGGTAGTTGCAGATGGAGCGCTGGTGGTCGCGCCCGAGGCAGTAGGTGCATCGCATTTCCTGGGCTGCGCGTCCGGTGCCCCAGGACGTGGGGAAGCTGATCGAGGCGAGGAGGCGAGTCCAGTCACCGTGCCGTTCTTCGCTGACGGGGCAGGGCATGTAAAGGTTCCATCGTTCGTCGAACCCTTCGCTCCCGTTGTCTCCGCGGGGGATGCGGATGAGGCGGATGACGAGGCCGTCGAGCGTGTGGTTCCGGGCGGCTTCCTGGGCAGCCGCGTCGGTAATGCCCCTCTCGATAGCCCCAATGGTCGATATGTTGACGAAGCCGGTGTTGTTGCGGAGGGTGGCGACGATTTCGTCGCGGAGATCTTCGGCGAAGGTTTCGAGACAGTAGATATTGACGAGAGAGCATGCGAACTCCGGTATGGGGACTGGGTGCGGGAGGACAAAGAAGGTACCTCTCGTGGTCGACCAGACGGGCTGAGAGCGGAGGGTAAACACCACGTCGCGGTTGAGACCCCGGACGAGGCAGTAAGGTTCCACCCGTTTGTTAGGGATGGGCTGGTATAGGAGGATGTCGCGGCCGCGGGATCCGGGTGGGTTGGCGCACTCCTCGCGCGCTACAGGGAAGAGGGCTTCAATCGCCCCTAGGGCTTGCGTGGTGAGTGTCGAGGGGTTCGTGAAGTCGCGGGGTCTTGCAAAGTAAATTAGGACGGAGGTCTCCATGTCTTGGCGCTCCCAGGCGGCGCGTTGAGCCGGTTGGGTGTTAAGGAAGATTTCGGGCCAGGTGCATGTTTGCGGGCGGGGAAAGCCACCAGGGTCCGGTTCAGCGAACTCGACGTAGGGGGCTATGCGGCGAGGGGCGGGGGCTGCCACTGCGGGGGGCGGCCGTACCGTGGTTGCGCGGGGACGGGCTGCGCGTGCGGTCTGGTCGTCTTCTTGCATGACCTCGTCTTGGGGATCCCGCGTGTGGGGCGCAGGGGCTGTGGGGGTACGGTCCGGGTTCAGCTCGGGGAGCTCAGGGAGCTGTGTGAGGGTTAGAGTGGGCATGGCGCGATTGGAGGGGGCCTTACGTGTTCAGGGATCCCGGTAATTCGAAGTGTCGGGCTCTCTGGGGATTCGTCGCGTCGTCGACGTTGTCGCTCTCGGCTGGACGTGAGTGACGGGGTTCCGGGTGCCTTCTGGCCTGTACGGCGTTCTGGCGGGCGGTCGGGGGACCCGGGGAGCGGGATGGGTGGGAGGGCGAGGGCAGACAGTTTGAAAGAGCAAGTGTGTGATTATGAGTGGGTCGCGTTTACGCTGGGGAAGCCGGTGTTCGCGGTGTCAGTTATAGGGTCTGCCGTTGGCTGTTCTCGAACTTTCGTCTACATTTTTTGGGGGATATTATCAAGACGTTCGGGGCATCCCGGAGTTGTTTTGTTGGGGGACGTGTTCCTGGGGGGTGCTGGTTGCGGCGACCGTGGTGGGGCGCACCGTAGGTCGATGTGCGTGTCCTCTTCAGCTCGAGGGTTCCTAGGGCGTGGAGGGTATTCGAGCAGTGCGAGGGATTGCGGGAGGGTGTAGCTAGTGCTTAGGTTCGTTACCGTTCATTGGAGGTGGGCCAGTGACGAGGGTTTAACAGCGGCGGGGGGCTCACTAGTTGGACGTATTTGTCCACTTGTATGCTCGCCGTGTGTTTGTGTTGTTGTCTCTTTTCTTTCTAGGGGGGGCTTCTAGGGTACATATCTAGGTAGGTATCCTTCAAGAGGATGCGTCCCAGGACCGGAAGAGGTCGAGGGAGGGCGCCGCGAGGAGGTGCAGGCGCAGCCTTGACGTGAGAGTCAAAGGTCAAGAAGCCCCCCTGCTTGTTGTCTTCGACCTTTTGCTGTCTCTCATCACGGACTGTGCCTCCTGTTCCACTCGGCTGAGCCGGTGTTTTGTTCACTGCCATTATCTGCGTATAAAAGATATTTTCGCCTCGCTGGTCGTTCTCTCCGTTGCTTCACGCCCTAACCGTCCCATTCCAAAGTCTACATTCCATAATGCGTGCCTCCACCTTCATCGTTCTCGCTGCTGCCAGTGCCGCCATTGCGGCCCCCTCTCTCAGTAGACGTACGCTGCACTTGCCTCGAGATTTATACTTGTTCGCTCATAAGTGACTCACAGGTGCCCTTGTCTGTCCGCCGTCTGACAATGAAGGCGGCACCCTCACCTCAAACAGTCAGTCGGGCGAGGACGTCGTCTGCGAATACAGCTCTGCCGGCGAATGCGAGTACTTTGATGCCAATGGCACCTTCTCTTCGGGTGCGAGCACCTGCCCGAAGAACCTCATCGACGGAACTGCGACCTCTTCAACCTCCTCCGCTGCGGCGCCCCCCGCTACGACCAGCTCTTCCGCCATCACCATCGCCACGCAGACAGACACCAGCAGCGGGTATGTGCGACTCTTTACGCGTCCTCTCCCCCCGCCCGCTCCGCGCCCATGCACATCAGCATGCCGTGATGGCGTATCTCTCCGATTGACGTGTGCTGATCGCTGATGCTTTCCCTATCTTTGCACTCATCCAGGTTCCAGATCTCCGGGATTCAGACTTCGAGTGCAGCGCCCACTGTTGTCGACACGTACGTCCTACCATCTCCTTCACCCTCTCACTTCACACCTATACTTACACCACTCTCTCTCTTTCCCTTTCCAATACAGGACCTCGGAGGCCGTTACCACCGTCACCTCGACAAGCGGTTCGGTTGCAGAGACGAGCTCCCCCATCACGAACACCGGCGACCCCGGCTCGCAGATCTCCTCTGGTACTTCGTCTACGTCCGCGCCGGCGTCGAGCAGCACCTCTGGTGCTATCACAGTCAGCCCCCAGACGTGGTTGGCGGGTGTTGCAGCTGTTGCGCTGTGGTTTGTCATGTAAGATGTCCATTCACACACGAGATGGAGCAGCAGAGCCCCGTTGGAGTGGACACCATTGTCGGACGTTTACACGTGAACGCGGACATTGCCTTTTACCGAAGTATCATAGTTCCGCGTTGCTACATCCTTCGTATTCCTATGTGGTATAGATCGTCGCAGTTATACTATGCTACACTTGTGTTTAGTCTTGCATGGGATGAGGATGATAGTGCTTGCTAGAGAAACATTACTGTACCAGACCGTCCCGTCGCCGCTGACTCAGGACAGAACCTGACTTCAAGCCTCCGCCCTTGCCCAGAACTCCTCCGCCCCGTGCTCCTCCGCCCGTCGCTCCCAATCGGGCCTCCACATCCTCACCGTCCCGTCGTCCGCACCCATAGCAAGAGTCCCACCTCCTTCCGCGGCCCAATCCATCGCTCCAACCTCTCCCGCCTGCGCACACACCCTCACCGCTCTCTCGCCCTCGCCCTTCCTCCCCTTGCGCACGGCGGCAAAGTCCCACACGAACCCGCCGCCGGCGCTCCCGCACGCGACCCAGCGCCCGCATGGGCTCGTGGCCGCGCGGACATAGAAGCTCCCCGTCCTCAGCCGCGGGTCGCGCAGGCCGAGGTGAGATAGCGGCGCGAGCGATTCGCGGTCGTATGCATGCACGCGCGAGTCGGCGCCAACGCCGAAGAGCAAGTCCGCCGCGAGCCCAAAGCCGGATGCGAGCGCCGTGAGCGCGCGTGGACGGCGCGAGGTGAGCAGCGTCGGGTCCGTGTCGGAGCGGCGCGTGGGCTCGTTCAGCGGCCCTCGCATAGTGCTTGTCCGCCGGTGGTAGCGAATGTCCCAGTTCCTCAGAACGCTGTTAATGGCGATTGTCAGCCGTCTCGTCCAGATAACGACGTAAGAAAAGCGTTTACCCGTCCACGGAACCGCTGCTGACCAGCCCTCGCCCATCTTCGTCCCACACCAGACCCGTCACACTTCCGCCTCCCCGTTTCGGCCGGCCGGCCCTAGTCACCTCCCCGCCGCCCGCGCCCCAGATCTTAGCAACGATCCCCGCACCTCCCGACGCCAGACGCAGGTCCCAAATGCAGATCTCCCCGCCTCGTCCGCCGCTCGCGAGCACGTCCGAGTCCCCAGGGCTCCATGCGACGCATTTGACGGTACCGGCGTGGCCCGTGAGGTTGTGGAGCGCGAACGCGGCGCCGCGGTCTTCGGAGAGGACGCGCGGGAGATGACCGACGGGGGAGGCGGTGACGCGCGACGGGTCCCAGATTCGTACGGAGGCGTCCGCGCTCGCAGTCGCGAGGCGCGCATCGTCTGGGCGCCAAGCTGCGTCGAAGAGGCCGTTCATGTGCGCGCGCCAGCTGTGCGTCAGCGGGGGCGAAAGGTGCATCCAACGAGATGAGGACGTGTTTGAGGAGGCGGAGGGAGCGGGAGTGCGGACGAGGTGCAGCGAGCCTTGTTCGGTGCCGATGGCGAGGAGGGGCCGCCCTGTGCCGCGCTTGGCGGCGTGAGTGTAGGCGCAAACGTACGGAGGAGTGAGGTTGAGGTCGCCGGAATAGAGGGATCGGCAGTAGAAGGCATCGCAGGTGTGATGTGAAGCGAATGACGCGAGGATCGGGCGGGTGGATGCTGAAGATCAAATAACATCAATGGGGAGTGCCTGGTAAAGCGCGGATATATACTCACGTATGCAATTCCGCGAGCTTGTATGTGAGAGAGAGACCCTGAGAGAGTCTAGTGCGTTATGCACCGTCCGTTTTCGCGTCCTCGCGCGCGGCGGAGAACGAGATATTTCGAAATCGCTATCTGTCTCCCAGTCCGCGTCGCTGTTTTCCTCGTCCTCGGCCGTCTTCTCCTCATCACGAGACATCAGCCGCATCTTCTTCCTCTGCGGCTGCCGCACATTGAAGAATGCGCACGCGATCTCCCTCAGCGGACGCTTCGCGCTCTTGGGGGTTGGCATCGTCGCAGCCACGTTCTCCTTCTCGCCCCGGCTCCGACTGGGTGAACTCGGCGGGGTGTGCGCGTCGCCATCTTTAATCGTTATAGTCCTCGCCGCCGTCGGCGATGGAGATAGTGATGAGGAGCTCGGGCTCAGCAGCATCGATCCAAACCCACGACACAGCTCACGACCGGGAAGGCAAGATGCGGGGTGAGTGGCGATGCATCCGTTCCTCATAAACGCAGGTCAGGTGATCGCGTGGGTGCCGTCGGCCGAATTGTGGGAGGATGGCCAGAATTTCCATCGGCGGTGCCCTCCTCTCGAGTTCTTCGTCTTCCACATCTCTTGGTACTGTTTGTTCTGCTCGACATGGCCACCAGATTGACATCAGCCCTGCGTGCCCCGCTGCGAGGGCTTGCTACGCAGGCAACCGCCAGATCATCACTCAAAATCGGATTGATTCCGGCGGATGGGATCGGGCATGAAGTTATCCCTGTATGTGCCCTCGAGTCCCACTTCGATAGCCCCCAGATTCTAAAATATGTGTTGTCCTATGGATATGCAGGCAGCGAAAGCTGCGATTCTCGCTGTCGGATCGGACATTCCCAAGCCCGAGTTCGTCGACCTCCTAGCCGGCTTTGAGCTGTTCGCCAAGACAGGCGTGGCCCTGCCCGAAGAGACCGTTGAGCAAGTGTTCCTCTTTCGTCAGTGCCCGATTTGCAATTGACTGAACGGTCATCGGCAGGGTCCTCGAGAAGGAGTGCGATTGTGCGCTATTCGGCGCCGTTAGTTCGCCGTCGCGCAAAGTAACGGGCTACTCATCGCCGATCGTCGCGTTGCGCAAGAAGCTCGACCTGTACGCGAACATCAGGCCTGTCGTCTCTGTGCGTTTCGTCTTGTCGCGTGCTTCGTCAATTCGATATCGCCATCTTTTCTCTTATACGTCTCCGCCTACGTCACCTTGTCTAATCAACCCAACCAGGACAGGTCACCTCCGAGTCTGCGTCGCCTGCCGTCGACCTCGTCGTAGTCCGTGAAAACACGGAATGCCTCTACATCAAGCAGGAGACCGCCTCCAACACGTCTAACGAGCGCGAAGCGCGTGCCACGCGCCTCATTACTGAACGCGCCTCCAAGCGCATTGGACGCACGGCGTTCGAGCTCGCGCTGAAGCGTCCTCGGAAGCACGTCACGATCATCCACAAGAGCAACGTCCTCAGCGTCACAGACGGTTTGTTCAGGGAGAGCGTGCGGGCCGCCTGGGCGGAGGAGGAGCGGTATAAGGACGTTGCTGTGGGGGAGCAGTTGGTGGACAGTGCGGTGTACAAGTGCGTATACTGGTCACGTCCTCTGGCGTCTGATTCTGATTGTCTCCGTGTCATCGTTAGGTTGTTCAGGGAGCCGCAGGTGTACGATGTGATGGTCGCGCCGAATTTATACGGGGACATCATCAGCGATGCGGCAGCTGCGCTGGTGGGCTCCCTCGGCGTCGTGCCGTCTGTGAACGCGGGTGATAGTTTCGTTATGGGCGAACCGTGCGTGCCTCCGTTCTTCCAGTGGGCTTGACCCCGTCGCCATTGCATGCTGACCGCTCCTGCTCTCTATAGTGTACACGGCTCCGCGCCTGATATTGCAGGCCAGGGCAAGGCGAACCCTATCGCAGCCATCCGGTCGGCAGCCATGATGCTGCGACACCTCGGGTGCGTGCTCTGCTCTATATGAGCCTCCATACACTAACTAGGCAATGATGGTTCCTCTTGTTTTTCGCGCGCATCTTGCGGTTGTCTTGGCTCTGGCCCCGCACGCCCCCACCCCGGTCCTGCCCTATTCCTTGCGGATCTCATGTCGATTACCCTCAACCACCTTCACCTCCTCCGCCCTGTGCCTCCGCCTCGTCTACGGTTTGGCACTTCACACTATACAAATTCATATCGGACGGTGCAGGTACGACGCCGGCGCGAACCGGATTGACCACGCGGTGGACACGGTCCTGCGCGAGGGCAGCACGCTCACGCCTGACCTGGGCGGGAACGCAGGCACAAGCGACGTGGTGGATGCCGTGCTCAAGAAAATATGATCATCGTCCGTCGTCACTTCGACGGGGTTCGCGGCGGAAATCACGCTCAGGATGGATATCGCGACTGCGCTACTCGGGTGGAGGAGCGGTGTTATCTGATGGAGGGGAGCGGATATGGTTGACGTCTAAAAGGGTGCTCGGTGCGGAGGTGGGGTGTACCCTCGTGATGTAACCGAGAAGAAGCGGGCGGTCGGATAACCATGCGACCCGGATTCACCGGCTTGCTTGGAGTTCTCAACCGCTAGATAGCAGCTTTTATCCTGACGAATAAACACGGCGTGGCATAGCTAGCACCCGCCAATAGCGCAGCGTTGGATATCCAATCGCCAGTTGGTCCCGGGATTCGCGGAACTCGCGAAGAAATCGGGGCCTATTCCCCGCGGTCGGTGGCTGTGCAGGCGGGATCGACAGGCCAACGCGTTTCGTCACAGGCGCCGGGGATACGTGCTCCAGCAACGCTCTCTCCCCCCACGGCCACCGCAACGACCACGATGCCCCCCACGACGCCCAGCGAGCAGCCCCCGCCTGTGCCCGCCAACCGTGCACGGCGCGTCTCTGCGCCGGTCAAGACCACCACGCCCGCCGTACTCGTTAAGGAGCAACACCGGACGCTTCCCAAGAAGCCCGCCGTCGCTGGCGAGAACGCCAACGCCCATGCGCCGGCCACTCTCACCAAGTCTCCACCCGCACTGCGCGAGAAGGACCAGCCAGCGGGCGCGGAGCAGAAGAAGATCAATAGACGGGGCAGCAAGCCGATCATCCATTGGTTTCAGCGCAAGCTCGGCGGGACGCGCACGCGCCGCGCAAGCGAGGCGAGCCCGAACGCGCGCCCTCCCATACCCAATTTTGAAGCGAACGGCGTGAAGCGCACCCGAGAGAAGGAGCCGGCGAAGAAGAACGGACAGGCGCAAGCGCCGAAGAGGGCAACCATGCCCCCGCTCACGCCCGCCCCCGAATCCCCAGACTCGGACTCGCCGCCGCGCTCGAATGGCGACGTCGAGCCACGCCGCCAGAATGCCGTCTCGCTGAACACGGACACGGACGCTGCCTCCTCTCGCTCGTCCGCCTCCGCCACCTCTCTCCTACCCGCCTCCTCGCGCTCCCCTTCTACCCTCGAGGCAGACGACGACGCCTCCTTGCGCCCGCTACCCGGTTCTGCGCCGCCTTCTCCGTCTCCCTCTCACGCTCCCTCGTTTGTGTCCGGCTCAGCGTCCGTGTCCACCTCGCCCTCCTACCGCTCCGACCCACGCACCTTCCGCTCGCTCGCGGCGAGCACCAAGCCAACCACGGTGCTTTCCGTCGACCTGACCACGGGCGGAATGGCGCATATAGCACAGGCGCCGCCGACGACGCCCAGCCCCGTGACACAATACGCGCAAGGTCAAGCCTCGGGCCTCCCGAGCTCGAGTCCGAGTCACCCGCGTCTCCAGCATGTGCGCACGCCAACGGCGGGCTCCATTACATTCAGCGTCCCACGCCCGTCCTCGCTCCGTAACGTCGCCGCGCTCGGCCTGTCCGATGGCAGCGACGAGCATCAGACCGCCTTCGCCGGCGGCGGGCAGGTCCAAGCGCCTAACCACACCGTGCATCACCCGCGCGACAACCCGCGGCCGTCGAGCCCGCCGCCCGACGACGCCTCCGTGCTCACGCTTGCCTCGTCCGCATATGCCGTCCCCGGCGCGCGCGGCGGCAACCCTCTTGCGTGGGCCGCGGCCTCGGTCTCTTACCACGTCGGCATGGACTCGCGCTCGCAGTTCGGGTTCGATGCCGGCACGGGTCGATCTGCGGACGGGGAGCACGATCATGGAGAGGAGGAGGACGGGGAGGAGGAAGGCGACGGCGAGGAGAGAGTGAACGCGAGCGTACGCGCGCTGAGGCCGAGGCGCAGCTGGGAGAGCGAGGCGAGCCGGTGGAGCGCGCGGGTGGGCATGCCAGGCCCCGGGACGGCGAGCAGCGTGCACGGTCCTGCGACGCCGAGCGAGTTCAGGACGGGGCTGTGGGGGCCCGGCAGCGTCAAGACGGGCGGGTTCGGCGCGGACGGCGCGTTGGACGACGAGAAGGAGCCGAAGTCAGCGATCGAGATCACGAACGAGGGCGGGGAACCGACCCTTGCCACCGAGGACACGGGAGGGGACGGGGCCAAGACTGGCCTGCTCACTGCTCCCGCAGTCGATGCAGACCCAGAGGCGACGCCCTCGATGCCGCCTACAGCGCTCCCCTCCGACGCGGATCGCCGCACGCCCCCACCCGCGTCACAGACGGATCGTTCGCCCTCGACGCCGAGCGGGTCGGTCTCCAAGACGAGCGACTACTTCGCGACGAACCACTCCACGCCGACGCGCACGCGGCATCCGAGCGCCGCATCGCGGGCGAGCTCGGGCACGGAAGAGGCCCGGCCTGGCGCGCTGCACGAGCACGAGGAATACGAGACAGACTTTCAGAGCATCGCAGCGACGGATGCGCAGACGGACGTGTGGCACAGTGCGCCGACAACGCCTGCCGCTTGGGATTAGGGGTTGATCTGGGGTTGATGTATGGCCGATAGATTTACTGGTTTCGGGAGCTCATCGGATTGATTCTGCAGGGCAACCCGAAATGTGTTCGCGTTTCATGTCTACGGGCTCATGTTCGACGCGGTGCTGGATATCTAGTTTCTTCCGCCATGTTGGTACTCATTCTTCACGGTGTACAACAGTCTTTCCTTCACTCTCTTTTGCGCTCAACTTTCGATAATCTGATCTGCCTTCCACGGCGTGTACCCAGCTTTAGTCCCAATATTAATAGTGGAGATGTCGTACATATATGCTATCTCCCTTCGTGACGTCTCATATCCTACGATGGTTCGTCTTTGGTCATCTGCTCGATGTTGTTCCCGAACGCAGCACTACAGGTGGATGAAAGTTCGACACCCATGCTACGATCGAGATGGTTGGGCTCTAGTTCAAACGTTTGAAAATTGATTGTTTGACTGCGAATTTGAATCCGTAGGGGGTGCGAATTTGGATCCGTAGGGGGTGCGAATTTGAATCCGTAGGGGGTGAATCACTAGTAATGTACCATCTGTACGATCAGAGTCTGAACTATACGATGACAAGGTTGAGTATTCTGGACAAGTGGGCTGGTCACTGTTCCTCTTGACCTACTGTAACTCGTGGTGTGCGGTCGCTCCCTCCCTGCTGTCAACGTGGAACCCAGGTGCCGGTGGGATTCCAAACCAGTAACACGTCTCTTGGAGTCGAGATACCAGTATATTCGGCAAAGGGAAAGGCCGCTAGCAGCTGATTCTCAAGCTGTTCGCCGGGGTGTCTGGAACAACGGACTGCTCACGGGCCCTCGACTGCCTCGCACAAAACATCAGAATGTCGGAGAGAAGAATGAGAGAATCTGTCGTGGCCATGACACACACACATGCTTGAAGACCGCCCCCGCCCATGCGGATCTGCTTCTGCCAGAGATGGCACTCCGGACATGGTATCGAGTAAATGGACCTCGGCCCGTCTACGAATGTCGAGAATCCAACCTAGAATCCGAACGCAAAGTTCAGTCACTCATATGCGGGTTCGCGGGTGCGCAGACCAATTCTCGCGGCGCGCTGGAATGAACGTGGAAAAAGGGTGATTCGACGTTTGCCTCGAGTACATGAAGATATGTCCCGACCAATACGTCACATACATGCACGCTGAGCGGTGAAGTTGGGTTGTGATCCATATCAGACGGGTCGGAGAATTTGTAGTAGGAAGCCAAAAAGCCTGATGTCTGCACATGAATGAGGACACGCACCTTGGCTGAGGAGTCGGATTGACCAATTCGTCAAGGCTCTGGGTATGAGCGTAGAATGAAGAGGACAAACCGACCGATCAACCGGATGTCATAATAATCATCTGGTAAGCCCCAATGTAGTAGTAGAGGTAATCGACCGGACAGGTCTTGCAGGACCCCTACTCCGACTGACGTATTCAGCTACGTAGCAATAATGCACAGAGATTTAACCACTGAAACCGAGGGTATTTGTCTTCCCGAAGCGAGGCCGAACGCCTTATGTTGAACTCGTGGAGATCCAGATGCCCCGAACGGTTGCGCTTCATGGCACCTGGGCTTTCAGTTCAGTCCACTGAACAGCATGCACCAGCCTCCATGCGAATAGGTGAGCAGCACGAGCCTCGGGGTTTTCCCCGGCCCGGAAAAAATGGTATTTGCAAGAGACATAGTGGATGATCTAAACATGTCGTTGTCAGTCGGGTCAATTGTTGCGTTGCGAACGAGGATTATACGTATACCAATGGGAAAATGTAGTGGCGCCAATGATCCGATGGGTACATATCATGTTGCATGCGTATGTCGCAGAGAGACTCCCAGCGAGCCCGCATATGCTCTGCGCAAAATGCAAGTATCGCTGGATACAGAGATCTTTTGCTTGGCTTGAAAGAACACATGTGGAGCAGTGAGAGGATTGTTATAAAGAGTTGCAAGCTACGTACGACCGTCCATATTTCATGTAGGATGTGCTTGAGACAAACGAGCAATTACTCGGATAGCCTACTTGGAAGAAGCAACGTTAACGAGCGCTTCTCAGCTGCATGGTTCATTGGTAATCAGGTTCGGAGCCGCGCAACCTTGCACGAGCATCCAGTCAATACGTCCAAAAAAATGTGCATCGCAGGTTTCGGGCTTCGAACGAGTACTGAAGTAATGCGACCTGGATCGTTTGCATGGGTCATGAGGCCACAATGGGCGTGATCTATAGAAGCAGGTCAGACAAAACACCAAGAATTTTCCTGAAATAGGCAGTCATAGTTGATGCAGTCAAGAAGCGAAGCTCTCAGAGAAGAAGACATGAACTTGGAGAGCTGATCAATCGTAAACGAGGAAAGCGAGCGATGCTCCACGTGATGCGTCATGTTTTCCCTCGACGTCGATGCATCTGAATAATTTTGGAATCTCTGCTCAGCTGAAGGGCCTTGAAAACTGGAAGATGACCTGCTTACTCAACATCGACGTTCGCTCCCTACGACGCAGCCATATCGACAGTATCGTGACAGTTATCATTAGGACATCTGGATCTGTTGGACCATGACCCTGGCATAAAGCACCCTCAAGCGCACCCGTCCGCGGCAACCCCTTCCTGGGCTCGCCAGAGGTATTTTCTTTGGGCACTGCGGTGCCTCGTGTAGTCGTTGCATGATCATACGATCAAATTCGATGGGATCTGTACCTCGCCCGGGCGGGACCCGCCGAGATGATCCTAGGTTATCAGCGAACTCGATTGCACTGACCATCTGGTGAATCTCATATCTCCGGACTGGAGTGTGCACGAGGCGGCCGCCTTGTCCGATGTCCAGACTGACTTTGGTCACTTGCGGGCCATGTCGAGGGTCAAGGCAGATCATCCGCCATAAGTACGAGCGCGGTAGGGCGCGACAAGCCGAGCCCACACCAAGCACTATCCAGAGAGGCGCACCGGCGATGTCGGGAATCCTGGAAGACTGGTCCGCACGGTACATTTGGCCGGGGGGGGTGTACAAGTGACTTCATGGCGGAGTGGTTGCCAATCTTCTCAGACGCCTCGTTGTCCTTGCGGTCCGGACTACCGCGCGGTATTTCCAGGGAGGGAACGTGTTCGTCGCTTTCATCGATTATCGCCACGCTATTCGCCGCCGGACACCCGTGGCGCAGACGCGACCGCGAGAAGATGTCATGATCAGCGTGTATATTGAATATCATTCGGTATTAGATGCATGATGATTGATACAGGACAGCCCTGCGATTTTTCAGATCAATCTGACTTCTTCCAGCCTCCCAGCTCAATGGCAAAGGCCACGGCGAGCTTGGAGAACTCCAGCATGTGGTCGAAGCTGAATTCATCGCTCACATCGATGCGGCTATTTCCGTCGTGTCAGTAGCTGTAAGCAGATGATCATCTTGAACGTACTCGTTGGTGCTGTGAGAGTAAAGAAATTAGCTGAGAATGGTGCGTGTAACGTTGGGAACTTTGGCTTACCTGTGAATGTTCTTGTTCGAGTTCTCGAACGAGGATTCTGAACGAAATGTCAGTGGATATACCTAAATGAGCGGATGGCTGTCCAGACGAACCAATCGTGAAAGAGCTCGGGTACCCTGCTTTGCTCCATGAGGCACTAAGCACCCGAAGAAAAGGCGAAGTGGTCAGCTAGCCATGCCACGAGCCCAACCAAAGGAGCCGACGGCATTTTGGGTTAAACAGAGGCACGCACTGGTCCGAACACGCGTATCCGCACTTCGTCTCAACATAGGGTATGTCGAGGTACTCATCCACAAGTGCCTTGTTGAAGGCAGTCACGCTGTGGGTCGGAGTGGTCAGCCTCACTGAGCGCGGAATTCCAAGGAACCTACTCCTCATCCACGTAGTCCACAATGATCCCAACCTATTGTGAAGCGTATGAGAACCTGTAATCTCAGCCGCGGAGCCGAGAACGGTGAACCCACCTCCTCTCGGGTACCGCGCTTCACCCATGCTGTCATATCAAACTGAATACAGGTCAGCGGGGTGTAGCAATGGAACGCAGGTGCCCGGCATACCTGACTCATGGCAAGAACGTTGACATGCCGGGATTCGTAGTCTTTGGCCACGGCTTGTGAGCCAAGGAGTCCTCCTTCCTGAATCGTAGGTTCAATCCCAAAGTTCAGAAAGCGGAACGTTTAGAAGGACCGACCTCTGCGGAGTACCAGTGGAACTCCACAGTACGGACCGGACGGAAGTCGGCCGTTATCAACGCACGATAAGACTCGAAGATGGTCATGGAGCCGGACCCGTCGTCATCGGCACCTAAGGGACGCATTGAACGAAGATAGTCATAAATACGAAGATAACACGCACCAGGAGCAGGCAAAAACGGCCACAAGTTGGTGCTAGAAAGAATATAAGCATGCGCCGACTAACAAACAGACACTGTGCCCTACCTGTCCTGGTGCGCTCCGATGACGACCACACCGTCATCGTCATTAGAGGTGCCGTTGATCCTCACAATCTATTATTTGATTATACTCTCGCGTAGTGACGCGTAGCAGGAGGCGACATACAACAGAGTTCTGACCCCAGGAATGAGAAAACTCGCGAATGGAGATGGCTGCCTGGAGGGACGGGGATGCATTAAGTTTGGTTGCAGACTCTAATTCGCTCAATAGCCATTGTTGGCTCTGACGCCCAGTCTATGCAGGGTTAGTATCATACGAAGCCTGGAAGCGATCATGCGCACGTCGCTACGGTAATCTGTATAGACACGTTAGTCATGTCCAGGTTGGCCTACGATGGCAGTACACGCACGCCTGGTACGGAAACTTGAGAACTTGGCAAGGTTCTTTTTGGGACCGTCCGTGGACAAAGTCTTCAAAACAGGCTTCACCAACTCCGAAGCATTTGGCGAGGTAGGAAACGACACTAATCGGGATCTTTGAGTTTGCTGAACAACATGACACGTGGGCGGAGTACCTTTGGTGAGGGGCCGGAGATGAGAGTATACTCCGAGGTCAGGCGTCTCCGTGCTTTTTCACAGAACATGCATCAGAAGACGGCGTATGTGAATGACAATACGGGTTTACATGTCGAAGAACTTGACGCCCTGCGCCTTCGCCTGAATCTGAAACACCGTCGGAGTCACATACGCGTAAAGAATGCAGGGAAAGTACCTTCTCCAGTTCAGTCATCCATACCGGCTCTGAGTCGTCGGCACGCTGCACGAGGCGCAACTCGTTCAAGTCCAGCGTAAACCCAGGATGCCCCTGGGTCAGAGGGGATTGCTGAGCCTCCGTGATCCATGACAATGGAGTCGCAACTGCGATGGCAGAGAGCACAAGCAACGCAGACAAGGACTTCATGATGGTAGACGACAACCGGTAGAGAAGCCCTGATCCGGTAGCCTGACGCGTTCCCCCTATCCGCAGGGTCGCCATACACGTGACCGGTGACGAGTTTCTCATATTCCACGTTCTACGCGTACTTCACGGACGCCTAGACTATCGCAATGGCCTCCAAAGCAGCCGCGCAGGCGAAGGCGCAGTTTGTCGTATGTTATACGTCGTGTTCTAACTATGACCCTTGGTCCTCACGTATTGGTGCCAGCGCATTCTGATTCCGGCAGGAAAGGCAGCTCCAACACCCCCCGTTGGTCCCGCCCTTGGCGCTCGAGGCGTCAAGTCAATGGACTTCTGCAAAGAATTCAACGCACGGACAGCGCACATTGCTGTCGGCACCCCCATTCCGACGGTCATTACTATACAGCCCGACCGCACATTCACGTTCCTCACGAAGACCCCTCCGACAGCTCATTTCCTGAAGCAGGCAGCTGGTATAGAGAAGGGGTCCGGCAGGCCAGGACACGAAACTCTAGGCACCATCAGTCTCAAGCATGTCTACGAGATTGCGAAGATTAAGGCCACTGACGATCACTTGAAGCACCTGCCACTGCAATCCATCGCAAGCACCGTCGTAGGCACTGCGAAAACTTTGGGGGTCCAAGTCGTACCGTGATCCGAGTTGGGGGCCACGATGTGAACACATGTATGTTCTAACTTGCACTTCTATGTTCCGCCACTTAGTTTCTCAGCGTGACCTTTGGTAGAATCGCCTGCTATGCTGAGGACCGGCGATCCTCGGAAGAGTAATTCATGTTGGGTCCAGCTCTCCGCTAACCCAGATGGTGTCGCGATGGTTTTCGTTAACAATACCTCCTAATGCGATAGAAACCGTCGGATAGAAGTTGGCGTAGAACCCGGCGCTGCTTGCAACAAGAATCCCGCAGGACTATGGTATTCAGCTCTGGAATAACAACGGATATGATGCCCTCTGAACAACAGAGCGGTAAGGGAGTCTCCTGTGTGGGATCCCCGGGTTACCATCTTCGCTCAAACTTACCGCTATACCCATCCGGTCTTTCCTCTTTCGACACCTAAGAGGTTCCGCGGGCACGCTCCCGAAAGACATGCGCGAACCGCAACAACGCTCCTTCAATGTAAATGGGAAGGGAGGACCGAGAACTGGCTTATCTGATCCCATTGTTGTGCAAAAGGTATCCCGGCAGATGCGGATGCACGCTGTGTGAGCGTGTCATACACCTGGATCTCACCCGGTGGGGATGCGCCAGCACTTCTCCCAGATGGCTGGAGGAGGATTACCATATCGGGAAGCATGCTTCTTTGTGCATGCTCGTGGCGTCTATTGACCGAGGTTGTATAGCGCCTCTTGTATCCCGCCCGACATAACCAAGGAGATTAAAATCATCAACGCTGTTTCCCTTACGCAAACATATAGAGATACCCTTCGAGACCTCCGATGTTTGCAAGATCAAGCACGCGATCTCGCATCGGCTCAGCCGATTTTTTATCCAGTGCTTCCTGCTTGTTCTGCCGCCGTCCAGACAACGGCCCAAGGGAAAATCGGGCGCCTATAGATCTATTCAGGCAGCTCGGATCGGCTCAGGCGCAATCACACTGCGGTGTCGGAGCGCAACACCACCTGGTCCAACTCTTCCTGCAAATCACGGTGCCGTCTTCCTTTGCAACACGTTGGGACCTTGTTCAGGACCATCTGTTTCCAAGCACCACGTTTCTTCCTCCGCTTTTCTGACGGCCACCCACAGCACATACCGCCAACAGTAGCAAATTTCGACGGATGGATCCATATATAAACTCCTCCGTCGACATGAGATCCGCTCCCCAACTAGCCTCGCGGTTCACTTCTTTTCCCCATTGCGCTTTCTCTACATCGAGCGACATCCGAAATGCCTACTTCCACCGATGTTCTCTCGTGGACCTCGCAAGACCCTCGCCAAAGCGTCCTGTTCAATGCGGCTGGTATTCAGTACAGCTTCCGAGTTAGTGGAACCAGTTTATTTTGGCTCAACATCGCGGATGCTCATTACCTCTTGTAGACTGAATCGAACACTCGTGGCGTACTGGTCACGTCCGTCATGAAGCAGATCAGGCCTGGCAAAGAAGAGAAGGTCGCTAAACTCGAATGGTCCAACACCGGCGGCCTCGGGCGCGCCGTCATTGGCAAGGTGTGCCAGGATCTTCGCGTGGGGAACGCACGCTGATAACCTTCGAGCAGTTTACGCTGCCTATGCAGGATCTCGTCCGACCTGCAGCAAATATGATGGTATGTGCAACGCGGTGTCTCCTGTGCCTGGCGTCTGATCTAAAACTAGGGTGCCCGAACTTTCAACGGTCCTGACGGCCATCTCTACCGCTGGAGACCCAGCGCCAACTCCGCGGACGTGGTGGTCAGCTGCTCTTCCGTCCGGCCGTCGTTTTATGTCCTGATCCACGCCCCGCCGCCTACAGCTCCAGGATCCCAACGACAACATTATCGCCATGGTCCGCAGCACTCGGCCGACGCGCTACCAAATGGGCGACGTCTACGCAGAATTGCACTTTCTTCGCAACGCGGGCGCCGGAGTGGTGGTAAGTTTTTGTTGTGCGATCGCCCATCTGACGCGCTAACGCAGCACGTTGCAGATGCATCCACCGATGATGGACATGGTCATCGTGACGGCGATGCTATATCGCTTTGTCACCACGTTCGGCCTCTAGTTCGGGCTTCACATCTCAAGCGCGCGGCTGGTCCTTCAAGCATACTTTATTACTCTCAAGGGACTATCTCGACAATAGCCATTAGGGCCGTTGCTCGAGCGCGGGTTGTTTTATGCATCCAACTGTACTTGTTCATGTATGCCTTTCATCACTGTACCTTTAGCATCCTCAGCAATGCGACTTTTGACTCCCATGCACATGCATCATACGGCACTACGAAGACCGAACGATGATCGTTCACGCAGTCAACTATATGTCACAATGGCCCGGAACAGCGGCATATCGCCGATTCTAGACATGTCGCGTCTATACTAACGCACGCACGCACGCACGTAATTACGGCGCGTGTCCAGCTGTCAGAGCTTGGCCGAGGGTGCTGCTGCATCAGCTTCGAGGACATCAAGCAGCGTATCGACAGTGGAGATAACCCATTCGGTGCCCTCGTCACTTGACAGCCATTTGTCCTCGTCCGACAGCCCTTCGGTATCGCGCGCCTTCAGCAGCCCGAAGATGTGGCTGGTCAGCTGCGGCCCGACCCTGCCCTCCGCGCGCAGGCACGCGCTCCCGACGACGGAGCCCAGGGCCCGGCTGAGATTGCCTTGGATCTCATCGCCCCCGGGGAGAGGCGCGAGCACTGATCCGTACGCCTGGATGATGAACGCTAAGATCCGCGAGGCGCGATCGGCATCAGCGCATGGCCACGAATGGAGGGAGCCCCGATCGCCAACATAAACGCTGCAAGCACGGGGCGCGAAGACTAGGGCTTGGACTTACACATGAAGTCCGGGTGATAAGATTCGAGCTTCCGGTAGAGCTTCTCGGCATGCGGCTCGTAGATAGAGTCCCAGAGATCTCTGCCTCGAGCCAGCACCGGCCCGATCGTATCAGATGCCACGACGCTGGGGGTCGAGGCGGGCAAAACGATTCAGCTTAATGGACTATCACCGTTACGCCGGGAGAGCGCCCTCACCGTTCGTTCTTGGTCCGCAGACCGCTTTTCACGTCGTCTTCGAGCGCTTCGTGGAGCCCCGCCAGCGAGAGGATGGTCTGCAGGTCCCGTGTTCGTCATCTCCCCGACATCCGAATGACGAATCGAGCGAAACAATGAAGAGAAAAACGAGCAAGAGGGACGAGCAACTCACGCGTGGCACGCCAACGAAGATGCTGCTCTTCAGCGCGGATTCGCGCATGATAGCCACCTTCGCTATCGCGGGAGACGGATCCGATGGCGAGCTCCCGGCGTCCTGGCGCGCGACCTGTGACGCAAATCGGTACAGGTGTCCGACGGCAGGCGGGATGTTGGCGGTCAGGAGGGTGCATGTCTGTCGGCAGGCCAGGCGCGAGCTAGCGTATGAGCGTATGGCACGGGCGATCGCATGAACAGCTGGTTGCTCGCCGAAAGAACCAGCCAGCCAGTTTCGGCGTTCCTCCGTTTCGCGTCCTGGAGGGTGCTGTTGAACACAGCGTTTAGGGCGGCCACCGGCGGGCCGGCGCGTGGGTTGGGGTTTCGCAGCTTCAGGAGCTGCTTAACGGCTGGAGGCAAGTGTCGGATACTCATCGGTAGCCTCGACTGGTATCAGTGGGGGTGGGTCGGGGGGACAAGGCGGGTGCACACGTCGAGCCTGGTCGGACAGAACCTGATGTAGGGCGCGCAGACGGACAAAACCCACGACATCCTGCCGCCGCCTGCCCGACTGCTTCAATACAGGCCCGGGAGGAACCGAAACGTTGGGACGCGTCGTATCACGTGTGCAACACCGTCTGTCGCCAACGTCAGCCTCGGTGAGCGCGTGCGAGGTCGCGGCGGCAAGCAGCAGGAAGTACCACAGCACTGGAGCAAACCACAGATACGGACCGAATCTCGCACGGATCAGAAAAAGCTGTATGCGACAAAGAGCTGGTCGATTGGATCCATACTATCGATATCAAGGTATAAATCACAGTTAACAGAGTGTAGTATGTGGCCCATCTTGTCCAGCACGATGGGCTACCGGACTACCAGCGAAGAAGAAGAATGTCGGCGGGGGTATATGGGTCCAGGAAATAGTGTCCCGTATGAACAGCGGAAACCGCTCCTCACTACAGTACAGTGGCGGCTGTCGTCTAGACATTAATCTAGTTGCCGTTGATGTACATGTAGCCGAGGTCGGTGGGCTGGCCACTGGAAGCCATGAGCTGGTTGAGGGTGTTGACGCCCTGCATGTCGTGCATGACACCTACAACACTGTCTTAGCCAGTGTCTACAGATGTGAATCCGCATCGACTCACCGAAGGCGAAGTAGGCAGCAACCCAGTCCTGAGACTCCATGTAGGAGGTGACGGTCTGCATGAACGAGAACACCTCGTCCTTCGAGCACTGAGCACCACCGTTGAAGTTCTGGCAGGCGAACTCGGTGACCCAGATGGGCTTGCCGAACGTGGAATGCCAGAGGTTGATGTAGTCAATGAAGGCCTGGGCACTGACGTCGTACCAGTGAACAGCCTGACCGTCGAACTGTGGCAGCAGAGTAAGCAATCCTTGCTCAGAACTCAAAGAGACGGCACGTACCGTGCAGCCGTCGCAGGCAGCGATGAAGTTCTTGACCCAGGTCAGGCCGTTGGGGTTGGAAGAAGTGGCAGGAGCGATGAGCTCGTAGCCCTGGCTCTTGAGGGGCTGAATGTAGGTCTTCCACAGGTAAGCACCGTGCGAGGGGCTCATGTTGCTCTGACCGGACTCGTTGGGCCTGAGCACGACTTGTTAGCAAGAAAAAGCTTTTTAAGGAAGATACCCGTACTCGTTCATGCCCAACACGTATTTGGCGTATCCGGCCTTCACCACGGACTGGAACTGGCCGACCTGGTTGTCGCCCCAAAGCATGGGAATGCACTCGAAGCCGAGCTTCGATGCCTGGGCGGGACAATCAGGGCTCCAGGTGTAGAGGCTAGTAGCAACCCGATCAGCGAAAAATGCGGGACCGCAGGTACAAGAACGCACAAGTTGGTCTTGGAGGTCTTGTAATATTTAAGGGAGCTGTCACCGCCGTTGGGCCAGGCGACACCAACCTTGCTACCGCTGCTGGAGCCGGAGCTGCTGGCAGCAGTAGTAGTAACCGCCTTACTGCTGGTCTTCGTGTGGCTGGCAGCCTTGGTGGTCGACGCCTTCTTCGTGGTCTCCGGGGTGGTGGTTACCACGGAGTGCGAAGTCGTGGCAGCGGCAGTGGACGTAGGGGCAGCGGTCGAGCTCCTTGTCTTGCAGCGCTTCGAGTTGTTGGCACGCTTGGCCTTCTTGCCGAGGATGTCGTGCTGGTGGCGACGAGAGATGCTCGCGTCGTGGCCGGTCGCCAACGCGTTGACGGGGGTCGCGCCGAAGGTGCAGACCAGGACGGCGAGGGAGGAGAGGGCGATAAGGTTGAGAAGCTTGCTAGCCATTGTAGCCGTCGTGAAGATAGTGTTCGATACAAGGAAAGCACTAGGAAACGAGTGTCGGTGCCCGAGGGCAAAAAAGCGAGACGGCGACGGCGGGGGTGGTGAAGTCGACCAACGGGGGTCGTCGGACTATAAAACGGGGCGCATGCAACCGCTGACGTGAGACGTTCGCACGCCGAGCACGCCCAGAAAGGCATGCCCTGGCCGTCTTGGGCATACACACGACGCCGCAAGTGGGAGCATTGTCCAGGACGTGAGTCCGATCTATTGTACGGGCGCGACAGTTGACGCGCATACTCCCTCAGACAAGTAGTACATAGCCTATGATATGGCCATTACCCGGCCACCACTGATCTGACACAATTAACCTCGGAGATGGACGCAGCGCGCCTTGTTGATGGCCACCACCGTTGTCCCAACTGCATTTGATCGAGCCCGCCACGGTGAGCACGGCGAGGAGATGGATCCGGAGGAAAGATGCCACAACAGGGCGTCGCCATAGTGAAGCCCCGCCAACGCGCACGTGATGCAGCTCTCTGTGACATCAAAAGCCTCGCTGGCGCCTCCTTTTTTCCTTCAACCTTCAAGTTCGACAAGTAGAAACCGGTTCATCAAGTTCATTCCCCGTTCATCCCCTCCTCGCTCATCCCGCCATAATGTCTGAAGCCCCCGCCGCCCCTGTCACCGAGAACGGCGTCCCTCCGGCTACGCAAGAGAAGATCGTCGAAGAAGTGCCCGGCTTCAAGGTGGGATCAGCGTTCTCCTAATGCGATGTGCTGGCAAACATGACTGATCTTCGTGTCCGCCGCAGGTATTTGCCGGCAATCTTGCGTACTCCACTACGGATGAGGGGCTGAAGGCTTTCTTTGAACCTGTGGCAAGCGAAATGTGGGTCGCCACTCGGTTTCCATCCATTCGGTCGTCCAAATTTACTAACCAAATAATCGCCAGTGTCTCCGCTCAGGTCATTCTCCGTGGTACGCGCTCGGCGGGCTACGGCTTCGTTGCTCTCAGCACCGAGGACGCTGCCCAGAAGGCCGTCGAGCTCCTCGACAAGAAGGAGCTCGACGGTCGCCCAGTGATCGTCGAGATTGCTAAGCCGGCGGAAGAGAAGGACAAGGAGAAGAAGCAGAAGCGGGCCGCCAAGCGCAAGCCCGGCAGGCGCGGCTCCAAGGCCCCTCCCGGCGAGGTCACCGAGGCGGAGGCCAACGGCGAGACTGAGAAGCCTGAAGAGGCTCCTGCTGCCGCCGCCGAGGACGGTGCGGCTAAGCCCAAGAAGACCAAGAAGAAGAGCGTACGTTGTAATATGTCTCTTCCCATAATAAAAGGTGTACTAACGCTTTCCCCAGCGCAAGCCCAAGAAGGCCGCTACTCCTGCCGCCGACTCCGCCGAGGCTGCCGCCACCACCGAGGCCACCCCCGCCGCCGAGGGTGCGGCTGCTGAGGCTGCCGAGAAGAAGCCTCGTACCCGCAAGCCCAAGGCCACCCGCCCGCGTCGTCCCGCTGGCGAGGACCCGGTTGGCGAGCTCTCCAAGAACATGCTCTTCGTCGCCAACCTCGGCTTCAGCGTCGACGACGATGGTCTTGCCGCCCTTTTCTCTGACGCTGGCATTAAGGTCAACTCTGCTCGCATCGTCCGCCGCGCCTGGGGCACCCCCCGCAAGAGCAAGGGCTATGGTTTCGTTGACGTTGGTGACGAGGCCGAGCAGGCCAAGGCCATCGAGCTCCTCCAAGGCAAGGAGGTCGGTGGCCGCCCGATCGCCGTCAAGATCGCCGTCAACACTCAAATCAAGAATGAGGAGAAGGCCAACGGCGAGGCTGCTCCTGAGGCTTCTGGCGAGGCTGCTCCCCCGGCCAACCCCGAGGCCGCCCCCGTGGCTGAGGTCGCGGCTTAAATGCTGCCCGATCATCTGCGACTCTCCACAAAACAAACGACCCGACATCCACTGTTCCGAGAGTTATCGTCCCCCTTTCATCATATTACAATCCATGGTCCAGCTCTGACAAGGGATGATCGTGGCTCATGTGTGGATATCTTTTTCCCCGTTTTTCACGCGTCCGTGACGTGCGCCTACCGTGCTGGTGCTATGTTCATTGGATAGGGTTTTGCCAAGTCTGGTCGTGGTCTCTCAGTCGATTACTTGTACGTCGCTCAGGCAATTAATATGCGACATCTGTACTACATGGTCGTGGTTAAGAGATCAGTCGGATCAAAGGTACCTTTCCCTAGTGAGGTCATCGTAAGCCTTGACCTGCCCTGCGGAACGGAAGTTGTCCTCTTGAATTGTGGCCCAAGCTTGAGCATTACCGTCGAAGTATTGATATGCATGAAATCACTACATCTTGCACTACAACCTTGACGTCGGTTCATCTGCGACCAAATGGCGGATGAAGAAGACGATTATCTTTCCGACAAGTTCCTGGTCGAGGCGCCGGCCCCAGCGACAAAGACTACCAAGACATACTCCCAACGTAGACGAGATGCGGAGAAAGAAGGACAGATAAAGATGCTCGCGAACAGGATGAAGAGCCGTCGCGAACGCGAGCTCGAATCGAGGGAAGAGGGGCTCAGCAAGAGTTTGTTTGATCGCGCCGAGGAAGAGAAAGCGTCGGGTATTCAAGGCGGAAGTAATAAGGCGTTGGCGATGATGATGAAGATGGGATTCAAACCCGGAGAAGCGCTGGGCAAGAAGGAGGAGCTACCACAAGCCTCGACATCTGAAACTTCCTCGGACCCTGCGTCGGGGACTGCTACGCCCGAAGAGCGGAAATCTAGGGCGACGCACAGGATAGAGCCCTTGCCGGTCAACGAATGGACAGGTATGGTCTTCGCATGCGCGGATACGGCATAATCTCGCTCATGCTATCACAGGCAGGAAAGGTATTGGACTGGGCAAGAGGACGTTGTCCCCCACATCTGCGGAGAGCCTGGCGAAGAAGTCCAAACTGTCTGAGGACATCGGCAAGGTGGATTCGTTCCGAGACCGTGCACGCCGCGAGCACGAGGAAAGGCGTGCAGAAGGTATCCTTACACAAGCGCAGCGGACGTGTTGCAGCCTGGACGAGAAGGCTGGAATGAATGTTAGTTCTTCCGAGACTACCCTGTTGATCGGGCAGCTAACCCTCAGAATTCCTGCCACAGTTCAACGTTTTCTGGCTGAACGCCAACGATCCGGACACGGTACCCGCGCCGCTGACAGAAGCGCTCAAAATGCACGATCCGCCGATATTGGTCGTACCCCGAAGGGCGGTGGACGATACCTACGAATTTCGTCTACGGCGGCAAATGCAAGCCGATGCTTTGCAGCCTCTAGATAAGGACGCGGACACGGACTTACCGGCCAAAGAGAACGCTGAAGAAGAGTTCTCAACAGAAGCCGTGGAACAAGCGGCACAGTTCTTACAGCTTCCGGTAAGCATGCGCTACGATATATATGTGTGTGTATATCGGTGTGGTTACAATCACATACCGTTACGCAGGCGAAGGACAAACTAGGGATGGTCTTGGACTACCTGCGACGGAAGTATTCGTATTGTTACTGGTGCGGGACCCAATACGTCGACACGAATGATATGGAACAGAACTGCCCGGGACCGACAGAGGACGATCACGACTGAGTAGTAATGTCCCCACCAAGGCAGCAATGTCGATAGTTGTACATATCAGATGGTACAATCTCTCCTGCTGCCAAAGCCCAGAGTCGTCAAATAAACTAAAGAAAAAGTGATGCATGGGAAGTAGAAGAACAAATGTGAGTGAGACTGAATGCAACAAAGGAATGGACGTCACCGACCACACTGGGGCAACTAGGAGATAAATTGAGAACAAAGCGGGAGCGAGTGTCATGGCATCAAGATGCGGAACGCGGAAATGCGAAATCGTGGCGTGTTCGGATCAGAAGTCCATGCTACTTTGGTGTCCGTGACAATCAGTGTACAGGGTCCGTGGTGGCTCTAGCTAAAGACAGAGTTATATGGCAGCTGATGCGCTGCGGCGGTGCGGGCTATCCTCCGGGCGATGGAGGGTGGAGTAGGCTGAAAGTCGGACGCCCGTGGGGTGCGGACGACGCGAGGCCAAATGTGACGCCGTGTCGGGCAGAGGACTGCCAGCCGCCATCGCTGGATGCTGTGATGCCTCTGCGAATGTGCTGGAGGTGGGCGAGATTAACTGGGGAATCGTCGGAATGGCGACCGACATCAACGGAGCGGGCGATGCTGTTCTCCCCCTGCGTTGTGGGAACACCGCAGATGTTGGCGATGCCTGTGGGGATTTGCGACGAGCAAGGCTCGAGATCGGTGTGCTGCCGGTGAGCAGCTCGTCTGCCATGAATCCGTTGTCACGGCGGTACGTGGCGTCGAGGCGCAGGGCGGGAGGCTTGCGACTCGAGGCGACCTTCATGGCAACGCGCGCCGCGTCTAACTCGGGAGACCGAGACTGTGATCAAGTCAATAACGTTGCTAATCCGGAGGGAGATTGTTGGCACTTACATGACTGCGCGACTTCGGGCGAGGTTCGTCGTCCGTAGACGATGCGACACTCCCCCTGCGGCCATACGACTATGAAGCGGAATTGGTATGAGCAGTCCAAGGGGGATGCTTGAGAGCCGATGCATACCGGGCTAGTGCTATACGGGTTATACCGATAGCGAGTGCCGACGCTCCCACGTCGCGTGGTTGAGGAGTACGGATGCGCGTCCACTGGGGATACGATGATGGATGGAGACTCTCTTGGGTGCAAGTTCATTTGCGGAGTCTTGGGATGAGATTGGGAAGGAGAAGAAGACACCGAGGACGAGGGCGAAGACGCCGCCATGGACTGAGCAGACGAAGGGCGCCGGTGCTCGTACGCAGGTGCAAGCACCTCGTTTTCCAGACCGAGAGATGACATGAGCTCGCAAAACGAAGGTAGGGTGGTCATCTTAAGTTAAACTTAAAGGGGCGTGGAGATGAAAGACGGTCGACTTGAAGATTGGAAGAAAGGCCCTGGGTCGGGAGAGGCGCCGAGGATATCATTGATACCGAATTATATATGGTTCGACTGTAGGATCTTGTTGTTGTGGAGAGCCGCTGCGGTAGCAATGAGCTTCGGCAGCCCGGTTGCAAGAGATCATTCCAACGTCGTCGGCAAGGAGATGCCCGTACCAAGGGCTAAGTTACCAAGGGCAGGAGGGGCCCCGAAGCTGTGCTGCTTGAACCGTTTGTTGACATCAACGTCGATCAGTTCCCGGACTCGCGTGTGCGCACATCCGCTCAGACCACGAAGGGGCTACCACCCGTAGTCTGGACTCTGACAGATGAATGTATTCCCAAGGGTACGCTAGCCACGACACACGACCAAAACAGCCTTCACACCAGCTTCACACAGACTGCATACTTTGGGAACACAGCTCCAAATCAGATTCGGCGGACATACGATCGAGATGCACTTTGAGCCCCATCATAGTCACTGCATGCATGAAAATATCATGTAGGTAAGCGGCCTCCTTGACGTAGCGAGGCTCGAAACCAACAGGCCGATGCTTCGGCGGTCGTACAAACGGCTTGATCTCACGGAAGGATCTCAATTTTCGACGGGTAACATGTTCTAGACAACCATGCGATACTTCTTGGCGAGCTCGACAGTCCAGAGTGAGATCTCTATGCAGGACTGCATATGGCACCGTAACCCGTTGCACCGTAAAATGATCATCATGCCGATCATGTTACAATCCGCCGCGGCGCCCTGCTGTCGGGCTGGACGTCTATGCCGAGTTTCAGAGTCATCATGCAAGTCTAAACCATCTCGAATGAAAGCATTGCGAATTATACGCCGTGGTAGTAGGCTCGGGGTATGATGCACGTCCGCTCAACATGCACTATGAGCGCAATGAATCTATCTTTCAGGAAAAAACTGAGACGAATGTCGGATATTTAAACGTGATTACGAGTCTGTATCCTGAATCGAATTTGAATCGACTTCGCGTGTTCCACGAGTGGGGTTGAGCAGGGTTACGGGAAACATCCGTAGCGTCATTATCGGCGACTGCCGAGCGCTTGAGCACAGCCACTTTACCACCCGTCATTCTCTTCCTACGGCGTAGAGTAGTGGTGGTTCTGACACTCAACAACGCTATTGCTTGACTTGGAAGCAGCTGCAAACATGGATATTGACAAGCTCTTTAAGGTGTCATGTTATTCCATCTCATCAGAGTGATATTAACGATGCGCAGGTCCCCAAGCTGCCCACCGGTGGCAACAAGCGTCGCATGCCTGACGCGCCTACCCCAGAGATGCTCAAGAAAATGCGGGTCGAAGATGAAGATGAAGAGACCTCTCCTACAGCCAAAAATGGAAAGGCCGAAAAGGGCAAACGTCGGGCCACGGTGGAGGACGCTGAGGATGAAGACGTTGCAATGGGGGAGGAGTCCGACTTCGCGCCCGGAGGGGATGCGGATTACTTTGCCGAAGAGGACGAGGAAGGCAGATTCTATGGGGGTGGCCTAACGCGAGAGCAAAAGGAGATCCTCAACATATTCGACCAAGCAGGCGGGGAGGGCGCGTTAGAGGACGTGAGAAAGCTCTTGTATCGAGTTAGCGGTCTGACATAGTGCTGATTCTAGAACCGTTTGACTGGTAGACGGCGGCGCTCACTCCCACTTCCATTCGGAAACTGTTGCTGAGGTTTCAGCGAGCTGCGGACAAGAACCAAGACCAGCGTTCGAAATGGCCGGACGACCCCACGAAGTGCGTTCATGCATGGAAGGACGTCCGTGACCATGACTGACGGCAGACCAGGTTCATTGATTCAGAAGCGGACTTGGACCTGGCTATAAAAGCATTACTCCCTCTCGCGCAAGCGCCTTCGGTTGCCTACCCAGAGCTCGTAGAATCTGGGGTAGTCAGTGTTCTTGTCGGGCTACTCAGTCATGAAAATCCAGATATTGTCATCGACGTTGTGGAGGTGATACATGAACTCACTGACGAGGATGTCGGGGACGAGGCGGAGGACGACGAGGTTGATGAGGAGAACAAGGCTGCAGCATTGAAACTTCTAATTGAAAGCCTGGTGAATACAATGTTTTTTTGCGATGTCTCGCCACTGATTTTATCCACAGCAATCACAATCTATATTGGAGTTGCTGGTTGATAACTTATCTCGGCTAAAGGAGGAAGAGGAGTCAGACAAACAAGGTGTATTCCACATCCTTGGTAAGCATTGCCGCTCTGAACTATTATCGGATCAGTCCTGATCTTTCCTGTAGGGATATTTGAAAATGTTATGGGTTTCGATCCAAAATATTCAAATCATCTCGTCTCAAAGACATCCATACTTCCCTGGCTCTTGACACGAGTCCAATCGAAGATCCATGACGAGAACCGCGGCTATGCCGCCGAGCTGCTGGCTATTCTCCTACAGAATAACCGGGATAACAGACTGACAATCACCAAACACGATGGCGTAGAGACGATGCTGAAAGTCCTGTCCGTACGTGGATTTCCCAAATATGTTCATATCGTTACGTACACTTACTCGTCATCAGCAATACCGGCGGCGGGACCCCGTTGACGCTGATGAAACGGAGTTCATGGAGAACATATTCGACGCCCTCTGCTCCGCGCTAGGGGAACCTGAGATCAAGAAGCTGTTCTTGGACAGCGAAGGTGTTGATCTCATGGTGCTCATGATGCGGTGAGCCAGATCTGTCAATCTTACCGGTCAGGTTGATTGATTCTCTACATCGTACGTAGGGAGAAGTTGCAGTCACGGTCAAGAGCGATCAAAGTTCTGGACCATGCGATGGCGGGCTGGTCCGGAACGTCAAGTTGCGAGGTCTTTGTTGAGGCGCAAGGCCTCAAGACGCTCTTTTCCGCATTCATGGGCAAGGTAGGTCGTTTTCTTGGTCTCCTGTTCACGCGCTGACGCTCGTTGCGTCCGTCAGGCTCCGAAGAAGCAGAAGAACAAGGAGGCAGCTACCCCTGCTTCGGAAGACATATCTCATAGCCTTGGCATCGTAGCGTCCTTGTTCTCCAACCTTGCATCTGATTCTCCAGCAAGAATACGTTTACTGGCGAAGTTCGTCGAGAACAACTATGAGAAAGTGGACAAAATGCTCGAAATTCGTGATGGCGCTTCAACAAGACTGAAGGCGACCGACAAGGAGATCGAAACGGAGAAAAAGGTACTATTCCGAATCAGTATACCAAGCTTACGCTCGTTTATGGGTTTCACTGCAGGCTTTACAAGAGGATGGGGAGGAGATTGGCGACGAAGAAGACGCGTGGTACTTGCGACGACTCGATAACGGTCTGTTCACATTGCAGACGGTGGATTATTGTTTGGCCTGGGTAGCGATGGAAGACGACGGGGTGAGTCTCACTTGTTGTATATGACAATTCCTTTCTAATGGTCCCCTACCAGATTCGGACACACCTAGAGCAGATGCTCAGACGCAAGAGCAAGTCGCTCGCAGACATTGCGGATACACTGAAGGTTTACCGTGATAACGTTGACGAAGAAGTATTGCCTGCTCCCGAAGAGGGGGAGGCAAGGCCTGCAAGCCAAAAAGAAATCCTGGAGGCGTTGGTCACGTTCCTCGAGGGGACTAGCTGAGTATTACAGTACATGGTATGGACACGATCTTGTATCACAAAGCACCTTATGATGCTGCTATAGGTGTACTGGTTTCTGCTAATGCCAATGCCGCCGAAGCGAAGACCATGTCCAGAGCGCCTCGCGTCTTCACAAGCTCTTGTTGGAATCGGAGTTCGGTCGCCACTTTCTTCTGTAACCGGAGGAATAAAGAGTCGATCAGTGGTGACTGACCCAGCACAGGGGTATACATCTCTAAATCCCAGTTAGAAGTAAGGTGTGGAGCGAACGAGGGAACGCTTACCAATGACGACCTTTGCGACATCGCAAACCATCTCGCCAAATCTGGGGTCCGTCGCATGCTTCACGAGCAAACGCAGAATGGGCTCAAGAAGCACATCGTCGCGTCCGCTGAGTGCTGACCGAAGCCCGTCACGATGGATCAATTCTTGGATTAGAGAAAATGTCGTGGTCGGCGGTACTTGCTATATGGGGAAATCTATCAAAACCTGCGAACAAGGAAAAGAAGGGTCAGCTTGCAGACCTTTCTCAATACGCTGTCCAGCGCGGCGCTATATTTAAAGCCCTTCAGCAACCGATCATAATCCCGCAATCTCTTCTTTCGCTTCGACTCCACCCGCAGCTCGTCCACATCCCCTATAGGTCTTGATTTGACCTTCGACTTGACCTTGCCTTGCCCAATAAAGGAGAGAGCACCGCCTAAGAAGGACTCGTATGTACCGGCACGAAGAGCGTCGGCTGAGAACGGTGTGTCATCCATACTGTCGGACGCCTTTGGTCGCCTCCGGCGAATGGACAGGGTGCCGTCCGACATGCCGGCAGCTATGTGTGTCTCGTCCGGCTGCGTGAATGCTGCTCAGAACGGTGTTACGGATATTGTAGCAAAAGAAATCACCGAAATTGCCAGGCAAAGCACGGGTGCAGGATACCGCATGGTATGCACCACCTTGTAGGTCGAGACGTCGTACACTTTCACCATCTGGTCAAGACCAGCCGTAAGGAGCCGGCTCGCCGAAGAGTCAAACGCAAGTGAAGTGACGGTCTTTTGATGGTTTGATAGAGCACGGGTACACCTGCCCCCTGCTACGAGATCGTACACCCTCAAAATAGGTCCAGCAGATGCTAGTGCCACGGTACCGGAAGGAAACATCAGAACCTGCTCTACCGGTACTTTTGCGCTGCCGGAAGAGCTAGACGAGCCGCCGAGTACCATTTCGCACTCGTTTGTTCGGGCATCGTAGAGGCGCACGGTAGCGTCGTAGGAGCCGGTCAGGATAAGGTGGGGGTTGGATGGGGCAACTTGACCGGAGCGCACATAATCGGTATGCGAGATGAAGGTATTGACGGCGGCCTGAGAGGGAACATCCCAGAGCTTGACGGTTGTGTCATCAGAGCAGGAAAGCACTTGGGTGGGATTTTGGGTAGAGAATTTGGTGACATGCACGGGCTGTTTGTGAGAATCGAGTGTCCGCAGAATCGCTCTGGAGTTGACGTCGAATACCTAGAGTTGGGCAGTGTTACTTGGTTTTCGCAAGGAGGCACGAATATGAAACTTACTTGTATAAGTCCAGTATCGTCTCCAGCAACTAGAAGCTTACCATCCACTCTTATACATCCGCTTCGTGCTATGTCTTTGAACCGAGAAATAGTCTTCGTAACCTTCTGTGTCCGAGGTGCGTAAATCTGCACGCGAGTTGCGGAAGTTACGGCAAATCTGTGGGGCTTCGCAGGCGAAAAGTGGATGGATGTTATGGGCGCATAGTCCTTCACAAAGACAGGATGCCTGAATTGTCTCCAATATCTTGATTCGGAGCTGCGCTTAGCCGTCGCCGGCCTTGCATGCTTTTGGATGAGGACGGGCTGGTAGTCCATGCGAAGGGTATGAAAAGTGGCACAGCCACGTAATCCCCGTGACCTCTTTAGATGTGATCGATGTAAAATGTCTGTTCTACTGTTCTCCGCTCGCTGTACATTCCTTCTCCTCTCGCCCGCTCTCTCTTCCCCGTCTTTTCCGAAACTTGTAGTATATCACAATGAAGCTCTTCGAAGATGTCCTCTCCGGCGACGAGATGTTCTCTGATGCCTTCCCTATGTACGTCCTACATGGTACTCGTCCTCACCGACCGCAGCTTACTCTCGATGATACAGCAAGGAGGTCGACGACATCGTTTACGAGGTTGACTGCGCTATGGTGACCATCAGGGAGGGAGATGTCGATATCGGTGAGCGGTAGCGCCTGCAAGTGGGACCAAAGAAAAATGCTCATCGCTCATCTCCACCTCAGGCGCCAACCCGTCCACCGAGGAGGGTGAGGAGGGCGTCGAGGACAGCGCCCAGACCGTCAACAATGTTGTCCACTCCTTCCGTCTCCAGTCTACCGCCTTCGACAAAAAATCCTACCTTACCTACCTTAAGGGCTACATGAAGGCCGTCAAGGAGAAGCTCCAGGAGACCAACCCCGAGCGTGTCGCAACGTTCGAAAAGGGCGCACAAGGATTCGCCAAGAAGGTCATTGCGAACATCAAGGACTACGAATTCGTGCGTGATCCTCTGACAGCTGGTCGGTTGGGGCCTATCTAATGCACTTGCGCAGTACACCGGCGAGAGCATGAACGCCGATGGCATGGTTGCGCTCCTCAATTACCGCGAGGACGGTATCACGCCATATTTCACCTTCTGGAAGGATGGCCTCAAGGAGGTCAAGCTCTAGATCTGCATATCGCTTTCACTATCTTCTGGGAGAGGGGTGTTTTCTTATCGCTTGTATACTGCCGATGTACGCACGCTACCATATCTGAATTGCCGTCAGAGCCGTACTTTTAAAGCACACTGGTCGCCGCACAAGAAGTATCTGAAGATCGAACGTGCATCTGCAGGTATTGAGACAACATTCGGAAGTTTTACAATGTTCTAGTCCTGAACTGTCCTAATGATCTAAGCCCTACCGAGCTTGGAGATGATGGCCTGCGTGTACTCCTTCGTACTCGCCTTGCCTCCCAAGTCACCGGTGATGCTCTTGCCCTCGGCAATGGTCTGGGTTCTTCCGTGAGAGAAGATTCTTCAAACCGAAGACACATACTCACAGTAAGGGCGGCCTGCTCGATGTTCGAAGCGTATTCTTGGAGACCCATGTGCCTCAGCATCATGAGCGACGAGAGAAGGAGTGCAGTGGGGTTAGCGAGACCCTTCCCTGCGATATCAGGCGCCGAACCATGGACGGCCTCGAAGATAGAGGCATCCTGCAGTACTCATCAGCAACGGGGCAAAATTCTCGTTGAATGGACTTACCCGTCCGATGTTGCCAGATGGCGTCAAGCCAAGGCCCCCGATGAGACCAGCGCACATGTCGGACAGAATGTCACCGTACAAGTTAGGCATAACCATGACACGGTCCGAGAACGGCGCGGGGTTTTGGGTGATCTGCAGCGACATGAATACGGGCCCTAGTCATGAATACGTCGAGACTGACGTTTAAGCAAACACGGTCAAGGAGATCCTCATCGTATTTGATGTCCGGGAAGCTCTTCGCGACCTCCCTGCACGCGGAAAGGAACATGCCGTCCGACATCTTCATGATGTTAGCCTTGTGCACGGCAGTGACGCGTTTCCTGCCGGTCTGCTGTGCGTAGAAGAACGCGTATCGCGCGACACGCTCCGACGCCTCCCAGGTGATGAGCTTGATGGATTGCACGACACCGTCGACAACCTAACAACCCACGAGGTTCAGCACGGCTTGTCATATTAATTGCGTGATACGAGCCTCATGTTCAATACCGGAGTACTCTCCCTCAGTGTTCTCACGGATCAGGACAGTGTTGACGTCGTCGTAGGGAGTCTTGAAACCCTTGATGGACACACAAGGACGGACGTTTGCGAAGAGGTTGAAGGTACGACGGAGGGTGAGGTTAAGGGAGACGTGGCCCTTTCCGACTGTGTGGTATTAGCATCGGTTGATTTCGGGATAGTTCCAACAGAACTAACTCGGGGTAGCAAGAGGGCCTGTGCGCGAATCTCAGCGCTGGGTCGAGGTATCTGAGACTGAGACACGTACCCTTCAGAGCGACGGTGTTGCGCTTGACGGACTGAATGGCAGCATCGGGGATGACGGTCTTGCCGCCTTTCAGAATGGGGGCCACACTAACTTCCTCCCATTCTATCGGAACCTAGCAATGGTTTCTAACCATGAGCGGACTGAAACATCTGCACGCATAACGCTCACGTTGGCAGCGACATAGATGTCCTTGACCGCCTCAGATATTTCGGGGCCGATACCTACGAACGAATCCGTGATCAACACCATTCCGTCCGTTTCCGGAACACACAATATGACGCACCGTCTCCGGGGATGAGCGTAACGGAGTATTTCCCCTGTTTCAATCTGAGAACGCGTTGTTTGGGAGTGAGGGTCGATAGAGACGTACGCTGGCGTTCTTCTTTCCAGCGTATGCTGCCGTAGGCGCGGGGGTCACGGTAGCATATCTCCGGAAAGCCTACGAGTGTACGTCAGTACGATGAGCGCGAGACATATATGCAACTTGCTTGAACCTGAGAGCGTTTCACTGCGGCCTGCGCGACGCCAGAGAATGGACGGGAGAACATGTTCGTTACAGCGTTGCAAGCAGCAGCCGGTGGAAATGGATATCAAAAGTTGCGGTCACTGAGCACGTGTGGTTCCCGCGTACACCCGAACCGTGACGACGCTGTTCGACAGTGAATAGCAGTGAATAGCATTGAAGCGCGTAATGCGAGATGAATATATGGATCCGTGAAGCTCTAATTACGAAAATACAAGACCGATACACTGGCACTAACACTTGGACTCGCAACCCTTGAACGTTAAACATGGAATCGGCTGCTCAGCTACTGAGAAGTCCGTCCAGTTGTTGCCGATACTGCTCCATAGCACGCTGGGTCTCTTCATCCTCGAGCGTCGCTTCGTTTGACTGCAAACTTGTGAGAGCGGAACGACTTCTCCCATAAAAGCACTTACAGGCAATTCTGTACCCACAGCACCGGCCTGTCCAAGCTTACCGTCGGTGAGATCAAAGAGGACCTTATCCACCTCAGCGTCTGCTTCCTCTTCGAGTTCTTCGTCTTCGTCCATCTCCATGACATCGTCCAGCATTTCTTCCATGATGCCAGCCTAGTATACAGTGAGGACCGCCATACAACTGGTCCACGGAGACTGCGATGGCTCACCTTAGTCATTTCCATGCTTATATCGCGCATGGCCGCGCTGATCTGAGGTAGCTTCACGAGCTGGTTAGACAGTTTCATGATTTCGGTTGACTTCTGCAGCGTTCCCGTTACTTTCGCCATTGCTGAACATAGATGTCGGTGCCCAAGTATGAATGACAGAACGAACTTCATACCTAGCTGCTGTTGCAGTTGATGTCCTATAGACCCGAGTCGTGCCTTGCTCACAGAAAGCCGATCCTTCTGCTTGTTACTCCTGACGACCTCGCGCGCCAAGATACGCGCCGACTTGACATCGCCCTTCGTGGCGAGCTGCTTCACCGTCTTCCTTGCCTTGTCTGTAGCCATATCGAGCTGTATATGCATTAGCTAACAACTAGACACGGACGCGGGATCATCCAGACCTGCCTCATCTCCCGATCCAACTGACGCTGCTCAGACCGGAGCTTAGCCTGCCATGCTCTTACTTTCTCCTCGGGAGTAGGCCCGTACAGGAACCTATTGATCGTTTGCATGCCCCCGCGACCTGAACGTCTAGAAACCGGGCTCAAGGGAGTCGCGCCGAGTGAGTGAGCTCGGGGTAATCAGAGTCAACGCATAAGGGTGCTGTCGCTGCCGTGGCGCAGTAGTGCCCCTGCGAGGCGCAGCTGTGCCCTGATGCTTTCAGGGGTTTGCTGCTCAATTCATCCTACTATGTAATCAGAAATCGCGGCCTTTTGAATCCTTTGTCGTGCTGTCGAATAGATATACTGTAGTTTTACGACCTTAAGTTCGGTCCGCCTCCTGGGGGACAGGGGACAGCTGCAAATTCGGGGCCGTGGGAAGCTCGCAAACTGACTAGAGTCAGTTTAGAATATTCACACAGCAAGAAATTGCCTGAGCTTGCTCAGGTATCTCCCACAGTAATACTAAGAAATAGAATTTTCACGATCACGGGAAATTAGGTTCAGTTCGGGCTGCCAGGGGACAGGGGACGAACCTAAGGTCGTAAAACTACAGTATATAACGATCAATTCCTTGTCAATCCTCTGAAGCGACAATTGCAATTTATAATTCATCTTCCTGCCATAGCCGGGCTTGCCAATGCAAGAGTCATCGGGTCGTCTAGTATCTAAGAAGCATATCCGGGATCACGGACAACAGTGAGCGTACATTGCATGTGCCATACAACAACAAATAGAAGATCGAAAGATAATAAAAAGGAACATCCAAGCTTCAAGATTGTTTGATTTGGTTCACCAACGCCTCCCAGTAGCCCCAATCTGAGCCATCAAAGCCAGTGATGGGTTCACTGGGCTGCAAGGGAGGATTCGGGAGCCAAGTAGGGTAGTCTACACCTGGCCAGGACACCCCGCTCATGCCCATGGCGACCTCGCCCGCCGCGCCGTTCACGGTGTTCACCCAATGGTCGAGGAGAGACTGCGCCGCGGACGATTCGTCGTCACCTCCGGGGCTACCTGTATTGGATGGGGAGTGATATGCATCAGACAGCATCGGCTGCGCCTGTAGGCGGCGAATGGTGGGCGAATGTGCGCTTCCCGGTGCGGCGTACACGGCGTGACCGTTGGGGTATGGAGTCGCAGGAGTCATCTGTGGCGTCGTCACCGACGACGACGTGTCGAGCGCCAACGGCGTAAAAGCGGCGCGCGATGGTTGTGGGGGAGCGGTACTGGACGGACGCGAGCGAAGTTCGAGTAGAAGCTGCGCATCAGTCGCAGAACCTCCAAGGGCTGGATCGACGGGAATGGTGGAGGCATCCTCGCGAGGGTCCTCGGTCGATTTCGTCTTCAAAAACTCGATGATCTTGATCTCTCGGCGGGTCGTCTCATCCAGCTCGTCTCGATTCTCGTGGTCCTTGAGGAACCCATCGAGGATAGAGTGCATCTCAGGCGCGTCTATTCCGTTCGGTTCGAGCACCAAGTAAATCCCGCTGATCATCGCAGTCTGAAATTCTCGATACGCGTTGCTGTGCGGATCGTTCGTTCCCTGTGGTCTGGAAGCGCGGAAGGCCTGGCGCACGCGGAAGTCTTTCTTCGCGCTCTCAAAGCACGCCTTTCGAGAACGGGCGTAACGGTCAGAACCGAGCTTGCGTAGCAAGTATGGTCGATGTAGGCTGATTCTGACAAAGAGTATCTCGGTGATGAGGAGGTATCGGTGGACGGGTATGTAGGGTAGCGTTTCGTCAAGGGAGGTATCGGGGTCCAAGGAATAGTGGGGAGGGAGCGTGCTGATGAAGTGCAGTAGCTCATCGTCGAGGGTTAGGACGTCGGAATAGTGACTGCGGGTGCGAACCTGCTGGAAATGGTGCACCATGCGGCCAATGATTGCGGCGAGAGCGTGTCTGAGGATCACGAATGTCGTGCTGGTTGGATGCGACAAGGGAGGCGGTTTCTGTATCTGGGCAATGGAGAAGTCGTCTTCGACATTCGATGGAGGTAGCGTCGACGTATAGTCGTCTTGGATCGCGTTCGGCCTTCCAAGAACGAGGGCGTAGCTACGGTCTGCATGATAGAGATATGCCCTACATCCCGATATCAGCGCATTCGGGGGTGCATTCCCTGATAGTATGACTTACCATATGCGTCGCCGATATTCCACTTGAACCGGATCGATGTTCTTCGAATCGCTTAGCATGACGAAACGAGATGCACCGACTCGCTTACCATGGACCCGCTATCCCTATGGAGACCAAGCGCTTGTGCAGTCCGAACAGCAGCTCCAAGTTGGCTCCAGCATTCAGTTATACGTCTATCGAAGGTGAGAAAGCGTGTGCTCTAGGTGAAGAGCAGGCGTCAATGCCTATGACCTGCAACAGTGGGAACAGGCGCACCAAAAGCCGAACGAGGATGACCTCTAGGCTATCCGGCTGTACAGCAACTGCGATGAGGAGCGAACGACGAGATGACCAGTAAAAACGTTGGGAGGTAATCCGTCTCGTTCTAGCGTCGCCGGCGACAGACTCCGGGGCAAGTCGCACGGCAATTGCGAGAATGACGAACAGAAGGGGAAGAAATTTGACATCGGTGGGTTTGACATTCGGGGCGTTTGAACACAACGAAACATAGGATGCTCTGAAATCGCGTTGTAGAAGTGGATATCGCGTCCAATTTCTTTTACGGAGATAATTGAGTCAAGATACATCCTGTACACATCAATACACTCACATGGACTGGAAGTAGGTGTCGATCAAGAGATCCATGTATCTCTGCTGCGGCAATTCATGTAAAAGCTCATTGACCCTGTCCGGAGAAACCCCATAGTCCTCCACCAAAACTCTCATATTGTCCGCTGCTGATCGCTCCGAATTCTGTCGGAACATGTCGATATTAAGCTGATTTCCGGCTCGCTTCAAATCACCTTCGCGCGCCGGACTAGAGGTCTGTCCTCCTTGAAGAGGTATGTCGGCTGGAACGTCGCTAGAGGGCGGATAAGGGTTTTTGCGTTCAGACGAGTCCAGCGGTTTGCTCGGTCCCGGGGCTGATGCGACGGCGTTTTGAAGCTTCATCGGGTACGCGTTCGTCAGCGCCGCCTGTCCCAGGTAAGCCCTCGGAAGCACTGTACCTGCTCGAGAACAGATGCGGGAGCAACGCTTCCAGAGACGCTCTCCCCGTACCACTGGCCACTCTGAAATGTACCACCAGCAGCATCCTGCTCCTCGTTTTGTGATTGGGAGTCATCCTCGGCGCCCATAGAGGTTGAACTGTAGTGATCCATGCCACTGGTCTGTTCAATAGGTGTCGCCGGAGTCGTACTTGTCTCTGAGGACATGGCCAAATGAGGGAATGCCATTTCAACGATGTTTTCGAGTCGCGCCACCCTTGCATGGAGGTCCTGGTCGGACTTGCCAGGGGTATACGCCTTGCATAGTTCGGGCACCTTACGTGCGAGGCACTATAACAGCACCGTAAGCGAGAGGGATCCAAATTGCGCATTGCCTTACGTGCGAGCATGGTATCTGCCTGTCGCACTGGGTTGGGTGCGTTAGGGGCAAGAGTGGCGATTCCACATGTATTGCGTACCTTCTGCTTGCGCCTATGACATTCGCCACACGAGTAGCTATGCAGCACAATGAGCGCTACGAGACATCGCACTGCTGAACAAGCCCTGACCTGACTCTTGTCCGAGGCTTTTTCGGCGCAGTAGACGTGCTTGCGCCGCCAGGTCTCCTGGGCGGATCGTCCTCCATCTTCTGGCGTTTGGCTGGCGGGGGAGCAGAGATAGAGGGAACAGGTGACTGTACTGTTGATTTGACCATGTAGCGCAGTCTTAGAGCTGCAAGAGAACAACGGGCGAAGGAATACCGCGACCGGCGGAGGTGCGCGATAAGTTATGCCTTGGACTTGTGCAATGCAGCAACGTGGGAAACTTTCAACACTGGCCCTTCTCCCGGCGCCCCCCGCTTGGCGGTACTTATTTCTGACTCACCCCTTGCCATGGGAGGTTGCGACAGTTAATCGAGTCAGATCCTCAGGGAACGAACAGCGGACGCGCTAAATGTATATAAGTTACCATGAGTGGGTGTGGGTTCTGTATAACTCCATGTACATAAGGACGGGCTGTCGTCACACCATCGTTTCATCATCCCACAGGGAGCAGCTAAGAAATCGCTTGCTGCCTTCTTTCACGAGCAATCTCTCGACCGCACATTTGACGCCTGAAATTGCACATGCAAGATTGTGATTATGATAACATCGTTCTCCGGCGAACGATTACACTTCTTCATGATGCGAAGAATCTCAGAAGGTTCAAGTACATGGTGGTATCTAACTTTCTTCAATGTATTTTCCGCGTATTCCTATGTTCCGATGATCGATTGTCTCAGGGGGATAAGAGGATCAAATTGCCAGCGACCTACATACCAATACTGTGGGTGCCATTCTCGCTATGTGCTCATACACACTGGGCAATGAATGAAACCAGAAAGGATACTTAGTCAGATCTGGAATCAGTACTCTATATCAGAGTTTCAGCAGGTTTGCCTATCCCGTATCATCACGGAAAATTCTGCACTACCTGACACGATTCGTTTGCTGAGACAGCCGTCTAGGCATTGTCTGTGCGTCTCCCCATGAACGCGAGTCATTTATCGGATACTGTTCTACCAGTTACTTTGGCGCATTAAGAGCTGTATGAGTCTCCTGCCAACGTCCTGAAGCGTCTACAAATTGTTATGTGGAGCATAGTCTGCTATAGCAGGCAATGGCCGACAATTGCACGCTCAAATGGCAGCCCTGCATACCTTATGCAGAACCATTATTGGCCTAATATGTGGTAACACTGCCGCGGTCGAATATGAATGGAGCATCTGATCTCACGGCTGCCCATTTTGACGATAAGTATGTATATTCTAGTTTCTGCTCGAGGGAAATCTATGAGTCCGCGAAAGAAAATCGATCTCGAATCGACCTGATTTGCTGTTCCTCCGGTGCATAACACGAGCTTCCTACCGGAAGACGGACAATCGCACTCCGACAACAGCCGTTCCCGATACTTACGAGAAATCTTGCTTTTCCGGGCGCATTCACCACTATCCTATCACGGTGAGGCTCATTGGCTCGGCGACAATATTGGGTCCAGGGACTGTTGCCGTTTATACGGCAAAGAAAGACGAAGGTATTATGATCCGTGGAACGATATGCAGCATGAAGGGGCTCGAACAAGATGGGGCGAATTGCTAGCCGGCCAGCATATCTATTATCCAGTACGCATGGTTCAATGCAATCTTCCGGGCACCGACCAGAACACGTCCTCCTTGCCCACGCGTTCGAAAGAAGTTGTTTTAGCAAACGGTGAAACGAGAGTGTCCCAAGTCACTACAGTAAGACCTAGTATGCCCACAAAACCAGGTAGTGATATTCGGCCGCCTTGTAGAGAGAGTTGTCTGAGTCATAAGCAGCCAAAGTAATGTTCGTTAACACGAAAGGCAAGTATGGGCGCCGGGGACAGTCAAGGGCGCTCAAGAGGAAGGCAGCAGAAGACGCGAGATTCCCACGCTTACTTGCTGACGACCACCAACCACCATGGACCCCTACTCATCGCAGAACTACTATGGAGGGCAGTACCAGCAGACTGGAGGGGACGTCAATCCGTACCACCTTCCTTACGCCGGACCTATGTATCCGGTCGCTGGATCATCCTCGTCGACGCATCACGCACCCGTACCAGCCAACGCTTACGAATACGACGTCGGCATCCTAGCTCAGCAAAGCGTTTACGTACCAGGGGCCGCCATAGACAAGCGCGGTGGTGCAGGCGGGAAGCTCGCAAAGGGCGGGAAGCGTGTCACTGTACTTAGGAAGGGTGGCGGCAAGATCTGGGAAGATCAGACGTTGCTCGAGTGGAACCCGTGTAGGTTGCGCGTCGCATATTGTTGTGGTTCGTCTGACATTTTCGACAGCGTGGTTCCGGCTTTTTGTTGGCGATCTCAGCAACGATGTATCAGACGACGTGCTTGCGAACGCCTTCAACAAGTACACATCTTTCCAGAAAGCACGGGTCATCCGGGATCGCCTCAGCGGGAAGGCGAAATACGGTTTCGTCGCGTTCTCGGACCCCGAAGACTTCTTGAAGGCTTGGAAAGAGATGGATGGTAAGCGCGATACCATAATCTGACCGTCAGGCTCGCTCACGTAACACATAGGCAAGTACGTTGGTAACCGACCTGTTAAACTGAAGAAAGCAGATGATTCTGCCATCCGACCAGTAGAGATAGGCCACCGCAAGGCCAAGCAGCTGCAGATGGAGCTCAAGAAGAACCGCAAGAAGCCGTACTAGATGTTTCACATGCGCACCGGCGGTGGAGATGGACAGAGTACGTTACAGTTCGTGTGGATTGTGGACAAACTCACAATGTCGTTGCAACCTCGTATATATGTCGTTATGTTTATACACGCGTGCTGCGGGGTAGCGTTGCATTTGTGAGTGGCTCTCATTGTCCAGGACAGCAAGGTCTACGCCAAGATTACAGGTAGAGTCACGGGATTTCCAACACTCGGCATAAACTCTGTCGAACCCAACCTAACAGGGACGGGCTCCCTGCGCCTGGGTTGTAAGTCTCTGTGTTCTGATCGCCGGTCCTCCCGACCCGTGTCAGAGACCCTCGCATATTATCGCGCAGTGATACCTTGAAGTTGCTTAGGAAGCTATCGTGAGCATCGGGGCGGAGAATGTGAGAGAGGTGAAATGTACTGACAGTATGCAACCGTCCCATCGTCCAACGGCCCGACCGCTCAGCAGGTCAACGAACCACGTTCCGCCCAATGTTTCGCAGAGCTCCTTGCCAGTATCACGTATACTGCCAAGAATGCATTGCTCAACCTCGTCCGTGAGCAGCTGATTAAGCTGCGGAATGGACGCAACGGGCAACGTCGCATGCGGCAAGTGGGCCGTCAACGTTGATGGCGAACTGAATGTGAAGCGAATTGTGTATCTAGTGAACAAGACATCAAAATTGTGTCTAGAACCTAATGGGCAAACCACTTGCCGATTGTCGATTCTTAGTAGCGTCTCACCACCAATTTTCAGCGGGGAGTAGCTCTCCAACAGCTTGACCAACTGCTCCCCACTCTCCCCAGCGGCGACGAATCTCGACGTGCATGGGATGCCGGCGCTCTGCAGGGCATCGCATACTTTCCTTATTTCCTTCGTGAATCTGTCCAAGAATTCCTCGTATTGCAACAAATCGATTATCGGTTGCAGGATGGCGGGGCCGGAAGGCTGCCCTGATTGAGGTGCAGGCTGGACAACGCCGGTAACGCCGAGCCGCCTCATTTTGAGATAAGTATGACTGCGCAGTAGCAGGAGGTTGAGCGCTGCGTAAATCAGATCGGCGCGAGCATTCGAGGCGTTGGAGTCGAGTGTTTGTTCTGAGGACGACGCAGTCTGGCCCTCCTCGCCATCAATGTCAATCTGCTTACATGTCAGTGGATCGCTGTGAAAGTTATTGAATCCCGCCGACCATTTCGAAACGCAGCTCAGTGTCCTGAGCTGCATCCACAGCAACAATGCGTTCCGATACTCGCGCGGACGCTGTAGGCAGATTGCTGGCCTCGCGGATCAATGCGGCAAAGATCTCCTGTTCGACTATCTCTCTTTGAGCGGTTCGGAGAGTTTCGCTGAGGCTTTCTGCTCCTTGGAGTACGAGCCGGCTATGAGAGACGGACAGGGAATTGCTTGACCTTCCAGTCGACAGCGACACTCGCATCCGGGTTCGATGCCGATGAGGAAACACCATAGCACTAGACGTCATTTCATACGTCGCAAGATGCCCGATGGCGCGACGACGGAAAAGAGCGGGAGCTGTTTGTAACCATTTTTAGCCACCGCGTTTCATGCATATAGAGATGTTGACCAACATTCCTCCAGGCCGTACGAGATCAGAAAATCCTTCGACGTCCTTTCCGCGGCCTTCCCCATGGCAGAACCGAACGGGAGCGGTGCAGGGATCAAGTTCCAGTTGTCTGCACGGAGCTTGAGCGCGTCCACCCAGTACTTTTCGCTGCGATCTCTGGCCTTCTCCATCTGTTCCGCCTCCGACTTCAGTATGTTGGCTGCGTTACGAAGGGCCTCATCCTTTGCACCGACGACAAGCTGCGCATCGAATGCCTGAACGGATGGAATAGGAGGCGGTTTCGACACCACCGTGGCTGCCAGCGAAGTAGTTGTGATGGACCCGGCGGGTACACCGGCGGCGATCATTTCCGAGGGTCCAGAGTTAACCTGACCCGTAGTTGCAAGCAGAGCGGTGAGGAGATCTCTCGCAAGGACCATCTCCGAGTGAGCTGCGCTGGGCTGTGATGTTGAGCGATCGCTTGCGACTCGACTGGGCCTGAACATACTGGAGATGAGGGCCGATCTCCGTGCGTAGCTGGGACAGTTCCTCCGGAGTCATCGGCTGGTTAGACGCGTTGCCGCTGTCTTGTTTCTCGGTGTTACGTTCCTTGCCCTCCAGTTCATTCTCGCGGGTGAACCCTTCGAGAACTGCGCGTTTACTGTCCTTGCCAAAGAAATCCACGCCGCGCTCAACAAAGATACGACGGAGATTCTTTCCCAGAACCGTTGCTGGGTCGTCGCGCCTGAGCGTTCCTCACTTTCAGCATAATATGGTCAAGTAGTGGCGCGGCATGCATACGGTTCGTATATTTGCTGGCCGTCCGGGGTAATATCATACAGTACTGGTATATGTTCTCCATCATCATCTTTCCATGGTCTTTCTAGAGAAAGCCGCAAGTCCTTCCAAGAGCTTTCGTCCATAGAGCAGCACTATTGTCTCAGAATCGGGATGGAGAAGCTCGAGGTCAAGCGCGGGTTTCAGCGCGTCAGGGCGTACACTGCCTCCGCACTGACAGTGAATTTTCCGTCCCCCACCTGCGTCCCTCCCAGAAGATTCGGTATACTCCCGCCCGGTCCTCCAAGGTGAGCTCAAGGCCCGTTATTTGCACTTCGGAGGCCCTGCAGGCAGTGATGTTGCTCGTACACGAACTTTGGTTACAAAATCTGGATGGAATACAATGGATCGACTCGGCCCAGTATGGATGTACCCCGACCGGTGCTGACTGCGATCCGCTTAGATGCCCTTCGTCAAGAAGCAAAAATCCGACGCCTACTTCTCTCGGTACCAAGTCAAGTACCGCAGGAGGCGGGAGGGCAAGACCGACTGTGAGCACCAGTTCGATTGCACGCAATATTCAGCATGCTAATGACCTTTGTCCAGACTACGCCCGCAAGCGGTTGATCACCCAGGCGAAGAACAAGTAGTATGTGCTGTCTACCCCCGGCGTTGAATCAATCCCTAACGTACCCCTAGCAATGCCCCGAAGTACCGCCTTGTCGTTCGCTTCACCAACAAGGACATCATCGTCCAGGTCGTCTATGCGCGCCTCCAGGGTGACTTCGTCCTCACCCAGGCGCACTCTCGGGAGCTCCCTCGCTACGGCATCAACCACGGTCTGACTAACTGGACTGCCGGTATGCAACCTCAATCGTCTGGATTGGGTTTTCAGGCGACTGACTGCATCGCAACCAGCCTACGCTACTGGTCTCCTTGCTGCCCGCCGTGCGCTCACCAAGCTCGGCCTTGCGGACAAATACGCTGGTGTTGAAGAGCCCGATGGCACACTCACCATGACTGAGGCCCTCGATGATGAGGACGCACCCCGTCCCTTCAAGGCCTACCTTGATGTTGGTCTAAAGCGTACTTCGACCGGTTCCCGAGTGTTCGGTGCGCTCAAGGGTGCCAGCGACGGTGGTATCTACATCCCCCACAACGAAAAGCGCCTGCCCGGATACGACGTGGAATCCAAGGAACTCGACGCAGAGGTGCTCAAGAAGTATATCTACGGCGGCCACGTTGCGGAGTACATGGAGAGCTTGGAGGAGGAAGATGACGAACGGTACGTCATTCCAGCTCACGCGTAGTGTCTTCAGCGTGTTCATGCTTGTCATGTAGCTTCAAGAAGCAGTTCTCGACCTACCTCGCCGATGGCGTCGGATCCGAGGATATTGAGGAGATCTACACCAACGCCTACGCCGCGATTAGGGAGGATCCCACCTTCAAGCCCACCGAAAAGACGAAGGACTGGGCGGCGGAGAGCAAGAAATACAGGACTCCCCGCTCTACCTACGCGGAGCGCAAGGCTCGCGTCCAGGCCAAGATCGAAGCCTTCCAGGCGAATGGCGGCGAGGCCATCGAAGAGGATGAGGAGGACGACGACGAGTAGATATTTTCGGTTTCGGATTGTACACTGCGCATATCCCTGCCATGCTTATGCATATGCACGCTATGTTATTACTCGCGCAACACGCCATGCGATGACACGCAAACGGGGCACGTTCTGAGCATCCTCGACTTCGATGGAAGCAAACACGTAAGGCAAAACGCAGACTGATTACACCTTGACGAGACGCGCGATCGGCTAAGGCGTCACGTGCACTACTGGGGCCATTACTCGGCGGTGCGCAGGCCTGTCCCGTCGTCGCTTAACTCTTACAGTCACTCCAACCATAGCGAACAGTCCGCGCCTACGCCTAGGCACCCACTCCATCCTCCCACTCGCCCTACAGGGCAAGCCATCCAAGTCTCACACGTTTTCTCCAACTTCCATGTGAGTTGCTCATCCTGACGTCGCTATACCACCAAACTCAGCCCGGACAGCCCCGACGCTGGAACCCTTAGATATAAAATCATAAAAACAAGGAAAATACTCTAAACCTCGAAACATTGCTTACAACGCACACCCGGCGGGTCCACGCATCCGTTCGTATTCACGAAAGACATGTCTGATCAAGTCAACACGGCGCCGAAGAAGGACGAGAAGAAGCCCCAGTCGGGCGGTGGTGGGGGCGGCGGGAACAGAGGTCCTCGCAGGAACAACAACAAATCGGGCGGAGGTGGAGGCGGCGGCGGGCCGACTTCGCGCCCATCGTCCAGTGCAAGCAACAGGAAGACTCCCGCGCCCGCCGGCGAGTCTGGATCTGAGGCTCCGAAGAAGGATAATCACAATAGAAACGCTTCACGCGGCCGCGGTGGAGGCGGAGGCCGTGGCCGTGGTGGGGCAAACCGCAAGCCGAGTCGTCAGGAGAAACCCGGGTCTCAGGTCGCTAACGGCGCCAAAGGGAACGAACAATCGCCCCCTCCTGGCATTGCTGCTCCAGCTCCAGCGCAGGCAGTCGAGGGCAGCGTCGCTCTTTCGTCGCTGCAACGTGTCATCAACGACTTGAAGACCGCTTCACCGCCCCAGCCCGCGCCTATCTCTCAAAGCAGCTCGTTTGGATCTATCGCCAACGCGGCGCCGCCCCAACCCGCCATTACGTCCAACCTCCCGGTGAACGCACCGCCCTTCCAGCCCGGCGCTGGCAGGTACCCCGGCTTGGCGGCGGCGGCGGAACAGCCGCCCAGGCACAGGAAAGCGGCGTCCATGGGCCCTTCTCTCTCTAGCAATTTCAACTCCTACTCGCCGCATCTTGGTGCCATGATGGAGGATGCAGAGGACGGCTTCGGCGAGGCTTCCTTCGAGGAGGGCGAGATCCAGGAGGCGCAGTACCGCCAGCCCGGCCATCAGCCCAGGGCTCAATCTCAGAGCTTCGTTGCCCCTCGCTTTGCTGCTCTGGCTGCTCAGCAGGAGCAGGCTGAGGTCGTGGGTCCGTCGGGCCGTCCACAGCTCGCACCTGGATTCTCCTTCGGTGCCAGGAGGCAGCCCAGCAGCGGGATGCCTCTCGGCCCTGCTATCAGCGAGGAAGATGCTGGCTTCCAGTTCCCGCAGCCTCAACACAACTTCGAACACGATGCGGGCCACGAGGGAAGGCGCAACGAAAACAAACCGGAGATCGGTGGCCTCATGGCGGAGCAGGTATGTCCACCTTCTCTCTTGGCTATGTGCCCCGTAACTCAAAGTACCTTGTCAAGATCGCGATTCAGAACCAGATCGAGGCACTTCAGCAGCAGCAGCACGCTCTGTACCAACAACAGCTAGCGTCCCACCAGGTTCTGGCCGGTCTCGCTCCTCCGCGCGGTGGCGCTCATCGCCGCGTGCAAAGCAACGTGCCGATGAGCATGGCCACCGGAAACTTCGGTGGTTTGGGTAACGCCCAGAATATGCTCAGTCAACTAGGCGCGCTCGGGCCTCTCGGCATGCCCATGCCTAATGATGCCCAAGGTGTCCCTCGCGGTCATGGAAGGCGCCACAGTGTTAACGTGGTGAACAAGACTACCGGCCCTGGAGCCTCTATCAGTTACAACAACCCCTTCGCACCCCAGGACGGGTTTGACGATGGTTTCTCTGCACCTAACTTCGCCGGCGGACATTCCCGTCAGGCGTCCCGTGCTGACTCCAGCTGGCGCATTAGTGAGTTTGATCCTCATTCATTCGTGTCGCGTTATCGATCGTGCATACCACTAGATGGCGGTGTTGGCGGAGTACAGACGAACAACAATTTTGCTGCGGATCTTGCGCAAGCGCAAGCACAACTTCAGAGTCTTCAGCAGTTCCGCGCTGCTGCTGGTGGCCATCATCACAAAATGCCGTCCTTCAGCTTCCCGAACATGCTCCCCAACATGATGGCGGCCAACATGATGGGCCTGGGCGGCTACAACCTTTTGCAGCAGCAACAGCAGCAGTTCCAGGCTCAGCTCCAACAGCAGTCGAACCAGCCTCAGCGCAAGTCGCTCTTCGCCCCGTACCTCCCGCAGGCGTCTCTTCCCCCTCTTCTCGCTGCGGGCAAGCTCGTTGTCGGTATTCTGCGCGTCAATAAACGCAACCGTTCGGACGCATACGTCGCGACGGAGGTGCTTGATGCCGATATCTACATCTGCGGTTCGAAGGACCGTAACCGCGCACTGGAAGGCGACATCGTCGCAGTCGAGCTGCTCGACGTCGACGAGGTCTGGGCCACGAAAAAGGAGAAGGAAGAGAAGAAGAGGAAGAAGGAAGAAAACGCAGCATACGAGCCGAAGTCCGCAGCCGGACGGAAGGACGATAAGAAGAAGGATGACGTCGAGGTGGAAGGCCAGGGCCTGATGCTCTTCGAGGATGAAGAGGTCACTGACGAAGTTAAGCCGCAATTTGCTGGCCACGTTGTCGCGGTTGTGGAACGGATGCCAGGCCAGCTCTTCTCTGGTACTCTTGGTCTGCTGCGCCCGTCCTCTGCGGCGACCAAGGAGAAACAGGAGGCCGAGAGGCGCGAGCGCGAGGGTGATCGTGGCGATGAGCCCCGTCGTCCCATCGAGCGCCCGAAGATCGTATGGTTTAAGCCGACGGACAAGCGCGTGCCCTTGATTGCCATCCCTACTGAGCAGGCTCCTGCCGATTTCGTCCAGAACTCGGAAGCCTACGCCGACAAGCTGTTTGTCGCTTGCATAAAGCGTCACCCTATCAGTTCGCTGCATCCATTCGGTACGCTCGTTGAGGAGCTCGGGCCTATTGGCGACATCGAGGTGGAAACGAGCGCCCTACTGAAGGATTGCAACTTCCCGACCGAGGAATTCACTGAAAACGTACTCAAGTGCCTCCCGCCGACGCCGTGGACCATCCCCGAGCACGAGCTGAAGAACCGTCGGGATCTACGTGACCAGCGCGTGTTCACCATCGACCCGGATACTGCCAAAGACCTCGATGATGCCCTTTCGCTCAAGGCAAACGACGATGGGACGTTCCAGGTCGGCGTACACATCGCCGATGTCTCCTACTTCGTCAAGCCTAATACCGCCCTCGACCGCGATGCACGTAAGAGGGCTACCAGCGTCTACCTCGTGCAGCGTGCTGTGCCGATGCTGCCTCCGGCCCTTTCAGAGGAGATGTGCAGTCTCAAACCTGGGCAAGAACGTCTGGCCTTCTCTGTCCTGTTCACCGTCACCAAAGACGGCAGAGTTGTGGACAAATGGTTCGGCAAGACGGCCATCAAGTAAGTCGCAATTCTCAAAACCTGAAGTTGAAATACTCACATCTCTTGATAGATCCGCGGCGAAGCTTGCGTACGCCGATGTTCAGAATGTTCTCGATGGGAAACCACTTGGCGGCGTTCCGGTTACTCCGGAACACGGTGCCTCCGATCTCGAGCACGACCTGAAGATTTTGCAAGACCTCGCTAAATTGCTGAAGGAGCGGCGCACCCAGAATGGCTCTATGAGCCTGCAATCTATCCGTTTGAAGTTCACTCTCGATAAGAATGGCCTGCCTATCGACTGCGCTCCCTATGAACGCTACGATGCGCACAGCCTTGTGGAAGAGGTTCGTCTCCATTTCACGTTCGTTCGCGCTTCAGAATCGTGCTGAAAGACGGACGTCTCAGTACATGCTTATGACCAACATTGCGGTCGCCCAACATGTCGCCGTTCATCTGCCGGAACAAGCCTTGCTCCGTCGTCATGACTCGCCTTTGGAAAGACGCCTCGTACGTTCAATATTTTCTATATTTCATACAGGTTTCTAACGAGTGCGTGTTACAGAAAGCGTTCCAAGAGCGCGCCAAGGAAGGTGGTGTTGAGATAGACATATCCACGGCTGGATCTATCATGCGGTCATTCGACGCCATCAAGGATCCCGTCGCGCGTAGGACGCTCGAGATGCGCTTCTTCAAGTGCACCCAACGTGCGAAGTATTTCTGTACGGGCATGCTCGACATCGCCAAATACGGACACTACGCACTCAACGTTCCGCTGTACACGCACTTCACCTCACCCATCCGCCGTTACGCGGATATCCTCGTCCATCGCCAGCTTGAATCGATTCTGCAAAGTGGCAGTGAGTGTTTGAGATTCCGCCGCAGCACACATGGCTGATCGTGTTCGTTCTCAGACGACCCCAAGTTCGCTATGGATCGCGATGCTGTCGCTAAGATTGCCCAGCAGTGCAACATGTAAGCTGTGCTCCGTCCTTGGGAGGTCGAATGCCGTGCTTACCCGTTCTGTAGCAAACGCGACTCTGCCAAGCTAGCGCAGGAGCAATCGGCTCACCTTTACCTCTGCGTTCTCGTGTCCGACCTCACTCAACGATACGGCCCCGTCGTGCGCCAAGCAAAGGTGGTCGGCGTGTTGGACGCTGCCTTCGACGTGTTGGTGCCCGAGTTCGGTATCGAGAAGAGGGTCCACATTGACCAGATGCCGATCGAAGTACGTGCACAACAGTACAATTGTTACGATCTAGTGCTAACGTTCTTATCCAGAATCACGTCTACGAGGAGCACAATCACACGTTGCAGATCTACTGGTCTAACAAGGACGTCATCACCTGGCTCGCTGAGAACAGCGACGACGAGCATCTCAAGAAGGTCAAGCAGACCGCCGAGTTGCACGCACAGAAGATGGAGGTCTCCACGCACTCCGTCTACGACGAGAAGGCCCTGTTCGACGAGGACGACAACGAGGACGACGAGATTGTACTGGGCAGGCCCGACGGCCCCGTCGAGGAAGAAGAACCGTCGCACCAGCGCATGCTCTCCAAGGTAAAGGCCAGGCCCGAGTTCGAGGGGCTGAAGACCACGCCGTCTGGACACAAGATCCAGGAGATCCGCGAGCTCATGACGGTGCCGGTTATCATCACGGCCGACCTCACCAAGAGTCCGCCGGTCATCAAGGTGTACAGTGTCAACCCGTACGCAGAGCAGAAGTAATCCGTTGCTCGTTCATGTTTTGTTTGGTGTACGATATTTGACGTTGTTGCCCATGCCCGTCCTCCTGATCTCCTCTCTTCTCTCATGCCGGCCGGATGTACACATTATGTCCTATCCCGAACTATCCTCCCTTTCGCTACTACGTATAACGCCGCACCCATCAGTAGATGAAGTAGGGGTCATGTCTGTTATGTTGACACGAAACGAACGATTGTCTGACGTCCTGAATAAGCGTTTATTCGCCGCTTCGGCTGAGCGGCTCTACGTTCAAATCAGCCAAATTCGTATAACGGTCGATTGAAGTCGACTGCAAGATTATCGACTGCAAACTGTCCCATTTGATCGCATAACTGTCCCACTTGATCGTATAAGTGTATGGCTATGAGTTCACCAGTAGATTGCATCACATTGTAAACTAATCAACTACTGCGTGTATCTAATGCCTTTGATCGTACATAGGGTTAGGGTTAGAGCTATGGACAGGCGAAAAAAAAATGGCCTGCCCAGCCCGAGGGCCGAAGCAGGACAGGGAAATATTGAGAAAGTGCATGCGCCGAAGCACATACAAGCCGCTATTCCTTCCTGTATGGACAAGGTCGCCGTGCTCTGGGAAGGCCCAACAGCCCGCACTCCCAGGACATGAAGGGGAGCACGCCTTCAAGGTAAGTATGAGTTGTTCAAATGCCAGGCAGAGGTTTATATACTCTAGACGGGCGCACGGACCACCTTGTGTTTGGCACTATTTTGATGATGACATGAGAACCTCGGCCCGCAGAGGAGGCGGGCAACTGTGCCGCAAACACCTTGCTGGTGGCAATCTGCTGCCAGCATAGACGCAGATGATAGCTCTGGCGCTTGAGATGGATTCAGCAGGCGCTGTCGAAGCGTTGGGAAAGGTGGACAAGCCGAATGCGGTCGCACCCGCTGCCAAGCAGGTGCAAACAGCGACGGTTTCACGTGATACTGCCCCTCATATATAAGCCCCTCCTTCGCATCGTGATTCCTTACCACTCTGGCCTTTTGGCTTAGATCAAGTGTAGTATCTGTTCTTAATAGTTTAACCACTATTATGGAGGCATCGCCTCCATTATTGGTTATCTAATTTTTGCCGCCCTTGTCCTTCGAGCTCTGCTTGCATCTCGTTGGCGCGATGTCCTTGGTATTGCAGTACCGCCTTGTGACGTCGGGGGATCCCATCCTTTCTTTTCTGAAGTGCTTTTTGCAGCCGCCGTTTGGTGGCTTGCATGGCCTTGAGAAATGAATTGTTTATCGATCTCGTTTTCTCAACATCTGAAGGTGTTGTATGATGATTGTCGAAAGTGTAACCGTGCTGTCCTGTCTCATACTAACAACGCATCGGAGGATTCGAATGCGTATGCTATCGAAACAGTTGCGTTGTGTACATCCCACCAACGCGGAAAGTTATGATACATTTAGATACGGTAGGACAATGCAAAGGAACAATACAATGAGTGTGGATGATTGTCTATGACGTCGATAACAAATGTCAAAGCATGGAGAGATGGCAGAAGGAGCGTGGTGTCGTGTCGTGTGCTGCATGCAGACGGAGAAAAATGAGGAAGATGGAAATCATGGACAGATGACGACGTCGCTCATATCCATCCCGGTGCAGGGCGCACGCGGGTCATGGAGGTGACATCGCTTCGTGAGCGGCGACCAGCCAGGGTCGCCGGCGGAACCGGGGGTGAACTAGGCACGTCCTGGCCTTGTCGCGCCCTCGACTTCTGCGCGTCGAGGACGCTATGGATGGACGGCGTCGAGAGCTCGGGGTTGACGTGGGTGTTGGAGGAGCCGGAGGCGAAGGTGTGCGTCGAGCTGGAGCTCATACCGCGGGCGTGCGTGGGCCGGGGGCCCTGCGACGTGCGGTGGCCGAGCTCCTCTACGCAAAGCGTGTACAGTGCGTCCAGGCCGAGGTACTTGGCCTCGTCGCGCAGCTCGAGCAGGGACTCGAGGCGGTCCCGGGACGGATAGGAAGAGGAGAGGAAGAGCTGCACGGCGCGAGGCAGCATCGGCGGCGCATCGGGAGTGGAGGGGGTCCGGAGATAGTTGAGTATATGCGCGTATCTGCGAGAATGGGATCAGTTAGGGAATGGTGCAGTTTATCGCGGATACGTACGGTGCGCTAGGACGATCCAAAAATATGTGTACCGGGGAGACTCGAGGTTTCCGGTTCGTGATCACGCCCGTAGTGGCCAGATGTCGCTGGAAAAGGGAATTGAACAGATCCGTGTTGGTCTCGCTCTGCGTCGAGTAAACAGAAGCAGTGTCATCCGCGTGGGACCCAACCACCACCTCGTCCTCGCCGTCCTCCCGCAGGGAGGTCAGGTAGGTCGACAAGTGTGACTCCGATGACGTGAGAGTGGCCAGAGTCGTCTTGTACGTCGCGGTGCTAGTCTCGAGGACGACGATCGTCTTCTTAGGGTCGGCGTTGCCCGGGGGAGCGTCGGACAGGAGGATGGCGTCGAAGGGAGGTTGGGGAGGGGATGTCGTGACGTGTGCAGGGAGTGCGGGGACCGGGGGACAGAACTCGCCCGATGACGGAGGAGAGCTACCGCGTGGCTTCATTGAGGGCCGAAGGCGAGTCGCTGTCGAGGGGCCGGGGACGGGTGGAAGAGGACCGATTGGAGCAGGCTTTGCCTCTTGGATTTCTCGCAGCGGCAGGCTCGGCGAGCTCCGCGAAGTCGGAATGGCCGTCGGAGAAGACGCCAAAGGCGGAGACGGGAGCGCCTTGGAAGAAGGCTGCACGAGACGGCCATCCTCGCTGATAAACTCGTGAAGGGCATCTTCTGGAGTCCGGACGACAGTTGCGCCTATGCGCATTCATGTGTCAGTACTACATTATGAGGCGTCTAGAGCTGCTATGCGCACCTGTCCCGAGCTTTCCTTGACGAGGAACGATGATATCAAGAGCGTTGTAGTTGGTGGATTGGGGTTCAGAGATGTCTAAGACTTTGGGGAGTTTGGACGCGGACTGGCGATCCCCGATGGCGCTACGCCCAATCATCGCTTTCATGTTCTGTAGCGGATTGGACTTCGCCATGGTGAGCGAGGACTTGCGCGCGTGAGCTGTCGCAGACGTGGGGGTGGCGGGAGAAGAAGGTCTTTGTGCAAAGGCGGATGGCGGTTGGGAGTATGAGTTTTGTCGTCGTCGTGTGGCTAGCATGGTGCTGATGTGTGCGGTATAAGGTGCGGTGGCCCGTGAAAGACAACATGCTGTGGCTCTTTATTACGGAGGGCTTTGTGTCCAACAATGAGCGCGCGACGGAGGAACAACAACGCGGGACAATAGCAGAACAATGGGTTTCTCGTGACCTTAGGTCACACAAAAGGCACGTGTCACGCGTCGCCGCACGGCACAGCCACTATGGCGGAACCTTCCTCGTCCGCGACGCCGACGGATCCTGCTACGGAGCGATATCGGCGTCAGGTCCTGCCTTACGCCTTGGCTGGTGTCGCTCCAGGACTGTCCGCGTATTTTGCCATGAAATATAGCTACGACTCGAACCCTGATACTGCGTCCGATGCGCAGTCGCGCTGCAGAAAATGTGGTTTTTATCTATGGGACGGATCGGCCACGGTCAGATCGGTCAGGTCCAGGAGCAAGAGCAAGAGCAAGGACGCCACTGGGACAGTCCAACGGTCAATCCTTATGCATTGCGATAGCTGCGACTTCGAGCAGAGATATGCATGCAAACCCTGCGCACCGAGTTATCCACGGGTCAAGAAAGCGCGGCATGCACCTGCGTCACTCCACGCTACGGATGACACGGTGCTCCCTGCCCAAAAGCGAAACAAAAACAATGCTGGTCATGACGCACTTACCGTGCCGGAGTCGAAGCAGGGCGCGGTACGCCCATCCTCGGCGTCGCCGGCTTCCTCCATCAAGGACAAAGCCGCGCAGAAGACGACCCAACCCCCTGCACCGGTGCCTTCCATCTCACTCGCGACAAAATCCTCCACGCCTCAACGGCCACCCACGAAACTGCCGCGCATGCCTGCTTCCAACTCAAAGCGGCCCGGGCCTACAGCAACCTCGAGCAATCCTGCATCTTCGCAGGCAAGATCTAAGAAGAAAGCTGGGCTGCAGGAAATGTTGGCGCGAAACAGGGAACGACAGGAGAAGGATCGGAAAGACAAGGGACAGCAGGGCGCCGGTGGCGGAGGATTGGCAGCTTTCCTCGGTGAATTATGAATGTCACCTCTGGTATGCTTTTGAATGTAGAGGCCGTCATTAGTCAAATCGGCTTGCATACATTTTATACATTGCGGGTTGAGTCGGAATACATCGTCGTCTGTCTTACAGTATACGCTTAAACCTTCGACATGTCCACCACGCAACGGATGCAGTCGCCAGACTACAGCACTTGTCAAGGCTATCTCGCAAAGAGGCGGGAGAAAACTCGGACGCACATGCATGTCGTGGAAGCCTTCGGTGATCTCCGCGAGCGTGCGCGTGTGGGTGACGTACTCGTCGACCTTCATCTTGCCCTTCATGTAGTCTGGACAGAAAAAACATGGGCGATATCAACTTGCAGCCCCAAGATGTTGAGGATGAGAAATACGATGGAAGCTTACCGTCGACCAGTTGGGGCAGCTCCGTGCGACCCTTGACGCCGCCGAACGCGCTGCCTCGCCAGGTGCGCCCGGTGACGAGCTGGAATCTATCATGCCGAGTCGATGTTCATCAATCGAACGGAAGGGCGCGATCAGAATTGGATGGTTGCTTACGGTCGAGTGGAGATCTCGGCGCCAGCTGTCAGGGCGTCAGCCTTACGTTTCCACCAAGAGAAGGAGAATTGGACTGACCAGGAGCGACGCCGATGATCGTGCTCACACCCCACCCCTTATGGCACGCCTCCAACGCCTGCCTCATAACGTGTACCTGTCATCCGCGGTCGGCATCCACACACTCCTACAAATTCGAAAGGGACCCACGTTTCCTGTGCAATCGAACGTGTAATCGAGCCCGCCGTCGGTGATCTCGATCAGGTGCTCGACGATGGACTTGCCGGCCGGGAGCTGCGTCGGGTTGATGAACTCGGTCGCGCCGAACTTTTTCGCCCAGGCCTCCTTGTTCGGGTTGGTGTCGATGGCGATGATCCGCGCGGCCTTGACGAGCGCGGCGGCGTTGACGACGCCGAGGCCGATGCAGCCGCAGCCGAAGACGGCGACGTTCGATCCCGCTGTGACGGTCGAAACAGAAAACGGTTAGTTGTTTTGTGTGGGTCCTGGCGGATAAGAGGGAGCCGCGGCTTACCGACGCCTGGCTGCTTCACGACGGCGCCCCATGCGGTGGTGATGCCGCAGCCGAGAAGGCACGCTTTATCGAGCGGCGCCTTGGGGTTGATAGCGACCACCGATACGTCGGCAACCACGGTGTACTGCGAGAACGTCGATGTGCCCATCTGCGATCATCTATGAGTTGGAATCCAGTTTCATTCAGATGATCGGCACGTACAAAGTGGTAAATGTCCTGGCCGTTCGCCTTGAATCGGCTGGTGCCATCAGGCATAACACCTTTGCCCTGAGTAGCTCGGACTGCGGGTCGCGATCAGCATGATTGTAGGCATTCATTGTCAATGACATGACAGACCGGAGCTGCATAGGTTGGTCTTGCCGCTCTTGCAGAATTTGCACTCGCGACATTCTGAACATGATATGATTTACTCGGTTTTTGACTGGGGCTAGATCGACGTCTACGAACCGGCAGTGTAGAGCGGAATAACATGGTCGCCCTGATGGTCTGGTTAAGCCGTGGATATACGATGATAATCGGTCCAGACGTACAACGGAGACGCTGGTAACGCCTTCTCCGACAGACTCGACCTATTCGGAAGAAGGTTATAGCATCTTTCCGGTTCACAAGCAGAGCAAATACGTACGATCCCGCCTCCCTCGTGGCCCAAGATGCAAGGGAACAGGCCCTATCACGACGGTCAATTTGATTATAGAAGGGTTTCTCGATGATCGCGAGAAGATCGCTCACCTCCGGGTCCTTGCCACTGCGGGTGTACTCGTCCGTGTGGCAAATGCCTGCAGATGTCCAGGATCGGCACCGACTCGGGGGTACCGCGCAAGTCGGATAAGACACGTACCCGTGTACAAGATCTTAATGCGGACCTCGTGCGCCTTCGGGGGCGCAACCTCCACCTCCTCGAGCTTCAGAGGCTCGCCGGCGCCCCAGCACACAGCGGCCTTGCACTTGATCGTCTTTCCGGCGGTGTCAGACATCGGCTCAGATATGCGGTTGGCGTATCGGTTCCAGTCGCAGATCGAGCGTTCAGGAGAGATGGGCGAGGGTTTTAAGTATCGGCGAATGAATGAAGAAGAAGCTCGGGTGTGACATAGTTGCTGACCTTGTGCGTAGCATGAGTAAGGTCCGCCAAGGTCACGTACGGTGTAGGCTCGATCATCTGATAACTGCCGATGGCTTCATCCTTGAACCAGTACACGGCCGAAGGGTCAAAGTGGACAGATCCATAATACATTCACCCATGGCCAGCTTCACCAACTGCTACTACAAGCGCGTGAGCCGTTCTAGCGCGACACTCCACCCCGGCTGACCCACGAACCCCATTGTCGATGACTCGCGCAGACGGCAGGAACTTCGAAACCTTGCTACGTGTGTTATCGACCGACCACGACCGTGCTCAGCACCGCCAACACGGTTGACTGGGTCTACACGTGCGACGGCCATCTCAAGGACCCCGGGTTCGCGAGTCCGCTCGATGACGGGGCGGTAACGCCAGCGCAGAAGGCGGGCTTGAGCGCGGAGGAGATCGCGCAGGTGACCAAGGAGTGGGAGGAGCGCCAGAAACGCAAACAGCAGAAGGCCAAGGAGAAGGAGAAGGAGGACAAGGGCGACGATAAGAAGGATGACGACACGGACAAGGACAAGAACGAAAAGCCGAAGGAGAGGGATAGCTCGAAGTCGTCTGCGTCCGCATCTCCCAAACCGCCCGGTAGCGCCGCGACGTCTCCGAGTCCGACGCCATCACACGCAAAGTACGCGTTGCACCGAGATGTGTTCGCGATGCGCCAGCACGAGCATCGCAAGAGGAGGCAAGCAGCCCAGGCGAAGGAGCTTGCCCCTCGACTTCCGAGCGCGCCGATGAGTGCCCTTCCGAAGCCTTGATACTTCGATGCGATTATGCAGACTATAAATACATGTTTCAACAAGAAAGATACGCTGTAGGGTCGTTATGTATACTACCCATGAAATGCCGATCTACCACAGTCCCCGAGCATTCATTCCGTGAAAGGATTGCACCCTCCGCAAACCGCCGCCCGGACGGCAAAGCTCGCGATGCTCCCGATCGCCAGCCCGCCGACGAGCGAAAAGCCGGTGATGGTCGCCGCCGTGTCCACGTCGTCCTGCCGGCCCTTCAGCCGTGGGTTGTGCTCCAGCGACGGCGCGGCCATCATGCACAGGCTAGAGATGTACCCGTTCGAGAGCCCGAAGAGGAAAAGGATGAGCATGAAGAGCCAGTCCGAGTTGATCACGGGCGGGATCGGCGGCAGCGCAGCGGACCGGGTGACGTTGCACATCAGGAACAGCGGGATGAAGAGCGTGCGCAGGACGGAGAGCGCGAGCAGGCGTCGGGCGGACCAGATGACGAACCGGTGGAAGCCGCAGATGTAGCGCCCGAGGTAGTCGCCGCAGTTGAAGACGAGGAAATGGATCGAGCTGAAGACCAGGGGATGGATCGCCTTGTTGACGGGCGTGATGGATACTGTGATGGGAGGGAACACGGCCTGGACACGTCAAGTCAGCGCGGTATCTCCAAAGCGTTGTAGATAATCGCCTTACCAGAGTGACGACGAAGACGTACGCGACGGCAACGTTGTACGTCAGGTTGAGCTTGAAGACGCGGGATAGCCGGGTCGACTCGAGCTCGAGCTGTTCGCCCGAGAACGAGCGGGAGCGTTCGCGCCGGTGTGTCGCGTCCACGAGCAGCTTCGAGTGTTGCTCGAACGGGACCGCGACCGCCTGGTACACCGGCAGGCGGACGAGCCAGGCGTGCGCGCCGACCGTGGCCAGCAGGAACAGGGTCGACAGCCCGAAGAACGCGAACGCGGACTTTTCTTCGGCCGAGCCGTCGCTCACGGCGGAGGCGTGGATCGAGGCGGACGCGCTCAGGAGCTGGACGGCGCTGATGAGAACGGCGACGACGGCTTGGCCCGTCATGACGGCCTGCATGGCAAGCGGACCGAAGAGGGAGGCGACGGCGACCACGGACGCTTGGAGGTAAGACCCCGCCGCGGACTGGAGGATGCCGTTCAGGATCACGAATGCGAAGAAGAGCCCGGGAGGCATGTGGACAAAGGTCGACGCGGTAAGGAGGAACAAAGACAGAGCCAGCCATAGCGTACTATGTCGTACGCGCACAGTACGGGAAGACTGGGTGAAGGTGAGTACGAGTCGTAGGCGTTACGCAGTATATAAGCCGCACCTGCTTCGACGTTATGGTCGCATGCGCTAGGAAGCCGCAATTGGCGATCGTGAAGGTAGCCGACAGGTACGAGCTGAACGTGCTCTTCAGGGAAGAGCCTTCCAGTCTCGCAAGGAAGTACGGCGTCGCGGTGATCATCGCTGAACTGAGTGTAAAATAACGGTCCGTAAACCAGACGCAAGAAAGCGGCATACCATTCCAAGGAAGTAGCACGGCGTTGCCGAGCATGAAGTACACCCATCGCACCCTGGCGTCCAGAGCCTCCTCCGGAGGAAGCACGACCGGGACATCTTCGAGTTGTTCCGCGTCCGTTCCCACTACGAGGGACTCCGAAAGATGGTGAGGCGCGGTCTCCGGCTCCTCAGCTGCGTCCGGGCCTTGCGGAAGCGGGCGGTAGCCCGCCGATGGAGATGAGACCATGATGAGGCTAGTGGTCAAGGAGAGCAAGGCAAGCGATAGCGGCGTACGCTGCGAGAACCAGCAGCCTATATGCACAGAAGTCGCCTTCTCGGTGAGGGTGAGCGGTGGAAGCCGCAGCGCCGCCGCTGGCTGTGCATGCACGAGTCTTTCGTGGACAAGACACGGCAGGTGAAGAAACGAAGAAGGCAGAAATAACATTATAACAGTACAATGTTCTACACACACATACGGCAACATGCATGACCCAGACATGCAGTACTACAAATCCCACTTGAAATCGAAACCACCCAGCGCGCACAGAAAACGTCCCAAAATCCGTCATGTCATGCACACATGCCCGGAGTCCTCAGTCCGCATACAGCACATGCTTGTCCGTCCCGTCCATCCACATCCTCAGGTCCCGATCGCTCTCGAGCCCGATGAAATCGTTCGTCCGGCTGTCGCGATACCGCAGCGCGGCGACCTCCCCGCCCAAGCGGGCCTTCACCTTCTCCATCAGCTGCTCGCGCGTCACCTTGGGGTGCACCCGGATCGCGATGAGGTCGTCCGTGATCCGGTCGAAGATCTTGATCTTCACGAACGCCGGCTGCGGGTTCGTCGCGGAGATCGGCGGCGAGTTGAGGTTCGTCGGCGTCCCGAACGTCTGCGAGCTCGAGCCGGACCGCGTCGACTCGGCGTGCGACGCGCGCGAGGGCGCGCCGTACTGGGGCGAGATCGCGCTCCCCGAGGAGAAGTGCGACCCGGAGCCGCCGTTGTACCGCGCGTCTTGCATCCGCGGCGAGCTCCCGCTCTCGGAAAGCATGGGCGACGCGGAGCGCGAGTTCGTGCGCGAGTGGTGGCCGCTGCTGCTCCCACCGCCGCCGCCGGCACGGGGAAGAGAGCTATGCGAGCCGTTCCGCTGGTGGTTCTGCGCGTACGCCTGCTGCCGGAGCGCGACGCCGCCGTTCATGTCGACGGCGCGCATCGTCGTTTTGGGAGCCAAGGCGGCGGCGGCGTTGGCGTACCCGCCGGCGCTGCCGGGATCGTCCCCGTAGTCGGACCCTTCGTCGCTCGCGTGCCCCGCGCGGGGGGACGAATCGGATATCATCATGTTCCCGAGGGTGTCGCGGATCTCCTCCCCGTACTCGTCGTCGGCCTGCGCGGGGTAGTTGTACGCGTCCAGGGCGTCCATCTCCGCCACGCGCGGCTCGATGTCGGTCTCGACGTCGCCCGGCTTGGGCGCCAGGAACCGGCGGACGTAGACGTCCTCGAGGACGTGGCGCGACGTCGACGCCCCGAGGGCGCAGAGGCGCGCGAGGTAGTCGTCGAGTTCGGACTGGCGCGTCGCGGTCACGGCGTCGTCGACGTGCTCGGCAGGGCCGGGCATGTAGGGCAGTATCCGCGGGTGCGGCGGGTTGCGCCCCGCCTCGTGCGGGTAGTTCTGGATGAGCTCGACCTGGAAGTCGTAAAAGTCGTTGTAGGCCCGGAAGAGGACGAGCTGTTTGGCCGGGGGGAGGTTGGTCGAGCCTGAGGGGTCGTACGGCTGGAAGACGGCGTGGACGCGGAACCAGTACTCGTCCATCTCGTAGTGGAAGGAGACGACGGAGGCGGAGAGGAGGATGCCGTCCGGGAGCATCGGCTGGGCGGAGGTGGAGGCCGCGCCGGGCGACGGCTGAGCCTGGTCGGGCTCGGCCGAGGGCGGTACTTCGTCCACGGCTGCTGGACTCACTTTGGCGGGGCTGATGGCGGTTGGACCCAGCGCGGGACTGATGGCGCGTGGACCCAGCGCCGGGCTGATCGCTGGACTGGGGCCCCACGGCATAGGCGAAGGGGCAGGAGAGACGGTCACGGCGGTGCCTGGCATGGTAGATGTCATAGGAGGAGAAAGCATGCCCTGCGATGGGGGCATGTACGGGCTGTTCGGGACCGGCGCGGCGTTCGTGCTGTCGTCCAGGACGCCGAGGGCGATGCTGCTCGCCTTGTAGTTGAGCATGTCCCGCTTCCAGTCCTCGACCTTGGGCAGCTCGCCGCTGTCGAGCAGCGCGTCGATGTCGCGGATCGGCTTGTTTGTCGCCGGGTCGCGGATCTCGACGAACGAGACCGGGATCAGGCCGGGGCGGCCGAGCTTGCCGATCGGTTTGGCGACGAACCATTCCCGGTTCGACTGCGCGACGACGGAGATGGCGTCGCCGACGCGCGCCTCGAGCTCGTCTGTCCGTTCGGCGTGGAAGTCGTGCAGGACGACGGCATAGTAGACCTTCGGCTTGACTTTCGGCACGGGCTGGATGCTGGGTGGTAATTGTTGGGTAGATATGGAGGAGAATGTACGGGGTCTACGAAGGGGAGCACGTCAGACACGGAGGGAAATTCGATATCAATCGCTGAATAGGAATGCGTACGTCGCAGTGTTCTTGGCGAACTCGTCAAATAGTGATCTGGGGACGAGGCCCCGTGCGCCCGTAGACGGGTTGTGGGCCTCATACCACGCGCCATTGTCGTTGATTTCGCGGACGACATAGAAAAAATCGCCCTTGTTGAAGGGCAGCTCGGTCGCGGTCTGAGGGCGATAAGCGGAGTGAGCGCGGATGACTTTCTTCGGGGGCACGAGGGTCGCGGCCGGCTTGGAGAGGGCGGGGATCGGGGTGGATATGTGGGGAGAGCTGCTGTCCCTCGCGATGGACTTTCGTAGACTCTTCATGGTCGTAAAGGAGCGGGGATGGCGGAGAGATCGTGAAGAGGGAGGAGGAAGGGAGAGGAAGATGGGCAGCGCAGAAATACAGAGCGAGAACCAAGACAACGACGGACCGCACAACCCTCGGGCTGTGCCGCGCCCCACGTGGCGGGATCGACAATTGGCTCGCGACGAACAATCACCGTATTCCGCCAATCCTTGCCTCCCCAGCACACCATTATCCCGAGTATCTGCCCGCGCCGTGTCCTTCTCCTATACATACGACCGACCAACCGTGCCTTCGTCGTCCCAGGCGATTCCTGCACCCGCGTTCTCTCGCTCCGCAGCGCACCTGGGCCGAGTCGGCCTCCGCCGTTCGATCGCAAGCACCCGGTCGGCCGTTGCGAACTATACTCCCATACCTCGGTCTCATATGTCGGTGGGTCAAGCATCGAAGCTGCCCAATACTTCCCCCTGCGTCCCCCTGCGCCGCACCTGATCGCATGTTCGTGACTACCGCAGCCGATGCCGTGTGAGGGGGCACCGGTGACTGAGTGCATCGACGACGGCCCCTGTCTTTTAACTTAATACCCAGGAAGTTGGAACCGACGGTGTTCATATCACACTGGATCACACCTCGTCTATCCTCCCCTGCGAGTTGATGCGGACCTGGACACATCTGCTGAGCTCGCGCACACCGACTATGATGGAATCAGGCGTTGGCCGTGGAGACGTCAGTCAAGCTGATGAGTCGCTGTGGATCATCTCCGCTTAGGATTGCGTGCGGTGTATATACGCATTACCATGGCAGGCGTGGATGCTCGGGGGCGTCGCAACGACGTTGCACCCACCGTCGATTCGATATCTATAGATCAATGCAGAACGTGCAAGTAATGGTACTGTTTATGTTTCTGCACCCTTTTAGCGCGCAGCTAGCGCCCGCGATATGTCTGTCTGCGCTTAGCGGAGATCAAAGGGGCTGCAATGAAGACGCCACGGGTGACTAAGCAGGAGCCTACTTACCCCTTCTTGGCTACAGCCCGGTCTCACTGGCAAACAGACGCGGCCCTACCGACGCTAGCACGATACACCTCCACATATTCCCTCGCCGACCATGGCGGCACGGAAACTACAAAGTACGCGCGCCCGCACCGCATAACATATCCGCGCGAGCGCCTTCAGCTAACGAAACCCCCTTCCCCCCCTTTGCTGCGCTGCGACTCTGGGCTTTTGGTCTTGGCCTTTTCCGCCTGGTTGCGCATAACACAGCGGAAATCGACCGGACCTTGAAAAAGGTTCAGGAGGGCGTCGAGCTCTTCGAGAGCATATACGACAAGATGCAGGCGTCGACGAACATGACGCAGAAGGAGAAGCTCGAGGCGGACTTGAAGACGCAGATCAAGAAGCTGCAGCGGTTGCGGGACCAGATCAAGACCTGGGTCGCGAGCAACGACATCAAGGACAAGTCGGCGCTCGTGGACAACCGAAAGCTCATCGAGACGGTGCGTCCGGGCTGGCGACCGTTCTTGCACTCCGTTCTGCTGCTTTGTTCCGCTCGGGCGCTTGATGGCTGTCATGCTCATGGCCTCGCGCGCACACAAACTCTCTCATACGTCTCCCTTTGCTATGCTGCTCTGAATACCTCGCGCGTTTGCTGACATTCGTCTATCCAGCAAATGGAGAAGTTCAAAGCGTGCGAGAAGGAGATGAAGACGAAAGCGTTCTCGAAAGAAGGTCTCATCCAATCCGCCAAGCTCGACCCGAAAGCGCAGGAAAAGTCGGAACAGGAGGAGTGGGTGCAGAACCAGATCGAGCAGCTGCAGAATCAGGTGGAGCAGGCGGAGGCGGAGATCGAGGCGCTGCAGGCCGGGGGGAAGAAGAAGAAGGCGAGCAGCTCGAACGCGCGCGCGGAGGAGCTCGAGCGCCTGAACGAGCGGCGGAAATGGCACATCTCCCGGCTGGAGATCATCATGCGCCTGCTCGACAACGGCTCGGTCGCGCCCGACCAGGTCAAGGCGCTGCACGAGGACGTGACCTACTTTGTGGAGAACAACGCGGTACGTCCTGCGCCGGTTGCGTTTGTGTCTTGTCTGGTGCCGACGGGGGTTCATGTGTCCCCCCCCAGGAGGAGGAATTCGAGGAGTACGAGGGCATGTACGACGACCTCAACCTCGACGAGAAGGAGGAGCTGTTCGGCTTGGCGGCCGAGCACGACGACGACGACGACTCGGAATCGGACGACGCGAGCGAACGTGCGTATATTCTCGACGTTGCAGGCCGCGCCAAGTACTGACTGGCTCGCCAAAGCTGCGGATCTACCACCACGGACACCGTTAAAGAAGCAGACACATGATGACGATCGAGAAACAAACGGGAAACGGGAAGGCAGCCCAGCGACGAAGAAAGCTCCGGTCACATTACAACTAAGAAGTCGGTCGTCCCGCGTCCTTGGATTGCAGTCGCTGATTGTTCTGCTGCAGGAACGTCAGCAGCCGCAGAGTGTATGCGAGGTTTTAGGGTAGACACCGTTACCGTCATACTGATCTATGACCCGCAGCGAAACCGCCTCCGAATCCAAATTTCTCGCAGGTACCGATGGCGAGTATACTAAAGAATGGTCTGAACCCGACGCCGACGCCACCGCCACCACGACCCGCCGCACAAATGCCTTTACGATATGCATCGGCAGCGGCGGCAGCGGTAGCACCGACACCGGCGAAGGACGCGCACCCAACGCAACCGTCGAATGCGACGTCGTCCACCTCGACCGTGACGCCGTCACATCCAACGCCGCCGACGCCAACTGCACCGTCAATATCGTCGTCTTCCGTACCGACGACAATAGCGGACGCGTCGTCTTCACCGAGCTTGACACATCCGTCGGTCACGAGCCCCATGCTCTCAACGGCTTCGGTATCAGGCAAGGGCGCGGACGGTTCTATGGCATCGGAAATGTCAGGTTCGCCGGCATTATCGGACGCGGCAGCAACATCGTCACCACAGCGGCCTAAAGGCGGTCAGTGAAGGGTGTATACTTTTCCGTATCGAGGATTCCGAAGTTTATGCATTGTATGACAGCACCGACACCACCTCCACTGGAGTATCAGCAGGTACCGCACCAGTCACCAAGAGACGCCCCTGGCAAATTGCTGACCATGTCATCCCACAGGCCTCGCGCGTGTCGACATTATCCCAGCAGACCGTCACTCCAGAGAACTACCCCGTCACGCGGCGCTCGAACGGCACACCGGGCGCGCAACAACAACAACAGCCCCAGGCGGGCTCCTCCGCGCCGTCACCGCTGCCGGCGCAACTGCAGCAAGCGTCGCCCTCGTCTGCGCCCCAGTACCCGCCGGGCGTGCGGGGCCCGGAGGCCGCGTCGAGCAGCGCGGACCCTATGCACATACCGCAGCAGCAGCAGACTCGGCAGGCGAGCATCGGCACGCCCGCGCCACGGACGGCGCCGAGCGAGCGCCCCGGGAGCGCGACGCAGCAGTACCTCTCGACGTTCTCCGACCTCGCGGCGTCGTACGAGAGCGTCAAGGCGAAGTGTGAGTGCAGCCCACGGGATTGATGACCTTCCGGGCTGACTCTCGTCTTCGATGCTGCAGCGAACGCCAAGATGGGCAACACCGAACAGGTGCACAAATTCCTCGAGAGCGGGTACCAAACGGCGCCCCAGCCGTCAGATACGGAAAGGTCAGCGTAATGAGCGTATACGCGGATCCTTGTTCGCTAATACCGTTATTCCCACTTTGCCAGGCCCAGATACTACGTACCGAAAAATCCGTGGCCGACACCTGCGTATTACCCCCAGGTACCGAATCCGATCCTGTCGCAACCGGGCATCATCAGCCAATTGGACGTCGAGACGCTCTTCTACGTCTTCTACTACCACCCGGGCACATATCAACAGTACGAGGCACCCACCAACCCGTCGATAGGCGTCGCTCACAGTCCGCTCTCCACCAGGTACCTGGCCGCGAAAGAGCTGAAGCGCCAATCCTGGCGGTTCCACGTCAAGTACCTAACGTGGTTCCAGCGGCATTCGGAACCGCAGGCGATCACGGACGAATACGAGCAGGGTGTCTACGTGTATTTCGACTGGGAAGGCTCGTGGTGCCAGCGGAAGAAGAGTGATTTCCGGTTCGAGTACCGATATCTTTCGGAGGATTGAGTATTAGCACATACTGCAGATGCGGACTCGCGACTTCATTATATTCAGAGCATCCCCACCCACCCGTGCTTCTCCTCTCCATTGTATGATAAACACGCACGAGCGAACGTAGTAACAGCGTCTTGCGATTGAGCTGCTACAGCTCTTGACTTCGATTCAGCTCGGTGCGGGCCTGTGGCTGAGAGGCGGCGTGACCGGCGCGGCGACTTTTCGCGTTTCTCCGAATCAGACCGCGTCGCATCTCTAGAGTCTACACACCTCCGACGCCGCCTTGTCCCTTTTCTTCTGTTCTTGCCATGGCCGTCAGTACAAACTCCCTCAGTTGTGCGGTCATTACTCAATGGGAGCTGCTGTAGTCTCGGTGTTCGAACGCACTTCGCGCGATCTCTCGAGCACGAACAGTGACACGGTACGCCTGCTACCCCTCAATGCTTTGTACTTCCGGCGGAACCCTAACCGCCTATCAGGAGCGCACCGAGGGCACGATGGATGGCCACCGCGGCCGAGCCGGCCGCAAAGGCAGACGCGCCTCCGCCCCCACCGCCCGCCACGTCGTCCAACCCGAAAATTAACCAAATAGTGGACGACATCTCGGGCCTGACCCTCCTGCAAGCGGCGGACCTCGTGACGGTGCTCAAGGTGCGCTTTTTCTCCGTCCCCGGCGTCGATGCTATCGAGAGAGCAGTGTTCGCTGACGTCTTGCACGTACTGCCATTAGTCGCGGCTGAACATCCAAGAAATTGCCATGCCCGCGGCTGCTGCTGCACCCGCAGCAGGCGCCGCGGCCGCGCCAGCGGAGGATGCGCCGAAGGAGGAGAAGCCGAAGGAGAAGACGATGTTCAACGTCAAGCTCGAGGCCTTCGACGCTGCTGCGAAGCCGAAGGTCATTAAGGAGGTTAAGGCGCTCGTGCCCAACTTGACTCTCATTGAGGTGAGTGCCCCTTATGCTGCTTTTACCCCCGCCCCTCTCCCTTGCTATCTGTTTTCGTATCATTTTGGGCATTGTTTCTCTTACACCATGCTGACTATGACCCGACCCCAGGCCAAGAAGTTCGTGGAGTCGCTCCCTCAGACACTGAAGGAGAATATTCCGAAGGAGGATGCCGAGAAGCTAAAGGCGACATTCGAAAAGCTGGGTGCCACGGTGAAGCTAGACTAATCTGCCATCGGTGTCCTCGTATTCGCATCTCCTATATCTTACATACAGCTGTCAATTATTTGCGCTTTACATTGTCAGAGCACCAAACTTGTCCAACATCAATGCAACACGCATCACCACTTTCCCCATATTCTCAAGCCCTCCAACTCGCATGAAACGAAGGTAGAACTGTTGACATTGCATGACGGGCTAGATATTCCGTTGTTAACCAGAGTGGACCGTCAAAAGCTTTGACAGTACCACTTCCACCGATGCCAGAAGATTGGAGCAACGATAACTAGGGACGTTCATTACTCTGCTGCTGCCCTCGCAGCCTTTGCTCAAGACTACTTTCTTCCTCTAAAGCCAAGACAACGTGGAACCAAGAAATGTTTGTATTGCTTGTGATACTGCCGTTATTGTTTGTTGTTTGTTCGACGGGCCAAGATATTCCAATGAATGTGCGTACGCTGACCGGATCCAGAGCGGGACGACGGGAGTCAAAATGCTGCTAAATAACGGAACTCCCTTCCAAACCGAGAAAGATAGAGAGGAAAAATATGAAGAAATAAAAAAAGGGGGACAGGGGGAGGCACAACATACGAATCATACAGACTATGAGACTTAGGAACGGTGGGTGGTTGGTTGTATGTCGATGATTTCCTTCCAAGCGAGCGAACAAGAACAGACCAGGAGGTGGGTGACGAAAGGTGGCTCAAACGGCTCAAGCGGAGACGAAGTCGACAGAGGTGATGAGCTCCTCGGCCTTGGCCGAGCGCGGCTTGATGTTGCACTTGAACGGCCTCGGGTGGGAAATGGTGCCGGGCAGCATCTCGGTCTCGGGCACGATCTCCCTTCCGGACTCGTCCTTGGCCTTCGTGATGTCGAACACGGCGAGCGCGCTCGCGATGGAGAGCCAGGTTGACGCGTCGGCGAGGTTGAGGCCCGGGCAGACGCGCCTGCCGAAGCCGAAGCAAAAGTCGCGCGGGTCGCGCTCGGGAGCGTGGCCGTCCGTCTCGAGGAAGCGGTCGGGGTTGAAGGAGAGCGGAGAGGAGTAGGTGGCCGGGTTGTGGAGCATTTGCCTGTGAGCGGTTGGTGAGTTCGTCACCATGACTCCCTTGGCCATGGATATCGGTGTACTGACCAAATGTTGGGGATGATCAAGCTTCCCTTGGGAATGTAGTAGCCGTTGTAGATGTCGTCCTCGTAGGCGACATGCGGCAGACCGAGGGGGCTGCAGAGCATGACGATATCAGGAATGGACCTATGTCCGGGTTCGGTAATGGGACTCACGCGACGGGCAGCCAACGGAAGACCTGCGGAGAAGATAGAAGCCCAGATCAGACTTCTGTTATTCTACTGCGCACGCGTTGCCTACCTCCTTCAACAGAGCCTCGATGTACGGCAGGCTAGCGCGGTCCGCGTAGGTGGGCAGACTATCAAACATACCCAGCAGTTAGCCCAACTATCGGAACCAATCAAGGAGAATGATGGAGCAGCTCACCGATCATTTCCGATGACAGAATCAATCTCGGCCTGGGCCTTCTTCTGCACTTCCGGATGCAGCGTCATCGCGAGGTAGAAGCCGTAGATAGCCTGCAGAGAGAACGAAAGGATGACGCTCAGAAGACGATGATCCCGTAACGTATATGTTATGTTAATGTCACTTCGGACAGGCACTCACCGAAACGGTCTATTCACGGAAATGAAACAAAACAAACGCCATATGAGCTTCACATTCGGGAGAACGACGACGCTAGTCGGCGTAGAAGAAGAGATGCGCACCGTATCCGCTCCGCCACTGTAGAGCGAAGCCGCGGCCCACTTCACGTTATCTTCCTCCTGCGCGCTAAGATCCTTCTTCTCGAGATGCGTCGACGTGAAGGAAGGAATGGCTGTGCCCGATGCCTATAACGCGGCACAGCGGGATCAGTCAAGATCAAACTCCAAGCCGTCGAAGAGCAGTTTCGGTTCATACGAACCACTTTCGACTTGACAATCTCGTGCGGGATGTTGGCCATCTCGAGCAAGGTCTTGCGCCAGAGCGCGGCCTTCTTCTGGAAGCCGGCGCCGGGGAACCAGGCCGGGACGTAGCGCAGGATCGGCATCACGTCCACCAAGAACGCGCCGGGCTGGGTGCTCTCCGAGAACTGCTCGGTCGCGAGGTCGACGGTTCCGACGATCGGGTCATCCTTCTCCTTGGGTTCGTAACTAATCCGCGCAAACGCAAGAAAAGAAAAGAAAAATGCCGGTAATTCAGTATGGGGCGGCCGCAGCAGCGTTAGCATTCGCCGGACTCACCCGTGAGAGATGTTGAGGATGATGGCACCGGCGGTCCTGGAAGGGGTGAAAAGAAAACGGGTGAGAAGTCCATTGCGTGACAAGGAGAAAGATGGCGAAATAGAGTGTATCTGCAGGTGGTAAAAGTTCTCCGCAGTGGTCAAAGATGTCCGCGGGGGGCCCCGCCAAAAATTGCAGTGCATGGTAAATTCCGCCCCACTTTGCCGTGCTGCAGATACACTCTAATCCCGGGTTACTACTTACTGTCGGATGGCGGTCGTCAGCTTGTCCGGGTTCTCGTACACCCGGCGCAAGAACCGGTGGGTCTCGAGCTCCTCCAAGGGCTCAAACTTTTTCACCACGCTCTTGGTGCCCATCAGACCGAAGAGCATCTTCCGGATCTCCCTGAAACGGTCGCCATACTTGGTCATCGCGAGGGTTTTTTCCCAGCCGACAAGGACGGTGCTAAACCGGCGGGGTGGAGGTGGCGTCGTTAGCGTCAGGTACTGAAATACTGCATGTTGTGAAAAAGCGAAGGAAACTTACCCCATCATGAGGGTCGGGCGCTCCGAGTAGATCGAGCTCTTCTTGTCCTGGAGATGAGACGCGTTTCAGCCACCGCGTTTCATGCAAGGGAGAAGAGAAGCGTACCAGCATCGCGAACGCGTGCTCGGCCGTGTTGAGGATGATCAAGGGTTGGCCAAGGATCTTAACGCCGATAACGTCACCTGCGGTATACCGTAACGCGAAACATCGTCAGCTCCAGCGCATTCCGAGAGAGAGCGGTAACTGACCGTATTGCTCGGCCCAGGACGCAAAGGTCTTCCACTCGTGCACGGTGGGCATATCGGCGACGTTGCCGACCAGAGGCAGACCCTTCGGCCCCGGGGGGAAGGGGGCGGGCTGCCTGGGGGCGAGGAGGCGCTTGAGGAAGTAGATGCCCAGGGCGGCGAAGGTGACGTCCAGGTAGGTGATCGCCATTGTGCAGGCAAAGACAGTAAGGTAGCGGGGAGGGGGAGGGGACGGAAGGGAGGGGATGCAGATCGAGTAGAAGGCCGGCGGGAGAGAGACTAGACTAATAGCTCGTCACGGTCTGGCGACATAGAAGAAGATCAGGACCGCGGCCCACGGAGGTGGTGTCGGTTCCACGTTAGATCGCGGTTGCGCAGAACAGATCTTCGCGCCGCAACAACAGGGTCAGAACTCTGTCGCGGCACGACCCGGCGCGCGGAGGCCTTCAGGACCTGCGACATAATTTGGTTTTCCCAACAGACATCAGACGCTAGCAGAACGCCAGCAAGCTTCTCGTGCCTCGTGCACCAACCCCGCCCTCTCGCTTAGCGAACGGGTCTAAGCCACTCCTGAGCCGCCAGTTGGTATCAAATCCCTATCTCCAGAGCCCTCTGGACGTTTTCTGGGCATGGATGAGAGATACAGTTATCAAAGCCAAGCTCACCGACGCCAGCCAGAGTTGCCGCAATTTGTCCGTTTCCAGGCGATCGGCAAACGCCCTCTGGTTGGAGCGGCATCCTGCTTGCCCGCTCGTGATCACCGAATTCCCATTCCCATGCAACGCGGCGGCACGGCTCTCAATCGTCGCACCCGCATTCAGTCCGTCACGATCTATATGTCTTGCTGTTGTGCAAACGAAGTAGTATGATACCGGTTACATGCCAGGGAGAGAACGTTTGAACCATCCAGGAAGAGTGCGAGCCAAGCCAAGCCAAGATTATATGAAAAAAAGAGTCTACACTATCCGCCAGCATTGGAAAGGCGGGAACCCCTTCGTACACACACACACACACGCGCGCAGTACGCCGCGTGTCAGTCAGCAGTCCCCATTCAAAAGGACTGAACTACGCGCGGCTCGGCCCGGTGCGGCAAGCCCAGCGCCTCATCGCGCCTTGTAGGTGTCGTCCAGGGACTGCGATCGGGAACGTCAGTCCGTAATTACGCACAGCGAGGGCAAAAGCACTGCTACTCACGTCGTCCTGGTCGGTTCCGTCCCGGTGGAACTCGTGAGCGGTGTCGATTTTGATCGAGATGTTCTTCGGCGTTGCCTGGTCGCCCGAGGAGAAGGAGTGGAAGGGTAACGACTGTTTTTGCACGCCGGTGTTGCCCATGCGCCGCACGTTGTCGAGCGAGAGGCCGGACTGGCCGCCGACGTGGCCGGAGGAGGACTCGCGAATCGACGCGCGGGCGTTGACTATTTAAAGCAAGACGTAATGAAATCAGCTGACGCCACGAAGGAGTATAAACACAAGAAATCCTCACGGGTAGCCAGGAGCGAGTTGACATACAAACGACCGAGGGTGAAGAACTGCGTGGATCGGTCAATCGATGATCACGGCTGTAGCTCGCCTCCGACACTTACGAAAGTGATGTACAGGAACGAGTTCGGAGAAACCGAAATCTATGAACGTGGTACCCGTCAGACAAAGACAGTCCACACCCCACCGGTCTATTAAACCTTACCATGATCAGCGACATGATCGCGCAAATGCTGGTCAGAAGACCGGTGTTCACGGTGAAGATCATGAGCTTATTGATCATCGTGGACGAACTGTTTCAGGGCCGCGATACCGTCAGCGATCTCATAAAACGTTACCAAGAAAAAACGCGCTACGCACTGCTGGAAGCCGGTCCGTGACCTTTGCAGGAGGAAGCAAAGGCTGCCAGCGATGACGACGTCACCGGCCGCTCCGATGGCATTGACAGCCATGGACAGGTTCTGTCGGAACCTTTTCAGTACCGCACCGTACAGTCCACCGAGCAGGAGCTACCTTCAGCACTACCAATTGCGCGTATGTCTCCAAGTGAATCGCCTTGGTGACATATACTAGAATTTTGCACAGCGGTTAGCAAGAACCATATTTGACAAATGGCGCAAGCGTCGCTCACCGATAACTGCCACTGTAGATCACACATGAGAGGCATATTCAACGACGCAAAAGATATCCACCACATACCAATCTCAGCGACCACCAACGCGACCGTCAGCCCGGTTATAATAAGGTTGCCGTGGCTCACTATATTCAAGGAACGAGTTTTAACATCAGCGGACCGCGAGAGATTGGCAAACTTACGTTTGTACACCCTGTAAGCAAAGAACGACTGGACAATGAATGCGGTGAAGCCGGTGAAAAGCACTTCGACGACCATGCTCCTGTAGACGGGTTTAGCACCCGCTCTGCGTATACCTCCAGTAGAGAAAAAATCGAACGCACCACACGATCTCGCCAAGTTTCACTGGGTTTGCGAAATTCTTGACGAGATATATGTAGGCTGCCGGCGCGAGACGAGTGGAGATAATGAGCGGGTCAGGAAGCCTCATGCAGTGCGGGCGATACTCACCGGCATGCGATATCAATATTTGATGCACGGTATCGGTGGCCCAGGCCGTCGCGACCTACGAGAAAATGAACGGCGTTCAGCTTGGCCATAGTCACGGTCGAATAAACAATACGCACCATGAGCTTGATAAACCACTGATCGGACTCGTACTTCTCAAAGTAGAACCACGCCTGGGTACCTACACGTCAAGTTACGTGTTAGCTCATGCATATATTAATCGCGAACGGTTCTAATGCTCACAGGAGACTCCCCAGAGGGCTGCGGATATGATGACACCGATGAGCATCGCTCCGTAGGTGTTGTCGAGCACCAGGTGTATCGGTGTCGTGGCCATTTTCGATTATCACAGCGGCCGGAGCAGCGCCTGCGCGAGGGATGCGATTGGAGGGGGGACGAGCCGCGGCGGAAACCGTGTCCTGATATAGAGAGGGGGAGGAGAGGAGTTGAGGAGGAGTTCGATGGCAGGGTAGTGATTCCGGCACGCGAGGGGGCTGGCAGCTCAAGCTTTTCTGCCCCGTCCGTTTCCCAGAAGGAAGCTACTTCGGGACAGTTGGGGTATGATAACTTTTGGGACCTCGATAAATTGAAATAAGACTTTTGCGTCCAAAGCAGCGCATCCCAGGGAGACGGTCCCTCTCATCAAATCGGGTGAATTGAAGAACCTGAGACATCTGAAATCAAGGAGCTTCTTTCGCTTGTCGGCGGCAATCAAGGATATCCCATGGTCCCATGATTGCTGCGGGCTAATCCGTTCAGATGGCCTCACGTTGCACGGCGACCGGCCGTTGCTTTCTGATGTGAGGATTGCGCTGGGTGCAGAAGGGTTCAAGCCGCACTTGCATGAATGAGCGACGGTAATAGACGGCAGCATCGTTCTGGCGCAATGCAATGTCCGGAGCCTCTCTCCGTCGTGTCACAGAGAAGAAATCTTCCAGAGAGATGTGGTTGAAAAGATGGCGCGAAGCGTATGTTGTCAGCGTTCGAGCCCAGCCAACAGCGGACCTGAGCGGAGCCTGACGCAGGGCGGGTCCGTTGCGGCGTATGTTATTCGCACGGTCACCAACTCCGCGCATCAGCTGGGAAGGGCATGACCATATGAAGCCACATCTCCTTCGAACCGGCCTTATCAAAGCGCGTGGTGTTTCGCAACTGTCTTGAAATCGTTAATCTTGTCAAAATCCTGCATCAACTGTCATCCCTCTGAAGCTTCTTCAAAGGTCAGGAAGATGGCTCTTAGGACCTTGCCAGAAGGCACACCGAAACCGTGCTTTGCATCTTGGACCGTAGACCATTGTAAGTTCTGCCAAAGCACATGTCATCTCCGGAGCTTCAGCACCTGAAATATATTAAATCAGATAAATTTCTGTATTAAAGCTCGGACATAGGTGGCGAAACTGGGCGAATGAGCGGCCCGCGCGGAAAGAAGCCGGCCCGTCCGGAGGCAATAGCAGAGGACCGCGCCATTGCTATCGGAGGGTGACCTCATCTTCTCAAATCGATAACCTGCCACAGAGCGATTCTCAGAGAAGTCGAGATCAGAGCGAAAAGCAACTTCCAGGGCACATTCGCGTTGCGGGGAGCAAGACGGGACACAGCATTGAGTCTGGTTCTCACAACACGCATACATACATGGGAACGCTCGCATTGACCACAAAAGACTCTATAAACTGAGACGCGAGCAAGCGTATACATACCAGACGAAGGTACATTCAGTGCTCTCACCGCTCGAGATCCTAGGTCTCACCCATATGGTTTACTATACCCGTCACTTCCCTCTAGTTTCGAACGATTCGCACCTCCGTTTCTTTCAGGGTAATCCTTCCCGACGTCTGTTTCAATATACACTCGCCAATCCCGCCGATAAATCTTCGTTATTGTTGTGCGGTGTCGACGCGGATTCTATCGGGGTCCAAGCCTCCGGGTCCCGTCACAGACCTTATCGAATAAGGCTGCTTGCTCCCAGTCACCTGCCTGAGGCGCCATCGGCGGCATCAAAGAAACCTTCGCGTTCTGTTGCTCCGGGATCATCCATCTCCACTTCTTCGGCTCAGCGATCCTCGCGTTCCAGACCAGTCCGTAACGGGCAGAACCAATCGCGAGCGGCGCCAGATCACCGTGACGAGAATTGTCCTCGAATATGGATTGACAATCCAGGAGCAAAAGGTTTCAGGATTATGGACGGCGCAGAAGGGCCATGGATTGACCGTTCGACGCCGTCCACTTCCGATTCTTGCTGAGATGATCAAGCGGTGCAAGCCTCCAACGCCCACGGACGAGTTGCCAGCTGATGTACCGCGATATTGCGACGCAGTAGACGGGGTATCGCCCAAAGACAGAGAGACGCCCCACAGTCGCAGAGTCTACAAGGATCAATTCCCAGAGGCTGCAACGACCATGCGAGTCTCCTTCGATGTTGAGCATTCGCCGTTCGCAGAGAAACCTGGAAATGATAAAGTTACACAGAGACTGTTACAAAAACGCGGACATCACGACGATCAGTTCACATGAACCCCCGAAGGCCCACGCACGGGGGTACTGAGAATCTGTACAAGAGAGCGAGTGAAAAGAGTTACGGTCGGCCTAGAGATAGGCCTGTGCATTTTTGACCGAAGAGAACCACCCGAGGGAAAAAGAGCGCGAAGATTTGGGCTATGCTACACGGTTGCTGGCCTTGACTGGCGGCTTTGATGAGGATTGACAAGCAGTTCGCAGTTCGAATTTCTTGGACACAGGAGCCCTACGCCTTGCGGGGCTCGTTAACTTCCAGGGCGGACTGCGATCAGGGAAGGGGCGTAAGAACGCGTCAACGTCCCTGCGAGCGGTATGAATCGAACGGGATCGTTGACGCACGTCATCGTCCTCCACTACGTACTGTACCGCAACCCCGCACTCAAGATCGGATTGGGCGCCGCGGAGCGTGGAGACGCTCCCATTGCTGTCATGAGAGGCGGGTTCGATCTCGTAATCGAGCGCCTCGAAGCAGCTTCGGCGCTCTGCGTACTGGACAGCGTATCAATGATCGTAACTTTTGCGCATTACGTGCGGGCGGTATACCATTGTCTCCGTGGTACGGTCCACGTCCTCGTACTTTGGTGACGGAATGCGGAACACGATATCATGCAGGTTGGTATCGTCCATCTGATACTCGGTCGTCGTCTGCACCCTGATCGCGATATCGCGCCCGCTCTGCTCCACTTGTTAGCGCTTGGTCATGACGGAAGTGCAGGTCGAGTTACCTTCAGTTTGATGGGGCTTTGGGGCCCCTTGGAGTCGGTGCTCACTCCATTTCCACTAAGCGAGCGTATGGACAATCCGTCATCGCCAGACGTCATCTTGGCCCGGATGCTATCGGCGCCGAGTCACGAGCTGAACTATTCGCAAAATTGCCTGGCATACCTGCGCCGCACGTTCACTGGCAAACATGGAACGAATGAGGTTACGGCATAAAGAAGTCAATAGTAGATATGAGACTTACGAGTGGCAAGGAGACTGTTCGTGTACACTAGATCAATCACATTCAGTGAGAAATGATCATTTTGAGGCATCGAAACACGTACAACGCCCGAGAGTGAACTGTCATTCGCGGTCAGAGATCACAACGAAATGAGCAACGCGCAGCACTCACATAGAAGCAGATGTAGATAAATGCATTCGGCCATACGACGATCTGATAGAGGAGTAAGATTGCGTCCTAACGCGGAACTATATATGCATACAGAAACCAGGGAGCCAAGGGCAGATGTACTGTGCGCATACATTCGTGAGATCCGGCTCAGATTGACAGTAAGCGACTTACCTGGTCAATAGACCGGTGTTTACGACATAGATCATCTACAAGACCGACTTGAACACCGGTAATTCTCGGAAACGCAGAGAAAAATAAATTACCAATCGTCTAATGACCGTATCCGATCTATGGGCAATCTAAGCGACAAGCGACATACATGATGAACTAAGCGAGTGAAGAGACACGTACTTCTTGAATCCGGTCCTGGACGTGTGCAGCATAACGCACAGAACGATGGCGATGAGGAGATCTCCGCCCGCAGCAAGGCCGTTTACGGTGATCGAGAGCGGCTGATTGAGCGCTGCCAGTAAGTTCTCGTTCATTACCGCCCAATGCCGGACCACTAACCTTCAATTTCTCAAGTTGTTGAAAGTCCTCCAATTGAAGCCTGGATTGGGATCAGCATAGCTAATGAAAAGGCCGGAGATGGGCGTACGATAGCGAAGTGTAGGCAAGTGCAGCGCCTGCGACGGTAATTGAGCGGCTATTGCTACATTGCGGCGGTCTGACGTACCAAACTCGGCGACAACGAAGGTGACCTGAGACATGCGAACAAACTTAGCGCCAAAGTATGTATATACAATGGACGTCGGCGCTTACCACGGGGGCGGTGATCCAGACATTCCGGTTGCTGAGGCGCCAGATGCGGAAGACGTAAAATCTAGCCTGCGTCAGTGATATGCCATCGTACAAACTTAGCAGACGCCACATTTGCACAAGTACGGTCACCATAGCCTGTTGGGTTGCCCGTGAGAAAATCCCGCGGGTATATGCGCGGGTATATGCGGCTCACATTGAACAACACTTCGACCAGCAATGACCAAACGAGGCGACCGAGGTTGGCGGGGTCGTTGAAATGCCTCACGAGATAGATGTATACTATACGGAGTAATGTCAATGGTTGGTAAGGAAGTAAGATGTGAATGGGTAGGACTTACTCGTGTGCGTGATCAAGGCCTGGTGCGTGGTGTCAAACACCAAGCATGCCAACACCTAAACCATTTTCAGCCAAGGAGGATAACTAATCAGAGCGTGAACTCACAAGGTAGCGTAGATACCAAGCATCGTGGGCAGAGTATCGAGTAAAGTAGAAGAACGCCTGCGAACACGACACTGCCGTATATTCATCAGCATACATGGTGCAGCCACATTGCCATTAGCTCAGCATACCTCCGTACAGGCTATGAATGACATATTAGATCGAGGTGTCGAGGCCGATGAGGGTCAACTTACGTGGCGGCGAGCACAACGCCAATGAGCTGAGCCCCCATGCTGCCCACACGCAAACGAAAACACGTTAACGTCAGCAAGATTGGACAGGCAATAAGCTCACGTGTTGTCGAGCACAAAATGCAGTGGAGTAGTAGACGCCATAACCGACAATACGAAGATGCTGTTTGGAACTGCATGAGGAGAACGGTAGATGGTAGTCGGGAGCGGGGAGCGCAGGCCATCAGTGAGTGTGCGGAGGTGGATGATTGCATCTGGCGAGCCGGACCTTTTCTTGCTGGTCACCGTGCACGTAGATCCGGCACCGAGTGGAGAAACACGAGGACGATGACTCGCGCGCGGGAGCTGGAGTGACTCGAGTGGGCGGGCGGGACTGAGATCGGGGCCGGCGGGGATTTTTGAGCAGCGGTATATATCTGATCGTCGGTCGAACTGGCCGGACGCGTCCTTGTCAAAACAGATATTCCCCGACATCCGTAGAAAGAAGTCGCGGTACGCTCCTTGCTACGCATCGTTCGACGTCAAGGCGCCTCCCAAACTCGGCGGGTGCACCTACCAACCCCTCACAAAACATTAGTCTCCCTCCATCCACGGCGGGCAAGGCAGCTAAACAAAATCGCATGGCGCGCCTCCGGGCGGCGGATTCCAGGAACGGCGTCAAGGTTCCAGGGTCTCCAGCACTTCGCTCGCAGCTTGGAAGCCTTATACGGCGCGACGATAGCCTTTCCGGGCCCTTTTCGAGGGACAGGAATGGCAGCGATGCCTTTGACGGCATCCGTGAGTAAGAACCCTCGTTCCTGCGCTTGACGGGCTGGCCACTGGTAAGGCGATGACGGCATCGACGACGACGACGAGCGGGCTCATAATAGGCGTAATCGGGATCAGCGACGCGCATGATGAGCGACATATCGCACGCGTACTCCGCAAGACGGCGGCAGGCTGTTGCATTGCCGTGAACTGTAACAAACAATCACTTAGCACAAACTTGAACCAGGCAATGAGATATGCCGGACCTAGAACCCTCCCCCCAGCTTTGCACGATGCAGTCACTGGTGACAACGTTGAACTTGCGATTCAAGCTAAGAAGAAACCCGGTTTGGTGCGGCCTACCCCAAGTTTAGCCCAAACCGGTATCACATGACGGCGTGAAATAGTGCAGCTCGACCGATGTCGGCACAACATTGGCACCCAAAGCGTTGCATATACTTACATACCGTAACGCCACCAACACCGACACAGAAGGAGTAACGTATCCATAACGTCAGCATTGCGCGATGCGATCTGCAAGAACACCGAGGCGTCTTCTGGAAACTCGTAATAGGCTGTAGACGATCATTACAGGTGTAGTAGTACCTACCACAGCGGCTAGTGCAATACCAACATAGGCATAGCAGACACGGGACACCTGCGGAGCCGAAGAGTACCCCGCCTCGTGCGTACTTTTGCAAGATGGAATCATCGATCATCGGCGGTGGCGCACTTGGGGAAACATCCAAGGGCGAATGTGGCGCACGGTAGTGATAAATGCTAGAGAGGAACCTGAAGCGATGGCATTTCCTTGCTTCGGGAGTTGGGAACAACATACAAGGACCGTAACGCATCCAGGAAACAGCGAAGCGGTATCGGTCGGCCAACGAGAAATCGTTGTTCAAACGTTCACCCCTTCGACTGTATGCTCGCATCGCAGATCAATTCGATGTGCCCGTGGAATACGTTCGGCAGGTGCACCTCCGCCACACTAGAGCGACTGCAGTAGTCTTGAGGTCAGACTTGAGGTCAGAGGGCTTCGATGGGCGCGTGTCAAATGGTCGACAAGAGGCCGCAGGAAGCGACCACGTTCATAGACTTAATGTCAGAGAAAATTCCGATATGCGACTCAAATGTTCAGCAAAGAAGGTCTCTGCCAACACCGTTGTCGTCGCAGCAAGCGAGCGCAATAGACTTGCACATCAGATTCAGCCTATCTTGCGGCTAACCATCGACGTGCGCGCCGTGGGTCCTGCGGAAGCTCGCAAATCATGTCGAGTTCGTGATCGCCGGGGGAGGATCACCATGCTCAGCCTCGCTGTCGATCGCCGAAGCAGCGCCGCCAGGCGACGTGACCTCGACGCTCGGAACGTCCGTTTGTCGAGCCGCCGTGGTGGACATGATATTGGAGGAGGTGACGACCTCTGCGGGGGCGGGGGCCACCGCAGTCGCAGATTCGCCGACCGGATCGTCGGGATGTTGCGCCTCTGGCGTGACGGTCGTAGAGATCGCGTCTGAGTGACCAACATCTGTAGCCGCTGATACGTTAACCTCGCCACTGGAAGTGATCTCAGCGTTTCGAACGCTCGATTGCTGAACCTCTGTCGGATCCGTCGGGGTCCCAACAACATCGCCTAAAGCGACGGGCGGTTCGAATTGCACAGTAGACTCGATTTGTATCGCGGAATCTGCTGTGATATCGGTGTCCGGTTTTTCGGCAGGCGCAACCGAGCGTGGCTGATCTAACTCTCGCTCGTCCACATCCATGGAGTGAGCGTCAGAGCGGCCGGCGTCATCGTGCGTATCGGCAACTTCGTCAGCAAGAACAGCGTCAGCAGCCTCTTGTAAATCCGCTCCGAGATTCGCAGCGGGTGGCGGCAAGGAGTCACCGCCTTCTCCAGGTGATGCCCGATCAATATCCATCCCCTCTTCTTCGTCCGCCGCCGTTTCATCTTCCAGTGGTTCAGGTTCGGGTTCGGGTGAGACCTCCCGCTCCGCAGGCTTCGGCGACTCTACGTCGTCCATCGGCATAGAGAACACCGCAACGTCCGGCGTTTCCTCAGGCTGCGCATATATCGCTGCTGGCGACGCGTTCCTGGCAGCAGGAGTGGATGGCGTACGCGACCGCTGCGAGCGGCCGGACGGTATCATCGTCGTCACTGGTTTTGCGGGTAGCGGATGTGCGAGCAGCACCGGGCCGGACGGCATCCTGATGGTCGTCGGTCTGTCCGCAGCGCGATCCATCGGTTCCGACGCCGGCGCCATTTCGGGCGTCGTCCTGCCGTTCCGGCTACTTTCGGACACTACCGAAGGTTTCGGAGGTAAACTATCTGTTCCAAGCGCAAGCGAAATGAATATGATTATCGGTCGTCAGGGAGGAATGGGGAGGAGGCCGTACTAGGTTCTCGGCGTGAAGACGAAGTCGCCGTGTCTGGGTCGTGGTCACCTTCTCCAAGGAATTTCTTGAGCGAGGACCGGATGGACTCGCTCGTCGCAGGGTCCGTGAGTGCGGGTAGGTCCTCGACGGCGCGTTCGACAAACGTGAATCTAGAAAGGCGGGTTGCCGCATACGGGGTCACAGCGTACACCGCGGTGTCGTCGAGAAACCGGAGCACACGTACCTTGCGATTTCTTGCATGAGCTCCTTGTGTGCCATCTCGGGAGCCATGGATTTCACGCGGTAGTCTGTGGCGACGCGTTTCCGCGCGATCTCTTCCACTTTCTCGAGGAACGCGGGCGCGGAACTCTGCATACGAGAGCGTGTCAGAACGTCTCACATGGCATTCAGAACCCGAGCATTCACTAGAGGAAAAGGGCTCACCCCGTTCTCGAAGTCTTCCAGGATCTTCCTGCGAAGGCGATCATATTCGCCCGACCGTTTGTACCTAGCATCGCGAGTTCAGCGCACACGCAGCTCCACGGGTACATGCACCCGTGCTCACTCCTCGACGAGTTGACTGGGAGTCCGAATAGGCATTGCGAAAGTTTCGATCTCCCTCAGGCTGTGGCGGGTAGCACGACAAGCCTGTGCCCGGTGAGCGCAGTGTGAGAGGAGAGCTCCAGATGCCGCGCGCCGATCTCGCACACCATCATGCTCGGGCTCCCCGCTGAAATGGACCAGCCGGCCGCTCACCCACACTCACTCATCTCCACGTAGTGGCCACGTCTGATATTGTCCGGGTTACTACTTGCTGAGATAGCGCACGCAAGATTTGGATCTCGTTACTGTGGTAGCCAGCGCCGTTCGTTGCACACCTGTACGCTCGCGCGGAAAGTCCACAATGGCGACCGATTTCCCTCCTCTCAAGAACGATCTCATACTGCGCGCTGCTCGTGGTATGTCCATTCCCATTGGTGCGTTCAAGCGATCGCTAATCGTGATTGCAGGCGAGGAGACCGAACGCGCTCCGGTATGGGTTATGAGGCAGGCGGGGCGTTACCTTCCTGGTCCGTGATCAAAAGCTTCCGCCGACATTAGCTAACATTATCCTTCCAAAACGTCAGAATTCCGGGCAGTACGCGCGGAACATGAGTTCTTTGAAGTATGCCGCACCCCGGAACTCGCGATGGAAGTCACCCTCCAGCCCATCCGACGCTACTCTGGCCTGGTCGATGCGTCGATTATTTTCAGTGACATCCTGGTGATCCCGCAGGCGTTGGGAATGGAAGTACAGATGAACCCCGGGCCCCATTTCCCGGAGCCGCTCAACACCCCCGCCGACATCGCAAAATTACGGGAGAAGGTGGACGTGAACAAGGAATTGGGCTACGTGTTCGAAGCGATCACCGCGACCAGGAAGGGGCTACAGGGTGAAGCTCCCCTATTTGGCTTTTGCGGTGCCCCTTGGACGCTCTTCGGGTACATGGTCGAGGGCGGAGGCAGCAAGACCTACACGAAAACGAAGAGTTGGATATTCAAGTATCCAGAGGAGACGAAGTCGCTGCTCCTGCGCATTGCCGACGTTTGTGCCGACTTCCTGGTTGGTCAGGCCAGAGCCGGCGCACAGGTGAGGAAAACACATGTATGGTCGTGTGGTGTCGCATGTTAACTCAATGCTCCCCATAGCTTCTCCAAGTGTTCGATTCGAACGCGAACGAACTCGCTCCACACAACTTCATCGAATTTTCCCTCCCGACCATCCAACACATCTCCAAGACCGTCCGAGCTAAACTCGCGGCGGAGAACATTCCGACCCCGCCGCTGGTTCTCTTCGCCAAAGGAGCGAACTGGGCCCTTCCCCTTCTGGCCGATGAGGCCGGCTACGACGTCCTTGGTATCGACTGGTGTATCGACCCGGCCGAGGCTCGCAAGCAGGTTGGCGACAAGGTTGCCCTGCAGGGTAATCTGGATCCTAACGTGCTATACGGTGGGAAGGATGCGATCGAAAGGGAAACGAAGCGCATGTGCGAGGCTTTCAAGGGCGGCAAAAAGCCCAAGGGATGGATCTGCAACCTTGGTCATGGGATTACGCCTGGTGTCGACCCCGACGATCTCAAATGGTTCTTCGAATGCGTGCAGAAATACTCATCATAGAAGCTCCTCGCTGCCGGTGTATGTATGGATGTGTTAAGATATATACGTATGGATTGGGTCATACTATATATACAATGTAGCATGATACATGTGGATGAAACGAGTCCCTTGTCATGCAAACCAAGGAAATCATGATACGATATACGATGGATATAGCGAGGAAGCAAGAGATATAGATTGAAGAGAGAAAGAACCAAGAAAGCGGCTGACACATCTCGTGAGCGGACCATGGCCGGCGGTGGTCAGGCAACAACATCCGCCGCGCTGAAGCTACTCCTCCTCCGCCGTATCCTCGTCAGACCCGGGCGTTTCTGCGATGCGTTATCGCTCTTGCCCTTATCCACCACCGCACTAGCCGCGTTGCTCGTCATCCACGCGTCGCTATTGGAACCGGCGCCCTTCGCGGTGGCCGCGGCGATATCCTTCAAGTCCAGCTTGAGAGACTGCGCCGGCGCGTGCCCTCGTCTGCCGGGCGCCAGAGTGGGCAACCGCGACGGGGTGGGCGGTACGCGTCGAGAAGAGGGCGCTGGAATCGGCACCGGATTCGGGCTGGTTTTACTACGAGTTTGAGGCGCTGCCAGCCTGGGTATCTTGTTCGGAGATGCGCCGGTGTCTCTTGCGGAGGTACCGGTGGACCGCGTATTTGACGCGACCGGAGCCCCTTGCTTGCGGATATTAGCCGCCACGCTGCGAGTGACACGTGCCGGGCGTTGCTCGCTCGCAGTCACCCCGGTGGGCTTCACCTGTCGTGCTCGTTTGGGCGCCGGAGCGAGATTGAGCGCGGGGAGGACGTCGGTTTGCTCGTCCTCATCCGTGTCCGGATCCACAGTGACACGCTTAGCGTTCGGCGTCTTGCGAGGCTGGCCTGGGGGCTCGATGGCCTTCGCTTTCGCCTGCGCTGCCGCCACGTGTTTACTGGGGGTGACGGGCGGCAAAATCGGGTTTGGAGGAGTGGTCGAGCGAGAGGTGGGTCGTACGGGTTCCATGGGTACGTCCGGCTCCAGCGCCAGATCATCCTCTGCTGGGGGCGTCGCCGGGGTGACCAGGGGTGCTGCAACGGCCGCTGCCTGCGCAGCTTGCTGCGCCTCTTGTTGCCTGCGCACCTCGTCGACGGCCGACCACTTATTCCACTCCAGCTGCTTCAGGTACATATAATGTTGTTGTGGCCCCACGACCGAGCCAGGTCGGACGATGCGCATGAACGCGATGGCCTCGTTCGCGGTGAAACCATATTTCCAGATCATGTACGCTCCTATGAGTGTTCCCGTGCGGCCGAGCCCAGCTTTGCACTGCATGGTGGTCAGCATTCAAACGCGCAACACCGATGGCGGTCGCTTACGTGCACAGCGACCGCACCACCGCCTTCAATGACATCGTCCGCCATGTCGATGAATCTACGAACGATCTCGTCCGTGGGATTTGTACCATCGTCGAAGTAGAGTTCTTCGTGGTTGATGCCGCGATCTAAGAACACCTGGCGGTCGTACAATTCGGTGTTTAGCCTGACCACGAGCTTCACATTGTGCTTGTCGAAGTATTCGAGGCAATTGATGAACGGCTGGGGAAGTTTACGCTGCAGGGCGCTGCCGCTGGATGTGGACCCATCTGGACCATCGGCTTCACTAGCCTTCCTTTCTTTCTCCCTCTTGAGCCAGTGAGGGTCTAGAGGGCTAGCGAATGCGATGAAATGAGGCGTTATCCAGTTCCAGTCGCCGTTTTCCACCTTCTCATAGTATTCGTACTCCTCCACGCTGAACTCGTTCATGTCGCAGAGCCCATTCTGCATGGCTTTCCAGAGCCCCCAGAGACAATCCTGTATGCTCAGGTTGAAGTCCGACGGGCCACGTCCCGCGTCTCGGAACGCCATGAATTCCAAGCAGGCAATGGGGTGAAAGGCTTCCCAAGGTGGCCGCCGTTGCACGATCATCTAGGCGATCAGACGATCAGTCAAGGAGCAGCCAGACACGATCAGACGCAGCAGGAGCGCACCACGTAGAGAGCCATAAGCAACGCTGCGTTCGCTTTCCTACGCGGGTCATCAGATGCGTAAAGGACTAGTCGATGTGTCTTCAATTGCTCGTCCTGTGTAGCGTAGCGTTGGTCTTCGACACGAAGATGAAACATGAAAGACGGACCTGTAGAAGTTCGTGTATTAAGATACACGCTTTGTAGACCATGGCGAGGTTCAGTGGACCCCAATCCTGGAAGAAGGAGAGGTAGACTAGCTGGTCGTCGACAGTGAACCAGTAGTACTGTGCATCCTCAGGCGATGAGATAACCGATCCATTTTGTCCTCGAATACGCGGCCTCAGTTCCGACAAACTTGCATCTTCGTTGAGAACGTGTGGATCAGGGAGAGTGCCAGAGAATGTCGTGAAGTGGAGCCTGTGCGCGTACGGTGAGTTGACCAGGGAGCGAGACTTGGTTGATAACGGTTCACCTGTCGTCAAACCGACATAGCGGCGCGCAGGAGGGTGTCATGTCGAGCGCGGTGGGCACCGAACGAGCAACAGACGAGGGTGTCGCGGGAGGGGCGCTCTGCAGTCGGTCACCGGCGAAGGCAAGCACTGGCGCCTGCAAGACCAGATCGCGTGAAAGGCTCGTGACCGCCGCGCCTAAAAAACGTGGCACCCGCATTTCCTGACCATTATCCCGATCTACTTCCGCCTCGTGTTGGTGGGGAAGCCCACAAATCTCGCCTATCACAATGGCCACGCGCGCGTCCTTCCGTCGACGAGCCGTAATTGCAGCTCCGTAAAAGTACAATACATGCATGATAAATACCAGATAACAAGCGTGGATTACGCTCTACCCACCGGCAGAACTAGGCGGTCCAGCTTTCGTAGTAAAACCACCAACGGAGCCCCATGGATTTGATGAAGACAGACCCATCGGTTCGTCAGATTCGAGAGCCTTGATAAAACGGGTGTAATCAATATACTGCGACATGCAACGTGCCGGCTGGGACGAACCTCGAGGAGCACGCCTACCACGTTATCGACCTCTCCTGCAGGCACTCCAAGACCGGCTCCGATCAGCCTCCTATACTCTGCCATCTTGCCTTGCGTTCCCGCATCGCCCTGGTACCTCACAATCTCTTCAAAAGCGACCTTCCTCCGTTTCCTTTGTGCCATGATCTCCTCTTTCAGCTTGTCGCACGCCTGTCGTAAAGCTTCGGGATCCTTCGGTATGTCGGCGTGCAGGGCGATGAGATCCGACACATCCTCGACCTGTGGCTCCGCCTTACGCTTTCCCTTGTCCGCAGACGGCTCCCCACCTGGGATAGGCTCTTCTGGCTCAGATCCCGGGGGAAGGACGACCACAGGATCCACGAGCGACCCGCCTGCAGCTTCCAGCATCCTCTTCTCTCTCTCCTCCTCGTCTTTGACCCATTTCTCCCAACCCAGGCGGTACCTTCTTCCCATCTTGCCGAGCAGCTCTTCCTCTAGGTCCTTCACTCTGTCCTTCGACTGCTGCAGCGTCGCAGCCTGGCTTTTCAGATGGTTAACCGTTCGCTGGCTCTCGAGGATCTCTGCTTGTATGTTCCCTAGCAGAGCGTGCGCCTGAGCGGTATCTTTGTCCTTCTCCTTGAGCTCTTGATCGAACGATGACGCCAAACTGGCCAGCATACTTGCCATGTCATTGACGCAACGCGTAGCTGCTTTCTGCCCTGCAACCGAGTAATGCAAAGGAGGCGTGTCGCCATTCGCATACCCGGAAGTTTGCGCAAGGTACGAGGGGTATGTGCCGTACGCTGCTTGGGCATTTCGGAACGACATGGACGTCAACCGAGAAGGAGGGCCAGGCGACTGACGGAATCGCTCGTCCTCCATGATGTAGTCTTCCGCACTTCTGCCCTCGTTGTTGACAATCTTCGGGTTGGCCCCGTTGTCGATGAGTAGCTTAACGAGGCGTTTACTCCGACACCGTGCCGCCATGGTCAACGCCGTCTCGCCTTCTTCGTCTTGGAAGTTGATCACGTCCGCAAGCTCCTTCGGATAATCTGCTAATCTGCCCAACACGGTTTCCAAGTAGTACCGGGCCGCGTGAGCCTTGCTTTTCGTCATCGCGAGGTCGACTATATGATGGAAGAGCGTCCGGTTTTGATTGTCGATGTTCAGGGTGGACCGATGCAACAGCTCGTACAGTTCCGGGAACTTGCGGACATCGTAGTTGTTGGCGAACATAACGCTGCGCATCAGCGCTGTCTGGCCTGCCTTGTTGACCTTGAAGATGTCCGCGCCGGCCGTCAACAAGAGCTTGACTATACGTATCCGCCCCATAGCCGCCGCCCAATGCAACGGCGTGTGACAGTCATCATCTATAGCAATGTTTGGGTCGAAGTCCGGAGGTGGGTTAACCAATATCTGCGGAACCTGATTGGAGTCGGAGATGAAGTATTCCAGAATTTGGTCGCCATAATTCTGCATATCCTCGTCACCGCCGTTCGGATCGTATGCGCTTTCGCGAGATTGTCGTTCTTTGCCTTTGCGGCCTGCAGGTGATATGGAGCGTCGACCTCCACGTACGTTACCGCCGCGGCGAGAAGACGGCGGTGAGGTAATCGGGGAGGGTGTACGCGAACTGGACGAGGCCTCCGATGGCGACGGCGTCATCGAGGCGTCCTCGCTCGCTATAACAGACGCGGTAGGCTCGGTTTCGTCGTCCATTCCATCTTCAGCAACTCGTCGCGATGAACGCGTGCTGATACCGCCCGGCGGGTCTCGCTTTGACGCCTTCGTTGCCGCTGTGGCCGCCACGAGATGTTTCGGAGCCGGCGGCGGACTCTGGTCGGCCGGAATGAAGTCAATAATAGAGCGTAGGAGATGCTCGCAGTTATACTGTTTCGCAATGGCGAGACCCCTTTCCAGAGGGATCCACGTTCCTTGTACGCCATGAGATCCAAATGCATATCCAGCTAGCAGCCGGGGTGACTCACCTTGATATTTGCCGTAACCACCTTGAACCTTTTCATGCTCACCCTTTTGAACCTCGCGTTCTAATATGCGCGTACGCTGAGGTTTGTCAAAGCCCGCCACTTTGAGTATCTGGGTTGCGTTCAGCCACGAATCGGACCGACGACGCATGACCGCGACCCCTTTACACATCCTGCACAGTCGTATAGATCACACATCTCGTACGTGAGTTCTTCTGCCCGCCATGTAGGATAGGAGATGATGGTACGCACATCTCGTACACGGGTATGCCGCTATAAGTAGCCTGCAGATCGAACCCGCCGCGTCAGTGGCACGGTCATTGCGCGAACCCGCTGGGAGCTCACCTTAAATATTTGACTGTCCGGCATGATTGAGAGTCGAGACACGCTCCTGTAGCGCGTCGGCCGGCGTTATGTAGGTCTGGAGTGCGGAACTCGGACGTGCCGCTCGCGGACGATTGCAAGCAGAGTATCCGCGTTGCCGCCAACCACGTGCTCCCCAACTTTGAATCCTTCCGTCCTCGCCGACAGCGAGCCCGCGTTCCCGCCCGGTCGGCTCAAGACAGGATGCCTATACGGCCACTCACCCGTAGCGAGGTTGTTAGGGCCGCAACTCGGGAGATAGTCACTCGGGACTTCCGACATCTACTGAGCTTTCCTTCTCGGTGGACGAAGCGTAGCTCGTTCAAGGACCCAAAGGTCAAGACCGTCCATCACAAGGACAGAGTTAAATGGTGGAATATCGTCCCCGGAGATCGCGTTCGTGTCCTCGGTGACCCCACTCGCTCAGTACATGAAGTCTCGGCCGTCAACAAGCTGGGTAACCGCGTATACCTCAAGAACACGGCCACAGTACGTTTGGCACAGCTCCAGGCAGAGTCTATCTCAGTGTATGCGTGTATAGCAAAGCAACAACAGGCCGGCCGCTGCCAAGAACGTGCACTACTCAGCATGCCAGCTTTTCCTAGGCCACTTCGACTTCCCTCCTCCCATCGGTAAGAGTGAATCCGTTGCCCGCGCGTAAGTGCATGATTGTCTGTGCTATAATACTTCGCACATGAACCATCCTCCATAGGGTATTTGCCACGCGGCTAAGCACCTCAAAACCGGTCTTCCGTAACGGAGCATGGCGATGGGCTCGTTTCGCCGTCAACACCATACCTCGTCTGCCGAACAGGCCTCGACTGGCCGATGGCAAGCCGAAGAGGATGCTTATAGACTGGCCCAAGCAACCGGAGAAGCGTGATCCCACTCGTAAGTTTTGCCCTACGTTGTGTAATGACGATTTCTTGATCTCTTTACCTAGCTGGACTGTATGACACTGAGCAAGAGGAAGTGCTTAAAGTCACCTATGAGCCGCCCACCCTCGGACGCGCGGCTCATGAAGACCTTTACATCAAATCCCTCCGTGCGCCGGGAGAGGTCTATGCTTCCGATGCCGAAAACGCTACGCAAGACAATGGTTTGGTACATCGCGGTGTCAACGACTTGAAGATGGAGGTGCGGGTGTACAAGGAGCTGGCCAACCCACATTCGCGTGCCAAACGCCAGAAGCGTTGGCAGGAAAAGCAGGCTGAGGAGAAGGAGTTGTTGCAGAAGTTCATCAAGGCCGAGGAAGCCAAAGCGCGTTTCAGCGGGTCGAAGAAGGAAGCGCGCATATTAGCTACCTACAAATGGCGCCAGAAGCTTCACGAGGACAGGCAAAGGGAGATGAAGCGGAGGTGGGTTAAGCGGGGCGGCGAGGTCAAGCTGGAGAGGAAGGAGAAGAGGAAGGAGAAGAAGGAGCGCAGGAGGAGCCAAGCGCTCGCGCAGCTGGTGCTGGAGGAGGCACCAAACCAGGTTATCCCGACCTCCATGCTTTGATGTCAGAGTATATATCTTCGATTATAATGTCGCCACCTGATTTCAGTTTGAGCGAGGTGCCACTCGGTCGACGAATGCCAGCCAATCAAAATAAGCGCCGGCCGGTGATTGGGCCGGGCGGCGCCTACGCGAGTTTTTGGCCATGCCTTCCACCCGTCGCTGAACGGCGCAGTGCTGTCACACATCCAGTGCCCGTCGCGGTGAGTCTGCGCACACTCTCCTCTCGAGATACATGACCGACTCTGCATCCTTGTAGGATGACTGCGCTCTTGATTGATGCTAAAGGCGGCCGCGCTGGGCCTTATATCTCTCCGACCGTCATGCCTCCAGTCATGTCCGCGTCGAGGGTTACAAAACGCCATGCACCGCTCTTCCAGACGGGAACCAATGGATGTTTGGAGGAGAGATGGGGATGGATATGCCGACGACGGATTGAAGGGAATTGCTCGCGACGCGTCTTTGGAGGAGGTTACGCGTGCCACGGTGGACTCCTCGGAAGGCTTCAATGCTCACGAAGGAAATGTCACTCCACCAATGGTCGACCCCGCTCAAGGCACACCCTCAAGTGTTGTATTGTCGAAAAGACCCTCATTGCCGAGCGATGGAACCCCTACAATGCTATCCCAGGTTCCTCTCTCTGCGACCCCGCCTTGGCCTACGGGGCGACATCCAGCTGTCATTCCGACACTACAGCTAGGCAAGGCTCGCGGTCGGCGCAAACGGAAGACGCACCTGCAGAGATACCCTATCACCAAATCATCAGCTTCGGGCGAAGAGGCACAGCACGCGAACACTACTATGCACGAAACGTCAGAAGTGCTGGAAAGGAGGGCGTCGCTTCTCAAAGTCATGGCCACCTCCAACGATGCGGCAGAAGCTTGGGAAGCATACCAATCCGTTGTACATCTTTCGTCTCGCGTTCCCTTCTCGTCGACCGAAGGCGCATCCGCGGAAGAAGGGACCGCCGTGGACCACAATCACTCTCAAACGGCCATACCATTCGCGCATCTACATCGCCTCGCCCGACTCCTCGCGTCCACCCACCCGCGTACTCGAGAAGTCTTCCTCAGACTTCTCTCGGTCATGAACGCCATCCGACGTCAAGGCGGCAGGCTGCGTGTCTGGGAGTGGAATGCACTCATCGACTTCGCCGGCAAGGGATGGCGGCGTACACGCCCCGACGACTTCAAGCGCTCTCTAGACGTATTTGAAGAGATGATCACATACAACGAACGGCTCGAAGAGTCAGCTCGGGCCGATGACCCAGATGAACCCAACCCCTACAACTGGGACGATCTGGGAGTTCGAAGCCATCTGCCCACGGCCGAGCCGGACATCGTTACGTATTCGACATTGCTGAACGTGGCCTCCAGAGTTCGAGATCCAGATCCCATGCGCCTTGCGACCTCGCTTCTTAAATCTTCAGGATTGGTCCCAAACCGTATTACCCTCTTGATCCTTCTCTCGCATGCCTCGCGGAAAGGCGACCTCCTCGGCATCCGCAATATCCTGGCAGAGATGCGCGACCATGACCTTGCGCTTGGGCTAGATGGCATCAACGCTTGCTTGTGGGGATTTGCCAGATGCGGAAGGCCTGATATTGCGGCAGCCATCTATCGTGTGTTGAGGCATAACTGTGTACCGGAGCTCGGTCCCGATGGCCAGGAGGTCGCCGAGATTCAAAAAAGGCTCGAGGATGAAGATTACGTCCCAATTCCTGGGGGCATGGTCCCCGACGAGGTCACCTACACAGCATGGGTTCAGATTCAATGCTACCGCGGAGATCTTGTTGCGGCTCTGGAGATCTTCACCGAGATGCTCGAAACTACGCGGCCGTCGTACTCCTCGGGTAACAAGGCGAAGGGGAACGAACATCCGAACACTTTTCCGCCGACCCTAGCCATCTTCCGTGCGCTGTTCATCGGCTTTGCCAAGCACGCGGAGCCGCCCGCTCGGACACAGTTCACCCTCAAGTCCGGGAGCTTGAGCTTCCAAAGAGACCGCACCCGCGCATGGACTGTAGACAAGCTACATGTCATCTTTCAAGCGTTCCTGACCTTACCTGCGGACGTGAAGCCGAGCTCACGCACGATATACAACGTCCTCATGGCATATAGCAAGGCAAGCGGACACGATGTGCACAGGTTGAGACGTGTATGGGCGCAATTAGCCGACCGATTTGGAGGTCATTGGGGCGGTAGATTGGAGAAATTCCGCAAGCAACTTCACTCCCAAAAAACATAATTTGCTCAAGTCCCGTACCAGGTCGTATTCTACATTGTACATGCGTCCATACAGTTCTTTGCCTTCGAGTCTACTCTATCCGATAGATCGTCGATCGTTGGTCACATCTTACCACCATGGGCTGTGCGCCATTCGACGTATTCATCCCAGCCAACAGTGCACTTGCGGCTCTGGTACCGTCTCACCTTCAGGTTGCGTCGCAGGTCGTCGGTGATCTGCCCGTTCCACCCCGCCTTGCGTATGGCCGAGTCTATGGTCTCGACACGATCCCATCCCTGTTCGGGCGCAACATTGGGGAGATAAGTCGCAGAGAATTGATGCCTCTCCCGCAGCGCGACTGGACTAGGCGACCCTATGGGCGATGGACTCTCGGATGTGGTAGTGCTCGGGATCAGAGAAGGATGAGGGAACGAGATCCGAATTCCATGCGTTCCCACCTCCCAGTCAAGGTAAGATTTCGCGTCTTCAAAGTCCGTGAGGAAGGACAGGCTTGAGGAGCGTTGTCAGCATGAGACACATCATTTAGGAAGTCGTGGATTGCTCACCCGCATTCAAGGCTCTCCAGTTCGCTCTCGGTGATCTTGCGGAAGCGGGAGTCTGTGAACGCGCTGATCAGCGCGTACTCCGCAATGCCTTCCCTCAGGGGCAGCGCCTCGAATGTCCCGATGCATCCGCGCAGCCGTGGCGAGCGTCCTGGCCGGGACGAGCGCGTGTTCCAGGTTACGAAGAGAGGGCTGGATCAATACGATCAATCTCTTGCCATACCGATAGATTCGTTGACGCACTATTTATCATCCTTGAACTGTGCAGCCACTGGTTTGGCGTAAGTCAGAGCACAGTACAGAGTATCGAACGCGTAGAAGCAGTGTTCTGGAGTGCAGACGCCATCTGCGTTGTTGCCGCTGGGTGCCATCTGCGTCCAGAAGGTGAACTATTACTGCCGTTCAGTCCTAGAGTGGAGGAAGTGACAGAACAAGCCGTGAACCGCATACGTTAGGTAATTGAGTGCCGTGGCAGCGGACGCCCAACGACAGTTAATTGTTATTCAACGCGGTCTTTCAAACTTACGTAGCACATCTTCAATCACGATGTGCTTTCGGTTTTCCTTCTATGACTTCAGCACCGGATATCCGACGAGATACGACCGCATATGGTTTAGTCGATATGTACTCTCATTCATCAATTAAAGCCTGCTGTCTCTCACCGCGACGAGATCTAAGCGCGTCGGAGGATTCATGCAACGGAAGATAGGCAAGCAACTAGCTCCCAGAGAGCCTCTACCACACCCTGTTGCAATTTGGTAGATTCTGTCCATGGCACACTACTGGTTCCCATAGGTAGAGGCCGGTACGGAATTCTCAATCACACTGAAACTTGAAAGATGGGATGTGAGGAGTCGTAGCACATAACCCACACCAGCCCGTATCGGAGGAATGGAAAGAACATAGGCGTTCTGGCTATATCAAATCAGACTGTGCAGCGATGGGCGGCAGCTGCGGGACAAATCATTCCGAGGGTATAAATAGAGGCATGCTGCTGCAACCATTAGCAAACCTCGCCAGTACCTTCAAGGACCAGCACATTTCTCACCTCCGACGCTTACCATGACCAAGGTCGCCATTCTGCTCGGAAGCGCTCGCCGCGAGGGCAACGGACAGGGCATCGCAGCCTGGATCTCTGCGCACCTATCGAAATACGTCCCGGATCCGAGCTCGCTCGAGACAGTCATCGTTGATCCATTGACGCCCCCGCATCCCCTCGGACCTGTCATCGGTGCTCTCATCCCTGCTCAGATCGGTGACCCGGCCCAGTATCCCACCGCTGGCGTCAGGCAGTGGAGCGAGTTCGTCACCTCTACCGACGCGTTCATCGTCGTCACCCCTCAGTACAACTGGGGATACCCCGGCGATCTCAAGACGATGTTCGACCACCTTTATAACGAATGGAAGGGGAAGCCTATAATGCTCGTCACGTACGGCGGCCACGGCGGCGCAAGATGCAATTCCCAACTTCGGCAGGTGTTCGAAGGGGGTCTCGGCATGCGTTTCGTCGAACCTGCAGTGGAGATCAAACTCCCTCGGGAGTACATCCAGGGCGAGCCGCGTGTCGATCCCAAGCAACCTCCAGAATTCCTTACTCCTTACGAGGAACCGGTTCTCGCCGCTATCGCTGCGTTGTTACCGCCAGCTTGAAACTGTACGTAGTAGGCTCGTCAATCGTAGTGGTACTGACACAGGTTTTCGTGGCAGAACGTACAATCGCGGGCTTCTATGAATCCCATATATCATCGTACTCTGTGTATTAGAATCGCATCATTACGGACTATCTTCGGGCCCGAAAAGTTCAAAGTCTGAATCCAGGTCATAGAGCGCATCTGCGCCAACAAGCAATGCTACTATATTGTGCAATCGATAAGCTACTGACAATGCGATGACAATACATATAGGAGTGTCTGCCGGTACTATACAATGCATCGATAGCGGGATCTTCCTGTGCTCGCACGTCCGTTGCAAATCTAGGAGAACGTCGGTATATCTGGTTCCACGCGTAAGAAATGATCGACGAGGAACTCGCGTCGTTGAAGGGTTAAACGGACTGTCTTCCGAGGGCGAGAGGAATTGAGCTAATGGAGTTCGGTGGAATGATGCCGACTTCAGTGACGACGGCCGTGATGCTGGTTGGAGGCGTGAGATCATAAAGGGGGTTCAGGATCTCCAGGTTCGGGCCATTCTGCAGCGTGCGTGATGATGGAGGTTTGCTAAGCGGGAATTCAGACGCGAAAAGGCCGGTGGGAGCTACGTAATGTGTTGCATTAGCACACCGTGATATCAAGAGGCAGAAGGGGGCAACGATACTAACCAAGCTCATTTCGAGTAAAGCTATCCAAAACGACGCCTTCGCTAAACTTGTAGGTTTCGCAACATACGACCACTGGCACGTTGTGTGCCTTTGCCATCATGGCCACCAAAGCCGTGCCTGCTCTTGAAAACACAGCACCGTTTGAGTGTAGGGAATGAGCTCCAAGGAATACGAGCGAGGTTTCGGTGATGAGCGACCCAATTGATGGCAGAAGTGAATAAGTGCAGGCGATCCCCGCATGTGAGAGCACCCGTAGAAGTCGTTTTCCTGGACGAATACAATAAGATTTGAGCCACGCGAAGATGTCATGATGACCTGCCTTCGAACATCGGTCTTGAATCAACGACGATAGCCGAAAATTGCTTCCCCTCCGCATGGGCGTTTAACAATGCCTTCTCGACGACGGAAGATCTGTAAGAAGAGTCATCAGCTATTGAGATGCCGTTTCCGAAAGTGCGCTCACCGTGCATATGTCATAACGACGTCACCATCCTTGATTTTCTTGCCTGCAGTATCTTGTATGACTTCGTCTGCTATTATGATTCGGTCACGAATGTAGTTATCGATCTTTTGACATAGAGCATCTTTGGCCTGCGTTGAAGACAACGTCAGCGCGCACTTGAATACGAGGAACTGATTAGACCCACATCCTGCTCGGGTAAATCGATGTCGGTGCTACTAATTTCGAGCTTCAACTGTCGGATGGCATTGCCCATGGTCACGGACATCGGTCTTGCCGCTTTGAGATGATTAATTTGAGGCGACAGATAAGTTAACAGATGGCGAGAAAGAGTGCTGTCCGGGGGAGTCACATAGTCTTGTATGACCTGAGAGCGAAAAGTCCTAAGCCGCGGATCGCGCGTAGTACGCGAGGCACTCACAGTTTTGAAAGCAGTCAACGTTGCGATACATCGTGCGTTCGCGCCTGAGATCTTGAATTGCGAGAACTGTAAACCAAGTCGCACGATAGCAGGATGGATGTTGCCCTTCCCGCTCGTTGGTTTCGTGCGATCGAAGTGTTGGAATATCCGCAGCCCTCTGGCCCTCCCAGCGGCATCGTCGGCCAGCCCAGCTGGGTCCCGTCCATCGCGTACGATTCGCCCCGGAGTCGGCGGTACAGCGTTGCTGAGCTTTCGTGAAGGCATCTCCTTCAGGGTCGGTGGTCTTTGCTGTTGCTGTTGCTGCTTCTGATTCTGTTTCCCGCCTCCGCCTCCGGCACCGGCAGCAGCAGCCTTTTCCGCTTTCGCAGCGCGCTGTTTCTCTTGCAGCTCGCGACGCTCGGCCTTGGTCATCTGCTTCATGGATTTCTGAGCGAAGGCTTGACCGCTTGATTGGCCGTTGTTTGGGGGATCGTTGACGACCATGGTGGTTTACCAGTATCTAGAGATCAATGATTCTGGGATATAGAGAGCGCGAATGTCGCGATGCCAGATCTGGAAACGAGTCATAACTCGCCAAGGACGCTGCAAGTCGGATCTCGTCACGTGCAGTCGGCTTTACCGTCATGTCCTCAAACTCAGCCCGGCGTCACCGCGGCACTCAAGTCTTCCAACGACGGTGAACGCCTCCCCAGTCCCGTTACCCGCTTTCTTAGACCTTTTCTTCGGGAAAAGATGGTACAGTGAATAATCTCCTCGAGAACCAAGAGCTCATAGAGGGCTTTAGGGTGTTCCGGCGCTGTTCCGCTGGCTCAGCAAGAAGTATCCTAAGATTGGTCAGTGTTTCACGAAGGCCTGCGTTGCTGTCGCTCACACATTCTGCACAGTGCTACCTGTACATGAAGCCACGCCGGAGAAGCTTGTCACCGACTCCGGCGAGGAGGTGACTGTACCCGTGGATATATCCCGTCCCAACCCTAATGGCGTTGAATTCGACAACCTATATTTGGATATGAACGGCATTGTATGTGTCTCGATCATACGGCGTATACTTCATCCTTATGGTTTGTACAGGTCCATCCGTGCACTCATCCGGAAGGCAAGCCCGCACCGGAAACCGAGGAGGAAATGATGATTGAAATTTTCAACTACACGGAACGTGTCGTGAACATGATACGGCCACGAAAACTGCTTTTCATGGCTATCGGTACGTATACATACATGGTTTCTCAAGTGTTGCTACTGACTTGCAGCAGACGGCGTTGCTCCTCGCGCAAAGATGAACCAGCAGCGGTCGAGACGTTTCCGAGCCGCTCAAGAAGCCAAAGACAAAGAGGAGGCACGTTTGGAGTCCTTCGAAATATGGGAAGGTCAGTGAATACTGGCGTGATTCTGCTTGCGTTCTAGCTGACACGTGCACGATAGCTATGGGCAAGACAGTCAGCGCGGAAGAGAAGAACAAGAAGGCTTGGGACTCCAATGCCATTACTCCGGGAACACCATTCATGGACCTCCTCGCGAGGTCTTTGCGATATTGGGTTGTGCAGAAAATTAATACGGACCCTGGCTGGAAGAACGTGCGCCGGTTCTCCTCGGAGAATGTTGAACTGTGATATACTCACCCCGAATCTAGATGCAAGTCTATATATCCGATGCAAGCGTCCCGGGAGAAGGAGAACACAAGATCATGGACTTCATCCGCCGACAACGATCTAACCCTGGTCACGATCCAAACACCCAGCATGTCATCTACGGATTGGTACGTGTCCACTTCATCAATCATTTGCGCTTTTGCTAACCTCTGCGCTCACAGGATGCTGATCTTATCATGTTGTCATTAGCTACTCACGAGCCTCATTTCCGTGTCCTCCGAGAAGATGTTTTCTTCCAGGACGGTAGCAAGACAGCATGCCGAATCTGCGGCGAAGAGGGTCATTATGCAGCGCAATGCACCGGCGAGAAGAAGGAAATCAAGAAGACTCCGCCTGAAAAGAAGCCGTTTATTTTCCTCGATGTCGCAATTCTACGCGAGTATTTGGAAGTCGAACTAGACGTTCCGCAGACGCCATTTACATTCGACCTCGAACGGGCCATCGATGACTGGGTTTTGCTCATCTTCTTCGTCGGTAACGACTTCTTGCCTCATCTGCCATCTTTGGAGATCCGCGAAGGCGCCATCGACACTCTCCTAAAAATCTGGAGAGCTGAGTTGCCACGTATGGGCGGGTATCTTACAGATCATGGGCAATTGGAGTACAAGCGGGTGGAAATCATTCTTGAGGGCTTGGCTCGTAGGGAAGACGATATATTCCGTCGAAGGCGTGAAGGTGAGCATATACTGCCAATTCCTTATCGCATGGTCACTGACAGCTTCCATAGCGGAGGAGCGTCAGGATCAGGAAGCCAAACGTCGAAAAACTGAGAGATCCAAAGTTGTAGATGTTTCCATTGGTGCTTCAGCTATCACCACTGGCCCTTCGCCTAATCTGCAATTGACTGCAAATCCTGCTGCTCCTCCTCCTATACATCCGTCCTTGCCTCAGAAACCTCAGACAGACTTCGCGCTCGCCGCTGACTCCATGGGCCTCGGCAGCTCCACGTCCTCGTCGTCGGCCGAACAGAACGCTGGCGTGACCAAAGCGATTGCTGGCTCGAACCATGACTGGGTAGCCAATCGAGCAGCACTTCGTATGGCAAATATGAATGCGGCTGAGGCATTGAAGGCAGAGATGGCTGGGCTTCAGCCTCTCAAACCATCCGCGAAGGCTTCATTACCCCCCAAGCCTGTTAACACTGTCCAATTACCTGAGACTCCGTCTACTTCCTTGCCCGCATCCCTGTCCCCCGAATCGATCGCGCAGGCCACGGTGGTGGCTGCGGCTACAGTTCCTGCGAGCGATGATACTGAGTCTGACGTACCCGGTTTATCAGCCTCCATATCTACCCTCGCAACTATGGCTGAAACCGATGGTTTCCCCAACGCGAATGGCGCAGATGTAGCCAACGGGGTGATGGCAGACAAGGACCCAGACGCATCGATGACCGACGACGTGTCTGAGGGACCGCGAGGTGTCAAACGCAAAATCGATGAATCTTTGGCCGACGCTGAAGAAGATGAAGACATCACCATCATCCCGGAAGAGGATGATGCGCCTGCTGACGCCGAAACGGCAACATTGGCGATGAAGGTGAATGCCGATGGGACCGTAGAACAGGAGGACTTCGTCAAGTGAGTGGCACATGCACGCTGATCCGATATTATGGTGCTTAGTGGCCTCAGGTTATGGGAGCCCGGCTATAAGGAACGGTATTATCGCCAGAAATTTGGCGTGGAATACACTGATACCGAGTTCAAGAAACAGTACGTGCGCACCAACTTTCAGCGAGGTTGAACTGACAAATTTGCTGCAAGATTGACCAAATCCTATGTTGAGGGCATGGCATGGGTCTTGCACTACTACTACCAAGGCGTTCGTGTATACATCCTGAACCTGCTAGAACTGCGATAACTGACTATTATATAGACACCATCATGGCAATGGTACTACCCGTATCACTTTGCGCCCTTCGCTGCCGACTTCGAGGAACTCGAAAAGATGGACATCAAGTTTAACATTGGTTCACCGTTCAAGCCATTTGAACAGCTCATGGGCGTATTCCCTGCGGCTAGGTATGTACCCAGTCATCAGCATCGTCCAGCTTGTACTGATGATCAGCAGTCGAAAACACATACCTGAACCCTTCCAACGCTTGATGACGGATGAGGACTCCCCCATCATCGATTTCTACCCCACTACGTTCCAGATCGACATGAATGGCAAAAAGATGGCGTGGCAAGGAGTCGCGTTGTTGCCTTTCATTGATGAAAAGCGTCTTCTCGATGCTATGTCGGAACCTTACAATCATATCTCGGATGACGAACGGCATCGTAACAAGTGGGGAAATAACTTCTTGTTTGTCGGCGATGAGAATGGCCTCTACCCGACCATCGAAGCCTTATATGGCAAACGAAAGGATGACAAGGTCCGTGTATTCGCCTCACCACCTCGTCATAATACTGATAGGATCGACCGTCCAGCCCGTCCCAATCAACCCGGATTTTAGCAGAGGCATCAATGGAAGTCTTTTGCCCGATCCGGCTTGCCTCCCTGGTTCCACGTATTATTCGCCGATTAAGGGCATTAAAGGAGCCGACTTGCCAGATATACCGAACGATCGATCCCTGTCGGCTCTGTACTTCTTCCCGAAGCAGCTAACGCCACATCGCTCAGTTCTGCTACGCGGCACTAAGCGACCTGCGCGAGTTCTCAACGCGAATGATCTGGAGGTCACTCGGCAAAGAGCAGCTGGCACATATCGCGGCCGGGGAGGCGGCGGTCGCGGTGGCGGTCGTGGTGGATCTGACCGCGGCCGGTCCGATAATGATGGCTACAGGAACGCGCCGGGGGCCTATGCCTCCAACAACTACGGTGCCGACCGCACCTACAGCAATCGCGGTGGCAACACATACGGCGGTCATTCCCAAGGTTCCCGAGGACCGTTATCAGGACCTCGCCAGTCTTATCCGCCGCAACAACCACCGAGCCAGGTTTACGGTGGATATGGAAATGCTCAGCCACCCACGAACTATAACAACTACGGTTATGGTGGGGCCGGTCGTGGTGGTCCACCACCTGCAAGAGGTGACCATGATCCATATGCCAGCAATGCTTACGGGGCTGGCAGCTACGGGCGGGGTTCCGCACCTCCATATCGAGGAGGTTACAGTGGAGGAGGTTATGGAGGACAAGATGTAGGGGGCTACGGAGGACAAGGAGTTTATAACAACGGTAATCCGCCCAATCCATACGGCGGCGGCTACGGAGGGTATGGGGCAGCTAGCAACGGCCGCGGTGGCGGATATGGAGGACAAAGCAATGGTCGTGGTGGGGGTGGAGGCTACGGTGGCTATGGCTCGAGCAACACCGGATACTCACGAGGACAGGCTTCCTATAACAACTCGTACCGGGGAGGCCGATACTAAGCATGATAGCAATAATTGCGATATTCCACGGACTGTTGGTCAACACTTCCTCTAGCGCGTTCCATGTGTTCCTATTCATGTAACTATAGTTCCGTTTTGATACACGGCAGATCGAAAGCATATACGCAGACCCTAGGTATTCAAGCAAACAAAATTTCCAGTACAATCAAACAATACCCCGTCGTCATCATCGAATGTGGGAGTTTCAAAGCCCTTAGGCATAGATAGAGCTGCCTGGGGACTCCCGGAGGGGCACGTAGGTCAGGTAAAGGGCGTACTTGCGCTCTCTCTCCCTGACCTTACGTCTCAGCTTCTTCTCTTTGGTCCTCCTCTTCTTCTCCGCCTTCCGTTCCTGCCGGCGAAGCCTACCTTCTGCCATTTGTGCCTCCCACTGGCGGTTGTAGGGTGCATTGGATCCGTACAAGCCGCGATAACGCTCACGCTCGCGTTCCGAGTATGCGTCGTCGTCGTCCTCGGAGTCGGACGACGAATCCGAAGACGTGAGCAGCTCTGACTCTTCGAGCATTGGAAGGTTGGGGTCCACAGTGCCTGCGCCAGGGCCAGTGCGGCGTTCGCGACCTTTGTATAGAACGACCTCGACGCCGCGGGCGAGGAAGAACGACGAGTTCCACAGTTCGACGAGGTCGATGGTGAGGGTTGAACGACGTCTCGGACGAGAGTCCGGAACTGGGAGTTTGCCAGTCCAGGCAAGATGAACGTCCTTGAAACCACGTTAGCGCACCATCCGCATTGTTGAATAAGATGCTATCCTTTACCTGCATGAAACGAATCCAGTCCTCGTGATACACATCATGAGGCATCAACACCAGTGGCATCCTTGGGATGTAATTGGAGAAATCATCCATATCCTGGATCTTGAGTGTTTCGAAGGCCGTGTACGGCTGCGCAAGATTGGGCGGGCGAGAGAAGCCCTCCGGCGTGCTGAGACCGGCAGCGGCGTCAGCTGCAAACCCGCCAGTGACAGGGGCAGGCATGTTGGATCCGGCCAGTCGAGAAGGCGGGCGAGACGTCGGGAAGCCGACTGCGGCGGGCGCAGCGGTGTACGCGCCGCCGCCGCCAGGGGCGGTGGGATACCCGTTGCGGGAGACTGGCCGCGCGATGGGGTAAGATCCGCCAGCATTGCGCGACGGAGGTCGAGAAGTGGGGTAGGCGTATGGAGCGTCCACCGTCGCGGGCATCCCCGGGATGGGGGACCTAGGCATTGGCTGGCCCTCGAGGATGTGGCCAACTGGGTAAGTGCGCCCGTCGCTGGCGTAGGTGGACACGGCCCGTCCTGCTCCACCAGCATACATGGAGCTGCGTCTATTGTAGGTTTCCTCGCGCCCGGCGGAGCCGTCGGATCCCGCGTACCCGGATGGGTAGCCGCCCGGCAGCCCAGTTCCGCCGTGGTAGGGCGAGGGTGCACCACGGGCGGTAGGGTAGCCAGCGCCGCCGTACCCGGCCGAGCCAGCCGTACCAAACCCACCAGGCGGATACGGGTCGGTGGGGCTCCCGTCGTCGATAGGCCTCCTCGGGGGCGCGTCGAAGTTGACGACGGAAGACTTGCGAGAGCGGGGAAGAGCGAAGCCGGTACTCCTCTTACGTTCGCGCCTGGCGCGCTCGGGCGCGTACTCCAGCTCCGCTTGAGCGGCGCTGCCGTCCAACCCAAGGTTCTCGAATCGTCGCTCGAGATCGCCCGCGCCCGATCCTGCGTAACCCGAGCGGTCGTAGCCCGAGCTGGGGAAGGGAGCAGAGGCGCCGTAACCGCCGACGCCGACGCCCGTGGGCACTTGACCGAAGCCTCCGACGAGACCGGCGGAGTCGGGGGGGGCGCCGGCGTTGAAGCTCTTCCTGCGAGATATGGATACAGCGTCGCGTTCGCGAGCCCTGCGGAGCTCCATGTCTTCGCGTTCTTCAGCCATCTCGCGCTCGCGTCGCGCTTCTTCCCACTGCCTTTGCTTAGCTGCCGCTTTTTCCTCCTTGCGACGGCGCTTGTCTTCGTCGCGTTGCCTGATGTGCGTCAGTCAGGGTATCATAGAGGACACCGCCAGTGGATGAACCTACCAGTCCTTCAAGGAGCGCTCCTCATCGCGGTTCAGGTATCCACGATTCCATGACGCCGCGAATTCCTGGGAGTACTCGTAAGAATCGTGCGGCTCGTAGTCGCTTTGGTACATGGAAGCCGGGCGGGATTGCACAAGCGCGGAACTCGTCCGCGACGGCGAACCGAAGACGGTTGAAGAAAACGCGGAGGACCGCTTGGTAGAATCATCGCGGTAGTTATTACTTGCGAAAAAGGAGGAGGGACGTTTGGATGATCTGGAGGTATTATCCAATGATGACATCGGGGAACGCTTTGTGAAAGCAAATCGACGGGTTTAATGAATGTAAAGCAGAGAAAAAGATCGCATTGTGGGTATGCTAGATGTGGATGGTACGTACCGCGGTGGCAGGTTGGGCGTTCTGAGGAAGAACGGACGTGGCCTCAGCTGGGATCCATTGGATACCGCTGACCACTCCCTGGGGTGTCTGATAGGCTGCGGCAACAGCCCTACGAGCAAGATCTCAGCATATGAACGATGGCGTGATGATGCATCGGCCAAATTAGGACGTACTTGAACTGATGGTAGATCGTACGTCCGTCCGGACCAGTGCTCGTGGTGTACGTTATCGATCCAGGCTGGATCTGTTGGGTAGACGTCGGCGACATGGGTTGTACCGGCATGGGCCCTGGCTGGCCGGTGGTGTACTGCACACCCGGTTGACTCGAGGCGTACTGAACACCTGGCTGGCTCGAGGCGTATTGCACGCCGGGCTGGCTTGAGGCGTATTGCATTCCGGGTTGGCTCGAGGCATACTGAACGCCCGGTTGACTCGCGGCGTACTGCACACCGGGTTGGCTTGAGGCATACTGGGGCATTCCGGGTTGCCCGAAGGGAGACGTTGCTGGCTGCCCTATGACATATTGCCCAGGTTGAACTTGGACTTGCTGAGGGATCGGAGATGCGGTGGGCGCGTATGCTACGCCGGGTTGATGCGGCTGCGCGTAGACCGGGACCGGTGAGCGAGGAGCGTAGGACATCGCGATCAGCTACGGTTTGCTAGACGCTGGTACGAGCAAGTCAGTAATCATAATCGTGGACAGGATATGGCTTGATCGTGTACCGAAGACCTCGCTGATGTGTAGTTAAATCGCACAGAAAGCTGGACAAGTTGACGAGGATATCCTTGGTTGGCCGTCGACGGTCAGAGGGGTATCAAGCAGTGGAAGGGAAACGCAGGGCCGGGCGAAAGGATAAGGACGGAGGATAGAGGCCACCTCGTGTGCTGGAGCGCCCACGAGATAGATTAGATGCATCGTGGCCTCTTCTGCATCAGGCTGCGTGGAACGCCGCTCTGCGTAAAAGGCAGACCACGGTGGGATGCTGTGGCACGATGCTGATCAACGAATGGCGATCAACATACCATGTCCACCGTGACGCATTAGAGTGTATCTGCAGGTGGTAAAAGTTCTCCGCAGTGGTCCGCGGGGAGCCCCGCCAAAAATTGCAGTGCATGGTAAAAGTTCCGCCCCACTTTGCCGTGCTGCAGATACACTCTATTGACCGATATCAAACACTACGAGGAGCGTAGCATGCGTATTGCGAAAGCAGATGGCGAGAAAAAGTGTACAAAGTGTAGTAGCGTAGGTATATCCAGTCGACATCTCCGAGGCCTTAGCCGTGATCCCCAACGAGTCATGATCTATGAGAACCTCCACCAGAGCAGAATAACGAGGATGAACACGATAGCCGCCACCGGTGCGTACTGCCGAATCATCGCGTCCACGTTGATCTTCCGAGCGGCCTTGCGGTACTTCTCAGACTCCGACCGCAACGATGTCGACAAGTGTGACATCCCTTGAGAAGAGGGGAACGAGTAGAGCGTGTCAGCGGGCAGGTCCAAACTCTGGTCTTGGACTGAGGGATCACAAGGTTCAAGAACGGCAATGAAACGCGAGTCAAGGTTCGCGAAGAACAACGGTCCGTGACGCGTTGCCCCAGCCGACACGTTGCAAGCTGCGCAAGCAGGTTTACCACAATCTCGATCGTTGGAGGGACCCGAGGAAACGAGAAAGAAGATGTGAAGGATAAAAAGGGTTGGAACTCACGATCTAGCGAGTCTCCTCGCCACAACAGCTCCTCCATGTTCTTCGTCATTATCCGCGTCACATCCTGCAAATCGGAGATTAACGTGTTGGTCATGAACCTCATCGTATGTCAACTCGCTTGAAGTTCGTCATTCAGCTTGCCCATAGCATCGCCGGCAGTTGCTGTCCGCGTGTCAGCATATAGCCGTGACGTTTTCGACATGAAAGTATCTGGATACGTGGGCTCCGCATGAGCTCCAGTGCAAATACAGGCGCGAGGCACAAACCAAATCCAACAAATGCATATGGCTTCCGTACGCCTTCAACCTTGGGGCCGTATGTCAGATTAAACTCCTTGGCCAACTCGTCTAGGTACGAGAAGGCGAGTTTTCTGGGGTATGCTTTGTCCGTGATCGTCAGATAGACCACATTATCGGCAATGAGGTAGCTAAATGGGAGAGATGCGCGATGTCGGCAGTCGCAGGACATATAACACGAGTGAGCATACTGTAGGGTATATGCGCCGCTTTCGATCGAACACCGAGGCTCCGCATTGGGAGTTATACGGCGGAAGACGAGCTTGGCTTGTTGCTTGTGCTCTTGCAGTTGTTGTTCCGTCTAGTAGGTCCCGTCAGTAAGATCCGGCGTCCTGACGCTGAATGAGCACGAACGAACCTGTTCGTCGTCCACGCTGGCAGCCAAGGGAAGGGCATCCGATGCCCGGACAATCAGAGTTGACTTGACCATAGCAAGTAGATGTGAGCGTCGCTGAGCAAAGATGAGAGAAACAGATGCTGTTAGAACAAGCAGTTATAACTGGCGGTGAACACGGTTGGCGGTGGAGAGGGCACCTCTATGAAGCAGGCGGGCGCTTATTCCCGAGGGGTGAGCGTCTGTTGGGCAGTGACGTGTAAATGCCACGTGAATGAGCTTCACAGCCACCGACGATCATATTCGGTAAGGGCAAAGTCGTTCCGGGGACGAATCGGCTACAAAGACGGCGAACTCGTGGTCTCTCGGCGCAGTCACTCGGCCTGGACGCCACCAGACGTCTCCCATAAGAACCAGCGCCCATCAAGCCACCCCGCACCCGCACCTACTCCCCGCCATGGCTGTTGGTCTGTTCGACGTTCGAAAGCAGGTTAGATAGCTCTCACTTCTGTACAGGACGAGCGCCCTAGTCTGAACATTGCCTGCAGTTGACCTTCTATGGCGCTTACCACTCGAATCACACCAATGTGTTGATTCATATGTGCTGTGTGCCTGTATTGCTATGGTACCAAACCGATCGCAACTGGCTGACCGATTACGAGTGCTGAACCTGTCGCAGGACCTTCCAGGCTATGATCACTCGCATTCCGACCCCGTCGTGGATGCCTCGAGGGTACACGCCCATCAATGACTACATGGCTGTGGAGATGAACTGGACGACTACGTTCACCGTCCTCTACCTGCTGTATTACTACATCCTCGAGCCGACGGCTGCCGTCAGTTTCCGTTCTCTCTTCTTCACCGCGCCAGTGTGCTTATCAGAGTCCTTGGTTCGTGCCTCCGTAGCTCATCTACACGCCGCAACTCGTCCTGTCATGGCTCACGGCGACCTCATTCGCCCACCGAAACGACATCGACAACTTGACGATCGCCGGTATTATCAACGGCGTCTGCTGGATCGCTCAATTCATAGGGCACGGCAAGTTCGAGCATCGCGCCCCTGCCCTTCTGGATAACATCGTCGGCGGTACGTTCTACCGACTCCTCGGACTCCATGATGCCCGTGAGGCTGAAGCATGCCTTTTTAGCCCTCGTACTCGCTCCTTTCTTCGTGCATCTCGAGCTTCTATTTTCCCTTGGGTGGCGCAAGGATTTCCACAAGGAGCTGAACAACGAGATTGGCAAGGAGATCACTCGCATCCGTAAGGCGGAAGGTGACAAGAAGCGGGCTAAGGAGGCTGCGAAGAAGGAACTCTGAGATTGCGCGGACAACCACTCCCCCTCAGTGCTACTGGATCTTCGAATTTATTGTTTTCGTTTTCGAATAGCCGAAAGGCCTTCCAGTTTGAATGTCAACCATTTGGTATTCCTTAGCGCTCCATGTACCATTAGCTCTATATCTTGTATTTCTGTAAGCCGTGTTCTGGATCGATCCTCTGCAACTTCGCCTGCCACATCAATAAATCACATGAAGGATTCCACTACTCATTGATGATGTACAAGCAAGGCCGCCCTAGGGTTGCCGAGAATGTGTGCATACGATCTCTAATCCGAAAAAGGCTCTGGATTCTATCATGCATAGCCCTGATTCTCCGAAAGTTGCTCATGCAAGGAGACTTGCGGGCGGGTCGAGGGCGGGCTCCCCGATAGGCGTGACATAGCACGAGGACAGGCCGCCATCGACCTTGAAGTCCGTGCCCTATGTCAATCAGGTCAGCTCACGTATGTTCCTGTCCGCAATCGAAGACAAGGGCACGCACGGTGACATAGCTACTGTCTTCGCTGGCGAGGAAGAGCGCTCCCTTCGCGACCTCAACGGCTTCGCCAAATCGTCCCATCGGGAGATGTACCATGCGACGATCTCGCTTCTCCGCAGTGTTAAGGAAGTCCATGAGCAGCGCTTGCACGAAAAGGTTAGTTTCCGCCCCGATGAAGGGTTCAATGATATAACTTACGCGTCTTTAGGGGGCCTCTGGTCCGAATACGCCGTTAGCATACAGTCGGAGAAGCGAATGTAGATACGTACGGGCAGATGGAGTTGAGCCTAATCCCTTCCCGAGCGTGTACCATGGCTAGTTCACGGGTCATAGCAAGCACAGCGCCCTTAGACGCGGTGTCTGAGTAAAGAGTAAGTAAGCCTTCGACTCTGGCACTGCCAGAGGGACGAGTCCGCGAGCTCACATGCAAGCTGAGGCGTCGCTGCGCCCATGAGAGCGACGAAGCTCGCGGTGTTGATGATGCTTCCGCCCTTCTTCAAGCCCTTGCTCTCGTCCGTCGGGTTCTCCCTCATCGCAAGTATTGCGTACTTGCATCCCCACCACACGCCCTTGAGGTTAATCTGCATGGTCAGATCCCAAATGCGCTCCTCCGTGTTCAGCGCATTATCATCCGCCGGGTGCATGATCCCCGCATTGTTGAACTATATGAAACGCGTCCCATCGTAAGAGTCCACGACGATCACGGAAAGAGAGAGCGACATATGCATACCATGACATCGAGCCTCCCAAACTCCTTGACAGCCAGGTCGACCGCCGCCTTGACATCCGCCTCCTTGCTAACGTCCGCCTTGGTCGCGACAGCCTTGACGTTCGGATACCGCTGCTCGATGATCTGCACGCCCTTCTGGGCTGCCTCGACGTTGATGTCGACGAGCACCACGTTCGCCCCTTCGGACGCGAAGAGCACGGAGGACTCGAGACCGATACCGCTGGAAACTGACGTGTTAGCCTCTGGGTTGCCGCAATCGCCACGTCGTGGTACATACGACCCAGCGCCAGTTACGAGCGCGACCTGTTGGCGTCGATGTGTGATTAACGTCAGCTGCAAGCTACGGAATAGTGGACTCGCCTTGTTTTGCAGACGGCCAGGCATGATGTCGTTATTGATGATGTTGAAGAGCAAGGATCGTTATCATCGTTTGCCCGATAACGAACTGACATGTTCGTGTCCAGTTAGGTCCATCGCCGACAAGAAGCGCCGATCTCCGATCTGAAGGGTGCTTCTTGTTCATACGAAGATGTCAGCGCCTTGGAGTCTCGGCCGACAACCGCTGCTACCATAGTAATATCGTCATTGTCAAAAATTGTACAAAAAGTGTGTGTAATCGAGCGGAATATCCAACTGCAATAATTAGTACAATGTAGCGTAGCATTGAAGCCATACCGATCGGCTATTCATTTCAAAGATTCGGGGAAATCTGGGGGATAGCTTCCGCCCTGCGAGTCGAACATGTCCAAGAAATCCTGCACCGCCGATGGCACCAGTCCATCGGAGAAACAGCTCGACGCGGTCTGGCTCGAACGCATGGTCATACCGTAATCGGGAGGGATGCTGAGAGGCGCGCCTAGCAGTTGCGTCGTCGTTATTTCCTCCGCGTCCGGGAGAGGTGACTCTTCGCGATCCTGGCCAGGAGACGATGCATTGCGAGTGATAGTTGTGATGTGACGAGGAGACAGCCGAGCTGGTTGGAGAGAGGAGCCCAGGCTCTTCGCGCGACGGCTGGCGACTTGCTCGTCCTCGTCAGACTCTGGCTCGGTCTCCGACCCTTCATCTTTACCCGCTCCTTTACTGGGCCTCTGCACAGCTTTGCCTTTTGAGGAGGCTGAAGGGCTCGGGGAACTGTTGGGCACGAGCAGGCTACCCCGAGCGGTTGCTTTGCCTCGTCCGGCAGAGGGCGAGGCATCCGAACTGGAAACGGGCCAAGTGTCACAACGCCTGATTGTCCTGGGCGTGCGTGTAGGAGTTGCGGGTTTGCGAGAGGGGGTGCCTGTCTCTGGATCTGCGTGATCGTTACTGAAATCGCCCACGTCGAGCGAGCCGGTCCAAAGGTCTGGCTGCCAAAGGGAGCCGATGCCGGCGTGTGCTTCGTGGTCACGTAAGGGTGAGGTCGTCACATCACCCGAGGGAGAAGGCACCGGCGACGGACTTCGTTTTCGCAACGCAACTTCGAGAGACTGTATGCTGCGTTGTCCTTCAACGTGGACCCCTTTGGACCTGAATAGCGAATAATCAAATTAGGACTTGCGAAGTTGCGCTCGATGACATGTGCACTCACTTAAGCCATGCTGGTTTAATTGGGCTGGTGGCCATGTCTTTCATTACCTTCTGGGGCTGCTTGGCGAGGGCTGCCAGCGCCATGAGCGTGGACATGCCGATCACACCCATACCCGGGACGTGTATAGAGCCCTCAGCGACAGTTTGTTGAGGGGATGCCAACAACATTGCTGAGTCAGGCGGGGTGGGATCCCTTTCTGCAGGGGTATGTGTCTCCTCGGCGTTTTCCTCTGTCTCCTTGGTCGTCTCCTCGATTGCTCTCACGTCATCCTTGCGATCTGCCTCATCCGCGGCTGGACCATCCACAATGTCACGAAGGGGAAGCGCGGGTATCTTGAAGTCATCCTTGGGGGATTTCCCATTGCGTTTGGTCCGGGGTGGAGTCTTACCCCATTGCGAGCTCTCCCATGGTTGCGATGTTGGCACGACCGAATCTTGAGATGAAGACACCACTTGGGAGGACGAAGAGGAATTATGGTCGTGCGCAAATATCGGGTGTGGAGCGGGACGGGAAGGCATGAAACGCTGCCGTGCCACAGGGGAGAAGAGAGCATCGGTGGGCTGCGACGAAGGTACGACGGACGGCGACCTGACTGTAGGCGTTTGCTTCACCTTCTTGCTCGGGGTACGGAAGAGTCGAGTCTCGGTCTCATAATCGGGCCGAACCTTGCTGGCATCGTCTGCAAGGTCCGCGGCCCTACCTCGCGGCGACGGCGAGCTGTTCGAGAGCTCCGTGAGAGGCGAAGACGGCGCTTCCTCGAGCGCCGGGGCCCCCACATCGACCGGCTTCTCGTTCAGTGCGAGTTTGCCAAGTTTGCTGGACTGCAGTCTTTTACGGGGTCGTACGGGAGTTTGGGGCGTTGTCAACATGTTGCGTTCGGAAACGGCTTTGGATGGTCCAGAATCAATAGGGTGCCGAGAGGTAGTAGGCGGTGGAGTAGGTAGACCAACGCGACGGACGGTCGCGTCCTTTTTCATCTATAAGATATTATCAACGAGACATTCGGATGCGGAGTGGCGTATGGAACAACAAAGAGACTCGTAAGAAATGAAATGCCTCAGCACAGTACCGCGCCCCTCGCCATAATTGACCAATGAACTGGGGAAAAGGAGAATACTCACAGAACGTGTCGCGTAGGTCTTCAAGATCGGTGGTGCCGCTCGCAATGGTGTCACCACGTCATTCGATGTCACGTCGATAGCAGTATTACTAGCCGTATGCGCTTTCTTAGACCTTTTAGGAGCGGCATCTCCCAAGAATTCGGTGTCATCCTGGCCCCGAGCTTGCTTCCGTTTGTGGTCCTGAGCGGGGGTGGCCCGGGGTGCCGCTCGTGATTCAGCTTGCGATGCCGTCCCACTGGCCCTGGGCTCCTTTAGCCAAGACGTAATCGGTACTTGCTGGCCACTGAGAGGGACAGACTTGCTCATCCAGGCAGAAAGCGAGAAAGCGTCGGTAATGTGAAAGACCAAGCCCAAGGCATCGCGCGTCAAGGCGCCAGAAAGCACGTGACCGTGTCGATTAGGCTTGGACGAGCCGCACACTTTAGCTTTCCACTTGCATTCTACCGAGTCTGCAAATACTTTGAGCATCCGGCTCACGATAGCAGGTTCAGGAAACACAAAAAGCTTCTACCAGTAAGCTAGAACGGCAGGACTCCACACCTTTGCATCCCCACCGTCTCCTCCTCCCGGTGGTCACCGACGTCTTTGCTCCTTTGACTCCACAAGATGCATCAAGGGCCGGCTGCCGAGCTTCGTATGCATCGGCAACGTCGAAGAGAAATCTAGGCCAGAGCAATCATGTACCTCTCCCGTCTGTCTCTTTAACCTCATGGGATGCCATTTTCAATTAGCGCAATGTCACGTGATCGTTCTGCTACGCGTCTCCGCCGGCTTGATCGACACGTACTTATCAGCATCTTGGCGTATGCTCAACTCCGATATCACCTTTCACAGTCATGGGCACGGCAAGGACCTGCGGAACGATGTCAAGCCGATGCTCATGGCTTGTGAACCTCATTGGAGCATCCACTGACGAAGCTTGAATCCTCGACTCGCTCGACGATGCTAGCAACCTATTGTCCTCATGTATATAAGATCTGGAATCTGGGTGTCCTGGCTTTGACTACGGAGAACCCCTGTTTGAGCTGGCGTTTCGTGCTATTCTGTGCTGATGTATGTTATCGCGCGGCGAAGCTGCCAGACAACTGAGGTCACGTTTTTACTATATAAACTCATGATCTGGCCTTCTGTGCTCGTACCCCTCCTTTCCTCCTTTCATACTGCTGACAGTCAAGGTACGACGATTCAGATGCCAGGCGGGCTTTACATACTCATAATAGTCTGAGCCTCGACTTCTATCTCCGTCCTCGATACACGAGACCCGTCGGTTAAGCTACCGGCGTTTATCATGTGCGTACTCTGTCTCGAGCGTGAGTCGGCCCTTACCTAGCTGTTGTGCGCGCACATAGGATGGAACCGTACTGCGAAGAGTGCGACCGGTGGTTCCAAAATGTGAACAACCTCCGGCAGGTGGGAGCATATACGCGCATATTGCGCACATATACGCCGTTCGGAGCTCACCACCCATCGCAGCACCTTAACTCCGCACGTCACAAGCCCAAGACCGTCCAGTGTTACATGTACAGCCGAGGATGCAACCAGATGTTCGTCTCCTGGTCCGCCATGGTTCTCCACCTCGAGGAGGGCGGCTGCCGCAGCGGTATCACCCGCGCCGAGATCAACCGCTTCGTCGTCGAACGCGACCGACAGAACATAATCACCAATCCCAACCGGATGATCACCGGTCCCTCTGGCTCCTCTTTCTATGAGCCACCCCCGCCGACTATCGCGACGGAGCAAGCCTGGAACGGCGGCGCCTACGAATGCTACTTCTGCCACTCGCAGTTCCGTGCGCTGACGTCGCTCAACCAGCATCTCGCGTCTCCGCGCCATAGCGTGGCGGACGGCAGCCGGCTCTATCGGTGCCCCAACACGCGCGACTGTGGTCAACAATTCTTTGCCTTGAGCGGGCTCGTGCAGCACATTGAGTGGGCGAACTGTGGTGTGCAGAGGTTCGAGGAGGTCCGCAGGATCCCTGGTCTTGTGAGCGGTATCAGAATGATACAGTACTGAACAAAACAAAACCAATGGGACGGAATAGCAAAATCATCGGGACGGACTAAAGGTGCATGTGAACGGATACGTGAATGAGATACCTAGTATCAATCTTAATGTCGTCTATACCGGTCGACCCGCGTAATTAGTCACGCTCGATCCGAACGTCGACAGAATTGGTGCTGCTTGGCGTTGCCGTTGAGCGCCGCAGACAATGCCAAAGCGCATTGATATTTGCCTCCGCAAGCCGTGCGAGTCCGGGGACACGAATAGACGCCCGCGCCTCGAGGCTAGCGCGGGCAGTGCGGACCCGCAATCCCTTCAACGCTCACGGCGACTTGGACCAACCCGCCACGACTCCCATGGACATCCCCTCTACGCGGGAAATAGAGCTGGAGACGCTCTTACGACAACGCGACCAGCAGCTCACGCAGCTCACCGTGAGCCACTCTTCGCTTGGTGCATCAGCGTCGTGCTCACACCGCTCGTTCCCGTTGTCCAGGATGATATCACCCACTTGAGACAGTACCTGGCGACCCAGCCGGGTCCGTCGATGACGAATCCGGTGTCGCTGCCACCGGCGTTCATCGCTGCTATCCTCCCGAAGATCAACAGTAGTGCGGCGTTGCCGTCGGGTACCACCCGCGCATCGTCCAACCCGGCCGCGGGCGCGTCCGTCGCAGCGGCTATCTCACAAAGGGCGAAGCTTCTGCAGGAAGAGAATGACGAGCTGTATGGGCTCTTACGGACCAGTGAGGTTGGCAAGCTGAAGGAGGAAGTGCGAGGACTGCGACGGGTCGTGACACGGCTGGAGAGTGCCTTGAAAGGTCGGCACCGCTGTATTCGACGCAATTGCCATACACGAAGCTCACGCCCGTTTTTCCGCTCTGCTCATCACAGAGTCGCACCAAGTGATTGTATCGCTCTCGTCAGTTTCGCTAGCTCCTGCCTTACAGCCGAAAAATATCGTTTAACCTGTTATTCGCCTCACAGAGCTGAGCTCGAGAAATCACAAGACAGCCTTATCAACGCGAACACTGTCCGCTCCGCGTACCAAAACGCGCCTGGGCCTTCCGCGTCGCGGAACTCTTACCGCCCCGGCGCCTCCAACGGCCCCACGACGTCCGCATCAAACGGACACGGCAACGCTAGCAGCTCGAAGCCACCACCGACCGGTCCCCGCGGAGGGGCGCCGCCACCGCGCGCGCCGAAGAAACCACGCTTATCCGAGCCCGCACAGTCGCCGGCGCTTGCGACGCCCACGCCCTCGACGATGGGCCGGGCGAGTAGCTCTGGCGGACGGCGATCGCCGTCCGTCGCCACCACGCGTCGCGATGCCCGACCAGACTCGCGCGAGCGGGAACGCGATCGCGATTGGGACCGAGAACGAGGGAGGGAGCGCGGTCCGCGAGGGCGCTCGCGCTCGCCTGTGCGCGCGCAGGAGACGCGTGACCACGGCGGAAGCATGGACGTCGACGTGAATACGGCGAGGGCGCGGACGCCCGAGCGCGGTGTATACGAGCGCGACCGGGTGCGGGACGGGCGCGATCGGGAGAGAGAACGCGAGCGCGCGGACAGGCCACCCGTCGAGCGCGAGCGCGATCGGGAGCGTGACCGGCGCCGCGGGGGCGGCCGGAGGGGGCAACGCGCAGTCAACGCGGCCGGCGGAGGGGGTGGTGGCGGCGGAGATGCCTACCTCAACGGCGATCGGACGTTGGCTCAGCGCATGGGATTAAATTGACTGACATCGGAAGGACGATCTCACATGCACGCAATCGCTCCAAGTCTTCTTTGTGATCGCACACACGCTCCGGCCCGTAGTATTTTATATCTGGTGCGATACTCATTCTCTCAATAACTGATACGGGCTCCTCTCTCTCCTCTCTCTGGCTGTAGCACTATATTTGCGCTGACTCGCTTTTTTTTGGGTTGTATCGATAGTGTTTGTACTCGCGTTTGCTCCGCTTGCTTTCCTCGCACCGCTATGCTATCTCGTCGCTAATATCACTATATCAATGGAATGGCATATTCATCTCCGTGTATGCCAGCTCTGTCTTGAGAATCGGAGATCTTGGAGATCTCCTTGGGGGAAGACGGCGAAGCACGGGACCAAACGTCAATCTGGTGAAAGAAGGCCCTGCCGGGGCCTTATCGTAGACCGAGATCGCGTTCAGTGGGGATTTCCCCGGATACGTGACATAACCTGCGATTTCCTCCAACGGTACTCGACGATACGAATTGACCCTATCTGTAGCCAAGCATACAGCTACGACGATGGAGGCAAGCGCGATCCGACACAGCAACCACCCTGTCCCGTTCTCGCGCCCGGCGTCGTCGGCTAGCCATCACCCGCGCCAGATAGGCTTCATCGGGCTCGGGAACATGGGCTACTTCATGGCGAGGTGCTCAGAGTCCAGCCCGGATATCCGCGGTCTATGAATCCTGACATGATGTGATGAAGGAACCTCGCGCGATCGGCGCATAGCAGGCCGCCCGGTTCGCCACCGCTCGTGGTGTGGAACCGGACCGAGGCGCGGGCGTACAAGCTGCGCGACGAGCTGGGCGAGAACAGGGTCAGGGTGGCGGACAGCGCGGAGGAGCTAGTGCGAGAGTGCGAGATCGTGATCACCAACCTGCCGAACGACGAGGCGGTGAAATCGGTCTACGGATCGTTTGCGGCTGTTCTCGAGGTGAGGACGCCGGTTGACGCGATCGAGCGAAAACGCCGGCCGGCTGATGCGAAGGTGTCGTGAACGCCGTTAGGAGGCCGGGTCGTCCTCAGGCAAGATCTTCGTGGAAACGAGCACGACGTATCCCACGACGGCCAGTGAGCGTCTACGATCCACCCGCGCCCTTGCATCGAATATTCGGAACTGAATTGTGGTCCCAAAAAGGCGATTTGGAGGCGCTCCTCTCCGCGCTGCCGCGCGCACATGCGAGTCTGGTGACGTGCCCCGTGTTTGGCCTGCCTCCGGTCGCCGACCGGGCGCAGCTCCTCGTGGCCGTGAGCGGGCCGTATGGCGCGCGCAAGGAGGTTGCACACCTGATCGTGCCCGCCATGGCGCGCAAGGTGATCGACCTTGGCGAGAATCCGGAGAAAGGTGCGCCCACAAGAACGCGTCAGGGAGCAAGGGATCGCTGATGTCGCCGTTTGTGGTACGTAGCGCCGACGTCGAAGCTGGTGGCGAACTCGATGGTGATGGGCATGGCCGAGGTCATGGCGGAGGCGTTCACCATGGCGGAAAAGACCGGGATCGGCGCTGGGACTGTGTATGATCTGGTGAAAGGCGCGTACTGCCGTCTTGTTCCCCGGCTCAGCCCAGTTCCGCGGAGGGCGCTTCGAATGCACGTACTGATGCGCATAAACCATGTGGTGCGTTGATCATACAGAAGTGCTTCCTGCTCCGCCGTGAGTAAATCTCCATGCCTGCAAAATTTGGAGATCGCTGAAACGGTTTTTGCTCGCTTCCTTTTCTGCGCGACGAAGGATGATCATGTACGGCGAGAAGATGCTGCACGACCGGTTCGACGGCACGAAGGGATTCGCAATCGACGGAGGGATCAAAGACTCTTCGTTGGTTTTTGCCATATTTGCCCGTCTTTTTGCCCTTCTTTCTTACTTCCTTGTTTATGATTGCCGCATTTGACCGCGCGTATGTGACGACGCATTTTCCCTTGGGTCTTCAGATACATTCGGAACCTGGCGGCTCAGCACGGTGCTCCGATGGCTGCCATCGACGTGTCGCATAATCATTTCCTCACCGCGAGGAGCGTGCACGCGGCGGCGACGCGGCAGGGCGGAACACCGTGGGAAGTGCTGGACGCGAGCGCGATCGTGGTTGGATCGCGCGTTGGGGCAGGCTTGGACGCGTTCAAGGTCCGTGCGCGCTGTGAAGTGTGAACCCAGGAACTAGGCGCGGGGTGTTGATGCAAACTTTTGACAGCACTCAGGTGTCGAAAAGGAGGATTGAATGTTGAGTTCGAGGGTCGGGAATGATGGCCGCAAATGGGGGGCGCTGGAGTCCGGGGACCCGGTCAGTTGGATGACGACGGTCTCTAATCATAGCGTCCAACGGGCCCAGGATGTAGGCGTCGGCTCTGTCCGAGTGTATACGATGTGTGGCGCTCCCTGTGGATGACGCGCGGATCTCTGATAGTGGTGACAATTGTTATATTGACGGGATCGGGCGATATGCCCTGAGTCGAGCGATTACGGTGCGCGCGTTGTCTTTTTAGAACGAACACGACAAGGTGCAGGCGAGGGTCTGGCGGTTGTTGCCGAGAGCTACGAGGGTTACGCCATGTCAGACGGGACCGAGCGTTGTCTACCGTTGTGAACACAGGCGATGACCGATTGAGCTGCGCAAATATGGCCGTAGAGTGTGTGTTTGATCTCCTCTCTAGCTTTTTAGGGGTTGTCAGATACCGCCATGGTGCTTCGGGAGGACCAGGGTGCTCTCTAAGGCAAGTGGCTTGCAATCCAGGACGGGACGCATCAGGAGTAGACTTTACCGGCGCCGTCGATTAATGGCCCGGTAAGAACTGCCGGGCACGGCCAGAAGCGTAGCTTTGGCCACCACTAAACGAGCTAGCTATACTGTTCGAGGCTCGGTCGAGTCTTCCGCGCGAATATACCGCGCGTAGGATGCGTCGAGGATCTGTCGTACAACTTTTGACTGCAAGAAGCAAGTCCGAGCGTAGACAGCCGGACTGCCAACGAACCCGGGACAAGGACGTGTATACGGGGAATCAACCGCGGTAACTCACGTCATTATGGACAACGGGACCAAGTCGGAGGCTCGGGGATCCAAGTGGTATTGACCGTGAACGCGATCTTGAAGAGGAATCTGCGAGTCGTATACGTCGGTATCGGACGGATGCGCAAGGTAAATATACGTCGAGAACACGCCAGAGCGTGCGCTTCGTCCGAGGTGATTCTGTACGGAGCGCCGACCACAGACGCAACGCCGGCGGACGTGCGTTTTGTCCAGAAAAGGAAGTCGGATGTGGCCCAGGGAGGCGAGCATGGCGCAACTCGGTGCGCCGGCTACCCAAACGCTCTGAACCTTGGGTAGGCGTCCACTGCAGTGAGGATCAGCGCAGAGGACACTGAATCGCGGAAGCTCGCACGTTACGTAAAGCACACGTGGCGGCGTCGCTCGTCCTATTCCGGGGATCTCGCTGTCTCCTTGTTGTCTCCTGCATCGGGAACGGCCGGTCCCTTGATCCTCTGTGTCTGGTCGACAAGTGCACCGGAGACGCGGTCCAAGCTCACCTTTGGGACCCTATGATTCAATTAGGGACGCAAGTAAAGGCCCGTTCGTAGGGGGGCCCTGTGTCGGTTTCTGGGGCTTAATTCGACTGAGTCTAGTGCGCGATCGCAAGGGCGCAGGGGAGCGTATGGTCTCAGAGTGCGACATCGCAGCTCCCGATCTGGTCGTTAATGAAACGACGTTCAGGACGTGGCAATACGACAGGTAGCAGACGGTGGCGTTACACACGACGAATGCGGCCGCGCGGGAGCGTCGAAGCGCCGGAAGCTCGGGCGGTGGCAACACGCCTGGAGCCTATGCACTTGTCGTATTGTACTCTGCTGTGCCCTTATAAGTGAGGCTTTGTCGGGACATCCATGACCGGTCCCAACGAGTTCTCTTCGTCCCGAATCGCTCTCTCCTCTCCAGCGCTCTCTGCACTCTCCTGTTTCTCTTCCAGTCTCTCCGTTTTGAGACGCTTTAGGTGAGCGCATACCGGCTCCGCTCTGACATACGCACTTTTGCTCACGGGCTTTATGACGCAGTCCTTGACCTCAACCACCATGTACTCGATGCGCACGCGCTCGCCCTCCCCGCCTCCTCCGATGCCCTCGCCCGAGCTGCGCCCGCTCAGCCTGCCGCCGACGCCCTCGCGCAGGCCGCGCCCCGGGCCCATGGGCATCCGTCCCCTCCGTGCCCGGCGCTACTCCCGCTCGGACGAAAACTCGCTTTCGCCCTCGTCTTCGGCTAGCTCCTGGTCCGACGAGAGCGAACACGGCTCCGACTTCGGCGCCCACGACCGCCACAGCAGGCCGCCGCTCTCCCCGACGACCACCACGAATGGGGTGCAGCGCCGCGCGCGGGTTTCCAAGCACCGTCGGGCGCTCTCCTCGGGCCTGTACCGCAGTCGTTCCCCGCCGCCTTCAGACCGATCACGTAGCGCGACGCCACCGCCGCCCGTGCCGCCGTTGCCGGCGTACCTGCTCCGCGCCAAGGCCGAGCCCGTATCCGCACCCAGGCCGCCCGTGGCGTGCTGGCCAGCCAGGATCACATCGATCCCTCATCTCCAGCTCTAGAAGCGCAACCCGGTTCCCCACTATAGACGCGCATACATCCATGCATTTCAATTCCCCTCTTGCAAGTCAAGACTTGGAAGTTTCACGCAAACGACATCGTCCCTGTACCAAATCCCGATCCGGCTCCTCTGTTCAAGACCGTCCTCATTCGCATCCATCACGGCCCTTTTCTTTATTCTCATGTGATCCATCGTTGTCGTTGCTCTGCATCTTCCATCGCTTTCGCCCGTTCCGCCAGTCGATACGTGTTGCACAAATAACCTCTGCCTCTGTACCTTAGCGTTTTTCTCCCCCCTCTCTCCCCCTTTGCCAGATTCTCTTGTAGTCCATACGTCCACCGAACTTTCGTCCGATTTGACCGTATATCGTAGATAACCAGTATAATCCGTACATTACAGCATTCAGCACCACCATTTGATATATTGAACTCAACCAGCTTTTTTTAATATGTGATCGCACCGGTGGTGGCGAATCAGTCAATCGCAGGGAAACGTTGGAGCGTTTTGAGGGTAGATACGGGTATCGATGATGCATCGATGACGATTCGACGTCCCAGGGCCTTGACAGTGTTGAGATTGACAGACCTAGGGACCGATCTCTGACATGACTGAGATTTATTTTTGGATCGCAATGCGCGATGCGCGGCGGATGTCTGCTTCCGCTCGGTTTTACCCGATCGGGATTTTCAACCGCCCGACGGCGACGTTGACGCTGCTTTGCCTCTGCACTGTGCTAATACAATACAGAGTACATCGCAAATGGCAATGAACACGCCTTGATTCACCATGGGAGTTAGTAGTATGTACTGCACATTCATGCGCGCCCTCGGAGCCGCCGATCGTTATGCTCGTCTCACAGTGCGGACTCTTGCGGACTCATGCGGGATACTTTGATGATTCGTATGCTGGGTATCGTTTTTCTTGCCATGGACTATCTGTGTGACTGAGATTGCTTACGTTTCTGACCGGATCGTGTCTGCAGTTGCGCGATCCCCTACTACCAGGCTGACTTCCGCCTTCCGCCTTCCGCCTTCCGCTTCCGCCATCTACGCCTATAAAACGTCCCCTGTATCTGCTACGGATGCTCATCCTTCCTTTCCTTCTTACTTCGTTCTTCGGCTGGTCCTTTAACCTCTCATTCAGCTTTACCGCACTTTACCCCTTTTTGACGCATATCGACTATGTTGTCCTTCAAGCTCCAGTATACTCTTGCTCTCGTGCTGGTCTTGCAACGCTGTGCCCTGGCGGCTCCCATATTCCGGTCTCCGGCGTCTATCATCCATGCTCAGGACTATACTATTCACGAGACATCGGTCGCTCCAGTAATATCGTCCACTGCCTACACCGGGACGAGTGGTCAAGGCGAAGATGGTTACGCTGCTGTTTACGTTCATAGCTCGTCTGCACCTGCCTTCGTGACGGCGACCGGGACGGTGGAGGATCAGATGGCTTCGATACCTGCTCCTAGTCCTGTTTCTGCCGCCGCGACAGCGCTTGGGGATCAAATATACGTAGCTTCGACGCCGACTATGCTCGGTGTTGCGGCGTCTGGTGCTTCCTCGCGAACCCCTGCGCCTACCGACTCTGCTATAGCTTTCGATGCCTCTGGCTCCGCCTACCTCGAACCGGAATCACCGACTCCTTCCTCGACAGCCGGCACTCACGTGGACTCCTCCACAGACTCTGGCGCCAAGAAGCCGCTGGTGATGGCGTACTACCCCGACTGGGCTGGCGACGGTTTCCCTCCTGAGAAGATCGACTTTGGCCGGTTTGACTGGATCGATTTCGCGTTCGCGCTTCCGGCTGAGGATATGTCACTTACTTGGGACGACTCGGATAGTGCACCGACGCTGCTTGATCGTCTTGTGGAGCATGCGCATACGGCGGGGAAGAAGGTCAAGCTTAGTATCGGAGGATGGACGGGGAGCAAGTACGTTCTATTTCCTCCACCGTCACTCGTCGCAAGAGGCTGACATATACCACTCGCAGGTACTTCTCGCCCTCTGTGTCGACTCCTGAGAACCGGCAGACGTTCGCGAGCAACATCGCCGCCCTCTACGCGAAGCACAACGTCGACGGACTCGACTTCGACTGGGAGTACCCTTCCCAGCACGGTGCGGACGGCAACATCGTCTCGCCCTCGGACACTGCCAACTTCCTCGCCTTCCTACGCATCCTGCGCCCCATGCTCCCCGCTGCCGCCAAACTCTCCGCCGCGGTCCTCCCCGAACCGTTCGCGGGCCCCGACGGCGAGCCCCTGGCGGACGTCAGCGCGTTCGCGGAGGTGCTCGACTGGGTGCTCATCATGAACTACGACGTGTGGGGTTCGAGCGCGGAACCCGGCCCGAACGCGCCCCTCGGCGACGCGTGCGGCAACTCGACGCAGCCGCACGCCAGCGCGCACGCGGCGGTCGCGCAGTGGACGGCGGCGGGCTTCCCCGCGGATCAGCTCGTGCTCGGCCTGCCCTCGTACGGATACGTCTCGCAGTCGAGCGCGGAGCGTCTCCGCCAGCGTGCGGTCACGCTGAAGACCGAGGACGGAGGAGAGGGGCAGATCCAGTTCCGGGACCTCATCAGGCAGGGCGCGTTGGCCCTCGCTGCGCCTACCACCGACCCATCTGCGCCGGAGTACAAGGCGAAGTTCGTCGGGACGGGCGGGTACACGCGGTACTGGGACGAGTGCTCGGCCACGCCGTACTTGCGATCGGAGAAGGCGGGGCAAGTGGTCACGTTCGACGATCCGGAGAGCATCGGGCTGAAGGCGGCGTTTGCCAAGGAGGCGGAGATGCTGGGCGTGAACATGTTCGATGTGCATGGGGATACGGACCGGTGGGACTTGATCGATGCGGCAAGGGATGGTCTGAAATTGTAATGATGTTGCGGTCTTGTGCTCTGCCATTCCGCTAATGCAATGCGTGCCGATGCTCCGATCCTGCCACGAAAAGTTTCCAATTTTGTTGAATCACACGTTGACAATGCAATCCGTCGATCGTACTCCGACACAGATCGGTCATGTTCAGAAGCGACATCCCGACATGGCCTTTTCTTCCGACTCCGAGCCCGGACCTTCGGTGTTCAGAAGGAAGCGTGGTACAGATTAGGAGAGAGCTACGCACTGCGAACAATCGACTGCTGGGGTGGCATGGCTCCGCGACTGTTTATGACCAAGTATAGTGGGCAGTGACAACACGAGGCCTCAGCGTGGTGAGCTATCGACTCACTTGGTCCACATCCGGTAGGCGCCGACCGTGAGTTAGTACTTAGAACGAAGGTCTGGTTGAACCTTACCATTGACGCCCACTTGCAATTCAATGCGGGATGCATATTGAACTCTGATGACATCGCTGACTCGGATGGCATAGAAGGGCGGAGTGTATGCGACAACAGGAAGCAACGATGAACGTTCACGGAGCATTCAATTGCATGAGTGGAGGAAGAAGTGTACGGAGAGAGGGATGCAGACTCGGAGCGCGCGGTAAGAATGACGGCGAAGGCCATCTACTCATGCTGTTTGGGGTAATGTAAATTCAAGTGCGAGCTTCAGTGGTTGCTGCACCAGGAACAAAACAATGCAGCAGCGTTCTATTTGACTATCACTGTGCATATCCCGTTTATCATACTTGAGCGCCTGATTCTGCTTCTTTCTTACTCCGTGACCGCTCAAACACCGGGACCCTTTGTCACCATCTGGGCACGCGGTATGTGGCATGACTTGTCCTCACTTCGAACTACCCGTCCTCATGGTCATGGCAGTGGGCAGTCCCGGATCTTGATGTTATCGTGCCAATCTCCGAGTAACCAAAGAATGAGGATACGTTCCGAGCATATGAATGTCAGCCTCTTCCCCCCGGATCATTAGTCCCAGATTGGTTCATTCATTGAGAGGGTGCCGTTATGGCCCAGAAGGAGGTCATGACAGTCGTGCCCCGCCGATTGCACGGTGTACGCAGTCTTCGAGCCCCATGTTGTGCGGTCCGTTACATGGATCGCACAATGCTACACGCCTTTGTCGGGATATATGTTTGTACGCAACGAAGGGAATGATATGCCTGATTTATTATGAGATGATAATAGGAAGATGGTTATGTCAGTACGGCCGCAGACACAACGCGCAAGACACCCACCCAATCTGAGCTCCACGACCTCAATCGAAACTGTGACCCTGAGCAACGTATCGTCTCAAAGCATTGCGCGATGCATCATTCTCTGCACTGATCTTATTGCTCGCAGCTCCACGTCCCCACTCGGATCCCTTGACTGCGAACGAGCATATTTATTGCAGCTTGATAGATAGGCATTTGGGACAGTCCACTCACTGTACGCGGTTGAGAACCATGTGCTGCCCTGCTTCACCGTCCTGAATTGCAACGGCGTATTGGTACCGAAAGACCTTTGTATGCAGTTGGTGAGCTCCATCTTCGGGTGTTCAGTGTGCTCCATGGCAAGGGATGGTCGATTTGACTCTGCGCGTGATGTAAGTCAGGATGACATGTTTTCAGCGATTTTGGACTTGGATCGCGTACTGGTACCGAGTTGGTGTGTTGGAGCAATCGATGGGATACTGCTAGCTGAACGTGGAAGGTTTAAGAGGCGCGTCTGAGACAGAATACAGCTTTGACAGCATACGGGCGTCCGATTAACTTGCACGAAGAGATATTGAACAGCGAGCGCTCGTCGAGAAATGACATGGTCTTTATGAGTGCCAATCGCTATATTTCGGAGCAAATTGATTGGAATGCGTCAAATTTTGGTGAAACATCCCGATGTCAACTGTTCGATGTCGCATTGTGAAACCATGAAAACGATACGATGGATGTAACATACATAGATTCCGGAATCGATGCGGAAACCCAGAGGAACGCCGTTCATCCACGTATGACCGAACCACCCGAAGAATGCGGAGACGTCGTCACCATCATCGCCTATAGGGCTGCGGAAGTCAGACACATCCGATGCGGAATGAGCATCACAGCTAAGCGGTGGCGTTCATCAACGTACATAACACCGGGAGTCACATTGCGGTCACCGCCTCCTCTCCTTCAAAGGCCTCTGTAGGAACTTGGCCTTGCATTTGTGTCAATGCACCCTTGATGATGTAGATGTATGGCGCCTTGGCAGGGGGTGGTGTGCATTGGTAGCAAACAGGGAGAGAACAACGGGGGCAGCAATAACGCCATTGTCGCTCGTGTTTATCACCTCTGGCAAGGGAGAAGAGCTGAGCCTGGTAGTAGCGCATATTAGAGCATGGCTTACCTTTCTATGAAGATGGGTTCGCCAAGTTTAGCTCCTGCATTGAGCTTCCAAACTCGCGCCTTCCCTTCAGCTGTATCCTGCGTGCGCACTATGGTCGCCCCATCGGTCTGACGCCGCGGAAGGTTGCCCAGGTGCTTATCTATGACTAGCTGTAACACGCAGGAAAACGCGTAAGTGCGGGAGCTTCTTGGGTGCAATAGAGCGGAACTCGTACGATGAACTCTCCGCATAGACAATCTAGGGTAACAGTCCGCATCAGGCGGAGGCAGCGGATCAATGTATCATAATACTCACAATATACTCTCAGCGCGGCGATAGACGACGCTGTGGGTTGCGCTGGCCATGAAAGCAGGGCATTAGAGCCGGTTTCTGCCGTGTAGCGATGCATGACCCACCGTCGGCGCTGGTGGATATCGCGGACCTTGAGACGACTTTGGGCATCGTGTGTCAATATCCAGGCGTAATGATCGAGTCAACGGCGTCTGGTAGTCATCCAATATCGGTCGGAAACCAAAGGCGCAGACTGTCGCTTAGGAAGAAAGGCACGGTCTTCGGGAACACCGAGCTTATTGTGGCCACGTGCCAACCACTGCAATGCCGTAACGGAATAGCACTTGCACTGCTCACTCGACACTTGCCGTCCCCTTGTTTTACACCTGCTACACTCGCCACCGTCGCCGCAATGGCGGAGAGGGATCTCTCCTCGCGCTTACGAAGGGCGGTCATGGGTGAGTGCAGTACTTCCGCTGTCTTAGAGTCGACCGTTGAACATAGGAGACATCTCGGGCAGACAACAACCTCTTTATGGTCAAGCGCCTCATCCAGCGGGTCGATATGCGCAATCCAGACCCGGCAAACCGCAGATACACGTCCTTGGCTTGGGCGGCGATACTGGGCCACACCGAAACCTTCGAGTTTCTGCTGAGCGCCGGCCACGATGATCAGGAGTTTAGCCGAGTATGTCACCCGAGCGCACCTTCGTCTCCGAGACCGCCGCTAACCATACCTCACGCAATGCAGGACTCGGACGACAATACAATACTGATCCTTCTTGCGGACTCGAAGCCCTCCGTAACTTCGCCGCACCGTTTAGATCCCGATCGGGATGTCATAGGAGCTGCGTTGCGGATGGCCGTGCTGTACCACGAGCGCTATCCCGAGACACTCGACTGGGCGAACTCGCAGGGCAGGACCGCGTTACACGTCGCAGCGCTCAAGGGAAACGAGGACCTCGTTCGGGTACGCTATTTTTGGGTTGTTCTTGTGCTCTATGGGTTTACGGGGCACTCAGACGTTTTGCGACCTGGGAGCCGATTATGATCTTCCAGACAACCAAGGGAACACCGCGTTACATTAGTGAGCACCTTTGGCTGCCGGTGACGGCACCACGTTGAGCATTTAATATTTCAATAGTGCGAGTGCTTGGGGACATGTGCCTGTACGTGATATTCTCGTACTTGAGGGATGATCGTCCAACTCACGAACGGTTATAGATAGTTCAACTACTGATTGAACGGGGCTGCTCGTATACCGTACGTAACAACGAGGGCTTTAACCCATCAGATTACGCGTATTCGTACGTATCCCCCTACACCTGCCACCAGGCTTCATGTGACATCCGTTGGCAGATTCAGCACCCGGGACGCGCTGCAAGATACCGCGCGGGAACAGTTCGAATACAACAGACGCGCTAGGCGGAATGTATTTGCTCAGGCGGCGCAGAGGGGCAACGAATGGAACGGGATGCCTGCACCTGTACCGGTACAGCCGAGGATGCGGGACTTCAGCGGTACTACCGTCCGGATGCGCAGTGGTTCGGGGACGAGTCGAACGACGAATACGTCGGACAGTGGCGACCTGCCGGAACACAACGGGTTCAACACGTTGCGACCCGCTGGCAGCCAGACTTCTTTGTCGACTACATCGTCTCCCTCCAATCCCGCCCAATCCCTCTTCAACCCCACGACCTCACCTCATATCGGGACGTCCAACCTGCCTAAAACGTCACCTGGCCCACCCGCGTCCAGCTCTTCATCGTTAACCTTCCCCAACGGCGCCGGCCCGTCTCATGCTGCCCTGTCTCCCATCGCCTCCCGTATGCGCGAAAACGACGCAGCCGCGATGGACAAGTACTTGCAGAAGACTCGAAATCGGAGCGGCAGCGGAGAAACGTCGTCCTCCGATCCACGATCGCACAAGGACTCGACGTTCTCCTCAATAAGCACCTCTACCGCGAACGGCGACCGGAACTTCTCGTCCGCCGGCCCGTCGGCGAACGGTGACGACATCACGTCGTTACAGTCGATATACTCCGCGCCTCGAAGGGCGCTCAAGACGTCCGCATCGACATCGCAACTGCGAACCACACCGCAACCACCCTCGATCACGACGGTCACCCCGGCCGACGGTACGACGCCCCGGACGCGATCCGGGACGAGCCCCGCACTGTCGCGGAGCACTAACGCGATACCGCCAACCAGCCCTCCGACCGCCGAATGGCAAACACTCGCCTCCCCAGTAACGACCACTCCGCTCCGCACGCCCCCCGCCTCCTCCGATAAGCAGTACACCGGCCCTCCACGGGATTACGCCACATTCCCGGAACCACCGACGACGCCGATGCCACCGCCGAAAGAGAAGGAGAAGGAGTCGTTGTCGTCGCGGCTCCCGAGCGGTCGACGGTTACCGTTCAACCTGCTGTCCAAGCCGCCAAGCGAAGGCTCAGGTCATCGACGCGGTGCGTCCGCGACCGCCGTGTCCGTTAGAGGAACATAGATGCATGGCATCATGTCTTGCTGCTTTTCTTCGGTCTTATGTATTACTGCCAACGTCTGTTTGTCTGCCCTCGTCCTGATCTTCGGTGTATTCACGTTCCTCTTCTGTATACGCTTGTATCATTCGAAACCCCCGCACGCATCCGTTGTCCTTCCTCCGCTCGTCGCGTCATCACTCTCGGTAGCACACATGCAGATAACACGCACACACCGTTGATAATCGACGCCATATTCTTGCCCGACATTCCCTATTTTCTGTGGCGCACGTTGGCTACGAATACAAACCTAAGTATACGAACTCCAGGCACGAAGAGTAGTCATATCGCCGGCAAATCACCGCATCCGCCCATATGCGCGCGCACGAGGCTCGCGACACGGCCCATTACGGCATTGCACCTGTGTGGAGCCAGCACGGCAGCCAAGAGCTGCAGCGCATCGCGCCAGCTCGACCTTCGCTCTCATAACTGATACGCTCTGGTCATCATCGGCGCACACGCTCGACGGCCTCAGCGTCTTCCAGAGGTTCAAACACGACGGAGGATGGCTCCCTCACCGAACGCCAACGCGGACGAAGATCCGACGACGCAGATCCCCTGGCCGTCCAGGAGCAGAAGGCAAGCCAACGGGGATGCGGAGGACGGCGACGAGCGATCTCGCCTGCTCAAGCCCGCGGTGCACTTTTCCGACCGGACCCGGGGCGGCCAGGGCTCGAGATCGCCTTCGAGGAGCGCGGATGGCAGGAACAGCGCAGCGGCCTCGGGCAAGAAACGGCTGACGACATGGAACCTTGTCGCGCTCAGCGTGTCCATGCTCGGCGCCCAGATCGCGTGGAGTGTTGAGCTGGGGTGAGTGGCATTTGCACCTCGTACCGGTCGTAGCGCTCATGACGTTCGCCCCGCAGGTATGGCACGCCGTTCCTCCTGCGACTCGGTCTGTCCGAGACGATGACCAGCTTGGTATGGCTGGCCGGCCCCATCAGCGGATTGATAGCCCAACCACTCATCGGTAGGTGTGTATGCTATCGCGCCCGTTCAACCCCACTCACAAAGCGCCCAGGTGCGATATCCGACTCGTCAACATCCAAGTATCGCCGTCGCTACTGGATCGTGTCCTCGACAATCGCTCTCGTGCTCTCCCTGACTATGCTTTCTGAGTGCGAGAGCATCGCGGCACTCCTCGTGGATATTTTTAACGGTGGCGAAGGTGACTGGGATCCCGCTCGGAGGAAACGCGTACGTCGGTCTTTTACCGGAGAGTTACGTCCGCCTTCGACTGATCGTGGGCCAACAGGCAGCAGACGGGGCTATCGCCATAGCTGTGATCGCACTGTACCTGCTCGATTTCGCCCTGAACGCGTTGCAGGCGTCCCTGCGTAACCTGCTGCTCGACATTTGCCCCGCCGAGCAGCTCAGTCTCGGTAACGCGTGGCACGGCCGTATGACGCACGCCGGGAACATCGTCGGGTACACCATAGGTGCGCCTATATCCTGCGGCCGGGAGCAATCTCGCTGAGCCGATTCAAGGTTTCTTACCGCTCGCCAAGATCCCATTGATTCGTTTCCTCGGTGGCGATCAGTTCCACAAATTCTGTATCCTGTCGATGATCATCCTCGTCGCCACGGTGTGGATCACCTGCGCGACGCAGGACGAGAAACCCGGAGAGACGCAGCTCGCTAGAGGTAGGAAGCAAGGGTGCGTCAGTCCGACACTGGTTGACGCGTGGCTCTCATCGGCTTTTCACCTCTTCAGCATCATGAGAAAGCTGGCGGAAATCTGGAGCAACATACGCGTCGCCATTGTGCAGCTCCCGCGCCCCATCCGACGCGTGTGCTACGTTCAAGTCTTCGCGTTCATGGGGTGGTTCCCGTTCCTATTTTATTCGTGAGTTTTCCCGGCCACGGGTGGCGTGAATAAGAGATATAACACATGACGCTTGCAGGACGACATATGTTGGACAAGTGATGGCGTACGAGACGGGCGAAGAGCCCGATCCTGAATATGCTACCAGGACCGGAGAGCTCGGCATGCTCTTCTACAGCATAGGTCTGCCTGCACATTCGCCTCACAATTCCTCCTCATTAACTTGCCGATGCAGTCGCCGTCGTCGCCGGCACCATCCTACCCTTGCTAGCGCGGCGAGACGCGCGTCTGCTCGGCACTCCCGACGACGAGGATGAAGACGCAGAGCTTGCCCGCCTCCGGAACCAGGTCATGGAGTGGAAGGCCGAGGCGGCCTCACAGGGCCGGCCGCTCAAGCTGCCGATGATGCCCTTCCTGCTCCGCAACATCTGGATGGGCGCGCTTGTGCTGTTCACCGTCCTCACGTTCTCGACGTTCTTCATCTCGACGGTGTATCAGGCGATCGCCATGATCAGTCTGGTCGGCATCTGTTGGGCCATCGCATGCTGGGTCCCGTTCGCCATCATCATGGAGGTCGGTGCCTTCCATCTTGCGCTCTCCTTCAATGCAAACTGACGGGGGCTGTGATGCTTGGGAATGCAGTTCCTCAAAGAACAGAACGATCCAGAGATCGGCCCGCCGGCGCGCCACAACACGAGGCCCGGCTTCCCGGGAGGTCGTCGACCGTCGCACACGCGCGTGCTGTCAACGCCGGCGTACCTGCACCGCGACGAACGCGAGCCGCTGCTCCGTGCGCGCTCGGTGGACGACTCGGACGCGGTCACAAACGACGACGCATTGGACGACAAGACGCCGAACGCGGGCGGTACCGTGCTCGGCATCCACAACCTTGCCATCGTGATGCCCCAATTCATCGTGCGTGGTCCCCGCTCCAAGGCGCATTGAAGGCGCATTTCGACCCTATCGTGTGCTCACGTTATGTTCAGATAGCCGTGGTGTCCAGTCTCATCTTCCGTATCGCGGACGCGGACCTGGACGACGACCCAAAAAACCATCATCAATACCTGGGCAAGAACGGCGTCGCGTGGGTGCTCCGCTTCGGCGGCCTGTGCACGTTGGTGGGTCGTTCTGCCTCAAACTGTCTGGGATGGTCCTGATGCCTTGCATTTAGTTCGGTGCGCTCATGGTGAGACGCGTTCCGCCGACGCGGACAGAGAAGGGGATCCGGCGCCGTCTCGCCCTCCTCCAGGTCCTCAAGGACGCCGGCACTCCTTGAACGCTGACGACATGCGCCTCGCCTCTCCCCGCCCAGACATCATGCGGTTACCGAAACTTGGGTTAGAACGGCCGACAGGGATCTAGGTTACACCATCCGTCTTATCGTACGAGATCTTTTCGCTATTGCTACAGCACCCCGGACTCCCTCCTGTATCCCTTGTATACATAGATGCTCATTTTGCTAACCACCGGCTACAATAAGTAGTGCGTAGTCCCATTCGTCGCTCTGGGTGGCGATATTCCTGCACGGTATCGGTGTGACCGGCACGCCCGGTATGCCTAGGAAATCCTGATACGAGGCAGCTGCGATATTGTTAATGCGCGCCGAGAAGGGACTGATTGCGACGAAGGCAGAGACGTACTTGACTGGACCAGGTGGAACAAGTTGACGTATAGGACGTCTTTGAGTATCGTCGACATCGCGTCCAACGAAGCCAGACTGCGCCCGAGCGCGCCAACCATGCGAGTGTCTGCGAGAGGAGAAACGCCCGATTATATTGTGTCAGCGCTCCCAGGTTCCCAGCATCTCTACCCAAACAGAGCCGAGCACCACGCACCGTTTCCGCGAACGCAGACCAGCGCCGTCGACATGGTGCTGCCCGGGACCTTCGCGGTCCACCAGCATATCCTGGTGTCCTCCTCGAGCAGGACGCCTGCCACAGAAAAAAAAAACCCCCTCTGTCAGTTCATGCTGTTTCGCGAGGGGAAGAGAGCCGGTCTGTACCTCGCTCGTACACGGGCTTCCTGTCTTGCCACGTCGGCTCTTCGTCCAGCGGATCGTCATCCTCGTCGCGAACGAGCGCGCGCCCGGTGTGCATGATCACCTGCTTCTCCACGCGCGCGCCGCGCGGGAGGGCCTTGACCGTCACGAACAGCGTCGGCGCGCCCGACTCCTGTATATATCGGCATCCCACAGCGCGGAAAAGAGGTCGTCAGAAACGGGAACACACGAGTAAGCGAAGGGGGGGGGGCGGGGGCGGGGAGAGAGAGAGATAACCGGGACGGGGTTTGACCTTGGCGTACACCTCGCATGCCTTCCTGACCGCGCCGAGGTCGCGCGTGTCGGAGAGCCAGTAGACCGCGCTCTGGACGTGGAGCCCGTGCCACCCGCCGCCGCCCCAGGTGTCGCGCACGGCGTGTGCGATGCGCGCCGCGTGCTGGAAGACGAGCGCGGTCTCGGTCGCGAGCGAGGGCGGGTCCGGGAGGGCGAGGGTGGCGGGGACCAAGCCGATCTGGCCGGATATCACGAGGCGCGGGCCGGCCTGATTTCACAACGAAGCAAAGCAAATAACGAGAGATATGTGAGCTGGAGGGTATGTATGGCAAGGGGGGGGGGGTGAGAGAGGAGACGTGACGGACGAGGATGGCTTGGGAGTACGGTCCGATGTTGGCGGGCGCCCAGTAGCTTAGTCCTTGGACGTGCAGCGCTTCGCGGTTGCGCTCGTTTTGCTGGGAGAAGGAGGAGCCTTCGATGTAGGCGAGTGCTTGGAGCTGGACGGAGATGCCTGGGGGGAGGTCGGCGGCGACACAGGCGCGGGCGGGCGGCGCGGTGGCGAAGTGGAGGGCGTAGCGCTCGTTGGCGGCTGGGAAGAGGGCCATGGAGGAGAGGAGGAGCGTGGTGCTTAGGAGGGACACTTGAGTGGTGGTGGTGGTGGAGAGGGTGGAGAGGTGAGCGGAGAGTTGGGCGAATATGGAGTCGAGTTGGGCGGCGAAGGGTGTGGGCGTGATTGAAGTGGAGGTGGGTCGGAGAGGCGGCAGGGCGACGTAGGAGCCGCGACGCGTCGGTGTTGAGGGTGGTATTGGGAGGGTGATCGTGTCGGGTAGTTCTGCCGGGACGAATGGAGGGTCCGACGATGAGATCTTCTCCGCGAGAGGCAAGAGGCTCCGCCGGATATCCTCGCTCTCGTCGTCGAGGAGCGGAGGGACGGCTAACGCGTACTGCGGCGGAGACGGTAGCACCTGTTTGGGTTCGAGGACAGCGCGTTTGACGCGCAAATAAGCGACGGTGGCGAACGCGTTGTCGGAGTGGATGACGGTTTCCGTCTCGAGCAGTCGGATACGGGATTTGAAGAGCGGCATGTCGAGAGTAAGCGTCTCGTACTCGCCGCCCTCGCCGCATATATGCGAGCCGTAGGTTTCATTCTAGCAAAAAAAATCGGTTTATATGTATTTCTCGTGAAATAGGGGCTACTCACGAGCCTGGTGAGTGTAGGCTGCATCTCACCCAGTGTTTTGCCGAGGTGTTCGGGCGCGAGTCCAATACCTGCGACTTTGATGAGCACCGCTGTGAGGCCTGCGGAAATCATTTCAGAGAGAAGCGCGTCTTGAGGGCGCTGCCAGAGGTAGGAGAGGGCGGTGAGGTTTAGGCGGCGGCATCTACAGAACGAAGGATCAATGCTAGAACGTGAACTGCAGGGGGGGGGAGTCGCTTACACGTGCTCGACGCGAACGCGTTGGTAGTTGGAGAGGATGGCACCGACGGAAACGCCTTGCACATCGGGATGGTGTTCCTGCGGACGGAAAAAGCCAAGTTGAGGTGCGATCCCCAATATACAGGACGGATTGTGCTCACCTTCACGTCGGAGAGCAACGCGTACATGTCCTCCGTCTCATCTCCGGCCACGCCTTGCTGATCGTTCCTCGCGCCGTACTCGCCCCCTTGGGCGATCGCGGCGCCGGAAATAATGCGTCTGTAGAGGGGAACGTCCAGAGCCTGCGCCACAAGATGGATCGCGTCTTGGCCGATGGTTTGGTACATGTATGAATCGAGTTCATCTGAGAGAATATGGGCGCGTTTTCAATATCTTCGCAGGGATGAAGGGCGGATCAAGGTGCGTACCTTGTCCGTCAGGTGGGCGGAGAGACGCGGCTGCTACGAGTTCGTGACCTTGGTTATGACAATGAAGGATGTTGAAGCAGGAGTCCTTGCCCCCGCTCAGGAGCGCGACGTACTTCATCCCGGCCCACAGAGATATAATATAAATAATCGAGACGACGTCGAGCGTGCAGATTCACCGTAAAGGATATCGGCATCGCCACCAGAAACACAGCCACGGGCGGTGATTGGTTCGAATCAATCCGGTCAAAGCGTCGAGCGCGTTTCCCCGAAGTTTCGGCCAGGACGCGAGACGGAGATAAGCCTGAGTGGATTTACCGATTGCCCTTCTTGCATGACCGCATGTTGACGTACGTAAGGCGCGCGCATAGAAGTTACGGTTTTGAATTGACGCCGCACACAAGGTCCTATACTCAATCTGTACTTATCCGTCGAGTTGAGTTTTGCGGGCTGAGGCTGTTGTTGTTATCGACGGGCTCTCGACCGCTGTAACGCAGAGACCATCGCAGAGGACGCGAGATCATGATGGGCCCAAACGAACGCTCGCGCGGGTGAGAGCTGGTGAGAGCCGGCGGCGTCGTCACCAGGAGCACGAGATGGCATCGGGGGCGAGCCTCAGCCAGGCTCTCCCAGCGCTGAGCGGTTCCCATTGGGCCGCGTGCGCCCATTGGACGGGGCGAAGAGCCGGGACACGGCACGGCGCTGATTGGGCTCCCGAGCGTCGTCCGCACGTGAGCAGGCGCCTCTGACGAATGCCGGACATCTGGATCTGGATGCGCTCTCGCCCGTCGACTGAACTATTGGAGCCGCGCCTTCCGCTCGCAGCGACGCGGGGCCACCAAACGCTCTCCTCGCTGCTCCCCGCTCGCGCATTCCACGAAGACACCATCCAGCACAAATACAACGTATGTGTGGCGCCAGCATCGTGCGGAATACAACGCCAGGAGGGACGAGCGTCCAATGGCGGGTGCTGGGAGATGATTGGGTCTCGCAGACGGGGACGCTCACGGGCAGCTGACATAAGCAACACCGCGGGCTCGCATTGGCTGGGGGGCGGCGTCGAACGTCCAGCCAGTGCCCGACCTCTGGCTCGACCAGGCCGGGGCCTCGACTGGCCGCGGGCCCTCCCCACCGCCTGTTGCGTATAAAGCGACGCCGTCCCCCGCCGCCATGGGCCCCCTCCCAGCTACTCACCGCCCGCCTACGTCCCCCACCACCACTGCGACGCAGCCCAGCAGGCGCAAAAAGCACACCAAAGCACCCGCCAGCCCAATCACCGCACACAAACCACCACGCTTGCCATCATGGTCCACCAGATCTCCGCCCCGCTCCCGACGCCCCCGACGTCCCCGAGCCTGAGCGAGCCCCAGCTCGTCGAGTCCCGCGGGAGCAGCACCCGGCCGGCCCTCCAACTCCTCGACCAGCTCGTCAACTTCTACCAGCAGGAGCGCGTCTGGGTGCACCACACCCGCGCCGCCCTCTTCGAGCTCGCCATGGCGTCCTCCGCCGCCGCCGGCCCGTCGCTCTCGACGTCCACCAGCGACGACCCCTCGCCCTCGAGCACGCACCCGGACGAGCTCCCCGCCGCCGACCCGCACAGCGGCGTGCCGGACGTGACCGTCAAATCCGAGCCCGTCGACGTCGACATGGCCCTCGCCGGCCTGTCCAAGCCCGACCGCCACACGCGCTGGATGCGCCGCAAGAACAGCATGCGCCTCCAGCTCAAGCTCGACGGCATCTCGCCCGCCACCCGCGGCCGCTCGCGCAGGCGCCGCGGCGACCCCGCCCCTCCTCCGCCCGTACCTCAAATCGCGAACCTGCATCATCACCAGCTGTACGCGGCCGAGGTCGACGAGCCGCTCATGCCCGGCGAGCACGGCGCGCGACTGCTCCAGCAGTTTGGAGACCTCATGGACGCTCGGATGGAGAGCTGCCAGCGGGTGACGAGGCTCGTGCAGGAGGCCGGCAGGCAGGACCTCCTGTACGGCGACCGATGATTCTAGACGCTTCAGGTTGGTTGGCGCCGCTCGCTCGCTCTCGTGCTCCTGCCCGATGCTCATGCGCTCTCCACTTTCTGCAGGATTCTGTCCCGACCGCGCACTGCTATAACTTATTCGCCTTTATGTCGTCGACCCGCATCTCTCGCGCGCCATGACCACACCCCCCGTCCCGCCCGTCTAGGAGCCGTCACCGGCTCGGGTTCTGATCATGTAACTGTACCAACATACGCATAGCCACGCATTTTGGATTCTATAATCGCAATGATTTCTCTGTTTCGCGTTTCACACACTGGGAGAGAGAACCAATAGACGCTTGAGAGGGGTTTGGCTCTTCCTTTGCCCAACGAAACCGAACCTCGATTCGTCCGCACACGCGAAGATGCATACTGCTGCGCGGCGAGCGAGTCAGCAGAGCGCAGGGGGGTCGAGCGCATGGCACCCCGATTCGGGAGTCCATTCGCTCATTGGCTGCGAAGGCGCGGGCATCGCGGACGGCGACGGCCTGGGACGGGGCTGGACGGGACCGCCGAGAGAGGGGACCGGCTCGGGAACTGGCTGGGCCCGATCTGGGATGGCCTACCGGGTCAGTGTCGGTGCGGACGGGCTTGCCGGACTCGTCTGGGCAGCGGCAGCGGCTGAACTGCTGCGCTGCGAACGAGAAACGTCGATATGTATGTTTATTCGCGATGCCGATGCTCGAGTCTTATTCGGGCGTGTTTAGTCTGCGAAGGTGCGAGCGAACGGTTCTATATATCGCACTCGCGGTGAGCATGTATGCTACGAAAGCCGCGGGGGAAGTGGGAAGGGCGGCCCAGGGGGTGGCAACGGGGAGCCGAAGTATTTCGGCGGGAAGGGGGGGCTCAGGCCCCCTTTCGGGATTGGGTCGGGCACGCGTGATTGGTCCGTCGTTGGGTTCTGCGGGTCTGGAAGAGGGAGGAGGGGCGCGGTCTGGTGTCAATCTCGCCGTGGTCGAGACGAAGGGAGGTCGAAGAAACGCGGCCACGGCGGTGATTGAGTTGGACGCTTGTGGTTGGTGGTTGGCTGTTGAGTTCGTATGTCGGTCCGGTCGTCGTGTGCTGCCGCCTGGCTGCCGCGCTTGTCGATAAGACCCCTCGCGAGACTTGAGAATTTGGGCGTCCGGAGCTCGCCGCTGTTCGCGAGTTCGTGAATTCCGAGTCGCGCGGTTGGGGATAAACTCCGGGTTTTGTTGGGCCCGCGGATAGACTGAGATTATCCTCGCCTTGGCCGAAGGCCTACGCACGGGCACTCGATTCTCGGATTGTATTGGTGGTTGGGCTGGATGACGAGCGGACAGACAGTGGAACCGGACCTTCGTCTTCGTCGCATGCGCATCCCTACGCGGAGAGCGTTTCATCGCCGCCGACGGCACAGGTTCACGTCCTTTGAGCGAGTAAGTAGACCGTTTCCGTCGCTTTTGCACTCGTGCAGTAAGAAGTTGCGGCCGTTTGTGCCGGTCGGCGAGAACGCATCTCGATTGCCAGTAGGCACGGGTCGTGACAGAATGACCCGAATTTGTAGCGCACGCTCGGTTCTGGTTGGTTGGCGGACGGGGAGACGGGAGGTCGGGATGCGGTCGGCGAAGGTCGGGATGGAGCCTGGCCCGCCTGGATGGAGCGGCAGGAATGGCTGATGTGCCAGCCGCCGCGCGGGAGCACGCGGGGAGCACCGACGATGGCCAATCGTGATGTCGCGTGCAGAGCTGGTGTCAGCTGCGTCAGGGACCAGGAAGATGAGGGGCACGAGGTTGACCTGGGTCAGCGGCGAGTCGAGTTGAACCTGGAAGGTGATTCAGGGCAATTTTGTAAGACATGGGGCCGTGCCCTTTTGGGTTTCTTCCAGAGGTACAAACGTCCATTTGACGTGGTAGTCCTACGTTCCGTGCTCTTGGGGTTCGCGTGAGGCCGATGCGTGTTCAAATGAGGACGTCGCAGTCCACAACCCGTCCAAGCCAGGATATGTTTAGCTTGCGATGAATAGTATTTGACGCCGAGAGCATCGCAGAATACTGTCCGAGCTGGCCTGCCGGAGGAGCCAATGCCGGGGTTATGAAGTTCGGCGAAGTGTCCTTTGTAAGGAGATCCCGCAGTGCTGTCCACCCTCACCATTGCCAGATGCAAGTCCTAACGTCCGCACGTGAAGATGAACATCTTGATGAGTGATCGGTCAAAGCCTGCATCGGAACATAAAGCCCTGCTAGTTTTCCGACAAACGACATGGCCGTCCAGCCTTCAAGAAAGAACATCTTGTCAACCGAGATGGGCGAGGATAGACGCGGGTTCGCAAGCCTATCGTCGAGCATAGCCCGCCGATATGTATGTCGTTTCATCACGGATCGTCTTCGTCGTATCCCATCGCTGTCCAGAGATGTCGGCGCTGATGGCGGAAGGCAGTTGGCGGCCACAATAATCGACTATCAAGTCGATCCGCGTCTATCCCCCATGCGTGGATGTTATTGTACTTGTTCTGCGTCTTATTGCTGTCTCAGAAGGCAGGAAGGTCGAGTCGAATTTCTGATGAACACGTCCTGAAGGAGTCCAAGACAAAGACATTCTCCCTCCCTGATTGGGCGACGTCGCGCCGAGCGCGGGCGCATCTGCGGCGCCACAGGTGCATCTTCCACGCCTGATCATATCCGCCACCTCAGGCCTCAGCCCTCCTCGTCCCCCTCGCCACTCTCTCCAGCCAAGCACACAGTTACCGGTCGATATACTTTACAAGCGACCTTGGTCCTAATTTCATAAGACAGCGATGTCTGGTCGCTACGCCCCGCTCCCCAACCCACGCGCGGACCCAGACGCCAGCAACGAGATGGAAGCCGCATTCGACGACTCGGACGACGAGGGTGAGCAGGCGCCCCTCGCCGGCCGCACCGTTGTCTCCAACCATCCACTCGTGGACAACAACGACCCCTCGGTGACCGCGACCAATGCCGTCTCTGCGTACGGACGATCTCCCCCAGCACCGGGAACTTACGACTTTGAGAACGTCGACTACGACTACCCGCCCCCGGGCTCTCCGCCTGCGCCGTCTGATCGCGCGCTGCCTAACTCGCATGGCAATTCGAACGGGATCGTGCCCTCTGCATCTTCCGCCGTGGCGGTGGACACATATAGGGGCCCGCCGCGAGGCTGGTTCGGCCGCACGGCGGCGGCCGTGCTGCCTGCTCATTATGTGACGAGGTTTGGGTTGGATAGGGAGCGGCTGAGCACGAATGACGGAAGCGAGCGGAGGAGGGTCGTCGGCGGAGGAACGCAGAACGACGGCGTGTTTGCGAATGTCACGGCCAAGCCTACCGCCCCTCGGCGAGTGCAAGAAGGTGAGCAGCAACCCGGGATATCTGCGGGAACCACCAACGACATATTGCTGATGGATACATCCAACGACAGGCGACGAAACATATTTGGTACCTGAAGAAGCTCAGAAGGACGCTCCACCATCCTACCAGGCCGCCCAGCTTGATGCCGTGCCGCCTTACTGGGAGACGACCGTTCACCTCCCCTCCAGCGCCAACAGCCCCGGCGAAGTCATGATCGACGGCTTATCCACCGGTGCGTGGCACTTCTCGATTCCCCGTCGTTTCAAGTGCTAAAATGATTCTCTACAGGATCGCTGTTCTCCTTCCTTTGGAACATGCTTGTCAGCGTCTCCTTCCAATTCGTCGGCTTCCTCCTCACCTACCTCCTTCACACCACCCATGCCGCCCGTCTTGGCAGCCGGTATGTCTTCATATGCATTCATGGACCTTTACTGAGTCGTTAATGCAGAGCTGGCCTGGGCGTTACCCTCATCCAATACGGCTTCGCTCTTCGCTCTCGCGCAGACAGCTGGGCCACCCCCGTACCCTCCGACTCTTCTGATCCTTCGCTTTGGTCCTGGGACACACCCTCTCCCTCACCACCCGCGCCGTCCTTCGACACCGCCAAAGAGGCCGAGGACTACTACAATAGCCTCGCTCTCAACGGGACCGACGGCGCACTCCCGTCGGACGACTACGTGATCGACACGGGCGACACGCCGGCGGCTTGGCTCGCGTTCGCGCTCATGACCGTCGGCTGGTTCGTCCTCCTCACGTCCCTCCTCGGCTTCTGGCGCGTGAAGCGTTGGGAAGCTGGCATCCTCGCCTCGCCCGCGGCCTCGTCTGCGCCGGCGGCGTCCTCACAACCGCGCCACCCGCTCGCGCGTGTGTTCGACGTACCGGGGCTCAGCGGGCGGGCCTCCCTTCTCAGCCGCGGGCTAGGCCTCGACCGGCTGATGCAACACCGCCAGGCGCCCACGGCCGACGTCGTGGAGGACATATTTGCGGTTGGCCCGGATGACGAGGACGAGGTGGAGGATGCGAGCAGGCGCAGTCTCCCTGGCCACACACAGTTTGTGATCCCCGTGGACGAGAGCGACCCCGAGCGGACTCGGCAGATCGTGCAGGCATATGCGGCGGAGGAGCGGTTGCACCGCGATTTGCGCGCCGCGGGGCTGCTGTGAGATGCAGAGGTGAACGAGTTAGTGGCTACGGTGGGCTATGGTTCTTCTAGTTTTGTACAGATATATTGGTATTGGTTGGTTTTGCTCGCTCGCTTATCTACCCCTTCCCCTTCCTTCCCCGAATGCGTATGGACGAATGATGCGGTCCTTTCTTCGGTTTGTATGACATACATTAAAACAACACAACCCTAACAGAGTTGACGTCTTTCGCTCTGAAAAAGGTCGCTACCAGCTTTGTGGCTCGACTTGCCTCCTCACTCTCTGAGATATAGTTTTCAATGGTCAGGTTACATTGTGGATCAGCAGCATCGCTCTATATCCTCATTTCATTCTCTCTTGTGGTTCTTTACAACACGTACGCCCCACCTCCCTCCACACCCTCCGTCGTCCACACGTCCTGCATCTCCTTCTTGAAGGGCTCCAGCGTAAGCTCGACCGCCGAGCACGGGTAGCCGATCTCGAACTTCTCCAGCACGCTCGGGTGCAGGATGCCGAGCGTTCCGATGGGCATATCGGCCGGTGCAGAGGACGGGACGAGCTTCTCCTTGATCGCGCCCAGCGTCGACTTCGCCTTCGACGCCACGGTCGAGCGGTCGCGATAGTATATCGTCGCGGCACGGCCAGGGAAGAAGGCCGGATCTATGGTACGTTGTCCGTCCGTCAGCACATTGAAAAACCTTACGGGGAAGAAACATGTGTCGGAGGCTGACCGCTCGACTCCTTGATATAGTAGCCCGTGTCGGCAGCCGCGTCCGCGGCGCTGATCCTCGGTACCTCGAGCATCGCCATGATGCGGTCGAGCATGCCGTGCACGACCTCGAACCCGGCCGTCTTGTTGCACCAGACGGCGGCGGCGTGGCGCACATTGCGTGCCTGGCGCTCGCGCGCGGTGTCTTTGAAGACGACGTCGGCGCTCTCGAAGACCCTGATCGGCAGCGCATGCGACCGGTTCTCGCGCACAGTCTTGAGCAGGCCGGGGAGGAGCGAAGTACGGACGACCTGAAATTCGAGTGTCTTGGGGTTCGCGATCTTGACGGCGGTCTTGCCGTCGTCAGGGCGGTTCAGGAACTCGAAGTTCTCTTCGTGAGAGCACTTCAATATTGTGATTCGTGAGTTACACATCGTAACAGAAGAAAAGAAGGAGGGCGTACGAGGATGAGCGGTAGGACTTCAATCCAGCCGGCGAGCGCGAACTCGGTGCGGACGATGTCGGTCAGCTTGCTGATCGCCAGCGGCTGCGCGACGGTGTTCGTGGCCGGGAAGGTGTCTGGGAGCTTGTTAAAGCCGTACGCTATCGCGGCATCCTCCATGATATCGCATTCGTGGAGAATATCCGGCCGTGTTGGGGGCACTTCGACGAGAATGTCATCAGGAGAGGAAGGGTCGGGAGAGGCGGTCAGGGTCATGCGGGTGAGGAGCGAAGAAATCTCGGAGGCGTTGAGCGAGAGTCCAGTACAGGAGTTGATGTACGATGCGCTGGCCGTCGTCTTGCGAGTACTCAGGTCAGGCGTAATTTTCACTTTCCCGCCGGGGAAGACAACCTTCACCGGCTCAACGCTTTCAACTAGTCAACCTTAGGTGTGAAGAGTGAATAGTGAACGCCTACGTGAACGGCTCAGCGCAGTATTCAGAGAACATAGCGACCATGATATTCGTCACTATCGCCAGCTTGGTCTCGTCTGTCGCAGTGAGGTCGATGAAGACGTTGCGGGTGTTGAGGGTGATCTTCGAATGCTCTGAGTTGATGATGGGCGGCATGGACAGAACACGATCTTGTGTGTCGTATATAATTGGATACACTGGCGAGTCGCGAATGATGTGCAGATAGCGCGCAAGGTGTTTTTCAGACTATAATGCTGTTAGGGTGTTTCAATGACGATGAAATTGTTGAGAACCTCGTATACGGTCATGAGTTCCTCGGCGGTGTATGACTTGTCTTTGTTCAAGGGCACAAATTTGATGTCTTTCGGTGGACGTGCCTGATACCGGAAGGGCGCTTGTATCGTGTCAAGGTCATGGGTACCGATTGCGACGAGCGTCCTCTTCCTGCACAAGTTCTGGTGCAGTTTGTCCTGTAGGTCAATGAAGGATGCGTAGGAGCGAGGGGTGAAGTGGATGTTGCGCAAGATGGCGCCTGCGAAGAACGGTCGTATCCGCGAAACCTGCGATAGGAAGATTTGATCTGGGTGTTTCGGCACGAGCATTGGACATCAAGCTATTGCGTACCTCGGGGTCCACAGTTACAGTGAGTAGGTTAGGTTCTCCGCCCGGCGGAAGGACAAGCTTATAGTTCGGCGGGGTTGCTTTGCCCAGGAAGATGCGAAGTGCGCGCGAGATGCCCTCGATGCACAACAGATCATACCTACAAGAAGATATCATGTTGCCCTTAATATCCGTTGCTGTAGACTTACCTATTCGCAGGTATTTCGATTTTGAGTTGCTTTGCAAGTAATTTCAGTCCGTGAGGAGGTACCGATCGGAAAGAAACGCACGGGTCGCTCAGCAGGAAGGCCCTTCTTGATCGCCTCCTCCACCTCTTCAGTAGTCTATCAGGGCGACCTTTCAGATAAGGTTTCGGTGGTACAGAACGCGATGCGTACGTCTTCATCGAGCTCTATACCGAAGTCGAAGCATAACTGGTCAAACTCTTCATTGGCTGCCATTGCATGTACGGTCAATAACACTGCGTCGATCTCTAAGAATCAGCCTAGAATATTCACAAAATTTCTGTCCAAGACGTTCCCAGAGGTCCTCCTTGTCTACAGCAACGGTCGGCATCGTCTCCTTTGGCGCGTATTGATCGAGTCAAGGACAAGTGTTTGGTTAGATCGTGGCTATGCCGCTTTACACCTTGAAGTCCATCTCTCGTGCATCCGTCGCATTACAATATGGCGGAGCAACTTCAAAAACTGATCTTGGATACTTTGGATAAGGATGGAACCATCCAGGATACTCGGCAGCTCACGATTCCAGGGAGCGCCGGGCCTGCTACCTCTAATGAGGACCAAATCGCAATTCTCGGCGCTTTGAACTCGCTCGCGAGCCGGGATGTATGTCGTTTATAACGTAACGATGCCCGGACTGGATATCTGAACGATTCCTTATCCTAGATGATCACATATGTCACCCACGAGACCCTCTCCCATGTGTTGACCCCCGAGGGCGCGCAGGTTGCTCTCCAAGGATCACACGAAGCTCGCGTCTGGCAGGCATCACCTGCTAAAGGTGCTGGGACACCCATTACACCTGCGGAGCTGAAGAAGGCCGTTGGAGATGAGGCCGCTAGCGTCGGCCAGGGTCGTGCCTTCAAGAACAGATGGATAGCAAAGGACGGTGCCGGTTTCGTCAAGTTAGTGAGTTGCGTCCATCCCCATCATACATGCCTTCATGAACCTCTTGGTAAAGAGACTAACACCGACATGCAACGTGTTCGACTATAGGTTGATACGATCCAAGATCAGACACAGCTCGATATGCGGGAAGTGGACTCTACTGGGAGTTTGAAAGCCGGCGAAAAGGCCTTGGCAGATCTACGAAAGCGGAAACTCATTGTGCAAAAGTATGAATGCTTGTTCCCTCGCAATCACGTATCACTAATCCCTCACCTCACGATTTCAGAAAAGGTCAATACTTTACGGTACAGAAAGGACCGAGCTTCAGCACGATCATCGCCAAGCTCGAAACAGATTTGACTGTAGACATGCTCACCTCGTGAGTACATATGTGCTTGTCGACTTTCAATTCTCATGATGATATCATAGAGGAACCTGGAAAACAGCCTCCTTCAAGAAATACAATTTTGATGCAGAAGGTGCCCCACCAAACGGCGGTGCCTTCCACCCTCTACTCAAGGTGCGCGAAGAAATACGAAACATCTTCTTAGAGATGGGGTAAGTGCACCATGAGCACGTTCTTCCCAATTCTGATGCCATATTTCTATTGCATAGGTTCTCCGAGATGCCCACGTCCTCCTTCGTTGAGTCTGGTTTCTGGTGCTTCGATGCTCTCTTCGTCCCTCAGCAACATCCCGCCCGCGAATTGCAAGATACCTTCTACCTTTCTGGTAGGTCATTCAAAGTAATTGCTGTGAGCTTTGGCTGACTATGATTTCCTCCTTCCAGACCCCTCTAGCTCGCTTCCGCCTCCGGCAGATTACTACAAGCGCGTTCAGCAGGTGCACACCGTCGGCGGATACGGCTCCACTGGCTACCGCGCACCATGGTCGCACGAGGAATCGCGCAAGCTGCTTCTGCGCACACACACGACTGCTTCATCCGCGAGCATGTTATGGAAACTCGCGGCTAAATGTCGCGGCGAGGGCGTTAACGAAGATGAACTGAAATCTGAGTTGGCGCACGAACATGGGACGGGTGAGAAGACGGCGGACGACGGTTTCCGCCCGGCCAAGCTCTTCAGCATCGATCGGGTGTTCCGTAATGAGACGATGGACGCCACGCATCTTGCGGAATTCCACCAGGTGGAGGGCGTCGTCGCTGACCGGAACTTGACACTTGCGGATCTCATTGGTCAGTCCGTCTTTTGACAGTGTATCAACGATCAACTCACCATTGCTACCCTGTATAGGTTTCATGCGCGTGTTCTTCAAAAAGCTTGGCCTTGAGAACATCCGCTTCAAGCCTGCGTACAACCCATATACCGAGGTTAGTTCGCGGAATGTCTCCCACAAGTGACCATCGCTCACGAATATCTCATAGCCATCCCTCGAGATCTTCGCCTACCACCCAGCACTCCGCAAGTGGGTAGAAATCGGTAACAGCGGCATGTTCCGCCCGGAAATGTTGGCACCCATGGGCTTCCCGAAGGATGTCCACGTCCACGGCTGGGGAATCTCACTGGAGCGGCCCACTATGATTAGGTGGGTAATCTCATCAGGATGCTGTTATACACAACGGTAACCTTGCTTGCGTCAGGTACGGGATCAACAACATCCGGACTCTTGTCGGGCACAAAGTACCTCTCGAGAGCGTGGAGAAGTCGCCCGCTGTACGTTTTTAGATTTAGGGAACAATGTGTGTAGAGGGAACGAGAAGGAATGTATTGTTCAAAGGAAGAGATTGACGTGAACCCAATGTTTAACAGTTACAGTTAAAACGAAAGCCACTCGGGTTGGTAGCGGCGTCGACGCCACGAAACGGTATGTCAAACTCGAACGATGATATACTAGCTTTTATGCCGGGAGATGTTGAGCAAGGTCAGAACGTCATCGTACCAGAATGCTTCGTGCCACCGATGGAGTAAGTGAGGATCGCGCTGAACAGCAGACCGACCGCTATTCCCAACCCCGTTCTGATCATCGCATATTCGATCGGGATCGCGTTGTCCTGCGCACTGATTCCTCCCGTCTCCGCCAAACCGCTCGGCACCAGGAAACAGACGCCAGTGACCATGACCGTGAATGCCGTCCGCTTCGCGACCCTCGAATACACCGAACCGATCAGCCCGACCACGAACGCGCCGATGAAGGCCACGAACTCGAGACGGGAGTGGATGAAATGGTTAGCTGCCCAGTTGGCGGCGTACGCGGCGCACGAGATGACGACCATGACGGGGAAGTCCCAGCTACGCCATGGCTGCTGGTTCCCGAGCGATGCGAGCGCGGAGAAGATTGGCACTGCAAAAATCTGAGTCCACCACGGCCAGCTGCGGAGGTACCACGGGAAGGTATCCGGGCGGTAGCACCCGGCGTGGATGTCCTTCTTAAACGGGTTCTCGGTGACGTTGAGATACGTGAACGCGACCGTGTCGTTGAGCTCTGGCCAGGGTTTGACGTTGCTAAATTGAATCGTGCCCGACATGTGGGTCTCCTTCCTGACAGAGAGTGCCATGCCCTTCACATTGTGCATCGCGGCCGGGTCGACTATCCGCCAGAGTTGGTCGCCCAGCTGAAGCGCAAAGCCAATAAAGAGCGTGAGGGCAAGCGCGCGCACGACTTTGATGCCGCCCGTCATCATGTTACGAGAGGCAATCTCGAGGGCGGCGGTCAGCACCAGGAACCCAGGGAGGATGCCAACTATTCCAGAGTATGTGATCGCGGTGTAGCAGAATAGCTGGTCTGGAACAGTGATGCTAGATAACCCACGCGCTGCGAACGAGATAAGTGTTGCCAAACAGAGACTGCCAGCGGGGAAGAGAATCAATCAGTTCATGCACATGGTATGTAACAAGGCGTGTATGCTTACTCTGCGAGGTAATACTTTGTCTTGTCTTGCACCCTCGATTGCATGAAACGCATAGATGCACCTGCGAATCCCCCAACCCACATGTCCAGGAATGAACCTCCAAACGCCAACCCACAAATGATAGCAGAAATCCAGAACTGCAAGAATATCCCAAGCGCTAACCCATACTCGGGACCCGAGTTAAGAAGCACATCGATCTGTCTGCGGCCTTCAGAGGCGTATATCTCGTCGTGCATTACCCGACGAGAGATTTGGTGCACTTGGTGGAGCTTTCCCAGCGCTAGACCTTCCTGGCACCTGATAATGTGGAGAGACTTATCCAGTCCTCCCTGTCTCGGGAATGCAATCCAAGCGATCGCGGGAAGTTGTATGACCCCCATCCGGACGTTCAGAATGCGAGCAGCGGCCATGAGCTGTTCCTCTATCCTATGTTGAGGAGCTCCAAAGCTGAAGAGCGCGTTGCAGAGCACGCATATGAAAGTTTGCCTCTTCAGCATGTCTATAAGATAGACAATTCAGTGACGGGACGCCGAGAGAAAGGCGGGAAAGGGCACCTTCGACATGATAAACGACCGGGATGCACTCTGATTTCTCTCTGGCTTTCTTGAGGCGATCCTTATACCGTACTTGAGGGAGGTCGACATCGCCTTCAACCGGTACGTCTCGTGCTTTCTGCTTTTCGTCGTACTCGTCGTAATCAACGTCGAAATCCGCTTCTTCGTCTTCATATTCGAGATACACGCCGTTGCCGGAGCCGTTGGGGCCTGGCACCTGCAGGCCTGACGCACGATATTCCGCTTGCTTCTCCCTATCTTTGCGTTCCCTGTGCGCGGAGTACTTCATCCACAGGGAGGCAAACTTGTGCGAGTTACTGTCCTCCTCGCCGTTGTCGATGCCCGATACTGGCCGAGAATCGAGCTCTGAGGCTGCAGTTGAGTGTCGGTATTGCGACGAAGCATCCACGTCGTAGTCCATATCGTAATCCTCGTCTTCCTGAGCATCGAGGTGTCACTCATACGCATCCAGGCTCAAGCTCTATATGCATGCTCACCCAAGGAACACGATGTCGCGTTTTCAGCGCACTGCTGTTCCGAAGACGGGGTGGCAACGGAGATAGCTTGGGGTCATCCAGATAGCGAGAGTGCCGCTGGCTCAGCCATGCAGGCTCCATTGTTCGAATCCCTGAGGGACTATCGGGTTTCGACATGCTCTGAGATTGGCGAAGACGACGGCGGGCAGAAAACTAGGACGAGCGAGAGGGCGACGTGGGTTTTGATCCATGTCCGCGAGAGTTAGATATGCCCTGGATCTTGCTGCTGCAGACGTTTGACAGGATGCCCAGCATAAGTGACATCGGCATCGATTCGTGGTTGGTGTCGCGCGTCGAGACAGCGCGTAAGGCTACAGCGTGCGTTTACAGCGCTTCACCACGATGCGTACCATCTTTGGTCTGTTTCGCAAGACAAGCATCAGAGTGGACCGCATCGATTTGCAGCATATGCAGGCTATCGGCTCTCCATAAATCGTGTTACAACACATTGAGCGACGTCACAAACGAATAAGTCGAGCGAGCGGAGCGTCCGGAAATGATAAAAGCATCGTGCGCATGTCAGAGCACGGCCCCGAGTGGTTGCTCATATGCCACGATGAAGCTCGAAGATGTCCCAACTCCTCCGATAATATATCCAGATACCAGCGGATGGACGTGCGCTTGCTCCCAATGTTATTGGAGCGGGACTGGGCCCGAGGAACGCTGCATATGATGCAGCAACACCAACTCGCCAACGTACGCAAGGTTTACGGCGGGGATATGGTAGCGCTGGTAGCGCAAGGATTGTGACGCAGGAGACTAGGATATCTCATGCGGACATTCATATAGCGTTAACGATCTTCTTCAGCCCCGACTTTGCGCCGGACCTCCTCCTCGATTCTAGTCCAACTGCACTTCTACATGTACGAAGGACGCTACCCAAGTCTTCGTTTGAAGCGTGGTAGTCGCGCGGATGGTGGATGGGAGTGAAGAGGGCGAAGGCATGAGGAGAGGTGGGCGCGGATCGCGCGGAATGGAAAGGCCCGCGAGAGGTGGTGGACGCAGCGAACGTAAACATCGTAGAGGCTGGACAGAGGGAGATGTTTGATTATGCAGGTATCGGAGATGTGAGCCGAGTGCTGAAGGGACGACTGAGCTGGTAGAGCATATAGAGCGTACAGCTTGTAGCTTTTATAGCGAGCCTTCGAACAGACGTCCTTGAGGAAAACACGGAGCGATTGGTTGATTGATTGTCAATGACGACAGTGCTCGACAAAGCCCCACAAGCATCCACGGACGCATATTCTGTTGCTACGAAACAGGAGAGCTCAGCCGCCTACAGTGGCAAACGCGAGGACCCATAAATTCGGAAGGTCAATGGAGTGGAGGACAATGCAACTGTGCCACTGTGGCGCACTTGCTCTCCACACGCGCAAACATAGCCAAATCGAAAGCAACGACTAATTCTTCTCACGAATTTTCACCTTCCTCTCCGAGTTCCTCGTGCCTTTCTCCTCGCTACACGGCGCTCGATAGTTGGGAAAGCTGACCACCGTCAACTGGCACTCTGTGTCCGCTGGCATGCCCAGGATGGATACTTGATATCTGACTTGTGAGTACCGTCTGCCTTTCTTCTATTCTATCTTTGCTGTGATGTCAACTTTATTCACACTGTACGAGCCTGGTGTATCAACCACGGCCGTGAGTTTACTCTTCTACAACGGTATCTGAGCTTCAATCACCGTCACTCGTTATTCTCGTCAGCGATATGGCATAGGGCTAACATCATCTTCATAGCTGCGAAATCAAAGCCTCAAAGTCTCACTTGCATTGTTACGGTTATTTTCACGGCCGACCACTGTCTTCTATGCAGCTTCCCTGCCATGGAGCGCTTTCATGTATTTTCTTACACTGTGCCTAGTACCTCGGCACATAAACATGCGATTCACCCAAGATAATATTCACCTACGACCAGCATTGAATGCAAGCGAGACTGGCTGTCTATGCTTGGCGCGTGTAAGGTTGAGCTTGGGAATGACGCGGGCGGTGGCTGCGGCACGACGCGGGTCAGGCGAGCAAAAGAACTCTACGTGCAATGTATAGGTTTTCGAGACGTCGTAGAGACCCCAGATAATCATACCTATAGGAGCCTCGGACGCCCTGGATGTGCACGCGTGATTAGCCTACGGCGCGGCAGATCTTTTATTGCTTGCCGCGGCAGAGGTACAGTTGTAAGTTACAGCGTCGGCGGTCGCAATGCCCACGCGCTCGACATCGGAGGAACCACGCGTCCGCGGATGACATCGAGAGAAGGCAGATGTGTTCACGCTTGATAGCGCGCTCATGAACGCCTATATGTATATCGGGCTTCAAACGGAAGGGCCGGGCTACGCTGAGTACGGGGACGTGCCTTAGCCATGTTCGCCCTCTTCCTTCTCGCCGTCCAGCTGGGCCTCGTAGTCGGCCATGGTCACCAACCTGACTTCAGTGCCTCTGCGCAGAACCTAGACGACCCGCTGCCGTTCTTCTTCCCGGATAACAGCAGCTCGGCTGGGACACCGTTTCCGATGCCCAATTGCTATGGGGTGATCATAGAGGAGGCATCTATCGTTGCTTTGCAGAAGCACCTGAAGAAGGGCAGCTTGACGAGCGCGCAGCTCACGGAGTGCTACCTCAGGAGGATTAACCAGGTTGACCAGTTCGTCGAGTATGTATGAATCTTCGCGATTCTGAGTGCGGTTGTGCGGAGTTGATATTGTTGCCAGAGCTATCATGGAGGTCAACCCAGACGTCTTGGCCATTGCGCACGCGCTGGATGCCGAGAGAGCAGCAGGTAGAGTCCGCGGACCTCTCCACGGTATCCCATTCGTCGTTAAGGACAACATTGCGACCAAGGTGCGAAGGATTTATAGATTTATATCCTCACTGGCCGAAGCGTTGACGAATGCATTGACCTGTAGGACAAGATGGAGACCACGGCGGGGTTCTGGGGCCTCCTGGGCAGCATTGTTCCTCGCGATGCCCACGTCGTGAAGCGCTTGCGCGAAGCTGGCGCTGTGCTCCTGGGGCACTCCACTTTGAGCGAATGGGCGGACATGCGCAGCAACGACTATTCCGAGGGTTACTCCCCACGCGGTGGGCAGGCGCGGTCGCCTTACAACCTCACCATGAACGCTGGCGGTAGTTCGACGGGCAGCGGTGGCGCCGTCGCATCCAATGAAGTCACATTTGCGCTCGGAACCGAGACAGACGGGTCAGGTGAGTGTCCACTACTCGAGTATCCACCACGGGATCGTTCAGAACATTGTGTGTTGTATAGTTATCTCCCCATCCGAGCGAAGCGGCCTCGTGGGTTTAAAACCTACTGTCGGGCTCACCAGTCGTGCGGGCGTCATACCGGAGTCAGAGCATCAGTTGCGTCCATCCCTTTACGTATGAGTTGCGTTTGCTCACAGTCAATCCTTATTTTCTCAGAGACACGGTCCGTGTGCATGACCTAATGCCGTGCCAGCGAGCTCACATGCCCCAGAACAGGTCGGAGTTCTTGCCAAGAGCGTGGCTGATGCAGCTGCAGTACTCGGTGTTATCGCCGGCGTGGACCCTAGGGATAACTACACCCTCGCACAGATAGAGGCTCCCGACCGGACATTCGATGGTACCTGCTTTCACTGTGAATATGAGTTCGGCAGCTGATTCCACTAGATTACACCCAGTTCCTTGCTGGACCAGAGTCACTCAACGGATCGGTGTGGGGTATCCCATGGCAGTCCTTCTGGACGCAGACCAACCCACTCGATCTAGATGGACTCTTTTCTGCCCTCCATGCAATCAAAGCTGCTGGTGGGACAATCATCAACGGTAACGACTACATTTTTGTATTATGCGCACGTCCTGACCGCTAGGCGTCAGGCACCGAGTTGCCCAACTGGCAAACTATCGTGTCGCCCGATGGATGGGATTGGTGTGTCAGTTTATTGCAACGATTCTGGCGCACGTCGCTAAAGGACCACATTCAGGGACTATGGTAGCACTCGAGGATTCCCCAACGAATCCGGTAAGCTATGCCGAACATATATTCATTCCCTGCTCATCTCACGGGCTTGCCCACAGAGTACACCGTAGTGAAGGTCGACTTTTACAACAACATCAAGACTTATCTCTCTGAACTCAACAACACCAACATCCGTTCGCTCGAAGATATCGTCGCGTACAATGACGCGAACGTGGGCACGGAAGGCGGCGTACCTGGGATACATCCTGCGTTCGCATCGGGCCAGGTAAGCCGAGGACGCTCGAAGACGCTCCTTTGCGCAGGGGCTGCGACTCAGTGGCATTTGCTAGGATGGTTTCCTTGCGAGTCTCGCCTCTAAGGGTATCAGGAACGAGACCTACTGGCAAGCTTTGGAATTCTGCCAGCGCTCGACGAGAGAAGAGGGCATCGACGCGTAAGCTGCTGCCGTACAGTACCATGGATGGACACTGAGCTTGGTCGGTCTAGCGCGCTCAAATACACGAAGAAGAACGGAAAACAGGGTAAACTGGATGGGCTTCTGGTACCCTCGAACACAGCAGTGACGTATCAAATCGCGGCGCAAGCAGGTAAAACAATAGATCCGTCCTCGAGGATGCCGGATTCTTATTGGTCGATGTCAGGTTATCCCATGATTACTATCCCTGCGGGTGTTAATTCGTACGGCATGCCTTACGGCCTTGGCATCATGAACACGGCGTGGAGCGAGCCGTCGCTGGTTAAGTGGGCGTCTGCAATCGAGGCCATCCTTCCCAGCCGGCCGACGCCCAAGTGGTTGGCGTACACGGCGAAGAACATTCCGGTCGACTCCGAGTAGGCGCGCAAGGTATTCTGACACGATGAGCTAGGTTTATAATGGCGATGGAAGAGGTTCATAGTATTACAGAATACAGCCGATATGCCCAGAGAAAGTCCCATTCCTATAAGTTACGGGGATTATATAGTCCTCGTGTGACCAGGCATGGCCTGCGTCTTGAGTGCGAAGATAGCGTAGTATTGCGCGGTTGGCAAATGATCGCGGCTGACGACTGTGCAGCCGTGTGGCGGATGATCGTGATATGTATACGTTGGTGAGGGAAGGAGTGTGTCGTATACGTCCGGCGTGGTATATGTTTGAGTGCGGTCAAATGCTCAAATACTGGGGTCGCGGAGTTTGAGTGAAGGATGCATTCCGTCCTCGAAGGGGGGAAACGCCTGGTTGCTCAGGGCCTTCCAAGGCGCAAGAGCTTTCTCCATCCTCCAACAGCGCTTGTGCTGCCCGGCCAGAGTACATGTCGTAACTCTGAGAACATGTCATGCGCGTCGCGAGGGGAGTGTGCGTGCCCGAATAGGGCGAGGGCGTGCGGGGTGGGCGTCGCGAGGTGAAAGGAGTTTTGTTGCGCGGGCATGGTGGTTCGACTGGCGAAGCGGATTGTCGAGGTGGCGTAGGGAGGATGTAAGGGGGTCGATATTATAACCTGCAGGAATGCAGTCGTTTCGAACGACGGGGTGGATGATGCAGGCTAGTCCGTCGACGGGTGTCAGACCGTCGGAGGGATGAAGGTGGACGGAGAACAGCGCATGCTCATATATCACCAGAGCCGAGTATATCAAGTCCCAGAGCGTTACAAGACCCACCAGAAGGTCGCGAAAGTACAAGGGCACCTACTTCCATATGAGGGCATCACCTTTTTACCGCATTTGGCACTATGCGATCGACATCGTCGCCGCTCTGCGCGCTCGGATTCGTACAACATCGCTTGGATACTTGCGGGGTATGAGCGCGGCGAGGAAGCCTAAGGTTGGCTAGTTATGACGAGCATCTATTCCAGTCAGTCCGGAGAAAGACAGGCGAACTTGAACAAGAGGCGCGCTGCCGATACTTGGGAACGCTGTGTACTTTTTCACGTGCGCGCAGTGTGTGCGAGAGTCCACGACCGTAACTTCACGCAAGCTTTGAGAAAGACCGCCGACCGGCGCTTCCGCCCGCCGGATGAGAGTCTTGCAATATCTCGTACCAATGGGAAACCGACAAAAACATAATCTCACGAGACCATCCTGAACATCTTCCCTGATAGAGTCAACGTTCCATTGCGGGCCGCGCCCATCTACGCTTGACCAATAATGTTTTCAAAATCGGATTGAACTTCTGGCGGTGCTGGCGCTTTCCAACGTACCACGGCGACCCACTGCGGTCTCTGATCGCGCTCGTGATGACCATCGCCACCTCTTCTCCTGCACGCGAGACGCCCACTTCCATCACGGCGAGCATGCCATTTTTGCATCCGATTTGCGACTCTATGTGCCCGTGATATGGCCTCGTGAGCTCTTAGGTCATCCTCCGTCCCATCCTGGTACCCAATCCGCTGCCATGACTGACGCACGGCTCTCGGGTAGAGCTCATCTTCTGCTTTCTTTGGCATGCATTTTTGGCTTCCCGATTATCTCATTCTGCTCCGGAAGCCTCGTCACGACGACGGCAGGCTCGTCGCTGGTTATAAACCGCCGGTTGGTCGAGAGCGTAGTGAGACTAGCTGCTCTCGCTTCCGACGAGGAGCCGCACTCTAATAACTTCGGGATCACCCTTAGCCTGAAGTGCAAGCAACCATGTTCGGCGTACTCTCGGTCCTCGTTGGCTCTCTCGCCGCCTTGTCCACCGTGAAAGGGGACGTTACCTGGACTGCAACTCCGTTCAACCCTGCATCGGTCCCCCTTGCGGTCAGGTCTCCGTACCTCTCAGCATGGCTCCCTCAGGGATCAGGAACAGCACTGAACGCCGCATGGCCTCAGTTCTGGACAGGATCGGTACGTCCATGCAACATCTTCATTCTGATCAGTACCAACTCGATATGATAGACTCTTGGTTGGGCAGGATATATCAAAGTGGATAATACTGTGTACAACTTCCTTGGTGCCCCAGATGTGGCGGGTGCCAGCAAGGCCGTACAGAAGAGCCTTGAGGTAATCTTGCCCTTCCTATTCGTTTGCGGATGCTAACCATGTTGCGAATAGTTCACGTCTACTCAAAGCATCTTCGTCTTAGACGCCGGACCTGTCGAGCTTACTGCGAACTTCTTCAGCCCTGTTGAGGTTTGTACTCAACTGCCCTCTCTCATGCTTGTCGTGCTCATGATTTGTGTCCGAAGCCTACCGACTTGGTGAAGCAGTCCCTTCCGTTCTCGTACCTGTCGTTATCAGCTAAGTCCACGGACGGGGGTTCGCACAGCGTCTCCGTGTACACCGATATCAGCGCCGAATGGGTTACGGGCGACAACAGCCTGACAGCAAACTGGACTACGACCACCGACAGCATCATCACGCACCAGGTCCAGCTGGAAAGCCAAACCGTCTTCGGGGAAGTCTCGGATCACATTCAGCGTGAGTAGATGTCATGACACTACGTCAAGCTATTCCTGACCTGCAAGCCCATAATAGAGGGCTCCGCTTTCTACTCCACCGATAGCGTGAGTCGCTCCCTGTATACATTAGTTGGTACCCATGCTCATGATGATATCATTAGACCTCAGGAACGACCTTCCAAACCGGCCAGGATGTTGTGGTCCGCGCCCAGTTCATCAACGACGGCGTTCTCGCGAACACGCAGGACACCAACTTCCGCGCAGTGTCGGACGACTGGCCCGTCTTCGCGTTCGCCAAGAACCTCGGCACGGTATCATCTACTTCCACTGCCCCGGTTGTGTTCTCCGTCGGACACGTCCGTGACCCGGCCATCGAGTATATCGTCGCTGGGGGTGCGTTGCAGAACCGCAGTCTCTTCTTCTGGAGCCATTTTTCTACTGTCGCGTCTGCTGTACGTGTTCCGTATGCGCTTTCATCAGGCTGTCATGACGCTGATTAGAATTTCTTATTAGATATCGTCTTTCCTCGGAGACTACTCTGCTGCCTTGTCTCGAGCTCAAACCCTCGACGCGAAGATTCAAAGCGACGGTTCCGCGATTTCTGCCGATTATGCTTCCATCGTAGCCCTCTCCACGCGACAGGCTCTCGGCGCTACTGAGATAACTCTCTCGAAGAACACCGATGGCAGCTTCAACACGAACGACGTTCTCATGTTCATGAAGGAGATCTCCAGTGATGGCAACGTGAACACCGTAGATGTCATCATGCCGGCATGGCCGATCTTCCTATATCTCAACCCCGCCCTCGGCAAGTACTTGCTATTGCCGCTTTTCGAATACCAAGCTACTGGCCAATATCCGAACAAGTGGAGCGTCCACGATATGGGGGCCTCCTACCCGAAGGCGCTTGGACACAATGATGGTAAGCTAAGTCTCACTCTGTACATGACCCAGAATACTAATCACTGGTATAGGCAATGATGAGCCCATGCCCGTGGAAGAGAGTGGCAACATGCTCATCATGACTCTATCGTACACCCAGAAAGCCAACGACAACTCCCTCATCTCGACCTACGTTAGTACATTGCGCACTCCTTGCCGCAGCCGATTTTAACTGGCGTGTAGGAGAGTCTCTTGGACCAGTGGACTCAATTCTTGATCACCGACTCTCTGATTCCGGCCAACCAGATCAGCACGGACGACTTCGCCGGATCGCTGGCGAACCAGACCAACCTTGCTATCAAGGGTATCATCGGCATCAAGGCCATGTCTGTTGTCGCTGATCGGCTCGGAGATAGCGCCAAGAGCTCGAACTACAGCGTCCGTACTTCAGTCGTTGTCGATATCGACCTTCGATAGTTGACAGCGGTTCGCCCAGTCTATCGCTTCGTCATACGTGACCCAATTCCAAACCCTTGCTACCTCGAAGACCGGCCCTCATTTGACGCTGTCTGTCAGTATACTGACTACAATCCACTCAGGTCACAGTGCTAATAACACCTCTTCAGTACAACGACGACGCCTCCTGGGGATTGAGCTACAACCTCTACGCCGACAAACTTTTGGAAACCAACCTTTTCCCCGCCTCAATCTACTCGGAACGTCAGTGTCTCTTGCAGTTTCCATCCATGCCGGCTCACCACCGTTACTTCGTATAGAAACCGCTTGGTACCCTACCGTTGCCCAAAGCTTCGGAGTCCCGCTTGACACCAGACATACTTACACCAAGTCTGGTGAGTCTGCTCCCAGTACCGCGTGGGCAGGATCATGACGCTTACCTGTCCCATCAGATTGGCAGATTTGGACAGCTGCTATCGCGACGGAGACGTCGACCCGCGATCTCTTCATCTCCTCGGTGAGGAAGTACGCGGCCGACGGCGAGAGTTCGCAGCCTTTGGGTGACTGGTATGAGACGACGAACGGCGCGGTGGAAGGGTTCAGAGCCCGCCCGGTCGTCGGAGGCCATTTCGCTCTGGTGAGTCATTATTTTGCGCTCGGGTTCAAGAGAACGGATGGCTTACCTTGCGTATAGCTCGCACTGTAAACGATGTACCACGAATTCCCTGCTGTATTTTATTGGGCCACCGTTGGGTAGATTTTCGAATGCGTGAATCCTCGATAATCATGCAAAGGTTTCGAAGAGCTGAGTCGCAAGTGCGTACCGTCCTTTCGGAAGGTTGCCTCCGGACGGCGTGCAAGGTTTGGTCATGATCCATGATCCATGGCCAACTCGTTTGACGACTTTCATGCCTTTGTTCCGATGTACGTTGTGTACATATGACGAGGATCGACATCGGGAGGCAACGAGAAGGGCGAAATACGCTTCGGGAACGCTGAACATCCGAGCTTCCCGGCGTGTGTGTTTTAGTGAGTACTCTCTTGCTATTAGGTGAGCCAGAGAATCACTCCATCACTTGATTTTCCCGAGTGGGAGGCGGGAGTAATCAATGTCAGAGTCACACAAGGGGCCAAGCACCACAATCAGGAACCTCCTGCGCAGCTCTTGACTGATTCAGCATTTCGACGAGTACTACCATCACTACACAGACGATAGATGCGGTCAGTCATACTAAGTCCTAAGTACAAGTACTGGGTGAATTTCATTTAACCCCAGCATGGTCATTAGCCACGTGGTTGACGTGTACATCTCGGCTGCCTGCGCCTGTTTCCTCTTGCCCGTTACTCCCGCTATATACTGCTTTGACTTCTCCAGTATCTCCAGAAGCTTTTGTGAGCACTAACACGAGGAATTTAATATGGTGGTCGTCGAGCATATATACCGAGAATACATCTTGGGCCCCCTTCTCACCGCGGTTCTCACCCTGAACTGCTCGGACTGGCTTCATGTTTCCCATATGCGGCTTCTTTCATCAATGCGGGGCATGTCATCGGACCGAGCATTGTCACATATATAATAAGGTCGGCGCGCTGTAGCGATTTCACACACAGATTCACCATGGAGGCCGACAATCAACTCTTGATCATCGCCGGCTCAGCTGCCGTAGCTTTCATCGCATACAAGGCGATATTCCTGCGGTCATCACGCGTGAGTGATTGATCTAGCTTACTGAAATGCCTAGATGTTAATGGTACGACATAGTTGGCTTCGATACCGACCCTAGGCTACTCCAATGCCGTGCTGTCGTACATCGATGCACTCCGTTTCGTCACACAAGGCAGGGAGTTGCTCGCGGAAGGATATAGCAAAGTATGTCTGGGATCATCGCAGTGAAACCGCAAATAACCCATGAACCTCCATTCGTAGTACAAGGGCGGTTTCTTCAAAGTGGCGAATCTCGACAAGTTTAGCCATAGAATTATCGTCAAAATCCAATCATACTGACAGCATCACCTAGATGGATGGTCCTCGCTAGCGGTCCCTCAATGGTGGAAGAGATTAGGCGTATACCGGAAGATCAAATGTCCTTTCATCAATTCGCTAGCGAGGTAAAGTGACCCTTCGCGAAAGTAGCACTTGCTGAGCGTCTGTGGATACAGTCTATTCAGGGAAAGTACACCTTAGGTCCAGATGTCATGGCTGATCCATACCATATCGGGATCGTGAGTCGGATTAAACGCAGGAACGTGACACATACTCAAGTATTTATGGAAGGTCCACTCAAGGCTTACAAAAAGCCTGGCGTCCGTATTCGAGGACGTTCGGGATGAGGTAGACCTTGCGTTCAGCGAGCTAATACCGGACAATCAGTCCGGTGAGCATGAACCGCAATGTATTTCCCCCCTTTATCTGACCCGTCAGGTATAGACTGGATCGCGTTGCCCGCAGTGGAACTGATCAGAGCTGTCGTTACGCGCGCCAGTAACCGTGTGTTCGTTGGTCTGCCGCTTTGTGAGTACGTCGTTGACTGCGTGACTGGCGCAGTCTAAAGGCACGTTCTAGGCCGGGATCCGGATTATATAGCTCTCAACATCGAATATACTGTTCAGGTGGTTGACGCAAGGAATAAGATTAACTTGCTGCCCGACTTCATGAAACCGTACGGCGATCCGTTTCTTCAGGAACTGGAGTATTGAATCGGGTCGTTAGTGTTGCCGGGCATATCCTCAGTAACCTGCCTGCGGCGACGAAGAGAGGCGTACGTCATTTAAAACCAATCATAGACGAGCGTTGGAAAAAGTACGAAGAGTACGGCCTCGACTATCCCGATAAGCCGGTCAGGAATCTGCGGGTCCTACTCTCGTTTATTTTGTTGGCTGACTCGACGTTTTGTACGTGATAGGATGATAAGCTGAGCTGGTTGATGGATGCTGCGGCTAATGTGCCGGAGCGCTGCGGAGCAGACGCATTGGTTCGTCGGGTCCTCACCATCAATTTTGCTGGTAAGCATAATGCTGCTTCGATCCATGCGCTCTTTCAACTGACCTTCGCCAACAGCCATACACACCAGTTCTTCGGTCGGTGTCATCTTTCATTCTTTGCTCAGCGATTGCTTACCAAGAGGCATCTGCCTGAAGACTATGACCCACGCGCTTTTCCATCTCGCCGCCAACCCGGAACTCTGGATGGAGCCATTGAGGGAAGAAGTCGATAGAGTGATCAAAGAAGACGGCTGGACGAAGGTAGGATGCACGCGTAACTATGAACCACCCTTAAGATCAAGTTCTGGCAGGTTGCTATGACAAAGATGCACCGCGTTGATAGTTTCCTGAAAGGTGAGATTCGACGCAGTTCTACGACGTGCCAACGTAATAAATATGAATTTCAGAATCGACACGCTTGGACACCTTCAATGGATGTGCGTCATCATGACAAAGTTGAGACAGCTAGCTGACTGCTTATTCCAGTCGCCATGATGCGAAAGGCTCTCAAAGATCATACCTTCTCCGACGGTAAGTCAGATTGTGGCCGAAAATGTCGGGCCCTGACACTGCTATATGTGACGTCCCAGGCACATTCATACCGAAGGGCACCTACCTGGCCTGTCCCACTTCGCCCACACATGTGGATGATAACAACTACGACAATCCATTCACATTCAGTCCTTGGCGCTTCTCGGACCTTAGGGATGGCGATGGGCAAGGCGCGAAGCACCAGTTCGTGAATACCAATCCGGACGTGAGCTCGTCCCACATGATGATCGACGATCGTGCTGACGGAATCTCTTCAAAGTATATCCCCTTCGGTCACGGAAAATACGCGTGGTGTGTTGACACGACTCATCTGAACACTGGATCTCGACCTAAGTATTATTCTGTTCTCCAGCCCGGGTCGGTTCTTTGCTGCTAATGAGCTGAAGCTGATGATTGCCCACTTGGTTCTGAACTATGATGTCCAACTGGAGCATGGATCGCACGTTAGACCCCCTAACGTGATCTTCGGAGCCTCTTGCATGCCCAACCCCCGCGCGAAGGTGTGCTTCCGCAAGAGACAGTTATGACTGAGGCACTACTACATCCACGGGTCTCAATCGGAGATTGATGATGAATATCATGTATGATACTTATGGACAATGAGGCGACAATACGGCATTGACGTTACGGTGTGGTTAGGAGAATGAAGACCGGCAATGACAACGATTTCCTATGATTCACCGGGATTCTTGTACCGTCTCAAGGCCCTCTCCCTAGCTTCGTCATGCCTGATGAGGGGCCTTGGGTAGCCAAGTCGGTCAGCGACCTCAGGTGCAGGATTATGAATGCCTGGGTGCTTATGTTAACACTGATTGATACTAAGCCCACGGTGAGCAAGAACATACCTGCCCCTTTAAGGGTTTGGAGCTCGGGTACGAAGTACCGAATATAGTGGCCGTCTGGGTCCGCCTATGAATCGTATCAGTTCAGCCGAAGGCTGATTATTATTATTTATCCGACCTTTTCGCTTTGTGAATACGGGTTGAAGATACGAAAATACGGAACGGCGTCGGTTCCTGTACTCGCGCTCCATTGCCATCCTGGTATATATCTTGAATTCTAGTTTCACATAGATAGCGACTCTCCCCAAACTGACCTCCGTTGTTACTGGCAAGATCTCCGTCGATAAAGTTCTCCATGAAATACTGTAAATATATGAGATGAAACCTAGACGCGGTCCGACCTGAACTAAAAACCTTTTCGCCCAGTCTCCAATCAATCATAAGATCTTTTGTCAGGTACATGGCAGCAATCATCCTCATCCGGTTATGCATCCAGCCTAGCGATCAAGGTGAGCTACTCGACAGAATATGAGATGCAGACCATACCCATGGTACGACATTGCCTCATTGCTGCATCCACGATAGGTACGCCTGTTCTCCCCTCCTTCCAAGCTTGCAAGTGTTCCTCGTTCGTCTCCCATCGGACATCAGCATATTTCTCGTTGAATGGTCTGCCCATGGAAACTCGCGGAAATGCAGCGAGAACATGAGTATAAAAGTCACGCCATGCTGCATTATCGGTCAGTATTTCGGTGCACGCAAACTGCTATGTGTTCACCTATCTCTTGCACCCAGACACCGATGCTTTTGTCACGGCTGGCCTCTACCTTCTTTATCCCGAGCAACTTCATCGTTTCTCTTATACACTCTCGAGCGGAGATCACGCCGGTGGCTAAGTAGGGACTGGGAAGCGGACGAATCGTAAGCGTGCAGAGGAGACCGAAGAGCAACACGCGTACCTGAGTCGGCTCGTACTGTCACGATCACCTTTGTCTCGCTGGTCTTTATATAGTGATGCTCGCGAAAGTTTCACGTCCACCTCTTCCCCCGCACTGAGTGGGTCTACCACGCCGAGTTGGGCCCTCCTGGTTCTCGTGTACAGGAACCTATGGAGTATCTTTCTTGCATGGGCTGTGCCGGCAGGCCAAACCTCGTCCATCTTCTGTGATTCTTCCTTAGATAGGCAGAATCCTGGAACAGAGTCTGGTACCGTCGCCGAGAACAGTTTCGCATACACCGGATGGTCGTGGATTTCGGGGGAGTTCATGGCAGGAGATGGCACTTCGCTGATGCGAGACAGGTCGGAGTTGAGGAGAGCGATCCAAGATCGCTGAAAAGGGGAATAAACCTAACAGGGTGCAAAGATCAGGTCCGGTTCCATACACCACTAAGTTAAAAAGCTCACGGTATATGTCTTTCCTCCCTTCGTAGCAAGGATGCCCGGTTCGATAACTAGCTTGTCGTGTACCCAGAGGCATCGAATCTTCTTGTCTGCCGCCAGGTCGGAAATGCGAACATCCCTTCTCAGTTCATCGACTTCGTGTTCTATGTTGGCATATAAACGCGTCGCACGCCACGACATGAGCAACAATATGACGAAGTCTGAGAGAGTTCGCCGAGGGACGTGGGTGACAATGTAGAGCGGGATATGTAGCTCCGCCAGGCGTTCCTTGATGATCCATAGGTTGCGTAAAACGAAATCAATGCGGCGTGGGCTGCGGTCGTGAGCTTGATAATCCTGTGGGCTGATGATAAAAAGAGTTATCAAAGGAACGCCTTCGTGAACCGCTTGTTTGGATGCTTGGGAAAGCGCTCTGTTGTCATCGACTGAGGAGCACGATGAGACCGCGTCACTTATCTAAAAGAAGCAAACACACCTCTCATATCTTGCATCCTCATCCAGTAAACTACGGCATCGCCGTTAGCAGGATCCTTGAAGGCTGTCTTCATGCGTTGCATGAGCTGCGCAAACGGTGGGTCGGCGTCGACCTTCCCAGCTGCCTCCGGAGACGCTATCTTGCGATGAACGACGCGCGTGTCCGACTCTCCTTCGCCACTACCAGCATCCGACGATGCGTGTTTCACGTTGGCTTCGGCGGCAGCACCTCCGGGTGCTGTACTATTGTCGACGCGAGCCCGCTTGTGAGGAGACCCGGCGAAGAAGGGGTGGATGGCTTTGAGGGAGCTTGACCTGGATCGTTTGACCATGGCGGCGAAAGACATGAACTGGGGAGCCACCAACGCCCCGCCATCTCCAGTTCAAGCCCACGTCGTAAGCCGCCCGAGAGCCGCTGATCGCTGCCACCTACAGGGAGAAGATCGGAGTGACGCACCTCAAACATGCACAGGGGTAAACACAGCCACCGACATCGAACTGACATCAAAACGGCGATGAAGGACGAGAACCATTCCATTGCGAGGCCAGAGCGATAAACACAGAAAAAGCCGAGAAGACACCAATCTTTAATCATCCAGATCCAAGTCGGAGTCATCATCTTTTGCACTGGAACGTAACTTGTGTGATCGCTTGTCCGCCACAGTGAAGGACCCTCCCCGGGCGGTGTACGTGGGGTTGGATGAGGACGCCTCGCTTGCTTTCTGAAGAACGCCTTGATCCGCTGATGAGGTGGGGTCGTGAGGTTTCTGAGGCAGCAACATACCGCTTTGAGATAGCCTCAGTTCCAGTACCGCTGTCTTGAAGGAGTCTTCATTTCCGAGCTCCTCAAATCCAATCAATCTGGAAGGATTGTTTTAGCCAGGACTGGCAAATCTGATCATGCAAACCTACTTGTCTCTGGTAACGCCGTCCACGAAAGTAATCACACATGGAAGAACCTTAATTTGCAACTTCTCGACCAGCCAGGGCACATTCTCAACGAACACACGCAGGAATCTCGTCCCGAAGTACTTCGGGGCTAATGCCTGAGCGTGATATCAACTTCAGCACGGAAGGGGCTTATAATAAACTAACCGCGAGGTGTTGATCCATGATTTGACACCGCTTGAAATTATGATGATAGAAGTGTATCACACATTGAGCCTCATTTCTGTACAAAGCTCGCATCGGTAAAAGTGGAGCAGACAGGTAGCATTACTCACGCACTCGTCCGTATAACTTCCTTCTCGTTCATGATCTCGTCGTAACGTCCGTGCCCACCTTCTTTCATAGCTTTGACTTGCTCCATCCTATACAGAAGATGTATAATATCTGCATCAATGAGCGTACATATACGGGAAATTCTGCACGGAAGCACTCACTCTCTCCGGAGCGCTTGGATTCCTTCCTCTCGAAATGCAGCATCGGTATCATCTCTCTCAATTTCCGCTTCAAGCTGTGCGAAGATGTCGTCCTCTTCCGCATCGGAGTCACTGTGATGACCGGACATCCTGAATCCTGGCTGTCTAGCGAGCGGGTGAGGTCAAGGAGAAACGCGCATCCACGCGCCCTCCATGAAACGCGCTACACGGTGTCCCACGCTTTCTTTGCAGCCTCCAAGTCCTAGATTGTTTTCAGCATCGTTATGCCCGCCATGTCTGCGCAAACATACGCTCAGCGGGCACAGAAACATGCCAACCCTGCTGCACGCCAATTACTGGAGACGATAGAGCGAAAGCAGACGAACCTCTGCGTCAGCGTAGATGTCATCAAAAAGGCGGATTTCCTGGCTATCATCGACGCCGTCGGGCCATTCGTCTGTCTGATCAAGGCAACCGGTGTTCTTTGAGGTTGCTATACCCAATGACTCACGTACTGCGAAAGTAAAGACTCATGTCGACATTCTCGAAGACTTCGACGAGACGATTATCAAGGATCTACAGGAGCTGAGCGTAAAGCATGACTTCTTGATATTCGAGGACAGGAAGTTCGCCGACATAGGTAGGTGACATTGCCGTGCTGCCGACCTACTTTCGATTCACAATATGCCAGGCAATACGGTTTCACTGCAGTATTCGAGCGGTGTTCACAAGATTGCAAGCTGGTCACACATCACCAATGCCCACCCCGTCCCCGGTCCATCGATCATCACCGGACTCGGCGTTATAGGACGTCCGCTAGGCCGCGGGCTCTTGCTCCTTGCTGAGATGAGCACCAAGGGGTCTTTGGCGACCGGCGCGTACACAGAAGAAGCTGTACGCATGGCTCGCGCTGCTCCGGACTTCGTCGTCGGTTTTATCGCGCAACGGCGCATGGAGGGCATCGGAGCTACCGGAACGGAGAGTAATGTCGAAGAGGAAGACTTCTTAGTGCTCACTCCTGGCGTCGGCCTGGATGTGAAAGGCGACACCATGGGCCAGCAATATAGGACGCCCAAGCAAGTGGTCCTAGAGTCGGGGTGCGATGTCATCATCGTTGGGAGGGGTATCTATGGCAAGACGCCCATAGACATAAATTATGTCCACACACAAGCAGAACGGTACCGGAAAGAAGGATGGTCGGCCTATCAGGAACGCTTGCAGCTGTCGTCGTCGTAGCTCAACAGATCCGCTGCTGGGAAAACCAAACGTATAATGTATCGTACATAATCGGAACTTCTATTCCAGCTTACTCTGTTCTTCGTGTCTCCGATCTGCCTCTTCTTCCTTCGCCTGGCGCTCCTCCATTTCCACAACTTCAACGTCCAGAGGGAACGTCAAAATGGCAGCTATACCCGTCAACTGGTTGAGTTCTGGAGAAGCGTACGATCAGCCCTCGGACGCCAAGGTAAGTATTACTGCTTGGCATACGTTGCCCGGATTCGTGCATGCTCGAGAAGATCAGCACCTCCGCGTTCTTCTGCTTGACAGACTCGACCAGTTCGACATATCGTTTCCTAACAGCGGGGTCGCTTGACCTAGTATATTGGAGTTGATGCTTCATGATGCTTCGTATGCAATCAAAACATACCGAAACAAATCGTCAGAGATGAGGAGTGTGCCGATCGCTCCGTGCTCAGCTGCAAGCGCGACATGGTCTGGTCCATACCACGCCCGCATCTCATCCGAACCAAGCATCTTGAAGAACCTTTCGCTTATGTTGACGCGCGTGACCTCATTTCGATATTGGATACGGCACTCACTTGTCGAGCATCATACCCTCCCGGGCGAATTTGGTCTCCTTTAGTTGCGACACAATCTATGAACACCAGTAAATATATGAACACCCTGAAGTGCTGAACACTCACTTCAGGACTCTTCAATACTTCTACGAGACTATGGACATGCGGGCTGGTGATATGGACTTTGATGAACTTATTCCTGGCCGTCAATATCGCTTTGTTTCCTGTCCTGGTCGCCTCCTTCATGATATAGTCATGCACCGCATCCCGAACCCAACCCGGGCTGGCAATAACGATCGCTCGGAGAGCAGGGTTGGAATAGGGTATATGGCGGATAAAGCCGGCATAAACAGCAGCGTAGAACTTCTCCAGTCCTTTGTCGTGGGCCGAAGACGACGATTGCTTTCGCGGTATCGGAACTTCAATGCGTTGGCGGATAACGGTCATATGCTGTGACAGCAAGCAGAACGCGGCCGTGCCTTCGCCACACACGATGGCGCCGACCTCCGCCCCTCGCCCAGGCACGCATGATTCCTCTACACGTTCCAGCGCGACGCTGTCCCAGTTATCCTTCATAATGCTGAGATCTCGATGAACTTCTATGTCGAGGGTGTGATACGCTCCCATCTTCACGTGCTGATTTTCCTCGACGACGGGCCCAGAGATGTGTAGAGAGGCCGTGGTGACATCGGTGTTGGGACCGTTGTCGCCTGCGGAGGAAGATGGCGAGAAGACAGTGCGCTTGACCTGGATAGTAAGCATCGTACGGACACGATGTGATTCTACGGAGCCGGTGCTTGACACGTTCTTAACCCCACTGCAGACGGGAATAGTTTGTTCAGTATGGCATGATTGTCTGAGGGAAAGACGTACCGAATGGCGGGTGCCCTGACTTTATCACCCTATGTTGTTCGTCATGAGGCGCAGACATGTATGCCCAACCTACCTACCTCTTGTATAAGATTGTAGAGATGCCACATATCTTCGTCATCCTCCGGTCGAACTTTGACATAACCTTCGCCGTTCTTCTCGACGTGTTTACTGATGAGCTTCATGCTGCTTGCAGCTACGCGACAATACAAGAAGTCTCAGAGTGCCTTTCAGATGTATATACAGAGGAGATGGATGCTACAGAGTTGTAAGCGAAGCAGAGCTCTGGAGAAATGGAGAAACGCCATCGTCATAGACTCAGGAGGACAGATAAGATCGTGGTCAAGCACGTGCGGACAGAAACAAAATCCTGCCGGCTCTACATGAGCGACATTCTATGCTTTGACCTCCAAACCTATGTCTTCCGTTCCGAGATTGAGAGATGTCGGCGAGCAAGCAGGGGAACCTGCTGCGAAGAGACTGAAATTGGAGCCGGACCTTCCAGTCACCCTTTCGACGCCAGACGCTCCGAGCGGACCTTCGAATGAAACTCTGAAACACGAACCAGATGCTGGAGAAACTCCCGTTCCTGAAGACACATTCCCCGCTGAAAATGTAAAAACCGAAGACAACGAGGATGGCGATGCTACTGGTCAAGCTGAGCTTACCACCCAAAAGCAGGCCGACGAACAGATCCTACCGCCTAGCCATGCCTTGTTGGGGCTCTCGCGCGTTCTCGATCCCAACGACGTTCGAATCATGGAAGCTGACGTTGGAATCTCGCAATACATTGGCAATGACATACCGAGAATAGACGGCATAATCAAACAGAGGTCAGCGTCCTGATATGTCGTTGGTCGTGCGCTTACACAGCTCGATACGTAGATTCACGGATTTCCTTGTCAATGAGGTCGACCTCGATGGCAATGTTATTCATCTGAAGTCACTTGCCCCGCCTGAAGTATTGCCTTCGAAAGGCGACAAGGATCAGGCAACTGCGCCGTCGGCAGAGCCTATCGCGGACAAAGCTGCCGATTCAGAAAAGCCTCTAGAGGACGTTATCATGATAAGTCCTGTTGCGGAAACACCGGCCAACGAAGCAATACCATCGCAACAAGATGAGGGTCCTTGGCCTGAGCGCTTCACGTCCGCTCTCAAACCCTTACTGTCTGACGAGAATATCGAAAAGCTGAAGACCATGTACCTGGAGGGACCGGAGCCGCCTCTTGTCAGTGATAGCGGATGGGCAGGTCGCGCCGCGAAAGTCGCAGATGGGGAAGGCAAGGCAGAGCCCCCCGAGACGTCCGCGGCAGAGGCCGCTGAAGATCGGGGGAAAGGTAAGCGAGGCAGGGGACGCGACCGTGGTGGTCGAGGCGGACGAGGCGGAAGAGGAGGACGTGGAGGGGGACGACTCGGTCAACGGGAAGACCACAGGAAGGTCTTGTCAGATGTTCGTCTCTGCTCCGTTGTCGTGCGACCTCTAGTTGTTCGGTACTCAGATAATATGAATATAGCCGATCTCGTCCAAAGAGACCAGAACTGAGCTACACAAAATAGTCCGAGAGCTGTTCAAGGGTAAATTTGAGACGGAAACGGACCCGAATACAACGAACGCGGAAGATGGTTCGCGTATCGTGATCAAGTGGTTGAGAGGAGGTGGTGGTCGTGGAGGCGGTCGCGGTGGGCGTGGCGGCGGAGGTAATATTTACCTCATTTGGACTAACCAAGTAACGGTTCGCTGATAGGATCTGCAGGTCGTGGCTCTCGAGGAGACTACCCTCCTTATATCCACTTCACGCTACAGAAAACAAACCGTGATACGCAGGATGCGCTCGGACATATCAGCCGATCTATCCACTGCGATGTCAAAGACCTCGCCGTTGCCGGAACGAAGGACAAACGAGGAGTCACCGTACAACGCGTCTCTCTCAAACGTTATAACAAGACGGTGGAAGACGTATGGAAGAACATGAATGGGATCACTGCTCGTGGAAGGACTATAGAAGAAGCCACCACACAGAGAGGGGAAAGGGGGATCCGCATATCAGATTTTAATTATCGACGTGCAGGATTGGAGCTTGGCATGCTGAAGGGGAATGCATTCGTGATCACGTTACGGTGAGCAAGTACGCATAGCGCTGTTCAGGTTTTGCTCAATGAGGTTACACTTCCAGCAATGTGCAGGTCGACTCGTTGGACACGATCAATCGCGCTATGGAGACGATGAAGACCAAAGGGTTCATAAACTATTATGGTAAGGTCTCATCGTCAGATCTGATCAGGTCCTGACCGGCAAGGAAGGAATGCAGCGGTTTGGCACAGCGTCCATTCCCACACATTCGATTGGTCTAGCGTTACTAAAGTCGGACTGGCATCGTGCCATATCGCTCATCCTTCGTCATCGACCCGGCGAGCATCCTGACGTAGAAGCCGCTCGCAGTGCTTGGCTCAACGACGGCGACCTCGATACCGCGCTTGCACTGATGCCTAGACGCGTCGTGGCGGAGCGATGCATCCTAGAAAGCTATAAGAAGCAAAAGGGAGACACTCGAAATGCCATGGGTGCGCTCTCAACGGTACGTTCGCCTCTTCCCATATTCAGATCGTGATAATTATGACATTGATGCTATGATAAAGATTCCGCGCAACTTAAGGCTGATGTATATCCACGCGTACCAATCATATGTTTGGAATGCCATCGTTTCCGAACGGATCAAAATGTACGGTGCAAATCGACCGGTCGCCGGCGATCTTGTCTTTGAAAAGATCAAGGATAAAGAGCCTGAGAACGACGAGACGGAGGATACGGATATGGCCGTCGATCCCACAGAAGCTGACTTGTCTGCAGACGGGAAAGCTTTGCCTGAAGCAGCCGGTACGCCGCTCTCTGCCCGGGTCCCAGGGGTTGCCTGATGTTGACAAAGTTTTGAAGATGAATCCCAGAGCAAAGCTGGCAAGCGGAACCGCAAGCGATGGGAGCCACCCAAGGTTAAGACGTTGACCGAGGAAGATCTCGATCAGTACACAATATTTGACGTCGTTATGCCCTTACCGGGCAGGGATGTGGCTTATCCTGGCGGTGCCCTTGGCGAGCGCTACCAAGAGCTGATTCGGGCGGATGGACTCGATCCTCACGACTGGTCCCGCAAACAGAAGTGAGTGGTCTGAGCTCTGTATCATTGTTATCGATATCTGAGCCTTGTTTTTGTGTCTTCTACAGGGAGTATAGTCTCGGCGGTTCCTATCGCAATATCGTTCACCTTCCAAAGGAGCTCTCTTGGTCCGTGCTACGATACACGGACCCTGACGTGCCGTTAGCGCAAGCCGACGAAGATAAGTTACTCGGATTCGAACCTCCAGTGATCGAAGAGGACGGCCGATTCCTGGCCTTGCAGGTTCGGCTAACTCTTGGAACGGCTGCATACGCCACGATGGCGCTTCGTGAAGTCACGAAGACGGAAACAAGCTCTCATTTCCAGACGACTTTGACTCAGGCCTCCGAGGACCAGAAGTTCAAGGGCGCGATCGAAGCGGTCGATGACTCCGGCGTACCAGGCGCAGAGTCATAGCCGAGGGGCTCTCTAGTGTAGAATCGCCACGTATTTCCACGTTGCTCTGACGTCGCATTGCCCCATCTGCAACGGTTTTAGGACCGGGTATGGGAAAGACTCGGTAGCCGTGCGAGCGCCGGAGTGAACGTCCAATGAAGTGTCAGCTCTTGAGAAACGCGGCCGTCGGGAGCGGCCACCCTCGCTGTAGCCGTTGAAGTATCCACGCTTAGTCGAGCGGTACGTGAGATGGCGATGCATGCGAGGACGGCGCAATGCTCCCAGAGATCCAGGAGAGCGTGGTATAACATGGAGGTGATTGCATTGAAGAATGGTGTAGCCGACGACCGCGGCAACCCCACCTACTACTCTCTTGTCATATCTTACGTTCACTTGCTGTAACTACGGGGACTAGTTCAGCAACCATGGCCAGAGTAGAGACCATCGTGTTCTTGTCGTTAGTGCTTGATCTGTTCGGTCAGTCATCACGGCGACCGCGACACGCAGTCATATGGAACGCCCCTGACGTGTCGGGTTCGGACAGCTTTCACTATACCTTTACCGCTCTTCCCTCGTATAATCGAATGGTACACGAAGGTTCGCCCTTCCAGTCACATTTCATGGACGAAACACTCAAACATCCGACGTCTAGCGGGAGAGTTCTATCCATAACGGGTTCCTGTCACGAACGCTGCAACTGGTATCGGGTGTACGAGGCGTCTTCTACGCTTCATCGAAGAACTCGGAAAGATGGGATATTGTACTCCTGGGTACGACTTATCATATATTTCTCGTAAATGCCACTCATCATGATGCTAAAGGTGGGCTCATGGGCTCTGTGTTCTCGTGAGCTGCTCCGTCTTCAACCTGAAAGCCTGCCTTGCTCATTCCTCGCCCCAGGACCTTGCAATTTCTTGTTTCGCCGCGGATTGGAAGCCTCTCTGACAAATACGGGAGGAAGAAGATATTGCTAATCACGATGATTGGCAACATACTATCCGCAGTGGTGTACGTGTGTAACAACACGTTACCGAGCACCATGGCTTAGTCCCCCTCAGGTGGATCCAATCGACAACTTTCGCATCATATATGCTTTCTCGAGTGATTGGCGGGCTAAGCGAAGGGAATGTACAACTCGCTATGTGAGTCTCCTACAAAACCGTTCACAATGCTTTGCTGAAACTCCTACACCAAAGTGCGATTCTTTCCGACGTCACTTCACCGGCCACGCGCGCAAAGGCTCTCGCTCATGTTGGCATTGCTTTCGCGATCTGCTTCTGCATCGGCCCTCCCATCGGAGCGTACTTTGCGTCCCGACCTCCACCGGCCGCCTTGTCCGCCCTCGGAATCGAACTCAATCTATATGCAGTACCTGCTGCGCTCACCCTCGTTCTCCTCGTCGTGGAAACGGCGTTCCTAATCATAGCGCTGCCGGAGACTCGCGGAAGCAGTGTCCCGGCACCCGCACCCAAAGACACGAGCACCAACGGGCATGCGAACAGTTCGACGCCCAAGAGTACTCCTGCCGCAGTCCAGCGTAAAAGCGCAGAGCAACGCTTGACCACGTTGAAGTCGTTGCGTCGCTTGCACTTCCTCTTCCTGGGCATATTCTCAGGCGTCGAATTCACCCTGACCTTCCTCACCTTCGATCGTAAGCGACACTCTGCCTCGTGCACCTGTGCATCCACCTGATCGCGTCTCCCTTCCTAGTGTTCGACTGGAGCAACAAGCAGAATGGCGCACTGATTGGCTCGATCGGCGTCATCTCTGCGCTGCTCCAAGGCGGATACGTGCGACGAGCCATGTCCAAGACTGGCGAGGGTGTCATGGCGCGTAATGGCATGACGGCGTGCGCAGTAGGAATGACGCTCCTCGCCATCCTCCCCCAGTTCGTGGTGACCAACGCGTCACTTGCGATGCGCTTGCTTCAAGGAGCAGCCGTGTGCCTGGCGTTCACGTCAGCCACCGTGGTGAACGCTCTGACTGCGTTCGCGTCATTGCAGACCGACGATGTCGTCGAAGGCCAGTCCGAATTAGAAAACCCTCAGCTCGCCAAGGGCAAGGCTCTCGGCCAGTTCCGCTCTTCCGGCCAGCTGGGCCGAGCCATGGGGCCATTATTAGGTACCGTCACCCCCGCATTCAGAATCGTGCAGTCAACTGACGATCGACTTGTCTCCCAGCCTGCGCATCCTACTGGACATTCGGCCCGTCAACAACTTACGCAGTCTGCGCAGCAGCGATGTTTGCGCTGTCCGTTCACATGCGGCCACTGGCGACGAAGCCGAAGATCAAAACCGCTTGACCGGCGACGACAGCATGAGAAAGAACGAATGCTGATTATTTATTGCAATCTTGTGTGGAACAAACTGTATCGTAATGAAAGTCCTATTGATAGCCCCCGAGCACAGAAAGTTCGGCGATAAGCCAAGGACGGATCGAACAGGGGTATAGAAAGTCTTTTTGAACACTGAAAGGACCGAATGCCATAAAGGATGATGACCTGCACAATATTGAGGGTATAGATAGCGTTATCTCATGCTCGTGTGTAAAATATCCCAAGCAATGCTTCGAAATATGTCCCAAAGGAAAACCAAGGTACCGATTCCCTTACCAGTCGAACCCACGCCTTCTATGGTGAGTTCCGGGAGGGAGGGCGTGAGACGGTTGGCGTCCGTGTGCCCGGAAATGCCTGTACCCCGGGTGTCATGAAGTACGATGTCGCCGTGCTCTCGGATTGGGGAGTTGTTCGCCCCGAGGAGTAGCTTGGGAGCGACAGCGTGCCCTGCGAAGCGCGAGAGCCCTCGGCTGCCGGGGTCTCGAAGCTGTCCGTGGGCCTTTGCTTTTCGGGTGGGAATTGAGGCACGGGAGAGGTGTAGCGCGGAGGTGGCATCTGCACGCTCGATGGCACGCGTGAGGGGCGACGCGAGGAGTCGGAATCCGTAGATGGGGCGAGCATCGTGGGGAGCTGATACGCGTTCCTGTTCCGACGACGCGATCGTGAAGGCGTGCCGAGCAGCACGTCTTGCTCGCGCGGTCCCCAAACTGCCTCCATCACCCGCGTGCCTGCTCTCCACAATGCGTCGATGGCAGGGTGCGCGAAGATCTCGGTCGGACTTGGGATGAGATCAGTCGATTCCGACAGGGACGGTGACGCGGACCGAACTCGGATGGGGATTGACGATAATATGATCTCCTCCTCGTCGAGCGACATTGGGCTTGCAGGAGGGTCTGGGCTTGCGGGTTCCGCGAAGGTTGAACTTCGCCTCTCGGGGTCCACGTACCAGAGGCGTCGGCTTTGCGACCAACGGGGCATGATAACGTGGTAGTAGCTGCCCATCCTCATGTGGCGACGCTTGTTGGCTCCGCTGCTGGGAAGTGCCAATCGCAACAGGCCAAGAACCAATACGATGGATCCAGCCAACATGAGTCGCTTGCCCCAGCTACCCAAGAAACCAATGAAGGCGGCGTCATCGGCGTGCCAGCTGCTCCCATAGAAGTGTTCGAAGAACGTATTCGGTGCTTCGCCAGGCTTTGTGTTCTTGCCATAGAGGGACTTGGGCAAGATACGGACTTCGCCGAGGTAGGAGGGGTAGGTGTCTGCGGGGTGCGACGACGCATAGAGCCCATATTGGATGGAGAGGAACATGGGTCCTGTCGAGAACATGACAGTGGGATAGTTGAGGATCCATGAATGGTCAAAGGTGACTAGATTATGAATGGTTTGGGCCATGAATGGGTGCAGCTTCTCAGAGAACATCAGGTCGTTGGATACGCCGACGGGGATGGTCTTGGGAAGGATGACCGAGTGCACCAACAACGGGTCCAATGGGCGAGTGCACCCGATATCGAGGTCCATGTACACGCCACCATAGTGGTGGAGGACGAAGTATCGGATAGCGTCGGCGCGCTGGATGGGGTACACGTAGCCATCGAAGGTGTCGAGGAACCACGGGTAATGTTCTGCAATGAATTCACGGGAGCTGGCGTCGGTCCATAGCATGTATTCGCTGTCGCGGAAAAATGATAAGGAACTGTTCTTGGCAACCCGCAACCGGGGGCCAACTCACTAATCGGGCATCATGTCGCGGCAACCTTGGACGAGAGCCTTCCACTTCTCGGGCAAGGTCTCTGATTTCCATGTCTGGTGGATAATCCTTGGGATGCGCTCGGGCTGGGACGGTCGTGTCGTATTAGGTCGTGTCGTAAAGTCTACGTCGGTATCCTTTATGTATGCGGCCTCTGGGATGGCGAGGTAATAGGATATAGAAGAGAGTACGACGAGGGTCCCGAAGAGGACGAGACCCAGCAACGAAAGGGATATCCACAGAGTCCGTCTGCGAGCCATGCCTGATGGAGGGGGAAGGAGGAACGAACAAGAAACAGGCTTGGGCTTGGTGCTCCACTGCGCAGCCAAATCAGGGGCGCCGTCAGTGCTCTCACACGGTCGGGCGGGTGTAGCTTCCGGACGTTTTGATCCCACCCTACTGCCGGCGAGGGCACTGCTGTTTCGCTGTAAGATAAGCCTCTTGGCTAACACGGACATCCGTTTTGCCGTCGTTATAGGGCTGCGCCCTCACAAGTTACTCCGTTGCGCAGTAGTCAACGTTTATCACACCAAGCAAGAAATTATGTAGCACCTTCACCCTTGCCGCGCAATCGGGAAGCTCCCCGTCTCAAGACACAGCAATCCACGGAGGCCTGTGCCCCCTCTTACAGCTTACGACCCAGTCGGCTTCATCGGCATGCTGAAGATGTACTCGATGTGCGGTTGAAGCACCGCCAAGGATTCCACCAGCGCTCCGTCCGTCCACAACGCAGCGATCTTGCCAAGGTCCGTGAGCGCCACCTCCCAGTCCCGCCTTGACCAGTCTTGGCCTCGCCGCGATCCGCGTCCGCTGTAAGGCGGCATGAAGAAGATCTGCACCTGCGGATTCGACGTCGGCCCGCGCAGTGGTTTCTTCGACAGCAGGTACTCTAGGCAGGTAGACGCGCTCCAGTTCAGGAAGTGCTCTTGTGACCAGGCAGGGGCGTATCTTGACCTCGAGGTAGAGCCTACGGGGCCCAGCAGATCATTTGGGTCACCGACGCGGCGCACGAGTTGACGGAGTAAGGTGCCGAAATGCTCGATAACTCCAGTATCGTCGAGCTTCAACGGCTAGCCCATGCGGCTAGAGAGGAAACACTGACCTTGAAAATGCAATGAATCTAGCGCATGAGACGGCGGCAAGTAGTTGTTGATGTCGTCTACATCCATAGCCATGCCATCTTCGTCAACCCGCCCCTTTGTACGCTTGAGCTCAGAGTCCGGGCGATAAGGCGCTCTGTAGCCTGAGAAATGAGAGAGATTCGGATATAGAGGGAACATCTGAGTTGCCATGTCCCTAGAGCACCAGTCATTGGATGGCTGCACTATGGGTATGTCTACAGCGTATCTCAGCGCATCATCAGAATCTAGCTTCAACGCAGGCAAACCTTGTATCAAGGCCTCAGAGCAGAGATTCTTGTCTCCACTGGCTAGGTAACCGGGAATGCCGCGTCTAATCCGGAAATATAAACAGCAGTCCAAGATGGAGAAGTCATTGCGCCTCTTGGGGTCGTTATTCTGGAAAAATAGATTAGAACCCTGCCTCATTTCAATCATGGCCTGAGTGAAGCTTACAGGGCGTGCAGGATCATATTGTTCATCGCGCGTCTGTCCCTTCACGCACTTGCGTTCCTTCAATCTTTCAAGTATCCACGTCGAGGCTCGGCGAGCGAACCAGGCCAACTTCTGTGAGTTTTTCTGGCTGTTCACGAGCTCTGCTTCAGTGGGTCACAACCAAGCTGAAGAAAGCAGCTACCCACGCGTCTAATTCCGAGAGCACGGCGCTCGGTATGATGATCAACAGAGGAGCATCGATCTTCTCAATATCCGCAGTGAATTGCCTTATCACATCGAAGTTGTGAAGCAGCACGTTCGTATCCAGAACGAGAAACATCTCTGGTTGGGACGCGGGTCCCTAGGAGCACCGTTACGCGCAGGTGCCGCGAGCCAGCCGGGAGCACCGCGCACCTCCATGTCCACATCTTGCTCAACGAACTGTTCGATCGATCGCACGGTTGCATCGAAATAGATAGCATTGGGTGCTGCACTTGGCCCTGCAGTAGACAGGTTCAGTCGTTTTACTCACTCCACGGGTGGCGTCTGCTCTCACCGGTCACGGGAAACGCAGCAGGAGAGGAAGGCAGCTGGCGGGAGTTAGTGACAGACATTTGATACACTCACCTCGAACAGCGTGCCGTGACACGTTTTCTGGTCTATTCTTTCGACAAACTTGTTTCGAGACGCGAAATCAGGATGCAAAGCGTGTATGCCACAGCTAAACTTTGGTGGGAGGACCGATCGATGTCGTTCTCACGGCCCCGAGCCTTAGCGAGGCTGAAGCTCGAGAGCCGCATCCATTCACTTCACCTCTTACCGATCACCCAGCTATGCTTGAAGACTTCTACAACCCGTATCTAATGCCACACTCCTTCTGGTCGACGGTCGAATATCTTAACGAACGTCGAGTGGGCTCGAGTGTGGATCCCTATAAACTAAAGCTCCGCAAAGTATGACTTCACTTCGTCGCATTTCACTATCTATTTATTGTATTGTGTTAGGGAGATGGCATCAAGTTTAACAACGCCACGCCTTTCACCCCGAGCTATGTGCAGCTCGGGACCTCAAGCACCGACCAGTACGCGAATCGAGTGCAAGGCCGGCACATGTTCCTCGCGAATCCGGTGAAAGCCAGCGCCGCCAAGCAGGAGAGGGAGAAGCGACGAAATGAACGACGGAAGGCGAACGAGCTGAAGCAACGCGGCGTTATGGGCAAGAGGGAGGCGCGCGAGAAGGGCATCTGGAAGCTCGACCCGGCGCAAGCCAAGTCAGTCCCGCCTTTCGTCTCGCACATCTCCAGCTCAATGATCAGAGATATGCACTGTTTCTGCCGCTACATCATATGTGGATGGCTTACATGTCGGAGCTCTTGAGCCTGAATGCCCCCCCTGAAGATCCTTCCACACCTCACACTGCCGCCGCAATGCCTAGTTCCGCAGGCATGCACGCCAAACTCGTGAAGGCTGACTTTCATGGCTCTATCATGACAGGTAGGATCATTCTTTATTGCTGGACCCGAGTGCTGACCCGATTTGCAGTTCGCCAGAGCAGAAATTCGGCGCTGATAGGGCTATCAGGCATCGTGGTTCACGAAACCGAGAATACATTCAAAATCGTTACACCCAAGGACCAAGTGAAAGGTACTGTTCGCACCAGCATCGCAGCGCGTTGGGAGGCTGATGCAGGTGCCAACCCTGCAGTGCTACCCAAGCAGCACTCAATCTTCGCATTCGCCGTTCCGCTGTATTCAACGCTTGGACCGTCACCAAGCGATCCCTTTGCGGCACTCGCGAATCTAGGCCAGACAGTACAAACCACAACTGTGTCGGACGGACCGCATATCGAGTTCGAATTGCACGGCAATCAGTTCTGCTATCGTGCTTCTGAACGCGCTGGCCGTAAATTCAAACACAAGGAGACCATCGAACTCTGACTGCTACATCATGGTCTGACAGCTTACATGTGCAGACGTCCCAATCTTGATGATGCATGCGTTGCGGTGTGCAGCCCACAATCGCCGTTTGTACTCGGTCTGACTGCAGCTGCTTACAGCTAAAGTCCTGCCGATGTATATGAGAAACACATTCAACACGATGTATCATATATTTGTGGAAATATTGTCAACGTCTTCCAGACTTGATCCGCATGTCATAACCTTCACTCGGTTGGGTGCATTGGCCAGCTTACACATCTAAATCATTGTGTGCGTAGACAATTACAGATGAAGTTCCGATAGCTATGTGATGTAATAATGTATCAAAACTGTGCTGTCCGTCTCAAATCAAGAAGAGAGCGCCACTTTCTTCATCGGCGGCGTTCCGCGTCCGTCTAGTACAGAGTCCCGGGATTCTACCTTGCGCTTAGTTCCTGCCAGTCGTGAGTCAGGAGACCGCGATAGCCTCGCCACTTCAGACTTCTTGCCTGGTGATGCGCGCGATGACGAAGTCTCTGGAGTTCCAGAACGACTTCGTCCACTACCTGATGTTTCCGTCCGTAACCTCGCGGCGAGCGTGCTGGACGATGCGGCTTCCGCATGACAAGTCGCATGGAAGATCTACCGGTGAAGAATGGTCACCTCATGCTTTGATATATGAGAATTGGTTGAGACTTACCCTATCGTCCTTCTTGACGGCGTTTCGCCACACCCACTCCTCGTCATCCTCAAGAAACTCGGACTTCAGGTTCTCCTTACATATCGGACACGAGAACGTCTTGGCCTCATCACCCGGAGGCACGACCACAAATTGAGCTCGCAGTTCAGAGTCGAGCTTAGCGGCTTCCGCAGCAGCTGACTCCCTCGCAGTCAGCCGCTTGGAACCATCCATTGGTCGCTTGCCTTTCCAATTTTCTGCATCACGTATCCAGTCCTAGTGTAGCATGTATGTCAGTTGACGAACGAACGAGTAAAGGATGTGCACGCACCTCTATGCTAATGAACCAGCTGCGACTATGACCGCGCCCAACGTTCTGACTGGCTTTCCGGTTCTGCCGGAAATGTATGTCTAAATGGTCTTCCAACGCCTTTTTCCCCAATGTGTCGTCTGCAAACCTCACTCCGCACTGCTTACATTGCGAGGGGAGACTTTCATACAAGATTTCGACGATGGGAGCCCTTTGCCTAAATCCTGCGTCAGTAGAGTCACAAGTCAGCATAGTAAAATCGGAGACCCACTTCGTAATCTCGGCGCTAGTCAATTTGATCTTGTGTTTGAGGATCTGCTTCCTATAACGACGGGAGGCTTCTCGTTCGGGGTCGGCGATGTCCAACTTGGTCTCTTCAGCCTTCGCAATCGCACCAGCGCCGACAGGCGTCCCAGTGCTGGGTGGCACTACACCGGCTTTGACGAGGGCACTAAACAGACCTTCTAAATTGGGTGCAGATGAGGTATTACCAGTGGAAGGGGCTGGAAGTGGAGCTACAGGCGGATTACTGAGTACCGATGAATACTCGTGCGATCGCTGGTACATCTGTTGCGGGGGTGCGGAAGCATAGGGAGGCTGCTGCGACTGATAGGGGTAGGGTGCAGTCGAAGACGACGCTACCGGAGGAGGGTACGCATTCGGAACAGGAGGTGGTGGCACATGCGAAGGAACGGACGTGCGTGCAAGCGTGCGGAGTTGCGTAAGGATTTGTTGCAGTTCACCCTGGGAAACACCAACATTCACAAGTGACTGCAACTAAAGAACAATCAGTAACAGATACCGGGTGGCAAACGCGCTGCACACCTGCCGCAACACATTCACTTGGTTTTGAGCATTAGTGTCGTACGGGTTTGCCTGCAGGATCCGCTCCTTCTGGCCTAGCGTGAAGTCCAGTTCGCTAAGAACCTGCTGTCTTGAAATAGGCGCCGCTTGAGGTTGGCCGAACTGGTGTGGAGATCTATGTTAGCGATTACCGTGTAAAATAGGACGCAAGCAACATACATTCGAGTCGTTGCCCCAAATCCCGCGTTCGATGGCAACTTGAGGTCCTATGCCAAATAGTTCCTTGCCATGAGGCCCTCCCGTTCTCCATGTCAGGAGCATCTCCTCCATCTTGCTGCGCGTTGGCTGATCCACCTGATGATAAGTTTCGAGGAAGAGTCCAATGACGAAGGGCGTAAAAAACCGCGCATAGGGATCGTAAACATTCTTGGATATAGCGTCGAGGAGGTAAAAGGCGGGTAACTTCATCCATGGCGGTACCTTGAGAAACAATACCAAAAAAGGAAGTGATTAGTCATCGATCCGCGGAATGCTGAGAGAAAACACAGGACGGGGCACGTGGGCAGGGTCCACCCGACATTGGGGTGGTTGGGAGCCAGCCGTTATTTTACTCAGGTGCTCGAGCTAGACGAAGACTATATACATGACAAGCCATGCACGCAATCCGCCGACCGACACAGGTGCATACGGTACAGAACGTGGTGCGGATGTATGGGAATGTGGATCAGATCTGACTCACCCTTCGTATGTGCGCCTCGAGGCATTGCGCAACGATTTCTGCCCAACGAGAGTATTCTTGCGCGATCATCGACAACGACTGGATGATGGGCCTAGAGTTGATGGTGAGTTCTGCTAGTCGGGAGGTATAGTCCCTCCTGAAGCTGTTGGGATCGTAAAAGACGGGATGCGATGGTCCTGGTTGCGGTACGCCGTAGGCCCCTTGAGGAGCGGGTACAGTGCGTCCGCGCTGTGCGTAGCTCGTAGGATAACCCATCTGACCATAGGAATGGGGCGGCGGGGGGTAGACAGACATTGCGTCTTAAATGCAGTCGTGGAAGGTCGTTGACGACGATCTGAACTCAAGCGCCTCGAATACGGTGAAAAGGTCGGTCAACGATACGAGCGTTCGCTTATATCACACAACGGCGAAAGCGTCGGCGGCTTGACGTTGAACGATGAACGATGATGGTCGGTGGGTAAGAGACGTGGATCAACGAAAACCGTCACCCGCGGGAAGGTGGCTAGTCATCCAGTTTTCCCACGCGCCTCCATTATTGTGCGCTCTGTGCAGCCGGTACATGACGGGGCCGCTACATATGCCCATATTTGCATGAGTTACTTACGGAGAGCCATATAAGTATCGTATGCATTGATTTCCAAAAATGACTATGTCGTTCCGGGAAAGCGATATGAACAACGTTCAAATGAGCGCGGCATTGGCAGTGTCTATCTGCACAAGAGCCTACCATATAGATAATTATAGTAAAGATCGTAGTGGTAAGGTATCATAGGGCGATGACATATGTATCGAGATGTTGTTTGTATTACGACAATAGCTATGCATGTTTCAGAGATGAGTGACGGGGAAATCTAGGCCTGGGATGACACGGGATGTCATTGCGATTGTGCAGGGTAACCACAATTGACCGCGAATGCGCACAACTATGCATATATGCAGACGCCACGAACATGGAGACCTCACGACAGGGCATGTTTCCGCCCTGGAGGCTGGAGGTGCAGCAAGGCTGGATACGCAGCGGGCATGCTGTATTATTAAAGTGCATGGACCCCACAGAGAACGATGACCACAAGCCCATGCCCAGTATAATGCCGTGGTCGGCGTAATTTGATGTCAAAGAAGCACACTGCTCAGTAAATCGCATAGGAATCTGTATCGAGGCCGTAGAGCATGAGTACGATACGCTGGAGTGAACTGTCAGTACGCCTCCCCACGTGACCTTACAGTCCAACATCCCGCATCCCCAGCAAGGCCACCACATCGACACCTCGGGTAAGTGAAATCTCTGAATTGCTGGCGTAGATCTGGCGCAGACGGTGGATTACTCTCTGGCGACCTACTATGGGGAAAATCTGCGCGGATGATCGCGGGAAATGGATGGATTGCACTCGCGAACTTTGGATGACACGGGCAAAACTCTGACTGATATACCTCCCTTAGCGCCATGAAGGACGTTCTCAAGACAGAAGAGTACGAGATCCCCGAGGGAGTCACCGTCGAGATCAAGTCTCGTCTCATTACCGTTACTGGTCCCCGGGGCACCTTAACCAAGAACGTCCGACATGTGAACATGGACATCCAGGTCCAAAAGGGCACGCCAACGAAGGTCACATTTGCTGTCTGGCAGGGTGGCCGTAAGCACGTTGCCCAGCTCAGGACAATGCGCAGCTTAGTGGAGAACATGGTGCTTGGCGTCACCAAGGCATGTAGACCTTCCGCTAATGGAGATACCGTTTTAACCTTGTTCATCACAGGGATTCCGCTACAAGATGCGTGCCGTGTACGCTCATTTCCCCATCAACTGCATCATCCAGGAGGATGGCAAGGCGTTGGAGATCCGTAACTTCTTGGGCGAGAAGGTGTGTATAGCGTGGTTACGGGTGGACTGAACCGCCTATAGGCTCACTGGAATGATGTGTCACAGACTGTACGGAATGTCGCCATGCTGGAGGGAGTTGAGGTTGCGGAATCGAAGGCCCAGAAAGATGAGCTGATTCTCATCGGCAACGATATCCAGAACGTCTCCCAATCTGGTATGGTTCCCATCACTCTCGCTGTGTGGCATTTCTGACCTTGTCTCGCTAGCTGCCTCGATTCAAGGCATTTGCCGTGTACGGAACAAGGATATCCGAAAGTTCCTTGACGGTATATACGTTTCGGACCGGGGTACTCTCGACGAGTAGGGGTCTGGCGACCTGCATATCATCTGGCCTCTTTTTCTGTCGCATCCAAAACACCATGTAGCATGTATGCGATTATATGCTATGCCACTCTTCACGAGGATAAGCACCGCCACACCTTTGCGTGAAGCAGCATCTCCCGTGCTGTCCACCCACGATTACTGGTTCTTGTTGAGACTATTCAACCCAGCATTTATTCAGCCCAGTATCAATATGCCGTACAGTGTTCGGAACGCACATTATCTGCGGATTTCCCCTCACAGCGTTATGCCATTCTACGTACGATACTTCGGATCGTTATTGCCTCCCAGTGGCTGACAACTCTGGCCCATTTTGATGGAAGCTCTATCTAGATGAACGACATGTCGAGTGGATGTCTGATCGGGTCCTGCAGCGAGTACTCGCAGACCTACAACCATTGTGCGTCAGTTGCTTCCCCACCGCGTCGGGCTGAGTTTCGTCGAACAGACTAATACCTAAACTGAGGGCGGAGGCGGATGTAACACCCGGAAACGCTAATTCAAATGGGAAAAAGGGCACTGTAGATGTTCATAGAGGCGGTAATGACGATTTTTTAGATATGCCAGTTTGTCGGCTGACGCGTGCTTTAGACGATTATCAATTCGCGTTCTTCTTCAGGCAAACCGAGCCGCATTCCGTTCTGATCAAGGTACATGACACCTTCGTACTCACGATGGCATGAATCGACCGTTGGTACAGACCAGAGACTTCATAGTCGCGCCTACTCAACCTGCGCCGCCCGTCCCGAGCGGTACAGCATCAGAACGCGCTCCCAAGTCAGGAAAAGACACCTGGAAGGGCGCCACGGGTAATACTACGACTAAGAAACGAAAGAAAGGTTCACGAACACGCCGGGACGTCGGTTCAGACGAGAGCGATACTGCCGGTTCAAGCTCAGGAGAGGACGCCGCGTTTCAATCTCCTCCTAAGGCCATTCAAACAACTAGGCGATCTACCCGGAGAAAACGCGCAGCACCTACTTACGATGAACCCGAGGAAGGTACCACTCAGGACCCAGAATTTCGAATGCAGGGCACGCTTGATGAGTTTGTTAATTTGCGTTGAAAGCTGATGCTAAATGCTCATGTTGGACTAACATATTCCAGGAACCCCGACGTGGACCGTAGTCCGTCGCAGCCGCGCTCACCCCAGGTGAAGGAGGAAGACCCTGATTCACCCTTGCCGGGTGATCCCGGACGAAGAGATACGTCTCGGACGCCTATTGAACTCCACGTCGACGAGGACGAGGCAAAGCCTAAGCCTCTGCTCAGGCTGAAGTACCAAGGATTCAATATCGTCGGACGGTGCCTATCCGTGGTGGTGGAGCCTTGGCCGCCCATCCGCGCGACATCGGTTGCACCCGTGTTCACGCGCTCTGCTCACGCAAGGCCACAGAACATCATCGCGCCTCCATCATCGCGGAGAGACGAGGCAGCGAGCATGCGTGCTCAGACTCCGCTTTTCTTACCGGACGACGATCCCCGTGCTACACCGGCACCCTCAAGCTTCCCCGTGTCTCCGCCGCACCCACTCCCACCTCTTCCTTCCTTCGATGACGCGGAGGAACAACATCTGGACTTCGAGGAGGATGGTTTAATCCAGTTCAGCCAGGCACTCAAATCCGGAGGTGGCTTACGCGCCGGAGAGGCTTACGATGACGATGAGATGGACGGCGCGGTATTCTTTGCGGACGCAGACGAGGCTCGCGAGTTGTACTGATCAAAATTGGAACAATGTCGCTTACAGTACAAGAATATCAGGCATAATGTTTTCGAGACTATAATCTTCCTATCTCTCGCAGAATTTCCGTTTTACGGGCCTCGTGCACTTCATGGAAGCCCACGTTCATCATCTCGAACTGTCCATGACCGCCGGACAAAGCACGAAGTCGAGTAGAGTAATCGAGCATGCGGCTCAGGGGGGCTAGAGCGTGTATAGTGCGGCTTTGCGAGACACGGTGACCAGACCCTCCGGAGACCGCCATTGCTGAGGGAGATATCCAATCGGGAGGGATGTATACTCCATCGGAGCTATATGGCCCACTGTCTTCATCTGCCCCGGTCTCCCTGTTGGGGGATGCAGACCCTAGTTCTAGAACTTCTCCGCTATTTTCGTTGAGGTCCTTGACGATCCTGCCGATAGCATCCTCCGCGACTGTTATCTTGATTTTGACGTATGGCTCCATGACGGGTCCGGTCCCAGCTGCCTTGATACGGTTGCGCAAGATGTGAGCGGCCGCACCGGCGAGGATCGTTGGGCCAACATGTTGCGGGTACGTGAATGCTCCAACCTGTACGTGAACTCTGGTCATGGCGAGGTATGTGTTCGGAGAAGTCGACAGAGAGCTGGATAGTCCTCTGGCTATGTTTGCCATCGGAGTGGTTGAGTCTGAAAATGCATCCGGCCCCGGTACACGGTCGCCTGAGGCGTCAACCACAGTATTACCGCCCCAAATGTCATCGCCTGGTTCATGTTCCGCGAGCGGACGCAAGCGGAGCTCTACAGTGGTAAAGACAGGTTTTCCAGCCGCCTCCGTGTTCCAACGATCGGTACTGTCCGGCTCCAACCTAGCGTTGATGTTGAGGCCCTCTCTATAGCTGACACGGCGGGGGCCAAATTCAAATCGCACCCCCCACTCATCTTGCAAGCGACGCTCGACAATCTCCAGGTGCAATGCCCCCAAACCATGCACGAGTAGCTGACCTTCGTGTGTCTCCACACGCACCGAGGGGTCGGTACGGGACAGAGCCTCGAGCGCATCCTGAACAGGTTCCAGGTCTGTTCTCGAATGTGCGATCACCGAGGTCGACATCACTGCCGGAGGAGGCACTATGGCCTGCATCGTGGAAGGACCCGACCCACTATTGCCGCGAGTCGAAATGAGAGTATCGCCCGTCCGCGTGTACTTCAAGCCTAGGATAACCCCGACAGAGCCGAAGGGCAGGGAATCAACTTCTTGATGATCTGATGCATAGAGCAACATGAGCTTCGAAACCTTCTCTTTCTGATTACGAGAGGTATTCAACAGCACACTTTGACCCTTCAGCGTCCCTGAAGGATGCATGAGATTGAATATCTAAGATGAATATGCTTGCTCACCAGAATAGACTCGTATGAAGGTCATCCACCCTTTTCGCTTGTCCCAAACAACCTTCCATGCAAGGGCCCGTACTGGTGCGTTGTTGGTCTGCTTATCATGAGCTATAGAGAGAGGGCTAGCAAACAGTTCGCCGGCGTAGTCAAGGACAAGCTCCGTGCCGATATGCTTCATCGCGGATCCACAAAGAACGGGTAGTATCTCGTTGTTGAGAGTTGCTCGTCGCAGATAGGGCATGATTTTCGACGACGGCACAGAAAGATACGCGGATGGTTCCGCCGGAAGCTCAAGGAGATGTTCCATGAGCTCCTCCGAGAACATGGAAAGATTTTCCAGGAGTGCGGTCCGCGCGGCTACCAGTTCAGATAGCATCGGATGCGAGGATGGCAGGATGCCTGAGTTGAAAAATCCCTCGACGTTTTGGGGAAGAGGGACCCGAGAAGAATTGCCTGCTTCGTCCCAATTCCACATCTCCCATTTGACAAGGTCGACAAGGCCTTGGATGCCGGGTTCGGCATGCGAATAGTCTTCGGTCTTGTTACTTGCCACAGGCAGGACGAGAGGCATAGGTTTGGGGTGGAGCCTATGGGATAGCACGGACAGTAACGACTGTCGGAAAGATGCCCCGGTCCGGTCAAGCTTGTTGAGAAAGACCATACGAGACGGCACCCCGTACCTATCGAGAACTTTCAGAGGCGCCACGTTAGGCAGGACAGACACGACTCACGGTAGTACTCACCTGTCCAGCTGCCTCCATACGCCCCGGGTTTGCGCTTCTACGCCTTCGACAGAATCAATCAAGACCACCGCACCGTCCACGACCCTACTAGCACTCTCGACTTCCATGCCAAAGTCAGCGTGCCCAGGAGTATCAATGAGATTCATAGTCCATTGTTTCCATCGAACAGGTATGCTGGCAGCTTGAATGGTGATGCCGCGCTCGCGCTCGGCGGGTAAGAAATCCGTGGTGGTGCTTCCAGCGTCTACGGAGCCGGCTGTGGAGAGGAAAGAGGACTTTAATAGAATAGACTCGGTTAGAGTGGTCTTTCCGGAATCTAAAGATCATCTCAATCGAGAGCATTATTTAGGCCAAGATGGAAACACACCAATGTGGGCAACCAACGCCATGTTACGAATTTTGGAAGGGTCATGACCTGCAGCCCAAGACATGCCCCTTGAAGGCACACATCTCTGCACTCGCGTTTGCTGCCTGCATAATGCACCAGTGACTAAGGTCCGCAAGGAGTTCATCCACCGAATGTCCTGGTCAATGGTCAAGACAGTGCGCACGCGCGTCACGGTACTTATATCGCGTTGAGGTCACTTGCTTCGTTCTTTTGTTCGGCGAGACATGGTTTCTTACAATTTAGACTCTTACCACCCCCATGGCCTCAGATGCAGATGCCTCAAACGGCTTCGATGAACGGCTGAAGCAGCGGTCTGCTCGGAAACCGGATGCTCTCGACCTCACGGCTACCGGGGCTGTCTATGCACCCACAGGCACTATACCGAACACTCTACTCGCGGTTGTCTCTATTGCTTTCGCTCTCGGAGGCGTGTTCTCCATAGGAGCCATCATGTTCCTGTCGGGGGGTTTTGACGACTTTTGGTGGTCAACGTATCAACTGGGTTTCTTCGTTGCCGCGTGGTCTGCGTTCCACTGGGGCGAATTCGCGGTGACTGCGGGATGGAATGCGGATAAATGCAGCGTCGATTGTGAGTTGCACGTCATGCCGATGATATACCAGTCACGCGGTTCATGGTCATACGTTAGCGTTCCTGCTGAACAATGGCATGACATACCATGCCGCGAACGGGACGGCCTTACTTGAGTACTTGATTACACTCTACTTCAAGCCTGAATCCAAGAGATATCATTATGTCTCGGCGCTCGGTGAGGACAATCCATGTCTACCATACCGTAGGCCTAACGGCTCGTAGGGATCATAATGACCATATGCGGCCAGATACTGCGATCCACTGCCATGATACATGCCGCGCGCAACTTCTCGCATACCGTGGCATCCCGCAAGGCCAAGGATCACGTCCTTGTCACGGACGGAATATACGCGTGAGCTAACTCTCATACCCGTCGCTATGTCCGTCGCGTTGTCCCTCAATGTCCATGCAGGTACTTCCGACATCCATCATATGCTGGTTTCTTCTATTGGGCACTAGGAACGCAATTGGTCTTACAGAACCCTGTGACATTCGTAATGTTCAGCTACTTGTTATGGCGCTTTTTCTACTACCGCACCCGATGTGAGTTCCATCTCACTTTGAGCTACTACTGTTATTCAAGAGTATCTATGCTAGACGAAGAAGGGGCTCTGGTCAGATTCTTTGGTGCTGCATACGAGGAATATAGGAAGAAAGTCGGCACGAAGATCCCCTTCGTCCCATAGCATCTCTGGATGGCGGTGTGGTATTATAGGTGATTAGGTACTCCTGATAGGAAATCGAGGCACACTCTGGTCTGGAACCGTTGGGCAGATCTCAACGTGCACTTGAATCAAAGCCCGACCGAATTGCGCTGTTGGATGTGAAACGCCGACAGGAATAGTTGTACAACGTGTCTCGGGGCCTGCCCGTTTGACAGTTTTCATAGCATTGAAGTTGTTGTCGGTACACGATGCGAACGCCATTCCTTTTCTCCGCGATGTCCTGGGCGTTGGCAATCCGTCAGTTGCATGGTTTTCATTTGAGTCCGAGTCTGATCATGACGCGCGCGTGGGTAAAGCCCAGTAAACGAAACGTGCCGTCATTTGCGGGGTACCGGTTGACTTCCTTGGGTACCGGGATTCCTGGTTTCGAACTCTCGATCCTCACCTCGACCTCATTGCGGGGCGCTCATCTGCTGGGACTCTTGGGATCGGACTGCGGTCAGTGTGACCGGTCTTATGGGACGGACAACGTGTAGCGTGACATCTCTCATTGTACTGCTGTTACGGACGATCGGCGTCAGGCTCCTTAACCAGCCGCTCGTATCGCGTCGAACTCCCAAATCCTAGGGCGGTAGTCAATGTTGTAACAGAGTAATAGATCATGTGAACTCAGGGGTAAACAATCATGTGATATTTCCTTTTATATCCTGAGCTTGGGGGAGTACGACGCGATAGAGCGGCTGGCGGATCTCGTATTTCAAATTCTCGGCTTCGCTCGGCATACCCGCTCAAGAACGAGCATGAGGTTGGAAGAAAGTATGGTGGCTGTGCCACAAATCAAGCCCGTTGTGGGTGCTACTACTGGGGTCCTAACACGTCCACCAAAGCGGCGTATACTTGTGTCTCTAGCAGCACGTGTCAAGGTCCTCCTTGGGGATGTTGCTGATCCGGAAGGAGAGCTCGTTCAGTGCGGAGAGGACCACGCTCGCGTCGAGCGAGGGCCCTGCGGAAGCGCTGGCTGCGGCCGAGGCGCACATTCTCAATGGGGGTGTTGGACGGGGAAGAACTCGCTGAGGCAGCGACGGAGTGCGGGCAATGTACCTATATAGGCTTGCGTGGAAATGACGAGTGAACCACAATGACGAAGTGGTTATTGCGTAGTGTTTGAGCTCCTGTTTTTGCAGGAAGGCACAGGTTCGATCCCTGGCGGTTGCCTCCTGTTGTACATTTGTCCAGTGCTATACCTATAAACAAGGTCATATACAATTACGCTCCAAACAGCATCGATGCTGTGTTAGCTCAGCGGTTAGGCGTCTTTTCCTATTGGTTTTGGTGGCAGTCCGCCTCGCGCGTTCGAGTCCGCCCATTGCATCTCTTTTTAACAACTGTTTCCTCCTGCTTCCCTCCTCACTTTTGCTCAGGCCGCTTGCTCTCGTACTTAGGGTGCTTACTCTGCTAAGGGAGTGATTTTTACTGTAATATGCATTGGACCGGCCTGAACTGTCGAAACTTCTTGCAATTAGGCTACAGCGGGCCTCGGGGTCCTTGTGGCGGTGCTTTGTATTATGCCGGATTACGCTTTCGGAATAGGCGTGTTTCTTGAGCGGGTATGCCGAGCGAAGCCGAGAATTTGAAATACGAGATCCGCCAGCCGCTCTATCGCGTCGTACTCCCCCAAGCTCAGGATATAAAAGGAAATATCACATGATTGTTTACCCCTGAGTTCACATGATCTATTACTCTGTTACAACATTGACTACCGCCCTAGGATTTGGGAGTTCGACGCGATACGAGCGGCTGGTTAAGGAGCCTGGATCGGCGTTCGAGAAATCTCTATCTTTGCCTCTGCCCCCGAAGTGGTGTTAGGGTGAAGCATTGTACCCTCTTGGTTACCCCAGACTTTCCGGGAATGCCTGTCTGTCTGGCCATCTCTCTGGCCCGGTGAGCAGCACCGCAGATGTGCACTAGACGCGCGCAGGGCCCAAGAGCGTATCCGGTATCCGATTTGTGCCTCCATTCAGTCGCCAGCGAATTTATGTAAATATCCTACCTCAGACTGCGCTGCAACGACATGCGTCATCTGCGTGTCCGGACGTGTCGACGGAGGGGTTATCTTAAATACGCTGGAGCTCCGGTTTTGCTCTGGCTTGCTTCCTTCAGCTCTCTCTCGCCTGCGTTTACTCCGTCATGCCTTTTGATTTCTCCTTCGCTCCCGATACGCGCCGTGACCAGCACGTCCTGATCATTGGGTTAGACGCTCTCTTCCGAGAATCTAAACAGCGCTGACAATGTTACGGCATTCGTAGCGCTGGTCTTGTGGTGAGCTTGTTTGGTGTGTCCGTTATCGAGTCCATGTTCGTGCTGACCAAATCTCCGCCTCCTCCTGAAGGGCCTCACCATAGCACAGGGCCTCAAGCATCGTGGGATCCGCGCTACAGTGTTCGAACGAGATACAGACGGCGGCCGTTCACAAGGATGGGGCCTGACCATCCACTGGGGCCTGAAAGCGTTGGAGCACTTGTTACCCTCGGAACTCTTCGATCAGTTAGATACGGTGAGCGTTCAACGATCAATGGAGCTCAAGAACCGGGCTGGTCTGAATAGAGTTCTTCAGTGTCAGGTCGATCGTGAGTTCACGGGTTGATTGACTATATACTCTCACGCAAACTCCGAGCAGCTTCTCTTCGAGCCAATGAGGGTGGATATCTGTTTCTAGGTCTGTTACTGCTCTTTTAGTGAGATTAAGGGGGGTAACACAACTCTCCTGCAGATGGACGCGATGGGAGTCCTATCATTTCCATGCCGTCAGGCAAGCGCAGGATCCGCGCCAACAGGCAGCGGCTACGGGAACTGCTTCTTACTGGTATCGATGTGAAGGCGAGCCAAAAACAGTTCGAATCCCGCGTTCCGGCTTACGTTCTGTATAGCATGGCAAGCGCTTCAACAATTTCGAGGTTACATCGGACGGCGTACGAGCCTATTTCGTGGATGGAACGTGCGCAGAAGGTACACTCCTCGTCGGCGCAGACGGCAACAACAGCGTGGTTCGCAAGCAATTACTGGGAGAAGAAGCGGCCGCATTGAAACCGATTCCTGTTGTGGCTTGCGGAGGTCGGTGCCTCGCGGATGCACTCCGGACGACCGCAATCTAAAATTGCAGTAGTTGTTCAAAGGTACACGAAGGAGCAAGTAGCTCCCCTGCGTGCTCTGGATCCTTTGCGGTTCCAAGCAGTGAATCCCGACACGGGGACGTACATCTGGGTCCGTCTGATATCAACTTCGGTCTCGTCAATGAACCACTACTTACGAAAACATGCAGCATAGCAAGTTACCACCGCAGTTCCGTGGTCAGGAGCTAACATAACTGTTGCAGGCATTCAGGATGTGTCCCCCGACAGAAGCAGATTTGACATACTCACAATAGTCTCGCATCGCGTGACCGATCTGAGCCTAGAACTGCCTCGAGACGCGACGAATGTTGCCAAGATCAACGATATGAAGAAACGTGCAGGTATCAAAGTAACCCCCCTTCTATAGCACCGAACATGCACTAACGCGCGTTATGCCAGATGGTTTCGCCGAGCCTTTTTATTCGCTCCTGAATGATATCGACCCTGCATTGAATGCAAGTGTACTATCGCCGATACCTTGGGCTAGTCTAACTTTACGCATCCGCAGTGTACAAGGTTGAACCTTGCGGACTGGGTACCTGTGCCGTGGACTAACATGGGCGCAATAACCCTTGCTGGAGATGCCGCAGGTGCAATGTCAATGTGTAAGTTAGTATATTCCAGACATGCACAACATATATTAACTACGTTGATGCGTTGTTAGATCGAGGGTGAGTACGATTTGAATATAGCACTACTTCCCCATATCACGTCATGATACTCTCAGGGAGGGAGTCAATCACGGAATGCTCGGTGAGTACTGTCATGTCTGGTGCACACCGGCGTTTGATCCCCTCTTACTGATATTTCTTCTCACAGACGCCGTCTGTTTGGTCATGCACCTTACCCGAGTGTCTAGGTGTGAAACCGTGCTAGGTGACGCGGTTAGTATCTCGTCGTGAATGATCTGGTGTGCCATCGACTGATGATTTTCAGCTGATTGAATACGAGGACGAGATGCGTTCTCGACGACAGGTTGCAGTCCCATTGAGCCGACAAGCTGCGCTTGATGCTCACAGTATTCCTCACGGTACACTCACATCTCCCGAGTTCCATCTGAGAGCGACGCTGACAGTTGATTCCTTTAGCTGACTCGCCGTTATGCAGCCGTCGAGCTGCACCAGCAATTTGCTCACGAGTCTTTTCCTGAGTACTTTCCGCCATTGGTACTCCATCGCTGCGCGAAGTGGTTTTCGGTCGTCGCTTCCTTCGTTCCCGCTTTCCTTGTGCTGTTCGTATCTTGTAATCTTTCTTGCCCGTCCGTTAATCGCGTTGCCTTGTACTTATTACTTGTACCTATCGCAATGCATCACTCTCCATCCATCCGCATCATCGAAGCGGTACACCGTGAGAGTCAAGCTGCGTATCGTCATGTCGCTTTTGACTCCCTCTGCTAAGGGCCAGTTCGGTAGCAGGTGCAATCAGCGCTGAATGCCATTCAGCGCTGAAAGGATGATAATCGCAATGTGACCCCCAGTGACCATCGCCGTCAGTCACGCACTGTGCTGCGCCATGTTGCGCCGTTTGGCTGTCAGTTTCTGACTGCATTCTGACTGCATTAGATCTACATGCTCCAAAATCCCATAGTATATACTTGGAGAAATGTAGGCTCTGTCTCTGTATTTTATCAATATTTTTCTGAGCACTGAAGCACTGGTATCTTCTTGCGGAATATCTTTTTCTGGTAACAACACCGAGATTATCCCAACACGGGAGTTTGAACTCCGGAAAAAAATACAGTATCATATCTAGTGGCTGAAGTAGACTACTCAACCAATTCTTTTTGGAGTGTTAGCAGAATGTCATCCGCAAAACGGTATGAATACCATCGTTGTGCAACACCGGCTGGTGGTGTGTGACTCCCACGCATGTAACGTGTGCACGTGGCACTGCGGGATTATCAGCTTTTCAGCGCTGTTTGGACCTGCTACCGAACAGGCCCTAAGCTAACAATTTGCGATACATAAGTCTACAACATAATCAAATACTCTTTCTTTCAGAATGCTAGCGAGGCGCCACCAGTACTTCCGCAGTTACCTGTTACCACATCGAATACCACATGAAGGCAGATTCAGACCGGGTCGATCCCTGCGCCGATCGTTGGCACTATGCTTTTCACCAACTTCAACAGCAGTCGAACGAAGGCACGGGTCTCGCGCCTCATCTAGTCAGAGAAATACTGGATCAATTGAGACGGTTAGTGCTAGGGTCTAGCCAGTGGTCGAAGTGGCCCCTGACGGACTAGTCAGGGATGCAGCGCAGGTTCATTCAGGTTACGAGGTCCCCTCGAACTTGACTCTACTGTTGCCGGACGATGCGGATGATCCCATCATGGCTGCATTGGCTGGTATGTGCGGTAACGGAAATCATGTCGTCGGGCATCTGATCCTGAATGGTACGAGTCCATTCTCCAAGACATCAACCACATGCAACCAGCCACTAAAGCGTCTTGCACTAGGTATGATACGCACCGTGTTAGGAAGTTTCACGGAACCTGAGGCATTATCCGACGTGGAACCGCCCAATCCCATAGGCATTGACGACCTTGCCCAGGCGTTGCGTGTCCTTCGGATTATTCAGGCGGAGCAAACGCGTCCTAGTATGAGATATAAGTGAGTCATTCGTCTACCATTGAACTTCCCATGTGATGGTATTGATCATTCTTACTATCATATGCACTCGTAGTCCACTTCAATCGGAGATCGACCAGATTCTTGCGTTTGCGAAGACGATCCCGGAACGTGCACCATACCGTTCATTGGCGAATCCAGATGTGAACCCCGAACCTGCCCTACCGCGCCTCACCTCGCGTACGCGCGATCACCCTCGTTGTTACATCTGCAAAAGCGTCATGAAATCGCACCGTCGTTCAATAAATCCGTGGCTTTGCATCCACTGCGCTGAATTCAATGCCCATCAATCGCAGCCGGTCAATCCCGCTCGGTTCCACGGGAAAGTCGCCTTGGTGACGGGCGGGCGCATCAACTTGGGGTTCGCTACCGTGCTGCGACTGCTTCGGGGTGGAGCAAGCCTCGTTTTTGCTACGACGCGGTTTCACGTGGATGCTCAGAACCGTTACGCCTCTTGTGCGGATCACGAGGATTGGCGCGATAGACTCGTCATACTCGAAGCTGACTTTACGGATGCAGGAGACGTCACTTGCATGATTGAGAAGATCAAGGGTCTGTTACATGGCCGAACACTAGATATCCTGATCAACAACGCAGCTCAAACGGTGCCGATACCACGAGTGGAACGCGAGAGGTTAATGATGCTGGGACCAGCCAAAGGTCGATCCGAACTGCAGTTCATAGAAGAAGATAGAGCCGTCAAGCCGTATACCTCGCTGGAGACCTCGTCTGTCATTCGGGAGGAGACAAGTATTGTTTCCGTACGTGGCCAGCCTGTCAAGAACAGTTGGACGGCGCATTACGATGAGATCCCCTACGTGGAAATGTTCAACGTGCTCACGGTCAACTCGGTTGTGCCTTTCGTCTTGATCCGTGAACTGGCGAATCTGATGGCACGCTCCGATCGCGAGGTTCGGAGAAGTGACCCAGCATTCATCGTCAACGTTTCCTCCAGAGAGGGTATTTTCCTCCGCAAAGATAACATAGGCCGAGCTCCACACCACGTGCACACAAATATGGCCAAGGCGGCGATGAATATGATCACAGAAACACTCGCGGACGAATTTCGCGATCATAAGGGCATATACATGAACAGCGTTGATCCCGGCTATCTCAGCATCCAACACGCAGTCCCGGATGATGAGCGCGTGCAGAGAACAGCGGCTGTGCCGCTAACATGGGAGGATGGAGCTGCGAGGGTGCTATATCCGGTGGAATGCGGAATCGAGGGCAAGTTGATGTCTGGCCGTTTCCTCAAGGATTATCAAGAGCGGCCATGGCATCCGGAATACGATATGGCACCAGACTTAGGTGGCATGCCTTGACGAGGGCCGACCGGCACATAGGCATAACCAGCAGCATTGAACATATTGGCATATACTTGGGTACATTTTCATCTTACAGTAATTATTGCAAGTTCCTACTCGTGTCTTATGTTCTCATCTGCTCCCCTTTCGATAACAATGGTAAAAACCTAGAGCTCGTCCACCTTCACGCCTGGGCCAGAGATGACTGCCTTGATAACGCCTTTTCCGTCCTCGCTCTTGCCCGCCTTGGTGACCTGGAACGCGGTCACGGCTTCCTCGAATGAGAAGCGGTGTGTGATGAGGGACTTAAGGTCGATCTTTCCGGCCGCTACGAGCGCGATCGCAAGTTGATAGTCGCCCGGCTATGGTATCACAGTTTGAGAGAACCATTCCTTCGCGTTAGAAAGAGGCGGACGTACGCCGTAGCGGAAGGACCCGAGGAACTTAACCTCCTTGGTGAGCAGGAGAGTAATGGGAATCACGACATCAGGCATGCCCATACCAACCTAAAGGTGATGTCATCAGGAAATCAGACATGACAACATCAACCAACGAGTTCAACCCCCATACCTGCACATATGTCCCTCCTGCCTTGGCAATCAAGATACCAGTCTGGATAGATGCCTCGGCACCACTGGCATCCACAACCAGGTCGATACCGTCAGGACCAAGATCCTGAATACCGAGCTTCTCCTTCATTGCGGCGGCATTGCGTCGGGAGTACTCGATCCGGCTCTCTCCCGGGTTCAGGGGAATCGGGAGGTATATATCGGTTGCGGCATATGACTGTAAGGCATTATAGTCACACGGAGTCAAACGACGAGTGACGTGGAGAGAAACGGACCTTGGCGAATTCAAGTCTGTGGGGAACAATGTCTACGGCAATCACTCTCCGCGCACCGAGTGCACGAGCAACGGCCATGCAAACCAGCCCTACCGGGCCGCATCCGAACACTACGCAAGTCTGATTGGCCCGTAGCTGGCCAATAGCGGCTACGGAATGCACGCCCACGGACAAGGGCTCAATCATGGCACCGTCCTCGAGAGTCATGTTATCGGGGAGCTGGACAGCGAAGATCTCAGTCACGAGAGCATGCCGCCAGATACATGTCATCATACCTTATAGGCAAGATCGCCGGGGATGGCATAGTAGCGAGCCAAAGTACCGTCGTAAGGAGGTGTGGCTGCAAAGACCATATCCGGGCAGAGCTGCGGAAGACAGGTCAACAACGTGGTAGATATGTCAAAAGGTTCTATTACTTCGTATCTGCCTGCCTTGCAGGCGTCACAAGAGCGGCAAGTTGCCCCAGGCTCCAAAGCGACTCGATCGCCAACCTTCAAGCCTTTAACCTTCGCGCCAACTACCGCGGAGTTAGTTCGAAGGTCACGAGTGATTCCGAACTATTCACCTTTCGTGACGATACCAGCGGACTCATGACCCAAAACCTGAGTCATAATATTCAGCTGGGACCCTGCGCGGAGTATGCTTGGACATACCATGGGCGCGTTCACCACGAAGTCACCGATGCGGCCGTGCGTGAGGTAATGCACATCAGAGCCACATATCCCTAAGTCGGAGGTGTAGGTAGCTCGTTTTTGGTGACCAATACTACTGACCTGTCTTCTTGATAGCAACGAGCACTTCGTGAGGCGCGACTGGAGCAATGTGCCAAGGTCAGCATTTGGATAACCTTGGATAACTCAACCGATGTTGATCGCACTTTCAGGGATAGGCCTGTCTTCGTAGACGGTCTGCTCAATCGCCTTGAGTACGAAAGATGGGTTGTCCGACATCGCTGGCGAGTGTGGTATGGGCAAAAGCGAGATATAGCTCATCCATCGATGCTGCAGACATGTATAGGAGTCCCCGGCTGAACATTGGGGAGAGCGGGCCGGTATGTATACAGCCTCACCATGCGCTTTTTCCAGCGTTCAATGGCACACCTGATCCCCTTACGGCATTGATCGGACACTGATAATCCGGCCATCCGGTGCCGACTTCCGATTTCTTCATCCCGTCCTCTCATCCGCCATCCGCCATTACGCTGAACATCCGCACCTCTTTGTATATAAACCGCAGAAAATATGGATGCTGAGCACAATCGACGCAGGACGCCATCTTCCCTCGATTTACCTCCAACCAAATCACACCCAATCTCCCTCGCACCATCCCACTTCGCGACAACATGCCCTCGCTTCCCACTCCTGGTCCCTCTGTCTGGCTGGGTCAGATCAGACTCGAGCACATACTCGGTCACGGATCGTTCGGACGGGTCTACTACGGCTACGATGCCTCTCAAGGTCAAGCGTACGCCGTCAAGTGCATACCAAAAAGAAGGGGCCAGTCCCCCGAAGAACTCGACATTCACCGGTCACTTCCTTCACACCCTCACATCTTGAACTGCATCGCCGCCGACGAAGATGATCATTATCTTTACCTTATCCTCGACTATCACGCCGGCGGGGACCTCCTCGAAGCCATCCGCAAAGGCATATTCTATCGTAACGATCAGCTCATCAAGAAGCTGTTCCTGCAACTGCTAGACGCGGTAGACCACATCCATCAGCAGAAGGTTTTCCACTGCGACATCAAGCCTGGCAATGTTATTTGCGCGTCCAATCATGCCAACGCCTATCTAGCTGACTTTGGTCTTGCGACGAGGAGCAGCCGGAGCCCACGGGCAAGACGTGGTACCCTACGTTACATGAGTCCTGGTACGCTTATCTTTCATCGGGAGCTATTGCTTTTAGGAACTCACAAACCCATCAGAATGCCACCAGCATCAACCCGCCTCCCAGTCCGCCGAGGATCCCATGCCGGAATGGCACTGGGCTCATCAAAGCGACATCTGGTCGCTTGGTGTTACTTTGCTCGAAATGGTCACTGGGAAATACCTCTGGACCGAAGCTATTCCCAGCGACCCCCGCTACGCCGCATACATGGCGGATCCGGATTACCTCCGCCAAGAACTCCATGTCTCCGCGCAAGCTTGCGAGCTGTTCCGCAAGATATTCACGCAAGACTACGAGACGCGCATCACACTATCTGATCTGCGCGAGGCCATCATATCGGTCAACACCTTCTTTGAGGACGTGCTAAGTGCACATGGCCTTTGTGTTCGCGATTTACCGAAGGGCACATCCCCGCGCCGTGTACCTGGGCGAGACTTCTGCAAGAGCATTGTGAAGCTGGTGCCAAAGGCGCAACGCCTTGTCAGACGCCCGCCGCCGAGGAGGTCGCGACACGAGCTCTCTATCAGTTCGGACGAAGGCTACCACCACGACATCCCGGACGAGCATGAACAACCGCCCCGCCCCAGGGAAACTCATCCACGGAGTGCTGAACCTCGATTCCCCGATTCCGCCCGCGGACCCATGGCACATGCACACTTCGTCTTACCTCCTCATCAATGCACTCGCCGATTTCCGGTTCGATGCCAGCCTCCCGCGGCATCCATTACACCACTCCCTGCGAAGGGCAGGCACGGCCCCTTGGCGATCGTCACGGCGCTTTCGACGACGCTATCTGACCTTGATCTTCCTTCTACACCGGCATCGCCTGCACAGTGGGCTTCTGGTCTAGAATGCCCTGCGCTCAGCCGTGATACCGACTCAGACACCGATAGCGAAGCTGCTATCACACCAGAAACTCGCCCAACACATTGCGATGATGAAGTCTGCGAGCTCGTACTTGACGACCCCCTGGCAGGGAACGCGGTCAGGAAGCCCTCGCCATACGCTACTCAAGACAAAGTTGTTACCACGGCAGGACCGTCCGGGATCGTCAGGACTGTCGGACGTCTTCGGGCGCTCGTACACACCTGATAGGGATCGTCATTTTATGTCTCAGTCTTACTACATCAAGGACATTAGGTCTCGGACTGCACTACTGTATCGTTAGCACGCTTCCATTTGTATTACTAGCCTGCGATATAATTACCAACAAGCCGTGCACATATCTTTACGAACATTACGACTCAGAATTGAGATGAAAACGCAGAGAAACCCCTGAATGATTGCGGCTGATGGTACGATCGATGCGCGCGGCTTGCGTGAGGCTCACGCCTTCCTCGGACGATTTTTCGCTTTTATAGCGCCTTGCACTGCTCCGCACACCATCTCTCTTTCTCCCTCCCTCCTTCCCCGACTACTATCCATCTTCTATTCCGTTACTTGGACTGTCAAAAGATGGTCGCATCCAGTATTCTCGGCTTTCCTCGCATCGGTAAGTTGCCTTATCCTATTCGAGCCGTTTTTTCTCTGGCCGCCCGGCTAAGCTGTTCTGCCATGCGATACTTGCCTCGCGCATGCGATCTTGAATCTGACTTGCTTTCTTCTCATAAGGTGCCAATCGTGAGGTGAAAAAGGCCGTTGAGGCTTACTGGGCGGGCAAGATCTCTGCGGACGATCTAACCAAAGCCGCCGCCGACGTCAGGAAGGCCAGCTGGACCAGCGTCAAGGAGAAGGGCGTCGACTTCATCCCTAGGTATATGGTCTCTTTCGACGATTGCTCGACGCATCTGACCCTCATACACTGCAGCGGCGATTTCTCTCTTTACGACCATGTCCTTGATCACTCTGCCGCATTCAACGTCATCCCCAAACGGTACACTGGCCACAACCTGTCCCCTCTAGATGTCTACTTCGCTATGGGCCGTGGTCGTCAGGCTGATGGTGTCGACGTGCCGGCCTCCGAGATGAAGAAATGGTGCGCAATATCGTTTGCTGGTCTCGTCTTATCTAACACCCAAATTAAGGTTCGACTCGAACTACCACTACGTCGTCCCGGAGCTCTCGGATGAGGTGGAGTTCAAGCTCAACTTCAACAAGGCGCTTGAGGAGTTCAAGGAAGCCCAGTCGCTCGGCATTACCACCCGCCCGGTCGTTCTTGGCCCAGTTACGTACCTCGTGCTCGGTAAGGCGAGCAAGGAGGCTCAGCCCGGCTTCCAGCCCATCTCGCTCCTTCCCAAGCTCCTGCCTTTGTACAAGCAGCTCTTGGCTGACCTCAAGTCTGCTGGTGCTGAGTGGGTCCAAATCGATGAGCCTATTCTCGTCGTGGACTCTTCGGAGAACTTGGAGAAGCAGTTCACCACTGCCTATGCCGAGCTGGCGCCCGTCGCACCCAAGATTCTCCTCACTTCATACTACGGACGGCTCGACTCGAACGTGAACTACGTGTCCAAGCTTCCCGTTGCTGGTCTTCACATCGACCTCGACCGTGCCCCTGGTCAGCTTGACGATGTTCTTACGGCCATCAAGCCCACCAGCTTGGGCCTCTCCCTTGGCCTTGTTTCCGGCAGGAACGTATGGAAGAACGACTTTGCGGCGTCCATCAAGATTGCTCAAAAGGCCATCGACGTCCTCGACAAGGACCGTGTGATCATAAACACGTCGTCGTCTCTCCTCCATACCCCTGTCACCCTCGCCTCTGAGAAGAAGCTCAGCCCGGAGCAGAAGGACTGGTTCTCCTTTGCCCTCGAGAAGGCCGAGGAAGTCGCAATCATCACTGCTGTCCTGTCTGGTTCCCAGGATGAGAAGGTAGCCGCTGCCCTCGAAGCAAACAAGGCTTCGATCGCCAAGCGCCGCCAGTTCGAGAGCACCTCCGACGACGCTGTTCGCAAGCGCGTTGCAGCGATCACCCCCGAGATGTTCAACCGTCAGAGCCCTTTCGCTGTCCGTCAGCAGATCCAGGCGGCGAAACTCAAGCTTCCGAAGTTCCCCACGACCACCATTGGCTCCTTCCCCCAGACTAAGGAGATCCGCATGGCCCGTGCTAAGCTCGGCAAGGGCGAGCTTACCGAGGCTCAGTACGAGGAGTTTATCAAGAAGGAGATCGACCACGTCATCAAGTTCCAGGAGGACATCGGTCTCGACCTCCTTGTCCACGGCGAGCCCGAGCGTAACGACATGGTCCAATACTTCGGCGAGCTTTTCAACGGCTTCGTCTTCACCCAGAACGGATGGGTTCAGAGCTACGGTTCCCGTTATGTTCGCCCTCCGATCATCGTCTCCGACGTCAGCCGCTCGGGTCCGATGACCATTAAGTGGAGCACGTACGCACAGAGTGTTACCGAGAAACCCATGAAGGGCATGCTCACTGGCCCCGTCACCATCCTCAACTGGTCGTTCCCTCGCGCCGATGTCTCTCGCGAGCTCCAGACTAGGCAGCTTGCTCTCGCCCTTCGCGACGAGGTCATTGACCTTGAGAAGGCTGGCATCAGCGCTGTTCAGGTTGACGAGCCCGCCCTTCGTGAGGGCCTTCCTCTGCGTCGCGCGGACTGGGAGGGTTACTTGAAGTGGGCAGTGGAGTCGTTCAAACTCGCCACCTCCGGTGTCACGGATGCTCTCCAGACCCACTCCCACTTCTGCTACTCCGATTTCAACGACATCTTCCCCTCAATCCAGGCTCTGGACGCCGATGTCATCTCCATCGAGGCCTCGAAGAGCGACATGAAGCTCCTCAGCGCCTTCAAGCAGTACGGGTACTCGGCTCAGATTGGCCCTGGTGTTTACGACATCCACTCTCCTCGTGTTCCCAGCGAGGAGGAGATCAAAGAGCGTCTGAAGAACATCATCGAGGCTCTCCCCGCCAACCTCCTCTTCGTCAACCCCGACTGCGGTCTCAAGACCCGTGGCTGGACCGAGACTGAGGCTGCACTGAAAAACCTCGTCGCTGCTGCCCGATGGGCACGCGAGACCTACCCTTAAATGCGTCTCTCCGCGCTTCAACAGCGCCCTGTTAACTTATCAGGGCTCTCTCATCAGAGTCGTCCTGTTCGTGACTTAGGGTTCGTTGTGGCGAGATGCGGGTTCATAACGATGGCCCTTCGGGCCGTCGCCGAGTGGACCGAGGAGGAAGGGGGCTCTTGGAAAATGCGACGTTTCAACCCGCAACAGCGCCTCATGAGGGAGGCAGGAGCTTCGCGTGTTGTACTACTAGCATTCGGATTTCAACAATCCCCGAATACACCATCGTTGTGCTGATTTCATACCCAATCGATTACAAGAAGTGTGAACGAAAGTACATTTAGTCCTCTAGTTGGTAAGCTGTTCGTGAGGAGGAACGGTTATCTCTTCCTCGATAACGATGTCAGGAATTGATATCTGCGTTGCTGTCGGGCCGTCCTCAGAGTGCTCACGACTGCGCCTTCTTGTAGGGGTATCCGACACGTAATCGCGTGAAGTAACGCTCCCATGTAATTCGGGGGGCGACTCTACCTCCTCCCTCTGCTGCGTCGCAGGTTTCTCGTCGACAACGTTTGACGATTTTTCCATGTTGAGTGCCGTTCGGAGACGTTCTTCAACTTTTTCGGTACGTCGAGTTCTCTTGGAGCCGATCCATATGAAAACCGCGGAAAGGATACCGCAAATGAATGACGCTGGGAGAAGAGTCGCTGTAGTTGCAGCCGGTCGGTCGAAACTGAAAGCCTGTGATCAACAACGTTCGATAACTGCAACGGGCCCCGTGATCACCGATTTAAGGCCCACATCACGGAAGACAACCCGACTTGAAATATGGAATTTCCGTCATTAAGAAGGCATATGATGAGGGCGATACTGGGGATACGTCAGAATCAATTCCAAGGGCATTGAATTACTGAAGGCCTACTTGATAGGGAAAGCCTGTAAAGGCTGTAAGGTCGATGACACTGTAACGATTGATGATACGCACCCGATGAGTCTCAGTACCATGCGGCCGATACCAAGTTTGCGACTTCGTGAACTGTTGCTGGTCTGAGAACGGCGCCTATCTGAGCCGGATTGCCTCCAACGAATGGTAGGAGGAGGCTCACGGTAATGTAGCGTCCGCTGCTGTTTCTCTGTTAAGACGTGGACATAGTTCACGTCGTACTTCGGATCGGGTAGGTCGTCTTCGTCATACAGGTCTGGGAGACCTGCCTTCTTTCGTAATTTTCGAGTTTTCCGTTTGTACCACCATATGATGGTTATGCCTAGTATGAAGTGTCAGCCTACGATGAATATTCCTGCGAACGGGGCACGCACGATATGTGTCGACGACACGCCAAGGGATCAACCCAACGCTGGTAAGCGTGAACAGACCGGTCTCCACCTGCTGCGAAAGTTCGAGCCAATACCCCTGCGCTATGCTGTTATGAAGGTTGATCCACTTCACGAGGAAGAGTACAATGGCCGTTCCCCAGAAAACGATGAGGAAGCCGTATATAGCGACGATGAACTTGGGACCGTTTAGCAGAAGTGTTGTACGAGACAAAATATGATCTCACGCCGATAGCTACATTGAATGCACACGCTCAGTCCAAGCTAGTGGAGGCTGAATGATGCAATGGCTCACGAGTCTTGCAAAATGCCCATACCCCACGCATTATACGCTTGAATTGCTGCTTTTTGGTCAGAACATCCTCGACATGCGTGTCCAGCTCGTCCAAAGTGTATTCTCCGTTTTCCGCTCTGGAAGGGGCAGACCGTTTAGGAAGGACGACCACGGGTTTCCGAGAGTAGAAGGAAAGGGGCGGACTGAGAAGAAGTCAGTCAAAGCAGACAGCAAGCAGAAGCTCGTAGCTTCACATTACGATCGCATTGGCGGCGTTGGCCAGGTTGGAGACCGTTGCTATCTCAGGGTCTGGACAATAAAAAAAAACATTATGAGCAGACAAACCAGTGTCTTGAGTACAGAGCGAACGTACCGATAACATCCAAATGCTCCACCACTTCGTCTTCGTGATGAGTGCTCTCGTCGGATAGCAAACTGACCGCACTGCCTACACGACTGTGCATGGGATCCTCGCGCATGGCAATCGTTTCCTGGGCACCTTGTAAAAGGTAGTTCCCCGCCTGATCGCGTTCGTGCGATGCATGGCTGCCTGCCAGGGCCTTCTGGATCAAGGGTGGCTGACGGCGGTCTTCGTGTAGTGTAGGGGGCCTGGCCGATCTAACAGAATCTCGCAGTATATGGCTCGTTACACGACTCGGTTGGCGGGGGAACGTGCTATAGGGTCTACCATCGTTGGACGCTCCGCTGGGGCCAGGAACACTGGCAGAGTCCGCCCGTCGTCGAGTAGCATTGTCGGCATGTGGAGAATCGGTCGCGGACGCGTTTCCAGGAGCGAAGAGCTCCGTCAGGGTGCGACTCCTGCGGCGATTAGGGGCGGGTGCCGGATCGTCGCGAAGGGATGCGTAGTTGTCGTGGCTCCTCTTGATCCTGACGGAGGGCATGACTGGAGCACTAGCGTGCGGGACGTAGCCGACTAGGGTATTATAGCCTCTGGGGTGTACTAGCGAGTTGCATAAGTAGCTGTGTGCCTCGGAGCAAAGGCCCCCCTGGGATTTGCGCGTCGAAGGGCCATGTTATTGGATGTGCGCAGCATGTGAAACAGCGGCGCGCGCTCACTCTACCGTGATGATATGAGGAACTGTGCAGATGCCAGACCTTACCCATAGACGTGCAGATATGACCGCGAGTTCAAGCAGACGGCAACAGGGATATCGAGGAATTGCGTGATCTATGGATACATCTATGTTCTATATGAGAGCGAGGGGAGAGATAGCAATAAGATAGAATGAAAGCAAAGCAAGAGTAACGGAACGGTATTGACATTGTACAAAGAGGATTTTCTGGGGCTTATGATGCATCGCGTTTTGCTCCGTTGTCCACGGACGTGCGTCGTTCTGCCTCATCAGAAGGGCGATGCAAACTCGCGGAGGATGCAGCCTGTAAGGAATGAGATGAACAACCTTGCGACGATGGACTTGAGAGCTTCGACATACCCCTCTACCAGAATCAAGACTTCGACGTGATTTCGAGGGACCATGGCGGAATATGTTAAGGATTCGATGGCGAATGCGGCTCATCGGCCTTTCAGGATATCCGCGCTCAGGAGAGTCGAAGCGGGGATCAAGGTCAACCGTAGCGGAGGAAGCACCGGCCAGTAGGTTGCTACTGGATTCGTCACGAGTCTCTGCACGTTTGGGCGCCGACATGACCCTACGCCGTGCAGTTAACTGCAGAGTGCGGCCGCTTGATTCTCCTTCGGTCTGTTGCTTGACCTTGCGACCCTTCCCGGTATCGTGGAGATCAAGCATATGAGTGCCTTTGTGAGCCATCCACTTCGATTTCGATATCAATTCTCGCGCAACCGGCAGCACGGGTAACAGAGGTTGATTGAACGCCATCTTGACCCAGCCTGTCCAGCCAGAAGCCGCAGGGAGGAACTGATCGACGAGTTCCTCGAGCTATTTTACGACGTTTCAGAGGATTTAGATCGAAAATCACAGTATTACACTCATACTCCATGTGTGATTCCGAATTTCTAAGGGACGCGTGCGAATATTGGCATCGCGGCAAATTTCTGAGTCACCGCGCGGGCGCGTCATTGAGGCGCTGCGTGATCTTCAGGGTCAGGGCACCTTTCAGTGTTTCACTGAATACGGCGCGTGTGTCATCCTCTGAACCGCGTCGACCCTCCAGCCGATTTCGAACGCGTTCAACAATGGCAGACTCGCGTCAGAGGGCCATCATCAAGGTGTTTAGGAAGTACAGTCACTCCCTAGGTCCAGAAGTTCTCGATTTTTTGGAGGATGTCCTTGATAAACACGAGATCGCCGACGAGGAGGTTGAATCATCTATGGACTTGGTCGCTAAGGAATACAACAAACAAGACGGTTAGCCTGAGATGTCATTTGGTGAGCTTGCGAGATCACTGAAATTATAAGCTCAGATGCCACAATGAAAGTCTCCTTGGAGGTCCTACAACGAGTTTATGAGGTGTTGCAGGGGATGCGGCAAGGACAGAGCTCCTCTCAGGACGAGGAACCGCTCGATCCGGATGGGCATCTACACTTCATTGATGCATATGATATGCCTCTGTGGCACTGGTCCAATGAGCGTAGTACGTTCGACAGGTTTGTCTCTGCTGAATGTCGTTGCTTCGCAAGCGTAACGAGAATCTACAGATCGACCTCTGCGCAGACGATATCTGGTTCAGCGGACTCTAGGGTATCAGCCATGCGAGACAGACTCAACATCATACGCCAGACCGTGATGCGCAACGAGCACTTCTCTCCATCTACTCTACCTTCACGAGACCGAGAACACCTCTTAACAGTAAGCATCATGCATTCGCTCGCGTCTTGCCGGCGTGTAATCTGCTTGTAGCTGCGATCGACGAAGCAGCTGCTCGGGCGTCCAGGCGAGCGATTTTTGCTCCTCGGTATGCTCGCGCACAACAAAGAAGGCAAACTCTGTCTCGAGGATGCGGATGGCTCGGTTGAACTGGACTTCTCTCAACTTGTTCGTGATCTCCTCGACAAACCATTGCGTGCTGGAAACTTCTCACAGAGCGCAGTGTAGGACCAACCCAGCGAAGGTTTGTTCACTGAAGGTAGCTTTGCCCTGGTTGAGGGTGACTACACGGACGATGCCACGTTAATTGTGATCGCTATTGGACACCCTCCCTGTGAGAGCCGGGAAACTGCTCGGTAAGGTCCAAGACTCTGAGACCGACGTCCACTCAACCTATAGCCCAGGTCTATATTCGGACACATTGATTTCCTAGGCAAGGGAGCAACAACGCTTCTTGAAGATGTGAGCAACTCGACGCCTCCGTTCAGCAGACGGTTGATGATGTTCTACTATCATAGGCTCAATATGCTGTGCGAATACAACGCGACCTTCCAGATCTTAACTTCTTCTTTCTTTCCGACGTCTGGCTCGACCATCCTACTACGTTGCGTGGTCTCCGGAAAATGTTCGATAATTGCGTCGAAAGCAATTTCGTTCCGAAGGTTATCGTTCTTTGTGGAAACTTCTCTAGCAAGAGCATATCCCAAGGCAGCGCACATGATATCCAGAAATATCAAGGTAATACGAACTCCGCACTTGCATGGAAGCTAGAATATCAATGACTGATTCACATAACTCAGAGAACTTCGAGTCGCTTGCGGATCTCATACTCTCATACCCTATCCTCGCCAGAACCGCGCATTTCGCCCTCATTCCAGGACCACACGACATGACCGCCAATACCCTCCTGCCACGCCGCCCGCTGCTCTCGTCCTTTGTCTCGAAACTGCGCGACAAAGTGCCGAACATACATATCGGGACCAACCCGTGTCGCATCAAGTTCTACGGGCAAGAGATTGTCATATATAGGGAGGACATTATGGCGCGGATGCTGAGAAACCTTGTCGGCGTCAAGCCTGACGTAAGAACGGATGACCTCAAACGATATGTATGTCTAATTGGCATGCAAACTCTCATGGATTTCTGACTTTCCGATGCTCAGTTAGTCCAGACCGTTCTTGACCAAAGTCATTTGACGCCACTCACTGTCAACATACAACCTACGCTGTCCGAGTTTGATCACTCCCTACGGCTATACCCTTTACCTACAGCGGTATGCATATTTGCATCTTCGTTCCATGTCAAGTACTGATCGATTCGGGCTTGACAGGTGGTCCTCGCGGACAAGTATGATAATTTTCAGATGACCTACGAAGGCTGTCATGTCTTCAATCCTGGGCGCTTTGTTGGCAAGTCCTTCTCGTTCTCGACATATGCGCCCGCCAGGCGAGAATCTGAGTCTTGGTGAGTGAGCAGCACAATCGAGAAAGGTGTCTAGCACTGAGGACGTTCCATTACAGCGTGCTAGAGCTGGATGACAATGAGTAGGACTTCAGTAATAAAAGAAGACACTGTACTGTATAACCATAATTGATATCGATACTGACTACCGGGCGCTACTTCGTCCTCTTGTGCCGGAAACGGTGAGATCTGCGAGAGACGCGTCCGGCACAGCCACCCCCTTTGAGTATACCGCGATCGCGTCTGCACCTTCGGAGATGCTCACGTTACGAGTCACCCCTTCAACCAGCTATCATCGCGTATGATTTCCGCCCTTGACTTCGACATACGGCCGGGATCTGGCCTCGGACCGTTTATTATAGGTGAGTGAATAGGACGGGTCATGTCTACCTGTTCAATTTGCCAACTCCCGTAGGCTCATCCCTGTGGGCCGTGCTCGACCAGGTTCGCGGCTTGCAGCACTTCTTTCCTCAGGTTGACATCAAATACGATACGGATTCTCCCGTAACGACGCCCATAATCGTTCATCTTCGTCCTCATCTCGACTTGCTCTTCTCGGGATATCATCAACGGCTACATACCATCTCCGTCCGACGGCTCCGCGACCCTCACCCTCCGCTCACTCTGCGGTATCAGCACGCGGGGAAGGACGTTGTTCTGTCAAGCCCGACGGAATCCTTGAAGAAAATTGGCGTTAGCAGGACTTTCGGGCCGACGTATCCCGGGGATGATCTCAAGTATCCGGGAGTGTGGTTCAGTTTCGACGATGATGGTCAGTCTACCTCGGCTGCGACCTCAACGGGTTTCGATGCTAGAGGAAAGGGTGCAAAGAGCAGTCAAGCAGAGGACAGGATGCATGAAGTGAAGAAAGTCGTAATATGTCAGAAAGAGGGGGAGGGGGAGGAGCGCGATGCCTTGGGTGAAGTCGAGGAATGCGAGGCTATGTACGGAGATCTCTCAAGGGCGATCGTAAAGGTGCACTATATAAACCTGCGGATGCGATGCGTATTTCAGCTATATTAACTACCATGTCTGAACAGATCCACGATGGTGTGATTCTGCACTTCCATCCGCCTTCGGCAAATTCCCCTGTGCACATTGTGCTTGGCCTTACGACGGCTCAAGACCTCGTGGTAGACCTGGGAACACCTCCGCGTGTACATTACAAAGAAGACGATAGGATGAAGATTCATTCACAGGACGCAGTGGAAGAGGACCCGGAACAGGATTGTGAGACCGTTATAACTGTGACCTGTACTCTACAACCGGATCTAATGACCTCCAGATTTCTACAATTACTTCCAGTATGGTATGGACATCCTCATCTCGGGGGATACCCACAATGTGAAGAAGATCGTACTCCACACGAACGTGGTCAGTACCAGCAGCAGTGCAGGGTATGGCTGTTGTACTCAGAGAGGATTGACTGTAGCCCGGCACCCCCCTCTTTCAGAGGTATAAGCGTTGTCCCTGGGAGATAGAGAGCCCACCAGAAGACGACGAGGACGGTAACGCGCCTTGGCGGTTGATGTGGACCAGCCTGACTCATATCTTGTATCAGATGCACCGCCGCGCAAACCATTCTATGAGCGAGTGAGTACCATCTTCGCATCGCGTTCCCAATACTGCTGACGTGATGCAGTTCGAGACCATAAGCCACTTTCTCAGCCCGCGGGAGCAACCGCCTTCGATGCTGCTTGATCGCACGGATGAAGAGGAAGGCGTCATGCTGCCGAGCTCGCAAACGCGTATGTTCAATATGGGATTGTAAACAACGTATCAACTAAACATCGCTTGCTCAGATTTATTCGGTTATAATGGTGTTGTGCTTGAAGTGACGGATTCTGGCAGAGTCGTCGCTGTTATGCTATTTTGACACACAGATCTACTCTGCACCCATCGAGGCCACGCTAGTGCATACACATCTAGAATACACATCCCTTGTAGTTTATAGTCTGGTGTAAACCGTTGACAGATCAACCCGGTTGGCCAGTTTATGGCACATCTGACACGTCTAGCAGTACACGTACCGGTCGTTCTAGTCCGTCCTGACTACATCCGGCCAAAGAGTTCGCAGCTCCTCTAGCTCCGCAATGACTCTAACCCCTCGAACTTCTTCATCAGTGACTCCGTCAAGTCTCTCGCCATCAATCTTTTTGATGACCCCCCCTTCCATCATTTCTAGTCCTCTCTCGACGAAATGAACACATCGGCCAAAGCCGAGCTTCGATGCGGCCTCTACGTTGGCACGATTGTCGTCTATGAAGAAGCATTTCGCAGGATCTACTCCCCCTACTGTCGCAAGGGCCTATAGTTCCTGTCAGCATGGAACATGCGCCAATCTCAGGGAATGGTACCTCATGGTAGAATTCGACTTCAGGTTTACAAGAGAAATTTGGTCGTGCATAGTCACAAGAGTATACTCCTTCGAACAGATCGTCTACTCCCAGGATGCGCAGGACGCGGTATGCATGCTACACACATTACAATCAGACGGCAGCCCAAAGCGCTACGAAGTGAATCATACCGTTTTGTATGCGTTCGTCAAGGCCCATACACGCGCTTTGCTTCGATCAATGTCCTCTAGTAACTTGCGCAATTTCGGGTCCGGCTTGATCATTTCTTCTAGAGGCAGTGCTCCGTCGCACTTCTCATTGAAGTCGAGAGGGTCTGCAGTCAAGTGTGATCCATGAGTATCAATAGTAATATGCTGGAATATCGTATGCTTCACCAACATCGTGATGACGTACAAGCCCGCGAACCGCAAGCCCGTACTTGGTATAGTATTGTAGGTGTAAAGCTGACGCTTCTTCCTCGGGGAAGCCGAGTGAGACGTAGTAGGCTGGACACATATGAGAAGGATTTTGGTAATCCCCTTGGGCAAGCGTACCGTGTATCCTCTCGCCCATTGCTTGAGAAATCTTAGAACTAGCAGAGTAAAGTGTGTTATCGATGTCGAAGAAGATCACGTAGCGATCGTCGGAGGCCATGGCTTCACACAAGATAGGAGTGATGCTGGCGCTGTGGTCGAAGGTGAATAGCCGCAGATTTGGAGTCACTGGGGACGAACGTTTTCATAAGCGAGGTCCCGGAGTGATTCCAGCCGGTGCAGTTCAATGATCTTCAATGATTGATCTTCATTCACGTGACTTGCACCACACCTTCGCAAGCTCGCTGTACGCCCGTCCGCACCTCAAGGACAAGATCGACTGAACACTGTGAGCTCATATCTCTATTTTTCGGTCTCCGAGCTGCTGCAGAATGCTGCTTTCACGATGGGTCAACGAAATCTGTGTAGAAGAGTGAGGATTGGGATGGATGCGGTCGACGAGGCTTAGATGAAGCGGCAGCGCGGGACGGACGGCCTTACACCTATTCGTTACTGAACACCTCGTTCCAGATGGCCCGCAGCAAGGAAATCGCCCCGGGCGTAGGTCGCCTCTCCCGCTCCCAGGTCTTCGCCAAGCGAGGCCTCTTCAAGGGCGTCAAAAAGTCCGAAACCAAGCCTGCAGCGGAGACCCCCGCGTACAAGGAGGTTCCGGTGAAGGGCGAGAAGAACGGCGGTACACGGCTTGTCCCCACATCGAAGGCGTCCCGTTTCTACCCCTCAGACGACGTCCGACAGCCCAAGAAGAGCCGCAAGGTTGCGAAGCCGACGAAGCTGCGGTCATCCATCACTCCTGGCACTGTCCTCATCCTCCTCGCGGGTCGTTTCAGGGGGAAGCGTGTGGTCTTCTTGAAGCAGCTCGACAGCGGCCTGCTCCTGGTTACCGGTCCATACAAGGTTAACGGCGTCCCTCTCCGTAGGGTCGCTCAAGCCTACGTTATTGCCACTTCTACGAAGGTGGATCTCGGCGACTACAAGGTGCGCATTATCACCTGCCAACTATGTCCACTTTTCTGATGATTTGTACCATGCTCAGGTTGACGAGAAGATCAACGACGCTTACTTTGCCAAGCCATCGTCCAAGGCAAAGACATCCGCGGAGGAGGAATTCTTCTCTGAGGGCAAGCCCAAGGAGAAGGAGGCGTTCCCCGAGTCGAAGGCGGCGGACCAGAAGGAGGTTGACAAGGCCGTCATCGCCGCCGTTGCCAAGACGGAGAACCTCGCCAAATACCTCAAATCGACGTTCGGACTTTCCAAGGGACAGTTCCCCCACGAACTGGTCTTCTAGTCGGTCGTTAGTGAGGGACGGGGTAGTCGGCCATCTTCACGATATGCTGTTCCATGATCGATCTATGCATCACAAAATGCACGTTTATATGGCAATTTTTGTACTATTTTCTCCTGAGGATCTGCCTGCGTCAAGATGGACAAGACACTTAACTCGACTCGATGATGACCACCTGGTGGTCGTGGAAGTTCACGTGCACACACCAAACGCAGTATACTTGAACAGGATCCCTTCCGCACTTCTGATGCTCACTCTACGAGCTCGTGCTGCCGGCTTCCGCTCTAGGCTACCTCCACGGCGATATGGTCTACCAACGTCCCAACGCAAGAGAAACTTTGTGACCGTTCAACAGCTCACTGAAGGGTTCCTGGACTTGGCCATCGCGTTACCATTGCCGCCCGAATGGCCACCTTACTCTAGCACAATCATTGCAGTGACCCTCGTTAGCCGCTTGCTGTTCACATTGCCAGTGTCAATATGGGTGAGACCCGTCAGATATCCCTAAGTGTTACGATGCCTGAACATTTAGCCAGGCGAAAAAACGGGATTGGCGCTTGGAGGAGGAAGTGATGCCGGAGCTGAAGAAGGCGCAGGCAGTGGCGTCAAAGGTAGTATATTCCCAAATGTCTGCGGCCAAGGAGGCGGGGACGAAGGAGCAGCTGAAGAAGACGCATGCTGAACGCGTACGGAAACTGGTATGATATCGCCGTTCGGTGTCTACTCTGTCACGTTGACCCTCCATGTAGGTGAAGCGAACGCGGGACGAGTTACTCCGAAAACACCGCTGCACGACCCTACCTACCGTGCTTATTCCCGCCATCACGCAGATACCGATATTCGTGGGACTGTCGGTCGTGTTCAATAGGGCATGCCAAAGGCCCACCCCGCTGGACTCCGAATCCTTTGGGACGTTGACGTCCTTGGTCCATACGGATCCCACCATGACATTTCCCATCATTCTGGGCCTGCTCACCCTCGCCAACGTGGAGTCAGCAAAGTGGAACCTCAGTCCGGAACGTCGAGAGCGCGAAGCCAAAGTCGAGAAGTGGGTTGCGGAGAAACGGGAGAAGGGCGAGATGGTTGTACGGCCTGCTAACGCGATCCGGACGGGACTCAGGCTGGTGTCCGTGGCGAGGATAATTGTGGGAGCGCTCGTCCCTGGTGTGAGTCGTTTATGCTTGTGCTCGCGGGACAGGGAAATTCCGGGCTGACGTCGTACTCAGGGCGTTCTCGTCTGTTGGGTTACTTCCGCCGCCTTTGGTCTCGTCCAAACCTGGGGCTTCGACTGGTGGGAGCGGAGAAGACGCTTGCGACTTCTCCCAACAAGCACGACTTCATCTCCGCCTCCTTCTTCCACCGCCAACGACCCGCAAAGGAAACGGTCGTAAACCAAGTTGTGAGTGCGCGCTCAACGGCGAATCCGCGTATGACTTGAAATGTGGTTGGAGGGAACCTCTTCTTGGCTCGTTCTTCGGACAGCCTGATGGTGCCCCATGACTTCTCCTTGATCTAATCTGACGGTCTTTCATAATCCGCGCGATTGGCTTGATCTGACGACAATTTATAGGTTTCCTCAGATCCGATTTGTGGGCAATACAGATTAATATAGCTTCTAATATCCAAGCGGATGCCATTCGAGTGTTCTCGAACGCGAGGTCGCAACTTCTTTCTATTGGTGTGCGCCGCTCTTTTCCGACGACGGTGCACGCTCCTCTAGTTGGGAATGCCCGTCTCTCCTCGACGTGAAGCGGCCGACCCCAGCCCACCACGCTATCCGCGGGATCATTAATGTGAAGCCGATGATCAAGGTCGTCCACAGCATGGGACTCCAACGTTCCGGATGCCATTTCTCATCCCCTAACGCCCATATTGTCACCACCGTATGGAAGATATCGCCCATCATCAGCGGGCCCAGAAGGGCCGCGACGATGCGCTCCTGCACGATGGGCTGCGTTGCGAGGTATTTTCGTGCCGCGGTGAGGAGGAAGTAGTTCACGGTCCCCATCAGCGCGCAAACGTGTGCGAGCTGCGCGACGGTTACGAGCGTGGCGCGAGGTAAGGGATTCGACGGTGGGGTGTTATGTGGCCATGGAGCTTGCATGTCGTGTGTCTGTCGGCACGACCGGGCAATGAGTCGCTGTGAAACTGAGACAACTGGCGACGCCGTTGCTGCTCACCTTCTTTGGATCGAGGAATGCACCGAGCATACCCATGATGCACATAGCCGGTTCGTAGAACGCGAATATAGCATAATATACGTCTGGTATCGCGGAGACGGTGGGTGTCATGATTGCTGGTGAAACTCGAGGACCACTTCACGGAGTCTCTTATACCGTTGAGCACAAATGATCGGGGGAACACTGGGAGAAGGTGTCGGAGAGAAGTCTACAAGCCTCGTATTCTTGCAGGACCAAGAAGCCTCGAGGGAGAGTAGGCTCAGGTGATGTTGTGCCTTGTTGTACGCGTCAAGGCTCTTATAGTGCTGGGAGATATGCTGATCCGAAACTATTTACGGTGCAGAGGCCGAAGTGGAACGCTGTGTAACGCCGCGTAAAGTCGATTTGACTAGTGCCATCAGTAGCATAGCCACTGACAGGTCGATATGAACGTGGTGTTGGGTGCTGAATCTCCCGATAGCGAGTATAGGTCCACGATGCAGCTTTATGAACGGAGACAAAGAGGGAAATCTACCGCCGGTCGACGCAGGACTCTTGCAGCGAGATCCTGGACATCTGAACCAGGATAGCCTAAGCTTATCCCCGTGAGGTGGACCAAGATTGACCGGAACTGCCGCATCACACGCGTTGTTGCCGATAACGCAGTGGCACCTGAGTGGGGCACTTCCACTGCGCTTTTTGGTAGGAGGACAAGCCGCCGAGGCCGGTATGGTGTAGATTTCTTCCCGATAGAGGAGCTGCGGACGGAAGTAAATGCAGACGCCAAGTACGGTGCATGTGGACGAGATCCCACGCACACAGAACGTTGAGAGGGTTCTGTCTTGCAGGTGCATCTTGAACCGCATTGGGGCAGAATTGGGCCATAACACAATGCAGAGGCATGAAGCCCGCGATTCCTGGACTTTGCCTAGGTGGGTTGGGGTTTGATTGCAGCCTGTCGGGCCGGTCCAGAGAGTCGTGGCGAGGATCATATGGCACATTCAAGGAAGTCCGCGCCGCGGTCTGTTGTCGTGGTTCTGAGCTGGAGTGAGGAACGAACGTAGGCGCAAGAACGTAGTCTATGCGCGCGCGGGCGTTGCGGTGGCGGTGCATTCTCTTCCTCGCCATCCGCACCGTCCGCTACCGAGTCTAGCATACGGCGAGCTCGCACAGGGCCGCCGTAACTCGTATTTTGCACAACAGAAACTAGTACCAACACTCTTTAATAATTAGTCTCAAATTGAACCCCCCGGTGAAAGCATCATGCCACGTATCGACGTTAACCCACATGAACAGGTCGCTCCGAACTTTGCAGGGGCTGCCTTCGCCGCCTGCAGGCAATCCATGAGCAATCAAGATGGCTTGACGGACGAGCAAGCGGCGCAAGCCCTTCTAGACGCGTGGACCAACGACATCAATCAAGAAAAGGCCGCGTGGGACCGGCAGGTCGAAGAGGACCGGGAAGCCGCACGCCTTGCGGAGAAGGAGAGGCTCGAGCGCGAGGCAGCGGAAAAAGCCGAAGAGGAGAAGGAGGCCGCGAAGAGTCGGCCCAAGGTCCCGATACACATTAAGGACCGAATGGTCGGTCACGAGTCCGCCCCGTCAACCGACGACAAGGCCCTCAAGAAGCTCCGGGCGTATAAGTACATCGAGATGTGGTTCTTCGGAGCCGAGGGGCGGCGCAGAGCCACGGAGGACGCGCTATCGAGCGGAGACGACGCCTTATACCTGGCCCGGGACGGCGAAGGGGTAGCGCTGCGGCAGACCGCGCCCAGCCGGATAGCGAAGTATTGCATTCCGGACCGAGAGCTCACGTGGAGAGAGTTCTCCATCGCGAAGACCGGGCTCCTAGAGGACATGGCCAGAGTCGGATGGCCGAAGAACATCGTGCAAGACTTCGTCGACTTCTTCTTTGCGATCGACAACCATCCGAGTCGCTTCGAGGGTCCGCACGGGGACCCATGCCTTCTCCTCTATCAGGAGGAGGTTCGGAAACTCTGGCACCTCCAGTACGAACGCAACCCCGCAGAGATTTTCAACCCCGCGATCTTCAACAACGAGCGGCTGCAGCGTTTGACGCGGAAGTACCTGAACATACAAGCCAGCGAGGCCAACTATGCGTGCGTCCCAATCTCTCGTTTTTTCTCGCGATTACCCTCGCTGATGTTTCTTCGTTCTTCCTTTATCTGTCCGTCGACGACGTCACTACGTCTTATCGCGACTCCCATCGGGACGCGATCACTATCGCACCACGCGACCTCACGTTCCCTCAACGTGTACACGCGATCACTATCGCACCCGCACGCGATCACTATCGCATCCGCGCGCGCCCTCCCCCGCACGCCCACCGGCCGGGGTACGCCTTCATCGCACCCGCACCCGATTGTGCACCGAAACGCCTCCCCCCCCCTGCCGCGCACACTCGGCGTCGCACAGCATGCGAAGAGCTGCACCAGCAGCCCCAGGGGGACCAGAGCGGAATGAGAGAAGGCGCTCCGCAAGGCCGACGGCCCCATACGCGCGCAGCGAGGGAGATCGCAACGGGCGCGAAAGGGATCACCACGGCAAACCGCAGTCTTTTCGCCAGGGCACCAGCGCCAGCGCCCACGCGCCGTGTGCCCTCTGCCTCGGGCGGCACCCCCACGAGGTCCGATCATGCAGGTCCCGGACTCTCTGGGACGGAAAGACGAAGGCATACGCCGCGAGGGACGCCAAAGGACAGCTGGTCGACCCGAGCGGCAGAGTCCTCTGCATCGATTTCCAGGTACGCGGATGCAAGCGCGACTCGCACGCCGACGCCTATCGTCACTCCTGCTCGGGATGCGGCAAAAGCAGCCACGGCGCTCGCGACTGCCATCTCGCAGAGGGCCAGTAAGGCACTCACGCCGCTGCGAGCCGGAGCCTGGCACCACTTGCTCGCACGTAGCAGCCTCCTGTACAAGTATCCCATTCTCTCTAGCTCCATTCAACACGGCTTCGATGCGGGCATTCGCCCGCCTACCTTTACATTCATTCCATCTAATAACATATCCATTGCCGAGCACCGCGAAGAGTTTGATGATATCATTCAGAAGGAATTCCGGAAAGGGCGCTACCTCGGCCCCTACTCGAGGAGCGAAGTCGAAGAGGCACTGGGGCCGTTCCAATCATCGCCGCTATCTATCATCCCGAAGCCGCACAACCCGGCCAGGTTTCGACTCATCCAGAACCTTTCTTACCCATACCACCCGCGAGAGCGCGTCTCCTCGATCAACTCCGCCATCGACGCCACAATGTTTCCTTGCACATGGGGAACGTTCGCCGCCGTGGCGCTGTCGCTGGCACGGCTCCCGCCCGGCTCGCAGATTGCGAGTCGCGACGTGGCTGAAGCCTATCGCACCATACCGATCACGCCCGATCAGTGGCCGGGCCTGGTGGTGCGAATCGGCGAGGGAGACGCATTCGCAGTGGATACTTGTGACTGCTTCGGCCTGCGATCAGGCTGCGGGATATTCGGCGCAGCCGCAGACGCCTTCGCAGACCTGGCAAGGGAGGGCGGCATGGGCCCGGTATCGAAATGGGTCGACGACTTCATTTTCGCGCGGGTCCGACGCAGCTGCCTGGAGGAATACAACCGCAGGCGCCAGGGCTGGAAGCGCAGCATTGCGCAGCACGGGGGCGCGCGTCAAGATCGGAGCCGCCTATGGTACGGCGGGGCAGAGCTTCCGGACGGTCGCATCGAGGAGTTCGATGATGACATGGCCTTTCCGCTGCGCGACCTCTCGCAGACATCCGAACGTTCGCAGGCGGATGCAGAATTCTGCTATGCCATGTGTGATGTCGATCGCCTTTCCGAGGAGCTTGGTTGGCCGTGGGGCGCGGACAAGGATCATCAGTTCGCGGAGGTCGCGCCGTTCACGGGTTTCGATTGGGACGTCCAGTCTCGTACGGTCGCCCTGGGCAAAGGGAAACAGGTCAAGTACATTCGCGCCATTCGGGACTGGAACGCGCAGCGAACGCACACGCTGGACGAAGCGCAGAAGCTCTTCGGTAAGCTACTGCACGCGTCCCTGGTGGTCCCCGAGGGAAGAGCTTACCTCACCGAGCTGGAGACCATGCTCGGTGTCTTCGGTGATCGTCCTTTCCAGCCACATACCCCACCCAAGGGCACAATGGCCGCTCTCCAGTGGTGGCTGGGCACCTTACAGCGAGCCGTACTCAGGCGGCCCATCCCCGGGCCCGTCGAACTGTTCGACTCCGGAGGATATTCAGATGCGAGCTCCGGAGTGGGCATCGGAGTGGTGGTCAGGGGCCGCTGGAGGGCCTGGAGGCTCCTCCCAGGCTGGGACGAAGGCGGCAGAGAGATCGGATGGGCCGAAGCCGTCGGCTTCGAGCTACTCGTTCGGATCATCAACCTCCTCGACGACGCAGGCGCCAGGCACATCAAAGTCTACGGAGACAACCGAGGCGTCGTCGAAGGCTGGTGGAACGGGCGAAGCCGTAATCGCCACGTCAACGGAGTGTTCAAGCGCATACACGCTGAGGCCGTCATCACAGGGCATACTTTTCATACAAGATATGTCACCAGCGCCCGCAACCCCGCCGACGCGCCCTCGCGAGGAATCTACCCCCCACGAAGCCTGCTGCTCCCTCCCTTACCCCTACCCGAGGCTCTCACAGGACTTCTCATCGACAGCTCGGAGCCACTCACGCAACGCGAGCGCGAGGCCAGGAGCGAGGGTCGAGCGTACAAACCCCGGCCAAAGGAGCAGAACAGCGGCGAGGCCGTACGGAACTCGATTGCGCAGGCCGACCTCGAACAGCGCAACGAGCAATTCGCGCGAGCAAACTTCGGCGAATGGTGACCGCGAAGCAGGGGCGGCGCGCCCGCAAGTCAGCCTTCGTCCCGCGTGCCCAGCCAGCCAGCGTTTGTTACTATGGACACCCGCAGGAGGCCGCACGACTTTCGGAGCCGACGGGCAGCCCTCCGGATTGGACCAGCGCGACCTCGATCGGGTGCGCGAAGTGATGGCCCAGGCGCTAGCCCCGTCAACCGCAGAGACCTACGGCGCGGGGCTAGTCGCATTTCATGCGTTCTGCGACGAGCGCCGAATAGCAGAGGAGCAGCGGACGCCCGCATCGGCGACACTAATGCTCGCTTTTAGCGCCGCGCTGGCCGGCCTGTACGCGGGGTCGACGGTTGCGAACTACTTCTACGGCGTCCGAGCATGGCATCTCATCCACGGCGTCGTCTGGGACATGGACGACGCAGCCATGCAGTCCATGCTGAAGGCGACAGTCAAGCTAACTCCCGCGGCCTCGAAGCGCAAGAAGCGAGAGCCGTACACCGAGGATCTTATTCGCGCAATAAGGCAGCAGCTTGCCGTGGACCAGGGCCTCGACGCCGCAGTATACGCCTGCCTAACAATGGCGTTCTACGCCTGCGCGCGTGTAGGCGAGCTCACCGTGCGTAACCGCAGCAGCTTCGAACCCGGCACACATGCCAAGCGCGCTGACCTCGGGCTCGCCGAGGATCGGAATGGACTGCAGCAACAGACCCTACAGCTGCCGCGGACCAAGTGCGCCGTCGGCGGGGAGCAAATCCATTGGGGACAGCAGGACGGGATCACAGACCCCGTCGCCGCCCTCGCAAATCACCTCCGCGTCAACAGCCTGGGCGACAACGAGCACATCTTCGCATACAGGGCGCGGAACGGGCAAGTATGGCCGCTCACGCGCAAGGCCTTTCTGGACCGCATCCGGGCCGCCACCAGAGCAGCCGGCAGAGCTCCGCTCCAGGGGCACGGCATCCGAATCGGTGGGACTCTCGAATACCTGTTGAGAGGCGTCCCATTCGAGGTCGTCAAGACCAAGGGGCGCTGGGGAAGCGAAGCCTTCCTAGGGTATCTCAGGAAGCACGCGGAGATCCTCGCCCCCTACATGCAGGCACGGCCGCAGCTGCAAGCTGAGTTTATCCGATACGCCATGCCTCCGGTTCGTTGACGGTAAGCACCGCTCCTATCCGGCGGGGTTCGCCTGCGCGACGCGTCGCAGTGCTCCTACCACTGTGGGTATCGCGGCTCACACACCCCGCACAGATCCCCGGACCGGAACGCCCCCTTCGGGGGCATTCGCCCGTTTCTCACCAACTTACAAGTAGTCTAATCAGTTTAGTACCACGCGGCTCAGACTTAATTGTATATACCAATTTAAGTGCTCCGTTCTCTGACCCTGGGAACACGCAACAAAGAGACGGCATAGATCGTGGTTCTGAGCTGGAGTGAGGAACGAACGTAGGCGCAAGAACGTAGTCTATGCGCGCGCGGGCGTTGCGGTGGCGGTGCATTCTCTTCCTCGCCATCCGCACCGTCCGCTACCGAGTCTAGCATACGGCGAGCTCGCACAGGGCCGCCGTAACTCGTATTTTGCCACCCGCCCACCCAGCTCCGACGCGATGCACTGGGGACAACAGCTCAGCCAGCGCAGGCGCCATTCGCAAAAGCAACTCACAAGGTCACGTGTGACGATAGCACGGACATGCGTGGCAGAACAAGGAGCAGCTGGAACAGGAAACCGGAAGCCGCAGGTAGCGGCATATCAGGCGCCAATAGTAGGTGAGCCCGGGGAGGTCCGAGCACGTGCAGATGGCCCCAGCCAGCTTCGAGCCGGGAGAGGGGTACACGGCAGAGGAGGGCGCCGCTGACGGAGCAGCTTCAGGCAAGGCCGGAAGGGGATAAAGAGCCCGCAGGGGGCGCAGCCCAGTGTAAGGCCGGTCCCTCCCCAGGACGTCGGCAGGCCCTAGGACTAATGGGTCTCAGCCTGGGTGAGTCGCCTGAACAACGGAAACTCACACTCGTAATGCATAACACGGCAGCGCGGATTATCCAGGTGAACATAATGAGGAACCACACGAGCGCAAAGATGTTCAGCGTAGAACGCTTCACCAGGAGGGATGATGAGGCCCCCAGGAGGGAGGGGCCAGTTCACCGGAGAGGAACGAGCGACTTGGGAGTGGGAAGACATAGAAAAAGAGAGTGAAGGGGAAGGAGCGGAAACGTCACCCTCGAGAAACTTATAGGATTGTGAACCGCGGCGAACACACCGCCGCGGATCAGAGTTCCAGTGTCACATCGGGGAGAAAGAGCGCTCTCGAGCAAGAAGAGGATAGCACCGGAGGAATATGTATGTAAAAGGTGCCATAACATGACAGACCGTCAGCCATTTGTAGCCCCTGCATTTCTGGGGTCCGGGAATTAAGCGAGGTTCACTTTCAGGGTTGCATCCCACCCTCCACGCCTCATGTGTTGACCCTGCCCGCCCATCGCGGCTCACACACCCCGCACAGATCCCCGGACCGGAACGCCCCCTTCGGGGGCATTCGCCCGTTTCTCACCAACTTACAAGTAGTCTAATCAGTTTAGTACCACGCGGCTCAGACTTAATTGTATATACCAATTTAAGTGCTCCGTTCTCTGACCCTGGGAACACGCAACAAAGAGACGGCATAGAGATGTATCGATGAGTTGCAAGGCACGCAATCGCGGCCGCGGACTGCAGCCCAATGCCGACAGCGAACTCCGCAGCGGAAGAACAGACACACTCCCACAAATTGAGCGGCAAGCCTGTATCCGAGTTCGATTGTCCTTGGCCAAGCGAGCAACATCCATGCTCATCCACCGTCTTGTACGTTGTTGAGCTCGCCTTGGAACGTACTAGCGATATGGCGTGCGGTGATCGCGACGGTCGGGGCGCAAACGAACAGTCACATCGTGCGAACTGGCTTATGCTTCCACGACACTCTTCATAGAGGAAGAAAGTCCGGTGTGCGTAAAGGAACCGCTCGGAACGGAAGCAATCTCAAGTGCAAGTAAGCAGTCGTCCTTCCAAGCTCACGCCTGCGAGACGTGCCTCCGTACGCAATCAGCATCCGGTCAAGGGTATTCTATACAACGCTCGTTCTCATTCATGCTTTCATTACACACAAGGATGTAGCCTAGATACCTGAACCCTGAACCCGCCCGACCGACTCATCGACTCGCGTGCACTGAGTTCTATAAATATCCCGGTACCGCAACCCGTCGATGTTGTGGTACGCAGCGCGCTGTACGACACATGTACATATGGAACGAACAAAGAGCGGCTAGGTCGGAGCCATTAACTAACGGTACGTGTGCGTGACGCGCGTTAAACATGAGGGGATGAGCTTCGTAGGTGGCCGCGCCAGGACGCCCGGACAATCCCAAGGGGAGGGGCGCGGGAGGAGGTGGCGCCGAAGGCTGAGCGGGATGGAGGAAGCTGGAAACGGATCCGCACAGCGCCTAAGCGCGGGGGGCGAACGATGCGAGGCGAGAATGCTGGACGCGGGCTGTCGCCGGAGGTGTATGCGGTACCTTCCTCCAGGCCTTGTCAGCCCCCGCAGCGCAGTCGATGAGCCGGAACGACGTCATCGAGAAGGCGCATGCGAATGGCGCCACGTCCAGAACGCCGAGAGCGTGTACATTGCCCGAAGTATCGCGCCGGGTTGTCGCGAATTATGGCACGAGGAAGAGGAGGAGGACGAAACCGTATCGGTCATGAGCACGAATAAATAATGCAATATTGGAATGATGTGTTGCCGCGTGCGAATATCGAGGATGAGTGGATGGGTCGTGTCGGATGCGCGTGGATGTGTAAGAAAAGTGTAGGTGTAGGTGGCCATGGTGGAGTGATCGTGATGACGTCTAGCATGTCTTGTCTAGACCTGCGGGAGGGTGGGACTATGCGTCCGATGCCTCCCGCTGCTGTTTTTCCCGAACGAGTATCTCCAGTTCCCGTTCCCGTTCGCTCCGGGCACGTTCCCTCGAGCGCGATGGTAATCGGATCTTTATTCGCCATTCCTGCACCCAGCCCCACCGCTCCGTGCCTTCCGCTTCCACGGTCCGACCTGATTCGGAAGAGGACAGCTTGGAACCCTGCGAGCCAAGGAGTGCACTCAAGCGTTCACGGCCTAATATCGGCGCCAACGAGAGCACGGAAAGGAAGACGAGCTTGATGATCAGAGATGGGGAGGATAGGAGGGACGATATGGACTGCGGCGTCGGCGAAGGTTGGGACGCGACCGTTTGCAGTATGTCGCCGATCTGCGAGAAGCACGAACATTCAAAGTCAGCACTGGGTTCCGACGGAATAAACCGGGTTGGAGGGAAAAAAACGTACTTGGCATGTCACGGCCGTCCACGGGAGAGTACCAATGAACGTCCCGAGCGCGCAGTCGTACAACGACACGCCGCAGACGCCGCAGGCAATGTTGATGCCGGACCACGGAACGACGCCAATCAGGCGCAGGATCGAAAGTCGGACCCAGGCCGCGCCTCGTTGTTTGGTGCTGATCCCTGAATCAGAGGGTCCCTCCAGCGCTGTGCGACCCATCTCGAGCACTCTTGGGAAGAACGCCGTAATCAGCGGCGCCAATGGTGTGGCGAGGAGCGTCGAACAGATGGAACCGATGGTAGTCAGCGCTGTCAGAAGCAGTGTGCCGAACACAGGAGTGAATAGCACGCCTGCAAGCACGTTCTACAAGTGAGGACAACGACGGATACGCAGCGGTCAAAAACGGGTATCAGGAAGTGATATAGTGGCGTGACTCACCCACAGTACACTGCCTGGTACCGACCAGGCGTGTTTCCAGATGGCTGTGACGGCCATGACACCGATAACGTGGGCGGTCTCCGCATTTCCGGCCTGCGAGTATGAACGGAGTTCGCGGGCAAGTTGTGCGAGGTCGCCTATCGTGTGCGGCCATGAGACGGTGATGGGGAGGGTGGAGAGCGTGTAGAGAACAAGGGCCGTGGAGAGCGGGAAAGCCATAATCACGAATAGGATAGGCGCGTGGATCTATTCACGGACATAAGCAGCGATCCCATGCATAATGGTTCAGCGTTGCTCACCGAGGGGGAGGAGAGCCAGCGCGAGGACGATGAAGGGCCGGCAGCAACTTTCTTCTCGACAAATACATCTGCAAAAGTGGTCTGCTCCGGCGAGGCAGACATGGGCAAAATCGTGTCGGTGCTGGATCGGGGCGAAGACGACGCCGTGGTCCAGTAGCCGTCCGGATGGGCGATGTGCAGCAAGCTGAGGGCCCTCGAGGTCCACTTCTCGAGCATGCCGGCAGAGATGCTGGTGTTCATCGCGAGCGGCTCCTTTTCAGACAGCTCTGGCAGGGACTGCGCTGCGGGGATGCTGATGGGGCTAGGAGGTCTGAATGCGGGCGCAGTCGGGGTGCCATCCGCCGCGTCCGAGTCTTTGCATAGGAAGGAGGCGCGTGGGCCCAACGAGCTGAGGGTGAGAGCGGGGCGCATGTTGGTAGAGGATGCGCGGGCGCGTGAGGCGGGCGGGGGGACGAGCGCGCCCGCGGTGGTGGATGGGATGGGCATCGGGCGCTGCCTCGAGTCGAACAGATGTATGGCAGCTTGGAAGCGGGATCCGGGTTCGGACTTGTTATGGTCCTCCCAGACATGGCTGACATCAGCCGATGACCGACGCGCCTCTGCCGCAGCGCCACCACCGCATCCCTCGGCTCCAACCGTCCTCGACTCGGCCCGACCTGCCCTGTAATGCTCAGAACGCTGGCATATCCAGCGTCCTCGATTATCCTGCTTACGCTCCACAGATTGCGGCGCTGCTCGACACGGAGGACGAGGATCAGCTATCCCGTTGAGAAAATATCTGGCGCGAAGCCGCGCGTTGGGTAAACATGCTGACCGAGTCCTCCGAGAGAAACGCGTCGCCCGGCATCGGGACCATCGGGTCAAGACGCTGTAGTCAAAAGAACCTTCATTTGGCCGCGTTCCCGGATGCGATCGCGCACAGCAAGCAGTCTTACGAAACCAAACACACGCTCGCTCACATGATGCCCGTTCTGAGATCAGCGCGGTCAAAGATGAAGAGTGCGCGATCATGGTTATCCCCACAGGGTGCAATGCAGTAACGCAGTAAAAGCAAAGCGATACATGGGAGTAACGCGCAGCATAATTCATACACTCTTTTTGCATGACATGGTGGCAGTGATGGGTAGGCGCAGAGAGCCTCCCGAGAGGAAAGACAGCGAGATTTGACGAAACGCAGACACCCCATCGTCAAATCGTATGGTACGATTAGTGGGCCGCCCTCCTGCTCTCCTGGATGACGTTGCTGAGCTCCTCCAACTTGCGTTTCGAGCGAAGCATCGTGCCCAACTGGCAAACAAAGATGAGTTCATCAGCATTGCATTGGAATGGCGTAAAGTATAGAGGCCACGGGCGATGATACACACCCGCTTCTTCGTGAGCTTACGAGCCTTCTTGTCCTGGTGGAGCGCACGTAAACATCAGAATTGATCCAACATGAATCGAGACAAACCTTGGAGTTCCTCAGCAGTTCCATCACCCGGCGCTCGTAAGGCGCAAAGCCAACAACCTCCCGCACGATTGACCGCACGAACTTGGTGCGCTGCGAAGCGACACCCTTGCGGTGCGAGGGCTTCGCGACCTTGTCGATCTTGGTGGTCTTGTGGCCGTATTCAATGCCGAAGCGGTGGTCTAGTCAAACGTAGTCCACGAGCAAAGTAGTGTTCAACGGCAAGTGCAGATTATTTGAGGTAGACCGCATTGATGACGTTCACGAATTCATGCCGTGTTCGTCCAGAGAGTAGCGGAGCAAGTCCGAGATGCACAAGTTGTCCAAACGAGCATAGTTTCATCAAGCAAGATCGATCCATACGTAAGTCAAAGGTTCATTGTCCGTGGCATAATCATACGCACTAGAGAGAACCATTTTGTCGTCAGTCGGCGGTGTCTTGAGGGGATGGGGCGGCGAGGAGGAGATTGGGGACTGTGGGAACATATGTGGCTTGGTACTGCAAAAACGTGCGAAAAACTGTACCACAGCCCTCAATGCACGTTCAGTGTCAATAATTCAGATCGCAAGAACGTATGAATTCTCTACGTCGTCGGTAGGACGGCCCACTACTTCAAGCTGTGTATGTACAGGGAGTTGTATGGTACTACTGTATAATGAGATAAGAGGAGAGAGAGAGAAGGCAAACACGAGAACGGAACAGGCTCGCATCGAGCGCCACAATATCTGGGTGAGGAGGGGGGAGAGCTCAGAGGCATCGGGTCGTCGAGATTTGCCGTCGTCATCACATGGCATGCAGTGTCCTGTAGTCCGTAGCGGGAGCCGCTCTCCGAACAACCTGCACTTTGCCGGTCGAGCCGCCAGTCTGGTAGGGATAGGACGGTGCAGGCGCCATCTCGTCGCGCGGAGTGCGTGGCGGGATGCTCGAGGTCGGCGAGGTGATCGTGGAAGTGGGTGGGCCAGGTGGAGGGAGGGATGCATCGCGTTCGAATGCTGGTTCAAGGGGATGTCGCCGTGCACCCTTTCCCGGGATTCCGCTCCCTCGCGGATTATCCTCCTCCTCTTCTTCTTCCTCTTCGTCAGGATCTTCTCCGTCTCCAGCATGATCCTTTGAGTAACATAGCATTTGAGTTGAGAACGAGTGACCACAATCTAGAACCACTGACCGGATCGAAATCCTCCATGTGCCCATCTTCTGCCTCCTCCTCCTCGTCATACTCATCGTCCTCATCATCAATCCACCGTCCTCGCCAATCCACCTGGTCCAGCTGCTCCGGGCTCTCCGGCCGTAACCTCATCCACTGCATCCGCGGCCCACTCTTCGCACGTTCGCTCACTCTGAACCCATATATCTTCGGTACGTACACCCGTCCCGCCGCGCGCTTCTGGCCCCCATGCGGGTTTGGGTTAACGAAGGAGGGCGCGGCGGCGCCGGGCTGCGATGGGTGCGCAGATTGCGCGTGTTCGGAGCCAGACGATGCATCCCCAGGAGAGAGGGAGGACCCTCCAGGGGAGGACGGCTTCCAGAACGGCGCCGGTGCGAGTTCACGGTAAGACTGGAAGAAGAGGTGCGCGAATGTGGTTCCGAAAAACGCGCCTAAACGCGACGAGTCCGCGTCAGGTACAGCCGCGAGGGAGAAGAACGATAAGAGTGTGCTTACCGTCTACGCCCTGAAACCTGCTGCTTGGGGGCGCGTATATGTCGTTGCAGTTCGGACAATAGAGCTTCACCGTGTCCATTCCGGCGATGTCTGAACGTCCGCACGGAACCACAGGCCACCCCTGGCAGTACACTCTCGGACACGAGCCGAACATTCCCTGCTCATATTTCTCTGCCTACGCCGCGATCCGATTCAGTCGAGGGCCTACAGTCCACGTTTGCCAAGCACGTACCATAGCCTGCAGACCCGCACGTGTGAGGATGTAACGTTGGTGAACCAAACCATAGAGCAGTTCCGCAGAGGCCTCTACAATGGACACGTCCGGTATCTTGGACGAGTCCTCATCTGCGAAATTATACAGCCAATATCAGAATCCGGGGCGTCGAACAGAGGTGGCGTATGGGTTCACCGGGTTCGACGTCTAGAACCATCTCCATAGCTTCCTTCCAGAATGGGACCATCGCGTTCAGACCAGTGAGGTTGAAATCGTCTTCGATAAACTCTTCCGCGACCTCGCAAAAGTACTCGTGTCCGGGCAAGGAGCAGAACCAGCTGATCCATGTCAACGTTGATGTTGGAGTGGAAGAAGCTGTATCACCGACATATCAGTTTACACGTCCCTTCGCAATCACCGCCAAGCAGATCAACCGATCCCAACGATACAAAGTCGCAGTGGAATGAGAACGCCCCGATGGTGATGAGACACGCACTGTATCCCTCCCCATCCTCGCCCTCCTCCATTTCTTCGTTCCCCTCACCGGGCCCGGTCACGGTCTCCTCCTCTTCGAGCTCCCTTTGGGCCGCGTCGACCGTTGCATGCCGCGACATGATAGAAATGAAGAGACAAGAGAGAGTGGATGCACGTGGCTTCCGCGCGGTTCGCCACTGGTCGCGGCGACGAAATCAGGCTAGACTTTGAGTTGTCCACCGAGTTCACACTTCGTATCGCGTATGGGCGACTACGAGGCCGCCGCCATCCCAAGCGATGTGCAGGTCCAGTCTTCGGTCGGCGATGTGCTAGCTCAACGCGATGTTGTCGAGGAAGCTTCATCACTCGCCTCGATAGATCGCCCGCCAAGCGAACTAGATAACATCCCGGCGCCTAAGGTCTATCGCCCATTCTCTCTTCCAGTACTCGCTTTGCTGGCTCCGGCGTCCATATTCGGAACTCTCGCTAGACTGGGTCTATCAGCTTTGGTCACCTATGATGGGCAAAGCATCTTCTCGCTGGCTTACGCTCAAACTATCGGCTGTTTCATAATGGGATTCGCCTTAGAGTTGAAGGAGCCCCTCGGAGACTTGTGAGCTGGTTGGCATACACTGCGCGATATCCTGCTCATTTTGTGCAGCTACGGTCCGTTGTACACGGCAATGACGACAGGTACTAAATTTCAAACCGCCGTAAACCTGGAGTTTCCTCAATACGCGCAGGATTCTGTGGTTCTCTCACAACATTCTCGGGCTGGCAACAAGATATTTTCGACTCGTGGATCAATTCAGGCGACGCGCATCGAGATTGGCTCCGTGACGTAGGTATTAATTTGATGAAACATTGGAGGTGGCTGAAGGGGCCATAGGTGGTCGACGGCATCACAAAAACTGCTGGGACCTTCGGTCTTTCACTTGCCGCCCTCAAGCTAGGGGCACATCTTTCATCTCAAGTTCGCCCTCTCCTCCCGCGCATGCACCTCCCTGCACGGCCGGTGCGCTACAGCTTTACAGTCATTTCCGTGCTCATATATGCCGCTACCCTCCCCGCATACTTCAGGCTACCCGCCTCCTTCCGACATCAGGCCACCGCCGCGCTCCTCTTCTCATACCCCGGAACACTCACCCGATACTTTCTGTCGATCAAACTCAACCCGTTGTCGAAGGCCCTCCCGCTGGGAACCTTCACCGCCAACATGTTCGGCACGGCCCTTCTCGCCGCATTTCACGTTCTGCAGAACGTTTCTTCCTCGCCTGTGACGGACAGCGCGTGCGCCATTTTGCAGGGACTACTGGACGGCTACTGCGGCTGCCTCACGACTGTCAGCACGTTCGCCGCCGAGATTGCCTCGCTCGCGACGAGGAAGGCGTGGCGATATGCCTTGTTGAGCTGGGCTGGCGGCCAGCTGCTCATACTCGTCATACAAGGGCCTTCATTCTGGAGCGCTGGCGTTGATGAACAGCGGAGATGCAGTTTTGCATGAATAGGGGCACCACCATATGCATTCGCATATTTTGGGTCGGTGCTCCAGGGACGGTACATGAATAGGTGAGCCACCAGTCGCGTTCACGTCATCCGGATACTTGCTCCGAGGGCTTTGGCGAGAGGAAGATGCGTGTTGTATCCCCTGCGGGTAATGCCATTACCTTGCGGTTGAGCGGCGGCTCATTTCCGATCCTCCGCACCTAGTACGCATCAGATCCGTGGCATACATCCTCGCAGACTTTTTTTGCGTGTCGATCGACGATCTTCACCGAGCAAAAGGTTGCGTAACGTTTTTAATGGATTCGTTCATGTCATTTATATTTGCTTCTTCGGTTTCAGTCCGGCGCAATATACAGAGTATGTGCGACCCTAGGGCGTCACGCTCAGCCCTAAAAGATATGCGCAGCGATGCCAGACACAGTGTGGATACCCCCCGCCAAAGGACGTCGGGGGGAATCCCGCGCAGCGTCATCAGCATGCGCTTTGCGGATCGACAGCTGTCAGTCCATGGCCGACGTTGTTGCGTACATTCGCGTGGGCCAGCCGCTGTTATGGGGCGCACGCCGTACACTGCGTGTTTATTACTATATTCCACAACATGAAAACGAGTGTCCTCGCCGTTGCGATTTTCTCTGCGATGATTAGCATCGTAAGTACAGGGACGGGATGTCACCATCCAAAAGGTGGACGCATCTCTGCCTGAGCACATTGTTCATGGCAATTGGGTACACAGAGATTCGCAGCTGAAGGACGCGAACCGTCGCGAATCTTCCAATAGGATTTAGCAGAGTAGTCGACTACATCCGGACCCTGCAATATATAGCGACGGTTACGATGAGCGGTTGAATCCGAGACATTCGCCCACAAGTACGGTTACATAGACCGATTAAAACGCCCCGAGACGTTAAGCTATCGAGGAGCACAACTGTTCGACTCCGATGCAGCAGCGACCACCGACCAGATAGGTGGCCAATCGCGAGATGATAACATAAAGAAGGCGGATAGAGAGCTAATGCACGCTCGAAGGTCCCGGTTTGTTTTAAGGGTGGCGTTCACCCGCTGCTCTCTGTTGACTGTGTTCACGAGGCCGGGTATAGCCATCTGTAGCCGGTGCCGAAACATGAAAAGCCGCTGCTGTTCCGGCGTCACGACACAAGCTGAATTTGACCTTGAGCGCCGAAAGCTATGGATCTGGATCGCCGCTTGTTGGAGCTCCGGGCAACTCGTGCAGCAGGCGTGTCTGGTCAGATTGATATGGCGATGGCCAACTCTCCCTATCATCGGTCATGGGCTTCCATAAGAGGATGCTTGGACCACGGAGTCCCTAGTTACGGTGCTTGGAGCGGGTACGAAGACCGCCGGTAGAGACGACGTTTGGTCCTGTGAGGTGATTATGACTGAAGCCGTGTTAACGTCCCTACGGTTGTATCTCAATGCCCCATGCTCCTGATATGAATGCTGCTTCGATTCGCAGATAAGGAGAAGGATCGTTGTCTAGACTCTAGTACCCGAGCATACGCTTCCGCTCCAGAAATTACGACCAAGGCCGCAGGTCTGCCTAGGCCAATGGCACTGAACATTTCCGGGCACTGCGCATGCATCATGCTTCCCGAAACATGCAGAAACGCTTCAGGTTCCCCCGGGAGTCACCAAGTTGAGACTGTATCTGGGGAGCAAGCCTAATTATCGTTGGATGCCGTTAAGTATGTTCTCCAGTCACTCTTCGACTGCAGCAGATCGCGAAAGGGTCGCATATTAGTCCCTCCAACTGGCAGAGAGTCAGCCGTACTATGTTCATAGAACCAAGAGTATTCTCGCGAAAGAGGAGTTGTTGCGACGAGATAGCAATTACTTAGATGCTTCTCGGGCTGTAGTGCGGGTCGTTGAAGACGCGGCGTGACCGTGGGTGTTTGTCCCGAGATGAGCCGGAAGTTGCCCGGAGATGAACTACGCCGTGCACGCTCATGTCGGGCAAGCTTGGTCGCCTCTTGCTGTCCTACCACCGCCATAACGAGCTCTATCCCGAGTCCCGACCACTTGGCAAGGGCAAGGGCAGCTGGCCCGTACGCGCTCTCGAAGACGCGCGCTTCGTGATGGTCCACGATGATCCACGCGCCCCAAGCCGACCCCAACGTAAAGCATACAGCAGCTCGGCCATGGGGCCGTCTTCTGTTTGCCTCCTGGATCAGCAACTTGACCAATCTGTTATGTCAAGGTGGCTCAAGATTTCTTACTGGAGGCTTGATTGCGTCTCGTCCGCTTAGTTCGAACGCGCTCGGACCAGATACAGTCCGACCACCGAGTCTTCCTCAGGCACCTACGGAAGTGGGGTGTTGACATCTGGCAACGCCTCCTACAGGCTGAAGCGCAGGTCCGCGGAGCTCGGGCGATCTATCTACGGGGTCCAGTCAGGACAAGAATATAACTCCTTGGACTTAAATGGCTGGGCCCGATTGGACCTGAAAACGTGGTATTCCAACATTACTCGAGGATTCCCGCTCGAGCACTTATGCGCCAAAGCTATGCGGACATAGCCCTTGACAGCCAGCAGAAGGCGCTACGCGGTATCATATGGACAACATGGACCGCTGATCAAGGCGCACGTTACACGACTGAGGTGTTGGAAACTTGTTTGCGCTCGTCCTACTCCGTGGGTTTAGATCGTGCGCAGAATACCACATAATATAAACGCTGACATCCACAATCGTCAACCTGGTTCATGAGGTGGGGATCATGGACCTATTCCGCTTCTAGGCCTCCCTCGTGGAGGCCTCATTTCAAATCTCTACGCGCCCCTCGCTGCGTTTCGACGTCAACGATCATGAAATGCCTCGCGGGACCCGTGGGGCTCACAGCGGCAGAACTCTGGCACGCTCCCGACGCATACGAGGCAGTTCTCTATAATATACGGATACGAGCCCTTAGAGGACCGGACTGCAACCCTCGCCAGATCACTGCCTTGACTGTTAACATCTCAAGCGCCCGCCGTACAGCTTTGGCTCACGGTCGGCCAGGACGCATGCACGCGCCTTTGGCTTCCATACTTGCCATCTCCGCATTGTACGCTGTTGCCTGGGGATTTAATCGCTGGAGCTGGCCCTGCACTGCCAACCCTCTTGCACCTGCTCCTTCGTCTTTTCTTCAGGACTGTATTCGCCCTTCCATGTCGACAGGTTCGACGTATACGCGGTCAACGTCCCCACCCAGGTCGATGAGTTGGAGGAAACCGCCCCCGCCGTATTTACCTTCGCCGCCTCCTTCGCCACCTTTACCTTCTCTCGAGGTACCGCCGGTGAGATCTACCGCCTTATGGTCTTCTCTCGGTATACTGATACCGTCCTTAGCTTCCGACCCATTGGCGAGAGACCATACAGGCCCTTAGGGGCTATAGCTTAAGGCGCTCTCAACTACTGCCAGAAGATGCCCGTGACGACGATCGACCACCGGAAGAGGCGACAGCTGGTCGTTGGTCGCGGCCGTCGCATTACGTGAGTCACTCATCGCTCCCCGTCCTTTGCAACGTTTCTCATGTGGCTTGAAGCGTGCCTTTGCCCCGCCAGCCAGCCCTTCGCGTCGCCAGGGAATGATCTACGGGGATGACGTCCATATCACGGTCGAAATATCACAGCATGCTTCTGCCGCAACATTGACATCTCGGAGGAGTCGAAGTCGCTCCGTCACACAGGTATGTCTCTTGGACCGATGCCGTCGTCAATCTACTGGCTCATCTGAGATTATCAATCAGGTATATCGCCCTCCGACCCCTCCTTTAGCCACAAACTCGCACGGAACTCGATTGTCCCATCGAAGACCAGCGTCACTTCTCGATGAAGAAGTTGATCCCGATGTGAGCAGTGTCGTCATATCTTCGCGCTTGACCATGATGCTGAGGTCAATTCCAGCCACACCATCGCCGTTCTTCTGTTGCCACGCACGGCACTGATAAATCTTTGCCTAGCCCTCCTGAGGAGGAGGAGGAGGAGGAAGAGCGTGAAGCCGTAGCATCCAGACCTCGAGAATCATGGGTCGTGCCTTCGTTTACCCAATATCAGAGTTCCATAGACGGGAATTCACAGTCAACGCTGGTCAATCCAGACGTTTGCTTCCGACCCTGTCCCATGCTCAAGAGTCGGGCCGGGGTCACGAAATTCTTCTACAAGCTTCGTCACATACTTGGGTGCTGAAAACTAGGTCTGCAACGCTTGAGCTCGCCAGACCTCTGGGAGGTCGAATCCTATGCATGCATTTGCCGGGAATATCGATGATTTCATGACAATCGCTTGTGTGCACTGTAGTCTGGTCCATATCGTACACATGTATATAATACAGCATCTACCATGTATGACCTATGCGACGCATTTGAATGGCCGGAAGGGCGGTGCCGGGAGGAGCGTCATTTCGTCACTGTAAACCTTCGAGCACGCGCCGCTGCGCGGAAGCAACCTGCTCGACCTCTGTTCCCGACGCGTCGTACGGCGCTGCCGCCTTCCCGATATCCGCGAATCTCGACTGCTCGAACTTCTCGCGGCCCGACGCGCTCGACGACGACGTACAGGCGCCCGATGCCGGAGGTACACAGTCAGCCTGGACCCTCCCGACGTGATCTCTACGACCGATGTATCTCGGGAGAGCAGAATCGACCTTTCATCCCTCGCCTGAGGAGTGATCCCACTCCGTTTGAACCCGTACCACATAGCTTGGTCGAGTTTCGGGCCATTGAAGGCAAGGGAGAACGAGAGAGGCGGCTCAGGGCACTTTGGCAGCGGTTATCCTCGGAACCGCATCGGGGACACTTGCCATGGACCACTCCATCGAAAAACAAAGATGTGCCAGTGAAGGACCTGCATGATCTAACTCCCGAACGCGCTCGTGAGATGAAGAAGGTGTATGACGAGGAGCTGGCTGGGAAGATGAATGGGCATCTTGTTGGTTCCTTGACCGGGCATGTCAGTTGGGAAGACTTCAAGGCGTATGCGGATGCGAAAGAAGTCGGTATGTCCGCTTTATTTGAAAGCAGAGACGAGCGCTGAAAAGCCCCTTATCAGAGCTATGGCGAATATTTCACGATGAGCTGGACTTGGACGGCAACGGCCACCTGGATGCCCGAGAGTTAGAACATGCTCTAGAACACGCTGGTATGTCCATTGAACATCTATGCGAAAGACTATGTTGACCCAGCTCTAGGTATTAATCTGAACCCATCTACTCTCGCCGACTTCATGACTTCTCTGTCGAAGTCTCCGCACTCCCATGCCATCAACTTCACGGAATTTCGCGACTTCCTTTTATTCATGCCACGCCGTGCGTCAACGGAGGAAATATATCGTTTCTACGAAGTACACAAATTCCTTGGTGACGATGGCAGAGGAGCAGCGCGGGTGAACATGGAGGGTATGCTGTGCCCGCGATTACGCGCTTTGTATCAACGCACTCATCAGGCGCTCTAGGGGATGTCACATTGAGTGCGGAGGATAGACCACCATCACACCCAACGAACCTCGGCCGTTCATTAGCCAGCAAAGCCGAGAATCTGGACGCGCCTGTAGACCACACTGCGACCGCTTTGGAAGGAGGGGACGAAGAAGAGGAAGAAGATCACCAAGGCCCTGCAATATTCGGAGGAGCGACAGCCCTGAGATTTCTATTGGCCGGAGGCATCGCTGGAGCAGGTGCAGCCGCCGCTTCTTCGTTTTCGTTTCCTGCTAAAACAGAGTTCAGTCTCGAGGACGTGCACTGCGCCTTTCGATCGTTTGAAAATATTTCTTATCACCCGACCTCCTGATATGGGTGGGGCGAAATTAGCAGGCGCAGCAGTTTTGACCAATCCGAAAGAGGTGTCCAAAGCAAGTTTACACGGTGCAAAGGCGCTTGCGAACGCTGTCACCCGGATCTATGCAGAAGGCGGTATCCTTGCTTTCTGGGTCGGCAACGGTCTCTCAGTTGTGAAGATTTTTCCCGAATCCGCGATCAAGTTTCTAACCTATGAGTCGTCGGTGAGTTGAAAGTACTAGTCCTGCGAGTGCCTCGGCCGCAATGGATCATGTTGTCATCAGAAAAAAGTATTCGCTCGGTATTGGGATCAAGTTGAAGACACCCGAGACATCAGTGGTGTGAGCCGCTTTGTGTCTGGTGGTATTGGCGGGATCTCCAGCCAGCTGTGTGGGTGAACTCCACCGACCTTGGAACACGCTGTTGATTGATTTTCTCTTCACAGCCATTTACCCAATAGAAACTTTGAAGGTCCGTGATTTACTGTTCCTCATTTCTTTCGGACGCACATATGCTCATGGGGATTCGTACAGACGCAAATGATGAGCTCTTCAGGCGAGCAAAGACGGACTTTAGCTCAAGCCGCCCGGCATGTCTGGGACCTAGGCGGTATTCGTGCGTATTATCGCGGACTGACAGTGCGTGCTTCCCTTCCATCTTACCGTCCCGCATGTTCACGTTGACACGGCTGTCATCCTTAGATTGGTTTAGTCGGCGTTTTCCCGTGCGTAATGGCCCGTACGCTCCCATGCCTGATCCTCATTACGTGCAAAACCCGTCATCTAGCTACGCAGCGATCGACATGAGCACCTTCGAAGGGCTTAAGCTGGCCTACCTGCGCTCCACCGGGAAGGATGAACCGGGTGTGCTCGCATTGCTAGCCTTCGGGAGCATATCCGGGAGTGTCGGTGCCACGAGCGTCTACCCACTAAATTTGGTTCGAACGCGCCTGCAGGCCTCAGGGTCCTCTGGCCACCCGCAGCGGTATACCGGTTTCCGCGATGTTATACAAAAGACCTACGCACGGGACGGGTGGCGCGGGTTCTATCGGGGTCTCTTCCCTACCCTCGCGAAGGTGCGCCTAGACTAAGTTTTGATCGAGAGCTGCCCTGATTCATCCCGCCTTGGTACTGCAGGTCGTCCCTGCAGGTTTGTCCTGTTCGCGGCAGACCATGAGCGTCATGACTTATTTTTACTTCCAGTCTCTATCTCCTACGTTGTATATGAATCCAGCAAACGGAAGTGCGTCTGCCTAATCCAACGAAGCTCCTCATTCCCTGACTTATCGGTTTTAGGCTTGGTGTATAAGGTTTGCCATGCTTTTCCATTCTGTTCTCCGAATTGCTTTAGACAGTTTTACGAATACCCATTGCACACAACAACTCTACTGTACATTCTATATCAACAGGGACTAGACAGTCACATCCGACTCATAAGTGGATGCCACCATCTTCGTCCTCAGGAGGCAGATGCCGGTGAGATGGTTGCAACGGCGGACTTGGCTGAACGTCGTCATCGTTCAGGTTATGCGTTGTAAACGCCCGTTCGCGCGGCATGGCCTGCGTTGTTTCCGCATTACTTGGCCCTGTAACAGGATGCGGATCCTGTGCTCTTCGCGACAAGTCGTAATGGCCATTCGTGGAAACGCCCTTCTGGGCCAGTGCCATATTGAGCATCCCGATGCGCTCTTCTTGCGACCCTCTGCCTCGCGGGAGGTTATAGATGAATGGTCTCGGCGTCGTAAAACGAGGGACGCACATCACAAGCTCGTTGTCTTCTGTGGCGTGCATAATGTCGTGGTCCTCGGACCCGGAGATGATGAACTCGCGCAATTCATTTTGCGTCCGCCGAAGGTGTTCCAGCGAGTTTTTCAGTCGTGCTATTTCTATTTAATGCAGAATGAGCATCTGCAGTGTTGGTCTAGATGACTGTATCATTACCCTCGGTGATCGTGGGGACATCGAGCTGGATTGCATGTTCGAGAGTGAACGGTTGGCGGTAGCGAGGCGTGTAGTCCATTGCACGCGATGACGTCGTCGTCGGGAGCAAGCGCACCGGTTAGATCACAGCCCGAGATCGTGTGGCTTCGGCCCTCTTCACCGTTTCATTTGGCTTCGGCTTCCCAGTCAGTGCACGATATTGTGGTTCAGGCCTCTTCGTCATCACCATGAAAACGCGGTGACTGCCTTTCACTCGTACCACCACCGAACATGTATACGGTGAAATTGCCTGATATTCTATTATCCATACCACGCAATCCGGTTACGGCGGTTGGCCTACCATTAATTGCTGGTCTACTCTCTGGCTCTCCGACGCGTCGAGTTGTTCAAGGACAATGGTACAATGTAGGCCTTAGTTCGAGCACGAGCAAGAGTCGAGCTGACCATGGACTTAGACTCTCAGATTTCCGCCAGGACGTCCACCCAGGCAAGCTTTCCCCATCGTATGGACGTCACTTTACGTTGGTATGAACCCAAACTTTATCCGCACCAGGAATCATTACTGACGACTTGGATTCATCTAGCCATGGGCTACGCGTCTCATCTAGCGGTGCACGCGTTTGACATCACCGTTGGTCCATTGAGGTAACTGCACGTTTGAAAACGAAGTGTGGCTGTCTTTTTCACCAACGAGAAAAACTCTCAGAGACAAGCTCTCAATCGCTCTCGTGTTATACTATGGTCAACTGGCGATGAACTTGTTATGGACGCCGCTGTTCTTCGTCAATAAGCAGGTATGTCATCATCGCGTTCGTTCATGGCGGCTGGTGAACCTTCCTTCTAGGCTGGCTTGGCTCTTCTCGATAGCGCGGCGCTTCTATGTACAACTGGTTTCATGACGGTGAGAAGCAAACTGTCCCGATGATCCAACTCGATCTCATACAACCATATCAGCGTCTTCTCCACGAAGCGACGGACGGGAAGACGACGTACCTCCTTGCACCTTACTGCGCGTGGCTGTCATACGCAACGTACTTGAACGGCGGCATTTGGTGGCTGAATCGCGGTCATTCAGCCAGGAAACACGATTGAAGCCGACCTGCGACTCGAATGCGGGCATGGAGTGTACACAGATGCATTCAGCGTGCGACTACTTATAGTACAATGTTCGACACGATCAAACTTGCACATGAATTCGAGGCATGACAGGAGATAAAGGCACAAGCGATTATCCACGGGCAGCAGGTGGAACCGATGGGATCTTCTGCTATCTTGTCACGCACGGGGCCGTTGCTTCTTTGCCTGTATCCGCAGATGAACGCCAGACTATATGACAATGAACCTTCAAACCTTTTTGGCAGGCTGCGTATCCTTGTATTCGGCATCGTCTGCGGCTCTCACCTTACCCTTCGTGAGGACGGGATCACCGCGATATCGGAATCAGGAGTAACACAGAAATAGCAACGAGATCATACCGTGCGCCTCGGTACCTTAGACTCCGTTACAGCTTCGGCGGCACGCTGGCGCTTAGCGGGTGCAACACCTCTGGGAGGTGAGGAATCGTCGCTCAAGCTCCCGTTCGGGTTTAAGGCTGTTGCCCTTGATTGACCGTCAACTTTCGCCTTTGATCCTTGAGCAGTAGATTCCTTGGTATGTATTTCCTGGCGCACACCCGCGTTTGAACGAACGATGCCAGTCGTCAAAGTCGTGGGACGAGAGACTGAACACTCTGAGGATATTTTACGGATCACTCGACATTGTGCTCATACCTGTCGAGGTCGTGACGTCTTCCATGGGAGACTGCAAAATGTTAGATGGGGCCCGAAACGTTCAAGTGCACATGCCGGAATGTCCCGATCCGGTGCACGGCTTGGGCGATCTGAGGAAGGTTCTTCATATAGGGCCGCATCTTGGGCGTCCACATTGGATGTGACGCAATCTCTTGTATCAACAGCCTGATGGTACACTCAGCATGCGCTTCTCCTGTAGAGATTTAGGGGAAAGTCACGAACCTGATCGGTAATCTGAGATCTAAGAGAGGACTCAAGGAAAGTGATGCGAGCAGTCAACTTCTCGATCTTGTTCTCGCGCTGAAAGCAGGGTCCGTAGGAATTCTGCAGCAATACAACGATCGTACCTGGCGCAGTTCATTGCGTTTGTCAATCAATTCATGGGCGAAAATGGCCTTCGTGCTGCCCACAAGGCCGGCAATAAATACCCTCTCTTCGGTCGTCTATGAACGAGCGGCCGTCACCAACAGACACAATGAATGCACATGTTCAGGCAGCATACCAAGTCTCCATTCTCGTGGCGCGACTGGATGTTCCTGCCGCGTTCCCTCAAAGCGTCGATTTCGTTCACCAAGGAGCTGTTCGAGTCTATTAGCTCCTGTATACGGCGCTCGGCTTGAATCATCTCTTCTTGGCGTTTTTGGCTCCTGGTAGGCGACTCATAGTGTATCTGCAGTCTAGTTACTTCAGCAGTCAACTCGCGAACTTTGTCCTCTGCAGCAGCCGAACGACGGTCTGCTCGTTCATCCGCCAATGCGAGGTTGCGTTCATGTTCAGATTTCAGAGCGTCGACGATATCCCCGTGGTCGGATTTCAGGGTAAGAACTGTTTGTTGCAGCGTATCCACCTGAGAGCGCAAAACTGCGATTTCGGAGTTGAACCTGCTATTGTTCCCCTCGGTTTTGATCTGCGAGTACGCGTTCAGACAGGTCCGACATGCAAGCGGTGAGCGTACCACGCAATCGCGCTGGAGGGCAAAATTTTTGTCCTGATTCACAATAGTAAGATATGGGAAGGTGTAGTGACGCGGAGACATGCTGACATGAAGTTCCGCGTTCGCTTCCTTGGTCAATTTGAGGGTAATTGACTGGGCTCCGGTTAAGCAATTCATCGACACTTGCTGCAGTGCTCACTTGTTCATCGAACCGATCTTGCAGAGACTAAGGGAACATGTTAGAATATCATGCAGTTGGGGGATGCTATACGCGCCTTCAGCAGTGATTCAGCACCACGCAATCTGACGCAAGTATTGATCACGTCAACCGTGTGAAATTGGACATATCAAGACTCACTGCTCTTCAAGACGTCGCATATTCGTTTTTGCATCTTCGAACATCTTCTCGTACACTACGGCCTGCTGGTATTCGAGCTGAGCAGTCTGTCTGTCCGCGTCACAGCGTTTCAGATCTTCTTGGAGATGTTCAACACGTTTCTCCCATCCTGAGACGTCTGTCGACAGCATATCAAGCCTGAACTGGTGGTCAATTCATGTTTACTGAGCTATCAGAGAAGCAGGCTGACCGTTCCTGAAGGTTGTTATTGGTGATTGCTGCTTCGTGTAATTTCTTATCCTTCTCGTGAAGGGTTTCATGTGTAAGCCGGAGGCTATAATTGTTGAATATTTAGCCAGATGGCACACGTATTCAATTGATGCCTAACTCTGTTTCAAGGCTGACCAAAACGACGAGGCGCTTATCTTTCTCCTGAGTTTCAACTTGCAGCATATGGAATCTTGGGTAGGGTCATGTTCAGTGTTGTAGACGAAACATTGAACCGAACATGACCTACTTGATTTCCAGGTCGCGATGATCATGATCAAGTCGCTGCCGTTCGTTCTCTTTAGACGTAATCTCGTCCTTCAGAGCCCGTATTTCGTCTTGAGACCTACAAAGCACGCCCTGTCGTCATTGAAAGTCATATGATCAGCCACTAGATATGCAAACCCGGTTTCTGCGTCCGAAAGGGAACGCAGATTGCATTCCATTTCCTTCACCTGCACTTCCAACTGACTGATGTACTCGTCTCGCGACTCAAGAGCACCTTCAAGCCTTCTGACGGTTATGACAGATAACGATTCGATTGCTATGCGACGTACTGGCTCTTGTTTGTTTCCAGGGCTGCGAGATCAGTCTTAATCTTCATTTGCAAACACTCGAGTCTGTCAAGCGAGTGAGTCAAACATAGGTCAGTCGCGAACGCGGGATGCGCACTCTTTATCTTTCAGATTGAGATCAATTTCACATCTCTCCGACTTCACTACGGCTTCGCGCAGCTCGGTCTGCAGAACACCCATGGATGCTCGAAGTTCCTGAACCTCGGTAACTATCGGGCCGCGAGGTCAGCTGGAGCTATTTTACACTACGAGACATACCGTGCGTTTGCAGGACTCGCAGTTCCTCCAGACGGCTGGCCTCGAGTTGCGTCACCCGATCTCTGGTCTCTATCAAGTCTCCGCCCACGGATTGCAGGCGGTCGCGATAAATGTCCGTCACCTCTTGAGCTAAACGAACTCGATCAATGAACCATGTCGATGCGTGCAATTCCTACCTTTCGAGAGCGCCATGCGAGTGTCTTGAATGACGCGTTTAGTTTTAACGCTACATGTTTGCTCATTGCTCTCGTCCATGAACTTCTGGATCTCTGAACTGACATTACGAATACAATCGTTGATGCGTGAAGTGCAGCGCACCTTGCACTGATTGTTGAGCAGTAAGGCGCATATCCGCGAAGGACTCAACGAGGTCATCAACGGTCTTGAAAGCCATAATCGAGTGCTTTTTGAATTCAGCAAGCTCGGAACCGAGGGCTGCCAAGCTATACAGGGACGCGCAGATCAGTTAATGAGTCGTGCCAAGCGCATAGAATTCTACCACTTCGCTTTCGCAGTTATCTTGCGTGCATCTTCACGGGCTTTCTCCAGGTCGCGAGCAAGGGCACTTTTCTCTCGTTCGTCGTCATCAAGGCGCCGTTGCAGTTGTGCTACCTCTTGTTGCAAACGTGCTGCCTCATCGTGCTGTATCGATATAAGTTACTGGTCCCGAAACCCAACATGCGGACTAACCTTCGCGGCAAGTGCCCTTTCGGAGGCCTCCAGGTCCTTGAAACGGTCGTATACCAGCGACATAAGTTGGGCATCTCCCTCCGGTTTGAACTTCGTAGAACGATCTATCTTTTCCAGAAGGTGACTGGTCCCATCGGCCGCTCTAATACTTGCTTGATCGCGGATCCCGCCTTCGAGGCTGGTCTCCAATGGCTCGGATAAGGCAGGCGAAGAAACCCTGTCCGCAGGAGCTGGTATTCCCGTGTCAGAAGCAGCGTACCACAGCTATCAAGTCAACGACACATACACAACGACGGCTTGACAATATCAGTACCCAACAGTTGTGCATTTACGGCAGGACTGAAACTCTTCAATCTCGAGCCGCGCCGACCAAAGCGTAAGACATCAGATGTATCAGCATCGTTGCCTCCGTTGAATGGCTTCAATATATGCGCGTCAGTCTTGAATATAAGCGGCACATTGTCGGATGCAAGGGGAACGTCCTGCGGAGGACCACCAGAATCGCCACCACGAGGAAAACTTGATGAAAGGAGAGGCGGCCGGATAACAGAAGGGACGTGATCTCTGCGACGCTCTTTCCCAGAGCCATGATGCTGCAAGGCAGCACGAGGTGCATTGTGCGGAAGGGTTGACAGGTTTTTGGGTTTCGATTGCGACGAATACGGCATGCTGTTTGCGTTCAGAGGGTTAGAGCGGTCGAAAGAGAATGGTGCTCTCATATTCGGCTTGCTAAGAACAGCCCGCTGACTGGAAGAAAGATGTTCAAACGGCTGATCATCGTCATGCTCCATTGCTGCGCGAGTGTATTCTGCAGAGTATGAGGGCAGCCAATCGGCTATTCGAGCTGTTTGAGCAGTTCAGATACTCGTGAAAACTAGAAAGGTAGCAGGAGTAGATACCTTAGAGGACGTCGAAAAGGAGGGAGGGAGTCGCTGGGCGGTCGCGATCCAAGTTGCTGACTAAGCTGGAAAGCGCATACATCCTGCATCCCGCGGACTCGAGGGATCGGCACAGATTGTTTTGCATTACTGCCCGCATCTGATCGCCAACACTGAGTGCATAAACTGACAGAAGAACGTCGAAGCCTAATAAACAGTCTCATCAATATTCCATTTGACAATTCCTTCATACATGGTGTAGAAATATATCCAGCACTGGACGATAAAAGACAAATTTGCGACGGGTGGACAGTCAAGAAAAGTACATCAGTTTCTTCTGTAGGCAGATGTAGAGGTCAGAGATTATCCATCTGTGACTATCCGGGAGTGCTCACCATCGCTGGATGCAGCGGTTTGAAACCCTCTTTATACGGCTCCAGAGGGTCTCCGCTTGTGGAACCCTGTTTCGAATCTCCATATTCAGAGAAATCCAGGCGAGAGTCCGGTGCATAGTGATTTTTGGCACGAGAACAAACAATATCGGCATCTACAGTAGAGGATGAGCTAAAATACCTCCACGTATGTCACCAACTTACAGTATACAGGCGCAGGAATTGAGACGGAGCGCGTCGATCGAGCGTACACATGGCACAAGGCAAAGGAAAGCGACTGTAAATCGTCGGGTCTACAAAGACATGAATGAACTCTTGGGTCTACTTGATAGATAAAATTAGCTCACTGGAATCCGTTCTCATCGTAAAGAACACTGTAGTGCGCAGGACGAGATGTACCTAGCAGACCTCCATGGCTCTGGAGGTAGAAGTCGAATTCGGTCGGATGAGCAACTTCCTGGTCGACCTGCAGGATCATTGAGATCGGTAGTGTTCGGGGAGCGAAGCCTACTTTGACGTACGACGGTCCCTGCCGGACAGTTTCCGGATTTATCACCGTCACGCTCGTTGGTCGGGAAGAATCTGCAACGCAGTTGAATTAGGTTCCATAGCACGCGAAGCTCGCAATCAAGTCACCGGACGTGATGTCGCTTGCCAACGACGACGATGGTAATCTTCGGTTTGATACCTAGCTCACTGCAAGCCTCTGGATTTTCGGTCACATCAGCTTCGAAAAGGGTGTTGATAGCGAAGAGCACCTTGTAGCTGCGGCAGCTCTTGTTCTAGGACCTGTTTGAATTGACCCTCCGATACTCCATCTGCACGGCCGCGAGTAAGCATCAGATGCATTTCTGAGACAGAATACGGCGTACCGCGGTATAAAATTATTCGGCTGGGTTCTTTCTTAGCCTTCTTCTCGACACTGGCGCGATAGCCCATATACATGGTGAGCATATGCTGCAAGACTCAGTGAGCGATACGAATGGCAAGGATGAAGCATGCACTGAACATGCATACCTTGCTCATCTCCTTCAAATCCTCGATCATCTCCTTGCGAGATGTTTGTACGCGAGAGTCGGCAATGTATTTAGCCGTGTCGGAGTCCACATTCGCGACCAAGCTCGTGAAGGACGGACGACCCTCAGACCCAGGGGCAGGATGGATGACATCGGCACCTGATAGTCAAGGAATCAGCCGAATGTCGTGACAAAGCCAATGCTTGAAACCAACCCATGACAATAGTCGGGTTTAATGGATCGGTCAGGACAGAGACGGTTGAAGGTTCGGGAATCATATTGATGCCGCCCAGCTTCACGTTAATTCTATAAATAGATTCGCCAACTGTGCAAGCACTAGATGTAAAGCTGCTCACTTCAGGCACACATTCGAGAAGTACTGTTTCTTGGCTCGCATGCACTTGCTGCTCTTCAGGCATTGTGTTGCAACACCGGCCTATGAGAGAATGATGAGCATCGTCCATTGTACTCATTGTACTCTTAGTACTCGCCCTAACGTCACCAAAACTGTGCCAGATGACGTTGAGATACGTGAATATCAAGGCAGAGGATCACGCACTGTTTCACTGCAGAGTAGATATCCGAACCGCCATCCGGAAGCACAACCACCTGCGAGGCATTAGGGTTGAGGAAAGTAGTAATGAACGCACGCGACGTACTATCAACATGGGGAGTTCTTTGTATCTGTTGTGGACTTCCTTGCCCACTTCCGGAAGCACCTAATTCCATCTGTGAGCCGCGCAAGGAGCAAAAAGAAGCCGGACAAACCACTGAGGGTGGTCTATGGCCATTTTCGAACTTGATGATGGGACTAACGTCTTCCACCTTCATGCCTTTGCAAGAGTTACGCCGAAGAATATGACCATTATAGTGACCGACGCACCAACTTCCCTGGCAGCCTCAATCAGACCTTTGATCGTCTCCTGAGCATGCTGCATTAGGAATCTGCCTTCACGCTCGAACACAACCACAGCCCAATGTTTGATAGTTGCGGGACGGAAGAAACGTTTATCGACCCTGGAAGGATGTGATAAATCAACAGGAGGCCTGTGGTACTCTGAAGAACGTACATATTCCATTGACCGTCCCTCGGAACCTGTCGTTTTCAGTCAGATAGGCATCTGGCTGCCGGGTGGAACTTACGATATTCGGCTGTCGACTTTCCCGGCCGTATCTAAGCGTGGGCGGTGCAAGCACACGGGCAGCCACTTTCAAGGGTCCTTGCGTTTCCGTAACGTGCATCCCAAAGTGGCGGACGTATTCCGATTGTCCGTAGTTGAGGACACCAAGACCGTTACGGATACTGGCCAAACGATCTCCAGGTTTCTTGGTGGCGAATTCGAGAACCTCCCTGGTCTTGTCCAATGGCATCTGCTTGCGCATAATTTGCCCCGGAGGAACGTAGCAAAGCTCAAGTGGAATCAAGGCTCCCGACCCCACCTGACCAGGTTTGATAAGTTGCCAACCATCGCGGCATGTGCTGATACGAACCTCGGCACAGATCACATCCGGGAACTGAAGGGGCCGGTTTCTTGTTTTATGGAAGTACTCCGCCACCGTCATGGTCCCTGTATCGACGGTAAGCTCAAATCACTTTCGTGGAGTGGTCCTGCGTGCCTCCTTCTCGCATCGTGAATGACACTTCCGATGCACCAGCAGAGCTCAGCTTCTTGACGACGCGCGCCGCTCCTGAGGGCCGACCGTTGACATCCAACGTCTGTATCCTGATGCCCGAGATGAAGTGTTGCAAGCGGATGCGCGCTTTCTCGGGCAATCCACGTTTGGGTGCCAGGGCAGCGGGTTGTTTTTGCCCTGCAGCCTCCAGACATAGATCCAACAGTCTTCCTGGTTTGTACATGGTGCCGGTCGAGATATCCACTATGATTCCCGGTGAGTACGATCACCGGGCAACCATCCGAGATTTCTCGCACCGTTAATCAGCATCTTGCCTGTTCCAGGGCGGACAGACTGGAAATATCCGCGCCAGAGCACCAGCCCAGCGCCGATATCTGTAGATGTTCTCAACGATCGATACCATAGGCAAGGTGGATCTAAGACAAGTACCTTTGGTCTCGCGGTCAGTGAAGAAGGAACGGATGTTGAAGCTGTGATGCTGTTAGGCAACGCATTCTATGATACGAAGTTTGACACCTACGGATAGTGAATAGTCGGCTCCATTCGTATGACCACGTTGAGTGCCTAGATCAACGTATATATAACAACAGGTTATAGGCAATCATCATCCCAACACACCGTGATCGCTGTTATTACGGAATTGTCATGCGATTGCTTCCCGATCAAAAACCTCGCCAAAACCCTGAACAGTGTGCGTCAATACCGGATCGATCTCGTCATAACACGCTCCTACTCAGGGTTGATCTCTGCCACTTTGGTCAAGCGCACTTTGTACGGTTTCGGTGCCCGATTGGGATTGGCTGGCGGCTTTGCCCCGGCCAGAGGAACCTCGAACTGTATCTCGCCGATCAGCGATCGTGCGCACGCAAAGCAGATGCGAATGCCTCACTTCTGCAGAATCCTTGCCACCGAAAGGAAGCTCCCGAATGGCGAACAGGTTCTTACGTCCATCATAAACGGCACGAGGGGTGAAGATCTCCGGCGCAACTACTTGTTGCAACGTGGTGATGATATCCATGTTCAGACGCGCTGGCAGAACCTTCTCGCTGGGTGATATTACTGCCCTATCCTTCAGTATATGCAGGATCGAACGTAGGACCCACGACGTAAGAATTCAATGACGTACCAACTACAGGTAGAAGTTAATATAGGCAATCATATCGTTGCAGGGGCACGGCGTACCATCATAATGCATGATCACATTTTCTGGTATAGTAACCTCGAAGTGGTTTGTGAATACAGTAAGCGGACGTCCAGCTCGTCCAAAGGCCGTCCTCTTGACGCCGATCGTCGTGATGTGGTCCGATGTCGAAGGTAAGACGGCACCAGCGGACGAGGCGCCTCCGCGAATAGAAGGTGCGCCTCCGCGAGTGGGTGCGCCTCGGCCACGTCCGCTCGGCGACGATCCCCGTGGAGGCGGCCCGCCTCGCCCGCTGCGCGAGGAGCCAGACTGTGATACTCGGGGGGGCATATCGGATTCGCAGGTGAAGTGAGCAAGGACGTCAGCTACAAGGGTAATGCGGGGGCATTATTCAGGGACGTGTGGCGTAGGAGTCAAATATACGGCTGCGCCTCGAGGCCAGGTGTTGCGATTGTCCGAAGAAAAGGGAAGTTGGTGCAACTCATACACGGAAGCTGATTGGAAGCTTCGCAAGGGCGGTGAAATCACACGCTCCTTTGAGCCATCCTGCAACATCAAGGACGGCGATAACAGTCAGGCCATTGAGTTACCAGCGAGCTGCATACAACGGGGGGATACACCTTCGATGCCAAAGTGGTACGTATATGTACGCCGCCGCCGCATGCGTCCAAGCTAAAGCTAAAGTTGCCACCCGGACGTTCTGTCTAACCCGGCTCCATTACAATAGCATAAGTAGTTGTTGTACGAAGCACTGTCAGAGGTCACTTCAAGTATCTCAGCCGCTTCCCGAGGGACCGAGGATAGCTGGTAGAGGGTTTCAGGTTGGACGGACAGGTAGCAGCAAAATATAGGCCTTACCAGGGATCGAACCTGGGTCGCGGGAAATCAGATGGATTATCATCAGAATCCCGAGTGATAACCACTACACTATAAAGCCGATACCCTTTTTAACCTTGCAGAGCCTATGACCAGATCACTTCCACAACAGTATGCGAGTCTTCGGCGTTCTCGGTCCTCCGATAAGATTAACACCGTCACATGATTCATTCTAGCCTCTCTTGGTCCCATCCACTCCTCGTAAAAATGACTCCGACTCCTGCAAAAACGCTCCGACCATGGCAGCTTTCTTGCCGCTGTTGGACACCACGGACGATGCCCTGCTGGGGGCACTTTCTCGTCTAGGGCCGCTCATAGTGCCATCTCTCTCCTCAGCACCCCTTCCTGATCTCCCCCATATCTATGTCCTCACGGACCACGACTCTTCATTCAATCTGGACGAGATCGTCTCATGGCTTGACGAAGGAGCTGAAAAGGTTATCATACCACTTTCCTGGGCGGCCGAACTAGTCGCGGTACTTCCGGCAGAGCGCCTGCTCTTATTGCTCGACGTTAACAACGCAAGTGCCGTTTCAAGCAAGATTCGGTCGGGGGTATCCGGCGTCGTGCTGAAGACGCCTGTCATAGACGTGGATATCGTCTCGTCTGTATCACAATTCTTTGCAGGCTCGTCCATATTTGTCTATCCATCCCAGCTGTCTCCTTCTCGAGCCGCAATTCGCCAAGTTCATGCTGCCGGCGCCACCCTCGTCATTCCTTCCTCCCAGATCACCTTGAAGCCTTCTACCAGCAGCACCATCAACATTGCAGATGCGTTCCTCGCGGTCGTAAGCTCAGATCGACCTGATGGACTTTTCCCAACCGTGGTCTCTGCAGTGAACCAGGGCGGGCGATCGCTCGGCTTGGTCTACTCATCCGCGGAATCCGTTAAGGAGAGTATCATCACAGGGAAGGGGGTGTACCAATCAAGGAAGCATGGCTTGTGGAGGAAAGGCGAGACCTCGGGAGATACCCAAGAAGTCGTCAGCATTCGCCTTGACTGCGACGCAGATAGCCTCGAAATCAGCGTCATTCAGCATGGCGCCGGCTTCTGCCATCTGCACCGCGCATCATGCTTCGGCGAACTTGGAGGGTTAGCCGCCCTCGAGAAGACTCTGCAGTCGCGCTTGGAGTCCGCGCCCGAAGGGTCATACACCCGACAACTCTTCAACGACTCCGATTTGCTGCGCTCAAAAATAATGGAAGAAGCGGGCGAGCTCTGCGCCGCCGAAACTCGCGAGGAGGTTGCCTTCGAAGCCGCGGACCTCTTCTACTTTGCCCTCACCCGATGTGCCGCCGCAGGCGTTACGATCGCCGATATCGAAGCTTCGCTTGACAAAAAAGCGAAGAAAGTCACCCGGCGACCCGGGAACGCCAAACCGCAGTGGATTAAGCCAAAAGTAGCAGCGCCTCCTGCAGCGCAATCTCAATTCCCACTGGATCCTGATGCGCCTATCCGTATGCGCACATACGATCTTGCTACCGTTGGAGCGTCGGACCGCGCGCAGCTGCTCAGAAGGCCGGTGCTCAAATCCGACGAGATGATTGCGAAAGTCAAACCTATTGTCGATGACGTTCGCAAGCGCGGGGATGCCGCGCTCCTCGAGCTCACCGCCAAATTCGACAAGGCCCAGCTCGACTCTACGGTAGTCTTTCCTCCCTATGCTCCGGAGACCATGGAGCTCGAGACGTTGGTGCGCGAGGCCATCGACCAGGCCTACGCCAACATCTATAAATTCCACGCAGCCCAAGCGAAGGATGCAACTCTGGTCGTCGAGACCATGCCGGGCGTCGTTTGCTCGCGGTTTGCGCGGCCAATCTCGCGGGTCGGGTTGTATGTTCCGGGTGGCACGGCGATATTGCCGTCAACCGCACTCATGCTGGGCATACCTGCACAGGTAGCTGGCTGCAATGAGATTGTCCTTGCGACTCCTCCTCGACCAGACGGGAGCATCAGTCCGGAGGTTATGTATGTTGCAAAGCTTGTGGGTGCATCGGCCATCTTGAAGGCGGGCGGAGCACAAGCCGTCGCTGCCATGGCATATGGTACCGATACCGTGCCGAAGGTCGACAAGATCTTTGGGCCAGGCAATCAATGGGTCACCGCTGCAAAGATGCTCGTGCAGAACGATACAGACGCGTTGGTATCGATTGATATGCCTGCCGGGCCGTCCGAAGTTTTGGTACGCGTCTTCGTGCATTGTATGAGTGTAAGGCTGACGGCACGACAGGTTATCTCAGATCATACGGGAAATCCCGCCTTCGTTGCCGCAGACTTACTTTCGCAAGCAGAACACGGCGTCGACTCTCAGGTAGTGCTCGTCGCGGTCAGCTTATCCGACGAGCAAGTTGCGAAGATCGAAGACGAAGTGGACAAGCAAGCGCGAGCTCTCCCGCGCGTCGACATCATGCGTGTGTCGGTAGCGAAGAGCATCATCGTCAAGGTATCGACGGTGGAGGAAGCCATCGCCTTCTCTAATGATTACGCGCCGGAACATTTGATCCTGCACTTGGAGAACGCCAGCGCCGCGGTCTCTTCTGTCCAGAACGCTGGCAGTGTCTTCGTGGGACCGTATTCTCCAGAGAGGTGAGTTTCAACGCCTGTTGACACAGGGCGAGCTGACCAGATCGGTCATCAGCTGTGGCGATTATGCTTCGGGCACGAACCATACGCTCCCCACCAACGGTTACGCGCGTCAATTTAGCGGAGTGAACACGCTCTCCTTCCAAAAGCACATTACTTCGCAAGAGGTGACGGCAGACGGTCTCAAGAAGCTGGGACCCGTGGTGGCGACGCTTGCAGATTGCGAAGGTCTCGGCGCTCACGCCAATGCCATCCGCATACGGATGGCAACCCTCTGATGTAGTGAATATAGTATGTACGATGATTAAAGCAGGATATGAATATGGATCCCATGCCCCACTACAGCAAAGGAAGATCTATAACCTCTATGTCATCTCATCCGCTGCGGTATAACGCCCGCTTGGCCACCTTGACGATGAGCGGGGTGTCGGGGAACGCAAGTGCTTCCAGGCCCGCCGCGTACTAAGACCGACGTCAGAAACATCGCCATTGAGAGGTTGTCCGATCTTACCGGTGTGGGCACATCAGCACCAGTGACACGCTCGACCGGCGCATCAAGGTAATCGAACGCCTCACTCTCCACGATCTGCGCGCAGATCTCACTGCCAACACCGAACGCGGGGAAACCACCCTCGACGATCAGCAGCCTGTTCGTCTTCTTCACCGACGCCTTGATAGTGTCGATGTCAAGAGGGCGGATGCTGCGCAGATTGATGACTTCGGCCTTGATGCCCTCCTTCGCAAGGATCTCCGCCGCCTCGAGGGAATGAGTGACCATTTTGCTGTGCGCAACGATAGTGACGTCGCTACCCTCCTTCTCCACTTTGGCTTTGCCAATGGGGAGGAGGAACTCGTCCGACATTGCCTCTTGTGACATCGGGAATGAGACACCGTACAGCATCTCGTTCTCGAGGAACACGACGGGGTTAGGGTCCCGGATAGCGGTCTTCAGGAGACCCTTGCAATCTTCCGCACTCCAGGGACTGACGACCTTCAGACCAGGAATCTGACCGTACCAAGAAGCGTAGTCCTGAGAGTGCTGCGCAGCGACACCAGCGGCGGCACCGTTAGGACCACGGAACACAACGGGGCACGGAACATTTCCACCGGACATATAGTAGGTCTTGCCGGCCGAGTTGACAATCTGGTCGATGGCCTGCATGGCAAAGTTGAAGGTCATGAACTCGCAACTGTAGGATCATATGAGAGGAGTACGGCAGCGGTAGGTTGATTCAATACACACATCGGCCGTAAACCAGCTAATGCAGCTCCAGTGGCAACACCCGCGAAACCCATCTCCGTAATCGGAGTATCGACCACGCGCTTCTCGCCGAACTTGTCAAGAAGTCCTTTGGTAACCTTGGATCCAGTCAGTTGCGGGCAAAAGTTGGCCTGTCGGTGAGGCATACCTTGTAGGCACCGTTGTAGCGCGCTACTTCTTCACCCATGATGAAGACCGTCTCGTCGCGCAACATCTCCTCCTCCATCGCGGCATTGAGCGCGTCACGGACGGTCATCTACACACGGATGCATGTTCAGATGCCAAACCCATGTGAATACTGCCGGCTAGGCCCACCGAGTGCTGTTCGGTGGCATAGCCGCGGCGGAACGCGACCCTGCGCGCCGCCGTCGCCGACGGACCTGCGCGCTTGTTGATGAGAGCCGGAGCAAAGCGAGAGAACGCGGCGCGGGCGGACATAGCTTTTGGAGGGAAGAAGGGGGGAGGGAGGAGGGATCGGTGAGGACGAACAGTGCTGGCGCCTCGGGAGGAGTCGAAATTTGGGACGCTCCGGCGCTTGCCGACCGACGCTGCCTCATCCCCATCGTATTATCGAGCGCGTCCGCGTCGGACTCACTGCTGCCGTCGACCATTTGCTGCCATGTCCAAGCCAGTCATAGTTGTCACTGGCGCATCCAAGTCAGGATTGCTACCCGTCGCCGCTGTGTCCGGAGCTCATGTGTGATTGTGCAGAGGGATCGGCCTTTGCGTCGCGAAGCTCCTTCTCGAGGAATTTGGCGCGATAGTAGTCGCGATTTCCCGGACCCGAAGTCCTGAACTCGTCAAATTGCTTGAGACGCACAGGGCGACGCTGTTGACCGTCGAGTGCAGTGTGTTAGTCGTGGACCATCCATATCTGTGCCCGTACATCATTTGAACGCCTTTCATCTGCACAGTTCTGATGAAGCAGGGTACATATCTACCCAATCAGCCAAAACTTCAGCCTTGACGTGCACCGATCAGACTCACCGAGGCAATCACTCTCGCTCAACGCACCTACGGGCGTATCGACGGCCTCATCCTGAATGCCGGCGTGCTTGACCCCCTTGGCCCAATTCACTCCCATCCCTTGGATGCTTGGAAAACGCACTTCGATGTCAACTTCTTCTCACTGATCACCGCTCTGAAGGCGTCCCTTCCTATCCTGCGCAAAAATTCTGGCAAGGTTGTGTTCGTAAGTTCAGGAGCAGCTACAGGAGGCATCGCGGGCTGGGGCGCATACAATGCTAGCAAGGCGAGTATATCCGCTCTAATACCGTAACACGAGATTATGCTGATGTTTGGCGTGATAGGCAGCAATGAACAGTCTTTGCAGGTATGATTCGCGATCAACACGACCTGTGCACATTCATTCAACTTGCTACAGGACGCTGGCTAACGAGGAGCCTGAAATCACATGCGTCGCTCTTCGGCCAGGGATGGTTGATACCGGGGTATGTACCAGACCTATCTTGCAGGCCCTTCTTTTTAATGGTCATATACCTAAGATGCAAGCCCATCTTCGCGAGAACGGACCCAAGACTATGGCCGAGGGGGACATGAAGCGTTTCATCGACGCGTACGCCGATGGCTCTCTGGTGAAGCCTGAAGATTGCGGTTATGTTATCGCTGCCCTTGCTATCAAAGCACACAAGTCTCTCAGCGGCCAATTCGTTTCTTGGAACGAGGAAGCTTGTGCAGACTACAGGCGGCCCGGCCATTCGTCATAATCACCTTAATCACGCAAATCGACTCGTATGTGCAGTCCGTGGGCATGCCGAAGGTCGATTGTTCAGGTGATTTACTTGCCATCTGAAGCACTCGCGGAGTTCGGGCGTGAAGGCCGGTAGGGGCGATCGATGCGGAAGGCTTACTGGGCAATTGACACTACCGGATCCAGTCGCAGAAATTAGGTGCTTAGAGCTGCCATGGGGCTTGATCCATCCCACGAGGAAGACAATCTGTCGTACCTACAGATGATGCAATGAACAACTTCAGTCAATTTACATGCTTCATCCATGTCCAGTTCGATGGGGCAATCAGATCGTTCCACCAGAATATACACGTGCTAGTACAAAGGCCCGAAGGACAACTGTCTGCATACAACCACGCCCGCTTTCATCTTCTGGCACTACACAATGCTCTCGGTACGGATGCCTTCGTGATCCGGGAGCTTTGCTGATCGTGGACCGTGTAGGGCCAACGTCGAATAGGCAAAATTGACGTCCATCACCACATATTCCCGCCTTCTGAGATATACGACAAGCGAGGCGAGAATGCACGCGTAGGTTGGCGCACTCCTGCCGAGAATTTACCATGGACGCCGGAGAAGAGTATCGAATTCATGGATACCTTTGGAATAGAGAAGGCCATTCTCTCTTACCCTGCCGGTTTCCCTCCGAGCACCGGTCCAGACGCGACGAAGATTGTCCGGAACGCAAATATGTATGCAAGTGACCTATGCAAGAGGCATCCTAGTCGATTCGGATTTTTCGCTAGCTTACCCCAGCCCAGTGATCCTGAGGGTAAGATCTCCAGCCGTGCCTGTGATCAAGAAAAAGAGCTGACAGTCCCTAGTCCTAGCTGAACTTGATTATGCATTGGACGTCCTCAAAGCTGATGGAATAGCGCTTTCGAGCTCCTATGGTGCGGGCTCATCGGCCAGTAAGTACTATACACGACGGACTCATCCACCTGCATTCAGGATGCTGATCCCTGCTACAGAGTATGTGGCAGACGAGACATATGACTCGCTCTGGCAAGCTCTCGATGATCGACGTGCTACAGTGTTTTTACACGGTTGCATGACTCCTTCATCGACGCCATATCCTCACGAAACCTTGGGGCTACCCGTCTGCGAGGTCGGAACCACCCATATTAATGCGGCCGTATTGATCATTTGATACACTGGCAGGTGCCAAACGAAACGTTCAAGGCAGCCGCTCATCTGGTCGTTACGGGCAAGAAGCGCAGATATTCCAACGTGACTATCATCCTTGCGCACCTTGGAGGTTGCACGCCATTCCTGGCGCCGCGGGTCGCAGTCCTATCAAATCATATGGGTTGTCAGCTGTCACCTGAAGAGATCATTAATGATTTCAAGACGTTCTACTACGAGACAGCGCTGAGCGCACATGAATCGACGCTGGAAATGGTGATGCGTTCCGTTGGACCTGAGAGGGTCTTGCTCGGTACAGATTTCCCAGGTACCAACCACCACATACTCGCTTCAGTACTTAATCTCGAACTGAACATATCGCAGCTGTCAGCGAGCGAATGATTAACTGGTACAACGAGCAACTGATCGAATTCCTCACCCCCGATGAAGCTGTGGCGGCGGCAGTTCTACGAGATAACGCCCTTCGTCTCCTGGCACAATCAACGTAGTTATGCAGTTTATGTGACATGCGGGGTATAGATATGAATACGAGTATGTGAGTAGAGATTGTGAGGTAGACTTCAATGGACCGAATAATCCATGGCGTGACGGTCCCTGGTTCCGTCCCTCCGTATTAGTGCGTGAGTTAAGATTAAACATGTCCTTCTTGCAGCCATCTCAATATCTCTGCGTGACCCTTGCCACCCGCAAGGAGAGCTTGGCCATGCCTGCCGTTCGGGTCGTACCATAAACCCTTCTTGACGCCATGCTGATTGAGGTAGCGACGGATTCTTTCGGCCTCGAGGATGGAGTCCTTGCCACCGAGGAAGAACATGTTACGCGACGGATCGCGAACGTGCGGAATGTCCTCGCACCACAGGGAATTGGATGCCCAGTCGAAGTGCCTAATGCAGTTGTAAGGACGACGTGAATAAACTTATGCCATGTACTGACCGTTGGAGAACGTTCGCGACACCCAACTCCGTAGCGACGTAATAACGCATAAGTAACTCAATTGCCTATGATAAAACGTTCAGATAATGCAGTTGACTTGATCAGTGAGACCTACGTTGGTGGGGTTCCGATATATGAAGTTGTAGCAGACATCGCCTTCCCAGATGCAAAACGCAACAGGGTCCACGAAGCAGGAGCGAGATACCATTCTCGCGTGGTCTTTCAACATCCACGAATGGACGAAGGACCCGCTATCCTGATACGTTAGCGCATGAAGAGAAACATCACGGAAGGCCAACCCACTTCGAGTGGCTTAAAACGGTCACGCCCTTGTGTTTGGACGGAGTTTGTGACCTGCTTTTCTCGTCGTCTCCTCTATTCTCCTCATCCACCCATCCTAGCTCCTGCAAAAATCTGGCTAAGCATGTGGCGGTTTCATGCCGGCCCATGGGATCCAGGTAGCGCGGATGAAATATATCCTGGCTGATGTGCGGCTGGAGTGGTACTAGCAGCGGGAGATCCGGCAAGTTATGCAGGAGGTGCGACAGAAAGAGCTCGTACTGAAAGAGCCCGAGTCCAAGTCCATGGAGAAATATAATCGGTCTGGGTCCAGTCGCGGGGTCCCAAGAGGCGGGAATGCGGAGCATGTAGTCCATGCCCTTGTAATTGCCAAAATGCGCGTTCCAACGAGAACGGAGCCGCTTCCGTATCAGCCAGTTGGCCGCGGCGACGAAGGCGTACCATGCGAAAGGACGGGAGGAGACGTTGACCGGATCGACAGTGAGGAGAAGCGCTGGTACCCCAGACGAGCCATCAGGTATCGACGAGCCGGCGCGTTGCTGGAGCATATCAAACACCTCATCCAGTATGACTCTACGTGAGTGGGGTATCTGGTCCGGCGGCGGGAGGTGCGCATTAAATATACTCCAGTATATCCAAGCTTCCACTTCTTGTCTCCGGATCTTCGACCACGGGATCTTGCCGAACCTGTATCCAATGAGCGTTAAGATGAAAGACCAATGTGAATAACGTTACCAGTTGCGAAGCGCGTGCTTGAAATCAATGGCCCGTGGATCGGAGGGACTAGTGACGAATGGTGGTGGTAATTCGCGTTGGTTCACTGGAGAGTCCTCTTCGTCATGAGACCTCATCCCGGCGTGTAGGACGCGCTGGAAGGTGCTCTGAAGATCATGAAATTCGCTGAGTGGAAGGGAACACGGTTCGGATATGGAGTGGGCTAGATGATAGTGATATATACTGAACAGCACCTAGGCAAAATTCAGTGGAGTCCTGCTGAGGTACATGACATTACTCACTTCAACAAGCGCAGCTCCGAATAATACTTGTTTCAACAGAGGGTAAAGCCATACTTGCCCGGTGCACAGGTGGTACACCACATACGCCCATGAAAGCGGTACGACGGACCAAACCGGGAGGACCGCGACAACCAGAGTTATATAGTATGATATATCGCGTGATTTTTTAGGGTGCTCACTGTCCCCAGTATACTGTGAATCCTGAAAATGCAAATATGAAACACCAAACATACATTTCTGACACGTCGTTCACAGTCTCGTCGGCTGGACCACCCATGGTTGGTCCTCGCCAGCGTGTGGATTCCTGAGAGCGCGTTGAACGAGGGGGCCTCAGGACACGGCGACGACCTCAACCCAAGGGCAGCACCTCTCCACGGCCGCGAGCGACTCAAGCCCGAGGGAGACGAATCTCTGGTGGCTTCGGAAGTGGCTGTACCCCGGCCTTGAGATCATCTTGTCACGTGAACTTCGGACTGCTGGCTATCCGACCGTTTTCGTCAAGGACGTTCGTCTTATCCCGTTCTTGTCTGGCTGGCTCTCGACATGTTGCGCAACGCCATCTCTGCGGCCGCTCGCCCTGCTCTCGCCTCGGCTGTCAGTAATCTCCGTCACCTACGATATATGCTTACTGTGATAGCTCACGCGCGTACTTGTAGCGGTCTGCCACTACTCTCGCCGCCGGATTCCCCAAGGTCTCCCAACGGGTTCGTTTGCACCTCAATTCTAGATTACGACACCAAATCTGATGTCCCAAACGCGAATCTCAGCTACCTACAAAATATGGCGGCGTCTACACCGTGCGTGCTGTTCCGACTTATTCCGAACTGAGCGTTCACCTCCTGCCAGGTTACCCTCATTCCCGGTGACGGTATCGGCGCTGAAATCACCGACTCCGTAAAGGAGATCTTCGAGCATGTCAACGCTCCCATTGAGTGGGAACAGTACAATGTCTCGGGTGTGTCCTCGGCAGGCGAAGACCTGTTCAAGCAGGCTATGGAGAGCTTGAAGCGCAACCGTGTTGGGCTGAAGGGTGAGTGATCCCGGCGCGCGCCCTATATAGTTTCATGACGATCGGAGCAGGTATTCTCTTCACCCCCATATCATCGTCCGGACACGTTTCCTGGAATGTCGCCATGCGTCAGCAGCTGGACATTTACGCATCCGTGGTGCTCTGCAAATCCCTCCCCGGTGTGCCCACTCGCCATTCGAACGTCGACTTCGCCATCATCCGTGAGAACACGGAGGGCGAGTATTCTGGCTTGGAGCACCAAAGTTACCCTGGCGTCGTCGAGAGTTTGAAGGTTTCAACTCGGGCCAAGGCGGAGCGCATTGCTCGCTTTGCGTTCGATTTCGCGCTCAAGAACAACCGCAAGAAGGTCACCTGCGTTCACAAGGCCAACATCATGAAGCTTGGTGATGGTCTCTTCCTCAACACGTTCCGCCGGGTTGCGCAAGAGTATGAGTCTCAGGGCATCATTGCCAACGACATGATCGTCGACAACACGTGCGTGCCCGTCTTCGCCGTCTTGTATGCATAACTGACGTCGTGATACAGGTCGATGCAACTTGTTGCAAAGCCCACTCAATTCGACGTTATGGTCATGCCGAACCTTTACGGTGCCATCGTCTCGAACATTGGTGCCGCTCTCGTAGGGGGTCCGGGGCTTGTGCCCGGTTGCAATATCGGACGGGTGAGTCTGCATCGCAGACAAGAATCCGGTCCACATACTGACTTCCTTCAGGACTACGCCTTGTTCGAGCCTGGATGCCGTCACGTTGCTCAGGACATCATGGGCACGAACAAAGCCAACCCGGCGGCAATGATCCTCAGCGCGACTATGATGCTTCGTCACCTTGGTCTTGACCAGCTCGCCAACAACATCGCCGCGTCTACCTTCGACGTCATCAACGCGGGCAAAGTCCGGACACCGGATTTGGGCGGGTCGGCGACCACCTCAGAGTTCACTGCGGAGATCATCAAGAATTTGAACTAGATCTTGGACACTGGACTCTAGACTCATCCGCATCGGCCAAAGATGTTCTGGCTGGGTGGTGTATCTATCGCATCATGTAATAGGTCAGACGCAGCAGGCAATACGATGTTGTATAATCTGCCCCGAGGTATCCTGGATTTCTTTCCACCTGGCTTCGACACGATCACGTGCTCACTGCGGCGAAAGCCGAAGTTAGACGCGTTCTTCCAGCTGCAGGTTGAGAGTAACTCACAGCGCCTAATCCGCTGAGCGCTCAATCCAAGCAGATCTGAAGAGGCTGCGTTTCTGATCTTGATCTGCTACTCTACATCAGTATGAGTGATCCCATCCCCGTTGTTCATGGTTACTATCGGTCCAGCGATATCTTTTGGGAATGGTGAGTTGGTGTCCTAATGGCACGATCCTCTCCTCGCACACCAGATACTCAAGACGTGATGCAGGCATCAAGTTCTACCAAATCCCGAGGATATACATCCATTGAAGGCTCTCACATCCTACGAAGCTCTCGTCCATCCTGATCATCCTCTACGCAAGGAAGGCCAGGATGGAATCGAGCTTTATTACGGTGAGCGTAGCGTAGATCGCAGCATACTACGCCATACGAGACTAGACGCTCGTTAGGCACTCTGGCCAACGGAGAGGGCCGCTTGCTTTTCTCCTCTGCCCAGATCGAATACATCCGTTACTGGCTCCATGCGATGGGGCTCACGAAGGAACCTATTCCGATTCCTCACTCAAAGTGCCTGCTCACGCTAGAGAACGACCTTGCCAGCGTATCTCCTTGGATCTACAAGGATTCTGACACGTTGAAGCGAGCGACGAAGGTAAGTAATCAGAGCCCGTCTTGACTCGCGTCTGATCTAGCGATCAAGGACATCGAGAAGAACAACAAAAGGTTGCGCAACGCGGTCCCGCTCATTTCAAACCGCTTGACGTTCGAAAAGGTGCGATCGTACTGGGCAGGGAAGTCTGGGACATGGTGTGCCATCGACTTCGAGGGATGGGAGATGGAGCATGCACTCATCACCGAGGTCGGGTGGAGCTATGCTCGTTGGCACAATGGCAAGAGGGATGAGAGTCATTCTCACCTCATCGTCGAGGAAGCTCTCGGGTATACCAATGGAAAATACGTTCCCGAGAACCGGAAGGTTCGTCTCACGAATCTGCAACTCCTAATTTTTAATTGAATAGACTCTCCACTAGAACTATACTTTCGGTGAAAGCGAGTACGTCACAAGGTCGCGCATGAAAGAGCGCGTGAAATCCCTCCTCAAGGATTTATCATCCAACGGGCCGCTTTATCTTGTCTTCCACGACGCCAATCAAGATATCAAGTACGTCCGGAGTGTTAATTATTGCTTTGCTGATCGCGAGTATGCTGAATGCATGTAAGGTATCTGCAGAAGATCTTCGGGGATGCCTACCCGGACCTTGTCTATACCCTTCCAGAGTTGCCTCCGGACGATGGTATTTACGTGGTCGATACTGCCGTCCTGTTCAGTGCTCTTGAGGGTGACGCTGGCAATAAGCGCTCGCTAGAGCGCATGTGCAGGCTTCTCGGGATCGAGACTCATTATCTCCACAACGCAGGTAATGATGCGCATGTGCGTAGCCTTGTTGTTCTCCATATGCAGATGCATCGCTGAAAGGGGCGGCTAGTACACCTTCATGGCCCTGATGCAGATGGCCTCGGGCGACCCACTTGATGCGCAACGCGAGAAGCGTTGGCCGAAGCATACCGAAGCGCCAAGTGCACAGGGCGGACCGGGAGGTTTGCGCGTCCAGTTCAAACCTCACGAAGAGAGTGGTGATGTGAGTACCTACCCGCAGGTTTCGGTGCGGCATTTACTGACTGTCCTCTAGGCGTCCGATATGGAGGGCGTTGCTCCCCCATGCTATGATCCTGAGACAGGTTACCTTCGTGGCTACGGTCCTCCGCCTGACGACGTGACAACCCTGCCGGAACTTAAGGTCACAGAAGACGATGAACCGGCCCCGGTAGAAACTCTTGCTTAACAACGTCGTAACAGTACGACGCGGGCCCGCTTTGTATTTCCTTTCATCTAGATCCATCTTGCATCTCGTCCCGGCCCATTATATCCCGAGTGGTTCCTTCCATCCGTTCACGTAGGGGTGAAGTGTACGATATGTGCAGGTTCGAGTCTTCCCAGTTTATTATAGTTTTACGTCATCAATTTTTCTTCTCGTCCGTCTCGGGCTCCGCGTCATCGTCTTCGTCGTCAGAGCGGTCATCGGTGACCTGGTCGGGCGGAGCGAATACCGCCCTGGAATATGGATCAACACCACAAACCTCCATACAGGTACTCGGTCGGGGGGCACGTACCGGTAAGCGATTCGCAGAATGTAGTAGTACCAAAATAGGTTCAGACAGAGGAGGAGCAGGAGGGGTGCAAATATCTGGTACTTCATCCACCACACCAACCAGACGCCGTCCTCGGGGTACCAACGCTTGGATGTCTCGCTGCCACCAAAATTGAGCGCATGCGCAAGACGGAGGATACGTATAACCACGTACGGCATGAGGTCAAACTCGAACCACACGGACCAGAGCATGACGAAGTTGAGATAGAGTCGGAAATATGACCACATTCCCATGAACACTACGAATGATACGATCTTGCTATGGTCCAGTTTCAGGTAATTCAGCAATTTGGAGACCTTCGAGTCTCGTTGAGGAAGAATGTTCACTGTCAATCGCAGTCGAAGCTCACCGCAAGGAACCAGTCCGGGATATCCATGCTCATGTAAACAGCGTTGCCGATAAAGGTCATGTTAATAAGGTAGCTCCATCTGCGAAGACATTGATTGGTTGATACATAACGACGATGAGGTATGATCCAAGAAAAGCACTGACCCGATTAGCCAAAGAGTGACGAAATGATGGGCTACGAGTTCCGCGTAGTCCGACCGCGGTTTTTCGAGCCTGAGCAGCATTACCAAGAGCTGTTGGCACCAATATGCTGCTTGCATCAAGTAATAACGCTTGAGCTCGGGCTTCATGTCCCAATGAGGGTAGTCTGACAATCAGGAAATGAGCCAGACGGCACTCGCCGGAAGACGAACGAGGGTTATACCAATCCAGAAGTACTTTGTGTTGTACCACCATGTCGGGAGTTGACCCATGATACGCTGCATCACAATGAGCATAACAATTACGTGCGAACATAAAGAGGACTTGCGTAGCCCCATGCGCCGAAGAACCCAAAGTATACGATCGCGTAAGCCTGCTCTCCAAACCGCTCGATCTTGGACTGTTTGTTCAAGCCAAAGTACCGCGCCGTGGGACGGCAGATATTGAGTGTGATGAACTGTCGAACGAACGACCACACAATCATATGGTAAGCGACGAAGACAAGATCCATGTAACCTTTATGGTAGCGGGGGTCGTCTTCCGGGGAATCCGGAATCCGGTGTGAAATGTACAACATCGGCTCGAACGGATTGGGGTGGTTGGTGCCGAGATACGACTGGATCCATTCCCAGTTGTAGTAGAGAACGATAGGAATGAGCATAAGTTTGAAGGAAGAGGCTGATATGCGTGTCAGGGCAGCCGGAATGGTAAGAACATGGGAGCATTGACCTGGGCGAACAATCCATCTGCCAGTCTTGATGTCGGACCACAATCCCGTGGACTCTGCAGCTCGCTCCGCCGAGCTGTTCCTAGTCTGGCTAACGTTCGGGGGGGAATCGCTAACGCTCGAATCCATGTCTAAGGGCCTAAACAGTGCGGTAAGAGCTGGGCTCAAGCGACGAACGGTCGTCGACAAACGTTTGCGGCGCAAATGGACCGTTGAGGTGATGAGCTGGGTCGGCCCTGGTGACAGACATGTTAGCGCTATAGCAAGTGGAAATTATTCCTAGTATTGACTCAATAGTCTCTATCTTCGAGAGTGCGCGTCCACGTCGCTTGGCGGCCATCGTTGATGAGGTCGGAGACGGCAGAGACCACCGAATATCCGTGACAAGTCGCTGGCACGCTGCCGATTCCCTCGTCCATACGCGCTCCACGTGACTGATGGAGGTCGCAGCACGGCGAGTCTGATGCTGCCCATGCCGCTATCGGGATGTTCACCTCGCTTGGTTTGTTCCGTAACCTGCCCTGTCCCGACGCGAATTGCAGACGGGGCGGCAAATGTCTGTACTCGCATAACCCGGAGACGAAGCCGCCATCGCTGCCGAAGATACCGCTTGAACAACCAGCGCCACCTCGTCCCGCCGCCGCAGAACCGTCCACATCCAAGAGCGTATCTATCCCAGTCAAGCGGCCTGCGCTCCCTCATGGAGGATCTCCACGGCCTCATGGGTCTTTTGCCTTTGGAAGTCCAGGTCCAAGCAGCGAACCTCCGCGGAAGTTGCAGAAAGTGGGGAAAGGGATTCAGAAGCCAGTCCCCGCGCCCGCCGCGTCGTATACGCCAGTACGATGGTTTGATGCCCTGGCTTCGGTCGTTGTGCTCATACGCTTCCAACTCATAGACTGGTGCACCAGTGCTCAGGGTCAGTGCCGCCCAATCGCAAGTCCCAGTCCCTGTGCGACAAGTGAGTTTACATGCCTTGACAACGTGTCTATGGCGTGCCTGAAACCCAAGCTGCCGTGTCTCTTGTCCACCGACGTTGATACTGATACACCCACCTCCCTTCAGGCCATGCTAAAGAATCTTTACGAGCATTTCGTAGTCCTCTACGAGCATATCTCTGCTACGAATCCGACGCTTGCAGCCGACCACGCCTTGCAGCAAGAGCAAGAAGTGTACAACAAGTCTACCAAGTTGACCTATCGCAATGTAGATGTCCTCTCTCCTCTCCGGATGCACACCGATACGATGCTGAACGTGCATATAGGCTGTAATCAGCTCGATCGCAGCCCTCAAGAAGCGGCCGAAGCCAGATACCACAGCGCATCCGTCCGTAGGCACAGAAGGCCAAGTAAAAGCCAGGCAAGAGACCAAAACCAAACTCGAAGCCCTCAGGCTCACACCGGAGCATCTCGAGCCTCTCATCATGTCGCGTGCCGAGATGCAGGCTTGGGGTTACTTGGTCGATATCCCACCAGGTCCAGGAGGCGAGAAGCCGAGCGAGGAGGGCGGCGTGATGAAGTGCGACAGGTGTGCGACCATGTTCCAGGTCAAACGGAAGGACGAGGCAGAGCAGTGCGAGTACCACTGGGGCAGGGCTTACTCTACAAAAATCAACGGTAGGCGGCGCCGCTTCGCGGTGTATGCGTGTCCGATCGATCTTTCCACTCTATAGGTGAACGAATGCGGTTATACTCCTGCTGCTCGCGCTCAACGAGCGACGGCGGAGGATGCACTAAGGGACCGCACGTTTTCTACGAGACAAGCCTTGAGGAACTGCACAAGAGGCACGCGTTCTCGCTCACACGACGTGTATCAACGGATGGCGTGCCCGATGACGGCGGTGGCTCAGACACAGCTTTGGATGTCGCTGCACTCGACTGCGAGATGATTTATGTGCGTTCAAAGCTCGCTGTCGCTTAGACGCAGCCTAACCGGCGATGCGCAGACCACCGGTGGCATGCGCGTCGCGCGTGTTTCAATAGTGGACGGCTCCGGTGCAGAAGTCTTCGACGAGTTTGTGCGAATGGACGAGGGAGTCGAAGTCATGTGAGGATCATTTGCTCATTCCAGCATCATATTGTCTAACTGATGAAACCCTGTTTAGTGACTACAACACACGCTTCTCGGGTGTCACCGCGGAGTCCATGGATAAAGCGCGGCTGACATTGTCTTCTCTCCGGAAGTCGCTCGACGCTTTGATCAATGAAAAGACTATACTCATCGGGCATGCGCTCGATAACGATTTGAAAACATTGCGCATGATTCATCACCGTTGCGTTGATACCGCGATTCTATTCCCGCATCCCTCAGGACCTCCTTATAGGAAGGCCTTACGGTTCTTGTACGTCCATCCCTTTGCGAACGCACTTGTCACTATAAAGCTCATATGCCGGCCGTGCAGGGTCAAGGAGCATCTAGGCCAGGTCATCCAGAGCGGCGGAGGGAGTGTGGGCCACTCCTCCGTCGAGGATTCTATTGCCACACTAGACCTCGTCCGGTGGTATATCCTTAACAGAGGAAACCGCAAACCGAATATCCCAACGTTATCTCATCTTCCGGCGTCGTCTAGCGCCAGTACACCTTCCGCCACACCTTCCACCTCCCCAGTGATACCCCGCACTTTGACATCCAATATACCTCAGCCGTCCCCAGTCTTGAAGACGACGACTCCTGCCCCAGCGAATGTAGTGGACTTGACAATGTGGGATTAATATATGTACAACCTGGACTTCGCATCGCATCCCGTAATTATTACACGTAGAACAGAATACCTCGCCACTCCTCCGGATATGAACCTCGTTACCTGCGCAAAAGGGCCTGCCGTCTCCGGCGTCGATGCACTCGATGACTGGCCGAGGCTGATGTGACTGCGGCGGGGAACTGCGATGTTCTTTGCCACAAGCTCCCGAGGGAAGCAGAGACCGCATTGCGTGCGGACAATGCGGCAAAATTCACAACATACCTGCCATTTCTGTGCATCAGGAAAGAGGTTGAATCCGAGACGGTGCAAGGCTAACCGACTCGCGAACCTAGTCGCGCCATGGTGTCCTCGCTGTTCTCCTGCTCCTCGATGCTGTCTGACTGCGTCACGACGCGCAGCACGGACTTCTTCGACGACTCTTGCAGCTCGCCCGCGATAATCAGCTCGTCCAGAATCTGTGTTGATCGGTGCGATGATCAGTTTTCGCGGGATGACAACATCCGGGCAGATCGTATCTACGCACCGCATACGCTTTCTGGAAGTTGAAGATCCTATGTGGCAGTATTCTCAGCGCACGGAAGGCAGAAAGGGTTTCCGGGGGGGGGGGCGTGGCCCATTATCGCCGCACACTCACAGGTCGAGCTCGCACACCTGTTGACAGAGTTAGCGTTCGTTTACGGCAAACCCGCTGGACACGAGGACGACGGATACGCACGTTCCCAAAGTATCTGTCGAGCACTTCCACGTAGCGGTGGATGATCTCGAGCGTGATAAGCTCGTTATCCGACCCGGTGATGCCGCACACGAAGAACAGGGAGGCGTAGCGCCTGTAGACAACCTTGGTATCTGTCGGTGTTCGAGATTCGTGCCTCAGCGAGAGTCCATACGTAGTCGCTGAGCGGTGTGGTTCCTCGCACCCTTGTACTCGAGAAAGTTGCACATTCGTGTCCGGCGAGCGAGGACGAGCTGAGTGACGTCCTTGACGATCTTCGCCTTTTGCTTGGGCGGTAGAGTCGTGAACCATTTCGCAAGGCGGACCTTCCCTGTTTTGAGCACACGGTCTTAGCAAGCGTCGCAGTTCCAGGTAGGAGAGACGAGCCTTGCCGAGACACGAGCAGGATGTAGTTGATCATGGCAGCAAGGTTACCCCTGCGCTCAACTCAGCCAGAATATCAGGCGTCTAAATATATCCGTCATCCTATTTGACCTCTCGATTCTATGCAACATGTATGAAACACGGGCCAGACATCAGTTTGCGTACATCGTCATCGACAATAATAGTTGGACTAGTATAGATAATGACGAAGACCGTGGAAACTAGTAGTGCAAAGAGCGAGAAGGGAAGATGAAAATGGCCAGTCAGAGGGCGAGGTCCATGATTGATTGTTTATGAGGTATGAGGAAGATATTGCGGGTCTCGGCACAGAATACAGTTTATACGATGCACAGACTGATGACGAGGAGTTGCGGGTTAGAAGTGGGAGGTTTTTTAAACGAGCGTATAGTGTAAAAACGAGTGCGTTGGTGGGAGAGGGGAGAAAATCCGATTTCCGCTGCCAGGAAAGTAGTAGTAATGTGTGAATAGCTGGGAGGAAGAAAAAAAAAGCTGAATTCGAAGATCTGTAGTGTGATATGTGACAGAAAAACGGGAGGCGCGTATACCGCATACGCAGGAATGTGCGGTTCCATTAAAAGCCAGAAAGAGAGGGAGAACCGGTGAGAAAAGAGCGAGGCGACGAGCGCGACGAGGTCGTTCGTCAGAAGATGGTGCTTTGCCTGCCCTTGCCCGGCGTGGCGAGGGCAGGGTTAAGCGCGGCGGGTTGCATCCCCGGTTGTTGGACGAACTGCTGCGCCATGGGCATACCCCAGCCGCCGACCATCGGCATGCTCGGCGACATAGTCATCTGCATACCCATCGGGTACATGCCCATACCCTGCGCCATCGGGTTCATGGGCATCGCCATCGCCATCCGTGGATCCTGGAACGAGTACGAGCGCGTGCCCGTACCAAACATTCCGACGCCGGGACGTCCCCCTTGCGAAGAGCCCGAGGAGTGGGGCACCGCGTTCACCCTGTCCGAGCTCTGACTGCTCGGTAACCGCGGGTGCGGAGAGAGGTGCGTTGGCGACTGCCCCGGCCGCGGCCTTCGGCTCCCCGACGAGCTGCCGGACGTCGAGTTCCGCCCGGGCGACGATTCGCCAGATCTTCGATCGCTGTCCCGCGAACCCGATCCTCGCGAGCTGTTGCGCGACCGCGGGCCGTAGGACTGCATCATGAATGGAGCGGAGGGAGGGAGGAGGGTTTCGCTAACGGGACTGTTGGTGTACATGGCACCCGGCATGGCCATCATCGGCATGGGAGGCACGGGCGGCACGTTCGTATTCAGCATCATGCTGATCGGCCGGCCGGACGAGGACGTGTTCGAGTGCGCGGACGTCTTGCGGCTCCGGACCCGCCCGCGGTCTGCCGCATCGGCTGCAGCAGCGGAGGAGGAGACCATGGACGAGCGTCGGCTCGCGCTCCCAGGCGCCGTTCGCACGTCGTCTGCGGACGGATAGCCTGTCAAGTACACCGAGTGCCTCGCAGTAGACGGAGGGTTGCGGGCGGGCGAAGGATCTCCCGCGCGCATGGTAGTGACGGCCGGCTCCGAGGCCTGCCTTCGCGGCGGCATGGGCTCGAAAGATCGGCGGTCTGACGCCTGCGACACGGCCCCGGAGCTCGTCCCTCTATCGGGCGCAGGCGGCCTGCGATCAGGAAGGAAGCTCGACGGACCCGGGCCGGCGGCGAGCCCAGTACGGGACATGGATTGCCTCTTTCGGGCGGCAGCCACTTCGTCGGCGTAACGACGCTGTCGGCTGCGCTCTTCCTCGAACTCGCGCTTCTCCTTCTCGAATCGCAGCTTGTCCTCCTCCATCTTCCGTCGCTCCTCCTCCATCTTCCTCCGCTCCTCCTCGAGCGCGCGTCGTTCGCGCTCCTCCTTCAGGAACTTCGCCTTGTCTTCTTTTGCTTTCCGCGCCTTGAGGGCGTAGCCGAGGGGTATCGATTCGGACACATCTTTGGTTTCCGGTGCGAACCGAACGCCTTGCCTGGCGGGTGCGGGCATTGCTGCTTCTGCTGCAGGGTCGGGAGAAAGCGGAGATGTGGAAGAGGAGGGGACAGGCGAGCGTATCGTGGATGACGAGGCGGGGGAAGGCTGGCTCTTCGCGGACAGCGGAGCAGACAGGTGCAGGTTCGCAGTGTGCGCTGGCACTCGAGGAGCCGGAGGCGAATGCTCGATGCGCAAGGGCGACGGGCCAGTCTTGAACGGGCCGGCAGCACGCGACGCGACGGTGGCTGTGATGACGCCATAGGTCAGCGTAAAATGACGATGAGACACACGAAACGAAACGCACCCGGCAGCTGCGAGCTGCTGCTCGACGCGGACGAAGCCGGCTCGTACTCCGGAACAAAGTCGCCCGCAAGGCCCGCCAGGGCCTCCAGGCCCATCGAGAACTCGAGCGACGCAACAGCGTACCCTGGCCTGCCGATCACGCGCTGACCAATGAGATCGCCGTCAGCAGTACCTTTGCTCGGGTCGTCGGCGGCGGTCGTCCACAGCGTGACGCGGTCCTCGAAGCAGGGCCGGTCGGCCCAGCGTTGGAGACCCTGGCTGTACGATCGTATGCGTCGCGTGTTCGAGAAGGAGGCTTCGTCGAGATGGAAGGAGGGACGTTTTCGCGTGCCGTGTTTGGCAGCGAAGGGAGCGATGGAGCGTTCTTCGGCGGCGGAGAGATCGCGCCGTTCGAGCCGGCGGAGTAAGCGTGTTTTGTGTAAGCGGGATTCGAGCGAGTCGGCGCGGACGAGGGTGCTCGATGGGTTGACGGAGCGCGGAAAGAGGGGCATGCCGTGGAGGTGGAGGAGGGGAGGGGGATATATCGGTGGGGTCATCGTGCTGGCCGTGAACGTGCTCAGGTTGCGGGCGGCCGTGCCCAGATTGGCGCGGGCAGCAGCGGCAGCAGACTCCCGCGGGATAGCTATTGTCGGGCGTGTCGGCGTCGGGACGTCCTGCTGGTCGTAGCTGTCTTCCGAATCGGTCGACGAATCGTCGTCGGAATCGCCTTCGCGCGAGGTTTTCCCGGCGGCGCGGAGAGGTGGGGGCTCGCGCAAGGGGGGAGGCTGTCGAGGCCGCCAGTCTTGCGCGCGGGGCGTTGCGTCCAGGGCGGCGGCTCGCTGGGGCTCCGACTCTGCGCTGCCGGATTTCCTGCCCATGAGGGTCGCCCTCCACGCCTTCTTGGCCAGGTTGGGGGTCGGGCTCGGGAGGCGGCTCTGGAGGCCGTCATCCTCGGGCGTCCTGAGCGAATCTTCGTACGACGACGCGGACGACGAGGCCTGGTTGCTGCGCACGAGCGGCGGGGGCAGCAGCGAGGGCTCCGTGGAGATGTTGATGCGCGAGCTGCTGGTGAAGAAGCGTGCGGCGCCGCGCTTGCGGCCGATGGTGGACGCGGTCGCGGCGGCGGACTCGTCGGTGGCCTGGCTGTCGACGGCGTCGGACCTGTCTGAGCGGGTCGAGCCCTTGCGGAAGACGGAGGCGAGGCGGCGCATGGGGAGGACGGGGCGGGGCGGGGCGGGGGAGGACGAGGGAGGGACGGTGGTGGTGGTTGAGCACGGCGTGCTGGGAAGAGCCGGGGACTAATCCTGGCGCATCTGGATCGACGGCACGGAGGGGACGGCAGCAGCCAGCGCCGGGAAACAGGACGGGACGTGGGCCAACAGCTCGGGCGAACGCACCCAAGGGACGCTCACCAAAGCCCGGCACACGTGCCTTACCCGGCCACAGCCAACGTCCGTGGGCACTACATCCATACATACATACATACAGCCGTTCGCATCGCACCATCGCTCATATCATCGTCTATTTGCGCGTTCACCTCGCCCTACCTTCCCACCATCTGACCAGCCTTCTCTCAAACCGCTCGATCACCACCCCCACCGAGTCCCCATCTACCCCTGTCCACTGCCCCGCCCGTCTCAGCACCCTGTCGTAATCCTCCGGCACCGTCCCCAGCCTATCGCTCGCCTTTTGGATGCGGTAGCCCTGCCCGGGACGCAGCGGCACACGCCCTGGCGTCTGCAGCTCGTCATCGTATTCAATCGGTAACGTTGCCGACAGAGGCCTGGGAGTGCGAGCGTGACCGCCGGCGCTTCCTGGCCCACGCGAACGCGCTTCGTCCAACTCTGATGCATGACGTCCCAGGGCGAATCGTTCTGTCAGAACGCTGCTGTCTGTCCAACCACGACGCCAAAGTCAACTGGAGCTTCACACCGCCCGAGACCGAGGGACAGGGAGGAGAGGGGGCCGACATCAGATGACGCACCTTCCTTCCAACTCGAATCGTCAGGGCCCAACAACGTTCTCTCGCAGAAGTCGAGATACCGGTCCACCTCTTCTCCGCTCAAGTCGAGCACCGACATCGGCGTTTTCGCGCTGAACGTCTCGTCCCGGTATGCCCTCTCGTCCGACTTCTCCAGGCCGTCGAGCACTTCAAAATACTCGGCGAGCTTGGGCAACGCGCATGCCGCGTCTTCGCCATCAACAGGTTGCCTGCGTAACCGAGGCGCGAAGGAGTTCCGTGAGCGAAGAGCGGACGTGACGCGGACGCCGCCGCATTAAAAAAAGCACACAACACCAACCTCCGTCTACCGTCTAGACCGTACACCATCTTTAGCACCACTATCACAACCGCAATCAGGGTCACCTCAGGCGGCGCGTTGTCCGAGTGATGCCACCCGGGATCATGTTTGCTCGTCCGCTCGAGCCCGGGCGCGAGCGAGTGATGCAATGTCAGTGGCAGCTCTAGCACCTTCGCCACCCGCTTCGCACACGCATACAACGTTGCTATAGTCCCAAAAGGTTGGTCAGTCCCCGGGCAATGCATGGTCATTTTTACATACGAGAACCGCCTAGAGCCCTCACCGCACGCCACAGAAGGGGTGCTGCGTTTATCTCGGGCGTGTGCACCCCAAATCGTGCGTATATGAGCCGTGCGAACCGGGACGCGAGGGCATGAATATGGGTCGGTTTCGGAGCGTGCTGAGGCACCGCATGTGATTCGTAAGATATATGCGCATGGATGAAAAAAAAAAAGTGAAACAGACGGGTGGATGGATGAAGATGGGTCAGCTCACGTACGTTCGGTGACAGGGCTTGCACAGCGTATCTCGACAGGTGAACCGCCATAGCCTTCGGTATGTGACCGAGCCGAACCACGTCAAGAAACGGGACGCGGTAGCCTTCCACCAGCCTAATGACATCTTTAATTAATATGCACACTCCGCAGCTGAGCGGAGGCAAGCTGCTTACCGCAAGATATCCATATATGTCAACGGGAGGCGTATTGTCCAGCACGCAACGACGAGCACGGCGAGCGTACACGCCGGCCTGTCGTACCTCTTACTCCGGTCGTGCTCCGATTGTGCCGGCTCTGCAATTGAACGGTCTAAACGCGGAGAATCGAAGAGACAGGAAGGGTGCATACCCCGAGCATTGCGTTTGATCGAGCTCGCGTCGCCGTCCTGCTCGTCCTCTTCTTCCTCAGACGTGGTGACATCGGACAGCCCGCGCAGCAGGTCGTCTTCCTCCTCGCTGCTGCTGCTCGACGGATCGCCAGCCTGATCGTCGTTACTACCCTCGTCGGGACGCTCATCGGTGTCCTTCGGTGTGATCGGGTGCTTCTTCTTGTCCTTTGGCTGCTTTGTCCGATCGTTTTGTCCATCGCCGTCTTGATCGAGCGCATACAACAACGGTTCCGGCGGCGGAGGCGACGGGAGCACGGCGACATACAGCGCCCAAAGGTCCCGGCATACCAGCTGTCTGACGGACGTGTTCAGCAGGCGTCTCGGTGATCCACAGAGTCTAGGGTAACTGCGCACCTCGAACTCGGGCGGCAAGCCCCACAATACTGTGAGTGGCTCGATCTGCTTGCGGAGAAGCAGTTGCAGACACTGGAAGTAATGAAACTTCGCGCGGTCGCCGTGATAGACTACCGTGACAAAAGTACCATGAGTATATGCGCGTCCCTCGGACGACAAAGAGCCGCGCAACTCACCCTTCGGATCCGCCGCGCTCTGCTTCTCCTTCTTCTTCCGCCCGGACTTGAGCGTCCTTTTCTGCATCATATGCGGCCCAAACACATCCTTCTCCGAGTTCTCGTTCCGATAGTTCTGACAAAGTAGGAAAACGTGCAAGATAACGGGCTTAGCATACCGCCGATCTCTTAGTTCGCGAAGCTAACTTGGAGAACATGGCCTTCGCTGCAGGTGATCAGACCGCTCGCAGGTTCTTTGTGCCATTGCTTCGACTGGCATACAGGACAGCGTTTACGCGGCATGCTTGAATGCGAGCTGTTTGGGGATGTCCAGCGTCAGCCAGCAACACTGTCGCCGTTGCCGAAAGGATTGGCACGAAAGCCAAGGAGGCAAAGAAGGAAAATGCCGACGGTCCGGCGGGAAGCGCTCGATATAATCTCGTGACCGATCGTTGCATTCCACGCGATATATAGGACGACGATAAACGTCAGGAGCTCATATGCACTACGCTTAATATACAGCCAGATCCATTCTTATTACCTCCCAAGTCGATCCTTCGTCTAATCGCTGAGAAGAGTGGTCTCGATGATGATGCCGGTGACGCGGTAAGGGTCTGTGCAGGAGATCGGTCAGTTTGATCAGAACAGCTGAGACAAAGGGGCATGCACGCACCGATGTTGGAAGCGGGACGACGGTCTTCCATGTAGCCGAATCCCTGGGCGGCGACGGCACGGGGGATACGGATAGACGCGCCACGGTTGGCGACACCCGAGCTGAACGAGCCGATGTGGCCGGTCTCATGACGGCCGGTGAGACGGAGGTCGTTGTCCTCGCCGTAGACGGCGATGTGCTCATTGTGCTTCTTCGAGAGCTTCTCGATTGCGGCTTCGATATGCTTCATGCCGCCCGGCTCACGCATCTCCTTCGTGGAGTAGTTGGTGTGGCAGCCGGCGCCGTTCCAGTCGCCCTGGAGCGGCTTGGGGTGGAATGAGACCTTGACGCCCCACTGCTCTGCGATGCGGATGAGGAGGTAGCGCGACATCCAGAGGTGGTCGCCCATAGAGATGCCCTCGCACGGGCCGACCTGGTACTCCCACTGAGAGGGCATGACCTCGGCGTTGATACCGGAGATGTTGATACCTGCGTATAGGCAGGCACGGTAGTGCGCCTCGATGAGGTCGCGGGCAAAGACCTTGCCAGCGCCTGCATTACGTCCCATCAGCAAATATACACGCATCGCTGTCGAGTTAACTCACCGGCACCGCAGTAATACGGTCCCTGGGGTCCGGGGAAACCACCCTTGGGCCATCCGTAGGGCGCGCCATCGACGTCAAACAGGGTGTACTCCTGCTCAATACCGAACCACGGAACGTGGTCCTTGGCAAGGTCCATCACCTTCTTCGCGTGATGCCTGTAGTTGGTCTTGTTCGGCGTGCCGTCGTTGTTGTAGCACTCCGCCATGACGAGAATGTTGTCGCCGCCGCGGAAGGGATCCTTGAAGATCGCCGCCGGGCGAAGGTAGACGTCCGAATCATGGCCGGGAGCCTGGTTGGTGGACGAGCCATCGAAGTCCCAGATGCGCAGGGATCCGATATCGGTCACCTTCTTGGCGACAGTCTGCGTTTATGACTCATATCAGCGGAACTGCTCATCGTCGCTCGACGTGGCGTGCTCCGGGCTAGCGCCCGCTCATCTGCGCGAGCGCTGGCCCATCGGACACTGAAATCGCACTAACCGTAGTCTTGGAACGGAGTCCGCCATCACCGTCAACCCAGACATCTATACGGTCGTCAGATCGCGACATTCAGGAGCGCGCGGAGCAAGGAACGACTTGCATTCAGCCTGGATCTTGTCGCCCTGGGGAAGAGCGAGGAACGGGGCAAGAAGCTCAGGCTTGTAAGCGTAGGCCATGACGGCGGTAGTAGAGGATGAACGGAATGGAAAAGAGTTGGGGCACGGTGTCGGAGAGGTTTGATTATCTTATAGCGCCGGGAACGCCCCAGGCACAGCACTAGCATGCGATGAACCGCGCCTTATCAGGCCCCAGACTCGACCGAGCAGTCATACTCCCTTCCTCCGTCCGCCGTGTCGACAACCCTGGCGCGTGTACCAAGGACGCGGGTATCATGTTCTAGCTACGCCATAGAACGCGTTGCGAGCAATGTGACTACTCCCCACACCCAGAGCTGAAGCGGATGACTCTCGGCCGATACCTGCCTTCTGGCATAAATCGAGCGCTGTCGGCAGCTAATGCTTGGCCAATCAGTGCCGCCTGAACTGTAATCCTGCGCCCTTTCCACCAAATTATCGAGCCCTGATCGACACGGACTGCGATATGATAAGTATGCTCAGGTGCATGAACGACTCGGTTTTGAGTCTTGCAACCTCAGCACTAGCGGGGCTTCGGATCTTGGTTGGATTGTCAGGTTATATTTCGGATCTGCTTGCAACGTTGTGGCTGCGGCTCGCACGGATGACAGATTTATCCTCAGCACTTCTGTGCCCCAGAACGAGATCCGAGCAAAGACGTCGCACCATTCTATTCCGCGATATGCAGGGTATAGTCTAGAACAGAGGTATCTCCACCGAAATTCCTGTTCATCGTTTCCGAACAGTCTTCCTCCTCTTGCCTCCGGCCTTCGAGGTCGCCAAACGACCACCTTTGATGTTCATGGAGAGACTACTCTCAGGCCTCTCGCTGTCGTAGCTTGGCGTTACGCTGCCGCTTCCCGGAACATCCGAATCTACGTCATCCGTTTCGGAATCGTCCTGCTTTTCTGCCATTCCCGCTGATGCAACATCGTGGGCAGTACCGCTTTTACCCGTGGCCTTTGCGAACAATGCTGTCAATAGAGCGACGAACCACGTTCTCCGAATGGATGGCGGTGTCGCAGCGGATGTATCCACAGGGATGAGGTCCCCGTCCGGCTGGTACTGTGGAGAGTTGACATTGACCAGTTTACTCATAAAGCGCAGACGGTCGCTCACAATGAAGACGTCGCCGTTTGGCTGAACCACCATGTCGAGAACCTTCCCGCCCACGACGTTGCCGTTTTCGTCCAGACGAGGTTGGCCACCGAGGTTGACCTTCACTTTCCTGCTGGAGTCAGGCGGTGCCAACCGGGTGCCCCATGCTTGTTGACGCGCTTCTTTGAGGGTACGTTCGACGATGGCGAGGTCTCGCTTGTAGTTCATGCGTTGCACAAGGTAGTGCAGAGCGGACGTGAGCAGTGTCAAGAACACCAGCACGGTCTATTGCAATGCGGGTTGGGGAGTTAGCCCGAGCTTGTAAAAGACGGCGACGGGACGTACAAATAAGCCCGGGCGGAAGCGTGAATAGTAATAACCGGTTCCTCGCCATTTCGGCACGCCGTTCTTGTAAAAGAAGTTGTACCTTGGGCATCCGGCGTGTCAGTGCCATTGACCATGCTCATCGGTGCAGAGTTCAGACCTTTCACGCGTCTCTGCATTCCTCAGCAACGCGGCAACGACGCCCAACCGCGCGAATCGCTCCTGAGCACCCTTGACGCCGGGGTTCTTGTCTGGGCTGAAAAACGCGCTGTGATTAACGAGGACATGTCATAAGCGTGCGGTAAGATACACACTGTAGCTGCATGCTCTTCTTGCGGTACGCCTTGCCAATTTCAGCGGTGGACGCCGTCGAGGGCACGCCCAACCAGGAGTAGAACGTCGTGCCCTTGCCCTCGGAGGCCTCCACGGCGCTCACAAGATCAAATATCTCATGGTCCTCCTAAAAGCAAGTTGACAAAGCTAGGACCGGCAGTTATATGGTTGACGAGTGGTGCATGCCGACCTTGGTCCACCTAAGGTGCGGTTTGAGAGAGAGAACGAAGGAACGCGCAAGGGGGAACACTCACGCATATACACTGGTAGCAAATATTGCTACCAGAGCAACCCAAAGCAGAAGCCGCATAACGCACACCCGTTGGCGCAAAAACCAAATGAGGTGCCAGCTGGTGAAGACGGAGACGGAAGAACCTGCAGAACCGGGAGGCTGTGCTTCCCCACATCGGTTGACCTGGATGTCCGAGTCCGTATGCGTTACATGCAAGAAAATCCCTCCACATATATGGATCAGGATATTCCGAGACAACGGTGCATCGGACAAGAGTGCACTTATGTTCTTCAAAAAACTGTGCGCTATGTAACCCAGATTTGTCGCTGATCGCATCTGACACGAGCACATCCTGGTCGTGTTTTGACGCCCTCGACCTCTTGTCATACGACCTGGCGGGTCGTTCAGCTATAATACTCATCATACTGAGGACACACTCTTCAGTATATCGATTGCTGATCTTGACAAACTGGGTATACAAGATGGCAGTGATCGTAAACTATTACTGGACATCCTCTGCAAAGCGCAAAACGAGCATCACGGCGCCGAAGCGGTTGTTTCATTCAAGAGGGCGGCTGAAAGCTGCTTTTCTGCCGAAGGCTCACTGGCGAGTGTGTTGCTTGTATGTAGATACTATCCTGGCATTTAATCATTCTTGCAGTCGCCAGCGGCTAAGAAAACAAAGTCTGAAGAGGACAAGGCAGTCACAGTAACCCCTTTCCAGGATTCCACCGGCGACTATGATTTCAATGAGGTGCTTGACGAGGAAATCTTGAAGTTTAAGTCTGTTGGCGGAGTGTATCCCTCTGCTCTCAGAATCGCATGGGCTACGGTTGTTGCCGAACGTCTTGGTTTTCAACGCCAGGAAGCCCTCAGTATAGGTATGATCGGTCTTCTAGGCCTCTTAACCGCTTCATCGGAGTTGCATAGCATGGGCGGCTATACGAGGTAACCATGCTGCATCAAGTGATCATATCCACTTCATGGGTGGGATAATGTAGGACTTCGAGCTTTCTTCACCCTGCGGTGCTCATTTGTCCTTGGCTAGTCCAATCTGTCGAACACCAGTGCGGCGAGCGCTATGTGCTGGCGGCCCCGTATCACCAAGAAAGGCGCACTCATTCATCCAACGCTCGTTCGGTGCGATGACACCGTACATCATGGGCGCTCTGCGACTTCTGGCAGACGCCTACGCACATGAGCCGACGGAACTTAACACGATAGGGCATCCACTATACTTGGAGTTCAGGCCTGAAGATCGTCCAGGCACGCTGTTCCTTGACACGATCCTGTCATTGAGAAAGAGGGCCTATACGAAGCGGGTCGGTACGTCGACTAGCTATACACAGGGCGGCGGTATGAGTAACAGACCACCACATAGCGGCTGATGTCGGAAGCATGCGAAGCTTCATTTGACGAGGAGGATCCGTGTCGGATAGTATGTACATAGCACATCGCCGAGGTCTTGTAAAGAAACACACATTCCATGTATTCGGACTCGGATGTCTATCCAAGCCTCGCAACGGATTCTATGCAGGCACAACACAGCCAGATTGACACCCTCTTGCGAGTGGGACGTGTTTGTCGAGAATTTTGCCGTGAGCAATCAATGCATCGTCTCCAGCAAAAATTGCAAACTGCATCGAGGGGAAGGCAAAGGCTGCAAGCTACACGCAAGTATAACATGGGAGTGCAATCTTGCGTTGGCCGGCATACCAAAACGCATCATTCCACCTGTAGACGGCCTGCAGAGCAGACCGTCAACAGTTGCGGAGCCTCGAAGAACCAGAGGTACCGGAGTCCGCAATGAGAGTGCGGTTCAAACGCGCACGCTGCGTGCCCGCGGTAGGTCGCAGTTTTCTCACGCTGACGCATGACTTCCTGGGTAACGTCCCGTTAGCTTGATCATAGTTGTCCAAGTCACCGTTTACATTGTACGACTGCTCGTCATGCCCAGCACAACCCACAAAATTCCTATACAGTCATGGCTTACGATCTTCACCGGCAACGGCGTCGCGCCCAGAACTGCTATGATGTTCGCTCGTCAGATGTGCGCCATATAAGACTGGATCTTCCCCGGGTTCAAGGCTTATATACTTACACTCTGCCGACATACGTCGACGTTGCGCGAACTCAGGTACAAAACGCACAACACACCTGAGAAACTCTCGCTTCTGTCCGAACCTGAGCTTGAGGACCTTGGAATCACGGACAAGCAGGAACGGAAGCAACTGTTGGCTGCACTTCACAAGGCGGGATATAAGCAAACACGAGGGGCGAAGCGATCGTTCAAAAAAGCTGACCAGGCTCAGGCTGAAGGTTCGAAGTCTGCAGGGGTTTCGGTTAGTGGACCATAGTGATTCGATGGTTTCAACACTGATGACAACGTTGCAGCCTTCGCCGAGCAAGAAGCGGAAAGTAGAGCCTGACGTGAATGAGTTGCTACCAAAGGGACCTGTCGACGAGGGCGCCGATTACGGCAGCTTCGAATTCAATGAGGTGCTCGATGAGGAGGTCTTGAGGTCCAAGTCTGCGGTCGTTAACCGAGCTCCCCTCATGACCGCCTGGGCAACTGTTGTTGCCGAAGCCCTAGGATTTCAACGGGAGGAAGCTCTGAGCATCGGTAAACCGCTTCAATTCAATATGTGATCATGCCTTTGTGCTGATGAAATCTTGCAGCAAGCGTATACACAGAGATGAATGCTATTTCCAAGGGTGTCAGTATCGGCGTATTCAGGCAAGGCAAAGCAGTCGGGATCGAGGCCAGTGAGGGTGGTTCGCAGCCTTTTGTCGACTTGATGGGAAGGAAGATGTCAGTCATTCGTCCCTTCATCATTCTGGTGTCTAATGACAGCGGTTCTAGCCCACTGTATCGAACGCATGATTCTGAAGACGCCTCTTGGCGCGCCTTGAATGCGGGGGTTCCCGCTTCGCCATCCAGCGCCTACTCATATATCCAGCGATCGTTTCGTCAGACCTTGCCATACGTTATGGGGGCTCTCAGACTCCTGGCGAACAACTACAGCGATCGATCAGCGGAACTAAACAAGGCCGGATTTGCGCTGTACGCCGAGTTCAGACCGGAGAATGTGGGCTGGGGCGAGCGCGGGAAGGTATCATGCGAGACGATCCTGTCGCTGAGGAAGGAGTCTGAAGCAACGAAAGCGCACGACGTCGACGAGAAATTGAAACATGCGGACGCCGGGAACGATGCAGGTCATCACGAACCCCCAGGTTCGAAGGATACCCAGGATTCGAAGGACTTAACGTCTGACGAATACGAGGCGGCGTTCGACGAGGACACGAGTTGGATGCTGGCTGTAGGTGACTAACGGTGCGACGAACGGTCATCTTGGTAATGAACGATCTCGTACGAAGGGTATATACATATACAGTAATATAGTGATCACTTCGGAGGGTGCAGCGGGTGACGGAGTTCATGGCGGAGTTGACACGCTGTTCGAAGTCCGCTGCCCTATATCACGCGTCTATAGTCGCGTCTCGACGCGTGTGCTTTCACGTCCCTCTCGATCCATGACCGATTCTCCGCAGTTGAAGAAGCGCAAAATGTCTAACGACCACTCTGATCTTGCCCCGACGTCCAATCTCCTCATCAAGCGTCTCTCGGAGAAGGCCAGGCTCCCCACGCGCGGTTCTGCGCTCGCAGCAGGATACGACATGTACAGGTGAGACAGAGGATACTCTGCTCTATCAGCGACTTTGCTGACCCATCTCAAGTGCCGAGGACAAGGTGATACCTGCGCGAGGAAAGGCTCTTGTTGACACCCAACTTTCCATTGCCGTGCCGGCTGGCACGTATGGCCGCGTTGCACCGCGCAGTGGCTTGGGTGCGTTGATATTCGCGACGTTGTTGCAAGGTCCCGAAGTAACAATGTCCGTAGCATCAAAGCACATGATAGATACCGGTGCCGGCGTCATCGATGCGGACTACCGAGGAACTGTCTTCGTTCTGCTTTTCAACCTGTCTGACAAAGACTTCGAAGGTATGCAACTCCCTACAATGTTCTTCTTGCGTAGATGCCCTCACGCTTCGTTGTGTCCAGTCAAAGAGGGAGATCGTATTGCTCAACTCATCCTCGAGAGGATCGTGACGCCGGACGTATTAGAGGTCGAGAACTTAGATGAAACGATTCGTGGGGCAGGCGGCTTCGGGTCAACGGGCGGGCACGGTTCGCTTTGAGTGGTAACTGAGGGGAACTTCGCGGTGTGCCACAAACAAGTCCGAGTCGACTGGATCACGCATGTCCTGCCTATGCTAATATATATAATTCTGGCATTCATACCCCGCGCTCCGTCATGACTCTAGGAGACTTGACGTTAGATCCGACCACTGCTCGCCACAAAATCACGAGAGCTCGTTGCACCTCCCGCCTTCGCACTCCTGTTGCCCGCCATAAGCCTTTGACAACCATAAGGAGGCACATCAAAAAGCTGATATCCAAGAAGAGCCGACGTATGACGAAGAAAGCCGGAGAGCGGTTTTCAGGTTGCTGATTTAGAAGAAATTCCCGCAATCGTTCGATGCATTGCGCTAGAGGCCGAAGGACATGCGTCCACATCCCAAGATCACTGTACCATTCCCCTTCGCCCGAGCCTTCGCCTGGTGTTTTCGGCGAGGACGGAGTTCGACTGGCAGCCAGCGACGAACGCGATCGTTGAGCAACTCCGGAGGTGAGTTCCATGAGCTCGATCCGTTCCGTGAGCGCTGCAAGATGTGCTTGCATGTTCTCGATTGCACGCTCCAAAGGCATGCGCTGAGGCACTTGCGGGACATATGGCCTCGGTGATGCCTGTGCAGGCCTGTATAAGTTTGGCTGGTATGACACAGCCTGAGGGCCGCTGAACGTGGTTGGGGCCGGGTAACCGGAGACAGTAGGAGATGAAGGTCCGGGGAATGCAGACGGAGTTTCGAAGCCAGGATGCGGTTGCACGGCAGGTGGTGGGGGTGACATCGCCATTGACCCAGCTAGAGGAGTACGGTAGCGGTGCGAGGAAAGGGACGACTGTGGTCGCTGGAAATTAGAGTAACGGATATCATGCGATGGCGGTTGGAGGGGGGCAGGTATTTCGTCGTCAGTCTCTTCCTCGGACGTCGTCTCTTCGAGTGGATGTTCTCCCGATGAGTTCCCAAGTGTACGAAGTCCTTGAAGTGCTTGCGGGTTCGCAAGCGAAACTGGTCGAGAGGATGAGGGTTCATCGTCCGAAACAGTAGAACCCGATGATTCGGAGCCAGGAGAGCGCGACAAGGAACCTATATGGCCATAAGGTTGACGCGAGTGAGAAAGGTAGAATCAAACACACCGCTTAAAACCAAGTTGGACGGGTCTCCACCAAAGGCTTCGAGTTCACGAACAATATCCTTTGCTACGGTCTTATCGGAATACCTCCTGAGGACCTGCGGATGCAAACTACTGATTAAAACGCGTACATATCATACGAGTATGTCATGTACCTTCAACAGCGCGTCCACATAGAGCCACTTTGCCTCGTACGTGTCCAAATCTTTGTGCTTCGCCCATGCATCCCTTGACCTCCATTAACACGTGATTTTGGAGGCTGGAGGGCAGTTGTACGCACCATTTGGCTCGTCCAAGCATATCCCACATAGCAGGTCGGGGGCCCTTGACGTTACCAACGGTCGCTTGAAGTGCCGCAAATGGGTACATTGACGGTACGGTGATTCACAAATAGTGGCATACCCTGCTTGTATAAACTAAGGGCGGGAGGATTAGAGACTGAGCAGGGCGACATAATCCAGGGACATACCTGTACATCGTAAGTTTCTCCTCGTATCCGGTCTGTATAGGCCCTGTCTTCGGTAGACCTTGTACTATCTCCACCGCGCGGTCAAATTGCGCATCAATGAGTTCTCGTGAATCCATGGCTTCAGGAGACGTCGGAGCAGCAGTATACTGTGAGTTATCTAATAGCAAGTTTCGTTCGACCGGAGACAGCTCAAAACCACCCAAGCTGGCAGAAAGCAACAAGTGAGCTATGCGGGACGAGGTGGGTGTGATGGGATGAGCTTGGCGGAAGCAGGTGAATACCAGCAGGCTTCGGCGTTCAGCCGACATTTTCTCACGACAGAACACTGGGTACGGGCAACGCCCGCCAAAGTCGTGAAATCGAAAAAGAGCGTCACGTGATTTTGCACAGCCCTCGGCGACACAAAAGGCGGAGATTTATCGTCTCGGGCTCGCAACAGAGTAGTCCACAATGTAGTATATTACTGGCCGAGATGGATACATCTTAGGGGTGCTAATAAGTATGCGTTGCAAGTTGTAAGATGAGAAACCACATGGTTGAGGTACAATGAGGCAAACAAGGTACTACACCTTGTATCCTCCTCATCCTCTTCATGCTTGAAGCCTCGGAAGCTGCTCTCTTCAGCGTCAGCTGTTCCCTGTGGTGTTGAGTATGGATTGAGCATTAGCAAAGATTGATATGTGTGGTATTTAGCCATTGCGTGAGCTTTCGAGAATTCCTCGGCAAAAATAGCTGCTGCCTTCTCGGAACGGCTAGATTCCTCCTTGGCTGCATGAGCCAGAGCACAGCTTAGCCTCCGGACATCCCTTTGTGCAGCAGCAAGAGCCATAGCTGGTCCAGAAAAATTTTCAGGGTAAAAATTCGCACAGTGCACATATACAGGACCGTGGGAACTAAGTTGTCAGGCTCGGAATAAGGTATTTCTTAACATTGTTGGGCAGCATCCCAGAAGTGCCAATAAATTCTGTTCGAGCACAGGAATATTCTTTCATATGTGGGCAATACATTTGGTATTGATAGATCTCAGGTAGGTATTTTATATAGCGGGATATAGTGCTGTAGAGTGGTGTTTTGGGAGCTACAGGACTGACAGCACAGAATAATCAAAATCGAGCTTGTGTTACCAAATATGTCTACTATTGCGAAGGTTTTATCTCTCATATTCAGTATCTCAATGTCGTGTTCCAAGTTCCTTCCCTTAGGACGAGGAACCGATAATTTGCCTTAGGGGAGGTGGCGTGGGATTTTAACACTGCCACCAGCTCTCGATTTCACGATTTTGGCGGGCGTTGCCCGTACCCAAGAACACCACTCTGATCACGGCAAATTCGATATGGATAGCGGGCACGCATGGAGGTAATAGTGTATGCTGTTTATCGTACGCAGTGATGCAACAAGTCATGGTCCTATGCGAGTGGAGGGCGCTTTAGGTGCAGCAGCCTTGGAGGAGCCTTCTGCCCACTGGTACTTCAAGCCCCCGCGAATCCTCTCCTCCCTTGGGCTAACCTGTTTGCCTATCGTGAATCCAGTCAGCGTTTGTGATCAATAGTCAAATAGGCAAGGGACGAGCGGTACATGAGAATAACGTTACAACATGAACGTACCTTTCCAAAACAACACGCCCCAAGCCTTCCCGTGCTTCCCCTGTAATTTTGTCCGACTCCTGGTGATTTGCCAGTAAGAGTCTTCAATTCCCTTCGTCCCCCATCTTGTCTGGTGTACGATCTTTCCAACACCGTCCGAGGGGTAACGAGAGATGACCTCGTAGAGGTTGCCCGGTCTGGTGGAGAGGGAAGGCGGAAGTTTCTGCGGCAGGAGCTTCTGCAGAGCCTTCGCAGCCTGATAGGCAACAGAGGATGACATGTAACCGCCGGAGTCACCAAGACACGGGCGAGCGAGTTCCGATGAACGCCAGAGACGTTGGCGGAGGGCAGTGGTGGTGCCAGGTGGTGGTGGCGGATTGTAGAGTTGCCGCGAAACCGCGCGACGTGCAGGTTACTCCCGGCCGCGATGTCGCTCAGGTTCATGCTCCATCGTTGCACCTCTCTAAGTGTCCTCAGACAGAGAGATATCGGAGCACAATGGAAACGACAAAAATCTACTACGCATCCTTCCCTGGCCAACACAGACTCCTACGGCATACCGCTCAAGCCGCTTTGGTCCGTCAACGATATGCTATCCTCATACCCCAAACCCTCTGTCGATGCTGCCACCCTTCGCAAACTTCACGACCTATCTGCTCTTATCTCCCCTGAAGAAGGGACAGATGCCCATGCAGCCCTCACACGCGATATGGAGGACCTAGTAAAACTTGTCGAGGCAGTCAAGTTAGTGGACCTCAAGGAGTCATCTGCATTAGACGGTAGAGAACAGACCAACTCTGTGCCTGATGGCCGTATCTGGCCCAAGGGGGAGGGTATGATTCTCAATGCCGAAGAATGGACTGGGACACCGGAACAGGAGGAATGTGGTACTGCGCTCCTGGGGCATGCGTCTCGTACGGCACAAGGTCTATATGCGGTGGACGCCGACAGGCATCGATGAGTGCGTTGCATGAGCTTGTGGGCCCCAGTCTCTGGAGTAGCTCACAAAGCACAGTTCCACGTACATGAATAATCGTGAGGCACGGTGGCTCGCACTTTTCGCGGCTCCAGCTACATGCGTGATGCAACACCCGACACCAATAGACACAGGTAGACACTCAATATTGTCAAATAGCCGAAAGGGCAGACTCGTCGGCCGGTCCTTCCGCACATTCCGAGGGTGCAGTTCGCGATGGTGAATTCGAACTTGAGGAGGCGATATAACCCTGAAGACACAGTCTACTTCAAGCGCTGCCACGGGGTCGATGAAGGAGGGACAGAGTTGCTGAGGGAGATCGTGCCGAATGCGTCTTTGAAGAGAGTTACTGATGTTATTCTTACCGATGTTCTAACGTAGATGATTAAATAGCTGCATAGCTGCATAGCTGCAGGTTACCCGCACACTACCTTAAACCGAAGGTGATAGCCTCAGGGTCTGTAGGAGGGCAAGCACGCGCTCGAATTTGCTCCTAACACCGTCACGCGTCCGGAGACGCTTTCGTTCCAGCGTGCAATCGATTAAAGCTGAACGGTACCTGGAGTTGCCAGTGCTCAGACTGTGCCCTCTCTGTCCTACAAGCGATGAAGGACGCGAATGCGGGCGATAGTCGTTGTGCGCTTCTGCCTAAACTGACTGACCTCGTCATTAGCGACAGTCCGAATGATAGACCTCAAATTCCGTGGTTTGGCCTCTGCCGTGCAGAGGTGGCAGCTCGCCAAGCAGATACTTCCCCTGCGACCGCACGGCTGCAGGTCATATCGTTCGTGGACTGCCATGGGATTGACGAAGGAGAAATTGATATGTTGAGGGAGATCGTGCCGAAGGTGATTGTCAAAGGAGGATGTTGTTCGTATCCTTGTCGATGTTCCAGCCTGAGCATCTAGTATCACGTAGTTGCATGTTAAGTATTTGCAAAACCGCAACATCCCTGTGAGTTACGATAACGGTCAATCTGCGGCATTGGGCATTAAGCTTCGTGAGTGCGCGCCGATGCAGAGTTCTCCACGGATATCCACGGATTGGTCATTCTGACCGTTTGATGGTTCTATTCACCAAGTCATCGCGGGTAAGCACGTGGCAACATCATACTGCCCATGCAAGCGCTCTTCTAACTTCAAGGTGCTTTTCGCTCTCCTCTACGACCTCCAGTGCATGTACTGGCGAACGTCGTGTCATCCTTATCGTCCCCAACACCGTAGTTCAACTGGCCATGGCACAGCATCACATCAAGACGATCATGAAGCAGGCTGATCCGCGTCGTAGCTTGCAACCCGAACGCCAAGACCTTCCGTCTGGTGCATATGTGAGATCTGGGCGCTCACGACGATGGCTGAGCGTGTCCCTACCACAACGAGATCAACCGGACGACCTGAGGTGTCGCGTGCGGCACCGGAGCTGCCGCATCCCGGCGTCGTGAAGCTGCTGCTGTCGCCGTTGTATTAACGCTCTTATCGACGTACAACTGCAAGTCGTTGCTTCTCGACCATCAATATGCTGGATGCGCATGGTGTTTTCCAACAAAGCTGTCCACCAAGCCGCTGCGGCTTGGGCTTGGCAACGAAGTTCGCGCTGACATGTTCTTCTTGCTTGCAACGCACATACGGCTCGATGACCTCGATGATCTTCGTCGTCGTATGCAAGCCACTTCGGACCTGTACTTGATGCGTCCGCGACGCGTGGTCGATGGCGATGCCACGCGTTTCTTCTTCAGATAAATACTGGGTTGCAGGACCATGAAAAAGCACCCCAGGTCGACAGTCCTAGGTGCCCTCGCAGCCTTCCGCGCATAGCTTGCCGCCAGCGTATCATAGCCATGTTCCGCTCTCTTGCGCTCGCTGCTTTCCTTGGCGCTTCCTATGTTCTTGGGAAGCCCGTAGATGCCGTCACCCCCAGGTCAGCCATACGTGCGATTACTCGAATGCTCAAGCTGGTTTATTAACATTCGCTCTCAGGGTGTGCGGTACCTACATCTCGGATGAACACTTGGCGAAAGCCGAGGAGCACTTCCAGGCGAACAAGATCGAGCCTGCTTCCAAGGTCGCCTCTGCCGCCGCCTCCGAGACCACGCTCAACATCTACTTCCATGTCATCTCGAAGAACTCGAGTGTGGAGGGCGGCAATGTCCCGTGAGTAGTGATTTCAATGCGCGCAACTTGCAAACGCTGAATGTCCGACATCATGCAGTCACTCCCAGCTGGTAGATCAGGTCAAGGTGATGAACGAGGACTACGCGGGCAGCGGCATCAAATGGAAGCTCGCGAACACGACGCGAACTAAGCACAAGTCCTGGTTCTCCGAGGTCGGGCCCGACAGCTCGCTCCAGACTGCGATGAAAAAGAAGCTGCGCCAGGGCGGCAAGGCGGATCTGAACGTGTACACCGTCGGTTTCGAGAGCGGCAGCGGCGCCGGTCTTCTCGGCTACTCGACCTTCCCGTCATCGTATGACAGCAATCCCCAGGACGATGGCGTCGTCATGCTCTTCTCGTCCGTGCCTGGTGGTTCGACCGAAAACTACAACCTCGGCCGCACGCTTACGCACGAGGCTGGACACTGGGTCGGGCTGTACCACACCTTCCAGGGCGGATGCTCCGGCTCTGGCGATCATGTTTCCGACACGCCCGCTGAGGCCTCGGCTGCCTCTGGATGCCCGAGCAGCCGGGACACTTGCTCATCTTCCGGTGCTGACCCTATCCGTGCGTATTCTATTTCTGTCCGACCACACTCGTGCAGCATGTGTCTGATGCGTGTGTCTGAATAGATAACTACATGGACTACACCTACGACTCCTGCATGAACCAATTCACAGACGGTGAGTGCGCCTTTGGTCCGCTCAGGGTAATCTTGCTTACGCGGGTGCGCTATGTAGGCCAGATCAAGCGCCTCAAATCCCAGATGGCCACTTATCGCGATGTTTCTCTGTGATTCCCGCAGTATGCCTGGGATCCGGATGCCTTCATTCGTTCAGATCTAGATACCCTGTAGAAAAGTCGATAGCACTAAAACAACGGAAACTTGCACACACTAACGTTGAGTTTACAACGTTGGCAGCCTACGGCAGTGGGCCGACGCTACTTGCGATGCGAATTGCGGCGCCGTGACCAAGGGTAAACGAGAGCGTCGAAACGGAGACGGAACGAGATTTGAATTTGAGGTGGCGGTAGACACCGTCAGGATCGGATGCGGGGCCCCCACGCCGGCCAGGCACCGGAGGCATCCCTCCGAGTCCCTCAGGCTCCATCCTGTCTGGGTCACCGTGATGAGAATTCCCCATTCCACTCCTCCCGCTCTCTCCTATTCACCCCGAGCTCTGAGATAGATGTCGGCGAGACTGACCTGGGCGGCCTGCCTGACCCTCGCAGTCTACGCGGTATTCGTCGAGGGACGTCAGCAACCCACCATACCGAGACCTGCTGACCCCTTTGCGGATCCGAAACACGACCCATACAACCCTCTGCGGTACATCGCGTCAAATGTTTTAACCGCTATCGCATTCAGTGAGTGCGCGAAGCATATGTTTCTCTTCCTTTCGCGACGAGTTTCAAGATTCGCGAGAAGCCCCTCCTTACTCCCGACCGCTGGCCATTTGCCCAGAAATGGTGCTTCTCGCACTTGTTATGTTTAAGATGATCCTGAGATTCGATATCTCACATCCTACCCTTTGCTTAGGCTTGATCGTGCTATGTGCGCTCATCCAGACATATTGGATGCGACGATGGGGTGCGCGATGGATGTCGGCGATGGTCATTGGCGAATATTGTGAGTACGGACCGCTGCCTCTTCTGATATGGGAAATTGGGAATAACATATACGTCTTCCAGGCTTTGCTGTTGGTCTTGCCTGCCGCTTTGGTCTCCACGAGCATCCGGAGAGTAAAGGGATCTACATAGCGGAATATCTATTCGTGGTGCTCTCGGTAAGCCCATTTCTGAGTTAGACTGCCCCTCTCCATCTCACACGATGGGTCAAATAGCCATGTGCCTTCATTGCAGCCGATTACGTGCTGCTTGGCCGTATCGCCCGGCATCTCAATGCGAACCAGTACCTGGCCGTCCCTCCACGGCGCATAACGCTCATCTTCGTCTGCTCCGACGTGACCACCTTCCTCATTCAGGCGGCCGGAGGATCGCTCGCCATATCCGCGAACCACCCAGAGCTCCAGAAGGCGGGGTCACACATAGTCCTAGTCGGGTTGGCGCTGCAACTCGCATCTTTTGCCTTCTTCACCTGCGTCCATCTCCTCTTCCTCTACCGCGTTCACAAGCACGACCCAGAAGTCTGGATTAGAGACGCTGGCCGGAAATGGTACCACGACTGGCGTACGCTCGCGGCTGCCCTCAGCCTGAGCTGCGTTGGCATCCTTATCCGGTCCACCTACCGAACGATCGAGCTCTCGCAGGGCTTCGACGGCAAACTCTCTACGACCGAATCATACTTCTACGGCTTGGACACGCTCCCGCTAGCCGTCGCCGTCTTCGTTTATATCCCATTCTGGCCGGGTCGGTTCATTCCACCTCTGCCGAAGACGGTTGGCAACTCGGAAGAGAAGGATTTGGAAGCGGCGAAGACAAGCACAGGCACAGTTGTGCCAGAAGGCGCCATTCCGGAGAAGACTGCGCGCACCTCGGGCGTGGAAGAGCCTTCGCTCACGCCTGCCTGATTTCATGCAATCCGTTTACTCATCTCACCTCGGCTCTTGTAGATATTTGTTGTTTCGCTGTTCTCATGATACCCGCTCAAGATAGGGTGAATCTCAATCCGGTTTCATATCTGGACATTCCAGACTTCCATTCGTTATTATATACGCGTACGGCGGGTATCAGCCTTGCGCATAGAGACAAGGGTCGACACAAATACATTACATGGATCACGGACTCGGCGGGCCAAGCAAAGCGTACAAATATCTCATAAATCGCCACAGAATGCCCGAAGTCGGGTTTACCAGGATTTGATCGCCTAATAAGGACTGTTCACGATGCCAGAGCGGCTGATTCGAGGGCCAGGGGCAAGCGAGGCACGAGTGGGACGCTTCAAGTTCTTCCTGTTGATGTTCAGAACGTTGTTCTGTAGGGCAACAATCTGTGGTGGCGATATGTGAGCAAATAGGTAGCTTTCTTGAATTCGGGTGTCCACGCACAATCTCTTTGTCGTCGCCGAATCTGAAGCTGTCCTGGACGACCAGATCTTCATACTTCTTGATTTCGTACTTGTCAAGCTGGCCCTTCTTGACCTTGTTGAAGTCCCAGGCAACGATATATTGACCAGTGGAAGTGACGATGGCGTTCTCTGTCTGACCCTCGCCCACGTTGAACCTGTAATTTTCGATCAGCCCGTGTAGAAGGACGGTCCGGGAGGGGTATGCATACCGCGCTGAAGTGAAGGAAACTTCATTGCCCATGTAGGCAACGTGCTCCGGACGTAGCTGCAGGCGCCTTGGGATCGGCTTCGCGGTGGCGGGGAAACTCCTGTCGAAGCCTAGCTGACCTGCATATCTTCCCTCGCCAATCAATGTATCGATCAAGAGGAGATACGTCTTAGTGGTGGCCACGATCCATCGTCCATCTGCGGTCACGTCAATACCCAGGATCGGATCACCCAAGGGCGGCAGAGCCGTCTTCGCGTTCTTCCCGATAGTGTCGAACAAACGGATGTCACCTTTCTCGGAAGCGACGGCGAGTTTTCCAGAAGCGGTCGTAGTGACGCCAGAGAACTTGTTCTTGCCGGCATATTGTTTGTACTGGGAGTCAACCATCTTATTGCCCGATACACGGGGGTCGATGCGGAAGAGTGCGTTCCCGGAGGCACCGACGAGCGTTTGCTCAGTCGTCATCTGGGCGAACTTGTTGTCGGGCGCCATGTGGTCCACCGTGATATCATCGTGTACTTTCCACTCTTCGACGATCTTGCCGCGCTCGATGTCCATGCTATACAGCGCATGGGGCTCCAGCGGATTCATGATGACCATCGTCGTATCTTGGTCGTGCAGCATCATCTTGAAACAGTCTCAATTTCTGCCTCCATGTTCGCTTGCGATACAGGGAGACGCACCCTCTTTGGATCGAACTCTTTCCCCTTCGGCGTAGCGAGCTTGTTGAGCGTGCTCTGGTACTTGACATGGCCGTCTTCATCATAACGGAAGACACCAATCTTCCCACCTCGAGAGACATAAGAGCGATCTCCTTTGTATCCCACAGTGAGTTGGGAGTTGCGTTCGCCTTTAGGGAGCTTTGGCGCGTCTGCGTCTTCCTCTTCCTCCTCTTCTTCCTCGTCGCTCGCTTCTGCGAAATACAGAGGTAAGGGCGTGTCATCGATTAAGGATACGATATATATTCACCTAGATCAGGGTCGAGTTCGTTAGCGACGTCTTCCTCTTCATCCTCGTCATCCTCCGGGTCCGCCATGATTACGTCTTCGTCAAGGTTCGCACGTTTCACGTACTGCTGCTCATCCTCCTTGATCTTGCCCCAGGGCACCTGATTCAACGTCTCCCATTTCGCCTTGGTGAATGCGTCCATGAAGTTCTCAAAACTGCCCTCCCCTTCAAATCTCAGACACCAGCTGCTGCTAGCGCCACCTCTTTCGGAGAGATGACACCACGTGAACGATAACATCTTGGCAGAGTAACGTTCGCTCATGTCAGTGGTGATAGCGTGCATGAGCACGTCCCCATCCGCGCTGGTGGCGACTAAATAGTAGGCGAAAGGCGCCTCAGGCTTGGACACGATGCGCACGGTGACGTCGGCATATTTCGAGTATTGTTCGTTATCGGGTTCCCAAAGCCAAAGCTCAGCGGATTCGTCGACAAGAGTGGGCAGTGCGTCGGCCGCAGATTCAACCTTTGGGCGGGTTGCAGGCGGGGCAACGGGAGGTGCGGGGCCAGCGGAGGTTGCCGCCGCCGCCGATCCTGACGCAGACCTCGCTTTCGCGGCGACCCGTTTCTTCGCTGGTGGTCTATGCAAGCACGGTAAATGGGGACGCCGCTGATACCGAACAAGAATAGAACTTACTGCCAGGTGAACTCTTGCAGATCAGCATCGGTCGTGTTGTCGGCGCTCGTTTGGTATTTACGCTCGTACATCGCCCTGTACATACACGTCTCGAAGAACGCAACGGTGGGTTCGTTCGTACCCGTGGCGACGAACTCGTATGTTTCGTCTATATCGCCTTCGAGGTCTCGCCAGATGAGCGTTGGTTCGCCTTCCGGTGTCTTGCCTGTGCGGAAGCATAGTTCTTCGCCGATCAGGAAGGTTCGTTCCTCATCGGCTGCAGGTGCGCAAGAAGCTTTCGTTAGCGGTGATAAAGGCATGTATATAGATCATCGCGCACTTTCGTCTTCGTCTTCAAGCAGTTCCTGGTCCCCTTCTTCGTACACCCTCGTGATCACGAGCGAGAAAGCGTGCGGATGTTGTGGCACGCGTCGAACAGTGGCCATAGCATCGTTATAGCTGGTCGTTCATATATGCTTCATGAGACGTCCCAGCAGAGATCAATTGAAACGTACATGCACTCCCTGGAACTACGAATGTTCTCCGGTCGTACGAGATAGAGCTGTCCAGTGGAGATCTTGACAACCTCCGCAGCGTTTGGGTCGTCTACCAACCGCTTCGAGATAAAGACGTATAGACGGTCAATTATCCGCGCACTCACGCCAGACCTTCCCCATAACTGAGAACACGTAGTATCAATATGTAGAGCACGCAAAGATGTTAGGAGGTACACACGGGTTCTGAATATGTTCATGGTGGGCGATGATGGCTTGCAGACAAAGGGGTTGGTGCAGAAGACGGTCGACGCGTTTAGCAGGTCTTGTCGCGCAAGGCACGCTTTTGCTTCTTTGGCGCTCATCTTGTGTTGAAAACCCGATATACATGTCTTCGCCAACGCGATTCACGTCTTCTCCTGATCCGGACCAAGGCATGGATCACTACAGGATTCAAAGCTTCACGAGAACTGACTCGACTCAACAAACAGGTGCGTCCTCGCCCTTGACCGACGCGAACCTCCGCAACCGTCATCATGCAAACCGCAATGTTTCCGCAGAAGTATGTCTTGGTTGAGGAAACTGAGCGTATGTAGTGCAAACACTAAACCTCGGACTTGCTAGCCTTCGTCTCCGGCGGGGTCAGTCTCTGAGGGCACCATGTTCACTAACGGATCCTTCGCTACACCCAACCGCAATGCCAACGCGTCCGCCTTCGCTCCTATTCCAAGAAAGACCATAATACGCATTGACCACACTATGGTGACTTGCTTCGATCCTGCGGACAAAGAATTATACGGCTTGTGGGCACCAGGCGCATAAGGACCTCCGTGTTCGGTTCTTTGTAACTGGGCAGCAGCATATAGGGACGATCCAAAGTTCTATTTGTTAAGGATGCTCAGAGATATGCTATTCATTTGATATCCTATGACTAATACAGTTAATGATTACTATGGCGCACTGTGAAGAAGGCTGTGATGGGAGGTATCGCTGGTCGGTAGTGGAGTAAGGTCAGGAAGTGGTGGAGATTCGTTACGCCAAGCCCCAAGGGCCCCGGATTCGTCGCGCAAGTTGGATGTCTCGTTGCATGATGGTGACACGTTTCGCATGGATAGCACATAGATTCCTATGGAGGGATTAATGGACGTAGGGGACAGCATAACAGGATGCACGTACGCGTCCTCGAATAGATGCACAAGGTATGCCTCTGTGGCTTCTTGGAGAGCCATGATCGCGGAACTCTGCCACCGAAGGCCCGCGTCGCCATACATGTTCATGTCGGTCATCATGTCTAATGCTATTTCGCGTACCTGGAGCGGCAACGCGCGTTCATAAGGAGATTCCTTGAGAGGAGGACGGGATAGGAGCTCACGACGCGTGAAAACGGAAGTTTGCGTATGAGCAAGTCCGTGCTCCGCTGGTACTTGCGGATTTCGCGCAGAGCAACAGTTCCCGGTCGGAATCGCTTCTTCCGCCTTTCACCGCCGTCGCCACCGCCTGATAGGTGAGATTAGATCCGAGGTGAGATTAGATCCGAGCCCGTCTTTGATGTATGGTAAGAACGACGTGCCGGCGGTACTCGCTTGCATTGCCCTAGGGGGTCGCCCGCCAGTACTCTTCCTTGCGGACTGGTTCGACTTGGTGCGTTTCGGGGGAGGAGATGTACTGGCTTCGCTAGAAGATTCGATAGGCATCCTCCTTTTCTGAGCTGTCTGCGCCATGATCTTCCTATGGCTGGTGTCTTGTACGAATGCGTTCTTGGTGCACCGATTCACGCGTTCAAGAAGAAAGGCGGAGTTGTTCCGAGTGGAGCCAATTAATCTCGCTGTAGGTATCGCTATGAGAGTAGAAAGGAATGAAAAGCAGGAAATGCAGCAGGCGGCCTCCTAAGCAATCCGGGAGGAGAGTCGGGATTTCGCGAGGTTGAACAACGGTCATGTGATCGCTCTTCTACACCAAGAATTCGATTGTCCAGAACATAACGCTCGGCCTTGCCGCTTGACTCAACCCGGAACCAAATGCTTACCACCATGACGGCCCATACAAATGGGCACAGTGCTGGTCCATTTATCAGGATTCGATCGACCGGGATCTTTCTGACATTATCGGCTATCGTGCAAGATTAGGACGTTTGTCTGACCGTGACCTCTTGGGACTTCTGGAATTGACACGCTCCCAACCTCGTTGACGTTCGCACGAGAAAAGTGTTATCTCGGAATTACATACTGCGCCTCCAGTCTCCTCTTGGTATACCCTGTCGATGACTGTCGATGACAGTAGACTGTCTGCAGCCAATCACTTGGCTTCACTGCTTTCGGTGAATTTGACGTGAATGTGAGAGCGCTCTCGAACTCGTACTCGTGACCGATGGACCTGTGGGATGATAAACCTGGTCGAAACTCTGTGAACTGTATATGGTCGATCTATCGCAGCAAGAGCGTTGTCAAGAGCACCGAAGTGGAGGATGGATTTAACTCGCCACGACGTAGCCGAATCGCAATCCGAACCAGATGGCTGGTCAGCTTGTTGCAAGGCAATGAAGGCGTACGACGAAGATATGATTGCTCGGTGGAAGGACGAAATAGACACTTTGCTCGTTTTCGTGAGTTTTAATCAAATCACCTCCTGCGCTCTAATCGTACCCGCCCAGGCTGGTCTTCTTTCCGGAGTCCTCACCGCATTTCTGATTGAGTCATACAAACTACTGTCCGTCGACTTCGCCCAGTTATCGACAGAGTTGTTGATCCATATCCTGGCAAAATTGGACCAGTCTGCTGTCAACGTCACGACGGAACCAATGCTGGCCAACTTCGCCGCGTATACTCCGAGTACATCATCCGTCCGTGTCAACATATTGTGGTTCTCTGGACTGGTGTTCACTCTGCTTGCATCGCTCTTAGCTATCGCCGTCAAGCAGTGGCTGAGGGAATACCTTGTATGGGTCTCGTTGCCACCGTCACGGGATACTGTGCGCCTCCGTCAATTTTGCTTCGATGGTTTAGGTAATTGGCACATGGAGGATATCGTCGCGCTTCTCCCGGTGTTGCTGCAAATCTCCGTCATACTGTTTCTATGCGGTATGGTCGATCTTCTGTGGACACTGCATCGTGTCGTGGCAGGAGTTATTACCGCCTTCGTTGGTTCATTCCTTTTTGTGGCACTTACTAGTGCCATCCTCCCCATGGTTGTGGCTGGGTGCCCATACAAGTCCCCTTTGGCTTGGATCTTGCTCAAGACGAAGTTGGCTGTGCTCTGGCCCCTGGTCAGGCTACTTAGGATGGGGTCGTATGTCCTGGAGGCCGTTCGGTACGGCAGGGAACAGGCGTCCGAGTTGTGGTATACGTCCCGGTGGACTGATTGGATGTCTGATCACTCGCGTTCCCTCGGAACTTGGCTAGATCATGACATGGACGTCATCCGCAGATTGCGATATCAATTATTAGGAAACCACTACGACATCCGGGCTTTCGTTTGGGCGCACCGTACCAAGTTCGACGATGACCTTCATGATTCCGTCATGCCCTGCTTGAATGCGCTGATAGCGGAAGCCGAGGAGGAGCCATCAACCAAACCCGCGCTTCCTGCCTTCCCAGTGTGCATGTCAATCACCGACTCAGTATTGGACATCGCTAGTCACAGCCTCGGTTATTATGACTCGCCGTCATTGTGTGCCGACCTCAACTTGGATTCACACATGCTGCATACAAAGCTATCGCTGCGTCAATTGAAACCTTGGGTCAAACGCAGGTATCTGCGTATGCTGCTCGACGCCTTAATACACTCGACTTCGCAGTCGGTAGCTAGTCCAGCGTCAGGTCCTCGCCAAACATCCGCAGTCGAGATTCTGCTCCTCCTTAGAAGACTTTTTGGGTCCCCAGACGTCTCTGAAAACGAAGATTTCGCTGCAGAATACGCTCGTCAACTAGTTGCCATCACCGAAACCCTGCACTCGGTGGGGTCGACCCATATTTCTATCGGAGCACGTACCCAGGTCCTCGCGGCTCAGGCATTATATGAGCTGCTTCGTTTTGTGAATCTGCAGCGGCCCGCACCACCTTGTGATCCTGGATTTTCTGATGATGGTCTGTATCACATTGGTATCGGTTTCTGATGTCAACCGGCTCACTATTTCGCAGAGGTGTTCAGTCTTCTCGCCAATGCTAGGCTTGTTGAAAAAGTCGCTCGAATCAATCTATACAGAGAGAGAACGGATCGTCAGTTCTTCATATATTCAGCTGCGGCTGCATTGGAGGCGTTGGCATCTGGTCCCGAAATCGATGACGCCCGCAGGCGCGAGGTAGAGGATCTACTGTATGCTATGCATGACTTCCTCGACAGTTGTTATCGGAACGGGCTCGAAAACTTAACCGAAGGACCAACGTTCCCGTGGTATAGGCAGCTGCGGTCCCTCATAGCCAGGAACGACATTGGTCCCGGAACCAAAAAAGCGACGAAAGATATTACGGAGGTTCTTGATGCCAGCAGAAGGCGCTATTTGATCGCTCCAAAGGCACACGACCGCGACGACGATAAACTCGAGGTATGGCTACATTGCATGACGACCGAAGTTTGTCATCGCTTACGAAATGACGCAGATCCGCTGCGCCGCTTGCCAACTCGAGGCGACAAGATGATATTGTACACCGAGTGCTCATGGCTCCCAACTTCCTCCCGTGCCTGTGGGGGACCTCGCACGCTTTTCGTCTGCCTGCACAATGATCGTGTTTTCGTATATTGAGGAAAGAGCCTGACTTGCGGTGTTATTGAACTTCAGGGTAGATCCTTCGGAAGGGGATTGAGTCCGATCCCGTCTCAATATGACATGCAGGATATCCTGGGCAAGAAGTGAGTGAGGGTCACGCCGTAATCCGTTCTTATAGCGCACCCTTTGTGTCCCAAAGACCAGGACGAGGAACGTCCCCACTAATCCCAGTCAGTCATGGCACACATACGGACGGGTTGACGGGCTTACTTGTACACATCACCAAATCAGGCACAGCACTCATAGGAGTGGTGAATCCGATCAGAATAAGCCTGCTAACGATGAGTTCACGAAGATATAAAAGTAACGGATTCTCACAGTAGAGCCATCACCATGAGCCCGGTAAATGCAATGATCCTAAGGCTAGTATCCGCCATGAGAAGATTTTTGATGCCTGCTTTCCGAAGCGCCCTCCGTTGCTGGTACAGGTAGAAGATGATCCAGGCTTCATATGTGGACAATGAATTTCGGGTTACAATAGCGACAGATCACGATTACCTTCCATCAGCAGCGTGCCGCAGGTTAAGATACCAGCGAAAGTGGCAGCAACAGTGGTCCTGTGGGTAGAGCAGAGTTTTGGCATCACCAAGGCCCGATCTCCAACGATCAACTCACGCGGTCTTTCCGGTGTACTGGCAATATGGCAGAAAGCTGTTGCGGACTACGAACTCCAGTTTATGTCCGCCAACCTAATAACACGCATCAATATATGCACGGGCTCTGTAGAGCATAGTCTTACCACGATCGTCGAGACGGCGAAGATGACAAACAGGGCATAGGGCAGAATGAGAAGCTACATTAGGATCATAGTGAGCGTCCAGCGCAGAAGAGACACATAAGCCACGCACTCCAATAACGTTTGCTCCATTCGTGTGCGCTCGATGCCCGCGAATTGCCCCCCTGACCGAAATGAATACCTATGATAAACTGTCTTCAGTGATACTCTTGAATATGAGGAGGTCAATCAAACCTGATATGCCAGAGCGAACGAGGCTGCAGCGGTCCTGCATAGCGAGAGTTCAGGAACTAGTATCACATGTGATAGCATGCACGAACATGGATGCTTCGCCATTCCCTAAACCTGCTTGAAAGAGACAGACATTCACAGAAGGTTGTGGACCGGTCGCCCTCCAGTGTCCCGTGTAAAGCCTGCGGGAGGAAGGAATCAGAAGCTATCCTGCCCAAGACGACGATGAGCGCTCACAAGATACTGTTAGATAGGCCTGCAAGGATTTCCGTGATGATTAGGTTTAGGAATAGCGGGTGTCGTGTAACTGTGCCGGAAAGCAGGCATATGGCAGCTAGGAGAGGCAAGCCAAAGTGTGACGGCCACACCCACATCACAAGCCAGGCAATTGCTCGCGAATCATCCTGGGCCATGATGGAATGCCAAATGTGAGACGTGGACCAGAGAAGAATCTATGCCGTGCCAGCGGAAGCAGGATGGTCCAGCCTATACTCGTCCGGCGAGGAGAAAGTCGAACAAGCAGCGCTGGGTAGGTGGAGGTATGAAGGAACCCGAGCACTACACTCTCTTCCTTGGTTGCCAGACCACATGCAAGCCGGCGACCAAGATCCATCAAACCCGCTGTTCTTTGCTCATGACGTATATACCGTATCAGAAAACGGTCAAGCAAGTGTATGGGCCTTTGATAGAACCCCCGACAGATCGTTGCATGTGAGGCTGCGAGGGCACTGCTTCGTGGAGAGCGACCGGCTGATGGCGAGAGCCTGAGATACTGCTTGTATATCCGCTTCTGTCGATCCCTTTCTGGCCAGTGAACGCGCGGAGGTACACAGGCGTCAACTTCCATGATCTCAACTACTAAGCCACAGCACCGCTGTGTTTGATATTTGGCAGACTCAAGAACCTATCTGCGTCTCTTGTGGGCTATACACTGAAGGCGGTCCCCAGATCATCATTGTAATCGTTCTGTTCTTACAAGATATAATCATGGGATTAGCGCCTGGTCCTGCTCCGCCCTCTTTCGAGGATGTGATGGCATCTCTAGAAAACTCGCCTTTGTTCATGAAGAACTTGCCGGAGGATATATCCGACGATCCGACCCTTTCGGCTCTCCAAGCTCTTGTTCACGAAGGGACCCCAGATGGTGAGTATGCCTAGCAAATCCACCGCGTCGGATGGATGTCATCAAGGATGAATATTGACGACATGATGCGCCGTAGAGCGCTCTCGAACATTCAAGGACAACGGCAACGACTATTTTAAGGGGAAGAGATACCGGGAAGCCCTCGGATTCTACACGCAGGGCCTGGAAGCTGAACCCACCGATTCCACCCTCAAGGAGTCATTGCTTCTAAACCGTGCTGCTTGTAACCTGGAATTGAGTTGGTCGGCCGCCTTGTTACTTTTTTCCGCGAGTGACTGACTCGCTGATTTATGCACCCATCTATCGCGACAGAGAACTACGGCTCTGTGCTCCGCGACTGTGCCCGGGTCTTGGTATTATCCCCTAAAACCTCGAAAGCACTCTATCGGTCTGCGGTTGCGCTAAAGGCTCTGGAGAGATACGAAGAGGCTATTGATTGCTGTGATAGATGTACGTTCAGGGTCGCCGTCCTCTCCAATCGCCCGGACTAGAGCGTCCTCAACAATGACACTCCCTAAATACCAGGCCTAGAATTTGATCCATCCAACGCTGCGGTGGCGCAACTCCGAGAAAAATCCATCAAGGCAGAAGCCGACAGGGTCGAGAAGATTCGTATACGAGAAGAACGAGAAAAACACGAACAGGCACAGGAGAGGCAGCTTCAGTTAGCCTTTAAGGTAAGCATCTCGATAACCTATCTACTCCTCAATGAAACAATGACCTCACGCGCTTTCGCAGGAACGGAGCCTCACACAAACGTCATCGCCCAATTCCCCCGACAGTCCGTATCGTCCGCATATCGATGACGGAACCGGCTCGCTAGTAGTCCCGGTGTTCTTCCTTTATCCTCAATACGGCCAATCGGATACCATAGGGGGGTTTCACGAGCAAGACCCGTTCTCGGCCCACCTGGAGGCGATGTTTCCTCCTGCAGCACCGTATCCGGACTGGGATACAAAGCATGAATATGGCGCATCAAACCTGCAGGTATATGCGATCACCAAGCGAAGACGCGCATTTAAGGCGAGTATGCCATTCTCCAATCCTATACACCTATTTTTGTTGAGAGCCAGGCGATTGACGGACGGACATTGCGTGTTCTCTCCCAGGTGGGCAAGAATATGACCCTGGCGGACGTATTCCACGCCTCGAGGGGAAAGCCCGGCGAGGCACCCGACGGGTTGGAGCTCATCGACGGTTTTCTCACCTTCACCGTCGTTCCCAAAGGCGAAGAAGAACGTTGGTGGGTGGCCGAATTCAAGAAGAGCCGGGACTCCAGATAGAAGGTTGCGGATCCCGGTAACGTGCAGGATGTTGTACGTCCTGTAGATAGGAACAGCTATGTCCCCGAAAGCCGCCACGACAGATCATCTGCCGTAGGTAGGATAACAGGGGAGTAAGAAGATCTATCAATGTATGTACAGCGTGCGACTCTGCGCACGATAACAGGCGAAAGATGATTCGCGCAACGCTGGTATCCAGAGCTGGTTATTTACTATTGACACTTTAAGAGGGTAAGATAATATATATAGGGTATTGATCCATAACTTGATGGTGGCGACCGGAAGACGACGCCGGCATAAACGCGAAGAGTGCGGATGACGATAACGTAGGCAAAACCTGAATGGAGTGTGAGCGGTAAGCCATAAGGGTTGGGGAAGTGCGGATCCTGAGAGTGCATGACGTGACAAGGTTCGTAACATGGGAGACAACAAGATGCGAAGGATGGAAGAATTTGGGATATGCCGCACGGGGCAAGGCGTTGCAAGACGGAGGCACAAGATACAGAAGGCGGGGTAAAGGGTTGGTGTGTGGTGGTTTGATGGGGTACGGGTGGTGGTACATGGGTATCAATATCGTCATGGGAGCGCAGGATGGCGCAGGTAGGGCGGAGAGCTTAGGGATATGGCGCGCAAGGGTCGAGGGCTAGGTCGAGCAACAGCTCCAGCCGCTGGGCTGCTTTTCCTTCTCGGTTGCTTCTTCGTCATCGGCCACCGCTGCCCATGATGGCGTTGAGGAAAGAAAGACGCTATCGCGTTTTTTGAGCTCGTTCTCTCGCTCGATGCTATCCTTCCGCTCGATGATAGCCGTTATCAGGCACTGAAAAAGGTGTTGGATGCCTACATGAATGATTAGACCCATTCAGTGTTGTTCAAGCGCTGTGCCACGAACCTATGTCGTCCTTCGCCGACACCTCGAATAACTCCATGCCTTTGGATAAGCCCCATTCCTCGGAACTGTTAGCTTGGTCTTCGTTCTCCTCGTCCAAACTATGACTGCGGCTGGAATCGCCTAGATCGTACGTGGGAGTTTCCCGCCCGACTACGCGAGAGCCGTAACGCGGTGGTGATGGAAGTTGATGATGATGCGCGCCGGTTGTCGTGTTTGAACGGTTCAGAAGGCTGTTGGCACGGGCCCGAGGGGCAGCGTTCCCAGCGGCGGTATGGCTCCGTTGCAGCCCAGACCGCTGTGACGACGCTGATGCAGATGCGAGAGAGGTAAAAGCCTGAGATGGATGTTCCACGACGGATGGTGGATCCACAAAGGGAGAGCGGGTGGAGGGGGGTGAGAATGGAAGTGATCGCATTGACGTGAGTGACGTGAATCGGGGTCGGATGTAGGCAAACGCCGAAGACTGCTGAGGTGGCGGAGGAGGCGTTGGTGGTTTGGGCGGCGGAAACCAGTTGTGCAGAGACAACCGAGCAAAATCTTCGGTGACTTGCCGTGACGAACGAAGGTCGGCCTTGGAACCGACGATATAGATGATGAGTTCGGGTGAACAGTTGCTTTTCAGCTCTGGTAGCATCCCGGAACGCGTGAGTTCGGATTTTACGGAGGAGATCCGTTGTACACACCCTCCAGCCACCCTCTCACAGCCTCAAATGTGGGCGCGTTTGTGATATCGTACAAAATGAGCGCAGCGTTTGCCCCACGATAATACATGGGCGCCTTCGTATTGGTCAGCTTGATGTTCGAGTGCCAGCGAGAGCACGCACCATACTTCGGAACCTTTCCTGGCCAGCCGTATCCCAAAGCTGCAATCGAACTTTGTGGCCATTCACGTCGATCTTTTTCGTGACGAAGAAGGCCCCGGTGGTGGCCGTCGTGTTCTTCGGATCGAATTTGTTCTGTACGTAGCGGTGGAGAAGACTAGTCTTCCCAACGCCTGCGCGGATCGCTATCAGCACATACGAGACCATGTCGCGACCACCGAGCTTGCCTGTGTTGCCCATGACGACTATTTTGGCGTCTATGCCTTGGTCGTGTCTGGCTCGTTTGTAGGGGTCATAGCTCGCCATGCTCCAGCGTGGGCGTGGTATCGGGCTGGTGAGCAGGAGTCGCAGGCAATATACGGGCCCGCGGGGCACCGAGAAACGAGCGACTAGGGTTCAGGCAGAAGAGCCGAGATAGACTTGAGACCACGGAAAGCAAAGCGCCTTCTTTAGTCCAACGCACGTGCCCCGCCGGACCATCCGGAACGATCGGGGCCACTTCGACGCGAAGTCGCGGCGTTCACTCTCGTTGGAGCCTCATTTACACCCGCTCGCGCTTCCTCAGCGATATCTGTGATAAGAAAGACAAAAACAGCATATCACACAATCAGGTTTGCTATAGCGAAGCATATCTGCCATATATTTTGGAATGCAGAAACAACATGACATGGGTCCCAGGCGATCCTCGCCGGCACGAAACATCCGAACCCCCTCGTCAGAGCACCTCACTCTTGCGCGACGACCGGGAACTCGAACACAGCATCCTTCCCTGTCAGCCGGCGGTAGACAGAGGAGAACGAATCGAGCTTGTATTCGACTGATGTCGCATCCTTAGAGTCGAGGAAGCTGTGTAATGTAGAATGGAGAATGCTGAGTGAAGCAGTGTACGCAATGATCGCTGCGAACGCACACTTTGAGGAGCTTGGAGCCGTCAACGGCAACGCGAGTGCGCTTGCCGACAATCTCGGACGGGAAGACGAGGTCCTCGAGGATCTTCTCGTGGACCTGGGTGAGGGTCCGGCTACGGGGGCGCTTCTGCTTGACACGGGAGGTGCGGGTCGGTTTGGGCAGCATCCGGCGTTGCGCAACAAACACAACATGGCGGTCGGAGAACTTCTTCTCGAGCTCACGGGTCAGCCTGGCAAGTACGGGCCTCTCGTCAACATCCGGTGGTTGATGTCTGTCCGATATGTGAGACGGGGCGCACCTGGCCTGAACCTTGTGGAACGCCTTCAATTGCGGTACGGGCACGAAGACAACGATAGCCTTCTTGCCACCCCGAACATCGACTTCACGAGCGGCAGAGATCTGCAAGGGCCTGAGCTCGGTCTTCAGGTCCGAGTTGCTGTTCTCGAGGTCGATGATCGCCTGCGCGACGGCGGTCTCAATCTCATCGGGGGTGGTGTTTGGCGCGTTCGCCGTGCGGAGGATCTTGTGCTGAACCGACATTTTGAAGGGACTGGCCTATGCGAAGTACCAGCAGCGCGTCAGCATCCGAGTTCACGAGCATCAATCCATCCCAAAGAACGCAGATTTCGACGCCATGCAACTTCCAGACAGTCTCGGGACATAGATGCCGTCGATACGGCACAGATTTTGAGCAGTAGAGTACTCACAGGAGCTTGGCGCCGTCTCGAATAGTGTTGGAGGGTGGTCCTGCGGCCTTGCTGCTGAGATTTCCGCCGGGACCCCGGAAACCGATCCGTAGGTATGCACCGCCACATAGGCGCCCACATGGACGAAAGTTAGCCGTCACTTTCACAATATGCTACCGGTCTCGTCGACGTCGACTGACTTGAATCCTGCTGCACTGCTGCAGGCGAAGGACGGACGCCAGTTGCATAAGTAGCCGCACTTTTATTGCATATCAGCGATACGAATCGGGTATGGCTTCAACACAGCGGGTCCTTCGAGGTGAGCCCCGCGGGTAAACTCTTCTTGTTGAATTCACTCGCTGGATTTGAAGGTGTCAAAACCGCATTGAACGCCAATGGGCGATTCAAATACAAGGAAACTAGGAATACTTCAAGGCTCGCTGCATACACATCTGACATCTATGCTAACAGTCACCCGAATCTGAGGTGGATTATCTAGTCATCGGAGGCGGTGAGCAAATATCCCATACGAACATGAGCTCGAATTCAACTACGTGACAGGTGTTGTTGGATTGGGTATTGCCCAGCGACTTTCCCATCAACTTCCAGACAAATCCGTCTACCTTATCGAGCGCCATCCTCGCGCTGGAGAAGAGACAAGGTAGTAGCGTGCTTCGCCTTGCTTGGCCAGTAAAGGCTCGCTGATTCAATGGCGCTTGAATAGTTCTCGCAACTCCGAAGTCATCCATGCAGGTATCTATTACCCTCCTGATTCGCTCAAAACCCGGCTTTGTCTGCGGGGACGTCAGCTGATGTACGAACGATGTAAATCGCACAACATACCGCATAAGAAGACCGGCAAGCTCGTCGTTGCACATTCAGATCAGCTTCCTTACATACGATCGCTCCACGAGAAGGCACAAAAGCTGAGCTGGCCGCCGCATTCCCATCGCGAGGGTCGAACCCCTGTACCCACAGAGCTGCTATCCGGCGAGCAAGCGCGCGAGCTTGAACCAGACCTTTCGAAGGATATTGCTGGCGCTCTATGGAGCCCAGAAACCGGGATTGTTGATTCGCACACTCTCATGGAGTCCCTGGAGAAGGATATATCCGAAGCAGAGAATGCGGAACTGGTCTACTCTACGAGGGTCGTGCGGATCGATAAGGGGAAGGAAGAAGAAGGATGGGTAGTGCAGATGGTCACCGGAGAGGATGACGTTGATACTGGGGACTCGCTGCTTGCCAAAACCGTCATCAATACTTGCGGACTCTCCAGTCCACTCATACGCAACGCCATTCATCCCCGAGAGCAGTGGCTACCCATGTACTTCGCCCGAGGGTCGTACGCGTCCTACAAGGGACCGGGCGTTGCAAACGTCTCCAGGCTCCTCTACCCGTGCCCTGATAATACGGGGCACGACGGGCACAATTTCCAATCTCTTGGGACACACCTCACTCTCGACCTGGACGGGAAGGTCCGATTCGGGCCCGACCTGGAGTGGATCGATCCTGCAGAAGAAGAAGTGGACAATCCTGATTTCTGGATGAAGCACCTTGTACCCGATGGCTCGAAGATGGAAGAGATGCATAGGGCCGTGACCAAATACCTCCCTGAGGTACGCTTGGATGGTCTCGCCCCGGACTACGCCGGGTTCAGGCCCAAGTTGGCTGGTCCTGGAACCGTTGGAGGATTCAACGATTTTACTTTCTTGACAGACTACCCATCTGACACAAATGTGCGCGCTTGCCCTATGATCAACCTGCTTGCGATTGAAAGTCCGGGCCTAACGGCTAGCCTGGCAATCGCTGAGTACGTTGTCGATGACAAGGTGGTTGGGGAGCATACCACCGAAGGGAAATGACCATTCAGTGGATATAATCATGTTATCATATTGGTATCGCATATAGAATGTTCTCCTTCATCCACATATGCGCCTCAAGTGTGATGAGCGGAGACCCAAACAGGAAGTTGGCTACCCAAATTAGGCATGCGACGCGACTGGTCACGCGTGACTGACGCGGAGCATGTTACATGTTTTGCTGTGCACTCTCGTGGACTGGACAACCATCTCACGCGTAGAACGCGTAGGACACACCGCTTACCGTCGTCCGGTGTACGCCAACCTACTCACCATTATGTCCGATACGGAATCTAGCTCACGACGTGGCACCAACGCCACCCACGATCCACCACCCAAAGTACGAAGGACCTACGGCAGAGCGCAACCCCCGCCGCTTCCTGTCCCGGACGACCCCGACTCTTCACTGACGATTATTGATACAAGCATGGACGCGTCGCGCTCGGAAGACGCATGTGATGACAGTGCCGGCGCCGGGTCGCAAGAGACACGCGTGGACTCTGACGAAGAGGAGGACACCGGATCGCGGTTCTCGTTCGGGTGGAAGGCAAAGTTGAAGGAGATTGACGAGATGTCCGACGGGGAGTTGGAGCTGCGAAAGAACAAACAGCGAGAAGAACGCTTACCCTCCGGCAATGAGATCGAAACCGATGCCACCGCTCACGCAACGCAGGGAACCCAGATCTCCAGCTCACAAGGAGTCTTCGACGGCTCATTGTCTAGTCTCACTCGAAACAGCTCCTTCGCGTCAGATGCGCCGCCTGCTCGTGGGTCCTCACCTTTGGATCTCGAACGAGCTGTACCACAGACTAAATCACCATCATCGCCGAATTCTCCTGATTCGCACCCATTCTTGTTACGGACACCTGACGAACGCTCGTCTCCCACCCTTCCCACTTCCGACATAGAAACGAGCAGTCCCAAGCGCCTCAAAGCTGCAGCGCTGAAAGACATATTTGGTGATCATAACGACGACGACGTTCATGACCTCCGAGAGGTGCAGGAACTCGGACGCCCCAAAAAGCAGAGGAAGGCAAAGGTGGCCACTGCTGTGCGACTCTCCGTAATCAACTACTCACTTTCCGATAGGGTCTTTCGAAGAAAGAAAAGGAAGAGATGGCGAAAGAATCTATGCGCCTGGAAGCATCAAAACAGGCGTCCATACAGCCTGTCCAGATCAAAAGCTACCCCGTTTCTCGGTTCTTAGATGCTTTCAGTTCCAGCTTAAAGCCTTTCGTGGAGCCTCCTCCTTCCTCGGAGCCGGAGCCTATCGAAAACTTCCGGTCATCGCCCTCTCCCAAGATCGCCACGACGTCCGCTCCCCGCCCTCATCGAACGGCGGTTACAAGGCCGCCGATCCGTCATTCGATGACAGCACCGCAAGCGCAGAAGAAATCACTTGCACCGGAGTCAAGCATCGATGACGTGTTCATTGGTGATGGTTCACCGAGCAAGGGAGAGCGAGCGTTCGGTCAACCATTGCTTCTTGTCGGGGAACCCTCTCCACATCGGCGACTTACGCCCCGTCAGAAGCGCCTGGCGAGCCAACCACCCGATGACGACTCCGATGAGGAATTGCCGACCTTGGGCGATATTTTCGCGCAGGATAAAGCCCGGCGTGCTCAGGCAACCACGGAGAACGAGTTACAAGCGAGGCGCGAGCGTTTAGCCGAACTAAAAGCTCGCGCTCAACAACTCCCGGCGGCACCTCCAAGTGACGATGACGACGACCTGGAGATCGTCAACAACGATATGCATGTTGTCATCGAAGAAGAAGCGGAGCACCGTCGCGCCCTGCATGCCAGCGGCAAGAAACCAAGCTCAGGCCGAAAGCGTGAATTGGATCTCGCTGGTATATCTCCTATCAAGCCCTCTGCTCGTCGGAGTAACATGATCGGCCTTGGCGTACCGCTTCAGAAGCGTGATCCCAAAGGGAAGGGAAAGGTTACCGCTGCTCTAAGCAAGGACGAGCTGAACCGCCAGCTACTCAGAGAAGCTGAGAAGATGGCACAAGAGGAACGCCGCGCGAAGGAAGAGGAGTGGGTGCGTGGTGGGGGGATATCGAAGGCGCCGGCTCCCGTATCTGCGGCTGCAGCGGAAGAAGCACGGAAAGCTTACGCGCAGCGGGCAGAGGAAGTCAAGGATCGCGTCGATCTCGATCTCAACGGTGCTGAAGTTTCCGCTGAAGAAGACGAACAGGATGATGATGACTGGAAACCCGACCTGGGTAGCGATGACGAAGACAGGTTGTCAGTGGCCGGATCTCGTAGCCCCAGCCAGAACACCAGTGGGGTAGAGGCAGACATGGAGGAAGAAGTGGAAGCAATGCCACCACCAACGTCTCCGCGGCCAACAGCTACACCGAATGATGATGAACCGATCAGGCACATGCGTGCTCGTCGCCCTCGAGCCATAGAATCCGATACGGAGTCGGAATCCGAGAGCGGCGCAGGCCCAAGCTGGAGGGGGCCGTTAGGCAATCTTCTGGTACCAGACTCGTCGAAAATACTGGTCGGGCCAGCAGCGATACACCGGCCATCAATATCGTCATTCGGCGATGGGACGGACCGTGAGGATAGCACCGATAAAGAGAACGATACTAGGTTGATGTTCGACTTCAGCGAAGACAAAGAGAACACAGCGGTCGTTCGGCATGCCCAGTCCATCGCAGCCTCCCCGGTCCAATCCCCTTCACCTCGTCGACATGGAGCAGGGTCTCCTCTATCCCAGCGCAGTCGTCCGAGCAGAACACCTAGCATGTTCGATGACGGTGACGGCGTACTTGGCGGTTCGCTAGGCATGTCGTCGAGTTCCCAGCGGACACCACTGAAAGAACTGGAGCCGAAAGACGACGATGATTTGTTCACGTCCCCCGCCGGACTTGGAAGACGGAATCTGCTCTCGGAGTTACTGAATTCAACGCCAAAAGACAAAGAGCCAGAGGTGACGCGAGGCGGCGCACTCGCACCGTCGCCGTTGATGCCCGCGCCACTGGGGTTAGGATTGCGACAGAACAAGTCTTTCTCGCAATTCTTTGCAACGCAGGAAGGAGCCGATGTACAGAAGACCGTACCTGAAGAGGCGAACCAGCGACGACCAGTCGTGTCGCAGGGAGGATTTTCCCAGCTATTTGACGGCGGCAGTATGTTACCACCCGCTGTTCCAGTGAAGGGTGAACCCCAATTGTCCTTGCCAACTCAGGTTCGTTCCATCTATTGTGCTGTGTTTCTATAGTTTATCTTCTTCATGTCATATAGCCCGGCTTCGCGAAACTGCGGCAGCCGTTTGGGACTCCGGACTTGGGCTTGACATTGCCTGCCGGGAGCCTGCAGCCTGCCCTCGAGGTTCCCGAGGACGTGCTCCGTAAAGCGGACGACATCTTCGAGAAGGAGCAGGAGCTTGTCGTGGATACCGCAGCTAAGAAAGCTGGCGAGAGAACGGAGCTGTATGTCGATGAGAATGGGTATGACAGATGCTCGCTTCGAGTTCATTTTCCGATGGTGACGATGCTCTGTCAGGTTCTTGACCCAAACCCGACCGGAAACCCCCAACACCCGACTGTATCGCCCGACGCTCACGCAGCTGCGTCGGCCACTCATATCGCCTTCCGAACCGGTTCCTGGCTCATCCACAAGGCAACGCGCACCGCTCGGAGTTCTGAGCACTGCGGACGATGTCGAGGACGATCAGCCGCGTCTACGGCGCCTCAAACGGCGCACCTCGCCGGGTGGCTTTATTGCCGACGCGCGTCCGACTAGCTTGAGCCTATCCACGGACAAACGGCCGAATGCGTTTCAGGTTCTTCACCAGGGGGCGCAGCGAGCACAACAGAATCAAAGTAAGAAGCTGGGAAAGTCTGAATACGTTGAGGCGGAAGCATTGGAATCCGACGACGACGCGAAGATGGGCTTCGGCGGTTTGAAGAAAGACGATGACGACGACGACGATGACAGTGACAACGGCGAGGAAGACAAGGTCGTCGAAGGTTTGGTGGACGACGCGGCAATGGACATTGAGACCGTGGCCGCCGAGAAAGTATTAGAGAAGCATAAGTGCGTAGTTTGACTGGTGACGGATCCATATACTGAACCTAGGACGCTGTGATAGGGAGCACCTCGAGGAGGAAGACGAAAAGCTCCAGAAACTGCATCAAGATGCAATCGAGGGGAAGTTCAGGACCAAGAGACGTGACCGCGGGATCGGCTTTGACGACAGCGATTCCGATGACGAGGACGACACCAACAGACGTATCCGACAGAAGATGGCGAAGAAGCGCAAGATCGCCGACGATAATCTGGATGCACTTGGTAGGCATGCCGTCGTTTCCGTGTGCGCCAGCCCTGACAGTTATGCTAGGCTCCAACCCGGCGACTCGTCCATTCTTCAACGAATATCATAAGGAGCTTGAGGATGACAATGCGGAGTTTGCCCACCTCGCCACAGACGACTTCAGCATGGCAGTCAGCCAAGCAGACGAACCAGAGGCCAGTGAAGAAGAGGAAGAAGAGCTAACAGCTGCCGAGCTTCGTCGTCAACTGCGCGAAGCAGCTCAGCAGAAGGTACGCTGAGCCCTACGCCTGGTTATGATATCGGCCGTGTCTGATGACATCAAATCTTCAGGAGGCAGAGTCTTTCAACCCCGAAAACGTGGAATATATCGATGTTGAGGACGATCTTGACGAAGAAGCCCAGCCTCGCGTGCGAGAGATCACAGCAGGCGCAAAGGCGAAAGGCAATACGGATCGACTTCCGCAGGATTTTGCAAGCCTTCCGGTAGGTCTTCACCCCACGTAAATCGACTGCACTGCTGATGCAACTTCGCAGAATCGTCGGGCGAAGGATGTGAGCGAGCTGAACAACGAGCGGATGCTGAAGTGGGCCAAGTCCGAGGGTCGTACCGGAGGCTCAGCCCGAGCGGCGCTCGCGCAGGGCGTTACCGGTCATGGCAAGAAAGGCGGGTCGTTCAAGAACGGACAGCGACCCAAGACACAGACCGAGCAACGCAAGCCTGTTAAGTCCGGATCCACTCGAAGTCTGCTATCAACCGTGTCCGACCGAAGCAGCCGTTTCACAAACTAAGTTAACATATATCAGAATCGGACTGGACATCTAGTATGGCATTCTATGCTTTTATCATGATATGTTGTCGTTTTGCATGTCTCTCATCCACTGTATGCACGCTCTCACTATCTGTGTGATATCGTAAACACGGCTGTAGTATTAACTCTGTTCTGAAATCGAATGAACAGGGGCACAAAAATAGTCAGGTGTGAGAAGTATGAACGGCAATATAGAGAAAGAAATCCGCCTGGCGATAAATACCGTGCTCCATATACAACCTCCAGGACACGGGCCAAATCCCGGTCTAGTCAATGGTAGTGTTTTCCAACGAAAGCGCGACCGAACCGCGCGAACGGATTTCGGTGCGGACGGGACGAAGGAATGGCAAAAGATCGAGAAGCTTGGCGGGAATGGCTGACACTACGCCGTCTGCGAGAATTTGTTTGATTTATCTGCGTCCGAAGGTTCAGCGTCACAATTGACAGCGAGCGCGAGCACAAGTACCTTATGCCGAAGCATTATCAGTTGAGCCATGTTCTGAGGACCATTTTCGCGTACGGGGACCCCTGGACTTAGACAATGAGATATGAGTTCGTCATGAAGTTGTGTGCGAGCACTCACGCGAGGCAACTCTTGAAAGTCCGGCTTCATGCACGCCGAGCGTATCCTCCACTGCTATCACGCACTTTCGTACGGACGGTATCGACATGCAGCAGAGGAGGAAGCCCGCGACGAAAGCGAGCAGGCTGGGGAGGAAATGCATGGCGAGGGCGTGAGGCTCGTCGCTGGCGTGGTCGTCAAGTGTTAGCCTGAGACCGGGAGCGTCGAGGTCGTCCTATCTTCCCTGCATTGCGCAGATTAGCATGCTAAGTACACCGGTAGGGAGGGTCTGGCTGACCAGGCCGTGAGTAGCCGGCGTCGTGATGGTCGTTGACAAGACGGCTGCTGCCCCGTGGGAATCTGGGCTACCCGCACGATGTGGTTGTACGCTGCTCTAGACTCCCGTCGGCGCTCCCCATTTCATTGGTTTTCCTGGCACTACCACTGTTCATTGCAGCCAACATGATACAGCCCAAGAAATATCGCTACTTGTTTAGGGATACGTAGCCAGGACAGTCTCGCTATCGCAAGCCTACTCCAAAGGAAATATCGCCTATCAGGTACTCAACTGGCTATGACCTTGGCTAGCACTTGCCATCATGATCGCTGTGCGGTTTTCAACGTTGGTGACTGCGGTTCTTTCAAGCTTCGAGCGTATTTGTGCAGGGCCTTACGTGCCATGTACGCTCATGCGATGTCCGCGACGGCTTTGGCACCTATCGCATGTCTCCATGTGAGCGTCGCTCGATCCCTTCCTTGAATAGCTGAAACGCATTGCCACTGCTCGGGAACTGATGGTTGATACGATTGACAAGCTCGCTTTAGCTCTCTTTTGGCTCCTCTGCACTACCAGTGGCAAGTTCAATTGCAGAATCTCATACGACGAAGGCTTCCATCATCACCGCCTCCTGATTCTCCTTCTTTCTTTCAGTTATATTGTAACAAAACAACTCATATTCACTGTCTGTAACAGTGTTATATGCGTTCAATGGTCCGCTTCTTGATCTTCTCTATTGGCGCCGTCTGGAGACAGTTTCCTGATTAGTTGGTGCACCAGCGCTGCCTTGCTTCATTCTTGCACGCTGTATATATGCATGTGGGACCCTGTCCGCCGTATCTCATCTCTGCGACACAGGCGCCAATTGAGCTTGCTGCACTAGCTATGCATAGTCTATGGAAACGCATCGGCTTCAAGAATCTCCGTAAAGGCACCTCTTCTTCTGACGATGAGAATGGTCCGGCACGAAGTGCAAGTGGATCGTTCAGACAGATGGCGGCCAACGAACTTGATAGATACCACGAAGGGTACGATGGACCCCCCCCCCAGTCATGTGGAAGGGATCCAGGATACTTCACGCGTCACCGCCGGGCCCAACTCATTCATTGGTGATCTCTCCGCACAGCATATCCTCACTTCCAAACTCAACCGCTCGTACACGGGGAACTTCCATACCTTCTGTGGGCAACAAAGAGACACGATGGAGAAATGGCTTGATGATATGTCTGCTTTTTTGTAGCGCCAGACTGCTATTGACGGAAGGCTGACTGTTCTCGAGCAGAAGATGGATGCCAGGATGAACACCAGGATGGAAAGGATCGAGAGCTTATTGCGCAAAGTACTCATGACTCTGAAGAACACCATATGACGTAGCCATACCATCGTACACACTGAACAATTATCTTACTTGACGTTAGTTTTGCTCATATGCCACCATAGTACTCTCTTCGCCGAACGCCTTGAGCCAGGCCTTGATGCCTCCTTCCAGCACGTACCCTGCGGATTCCGTATGTCCCTTGTCATCGAGGTAGTCCTGATACCTGATGACAGATGTTCAGACTAGTTACATTGGGAAACCTCGATGCGATCACAATTATACCTACCATCCCCCACATCGTGGTCCACGACCTCCTGCACTACAGCTGTTGCAGTGGAAGATCACTTGGGTCGTTCCGGGGAACTGCTCGAAGAATGTCAGCAGGTTATCATAGAAGGTCTGTGCAGGCCACTGAGCACTTCCAGAAATGTGACCACCCTGTATTCATGCTCATCAGTTCCCCGTTGGTGATATCCAGCGCAAACCACGGACTTCTCTGTCATCTAGGCGGACATCAATGATAGCATAATCATGACGCATCATCGTAACACTGCAAAGCAGAGTCGCTACCTCCCACGGAGTCATAAAGCCAGGTGCTGCCTTAAATGTCGGATACGTGGAGGTCCATTTCAAGAGGGGCTCCAGAGCATGTTCTACCCGGCTGTCCGTCACGGATTTACGCGCATAGATCTGATACGACGCTTCGGAACACCGACGTCTCAGCACTCCTGCAGAGCAAAGATTACATCAACTGACCAACCCAGTCATTGGCATTGAAGTCCGGCAAGGGGTGTTGTGGTGTGTTGAAGAAACCAGCAGCCCCGCTATTAAGTTCTGCATGCATTGAACCGCAGCACTTCGACCCGCCGCATACACCCGAAGTTGTGATAGTATTCGGATTGGATTGGAAATATAAGTTGATGTCTCCTTTGGTGCCTATGAAAAGTAGATCTACAATATTTTGAATTGACACCGTCCAGGGTACACCGAGACCATGCATGTAGATACCTCGAAAACCAACGTTGAGCGGCAGTAACCCGTATTCTTGAAGCTATATTGTGCCTGATATACAGCTCACCCAAGAAGACATTGTTCCGCAGAAAATAGGGCAATGCTTTCTTGGCGACGATCTGCAAGGAAGTGACTTCAGCATAAAACACGGTGCATTGAAGACAGTGCTCACGTCGTCAAGAACGATTCTACCACTGGGCGTGAGAACGCGGTGAACCTCCTTTTGCAACGTGGCTTTTCCTGCCGGAGGCAGCAGGTTGATCACAGAGTTCGAGAGAACGCAATCCACTGAGTCCGAAGCATGGGAGTGGTTCAGTGAGAGCTGCCTGAACAAAAGCAACCTGAGGAGGTTTGAGGCGTCGCGTGCCCGCATTACGACGTGCCAGTTTGATCATGTCCTGGACGTTGACACATGATGTCAGCCGGAGGTGAAGTTATAGATGTTACTTGCGGCACCATACAGGATGGAGTCATACAAACCTCTGAGATATCAAGCCCGATAGCACGGCCATTGCAGCCCACCCGATGAGCCGCAAGGAGCACATCGAGGCCTCCGTCCGATCCAAGATCTAACGCACATTCACCCTGGTACGCGAGCTCAGCTACACTCATGCATATGCAAGGGTGTCCATACCTCTGAAATATTGGCTATAGCAACAGGGTTGCCGCATGATAGGCCCATGTTCGCCTCTGTCAGGATAGAATTGAGCTGATCAGGAGTATATCCGAAAGCTTTCGCGATCCTTGTCGCATCTGTTGTGGGTGATCAAAGACGTGCGAGATACGACAAGCAACGTGGTCATGAACATTCTATGTTGTGAGGTGCGTTGGCCTTTGCGCTGTACGCGGCATTAACAGCTTTCACGGCATCCATGTCTTTAGCAGCGGCAGAGTCAGAAGTGCCGCGAGAGCACGCAAACATCGTCAACGCCAATATAAGAGATGTGCCGCGTGATGAGAGTTGCCTTGCAGATCAAGCACCTGCAAAAAGGGATTCCATTCTTAGAGGATGACTTTGACGAGTCAGTCACATGCGCGCTCGGGATATGCTCGCGGCCCGATCTCCATAGATATTGAAGGTTGGAGTCGGCTCTGTGACGTTCTTGAGTCCGCAGGATAACATGGTAACCCATCACAGTAATGTAGCCGTCGTAGTACAAGTAGACTTCGTCAAGTTTACAGGGAGGTAGAGCGGGGTACTGTGAATAGTTCTGAGGCGTTTTTCGCGGATAAGAAACGATTGTGACATACCCACAGCCAAACAAACTTGATGAGAGGCTGTGGATTCGATGGAACATCTTTGATACTTAGTCGTAATCTTGCGGTGAGGCAGAGGCGCGGCGAGAGCAGCAGTGGAGCGTGGGAAGAGCTGTACAGATACTGTTCGAATAAGGTTTTCGAATCGTTCGCTCCTCCATCTCCTCAAGACACCCCCAAGATGAGGTGAGTTATGGTCCGCTCGTCTGTACGATACATACACTGACGGTCTTTCAGTCACCGTAAGGTCCGCAAATCCAGCACGTTTTGGCTGGGACACGATGCTAACGGGATTTGGTGCAGTACGAAGCTCCCCGCCACGGCTCTCTTGGTTTCCTCCCCCGCAAGCGTGCGGCTCGCCATCGCGGAAAGGTCAAGTCCTTCCCCAAGGATGATCCCAAGAAGCCCGTCCACTTGACTGCCGTTATGGGCTACAAAGCGGGTATGACCCATGTTGTCCGCGATCTCGACCGTCCGGGCTCTAGTAAGTATCGATGCAAATTTAGGCAGGTTAAGTGAGGTTCTGATTATTGTGCATAGAGATGCACAAGCGTGAGGTTGTGGAGGCTGTTACCATCGTTGAGACTCCCCCCATGATCGTCGTCGGTGTTGTTGGCTACGTCGAGACCCCCCGCGGTCTCCGCACCCTCACCACCGTCTGGGCCTCCCATCTTTCGGACGAACTCAAGCGCCGGTTCTACAAGAATTGGTACCGCTCGAAGAAGAAGGCGTTCACCCGCTACGCCAAGAAGGCAGCGGAGGACAACGGCAAGTCGGTGCAGCGCGAGCTCGAGCGCATTCGCAAGTACTGCACCGTTGTTCGTGTCCTGGCGCACACCCAGATCCGCAAGACTGGCCTTGCGCAGAAGAAGGCGCACCTGATGGAGATTCAGGTCAACGGCGGCAGCATCGCGGACAAGGTCGACTTCGCGCACGGTCTATTCGAGAAGCCGATTGAGGTCAACAGCGTCTTCGAGCAGGACGAGGTCGTCGATGTCATCGCCGTCACCAAGGGTCACGGTTTCGAGGGTGTGACTCACAGGTGGGGAACCAAGAAGCTGCCGCGCAAGACGCACAAGGGTCTCCGTAAGGTCGCTTGTATTGGAGCGTGGCACCCTTCGAAGGTCATGTTCTCTGTTGCTCGTGCTGGTCAAAGTACGCATATACCCTGCTTGTTGCATATAACGCATCCTGATCAATTACCTGTAACAGATGGCTACCACCACCGCACGGAACTCAACAAGAAGATCTACCGCGTCGGCTCCGGCTCGGACGAGGGCAACGCCTCCACCGAGTCCGATGTCACCAAAAAGACGATCACGCCCATGGGTGGCTTCCCTCACTACGGTATCGTCAAGAACGACTATCTCATGCTTAAGGGCTCCATCCCCGGAACGAAGAAGCGCGTCATCACCATCCGCAAGTCGCTCATGGTCCACACTTCTCGTCGGGATCTCGAGAAGGTCCAGCTCAAGTTCATCGATACCTCTTCAAAGTTCGGTGTAAGTAAGCTCATCTGGAGTGATGAAATACGGCTGATCCTATCATCTTGCCATGCAGCACGGCGCTTTCCAGACTTTCGAGGAGAAGGCGGCGTTCTTGGGCACGCTCAAGCCCCGCGCATGAGCTGCGGTCTTTCATTCTCTCTAGGCATATGTTGTTTTACTGCTCTCCATGTTATGCGTGATCACTGCCCAATGCCATCAGTCGGCTCGCACCAAAACTTCCTTAGCCCATGTAGCGGGGCGCTAAGTGGATATCAATTTCTGTTGCTGCGTGTCGGAACTACAGGGGAGCCTTTACGCCCGCGCATCAGACCCTCTTGAAGTCGGCTTCGGAGTCCAAGCCTGAATCTTGGGTGCAGCTGTGTTGTAAGTCTTGAATGCACCCCGAGTACCGGTGAGGTTCTCGACCCAAGGCTAGATTGAGAAAAGTTAGATGCCGCAGGGGAATGGCGACACGCGGTAGCAGAGGGAACGTACAGTCTTCCACGGAGGAGTAAGGTTCTGGACGACGGGGTCTTCCGACGGCGGGTCCTTGCGGATATGCGATAACCACGAGTGCCATTCCGGAGGGACTTGCGTCGCGTTGAAATCGTGCTGCGTAGCAACGTTATGGCTGTAATGGAGACAACCTGTTCATCACGAGCGTACCTGCGCAAAGTCGACCCATCGGTGACGACCTGGCAGAGATGAACTCGTTTAGTCAATGATCCGAGAACCCGAAATGTATAGGACTTACCCGGTACCTCTTCTTCTGGGTTCAAGTTCTCGTAGTATTTGTTACCGAACCTGATGGACAAATCGTCAGTAGTTGACTGGACCTCCCCGGACTCGCGGCTCGTTCCGGTCCCGGGGAAGGGGATCGTTGGACGCACTGGTCAGTGCCCTTCAACGCGCCGTATTTAGCGTCGCCGATGTACTGTAGGTTACGCCACCAGTAGCTCCAGCCGCCGCGCCGGATGTTATTTACGGTGCGCCATAGGGAGACCATCGTGGTCGGTGAGAGTGAGCTGCGAAGTCGCGTGGCGATGTCCTCCGAGTTGGCTCTCTCGAGACTCCGCACACCTTCAGTTCGACTTGGTACTTGGCCTTGGTCTGGAACTGGCTATGTCACTGTGTTATCCGACATTGTCGTGCATGCCACCAGATGACTCTACCATAATCAAGACGACACGAGATGTTTGTGCGCTGCATCGAACCTTGCACTCGCCTTTCCTGGCGTCCCGCCAGCATGTGCTTCGGAACATGGATGGTCCGTAGCTGGGCATAAATCTCGCTCACGTCAAGCATGGCAGGGCAGCGTCACTGTTATACTTGACTCCCGCGGTACGTTACTCTACGGCGCGGACGACCTCGGATGCCAAACAATCATCATGCGGATCGCGCGTTACGGCGCAAGTATGGGTGCACTTGCGGATGCTGCTATGGAGGTTTTCTATCCAAACGTCTCCGGTTGAGGCTGAAAGGCATGACGATGTCGTTCACGTCGCACGATAGGCGTTGCTCCTAACAGTCTCGATAGATGCCGTTGACCGGGTGATCACTTCTATGGCCATGATGAATCAAATGAGAGAATTCGGAGAGGCATTCCTAGGGCGGGATATGTTCTCGCGTCTGGATTTCTGGACAGAACATCTTCCATTTCACCTTCAAGAGAATGTCACTCGCGACCAATCCTTCTACCGTGGATACGCTGCCCTCTTCGAAGCTATACATGTCGTTCTCGCACGCTCCGACGATTATCCGCCTATATCTACCCCAAGCGCCATACTCGATATGATCACCAACATGGACGCAGACGGGCAGCGCTTCGTGGCGTACTACATGGAAAGGGGCGGCTTAATCGAGCATGCGCTGAGTTGTGTAACCCATCTGGCCAAGTGCCATTCGCCTCTCGGCGACAGAGCCTTCGATCAGGCCGCATCACGGGAGTGGAACGCGCTCCCTACCTGCGCAAATGACCTGGCGTTCTACCTCGTCAGAAGGAAGATCGGATTGGATCCAAGGCAGCAATGGGGTCCGTACAGGGACGCCCCTACCAACGTTCGAGAGGAGGAGGGCGACAACGAGGAGTTGCACGGTGAGGCGACATCGGCGAATGTCGATGACGAGCACATCGATAGAAATGACGAACACGGGTCAAACCGTCGCTCCTTCCCTGTTGAGCGAGCTCTGCGCTGGATGGTACCCGAGTGTTTCCAATACATGGCGGCAGATGCCTAAGTCATTGGCGCATCGACTTTGATCTCTCTGCAGCTACTGGTCGGTACGTCGGCCAAGTCGAATATCGACTAAGTATCGCATAGAATGATCTGCTAGATGCAAGCGAGGGACTTGGGATTCGAACCCGAGGAACGTTATCCCTGCTTTAGCGTTTTGCTAGGCCTTGCGTCATCGTCGTCGTCAACAGGAGGAAGCATCATCCCTTTGATGTGGTACACCGTACAGATACCTTCCTTGCTTCTCAAACGAGGCCTATCCGAGCCATTCCTGGCGTCTCGAGATAAGCAACCTCACAGGCATATAAGAAGGCATTTTTTTCGACGACCCAAACAATCTCCCCAGCTCAGATATTATCCCCAACTTCCCCTGAGGTAGCGCATTACACCTTCGACCCTTCGGATTAATCATCGGTTACAATGCGTGACGCTGATCAGCGCAAGTACGGTTGCACATGCGGATCCTGCTCTGGAGGATTCCTGTCCAAAAGGCTTTTGTACAGGTTGCAATGTGAGTCGAACCTGCCAGTTGTTAGGACGCACGTACTGACTGTTGATGCAGCATCGACTGGGATGACGCTCGACATGCTGAAAGAAACGAATCGATTCAGGACTTGGGCTCCTCGCGTTCCACTCCCCATAACGGCCTTCTCTTCGGACTCATGCATATACCATTTGCCTCCGCACCTCCGCGGGAGTATCTATCGAACCTTTTACGACGGATACTTGTGCATTTTCGGGGCCATCGTCTGCGTCCTTAAACGCTCTGGCGACCATGGACCGCCGATCCCTACGCCGGCAGCCGTGCTTGACGAGCTGCGGACCTTGGACTTTGTCAAGCTGCGAGCAGTGCAATTCTACTTCGACAAAGGTGGTTTGATAGAGTACGCGCTGGATCACGTCACTGCCTTCGCCGCGGACCAGTCACCTCTCGGGGACGGCGAGTTTGATTCCCTTGCTGCGGAGGACGACTTGGAGATCGACGAGGACTTGCGGCAGTACTTGTTTAACCTGGATCCCGCCTTGGTATCGTCCGAGGGACAACTGGCGAGAGAGTGGAACGCGCTGCCGACCTGCGCTAACGATCTCAAGTTCAGACTGGTCAGGCTGAAAATTGGGCTCGAGCCGACCAGGCGTTGGGGCCCTTACCCGAACATCCCTGCCATCCTAGGGCCAGAGGAAGACGAGGACATGGATGGAAGCGAGGAAGAGCTGGTCGCCGACGCTTGAACCTCAAGTTTGAAGCTCGAAGACCTGTATGTCACGCGTTGTCTTCGTTCAGAAATTTACTTAGCGATTCCCGGGTTGGTAGTTTCCTGCTTGAAAGACAAACGAGCGATGCACATCGCACTCGAGGAAATTCTGACTTGTTGTAATATCAATCCGCGCGGTTTGCGATGACTGTTGTGAGCGTTGTATGTTGCTGGATGCATTTCCAGGCCCATCCAGCCGCGTAATATCGAAAATCCAACCACCGAATTCGAAGGTGTACTTGTACTGATCCGATTGATGAACTGAATGAAATTATGCACTACCCGCCAGTCTCAACGCGTGTTATACAACCGTAACGATGCTCGAAAGCATGTCCATCTTGCCAATATAACAAGCACAAAGTATATGCAGACACCGTCGGGTACAATACACGGGAAAGCTAGCCCTGTCCATAATATAAAATACCTTCATCGTCCTTTGCGAGGTCGTTTAGAAGTCGCTCCGGTGGCAGATGTATCCACGGAAGATATGGACATTGACCGACGAGACTGGGCGAAGAATGATCAGTCGTCGTGAAATATGGCGGTACGATCGGTGACATACCGCCTTTCTTGATCGTCCTCTCATGCTCACAGAGCTCATAACGCTTTGTCCCCTTCCGTCCGGCGAGCCCGCCTCCGCATCCCCGCCGTCGACCTCCATAGGCGTCCCAGTCGTCGGCGTCTCCACGACCGCGCTCCCTTCTGCATCTGCTTCGCCGTCCCCTTCCGCGTCCGCGCTGTCCTTCTCCAGGAGCTGGGCCTTCAGCACCCTGATTTCCTGTTCAACGCGATCGACGACCTTCTTGGTCTCCACGAGCGCCGACGCGGCGTCCATGACGCCCTCGAGCTGCTGAATGTTCTCGCGCGTAGGCATGATGAGCCGGAGGTGGTTGATGCCGAGCTCTTGGAGACATTGGATGATCTTGGGCGCGTTGGAGGAGGGTTTGGGGAATGGGATCCTGGAGGAGCGGAGGTGGGCGGCTTGATGGGATTTGGTAGCATTCGTGGCGGGAGGGTCCATGCGATGAATACAATTGAGGGCGTCTAATGGGATCATATCAGTCGGTGCTCATAGGATGGAAAGGTAGCGGCATTACCTTGCGCGAGTTGTTTCGCAGATTGCTTGCGCTGAACTGGCTGGCCGAGACTGATGACACTGTGACCAGCACTGACGCTTGGGCTGTCGATGTCTCCGGCGGCGGCGTTGACGCTGCCGTAATTTTTCTTCTTCTTGTTCTTCGAGTCGCTGACAGCACCGACAGGATTCTCATCGTCAACAGGAAGATCAGGAAGGCCGGAGTCGATACCCAGGAGCGTGCGCAGAAGCTCGTCGCGGTCTTTCTTGAATCGTCGCTCTGTTTGCTCTAGGCGCTTAATCTCCACGAACAATGCTTCCTCCTCCGCGATCTGTTCTGGCGTTCGGGACTCTAACGAAGCGACATATTTCTTCCTCGTGACTTCTTGCTCTATGACAGGCACGATGTTGAATTTGATGCGTCACCAAGCAAACGTCGATCGTACCTTTGTCGAAGTCAAAACTCTGGAGCAGCTTAATCTTGCTGATTTCATCGCCTGGCCATGGTCGGTTCCTGACGAGCTTGCGGCAGACACTGCAATATCTATCTTTGAGGTCCTGCGGGACGCTGGAAGTCAGACGATGAAAAAGCGAGATACGACCGTAACGCGAGTTCTTACCTCCAGAGACCGGGGTACACCACCGGGATAGTCATAGCGATCATGAACAACATAAAAGCGAGCATCATACTCCCGCATCAGGTCGAAGAGGTAATCGGTCTCTTCCTTGGTCCATTCGGGATCTTTGCGGAGTCAGTGGCGCGTAGCGGTCGGTGCCCGGGCACAGTACCTTCTAAGAACCTGGTATACTCGTCTAGGGAATAATCGTAGACGTTCGGCTGGACGTTGTACTTGGCGAAGGGGTATGCTAGATGTCATCTGTATCGTCAAATTCTGTACCAGGAAGCATAACTCGATCTCACCTGCACTAGGGTCGGAACTGGCCTTCACCCAGTGTCCGAGCTCCAAGGAATCCTTCCTCGCCTCATTCTTGAACGATCTCCACTCCCTGTAAGACGCGTAAGACGCGTCCCGTACAATATGAAGAAGTATACCATTTGACGCTCCCACTGGTTCCGAAGTTGAGTTTCTGCTTTAAACGCGGTTTCGCGAACTGCGCTTGCAAAGAGGGCGTGGAGTCGCCAATGAGCGAATAAAGCTCGCGCGAGATGCCATCCGGCTTTCGTTTTCGTTCCTTGGGTTGTGTCGCAGCAAGAAAAATATCTGACTGAGAAGGACCGGTGGAGGGACCAGGAGTCGGTAGAGAGAGCGCCGAACGGACGTCGGCAGCGGATACCCCAGCCATGGCAAGGACCGCAGGTTGGCGGCAATCGAGGAAGTGCTTGTCGAGCACAGCCACTTTATCTGCCGTCTGCCACGGCATCCGTCAAGTCCGATATGCTTTTGTGCACCTTTCGCGTGCTCGGAAATCTCAAAGGGAAGCATAACATGGCCCTGACAGCTTGGCTCCGACCACATCTATTGCTTGCTTGGACTTCAGGATGCAGGACGTTCTTTTGATCGGGATGGGCGGGGTTGGTGCTACCTGTACGTGTACGCAGTGTGGGAGGTGTCGAGTCGGCTTTCCAACATCAACGTAAATACCAGACGCTCGTGTGCTAGAACGCGCCGGCGCACATGTCACTGCGATTGCGAGAGGCAGTTACGAAGCGATACAAAGTTAGTCACCCAAGATACCAGTATGACGGATACCAGTACTAACACCACCATCGGAGTTGTGCAGGCACCGGGCTTGATTTCGTTGGCAAAGCTATCGAAGAGCAGGGGGGAGAGATAAAAGCATGGAGGCCATATAGAGGTACGGTTTCGATTCGCTCTCCCTGGAACACCGCACTGAAATTGTTATAACACCTGCGGCAGTGTTTCGAGACCTCGGCAAGCAAGCTTTGGATAGGTCCTACTCGTATGTGGTGATTGCCACGAAAGCCATTCCGGAGGTACAGACAGTCGCTCAGCTGGTGGCGCCCCTTCTGTCGCCGGAGTACACGCGGTCCCATCCACAGCCCGTCTTCGTGCTGTTGCAGAACGGCCTGAACGTGGAACGAGACTTGTACGAAGCGTTACAAGGCGTCAAGTGTGCGGATGGGCAACCATGGCAACCCAAAATTATCAGCGCGGCTGTATATGTTGCGGTGAACCTCATAGGGAGGAATACCATCCAACATAACCAGAAGGTGTGCATATCTACCTCAAGCAAACAAAACCATCATCAATTTGTCGTTAGGAATTTCTCAATATTGGCGTCTACCGAATGGACGATTATTCACGGACGGAAAACGATTCCGAAGAAGCGCAGCTCTTGGGAAATTTTACTCAGTTGCTCCGTGAGGGAGGGAGCACCGCGAATATCTTCCCCGAGATCCAGCGTCTCAAGTTCAAGAAGAACATCTTGAACTGCGTATTCAGCTCGTTCTCCGCGTTATCGGGATATACCCTGCACAGCGTATTCCGCAAGAAGTCCGATGATCCTGCGCAGCTGAAGCCAGTCGTGGACCCGATCACGGCGCCGCTCATCGACGAGCATGCCATTCCCACCATTCGCGCCATCATCGATGAAGTCGTGGACGTCGGCCGAGCGTATGGATTCCCCGATACAGAAGAGACCGAATCCGGTGTGGCGAAGATCGCGGACGGCGTGTTTCGGCGCATGGAGCGGCTACATACCGTACCCGACAGCAAGAACATCGTCAGCATGCTCTTGGACGTCCAGAACAGCAGGCCTATTGAGGTGGAGTGCATCGTCGGGGAGGTGGTGAGAATGGCCCACGCGAAGGGCGTGCCCATTCCGGTTCGTTCCTTCCCTGCGATGAGATTTCTTGAGTAAACGAGATTGACCCTTCCACAGCGGCTGGAAGTCCTCTATGCTTTGTTACTAGTGAAGCAGAATCAGCTTTTGCAAGGCGTCCGTGCGCCAACCAGCAGAGGAAAATTCTAGCGCTAGGCTAGGTACTTATTATTCGTGGACGCTCTGAGGTTGAGATATATATAGAAGCGGAGATAAAACTTGTTTTTCCGCGTTCCCGCCAACGGAGATTCGTTTGTGGAGTTCACTGAGGGAAGCACATAAGGGATAGGTCAGGTCCATCCTATAAGCCAAATACCGGGTTCGCCGCTGCGCGGGATTTACACCTGGAGATTTACAGCGAACAGGAACTAGATCGGCAACCCTTTGGTGAACATGGAGGGCTGCTCGGGATTAGCCCGGGAATGAGGTAAAACTACTAGACTGCCATGCCTAACGGTGTGGCTGCGATTACCCAGCCAGCCGTCAATCTACACCAACATCGAGGGCTATGATTCCTATCCGCATTCTGACCCTCAACTTTATGCTTGACCCGTTTCTGTGCTGCTGCTGCAGTGACACTGACTTGGATTCTGATGGCGCCTCGCGTAAGGACAGCGCGAAACGTCCGATCTGCGCCAAACCCTCGTTGCTGGACACAAATGGTATGGTTCCGGTGGATTCGGGGCAAGAGCGCATCTGATCAGCAGGGATAAGCGAGAAGAAGTGCTTGGGCAGGTTTAAGCGAGTTAGCTTCCATAACGGATGCATATAGCGTATATATGAAGATTTTTGGTTGACCTCCAACATGGTATACCGCGTTATCGATGGATCTTCCAGGAAAGGCGACACGGCGTTAAAACGCATGTCTCGGTCTCCCATTGCCTGATCTTGTGAGGTACAAATGCACAGATGACTGATGAGCGTGAAGGTCGAGACTGCGGGAGTGCCTTGAGCACATCGTGGTGAACGTCAAGAGATCGACGGGACACAGATTTAGGGATGCCCGGTTGCAGTCGCTGAAGTCTATTTAACTCAGGCATAATCCTCGGGCCGTCCGGGGAGGATCACATCGGCGCTAAGCCCAGCCCAGGTGATGCTCAAACAGGGCAAGGCAAACCCATATCAAGGTCAGCGGCAGCCCGGGAACCGGGATCGCCGCCGCTCGCTGGGTGGTGGTGGTGTTGGATTACGAGCGTAGGTCTGTAAACAGAAAAGGCCCACCCCGAAGTTTCACGGTTTCAGTGGGCGCGTGGCCGACGCGGGGAGTCGGTGCGGGCGAAGAGGACGCCGGCGCGCGATCGCGAAAAGTCAGGACAGGCAGGATTGCCTCAAACAGCAATTTTGGCCAAGGTCGAAGGCTCGAAGGCACGTCGATAAGGGACGAAACCGCGTCAATTTGCAAAATGTCATCATGGATTCCCACGAGGGGAAGCTCTGACACCGAAGTTGGAGGGTCTCATTTCAGATCCACAAACCGGCGACGCGCTCGACAGGGCGGGTCCCGCTTTTATATCATGGCCCCTTTCAACCTTGGCCCGCCGATGACCAACCCATGCCATCCCTTCCGTACGTGTACGAGGTTACTCGCTACTGCCAGCGTGAGTCCTGGCGATAGTACAACAACAGTCATCGACTGAATCACGTCTTTGTTAGTCGCTACAGCAGCGGCGGTTGTGTATGATCATGGTCAGTCTCTGGATTTGACGTAGGAATATACCGCGATTATATTCATAGACCTTCGTCAGCACTAACGCTCCAGGATGAGGTGACTTGATCAAATGCTCGTGATCAACTGTATCTTCAATCCTCATTCTAGGTCGAGCTCATTTGGAAGAAGAAATGGAGCGCCTCGCATTTCTTGTTCTTAGCAGTGAGTGATATTTCTCCTAGCATGCTACGTTCTCGACCAACGGACTACTTAGAACCGTTATTTGGGCGAGCTGTTACTGGTGTGAGTTGGGTTCGTTGATTCAGGGTGTACTCTCATTGATAAACGCCGGTTCAGGGCAAACGCTATAGGTTCGTCAATGTGGAGCTGTCATGAGCTATATATTAATTTCTTGAGTGTTTATAGTGTTTATGAACGACAGCCTTCCATCAACGGTACGTTAATCATAGGCTTTCTTGGATACCGACTAATCGGTCACAGTTGTAGGTGTTGCATCTGATCAACTTATCCAGCAGTTATTTCTGACGACGATATGCTGCTTCTGCTATTAGCTGTGAGTAGATGTTCCGTGAGTAATGAAGCAATCGTTCAACCGTACACTAGGTTCCGACTGGCTAAAGGTACAAGCATGGCTTAGTTTCGCGGTCATTTGGACAGTCCAAGCTATTATGATCTACCGAGTCTTTGCCATGTACTCAAAGCCCATGCTCGCCGCTGTTTTCATGGTTGGCTGCTTCGCCATCGAAGTGGCGGCCACATCAGCAATCCTCGGGATGAACGATGGCGTGCAAGGTGAGTCATCTATGCTGTGTAGTTGTTCATGCGGGTTAATCCTTGAACTAGTAACGGCCATACCTTGGCCTGGCATACATATGTGCGCACCAACACACGCTTCAAAACATATCTATACCGTGTGGATACCCGCCCTCGTCTTCGAACTCGTGCTGTTCCTGCTGGCGTTCTATAAAGGCTGGAGACACGTGCTGAAGTTCAAAGGCGGTAACTGGTGGTGCCCACGCCTTCTATCCGGCATATTGATGCGGGACACGACTCTGCACTTCCTCGCGTGAGCTTCCTTCATCTCTCTGCATACAAAACATTCACCAACACACCCAATAGGTGCTTGGTGCTATACCTGGGCAACGCACTCGTTTGGGCCACGCTGCCTCCGGCGTGGATTGAGGTGTCGGAATGCTTCGCGGTCGCGGTAACCTGCGTGATGGGCAGCAGGTTGATACTCAACCTCCGCGAGGCGTACTATCTTCCTGCAGCGACGGAGTTCGTCGGGCACGAGACCAATTACTACGACCACCGGTATTTCAACACCGATATACCGCAGCCCCGCGAATCTTCTTTCCGGGTTCGACGGATGGGATCGGAGGATGGAAGCGGGGATTTCGATGGCTACGCAGGGGGTGGGGAGGAGAGCCATGAGGTGATGGATATTCGCAGCACCCGCAGCCAGCTGGGGACGAGTTCCAAGGCGATCAAAGATGTTGAAGGGGGGGAGGTCGACATACATCGCGCGTCGTCCATGCGGGGTGAAGCTTGCTCGAGTACCATGCTGTAGCGTTGCATGTGCGAGCACTCGGAGGGCTAGATTATCGCTATGGTCGAACCGGATGCATTTGTAGCATAGACTCATCATCATTGTATACATGCTGTCCCACATAATTCGCGAATGCAGGGAATGCCTAGTCTGTCGAAGATGCTCGGCGCTTGCCTTTACCAGGGGATGGTTCCGGGCGTCCTCTTGAAGGCGCAGGTGGCTCGTCTTCGTCGTCTTGCAGTGATGGTATCGTCACTTGTATCGGCAGTAGCTCCCCTGGTGACGGTGATGCATGATTCACATGGTCATGAATAATTAATTCCCGAACGTTGTACATGAAAGTCGAGCACATGTTTGATGAAACATGCGGAGAAATTGAATGGATGCTTACCTGTCCGACGATCCTTGAACTGGACGAACAAAGATTCCCAATTGTTCAACGATCCCTTGACAGACGCTTTGCCGTCCAGGACTTTGTACTCCACGATCAGCACGCCCCGTCTGTACGCGTCCTGATCGCGCACGCTGCGGCAAAGCTCGAAGTCATCCGGTGAGCTGAGTTGCGGGACATCGCTACCGTCCTCTAGCGGTGGCACGTAGGAGTACGCATGGGAGGCAATCGCAGAGAGGTACTCTGATTTGAGCTCGTTGATTGTCTGCGTCTGCGGGACCTTGGGGAGGAAGATACTGAGTTTGTGAGTCTTGATCGTGAGTTGGTAGAACTTGGGCTGGACACGGGGAGGCTATAGGGATAAATGTGATCAGTCCAGTCCATGCATGGGGTTCAGAAGTGCGCTGACCATGATATCGACGCGCACACCGAGTGGCACAACGGCAGCGAGGAGAAGGCTAACGCGCCCACGATCACCTGACGGAGGACAAACCCCCCGAAATCTCATTGTTGCAACGCCTTGGCCTCGAGGCCGCGGACCCCTTCACACTTGTAATCACTTCGCTTGCCCCATTGCCAGCTCAGCAACCTGCGGGAGACGCGCCGGGAATATATAAGGAGAGGAGGCCGCCGCTTGCAGGCACCGGACGCCCAAGATGCCGCTCATCGTCCCCCTCCTGCGATTGTCGATGCTCTTCCTCAATGTATATGACACCTTCAAGACTCTGAAGCCACCCGCGCTGTCGGCTCGCACGGGTCGAGTCAGCGTACGGGCGGCGTCCCAACGAAAACGGGATATGAAGGGCGTGCTTGCCATCTGGATCGTTTGGGTCGGTGGTTGGACTGAGTTTTCGGCCTGTGGCGTGTGGCTAACGAAAGGGGAATAGGCGTGCTTTGCTACGTACGAAAGGACGGTCGATGGCATGATCCGATTCTTTATCCCGTTTTACGACGAAATCAAGTCGTTGCTTATACTATTCCTGATAGTCTCGCGCTCAAGGGTGCGTTATTGCGACTAACCTGTTTCCCGATGTTGACATCTTTCCGCATTCAGGGTGCCGAGCCTATCTATCTGCACGTTATACGGCCGCTGGTCAAACCCTACGTTGTTACTCTGGATGCCCTCCTGGACGTCGTGCACGGAGTGGGCGATCTGCTCCTGTTAGCTGGCCGCATACCCATTCAAGTCGTCTCTTCCTGGTGGCATGAGCGGCTGGGTTTTCGCGAGGCCGGCGCTCACGCGACCGGTCACGAAAGGGCTCCAGATCCCCCAGCCCCGCCTGAACCTGCATCACGGCCTTCCGTCTCTTCTCAGTCATCTGCAAGCAGCATTCGGGGCCAAACGGTATCCGCACCCCAGGTTCCTCGATCTGCTTTTTCCGATGCGAACCCAGGCCAGACCTCCTCTATGCGCGCTCCGCCGGCATATGAGATCTGGCACCCACCTCCGCCTGCGTACGAAGACTCGATGGCGTCAGAGGCTCCCTCACATGCTTCCACTACTTCCGGGTTACCTGCTTCTAGCCTCGCGGATGAAACCTGGAGGCAATATCCTGCATTTCCGTCGGCATATCCAGTTACTCCAGCGCCTCCTCAACCGAAACTGCCCCCCTTGGCACACGCGCCACCTTCGATATCAACGCTCTTCCCAGTAGTACCGGAACAAGAGACTCCGAGTCAACCCGAATCTTCGAAGACCAGGACGAGTCGGAATCATCCCCAAGCTGTCGCCGTACCCGAGTGGGATTTTGAACGGTCGCTCCAGAGCCGGCCTGAGCAGTCTAACCCCAGCTCAGTGTCCGACTGGAGCGACAACGACGAGATGACTGGGGTTCAAACCGGCGACACCAACGCCGGAGAAGTCGTTGAAGGTGAAGAGGTCGCGATGGCGGTGGATAGCAGCGAAGAAGAGATCGAGGATGACTTCGATGTTACGTTACGCACTCCCCCAGCACGACCGCCGCGGCGAAGACGTGTCGTGCCTTCAATCCATATTGACGAGGTTCTGCGACCGGTGTCCATCGCCATTGACTCACGCTCGACATCTCTTACCACCGTTGGCAATCGCCTGTCTGCCTTACCGAGTACCACCGAGGAGTCGGGCGCATCGGGGACGGAGAACGCTCCACCACCGATCTTGGCCGGGGCGAAGAGGCCTCTTCCTCGGGCAGAGCGGGCAGACATGGCTAAGCGTGGCCGCACTGTGGCGACTGCGAACAAGAGGGCGCCGTTGACGCGCGCTCGCAAAGCCGCCGCTTCGCCGGCGTTCCAAATGACATACTCCGGTGACGCATCGGGTGAGCAAACCACGGAGGAGCAAGACCGTGCTTCCGCGGACCGTCGACCTAAGCGGCAGCTCGCTATCACCGACACGCGAACTGCGGAACGGGCAACGCGGGGCCCTGCACGGGCCCGCCAATCGGCGGTGGGGGCGAGCAAGGGCGGGAGGGGTCAAGATAGACCAACCAGAACTGCGGTACCGCCTCGCACCGGAGGGGCGCGAGCAAGCACGCAGGCCAGCCGTCCCCGAACTTGACCCAATAATGGTCTTCCCGGATCCTTTCCGGCAAATGATGGTCTTCTGTACGATAGCATGAGGGCGGGGCCGTGCAGAGCTGTTGAACCCTTCGTTGGTCCTGCTTGACACAGCCCGCACCTCCCCTGGACGATCACTCAAGAACTACAATCCAATGCATCCACATCCGCATACACCACAATGTATATATTAGCGTCCACATTACTAGACATCAATTCGATAAGAATGAGCATTGGTGGCTTCAATAAGACCGGTTATATTTGCACAGGATTAGGTGTGAGTAGGCTGTGCATGGTTGCAGTCGCAATCTTTGTTGTTCTCTATTTGTACGTATCCTTCCTGGGCTTGACCATTACCAGAACCTATGCTCCTTCATGACTGCGGTCTGGCGCAGCCCCTCTCTCACTGCATGATGATGATTGGCATTCATTCAACGTCAGCGCTTGGGATTCCCTATGGTCTTGCAGCGGTCCCGGGCGCCTCGTAAAGGATTGCCAATAATCTTCACATCATGCACCACTGGAAGGGCGCCCGGGTAGACAACTACGCTTGATCCGTCCAGAGTTATGCTCTGCGGCACTTGCTTCGATTTCTGTTGACATCAAGTACTGTGAGAAGCGCGGCTCTCAGATTGCTGGACATGCATCGTGGTCACTGAAGTGTACGTCTTTCGATTATGCTGTTAGTCACTCGGATGGACGACTTCCCCGCTAGCTTCCTTGATTAGTACCCAATCCATGGCGTCGGCGTCCAAGAGATCGAGCCAGAGCTACTTAGGTCTGCTGATCCAAGTCGTCTGTATATCATGTTCAATGGACGAATGTGACACGGGTTACATGCTGTGTATACTGATGGATCAAAGTTTGTCTGCTCCGCCGCTGGATTACAGACATGACCTGCAAGCTATGCGCATGCTGGGTTGTACCGCCCGATATGCACCCGCAGTTTCACTGATTCGCGCCGATCCAGAGCGTCATGTCGAACGTTGTAATGCGGCAAGAACATCGAACCTATGCTCTATATATATATCGACACGGAGTGCTCGGTGATGAGCTTTCCAGCGTCGGCCATGTTGGCGAGTGGGGCGATGTGTGCGGCTGGCATGGATCGTGTTCAAGGACTTGTTAACTCTCGTTCTCTAGATCCGCGACAGTACATAACTGGAGGATGCGCAATGACCTGGAACCAGCATTCCCGGCCTCCTGCGCACCTACCGAACCCATTCTTTGACCTACCCCATAAACCGACGAGATGCAGCAGAACTCAAAGAATTCTACCAAGGGTCGGTCTATTCCGTCGAAATTGAACCACATACCTAAGGACCAGGTAAGCTCTGACATTTAAGATCAAGTTGCCTCTAGATGCTAATTCAAGATTGGTAGATCAGTAGCTGGGGTACGCGCATGGTGTCGAAGAAGACGATGCCTTCCCCTGGTCCCAATACCAGTGGCGGAGCTTATAACACGTTCTCTACGCACGGCAACTTCGAGTCCCTACAGCTGCCTGCGCAACCGAATGTTGCAAGTAATCCCAGCGCATGGTCAGCGCCGGTGACGCCAAACCCGAGGAACGTGCCAAACATGCCCAGGTCATCCTCGTCCTTAGACGGCGCTCTTGGTCCAGACTATATGCACGCAGCCTCCAGCTCGGCGGCGGCGGCGGCGGCATCGCGCTACGGACATACGTCCAGGCACGAATCGTCTGGCAGCATAAGCAACCCGACGTATCCCGGAAGCACGAATGCTGCGGCGACGTACTACCCCACGGCTGGCGGCCATCCTACTGCGCACAACGCGTATCCGACCAGCGCTCCATATTACCCTGCTTCCTCAAGTCAGCCAACTAGTAGCTCGTACCCATATGCGAGTCAGGCAGGCTATCCCTCATCCCGCTCCGCAGCATCAGCCTCCCCCAACCCTGCCTCAGCAGGCAGCTATTCTTCGCAGAACTCCCAAGGATCTGCCCCCCACGCAAACGCCTATTCATCGTCCCATTCCTATGGCTGCCCACATGGCTCATATGGGTCCAGATAGTGCCTTATTTGGATCGGTTCCGTCCCTCGTACCTACACCACCCAACCCTCCACTATCCAAGAAATTTAGAGGGGGGGGGGGGCGAAGAGTAGTCACTCTCGTTCCAGTTCCTGATATCGCGGACATAGTACTGTCGGCAATAACATTCGTCTCGACTCTGACTTCAAGTATTTCTTATTCTTCGTAGGGTAGCCCCACCTAGTGGCACGTTCACTAATATGTGACGCCTTGTTCTACATGTATCGTATTAAACGTGCAGAGCGCTCGAGGCGCCAGTGACCCAGTGTACTGCACGTAGGATGCTCCCCACTATTTCGAGTTCTTCCCCATCTCTTGGCGCGTAAACGAGGATCTGCATTACAGTGAAGTTAGGTGGATGCCGGATTTCATCAACTCTTTCCCGCGACCAAACTTACGTAGCCAGGAGACAAGTCGGGAATCGCGAACTGTTCGCCCCAATATGCGCGGATGACCTGCACGGCGTCTGCAGGAGACAGCAATACGTGGAAGGCCCCGTCCTCTGGAGGCGCATGGGCGATCTCGCACTGAAGCGCGTCGGCAGGAGCCTTGTTGAGGGTGGGCAGATCGGGATTCGCATATATTGCGACGGATGTTTCGCCCCCTGCCCTCGACGGCCGTACGAGCGTGATACGAGGATAGTCCTCGTGAACTCTCTCTGTCAAAGCGAGAATTTGCTAAGATGCAGTCGTGTGAGATTCGAAGACGGAATGTTAACCGAGCTCAGTTGCTGACCTCTTTGATGTCCGAGGATAATTCGTCAACAATCTGACGATGCGGAAGTGGACTGCGTTTTCCATCCCGTACGTGAGCCCTTGAATCTCCTGATCCGATGAGCATCTGCGTACCGTGCTCTCATTTGCGGACGTCCGCCTCGGCGAGGAGGGATGGACCCCAAGGGAAGAAATTGCAATGCGGGCTCGTTTTCCAACGGTCTCGAGTCCCGTAAATATGTGGCGCCCAGAAGTTGTTTCATCCAAAGTTTGGTACTCCTGAGGTAACCATAGGGAGTGGGCGGTATCCCTCCTGTGCCTTTCTAAATGTCGTGGGTCCATGACATGCATCAACTATCGCCGAGACTCACCGGAAGATACCCACGTCATGTAGTCATAGAGTACTAGAGCGGCGCCTACGACCATGAAGCTACCGACGATATATGAAACCATTGAGGACAGCCGTAGGGCAAGCGGATGCGTAAAAAAAACAGGATATATGGGTCAGAGGAGCCTCATCAAAGTGGAATTTTCTCAACCTATGTTGGCGAGTATCTCGGCAGAAAGATAATGACGTTCAAGCATAGCATCATAGTGAAGTCGGTGACAGGCTGGACTCCACAAATGAGTAGCAACATCATGCGTAGCATCAGCAGTCGTACGTCCGATTCAGACGCTTTTCCGACTTAAGTCCAGGTTGGAAAACGCGTAGTCCGGATCGTACTCAGGACGTTGTCTAGTCATAGTCAAAGCAGGTTACATGTTATTCCAATCGCTGCACGGTGGTTCGTTACGTATACAGGGATATAACGTCGTGGCTGTGCGACGCTTGTAACCTCCGACCTTGACCGTTGTTGGCCTGCGATATCAAACATGCCTGTTCCTTGGGAAGCTCTCATTCCGTTCGGTATGCACAGTAATTCATGGATGGGCGCATGAGCTAAAGCTGAGATGGGATATAGCCCTAGTCACAAGCATGCTTGGTGCAGCTGGAACGCTGCTAAACACGTCCAAGCGGGCACAGAACCAGGGGAAGGTCAGTAAACATGGGGAGGTTCAACTATGCCGACCAGTTCTGACATTTATTTTTAGCCCATCCGGTATGGCATTGATGCATGGGACGAGATGATGATGGACCGGGACAAGAGGCTGACGGGACACTTCCGGGGGCAGTCTGTACGCGTCTCTCCCTCGTTCGCGCTTTCGGAATGCTCATATGAAGATGCAACGGGGAAGTCTGAGCCCATAGCGCCAGAAGACTTCGCTACCAACAGCGTATGGTTTGCACAGAAGACCGGTTAAGGACGATTGTTGCGCATTTGCTCTCTTAATATCAATACCCTCACAAACTACGAGGATCATCCACCGAATCGTCAATGTCTTTCGTCCAGCTAAGAAACCAGCATGAACCACAACGTGACGAAAACGACGCATTTGTGAGATCTAAGGAATTATGGAAGGCGAAGCAGAGATATGTGCCCCATGCATCCCGAATTATTTCTGCACACCAGTCAGGATGGGATTCTTAACCTCGTGTATCGGAGTCTTCCCTGCGGGGGTACCGGGTATAGTCTTCTTGAGGCCCTGCAGGCAGTCACAATCCGTGTGTCAGAGTCGATCCACCGGACACCATATATTTCACTAACAAGCTTCTCGAACATGCAGTTATTGAGTGGGCGTTCTTGCTTTCGGCAGAGATTGTAGGCATGATTGTTGTGCTCAAGGCAGTTCCAATGCGCCTCGAATTCCTTCGCGCAATTCTCGCGCATCTTCGCAATGCTGGGTTGTAACTGTTAGCCCGGCTTTTGAAAACAGATGCCAGTACAGTAGATACGCACAGGTCCTGAGCACATCGAGTGACTCGCCTTCCTTCCTTCAGGCAATGGGCGGGGTCGCGGTTCTCCTCTTTGCAAAGCATGAAATCATCTGCACATTCATGACAAGGGCAATGTGGAGGACCAGAGTATTTGGATAGGTATATGAGCGACGTCCCCGTTAACAGCCCCTCAGTTCGATTCGCATTGCAATTCTGTTTGCCACGTACCATTGTACTCTTGGCAGTGAGCACCAATGAAGAACGCGGCGCTCTTTAGAGGTGCGCTCGTGGCCCCGAGCTCGGACACTTTGGGGACGGCCTCCGGAAGCGGGGTCGGATCAGCGTATGGGGACTTGGACGTCCGCGGGCTGATGTAGGTCGACATTGTCCGCCTTTTCTACTACCAGAGATCCAGCGCAGGCAGCGAGCACCGTAAATGCAATGATGTGGTTGGCGGGAACAAGCGGAGGCTACGGCAACGTGACCGGCACGAATATTCGCGTTTTCGGAGCACGCTGGCGCTCGCTTGAGTTGACCGCTATGTCTGCCGCCAGTCCTACAAATCCAGATGACCCGAAACCTTCTCGCGGCCCTGTATATCAGGTGGAAACTACAGGAAGCTACTGGGGCGACTTGATAGCCGCGGCAAAGGTCACCACTTCTCCGGTAGAAACTATGCGCGAGCTGACTGACGAATAAGGTAGAGGATATCTATCAAAGATGATGCTCAGAGTATGGGACAATGGCCCTGCACTCGAAACAGTCTTCTGAGCGGTATCGCCAGTGGTGTAGGAGTTGGCGCGATACGAGCCATGAGCGCAAGTATGTCTCGGCGCCATGAACTTCCCTCCGATTCCTCAATAAGGCTGAACATTTGCAGGTATACTCACTTCCTGTAACTGGGCTGTTGGAACATTCATGTTGGTTTCTTTGGGTACATGGTACGCGGTCTTCTGCTCTCCTCATAATGTACATTGAATCATTCGATCCACCAGGCAGGTCTGTCAGAGCGCACGTATCGAAGAGCACCGGCGGGTACAGCAGGTGGTCGAAGAACTTCCAAAACGGTTCGCGAAAAGGAAAGCCGATCCCTCCCGAGATGATAATGTATCGGCATCCTCACAATGAACGTAACGACATCCGCCTCTTCGAGAGTGGTAGTCGCCACGATCGGATTTGTACGTACACGACACGCACTATGGAAATCGCATTATTGCCAGTGAAGTATTTGTCGGAATCACTCGACCCAGCTCGAAAGCATGCCTGTTGCGCCGGACAATAGAATGCGAACTCGCAGGGAGGTCAGCGCCAGCCACTCCTGCTTAACCTTTGGTGTGCGAACGATGTTTCAGATTTCATAGCTTCACGGTGGGTTCAAGGCTTCGATACCATCACAGGAATCTGAGATTTCCTCCTTGAATAGACAGACCCACGTTCAAACCCCATCTCAGGCGATAAGCGGTCTATTTCGACCTAACGAAGCAGGCTTAGAGTAGCAAAGCGACAGCATTATCGATAGGCGCCAGTACGTATGCGGACGCTGATTCCCCCGAGCATGACGGCTTGCCCGTTCGTTATAAGATCGCCTCCTTTGAGGCTCGAACGCTAACGTCGACATCTCAGCCGTCCCCATGTCTTATTCGACGCAAAAGATGTACTCAAACAGGCCTCGACCAGTACAAACGACTGATTCTCGTACTTCATCCCATGTGGGACAGAATCTAGATAGCCTGGTCGCGTATTTCCCATGCCCTGTCGGCCCTCAAGAGGCAGCGAAGGTCGCCGACGTCGTACCGGTGGCATCGTACTCCTGGATTGACTCGGACTCGAGGACACCTACTATAGCAGTCCCAGGTACCAGCCTCCAGGAGCGCGCAGTAGTCAGCTCACTAGACACATTCCATCTTCAGGTTCTCCAGCTATATGGACCAACGCCAACCCGGAACGAGTTCCAGCTGACTCCGGATTTACTATCATCCATCAGAATGCATATCGCATGGGCAAGACCATGTCTCCTTTAACCCCCTTGTTCATCGCCATAGATACCTTCCGAGGCACGGACGATTTCGAGTACAAGTCGTTCGACCTTGTCACGGATCGCAACAATCTGCGTAAGCTTCTTCGATGGACGCAGGGCTCCGCAAAAGACTTCCGAATTGATATCGACTTGGCGGGTGATACCTGCCTCTTCACGCGAACGGAGGCGATGGACCACGAATGGATAGATTACTTCTGTGGGTATGGCCACCAGTACAAAATGGCGGCTACGAAGTTGCCCAGACGCTGGGAGGCTGCTGCGTCCCATTACCGGATAATATCTATGGTACGTGCGACCTCCAAGAACGCACGATCTCGAGCTGAAGTGGGATCCGTCTAGAAATTCGGAGACCTCAACATCTTGCTCCGTTCTGCAGTTGATGCTTGTACGGGAGAGCAGAGCGTCGAGTCGTTGACTAGTTCATTCTCGGCGCTCGGCTCTTCCGACGGGACGAGTAGCGATTCGGCGGATCGCGTGGTGTCGGGCGTGTCCGTCAAGCAGAGCCACCCACGCGAGCTCGTCCCGCAGTCTTCGCTGATCGAGCTGAAGACTCGTTCCGTACGCAAGGAAATGGATTGGGATGAAGTATTCCCTCAGTTGTATCTGTCGCAGACTGCTTGGCTCCACATCGCCCGCCACGAGAGGGGCAAATTCTCCGCGCCGGAGAAGGTGGAGCTCAGCAGTCCGCAGATGCTCGCTCACGCCAAAGAGGCGGAGGAGAGCACGATGGGAATGCTGAAGAAGACTCTCGAGGAAGTGCTAGTCGTCGTCAGACGCGAAGGAGAGGGCACACCTCTATGCTTGACGTGCATCGGAGGAAAGCTGAGCCTGTACAAGAGAAAGCTAGGGACGGGAAAAAACCATCGATGAGTTATTCCTGGCTCGTTTCAGCCCATAGACAGAACGGTCCGGCTCCGACACGAACGGTCCATGCGATCGAAAATCATGTATTAGTACGAGATTATGCGAATAGTTGAATCGGTTTTCTTGGAAACTGGTCTGCAATTTCCATACCCATCTATGTATGAACTGGGAACGAGGAACAATGTGAGATAGTAAGGGCATCATCACGGGGACGATCGCCACAAGACAGCCTGGATGGACATCTATAATCACCAACCCTGGGACAAGATCATGCAATCTATCCGTCAAGCAGTCACTGGCGTAACCGACGCCACGGATTCATACGGCCCTGCCATCTTCTGCAGCGAGGTCCTGCCCAACAACAGGCGAGCAGTCATGAAGGGAGTGAAGAAGCGATACGAGGTCCAGAGGAAGAGGCGGCTGTGTTGGTTGATCCTGCGCGTACGACTGTGTTAGAGATGCCATTTTATTGTCTTAATGGCGTTACTGACCCGTTCTCGTAATCTGCTGCGAGCTTGGTACGCAGATCCAGCCATGTCTTCGTGACATCCGTGAGGATAGCGTCCACTTCCCAACGCACCGCCTTGAACTATTGTTAGCAATGTTTATATAGGCACAGGCATGGGAGCGGCGTACCTCTATCATGTAATCCGGTTCGTTCACGGTCCATACGCAAAGCTGCTTTCCGGCCTCCTTGCACTCTTGGATGAACCTGTCGAAACTTGATCAATTCTGCTACACGGGCAAGTTGTCTGTGATAACTCACTTTTGACCGTCAGAGTTGGTCAAGTGGTCAAATAGGATCGAGAATGCATGACAGTCCGCCCAGAAGTACTTGCGCGCAACCTGGAGGTCAATGCCAATGTACGATCTCCGGCAATAAGGGAGGATCTTGGACGCGTGCGGAATGAAGCGGGGATGCCAGAGCCCGATCAGGATTCTTGGCGCGAGGGCGTTCTCCCAATCCGGTTGCGCAGACATGATCTTGTGCATGAGTCCGAACAAGCGCTCCGGATCATTCTGCACCTTCACATCGACGTTAAATTTGACATGACGATTCTCCGGCTGATGATGGGCGAGCATATTTAGCTTTGCATGCTAATCATGAAGATAGGAAGCACGCCCACCTTCATAAGAAGCTCGACGGTCTCAGCAAACGTCGGTATGGGTTGTTTTGGCTCCTTGATCGTCCTCAAGTGCTCCATCCCTTCAGGCCCGTACCAGTCCAGCTCCCGGATGATGCCTGCGACTATCAGCAAGGCTCAGTACATGATACTGCATCTCGCGCACCTGTGCCATTCGTCGTCCGCTGGAGAGCTGCAAGCAGGTACATCAGGATAGGCGGAGCATACGGAACAGTATCCACGTACTCGGGTCATGGAACATGACCACCACATCGTCACGGGAAACATGGACGTCTGTTTTGATGGTTACGGGCTGCGAGAGCAAGACCAGACACTATGAAGAACGAGTACCGCTCTCGATACCCTCTGCGCCATCACGGATGGCGGCCTCGAAACTAGCTAGGGTGTTTTCTGGGAAAGCCGCCGATGCCTGGAGGGCACTATTGTCAGATACCTCGACCAACGTTCGGGCAGTAGCACTTGCCCCACGGTGGCCCCAACACTCTAATCCGTATGAGTCAGCGTATGGAACGTGGGGCGTGGCTAGGGGGTTAGTTACCGGGCAACGCTCTTGCAAGCTTGGAGGGCATTGGGCTCATGGGTACCCAACGGATGTCTAGAGGTTGGTGGAAGGGGGACAAGGATGACCGGAGCGGAGCGAAACCAATTGGGGTCTTTATGTCCACGGCATCTTGGACGGAACGGCTATAGTGTTTGCGTTTCCACACGGCGCCACCGCGTTCGATGGCGCGTACAAACGCGATGATATATTTATGGCAAACGTGACCGAACCTCGCTACGGGAACGCACGTTCCTTTACGTCTCGCATTTCCGCTCAGGGATGCAAAGGTAGAATATACGTAGATTATTTCATAATGTTCCTCCTTAAATCTCCGTACCACATCACTGGCAGGCACGACGAAGCGCCGGTCATTGGCTAACGCTTCGTCAGGAAACGCGTGCATCAATGTGGTCGCCCGACCAGTACCATTCCCTCGTCTTCTTCTGTCTCCGTACCGTTTTCACTCGGTTCTCGCCTGATACCTCGTGATTCCGAAGAGACAGACGAAGGAACGGACTCCTTGCTATCGTGTCGCTGCAAAGGCGACGACGTGGAAGGTGCAGGAATGGGTGTTCGTTCGTCTATCACCGTCTTTAATTCTCCTGTAGGCGGAGGAGAGGGCGTGTTGACCGTCGGGCCGGGCACCGGAACTGAGATCTCCCGTAGGGCAGCAAGCATCACCTCGCGTACACGGTTGACAAGAGCGGGTACGTCTTCCGGCCTGCAACCCGTGGTGGGAACGGGTGGTAGGACTGGTACGACTGTATGAGCAAGACTGCGTCGAGAGAACGGAAATACATCAGATCACGTGCCTTTGATCTTCAGAACACCTGGCTCAAATACGCCTTGTCGGTACAACCGCCAGTAGTTTTCGCAAACTACCGGAACGATCGGAAGCTGGGACTGCACGGCGAGATGGAAGGCGCCTTTCTTGAAGGGCAGCATGTCAGGTGCCTCTCGCATCGAGCGCGTGCCCTCGGGGAACATCCAGATCGACGTGTGTCTGCTCCTCATGACCTCTCCAGCGGCCGTAAGTGAACGGACTGCTTTCGCGTTGTTGCCCCGGTCAACGAAGACGGCGCCGGAAAGGGTCATGTATTGACCGAGGAGAGGTGACCACTGCAGTTCTTTCTTGGCCATGATCGATGTACGTTTAGGAAATATCCTGGACCATCGTGAGCTGCGAAACGTAGAAGATCACGGTACCATACCTTCCAAGATATATTATATCTAGCATACTTTGATGGTTCCCAACTAAGACAGCAGGGCGAGTGCTGAGATGTTCCTCTCCTTCCACCTGGAAGCGGATCCCGACCGTTCGACTTGCGAGGAAGTAGAAGGACCGCGCGACATAGTAGTTGACGTCAAACCGTTTGCCTACTGCCGAAAGCACGATGGAGATGCAAGCACCCCACACCGAGCACAACCCGAGCGTCGAGAGGTAGAGATACACGCGGGCGTAGTATCTTGCGATCGGCGATGCCTGCGCCGCGGCTTGCAAGAGCAGGAATGGCAGGGAGAGGTATGCCAGCGGCTTAAAGATGTAGGATAGAATAGACATCGCGAGCAATCTCGTCGGCGTTGTGGAACAGGGGGGGCTTTGACGAGACCGCCGCAGGAGTGTGTGGGCAACGCCCAAATGGCTGGTAATGGGATTGTGCGGACCCTTTGACCATGACACCTTGCCTTTCTCGGCAATATTCGGCGAAATCCGTCGGGCTTTGCGTATCACGCGCAACTTGCAAGCGACGCGTCCGAGCGGCTTCGGTGGGTGCGCGCCCGTTCTTCGTCATGCTTGGCCTGGTCGCTCGGACCAGCTCCTTGTCGCGGGCCCGTTGGCATCGTTCGGTCTCGTCTTTGGTTCCAACGAAATCGATCTACGTCTCGGAATCTTCCAACCCTTACTTCAATCTGACACTGGAAGATTGGTGGGTTCTCTTCCGATCGGCCGTCCGGTTACCGCTCATAAGATGCAGAAGGCTATTCAGACATAAACCGCACAAGGAACCTCTTCTACTTCTTTACCGCGACGAGCCATGCGTCGTAATAGGGCGTAATCAAAATCCATGGAAAGAGATCAATCTGCCTGCTCTCAATGCTGCCGGAATACCGTTCATTCGACGACGCAGCGGAGGAGGAACTGTTTATCATGTACGCTCATTGCACGTTTAGCATACGGTCACTGAGACTATCTGAGCCAGGATATGGGCAACACCAACTTCTCCATCCATCTGCCACGGTCCTCCTTCGACCGGGACATGACTTCTCAAGTCATCCTCAATGCTGTTCGCTCGCTCGGAATCAATGCATTCGTGAACGCGAGGAATGACCTCTGCGTGGGCGAAAATAAGATGAGCTTCTCGTCGAACAGACGTTTGCACGAAGGCTTACTCGACCTTTCATGCACGTCTCAGGTTCAGCCTACAAGATAGTGAATAACCGGGCATACCACCATGGCACCATGCTTCTGACCACCCGGCTTGACACATTGGGTGATTTACTTCGGTCAAACAAAGTTCGAAGACATCATCTCTGCTAGATGAAGATGTTCATGTTAGGTTTCCAGGAAACGATGGTCACTAAAGGGGTAGCCTCTGTGCGTTCACCCGTGTGCAACCTGAGTCAGTTCAAGCCAAGCATCGACCATTCCATGTTTGTAAACGCCGTAATCAAATCATTCCGGGGAGAGTATGACATTGACGTGGACGACGAGACCGTGTACGTCTCGGAGGCTCCGGAAACGCACAGTATCCCGTACATCAAATCCGGGATGGAAGAATTACGGGTGAGTCAACTGCAGGTATCGACACTCGATTATTCATACCTTCCCAGACATGGGACTGGGCATACGGCCAGACTCCGGAGTTCACCTACTCCCTGGAGTTTCCATTTCCCTGGGGCAAAGTTGTGAGTTGGGTCTCCCTCGCTTGGCATTGCCCTCGTATTCAACGCGTGTCCATCCAGCAATCCGACATTCACTCAAAGCACGGCATAATTCTGGATTGTACCTTCAGCGTCATCCAGGACAGCACGGCAAAGCACGCTCTCGGAAACCATGAATTTCAGCAGGAAATCATGGACCTGCAGCAGCTGGGTAACGCTCTAAAGTCGAAAAAATACGGTTTCGTCGACGATTCCGCATTCCCGCAGAGTCTGCGAGACCGGCGATACGGACTTTGGCACACCATCTGGCAGTCAATGAAAGCTGCAATGAGTAGCTAGCTTGACGAGAGTTTGATAGCTGCCAGGGGCATGCATGTATGCATCCACATCTTCGCCCCGATTGGCGGGAACAAGTGTCCGATATGAGTTGCCAGTGGAAGGGTATTGCCCATACGCCCGGGTCACAAGAGAGTTGTGGAGGCGCAGATGTTGGCCCCATAGGTAAAACTCGTTAAATATGACTGTATGGATTGCGACTGTCTCGAAGGTACAAAGTAGCGAGTCTATCAATGGTGCTCTTCGTGAGGGATGGGGGCTGCAGTTGGAGGCTGGAGACATCAGTCACGAAGGTAGTCGATAACGCATAGAAACTCACAGGTGCATTGCGCTCCCTGCACCAGCATCAGCAACGCGACAGAAGTACAGAAGCATATTGACGTACCATTTGGTGCCACCAGGGAATAATGATGCTAAAGGGAGTGAAGCCAGTCAATAACAGTGACTGACGGCGCGACCCGAAGCACCCACGGATGACGGGGTCAGGGTGCAGCTTGGCCGCAAGATCACGTTCTGCCTTCTCCAGGATAGCTGCGAGAGCGCGAGGGTCGCTTACGTCCCTGCAAGACGCGAAGATTGAGCGGATAGTAGCCAATTGCAGGATAGCCTGCTAACCGGTTCCTCTCAAATTCGGCACGGATCTGGATGGCCCTGCCCCTCCAGAGGTCACGACGAATCACCCAGTCGAGTTCATTCTTAAGCATGCGCTTGTACAGCGACTTGACGTAGTGCCGGTGGGCTGAAGAGAATGGCGAAGGGAGTGAGCCGGCCATGGTGTGGTTGGAGCCGGGATGCAACGAGCGCGAGAAAGATGGTGACCGCAGGCGCGCGACCAAACTCTGTTTTTTCCTCTCTTGCACTTGAGTCTTGCTCACGGGGCCGCTGGGACTCATGGACCCTCACTCAACAAGAGCGCAATTTAATACAAGAGGGCCTAAGGCGGGGCCAACCAGGACTATGACCGTACAACCACTTCCCCGCACCATGTCGCAACCGGACAAGGAGAAGGCTCCAACTCGTCCGGCAGCTCGCAGCCGCAAGTCGTCTACAGCCTCCTTACTTTCGGCAGCGCCTCGGCCGATCGCGACGAACTCGAGGGTCAAGCACGACGAGCAGCTGAAGAAAGACATGTATTTGTCGTTTGTAAACAATGCGTTGCAACAGAAGGCACTCGTACGTGCTCCTCCTCTCCATGGTGGCGTGTGGCTACGTTAAACATTCATGATTCAGGGAAATACCGAACCCTACGATGAACTGGTCGAGCAGTTTGCTTTCAAACATACCAAGGGCAATATGCCCTCTCCCACACCCCAGCTGCGCTTTTGGCTCATCGCGCTATCCCATGCTGTTTCCCGACTCGGGCGACAACACTTCACGCTCGTAGAAGCAATCGTGAACATGCCGTGGAGTACGATGGAATCGTCTTTCGTAAAAACTTACTCGTCATTTACTGGCGTGCTTCTGAGCGCGAGGCCAGAATATCTTTCGTTGATCCTGGGCAAGATCGCGCGCGGGTTCACATACCGTGCGTCCTGCTCAACTTGGCTTCAATATTAAGCTAATCGACGTACAGAATCTGGTCTCCAAGCGCTCGATGCCGGTCCTGCGGAAACGTCGTCACGTCCTCTCACTCGCCGCATAGTCTACGACCGCCTCCATTACCTCTTGCGCCACTTGCTCGACCTTATACCCACTCTTTCATCTACCCTCGAACCTCTGCTGATCCAAAACTTCCCACACAAGAGGCAAAATGTCGTTTCTCAAGTCACGTACATTCGCAACCTCCTGCGAATCACGGAATACTGTCCTGAACTGGCGGACAGGATACTAGCCACCATCGTGGATCGCTCCATACAGATCGACGTGCGTACAACTTCAGTTTCAGTCTCAGCACAAAGAAATATCTCGGCTCATATGACTTCAGGTCGAAATCCAAGTTGAGCTGGAAGAGCTCGAGGAAGTAGCGGCACAGGCTCAGGAGGATGTCTTCGAGCTTGACCCCTTTGACACAGTTGTTGGTCAAGACGGGGACTCCGAAAGTGACGACGACGAAAGCGACGATGATGACAACCTTAGTGATCTATCGTCGGACGCCGGAGACGTCGACGATGACGAACCCGAGACAGCGGAGCTCGCGATGGATATGTCCCAAGTGCAGGAAATGGTCCGCAAGCTTGATGCTATCCTCAATCTCATATTCAATCACTTCAGCCATTCGCATGTCGACATTGTTCCGGCGCGGAATCGCTTGTCGAGATCACCCTCGATGTCGAGACCTGACTCGCCCGTCTCTAGTATCGGAGACGTTTCATCTACCCCACGTCCTCCGTCACCGCTGTCCATTGAACGCGGCAAGTCGCGAAGACGCGCTCAATTCTACAACCTCCTCTCTATATTCGATCGGACCATCATCCGCACGTTCAAATCCCGATACACGCAATTCCTCGTGTTCTGGTACTCCTCGTTGGACCCCGAGTTCAGCGATCTGTTTCAAGGAATGCTGCTTTCCAAAGCACTGTTGGAGACGGATCAGCCTGCGGTAACTCGGGCAGCTGCGACCAGCTACGTGGCGAGCTTCGTCAGCCGCGCTCGGTTCGTCGACCAGGACGGCACGCGGAAGGTCGTCGCCTTACTGTGCAACTTCCTGAAGAGCCAGTTGGACATGTTCGAGGCGGTGGAGCAGACCGGCATTGGCTTACCTAGTGGAGCGCACCAGACAGTGTTTTACGCTGTGGCGCAGGCAGTCTTCCTAATCTTCTGCTTCCGGTGGCGTGATCTGCTCGCGATAACCGAGGAAGACGTCGACGAAACGCACGAGAGCGCACCACCGATGTCGTCTAGCAAGTGGATGTCCGAATTGGATGTTATGCAGAGGGTGGTGCAGTCGTCGCTGAACCCGCTGAAGGTACAATTCTTCATGCCACGAGGATGCCGAGCTAACGATGGGCTCAGGTATGCTCCTCAACTGTGGTCATGCAGTTCGCGCGGGTTGCGCACGCCACCAATTTCGTCTATTGCTACTCGATCATCGAGGCGAACAAGAGGGCGGAATACAACACCAACACCACTGCACCAACATCGATGGATGGACGTCGCCTCCATGTTCACAGACGTCATTCAGATGTGTTGTCCGACCCTCTCACCGCCGAATTGAACACGTTCTTCCCGTTCGACCCTTACAACCTTCCGAAATCAAGCCGTTACATCCAGGGTGTTTATCGCGAGTGGGATTCGGTAGCCATAGACGACGGTGAAGAGGAGGACGATGAGGATGAGGACGATGATGATGACGAAGCGTCTAGCGACGCCGAAGAGCATCCGCCGCCGACGTCGCCTCCGATTTCCAACATCCCTATCTTGCGGAATGGGTCGGCGGGGGACGACGAGAAGCTGGGTGCTTCTTTTGACGCGATGAGCATCAGCATATAAAGCTGGCGGCCCTGTCATCGTCATGATCGTGTTGATGTGATGTGCTTTGTATCTATTCCATCCGTGTTGTATTCAATAGCAGCGAGGGCGTGAGTTGCTCAGTTTTCCGGATGGTGTAGTATTCAGACTTGATTTTCACTGTATTAGTTCGCTGCTGAGCTCTATGATATCCGTTTCATCAAAGTCTATTGAATTGTGTGATTGATATAGCCAGTCTACTGCGTTATGCAGTGTAATTAATGACGGGTGAGATTGTCCGGGAAGTTGTATAACGACATATGCCAAGATCATCAATAAAATGCGAACAGATGTTGATGATGTGTGCCCGTCTGAAAATATATAGGGCGCATATATGCGTGCTCTTAATATATCTCTAAACCTTCTCGATGGCTTCGCTTTTCTGCTTCGCGGCGAGCGCCTCGAGCTCTAGCTCCTTCGCTATGCGAAGGTCGACGCAGGGCGCGAACTTGCTACTGGCCCGAATGCGGGCGCCGTACTTGTAGAAGAGGAAGGGACTCGGGGCGAGCAGCAAACTGACGAGACCGAGCAGCGTGCATGCCCAGTTAATGCCGAGCTTTTCGAAGAATTGAACGGTGAAGAGCGGGAAGGCGGCGGCGACGGCCGACCGAATAAAGGTGTTGGCGGCCATCGCGGACGCGGAGTACATGAGGTACGTGTCGATGAGGTAGCTCTACGAAAGGTGATGTAATTAGTTTATCGTCACAACGCGGACCAGCGGTGGGAAGACATACCAAGAAGCTCATAAAGACAAGACTGACGCTGAGGCCAATCATGATGGTGGCCAGCGCGGGAACATACCACGGGATGGAGGGGTACGCTCCGGTCCAACCCAGCCAGAAGCAGCCGATGACGAGGCAAGGGCCCGCGATCATGGCGCCGAAGAGCCTGTTCTCCGGCGGCGGGAAGCCGCGCCACGTCTTCATCAGCTGCGGGTAGTGGACAGAGGCGAAATAGTTGACCACGCAGCCGATTGTGGTACCGATGCCGACGCCGATGAACACAAGGCCGACTTGGGCCGTACTGAAGCCGCGCTTCACTTCGAAGATGACGGGGAGTGCCTCAAACACTATGAATGACCGGTCAGCGTGTTGAAGGGGATGGTGAAATAAGGTAATACATACGGGCATAGAGCAAACCGTAGACGATGGACAGGTAAATGGTGACCAGGACCAGGATCGGCTCCAGCGCCAACATGTGGAAGGGCCGCAGCAGGGTGCGACGCAGGACACCCACGATGGACCAATCCTGCCTATCAAGCTCCGCGTACAAGTTCTTGTTGGTAACGGGGTCCGCCTTGCGAAGGCGCTTCGCCTTTCTCGCCAACAGAACGGGAGGGTACGTCTCCGGCAACGCGACGAATGCGAGCAACGAGCAAGCACCAGCAAAGATCATCATCACCCAAAACACCCAGCGCCAGCCGAGGTGGCTCTGGGAAACATAGCCACCGACGATGGGACCCATGACGGGACCGAGGAAGACGCAAACGGTGAAGAGCGACGTGGCGGCGCCACGGGAAACGGGGTCCCAGAGGTCGACAATGACTCCGCCCGCGTTGGTGAGCGGGGAGACAGCGAAAAATCCGGCGAAGAAGCGGGTGACGAGGAGCGTAGTCATATCCTTTGCAAGGGCCTGTCCGAGGTGCAGTAGGGTGTATGCGGAGAGCGTGAGGACGAAGATGAGCCGCCGACCAACCAGCTCAGAGCCTGGACCCCATACCAAAGGTCCAACCACGTACTGTAGGATCAGCGGTAGTCAGCCACTGGATTAATACGTGAGAGGCGGATCGGCTTACCCCTAGTAGGAACGTGGTTGTGATCATGTAACACAGTTCAAGCGAAACGCCGAACTCCTCAGAAACAAAGAAGACCACAGAGGTCGGTGCCGAGGATGCGAATGTCCTAGAAAAGAGGTTAATTCTCTCGAACATCTGATTGTTCGACAGACGACTCACACATTCACCGTCAACAGAGCGCATAGCAGGGTAAGCATCCACCGGTATCGACGCGACCAGTTCTGGGGGTTCGCAGGGTCGTCCGGGCCATCCCAGGTGACCAAGTCGGGGTCGAGTGTGTCTTCTGGGTCTGAGGGAGGCGGCAGTTGGTGGGGCGTCTTCGGCGGAGGCTCGTGCGGGTCATCGCCGCCGTACTTCTCAATCCTCAGCTCGTCGCGCGTAATCTCTTGCTCCAAACGGGGAGAAAAGTGTATTTCAGAGGCATCATGAAGCGTGCTCGTCAACGAGTTTCTCGCCGTCAGGGCCGGGGACACGACGGGACTCGCGGAGGTTGACGCGCCCGATGTCTGGAAGTGGGAGTCCGGATGCGTAGGCATGATGTTGACCCGAATGACTCCCGACAGGTGCTGCTTGACTTCTCACGAAAAGGGGGAAGTGGTAAGCTTTACACCTGGGGCGCGGTCCTGCTTCTCTGCATGGTTGACCGAAGGTTTTTGAAGGGGCCCCGCAGCCGAGATGCAGAAATTTACTGACAAAGGATGGCGATCCGGTTAGCCGTGTAATTGCCGGTACATTTGAGTTCCGGACCTAGAGGGATGTACCGACTACCCATGGTGCCTACTTATTTTCATTCAACGATTCGAGGCTAATCGAGAGCGTGTGCGTTCAAAAACGTGACGCAGCGTAGCTTTCCAACCAGCTCTCCCTCATCCCGCAAGCTGGCAGCAGAAGCTCCGTTTTGGAAGAACGCAGGGATGCTGCACCGGTGCCGAGGCGTCAGGTGGGAGTAATCGCCTCGGAAGGCGGCTAGAACTGACTGGGATCAGTCAACAGCGGAAACGATCACTCGGCGTTTGACGGGCTGACGGCAAGGGCTGGCGGTGGCGCGTGCTCCTATCGGCTTCGGCTGGCCAGGCCAAATCGTTCAACCACGCCAAGTTCTGCTCCGGGCAGATATCAGGATACATTGCGACGCTCAAACCACTCAGCGGTTCGTGTTCAACGCAGCCGAAAGCGAAGGTAGCCTCAAGAGGGATGTGGTAGCTTACAAGGACCGGTCCTCGGCGTTCGCCGGATTTGAGCTCGGCACCGCCACGATCGGCATCTGTGGCTTGCTTCTCCGGGATATGTTTGATTGCCGGACCTTAACCTCGGGGAAGGCAAAGGAGCGCCGGTTCGACATCAGCCGCGACGATGAGCACAACAGAGAAGTACGTCTGGCTGGACTGTGATCCGGTACGCATACGCGCCTCAGATCTCTCGGAAATGAACCGCGTTACAACCTTCCATTGCATGCCAGGGACACGACGATGCGACGGCCATCCTTCTTGCCTTGCATTGTCCGAACATTCGATTGCTCGGTGTGTCGACAGTATGAGCAGGCCTCCGCTTCTCCGATCCAAGCAGATCATCGTCATGTGCGCGACAGGTCCACGGCAATGCAAGCGCGGAAAATACGATGAGGAACGCGGCTAGGTGTCTGCACGCATTCGCTGCTCCACCGTCTATCCGCGTCTATCCTGGGGCAACCAAACCTCTGCTACGCCAGGCTAAGCACGATCCAGGCACGTTCATCATGCTACATATAATCGACAGATATGGATCCAACATCACCGCAGAGATACATGGCGCTGATGGCCTGGGCGGTGTGGAGGGCCTGCCATCCGCAGAAAGCGACGCTGTCCAGGCGAGACTCGGTAATGATGAACCCGTTCGCGCTCTGGACGCCATGTCCAAGATCATCCGCGAGACATGGGATTCTGGAAAGGGGGTCAAAGTCGTGGTGGTATCGACGGGCCCGATGACGAATATCGCTCTCTTCGTATCGGTCTATCCGGAGCTTGTCGATGCCGTGGAAGAGTTCGTATTCATGGGAGGCGGCATCGGAGTAGGCAATCGAAGCGCGGTAGCAGGTAAGTCGTTCGATCATCATCTTTAACCCTTCCACTAACGCGCACTTTCTGTATAGAATACAACATTCTATGCGACCCGGAAGCAGTTCAGATTGTCCTTGACACACCCGTGAAGTCCTCGATTGAACTGATGATTCCCTCCGGTATACTAATCCGGAACACTCGCAGGTGAAGAAATGCATGGTCCCGCTAAACGTGACGCACACGGCGATTGTCACCCGCGACATCCACTCCAATATCCTATCTCCAGGGAACGTCCTTGCATCGGACACCGCGCCTCTCCCGCCCCCCGCAACGCCGCTCCGGCATACGATCTCCACGTTGATCTCCTTTTTCGCCGAGTCATATCGCTCGACATTCGGATTTGTCCGCGGACCGCCCCTGCATGACGCGCTTACGATCGCGTACGTGTCCAGGCCGGAGCTCTTCGCGTGCATGCGGTACCGCGTTGACGTCGAACTCGGTGGATCTTACTGTGCCGGACAAACCGTGGCCGACGTCTGGAACTATAGGCAGTGCGACGATTCTTGGGGCCCAAGCGGTAAGAACTGTCTGATAGCAGAAACTATGGACGTGAGCATGCATGTTGCGCCTTAGACTCCGAAAGCGAAACCTGACTGGAAAACAGGTGCCTGGGTTCTTTGAGCTCTTCCTGGACGGCCTTGCCAAATGTGACGTCGAATCCCCTCTGAACAAGAGTATATAAGCAGCGCATATGTAAAACTACATCCACACTAGATAAACTACTAGTATATACGAGGTCAAATGCTACAGATGGTGGTGAATGAAGCAACAATCGCTGTTCTCGAAGTCCTATATCCGAGTCCTCGTGATGACATATCATTCGTACATCCTACTCTGACGGTTGCCCCCATCCAGGAAGATCTTGCTTAGCGGACGTTCCCGGTTAGGTCGCTGCCTGCGGTGGCCCTGACGCAAGCTGCGCATCGCCTGATCGACTTCCCCACGGCCCACCGACTTGCCCGCCGTCCTGCCATACGAAGGCGGCCGCAGCGTGCTCGCCTCTGAAGGCTCTTGCTCATGACGTGAGGACGTCGCAGTCTGCTCGCTTTCGATGACCGATATCTGCACGGTGGGGGTGTTTGTCCCGCTCTTCGCTTCGGCATCGTGGACCTCGAGCGCTGCTTTCTGAAGCGACGAAGAGAAGGAGCAGATCATAGAGAAAAAGTCTTCGTACTTCGGCGCCTCTGGCGACTCGGGCGACTCCCCGAAGTACCTGAGCATCGATTGAAGGTCGCTTTCCAGCGCCGTCGACATGTTCTTGAGTGCAGATACGCTGTTTTCATGCTGGGTAACGAAGGGCTGTGGGGACGCACATCAGATATCTGTTCGAATTTGGAGAAAAGACCGGTACCCACTTCCATCACATAGATAAATCGGTCGCCGTACGGCATCGCTTTGCTTTGCTTCGACTGCTGAATCTCTGCCTTGACCAATTCCATTCCAGCGACCAGTCCGTTAATCTGTATGCCAATATCTGGCACGGAGACTACCATACATGTCAGGATGATTTTTTGATACTATATGCGCATACACTTTACTCACTTCGAGCGGCAGCTTCTAAATGTGGCATTTCGTCGATGAAGGCAGGGAGGTTGGGATCGGTACGGAGTAGCACCCTTGCGAGATAGTGTAGTAGCGTTGGGCAGTCCGATCCTGCCTTCGCAGTCTTGGTCTCCTTCATCTGTGATACTTCTTAGAAAGGCTGGGGCACAAAGCCATACGGAAGCGTACCTTCAGCAGTGCGTCGAGCTTGAATCCGCGAGCATTTCCACGGAAGGACGACCCATTGAGTGCGTTACCAAGCGTCAGGACAGCCTGTTGGAATTGGCGATCAGCAAGGAGAGAGATGGGGCAAGCCCAATAATTTGACCTGTATAATTCGCTTGAACTTGATCGATGAGCGGAGCTCCTTGCAAGCATTATGAACCATTGATAGATCAGGGCGAATCTCTTCTATCTCTATCTCGAGCTTGCGTCGGTACAGCATACACTCCACTCTCTGCGCGAGTCGTGGTATGGTCATGATCTGGAGCAATGATATCATCAATCAACTTCGCAGCGGGAACATATAACCATATCATACCTGGCTGAAGTATTGATCGGCCTTAGCGAGGGTGCTGACGTTGCCGAAATCTTGTATGCGATTGATCTACGCGCGGCAGTTATGGTCAAGAAAACAGCTTCAACCATCAGGTAGGCAACATTCGCACCTCTTCAGCGGTTGGAAGATGTTTCGCGATCGCCCTCAGGTCGTCCGTAGAAAGCTTCTCGTCGTCAACATCTAGGAGAGCCCTGCGGATCTCCGGGAACCCTAGTTTGATCCGCGCTAGCATTATGGCTACGCAAGGTAAGGTCAGGTTCGGCACTCAGGTTGAAATGACATGCTCACCGATGTTTTGCGATCTGGTAATGTCGAGCAAGGTGGTGACACCTTGGCCCTTCTTACTGGCCACTGACAATTGTGACGCTTGGCGCAAACCCTGGGCTTCGTTGACGGCGAAAGTCGCCTCTAGATCACCAAAATCAAACGAAGCATCGGGAACGGTGTCGGCCCATATTGAATCGCTGGAGGGGACGTTGGAGAGTTTGTTCCAAAAGAAGGGTCTCAGTCGCTTCCCAGGGTTTGTCACCTTCGGAATTCCTCCACCTCTGAAGGCCGAAGGGGGCGGGGGTGGAGGTGGGAAGCCGGGTGCGCTGGGTGGTGGTGGTGGTGGTGGTGGAGGGGCAGACGGTGCGCTGTGCCCGGGTTGCGGAGGCGGGGGAGGCGGCGGGGGAGGGGCAGGCGAAGCAATGAGGGCTGAGCCAGGTGGTGGAGGTGGTGGCGGCGGTGGCGGCGGTGGCGGTGGCGGCGGCGGGGGTGAAGGCGAAGATGAAACCGGAGTATTCGACGATGACTGCAGCCCAAGAGGTGGTGGTGGTGGAGGAGGAGGAGGAAGCAGGGAAGCAGCCGTTGATGAGTTACCATTACCGACTCCTCCAGGAGTGGAGTGTTTCCTTGAAGGTGGCGGGGGCGGAGGCGGATTCTTCACTTTGAAATCTTTCTCCGTGACGAACTTCGGTTTCTCCGCAAGCTGGGTTTCGAGATCGTGTATGCGAACCCGGAGGTTCGCAATCTCATCGTCCTTCTGGGTTAGGGTCTCAATCGTGCGGCTCGCCATGAGCTGTGCGTCAACGTCTGCCTCCTCCCGAGTTTGGAAGCGCGAATATACGGATTCTAAAGCACGTTTCAAGTAGACGACCTCCTTCTCTTTGATGTTCAAAGATATCTCGAGCTCATTGGCCTGTGGGAAGGGTGAGGTGCGAGGCGCGCAAAGTCGCGGAGGGCCAACCTTCATCTTTAGCTTCGCTATTTCCTCGTTCAACACGTTCCATTTCGCTCGGTCACGTTCCCGCTTGATCTTCTCTTCCTATAAGACCTTGATGTCAGCGACGCGCGTATGTTGTACAAAGTCAACGTACTGCCTCGCGGCCATCAGTCGGATTCTGGGCTCTCAAGCGATCTAGCTCAGTTTGGAGTTGTAGAACCTGCTTTTCCTTGGCAACCAAGCGCTGAACAAGGCCATGGAAGCTTTGCGATGACTGAAAGGTATTAGGTGCAGTTAGGTTGCTGGACAAAACGGCTCACCTCGGGACCCGATTTGCCCCCTCTTGGTGCGTTGGGCACCGGGAGCTTCAAAGGAAGCGACTTGAGGGTTTCGATCTCTGCTACTTGTTGTGCGATCTCGCTCCGGAGCTCGGTCCTCTAGAGCGCATCATTAGCGATCGCCGCATGCAATGCTAGAGTAGGTATAACCTCGTTGCTAAGTTCCTCAACTTTGTTGCGAAGTTCAACGAGTTGCTCCTCTATCACAGCATCATCACTATCCGAGACCGGCTTGACGTCAAGCTCTTGGCCCGTGATATGCTCCACCGAGTTGGCAAATCGCTTGAGGAACGTTCTCCAACCATCATCGCTGTGCCACAAGCAGTCAGTTCTATTGTTCCTCTACTGCGAGCTCAAATGTTCATACAAGTCGTCTAGCACCGCAGCTTGTTCGATGAACCTATCAAGGACGGTGAAGAGGTCGGATTTGACTTGTCTACGAGGACATGAGCAGTCAGTAATGTAGTAAAATGAGTGAGACTCACTGATCTACTTGACGTTGCAATATGAGCCCGAAACGTCTCAATATCTCAACCATCATTGGATAAAGGCCTTCGTGTTGTTTGGCCAGTAGTACAAGCTCTTCAAAGACCACTTCAGATTCAGAGGCGCTGCGATGATGATCCCCGTGATTTTTGAACGCGTGACGCAAACGATCGCGCATATCTTCCTCGTCTTCGAATTTCTCTTCCGTGTAGACATCTAACTGCGTTAATAGGGATTCAGGCGGTTTAACGTATCGAAGCGTCTTCATGTTCAATCAGCCTTCACGTTGACAAAGCGGTGATACCAATCCAGGCTCACCACTATGATTTCGTTGAGGCCCCTCCGACCGAGCTCTTCTCTAAGCATGATACGCTCTTCTAAGGAATCTGCGCACGTCGTGAGGGCGTTGATGAGAGCCATTGTCGCTGTCCTAGCCTCCCAAACGCCGTCCTGTTCTGAGGACGGATCGTCCCTCGCATCGCCACTCGCATCACTATCGAATCCTGAGTCCATGGGCCTGAGGAAGTTGAGCAACTCCTCAAATCGGAACCCTTCGTCGTATGTGACGCGATAGTCGGAGATGGCTGCAAGGACGGCTGCGCGGCCTTCATCTACAGAGACAACAGAGATTGCTGCGAGGACGTCCGAGGCCAACGTTCTGAGTTTCAGAGAGGCGCCGTGCAAAGAGTATGCGATGTGGGTGACGATAGTTGGGGCAGCGAGAATATGACGAAAGCCTGGCTGAAACCACTTTCGTAAGGACATTCATGTAAACGTATCCAATTACTGACCTCCGTGTTGAGTAACACTCTGAGACACTTGATCAGCTCGAGCAGCACTGACTCTTCGGTCTCAGTCAGTTTCTTTCGTTTACCCCCTTTCCCGACCAGATTGGACAAAATGTCGCCAAGTACTTCCACACCCTTCGCCTCGTCCGTGAATTCCTGGACCCATGCAAGTTGTGCTGTTGATATATGAACACGCAGGGATATCAAGTTCTTGACAAGTTTCATATCCATCTTGGCCGCCCGCACGCCATTAGCGTACGATTGCGGGGTCTTGTCGCCCGCGTTGGTCCTGTCGCCACCAGACGACGTCCACCAGCTTCCCCACAATCCGCCAGTGTTTTGAGAGGCTAAAGATTTCGGTTCGTCTACATTGGGTGACGCAACCGCGGTCCTCTCGGCGGGAGATTTACTTGATTCGGAATGTGAGGCTGAAACTGCAGCAGCAGCTGTTGGACCAATGCTACCGGTCCATCCAGCCATAGAGAATCGCTTCATCAGTCCCTGCTCTCCTGTCAGCTGAGGAACCAGACGAGGTAGTATTCCTGCCGCCGCTGTCGGGCCAATCGATCCTGAGGTGTGTGCTGTCTGTAACTTCGCGGCCGAAGACTTCGAGAGTGTGCCTTGCTTCACTTGCTGGTTGGACTGCAAGAGATACCGTTTACGCTCAGGAGGAAGGCGGTACATGGCTTCACGATTTGGGCCTTTCAGATTTAGATCGTCCTGGAAGCAGATCGAAAAGTTGTTTTGTACATGCGAGCCAATGGACTTACAAGTAAACGCTCAAAATCGTCAACATTGGGCTCGTCTTCACTCGCCGTGTCTCCTTCCGTATGCGGAGATGATGGGGCTGAAACATTTCCTGTATGTTGGGGCATCAGCTGCGGTTCGCTGACGTTCTTCCGCCCTGGACTACGCGTCGGGGAGGATGAGCGGCCCCATCCCTCGAACATGCTCGAGAAACGGTGCTGAGATATTGACGCTCGCCAATCCAATGGAGCCTGGAAGCTCGCTGAAGGGGAACCTTGAGGGGAGGACGAATCGCTCCTAGCCTGTTTCGCTGTGCCCCCGGCCTCCTCTTCATTGTCGTCTTCCGAGTCCATTAGTTGTCGCAGGCGCTTTACGGTGGCTTCGGAGGGTTCTAAATGTGCAGGCTTTCTCTGGCGTATCTTCGACCGTCGATACCACTCCTCGGGGACGCACAACCGGAACGGGGGGACAGAACCGGGTGGGCCATGATGGTGTTCGAGTATCGAGGACAGATTATCTGAGGGCTGATACCTCGTGAATGCTGATGAAAGGCGTTAAACTCAGGATGAGGATGTCACTAATGACACTCACATTCCCCGTCGGAGTCCGTCCATACTTCTTCTAGGACGTATTGCAACGTACCTGCACCGGGTATAGGTAGTGACCTCGTCAGTCCGAGCTCGTCAGCAATCCCGTCAAGGAACTCTTCTACAGTCGTTGACCGCGAAAAATAGCGCCTCCATTGAAAGCCATCGTGGATCTCAGGGACTCTCAGGAACGAAACGACGAGAGAGAGTGCAGGATGGAGTGACACAAGTCGTAGTGTGGGCGTATGCAGATGAGAAGTAAGAGGAAAAGCCGAGAAATGCCGGCCTTTGGGGGAGGTCGGCTTAGCTGAGGTGTTCAGCAACGGAGCCACGACTGCGTCCATGGGCAGAATACCTAACACGGAGATGAAAAATAACGAAACCATGGAAAACTGAGTTTGAACACACCGTCGTCGAGGGCCTCGAGTTCCTCCTCCTCCCATGTCCTTCCAGTTCTGAACCCGATGATCCTCTGTATAGCCCATCCTTGAGGTTGTAGATCCCCGAGTATGTCGGCCTTGACTTCATCGAGAAATGACAGACGGTCGAGTAGGTCCTTGACGGTGCCATCTTGTTGGATCTCCACGAATTGTAATGATACATTGGTGAGCACAGGTACGATGAGAGGGCCAGTGGTCATGGTGCACCCAGAGGATACGACTTGCGACCTTACGGCCGGATGACGACTATATATGAGCGTGTTTACGTGTGTCAGTCAGCGCGTTTGTATGAAATGTTCAGGATAGCCACAGCGACATGAGACTAGTGTATGTGGATGCAGCGAATCAGTGATACACGAGTCCCTGTGAGGTCAGTGTTGGCCACGTGCGCGTGAGTCGTCAAGCGCGTCCAGGGAAGATCGCCACAAAAGGCAAATTGAAATACGCCGAGCGGCACGGAGGGACTGGCATAGGAGCGCCTCCCATTCTCAGATAGAATACAGCCATGGGTACATTAAGTGAGGTAAAAAGACAGCGGCAATACAAGACGATATAGACTTCACTCCTGCGAGGTATCGACGGAGGGATGGACCATGTAATACATACGACGATCGCCCTCTGGCTGAGATTGACTCGTTCCATCGTCGGTCGAAGTGGGTAATGAATTTTGGACGTCGCCGTTGACAGCGAGGAGATAGTTGTCCTGGAAACACAAGGTTAGTACCGCTAGTACAGTTTTCTCCTTGAAGCACTCGCCTTTACGAGTTTCTTCAACACCTTGGTGATCAGTTCTTTCTCGTACTCTAGCTCCTCCACGTCCTGGATCTCCGATTCCTTCAATTCCAAGTACCAGTCAATGAGCTCATCTTTGTCGACTCCTGTACCTGTCTCTCGTTCAACAGCGGACAGGTGCAGCACGATGAGGCTCTGTAGGGCCATGTACTTGTCGTGCGTGATCACCATGCGCCGCTTGGCTGCCGCTGGTTGCTGCACTGGCACGGCGTCCGGACCAGGAGATGTCGCGATAGCACCCTGAGCAAGACCGGAAGATGAGTTCCCGGACGGTTGTTGATAGCTCTGCTCCGTCGCCTCCGTCGCCTCCATGTCCGCACCAGACATTTCCACGTCCTGGCTCTCCTCACCATCAATCGCCGGCGGTCTTCCGTCGCCTGGTCTCTCGCCCGTGAGTTCTTCCTCATCGAAATCGATGTCGTCTTGCTCGACGTGGATAATGGACTGGCGAAGGAGACTATATGCTTCACGCACAAACGCCGGAGTAATCTAACAATCTGTATGAGCCCAATGGAATCTGCCAGTATGGGATGCTCAACCTCATTGGTGCAGTTTGCGCGTGCAATAGCTTCACTCAGCCGGATCATGCTCTCCAGCTGCCGCACAGTGATACGGTAGGAGTTTTTCCCGGCTCCGGTAGTATCATCCTGACGGAGAATTCGGTACTTCTCCACCAGAACATCCGCGGCTTCCGGGGTTAGCTAGTATGCAAGCATTCACCTTTTCGTCCGGCAGCAGGGAATTTCAACTAACCTTAGGATTGAACGTCCTGGCGTACCGGATATAGCGCTGAAGTGCTTCCGTACTGAACTCCGGATGAATTGCCTCGTCCTGGAACCGATGGACGTTGACGATATGTCTGGCGATGTTCAGATCCGTTCGCTCGTCACACTCATCCAGAACCACGAAGAACAGGTCGAATCGACTCATGATGGGAGCACTCATCATGATGTTGGCTCGTAACGTCTTCTTCCGGTCGTACCGTCCGCCTACAGGATTTGCAGCGGCAAGAATGGAAGTCCGCGCATTGAGAGTGGCATGGATGCCAGCTTTTGCGATCGAAATCGTCTGCTGTTCCATGGCTTCATGAATGGCTATCTGATCGGAAATGTCCATCTTGTCGAATTCGTCGATAGCGCAAATCCCGTTGTCGGCTAGCATGAGAGCGCCAGCCTCAATTGTGAAGTCACCAGTTTCCTCATCCTTGACCACGGCGGCGGTGAGACCAGCTGCGGAGGAGGCTTTTCCAGAGGTGTACACCGCTCGCGGCAGGAAGGAACAAATATACCTATGAATCAGTCAGCATACATGCTCTGGAGGAGATGAAGGAGATGTTCACTTCAAGAATTGAGATTTGGACGTCGATGGATCACCGACTATGCAGATGTTGATGTCGCCCCTGAGATGCATGCCCTCTGGCGTTTGCTTGTGAACACCGCCCATGAGCTGTAACAAGAGTCCCTTCTTGACAAGCTCATGCCCATACACAGTCGGGGCGATACTCTCCACCAGGCGAGAATAGATGTGGTCAGACTCAATCATGGCCTTAAGCTCTTCGAACTCAGGCTCGGTGAGCGTCTTAGCGAAGGCAGCAGCATCGTCCTCCCCTTGTTCCTCTTCACCTCGAATATTGGTTCCAGCCTATAAGTCAGGTATTGTGAGCAGCTGACCTAACCAAGGAACATAGCACATACCCTTCCATCCGCATCATGCACCATGCATGCGAGAAACGCCGTTTTGTATTGCAGATCACGAACACCCAAGGTCTTCAGCCCTGTGACGCCTCCACCTCCGACGCCCGCGGTGGCGCCACTCTTACCAGCTTCTCGCATTAGTTCAGCCCGGTTGCCACCCGGCAATCCAAGCTGGCTGACGTCCGGCACGACGATAAACGCGCCAGTAAACACGCATTTGTCTCCGGCTTTAGCTCGCTCCACTAGTTCGCCCCGAAGGATGACATCCAGGGACCGCGGCATCGATCCTGTGGGTATCTCGGATGCATTCTCCTGTATGCGCACTTTCTGCCAATCCGTGAACTTCGAGGAATCGATTTGAAGCTGCCACGCGTGGCGATTGCCGCACGTCGGATTAGGACATAAACTAGGCTTCATGACATGTCAGTGCGACGTTCGTAATTTGGCCTAGGATAACGTACCTCCGTATATTTGAACTGCTGCTCGATGTCGCTGACAAGGCCACCGCATATCTCGCAGATGAAAGTTCCGTACAAGAGTTCTGGTCGTACTTCGCTAGTGCGCGTTACGGTCCCGCTGATGCTCATGAGCGTGCCAATCTTGTCCGTTCGCAGGTCCCGAATACCGGATACTAGGGGTAGATGATAGAACGCAATGCTGAATTCTCGCGACTGCAGGTTGGCAGAGTCTGTGGCCGCTGCGGTGGGGTTGATCTTGAGATATTCCGGTTCATATTCAGCTACGAGGTTTTGCAGAGCGCGTCTGAGGTATGGCATAAATCGGTAGTACTGCTTCTGTATGGCGTCGGCAAGTACATCGTCCTTTTGCAGGAGATGACCGTAGTCGACGTAGAGAGTCGTTAATTCATATTCGCGCATGGTGTGGATCTGTTCAATGTATATTAGTTCCCCTTCTCCGGCCTGAGGTATATCGCCATCTGAGCGAGGGGTGGCTGCGAGTGCGACGTCCTCGGTAAAACTGCAAGGCTCAGATAAGCACAGGAAGGCGAAGGTGAACGTTGGAGGCGTACGTTTTGAGGAAGGTCTCAAACGCATCGCATACACTTTCTCCCACTGCGTCCTTCACAACGGGAACGTCTGCATTGATCTGGCCCCGCGCTCTCCTCCGCCTGTTGGCGGCTCCATCGTTGGCTTGTGAGACATCTTCAGGATCATCGAGTGCTAGTGCGTCCGCGGTCCGGTGGCTACGTTTAGGTGTAGCGCCTCCATTCGACGATAGGCTGGGAAGCGGGGCGCTACTGGAGGGTAACGAGGAGCGAGGAGCAACAGGAGATGAGAGTCCGTCGACGTCCATGTTGGCGAGTTGCAAAGTTGCGACACGACGCGAGCGCGCCGTGGCGCGACGAATTACGAAGTTTAGGGTAGGCTCTCTGGTGTCAGGTGGCGGCGTCACCGACAACCGTGACGGCAACACCAGGTCCTCCTCCAACTCCTGCATATACTGTTTCACGTACATAGGATGGATATCGAACCTCTGGACCCCCATTTTGTTACCGAACGTCTTGCCCAGCCCCCTTTTGTAACCATTGATGGTGTCTATAACGTTCGGGATCTGGGCCGACTCACAGAAACCGACGATTGTGTCTCCTCCGGGTCGAAAAGTAGAAATGGCGTCAGACCTGGTTTTGTATATCGCTCCGCAGAAGTATCCGGAATCACAGATGCAGGTACACCCTCAGCCACGCTCCCAATACTGCTCACTTACCCTTTGCCTTCACCAGGCAGGTCACAGCTGAGAGCACTTGGAATCAGAAAGATATTCGACATGCGCTCTCGCCCTGAGATTGCGAAATGGGATAGCCCCATGCCTTCCATAGATGGTGTAGAAATCCTCCATACCCCCGTTTTCAATGACGAAGACTACAGCCCTGAGGCGATGGCGAAGTGCGTACGTGCTGTCTCATAACCTTTCTCGACGCAGCTCTAAGCATACCCCGATTAGGCGGTTTGAGCTCTACTCTAGTGGAAAGACAGAAGCGTTTATGCAGTTGTATACTCAACTTCTTGAACATGCGGGTCCCTGCTTTGGCACAATAATGCGGCATGTCAGGGATAGACCAGACGAACCGTTCCTTTTCCACTGTACAGGCGAGCTGTGTTTATCATCCCGTGCATACAGTAGACTTATGGTGACAATAGCCGGAAAAGACAGAACTGGAATCCTCGCCGCCCTCATCCTACGATTGGCGGAAGTAGACGATGACACCATCGCCCTTGATTATGCATTGACACGCATAGGGCGAGAACCATGCCGGGCAAAGATTATGGCACGTCTCACGAAGGAGCCCCTGTTTTCCAGTAACAATCAGGCAGCACTAAACATGTTTACCTGCAGGTAATGTCCTCTTTCGAATACAACTCGAGAAATGCTAATCAATGTTAGACATGAGACAATGCTCGCTTTCCTTATGTTGCTAAAGGGACGTTATGGCGATGCTGAGGGATATTGTCGCGCTTATTTAGGGCTGACTGAGGGAGACATATCTCAGATCCGTCGTCACCTTGCAACAGTTCCCGATTCAGTAGAGGCAACCTCGTGATTACCATTATCCGAGATATAATCATTGCTGTCGTAGATACATCCAAGGCGTATATCAATAAATTAGTAGCCCTAGACTAACATCGGTCGAATTGAGGCTAATGTTATGTTTTCCGGGACAAACTGAATGACCGCTCTGGCTTTGTTTTGCCCTCTGAAGATGCAGGACTCGGTGACCGGTTAGGCGCGGCACGACCAAAGCGCGACGCCGCCATCACAGCGATTTGCCCGGTCGTCCTTTTGTGCGGATTCAAGGGTGAAAGTGCGCCAGCTCGAGACGGCGCCTGATTCTGAGCTCCTGTACCCTGCCGTCGCAAGGGGTTACGCGCCCCTGCAGATGACGTAGCGTTCGCTGGTGCTGGTGTATTGCTGGGCCGCTCGATGTCCATGAAATCCGTGAACGTGACTTCTGAGCCGGACGCCTGCCTTCTCGCTTTCTCGTGTTTGAACTGCACGGACCGGAAGTGAGATAGGAGCTCCTGCCATTTTATTTCTTCGCGTCCGATTTTGGATCTCGTGCTGGAGATCGATGCCCCTGGCCTGACGGGACTGTGAGTATAAGTCGGCGAGGACATGAAGATGGTACATACGTCTTTGGTGATATATGCAGGAAGCCAGCGGAGTTGACCGCATGCAACCGATTGCGTAACGACAAGAAAGCAGAACTTTGTGGCAACAGCATCAAAAGGCCGTATAGGCACTTGAAGAGGAAGGGATATCTGTCAGGCTCAAGTAGCTGTAAACGTAGGTCTGAATATTCGATTATTATCATGAACATTCTTCCTCATAGTTATAATCAAACCTGCTCACATGTGAAGACCGGCGATTCAATGAGCTGAACCAACTTGTCAACTTGCACCAGTAAAGACACCGTCATGTCCAATTCCGCACTGGTAGGGGTTGTTAGTGTTTCGACGATCTATCGTGGCGGCGACTGACAATATGTAGAGCAAGTTTGATGCATGCTCGTACGCCTGCGCTAACAGACAGAGCGAGAACGTCGCGACTGCATTGTGACACCATGACCTATATAGCGTAGTGAACAACGCCTGACCGTCCGGCTATTGTATATGAGTCTTTTCAGACATGCACATGCACGAGATACGCAGACATACACGTGTCTCTAGATTCTTCAACCTCCGGCGGAAGTCCGCTAGTTCAGGTGATGTGATCAGAATCAAGTTCAGCTTCTGCACTATTCCGCTGGCAAATTCCAAATCCTCATCTGATATCAGGCTTCGTTAGCTCATGAATTAACGCGGACGCACCTCTTCTTTGTCGAGGATTTCAGCGAATGTGCGGTAAATCCGCTCTGTATTGAGATTCAGGCAAAGCTGTCTTATGATCAGACTCCCTCGGGTCTCGAGAAGCTTTCTGTCGGTGCTGAATAGTCCAAGCAGATTGATCATGAACGCCTTGAAATAACCCTCCTCAGAGGTCGAAGATATCTGAGCAATCAGTTGAAGGTCTTGTTTGATGACCTAAGGCATACTCAGCATCTATTGTAACAGCATTCGCTAGCACTGACCTCTTCAGACGAGTCAGAAAGCGTCTTAAGCAATGCAGGGAATGTTCCATCATCCATTGCTAATATCTATACGGCTCATGTTGAGGGCGCGAACCTGGTTGGAGGGGAATGCACTTGCCTTCTTGGGAGCTTTCTGATGTAGCATAATCAGCCATTTCAGTGCCGCGACCCTCGTTTCTTCATGCTCGCTCAGAAATTGGAGAGTGAGTGCATTCACGGTGGTCTGATAATCGAATGGATCAGGCTCCTCCGAGGGAGGTGCCGGCTGTAAAACTCCGGTTTGGGGAGGTAATGAGGGTTGCATTGGTACATCTTGAGCCGCTGGGTTGGTAAGATCGGACTGTGCCACGCTGTTGACTTTCGCAGCCGCAGTGATGGTCGACTGCGTAGGTGTAGGGCCGGCGTCGGACAATGATTCCATGCTCTTTTCGTGCGGCAATGAAATCGCATCCTTGCTGAATGTCTGACGGGTAGTAGACCCTGGAACGCTCGGGGCAGGAGATGTGGCGGATGTTCGTACGGAGGGTGTACCAGACTTCTCGGCTGTTGGCGGCGCGGGAAGCGCCTGAATGACCGCGGTCAACAGTCTGTTAGTACGTATGGCCGCATTCCGTATCATATCGTGATGATGTGCGAGGTTCGGAAGGATGGCATGCAGTAACCGAGGGGTGAATGGTATCAAGACTTCAGGTGCGACTGATAGAAACTCCGCAAGCCATTGAAGTGCCGTCGACTCCTGGATCTCGTCGTCTGCCGTACCGTGAGGGTGTGTCGCAATGCCATGAAGTGAGAAGACTAACGTTGCCCGTCCAGCTGCTCCATCAAGATTTCTGTAAGAGCATCATAATCGATTCTCACACCTTGACCGCGTTCCCAAGCTGGAAGAGGTGAGCACAAACACAATTCGTGGTGCTAAAGTGCCTACCACCAATATCATCTATTGCTTCGGGTTCATCCTTCAGCAACGAGTTCTTGTCGTACTCCGCCTCATGCTCGTAGCCTTCTGCAACGAATGGTCCTCGATCTAACCGGGAGGTTTCGTCATTTGCAATAGGCCGAACAGAGGGAATAGTAGACGACGTCGTATGCCGAGATTTGTTCCTTTCCATCCGTTTCTGCGTCAACGTGACATCGCGGATCTCCTTCAGAAAGTCGGCCAATATATTCTCAGTAGCGATCTTCACGTCCTCGATGGGGTCCGAGAGGTACTTTCTGGTGATTATTAGTCACATTTACGATGAAGATGAAGTATCACCTACAGTAGGCCATCGAAGAATTCTGGAAGGTATGTGATGAGTTCCAATTCAGGAACAGAGTCAAGAACGGTTATCCAGGAAACCAAGAAGCTGCGGGTAAAGGGGCTGACAACGTATATACGCTCGGAGAGCAAGGGTATGAAGTGCGCGAGGGAGAAAGCTTTTCTGGCTTCTCGCATGTCTTCGCCATTCGCGACGTCATCCGGATGAGGCACTACAATGCCTTGCCCATAAAGTTCGTCCGCTTTCTCTCTGATCTTCTCTGTCTCGGGATACTGAGGAATATATGCCGAGGCGGATTCGGCCACAATGTCCTTCAGTAACCTGTCTAGCAGCTCGGCCCCATTCTTGACGGAGAGCTCTGAGTCTGCCGCAAGCTAAGAATCTGATGGTCAACGCGGACAAGGAGGCAAAAAGAATATACCCACCTTACTCAACGCGTCGAAGATCGGGTTGAAATATACCAAGATTTCTCCTTTGGACACCTTGGCGATGTTGTATAGACATTCCGCAGAGAAATACCGGACTCTGTTCTCGGGGTCTGTGAAGCATATAAGGAGCGAGTCGATAAACTTCTCCATATATGGAGCGACGTCCACCCCAAGGGCGATAGCCGTGGCAGCAAGACCGATGAGCCCCCCGTTTCGGACATGCAGAGGATTGCTAGGCTTGTTGAACATTTCGACCAGCTGGTCTATGATTTGACCTATCCTCCGATGGTCACCTTCCCGGTGACAGTCTCGAATCTGCCTGCGGAGGCCTCACATGAGCTACAGAGCCATTGAACACGTACGTGGGTCAGAGGATGCTCACTTCTCCAGGTCCAACGCAGCCGCCTTCCTCTTCTCGTACATCTTATCCACCAGCTGTTTCGCGATTGCCGAATCTATGGCGCCGTGATCTTCTACTATATTTTGGTGTTGAGGGACATCACGTACCCATCTTTCCGGCTGGCAGGTGCTGATATGTGCGAGCTTGAGTCGATCACAGCAATCCAGCTTTGTGTATGGTAGAACACTCCTCCGCAGGTTCACGCAGTCGCCGGATTTATCAGACGCGCGGACACCGTTAGCGGAACAGACCCGGACCTCAGGGAACAGTGACGACAAGTTATGGGCAAGACGCGTCGCGCATGCATACGGTTACCGCCACTCAGTGCTGCCAGATATGGACGTCGATGAGGAGGCGTATATTCTCCTGCTTCTTGCCGACGGAAATCTCCCGACAGGCTCGTTCGTTGCGTCGTCTGGGCTAGAGTCGTATATCACACATGGATTCTTCGCTCGATCTTCAACAAAAGCCCCACTACAGTCTGTTTGCGAGTTCGTCGAAGATAGCCTAGGAACTTACGCAAGAACTGCTTCGCCATTCGTGACGGATGCCCACCAGATCGTCTCCTCCATGACGTGCGGCACAATGACCACAGAAGACGCCCTTCCTCAGCTCATCACCCTCGACGACCTATATGACGCGATGACCTTGAACCACGTCGCGCGCCGTGCTTCCCAGGGGCAAGGTGTTGCCTTGCTCACACTTTATTCGAAGGGATTCTCGGCTCCTGCTGATTCGTACTCCGTGGGACCTCCTCCATTGAACGCCTCCGCGGAAAAGATGGGAAAGATAGTGGACAAGATGAAATTTACTATTCGCAAAGGAGATACCCCAGGCCATCTGCCGATCTGCTGGGGTATCCTCACCGCGGCCCTAGGACTCGGTGTCGGTACGCAGAGCTGGAGATCCTCCCAAAATTATCGTTAACGGACTCATAGAGCGGAGTTTGCGACTGCACCTCTTTCTACATGCGAGAGGCCTCCTTTCTGCTGCGGTCAGGTTAAACGCCATCGGACCTTATGCCGCTCAACAGCTGTTACTACACACGATCAAGCCGCTGGTCCAGCAAGAAACTCAGAGATGCACCGATCTGCGGACTGGTGTAATGGAAATCCAGTCTGGTACACAACCATCGCCTTCAGACCGTGCATCGGTTACCGTGGATGGTCCTGCAACAACCTGGCCCCTGGGGGAAATTCTCGCAACAAGACACGACTTACAACATTCCCGAGTTTTCAACAGTTGACGCCCTATCACACGGAAATGATACATTTCCTCAAGCAGATACAAACAGACAAATAAAGACAGCAGGACTTGCAATCACGCGGTAGCAAGTGCCAAACGGGCAGAGATTTCGGCTTGCGACCTCACAAGGTTCGCCAAGTACGACACCATCAACGTATCCTGAACATGATGTCAGTCATCCTCCTCCGAGATGAGCGGGCCGTAGGGATGAGCTGACCTGCAAGGCAGTGTTAAAGCCTCCCTTCTCCAGATCTTCTGTACTGGCTCCCAGCGTATCCATGAGATACCGCCCGATCGCAGCATCACCCTTAACCTCCCCTGAGAGTACAGACCGAACGTATGCCAGAACCCGGTCAAGCATGCTGGAAACCGTTTTTATCGCTGCTTCAAGCTGCTCCAGATCAGTGATGGGTTCTGTCGGAGAGTCCGAAGCAGAGGCGAGCAGATCGACTGAGTGATTTTATAAGAGAGTGCAGGCGCCAACAAATGATTAAACATACAACCACTGCGCTCAGCAGGGGTGAAACGCAGTTCGCAGGGAACCGGAACGAAAACGCAATTCTCAGGTTTAGGCTGCACCCCTACGGGTGAGCTACGGCGTCCATCAGTGACCATGCCGCAATCCTGGCATCAGACATGCGCACCTGATGTATGCCTGTACGCCTGGTTGAGTATCTTCTTCAGTACCAGTGTTGAGCGCAAGGTGGATCGCCTGATGAGGCGTGGTTTCTTGGGTATAGAAATTCTGTATAAGGGCAGAATAGGTGTTGAGGTTGGAGCCCGTCGAATACCTGTGCCATTTAGTCAGGACGTGTCACATATGAACTCGGTGGATCAATTCACCAGCCGACGATCGTCTCCTTCGGGTGTACCTTGTGGTGCAGATCGTACATGGTCTGATGATACTCCATGTCGACAGCGACTTGTTCAGCGGTCTCGCTGTGCAAAACCGCGAACGAAGAACGTATCTCGATCTCGTTGTCGGTCCGGAAACCGAGCAGAGTCCCGATTACGCGCTCTTGCGCATCCGTGCGGCGCAAATAGTGATCTAAGATAGAGAACAACGCTACCGGATGAACAGTCACCAGGGTAGGTGTGCGTCTATGCGATTAAAGCAAAACCGTATTTCAGTCTTGAATTATTCACGGCACATCACGGTGTAGATGCGGCGAGCGCACGGCGTTGAACATACGGCTGCGAAGAAGTTGCAGTTGATTTGGCATTTTGAATGTGTAACGCTGAAGATGATGGGCCGAGCGGCATTTTGACGAGTTGAAAGGATCGCTGAGCCTTGCAGAGGACTGATGCGCCATTTCAGACAAAATCTGAGTTCTCTCACGTGATCCCAAATTTACTGGTGACGCGCCGAGTTGGGCCGCATACGAGCTCATTCACGACCATGCCATCCGAAGAAACAAAGGTCAGAAGTAGACCAGCCTGCATCTAGCCCAGTACTGACGTGCCATTCAGGAGCGCATCATTAAGGCCGTTGAGCTTGGCAAGGTATTGCTTGTTCGTCACCCGGAAATGATTGGTTTTGTTGACTGTCAGCACAGACCGTCGTCCACTACGGATGGATACCCTTCATCATCTACGTCGGGTACACACGGAGTAACCCCCAGCCGTCTTTGATCAAGTACGTTCTCAGCTGCTATTCCCGGTCTCCGGCTATTGCTCATCGTTCGTTCAGGCTGATTAGTCCTTTGGCATGACGAGCACATTCCTATGTCATTGTATATACTCTAGTCCGTTCAATTAATGCCACTGCCCTCTTCTTCGAGTCTCCACTTTCTACGGCTGACATCGCCACGCAAGAATCAGACCGGAAACCGACACCTTGGTGAGTTCACTCCCCTCTGCAGTCTTGCATGATTATTCTTGTGGTGGCGCTTCGCGCTCCGACTTCCGCCCTTGTAACTGCATCCAGCTGGTTTATGGGTTTCGTGGGGATCCTTTCAAGGCCAGATATGAACCTGCTCCACGTTGTTTTTCTTTGCCTCTGACTACGCTGACTAGTTGTCAGACTATCACTCCTATCACGTCTCTGGAGTTGCGATGAAAGCAAATGATAGACAAGAACGAACAGACAGCAGCACATGACAGTGTATGGATGACCACGCAGCAAAACATCACAAATATACCCTCCTAAGCTCCGTGGCCGCCGTGATGCGTTTGCACATCGGACACAACTTCGTTGATCCAAGGCATCTGAGCCAACATTCACGGCAGCATGTATGCCAACAGCCGGTGGACACGGTCGGATCTCTATACGGATCCAAGCAAATGCGACACGTGGGTGCCGTCGATGAGAGCACCCGCATCGACTCCTATAATTCGCTCATCAGACTCCGAGACGAGACGAACAAAACGTTTCGTATGTACTGACCAATAGCTTGACCTTCCCCTCGAGTGCAACCACAAGGTCACGGGGGTTCCCCGTGCGACGCGCCGAGAGCAAGACCATCTCTGCGCGATCCAAGTCGCCTAGCTCGGCCGCATCTTCGACCGACGGCTTCGTCGCGACTGCAAGCGACCCCTCAGCAGGCCCCCGTTTGACCACTTTCCCCAAGGCTACTAGCTCCCTCAGCGACTTTCCCTCCGCGTCGTCCTCGCCGCTGTCTTCTATTTCCTGGTCTCCTGTAGAGGCCACCTCCTCCAACAGAACGACGGGGCCATTCCCAGCAACCACGTCACTCTCTGTGAATTGGACGTCGCCAAATAACATATCCTCGTCACCCTCCACATCGATGTCTTCTTCGACATCTTGCTGAGTGCGTTCCCGGACATGGAAGCCCATCCCTCGCAAACCATTCGGGCCCGCGATATGTATTCGCCCCTCACCCTCCGCATCCTCCCCTTCATCCCACCCGTCAACATCTACCTCCAATGCCTGCTGCTCCTGCTCAAGCCTCTTCCTCTCCTCAATCAACTTCGCCTCGTACGCTAGACAAGAGTCTACGTGTGCCTCGATCACGTCTGTGTCTCCCCTGACCACCGCTGAACACACCGGACATACGCCCTGCCCACCGCCAATATCCCGGCCCGCTCGGTACAGTGTGAGCAGCTCTTCGTCCTCTCGCGTCATCTCACGCAATTTAGCGTGGCGGGTCTTGCGGTTTCGCTTGATCGCATTGATAGTCTTGTCCGTCTGCTGTAGCGAAACAGCGAGTGCAGAGCGATTACTCATGACTTGACGAGCCTTCACAGCTGAGCGCCGCGGGGCGCTGGGACTATGCACCGGGTGTCAGAAGGGCGTTCCTTCTCGTCCGCCTTAGACGCACCCTGCTCCCGGTGTTTCGAGCTCTGCTTCAATATGCACCTCCAACGATCCAACGGACCGCAAGATCATGTCCACGCGCTCCGATTCTAACTGTGCATGGGTACCCATGAGGCGGAGGGGTATAGGTTCTTGACATACGGGGCAAGGTCTTGTCTCTGCGCATTTGGCTGAACATACGGCTGGTCAAGATGGTGCGTAAAGCTCATCACCACTGGTGCGTACGTTTTTTGACGGGCACTCTCGCAGAGGTTTGGGAGTCCGGCGAGTCAATCCTGTCATGGTTGTACGAAGCCTTCCGTTTGCCCCTAACACAGCGCTTCAGCAGCTTCCAGAATGACATGGCTGAGAGGCTAGGCACTTTGAGAGACGCTTCATGGACATTGTCGCCGCAGACTCAATGGCAGCACCCCGCGTATAATATAGCCAAGCGCGTCCCCTGGCTCGCCGAGTCGTAGGTTCAGAGCCTCCGATGGATTCACGGCGGAGGAATTGGATGTTGCGTATGCACGTGGAGGCGAGAGCAGGATCGTTGTGGCGATGCCAGCTGTCCCTGTTCGGTTGACTCGCCCCGCGAGTGCTCTCTCCAACCGCGAGTACGTACGTATACCCCTGAACCAAGCACACCGGCCCTCTTTCCGATGCGGCGTGTCCGGCAAGAACGTTCATGAGAGCACAGGCCGACGTCGGCCGCCACCTGCCCTTTCCTGGTGGCATCTGCGTGCACAAATCTGAATGTCCCCCAGCACTCGCAGTTCCGAGGTTTATCCGACCCACAACCAGTGACCGTATGGCCCGTATATAAAGCCGGCATGTTCACCTGCGCAACCCTTGTGCTACTCTCGACAGGACCTGCCTTGATCTATCCGATTGACCAATACGATGTTGCCCTCCGACTTTGATATCGAGGATGTTATCGCGAAGACGCCGATGTCCGACAAAATCAAGCTGCTTGCAGGCTTGGTGAATATCTGACCTGCATGCTGCCACCTCGCAGCATGGCTGACTACTCCAGGGCTGGTGGCACACACACCCTGTTCCCAATGTTGGAATTCCATCGATACGCATGAGCGACGGTGAGAATGCAGCGATATAGCGAGGCGTCGGCTCAGGCGCGTTTGCATCAGGACCGAACGGCGTTCGTGGCACGCGATTCTTCAATGGCGTACCCGCCAGCTGTTTCCCTTCGTCTACCGGACTAGGCTCCTCGTTTGATTTAGATCTCGCGCGTAAAGTCGGGGAGGCGCTTGCCGACGAATGTCGTGCCAAGGGCGCTCATGTGCTACTGGGTAAGGTGCTCTCTTCTTCATGGATGCTGCGCATTGTTGGGCTCATTGTCGGTAAGGTCCGACCGTTAACACTCAGCGTTCACCCCTCGGTGGACGAGGTTTCGAGTCCTTCTCGGAAGACCCTCACCTGAATGGCCTGATTGCCGCGCATTACATCAAGGGCCTTCAGTCAAAGGGAATAGCCGCAACTATAAAGCATTTCGTTGGTTAGTAATGTCTATGCCTACTCTCCTGTATCTCATACCGACCGCATGTTTAGCGAACGACCAAGAGTATCAAAGGTTATTATTTATCAGTAGTTTTTGCAAACTCCATTTCTAATCTGACATACCACACCTAGGTTCTCCATTAGCAGTACGTCAAACGTCAATATTTCTTCTGCGACCGTTCTGTTCATACTTCTCAGGCGACCTGAGCGAACGCGCTCTGCGTGAAATATACCTGAAGGTACTATGCTACTCCCGTGTTGTCTATCTTACTGATAAAGTCATGTCCAAGCCTTTCCAACTTGCTCTGAAGCACGGGGACTTCTGGGCTCTCATGACGGCGTATGCATTGATGCCTCATTTGTTCGTTTCACTATTAACTCATGGTTACTTTTCAGATACAATCGGATCAACGGGACGCATTGCTCTGAGCACAAGGGCCTTCTGATTGACATCCTACAGAAGGAATGGGGTTACACAGGCTTGATCATGAGGTATATACATCGCCAGTTCCGTTGCTGAACCCTCATATAACGATGCATAGCGACTGGATTGGCGTATACTCGACTGTGGAGAGCATCCAGGCCGGGCTTGACATTGAAATGCGTTCGTTACGTTTCCTATCTTATCGTCTTCAGCCTGTCTGACGAACATATTCAATAGCCGGTCCCACCGCAATGCGGGGCCCTGCAGTTCATCGCGCGCTTATCGGCGAGAAGCTCTGGCCATCAGACATCGACGCTCGCGTGCGCAAGATACTTGGATTGCTAAAGCGCGCCTATGCGTCCGGCGTACCCTTCGACGCGCCCGAGGGCGGAGTCGATACACCGGAGCTCAGAGCCTTGCTCCGTACTGCCGCCGCCGACGCCATCGTGCTCCTCAAAAATGACAAGAAGCTTCTTCCACTGCCGAAGGCGCCCCGCAAGATCGCTGTGATCGGCCCCAACGCTAAGCAGGCTATGACGAGCGGCGGCGGATCGGCAAGGCTGCTGTCGACCTACACCGTCTCTCCCCTCGAGGGCATCACGGAGGCCGCCAAGGAGTTCGGCGCCGAGGTGAAGTTCGCCACGGGCGCGCTGACGATGCGCTATCTCCCTTTGTTGGATGGTTATATGCACCTGCCGGGTTCCGAGAGCCTAGGCGCCTTGATGGAGTTCTGGAACGAAACTCCTAGCGACGACTTCTTGAACCTGAACCCAAACTTGACGCAGTCGCTGCCCACATGCGCGTGGAGTACGCCGACGCAAAGCAGCTACGCCTTTCTCGTCGACGGCGTGCCGGATGACATCGTCAACGAGATCTGTTGGATTCGAGTCAGTATACAATAGCTTTGTGCATAATGGCGCGCTCATTACTTCTGACGCAGTTCACGACGGACTTCGTCCCAGACGAGAGCGGTGACTTCAAGGTATCCCTCAACGTTGCAGGATTGGCCAATCTGTTCGTAGACGGCCAACTCGTGATTGAACTCAGCGACGACCCGGCGCAAGGCGAATCGTTCTTCGGGAACGGAACGGTAGATAAGGAGGCCGTCGTCAAAGACCTGAAGGCCGGAAAGTCGTACCGCTTCGAACTCCGCCTGAGCAACCAAGCCTTCATGTCACGGGCCAGCCCGTTCACTTGCCGGGGTGGAATAAGGCTCGGCGCGTGGAGAGACGTCGCTGTCGAGGAAGGGATTCATGAAGCAGTTGCTCTTGCGAAAGAGAGCGATGGTCAGTGCTTTTCTCTTTCTATCGTGCATCGATGGTTGATTGACGTTGTTTCAAGTGACAATCCTGGTCGTCGGCTTGAATCACGAGTACGCTCATGATAAAACAACCCATCATATGTCCCGGCTGACGTTTCTTCTGTCAGTTGGGAAAGCGAAGGTTTCGACCGTCAAGACATGAAGTGAGTTCACTTCCAGGGGCTGTGGCCACTATAAACTGATTAACCCGATAATCTCAGGCTTCCAGGAGCCACCAACCGCCTTGTCACCGAGATTCTCCAGGCAAATCCCAACACGGTGGTTGTTCAGCAGTCCGGTACACAGGTGGAAATGCCATGGGTTGACGAGGCTCCGACCTTATTGCAGGTGAGAACGAACCGTCTTCTTCCGCCGGCCAGGATCTGATCAATCACAGGCTTTCTATGGTGGTAACGAACTCGGCAATGGTCTGGCGGATGTGATCTTCGGGAAGGTTAACCCTGCGGGAAAACTGTCGTTGAGCTTCTAGTGAGTCTTTCAGGCCCTGCGGATCGCTGAGCAGACATCTGAGCCTCGGCGAAGCAAACGCTTAGAAGATGCCCCCTCTCACCCGTCCTTCGGCGATAAAGGACAGGAGTATGGGAAGATACTCTACAATGAGGTGTGCTCTCACCTTGTTCATGGTGGTTGATAAAACACTAACAGACCCGCCGGTAGGGTATCTTCGTCGCCTACCGTGGACTCGAGATCAAGGATATCGCGCCGATGTTCCCATTCGGCTACGGGCTCTCGTACACGACGTTCGAATATTCGGACCTTTCTACCACCGCGATCTCGTCCGAAGGCGCTTTCTCCGTTAGTTTCACTGTGAAGAACACGGGGGCCGTCGATGGACGAGAAGCGGCACAGGTCTACATTAGAGACGTGGAATCCAGCCTCCCGCGTCCGGTGAAAGAACTCAAGGGCTTCGCGAAGGTTGCTTTGAAACCCGGAGAAAGCAAGAAAGTGAAGATCGACCTTGACAGAGACTCTCTCAGCTTCTACGACGATAGGAAGAAGAGTTGGGTAGCGGAGGCGGGAGTTTTCGAGGTCCTTGTCGGCGCATCCTCTTCGGATATCCGATTGAAGGCAACGGCGGAGCTGAAGAATACGCTGACATGGTCTGGGCTATGAGCGTGATTACATAGATCTTGTACTTGATCTGTATAGTAGGCTTCATGAATCCGGCTAGGTTCAAATATATATATGATGCGCGTGAGAGCAATCGGCAGCGGCCCGTGACAACCGGTGTACCAAGGTGTCGCTAAGCTCACGGTCTGCCATCCACCCCAGGCACGGGCGACCCCATCCGTGACCCGAGCACCTCCAGCCTTTGTTACACCCATGCGCCATGTCGATGCTACCGTATATGCTGCCGTCTGACTCTCAACGGCTCCCTCAAAGCCCTACCAGCGCTGCGTCGCAGACCCATCTCCCTCTTCCACCTTCTGTGCCTAGACGGTCTCGATCGACGGACTCCGTTCATAAGTGGTTCGCCTCCAACTCGGCCTCGCCGCGTATCTCGAGCCCAGCGGGGCCCTCTGCCACGGCGACCTCGGTCGAGACCCCTCGATTAGCAGACTCGGGCAACACGGAAGTCATAGCTCCCCGACCCAGGCAGGCGAAGCACTTCGACCTCGCCACCCGGAGACAACGCCTCCCGCGACGGCCCCACACGTCTGGAGGTTCTGATCAGTCTCAGACAAATCCCATTCCTCGAGAACGGAGTCCTGTCTCAATATACCCCATTTCGCCTGATGCCTGGCCACGCAGGACTCCGGGTTCATACCCGCAGGCTGGACGCGTTACGCCCGAACTCAGCCCCTCCACCACCCCGACGTCGGCCAGAACCCCCACGCCCACGTTGTCCTCGCCCTCTTCATATGCGACAGCATCTTCATCGCCCCCTCAACCCCTTCGACTCTCAAACTCTTCCCCGTCCGTCCTGCCGCCTGTATCCCCATCCCCCACGCGTGCACGCTCTATGAGCGATTTGCTGTACACCTACCAGAATGGAAAGAGCAAGGAACGGGGCGATGTGACATCTTCGGGCCCGAACGCAGATACGGCGGTGAACTGCACTCCCGTATCAACTACATACTCCACGCCGCAAAAGCCAACGGCAAAGGACAAGCGGATACCGTGCGTCTCATCATTGCTATGCATCTGAAATTGCGTCCTCATTGGTTCATTCAGAAATCCGAGCATTTGGGTGACACTGGACGATCTTGTAGACAGGTTGCTCTTCCTCTCCATCTCGGGCGACGACGCGGCGTATTGTCGACATTTTCTGCTGGTTTATCGTCGTTTTGCGTGTCCCCGGAGCATCCTGCTAGGCATGCAACGGAGGATGCGCTCCTTTGACGCCGACTGGATGCGGAATCCGCCGCTTGCGGGATTTGGTCAGCAGAGGTACGTCGGGTCCTTTCTCGCCCTTATCGGGGGTACAGTGCCTGGCTGAGCTGATATTATGTGCCTAGGATATGTGCTGTTTTGCAAGACTGGATGAAGCGATATCCTCACGATTTCGCTGTTCCAGGCACAGAGGGTGCGCTCGATGCACTCGTCAAGTCCGTAGCGCGAAAAACGCATTTGCTGCACTTCGCGATGTCCTTCCACGAATTTCAGCAGTCGTTGCCCCGCCAGATAGACACGGATATCAGCTGGGCAAAACGACCGGATGAACTGCTGCCCGATGACTCGGACGACTCGTATAGCATGTCAGACGATGACGATGCTCCGGAACAACCCTCGAGCAGTTCATCCTGGGACGGGATCAACGATGCCGCGACGAGTTACAGTCACGTGAAGTCCCTCAGCAGTATGGGGCGATCAAGCGGGGAATATACCCGCCCTACGAGTAGGATGCGCAAGTCAAGCTTACCATTCACTGCGATGGACTTGCCCCAAGTCTCGCAGGCCGACGTTCGCAAATCCAAGCTCAAAGTGCTGCATTCTGTCGCCGAAGATCTACAGCAGTTCACCAACCAGGAAATCGCGGAGGAGATTACGCGTATCTGTGTCAGACTGTTCCTCGGCATCAACCCACGGCATTGGCTCAAGTACACCTTCGAAGGCGCCCAGAAGTCGGCGGACACATGTCCCGTGATACGTTTCAATCGATTTGTGAACCGCCTCGGCGATTGGGTTACTTCACTCATACTTTGCCACGATAAACCCCGCTCGCGGGCGCGTCAGATGGAGAAGTTCGTCGAAGTCGCGTCTGCTCTACGAAGAATGAACAACTACACCGGGTTGAGAGCCGTAATCGCTGGTATCAATCTGGCGGCTGACGACGAAGATCCCGCAATGGATGCGTTCAAGCATCGCAGCCCTGAACTCTCAAAGCAATTGCAGTCCTGGGACGTGCTACTGTCTACGTCTGGAAATCATAAAGCATACAGACTCGCTCTCAAGAACACGCCAAGTGCATGTGTCCCTGCGCTTGAAATCCACCTGTCGGATCTTCTCCGCTCCCAAGAGGGAAACAAGGACGTGCATGATGAAGACCCGCGTCTTATCCACTGGGCAAAGTTCAACCTGATTGCGAAGTGCATCGATACGGTGACTGAATGTCAAGATAAGTGCCGCAAAGCCGGGAAGGCCTATGCTCCTCCCATGCGAGCACGTCTCCAGGAACTCGTGCTCTGCGATGAGCTCATGGACGAAGAGGTATGTCAAATAAGCTGACATTGTAAGGGGGTTTCGCCTACTCATGCATTTGTTCCTCTGTAGATGAAAGCGGCCAGGCGTGCATATTCCAGTGAGCCACCACCAACTATGGAAGCTGTTCAGTTGTTCCGTAGCTTGACCAAAGACGGTGGTTCGAGTCAATCCGTTAGGCGAGACTCTGTATTTTTACGCAAGCTCTTCGGTCGGTAGCCTCTTGCTACGTCGCGAACACTCCACTACGCCGGATTATGCGTTCCACACAATGTACTGTTCACCACAAGACACTCCATCCTCATGACCCAGAGCCTCGACCACGCTTTCATACGCAATGCACGCACCTTCATGTTGTACGTCTGGATCGGATCATTTGCTGCTCATTCGTGCTGTACACAAACTGTGAATTTATGCATGTAAATGTACAACTTTGTACACTGGTATATTTACAGGCCATGTTCGTGTCCAGCAGTTGGGCATATATGATTCCGGGTGCCGGTGAACGCTCAGCGCCGGTGCCGGTAAAGGCCGGTGGCTGATCTCCGAGTTCCGGCAAGACACAGGACTGCACCTCCTGTCTCTTGGGACTACAAGTTACACTAGATCTGTCATCTTGCTTTTATTTATCACCTGCGTGGCATAATCCCTCTGAGCTATGCTTTCCCCCCGATGCAGACAGCCTAATCTACGACCTCTCTCACGCCTGCTTCATCGTTCAGGCCGACCCGCTGCCATCCGAATCTCGTCACCGCTACGAACAGTTCCAGAGCATCGTCATCGTCACGAAATAGAAGGATGTTCGGCCCACCCGCGTCTACCCCAGCAAACTAGACATTCATCAAATGCAACCTTTCACTCTTCATCCGGTACGGCATCTATGCCAGGCTTCGAGTGCGCCTATAATGACCCCAGTCCACGGCTTCAGGGGCACCTCCGGCAGCCCCCTTACAACACTACCACCACCTGGTCAAATCTGGGACATTGCGTAAGGATGACCACCAGACCAGGATCATCCAGAAGTTGCAGAAGCTTCACGATGAACTGGAGCAATATACACCACCACCACTGCCAGAAGCGCAGCAGAAGGCTTCTTGGGTATGCCCATCCCCCAACATCCTTGCTAGGTCAAAACTTTGAGCTTCTGTCCTTCAGATAACCCGTCTGTTCCCCCGACATTCAGCACCGGAGCCATCCGAGCTACAACCGCCAGAAAATGTGCCTAAAGGCTTATACCTCTATGGCGACGTTGGAACCGGCAAGACCATGCTTATGGATTTATTCTACAACACCCTTCCCCTAAAGATCAAACGGAAACGCCGAGTTCATTTCCATGCGTTCATGATTGATGTGCACAAACGCTTGCACGCCGCAAAAGCTGCAATGGGCCACGCAGGGGGTGACCCCCTACCCCCTGTTGCGAGAGATTTGGCAGAAGATGCATATGTTCTGTGCTTTGACGAGTTCCAGGTGCGGGGGATCGCCGGGTCAACCATCTCATTCTGTTCCTAGCCAACTGTATGCGCTAACATTGTCCTGTCTGAACAGGTGACTGACATCGCGGACGCTATGATCCTTCGCCGACTATTTGAGAGCCTGCTGAATTATGGGGTGGTCTGCGTAATAACCTCCAAGTAAGCAGCCTAGCGGGGAATCCATACTCATTCTACGTTAATGCTCGATCCAGCCGCCATCCTGACGAATTATACAAGAACGGAATTCAAAGGTCGAGCTTTGTTCCCTGCATCGAGCTATTGAAGACCCGTTTCGATGTCACAGACCTGGACTCGGGAACTGGTATGTCGATTATCTGGTCTATCGCGATCTAGGCCCCAAACCATACGTACAGACTATCGTCGAATACCTCGCGCTCTGTCGCACGTCTACTACCACCCTTTGAGTCCTGAGAACGAAGCTGAAGTGGAGAAGATCTTCCGGTCCCTTGCTGAATCCTCGCCATCCGGTTCCATCGTCCAGGACCGCAAACTTTCCACCTGGGGACGCACCATCAACGTACCCGAGTCCTCTGAAGACGTTGCGAAGTTCACTTTTGACGATCTCTGCGGAAAGCCATTGAGCTCGTCCGACTATCTTGAGATCACAAAGACATTCAAGACCGTGTTCGTACTCAACGTGCCGAAGATGGATCTTGGCAAGAAGGATATGGCTAGACGATTCATAACCTTCATCGACGGTAAGCAACCCTTTATTTCGAGGCAATGGATATCGATTGATGTTTCGGTCTCGCAGCTTGTTATGAAAACAAGACGAGGTTGTTCGTCTCATCGGAAGTCCCCATTACGCAGGTCTTCTCTGACGAGAAAGCTGGGGCATCCAGCGATATATCCGACCATATGCGCAGCGTGATGGATGATCTTGTGAGTAGCCCTCGATCTGCCCAGTTTCCTTGAGTTCATAATCAGTTTCATAGGGCCTCTCGGTTGATCAAGTCGGTACAAGCTCCATGTTCACTGGTGATGAAGAGATCTTCGCCTTCGCGCGTTGCTGTTCTCGCTTGGTCCAGATGGGTACGCGCGAGTGGGCCGAGTCCGCAGGAGAGCGATAAAGACGCCCGTCCCGCGTTGTGGATAACCTAGCGTTGCCAATTATCTTGCGGGCATGCTCGAGTTGCATTCAATCTCTCATACGCATCGGTATTTTTCGAGCATCAATGTGTTATTGCATTAATATACAGGTTTAATGTGTTGGTTTGACTTCTTGTCCGCCCGATGTGACGCAAATATCAGATACCAGACGACCGAGGGTTTCCACGAGTATCGATGGTCTTGGTTCCGTGAGCGTCGTTGAGTGCGGAAGAACCACGACCACCTTCGATCGCAGACGCCTGTGACTGTTTCAACATCGCAATAACAGGAGTGCAAGCAAAATCTCTTACCGCTTGCAAGGTACCCTTCTCGAGCAACGCTTTCACGGCATCAACGTCCTTGCTGGAGCCGAACGTGTCTTCGAGTTGTTGATGTGATGCTTGGCCAAGCTTGCCCTGCGAGCCTTGGTTCGTGAAGAATATGTGGAATGCTGATGAACGCATATTCAGCATGCGTCCTCAGTTCTCATGATTGAGTTGCTTACAGTCCACGACTTCCACGAGGGGTATCGTACTGCGTTGGGTTCAGCTTCAGAACAAATGGAAGCTGCCACAAGGACTCACGTATCTGGTAGGGAAATCAGCAAGATCGCTTCGCGCACCGGTGTCTACATGTGCTTACCTCCTTCTTTCCATTTCTTGTACTGATGAATGCAAACAATTCAGCGTCGCGCATGCTAATGCTTGACGACTTGACATTACCTCCTCGGGGTTCACGATGACATGGTACTCATCGGTCGACTGAGAATCGGGCTTGTAGATGACCTTGCTGAGGGACTTGGGCATGATGGACGTGAGCGGATAGTGGTGAGATGAGTTCGTAGAGATTCGTAGGCGATGTAGCTGCAGAGTCATCGATCCATCACTCTTATACGGCGGACTAGCATGACGTCATAGTCATGCTACTTCGCGACGCTCCGAGGGTGCTCGGGCCACGTCGTTACTCAACGGCGGCAGTGTTTTCAATTCACCCACTCCAATCTGATCTTACACCACTCCGCAGAGACTACTATCGATTGGCTACGTCGGTCGTGGTGACGCAAAAGCGTCCATGCGCGACCAATCCGCCACAGCCCGCCGAGGATTGGGCGCGTTTGCGATGGTCATCAATGGTGCCACCGAGGGCCTGAACAGGATGAGATCGGCAACAGGAAAACGACAAACATGGCGCACCTTCCGTGAGCGCATTGGAAAGGGAAGGCTTTCGTAGAGAGCTGTTCTATGAGACGTTCGCACTGTTCCTTCTTCAGAGGATCGTTGAACATGATGGCGCCTAGGAAGATCGAGTTATTATGTGATGCTGCATAGAAAAGGTGATTTACCCCTGCATGCTTTCGAGTTGACCATTTCCAGAAGAGCGCCAGGCATCCAGCGTAGGGCAGATTGCCAGGAGCCCTCGTCAGCAGGATCTTCGGCGGTCTGTGGTCCGGAAGCAAATTCGCCTTCGCTTGTCAACTGCGCAATATACGTCTTCACGAACTCTTGAAGTTGATTACCCTGAGTGACCTAGGGAAACTCAATACGCATTGCTTCATTGACATGATTCGGATCATACCTTCTGCCCGACAATTAGAGGGACAGTGTGCACCACGACTTGACAGTAGTCCTTGCCGAGGGAGGAAGTCGAGCTGTCCTGTTCTGATACAGAAGTTATGTGAAAGCCCCATCGTTCGAATGCCTTCGCAATATATGCTGACCGAGCGAAGACACTTGCTTCGTGTTGCGTGAGCAATACCCTCTCCGGAGGGTCTAGCGGCAAGACCTCGACTCCCTGGCTTGTAGCAGGATCATATCGAAGATAACCCTGGCAAAGCTCTTCTAGGAAATGCTCTACGCGGACTCGCTCGTCGGCCGCATGCTGATCGACTAGAAATAACGATATTTCCGTCCGGGTATCCGCCTCGGCATCAAGCAAGCATGCTATGAATTTCCTGTCGACTTGACCAAGGACTCTTGCACGGGCCAGTTGCCCTGCAGAAAGTTGCTGCGAGATCGGTTCTCCAAATTTGTTTGGCGCGTGGCCATATCGGTCATGGTGCGATTGAGAACACCGACCGAGGGACATGTAATCTGCCCTACGTACAGCATGGTTGCTGTGGGAGACCGCCGAGGCATGAGGAGGCACCGTCGGAATCGCAGGGTCCGACACGGAATAAGACTGATTAGCCTACGGCATCCGGGAAAAGGTCAGAATAGGTATCGATCCACTTCAAACATGACTCCTACACAAAGCGCATTGCGAATCCAATCGGGAACTGTGTCAACAGTTTGCGACCCCGTGTGACGATCGCCGAGCTTCTTTATCCAGGGCGCGCTCAGAGTCCGTCGGCCCTCGTAAGTATCCCGACCCGAAGACCACTCGTGCCCATCTTGCAGGAGGGTAGTCGGATTCCTTTCCCTTCGATATGAGAACCCGGTGCGAGTATCGACGACAAACTGTTCGCCTGTGGAAGGATCCGTCCAAACCGATTTCGTCACATTCTCTTGCCCGTCGCCCTGCACGACGTTCATATTAGAGCAAAAATCCCCACCGACGTCCATGTGTAATGCATACAATGATAGTACACGCAGCGTCGAGTGAAGAGGGCTTGTTCTGGCACGCTGGTCGTGCCATCGATCCAGTACGAGCAAGTATCGTAAGCTGGCCTTCCCCATGACTGGTCTTCAAACGCTTGGGCAATGGTGAGTGAACCGTAGCGGAACGACTCAACCGCTGCTGAGCAAATCCGTTCCGAACTAAGAAATGATGTATTGCGTCTCTGAGAAACGTCGAGACAGCTTCGTCAGTCTGAGTACGCGAAATGCCAAGAAAAGTTATCAGATAAGGACGCATAGTCAAGCCCATTCCCATGCCGAGCACCTACCGCGAAGTGCACGGTCACCTTTGCCGGCTCGAGAACATTGTCAACATGCGCCCGCGATATTGTTAGATCCAGACAGTATACAGCATGGCGTTGAGCCTTCCGTGGCGATCGGCGGCTGGCTGGGGGAACGGTTCACATGAGCGTCGAAGCCTGAGAGCTCGGATGCCACAACCGGGAGAGAATGCGTACTTGATCGAGGGAGGCTGGTTGCGCCCGATTCATCGTAGGCCTATAGAATCGCTCGTGAGTCTGTGGGCACGGGAGAGCGCGACGTGGCACTGTACGTTCTTCCCGAAGGAACTCGCGGTAAACTGGCTTTCAATCACGTGGTGTAGACCGCCCTGTGCGATGGGGTGTTGATTCAAATCTATTCATCTTTTGGTAAGATACCACTCCGTCGGCGTGGAATATCCTGGAACTCTGCCACAGCTCACAGAGAAACTGGTATGACTGTGGACATATCAGTTCATGTGCTTCTCTATGCTCTCGGTGCCTACCTTCCCAAGAGCCCCTTCTAAACTGATGAAACCTTTCAATGCCATATCACCTGAGGTAACATTGATTTCCTCAACATGCTGGGCAATAGTAATGGAGGAATAGTAAGAACCAGCGCCGCGCACAACGCTGAATATTGTTATGCTCACCTCTGCTAGCGCCCTGCCAAACATGTGTCGAAACGATGCAACCGTGGAAGTGGTCTACAGGGGCAATCAATGGCATGAATGTATGGAATGCATAAGAGCAAACCTTCGGTATTGCCATTAATCTCTTGGTGGTACGGGACGTGCTTGAGGCTCCACGATTATTGGTATCCTCAAGCGTGAAGGACACACCGGGAAACATCAGTGCATATGTTTCAATGTCCCTCTGGATCGTCTCCAGCGTCTTGCCAGGCGCCGTGTGCGACGAACGTCTGACTGGAATCTTCAGGGTATTCAATAAGAGTGAGTCACAAGAACGAGTTGCATAGGGTGCATACATTGAAGAATGCATCACGAATGCAGACTACGGTCCCTTGCGTCTCTCTTCGCCAGCGGACTGAAGGGCCGTCGTACAAAATATTCGGGCCCTATATGCAGTATTCAAACACAGTTCGCGAGGACCGCAATGCTCATCAACCTTAACAAGAATAGACCAGCATTCTCGAGATACGTTTGTCCTTGAAGCAACCTCGAGGCACGAAACCTCCGCGGCTGAAGCTAACGCTGAAGGCACGGGGCATCAGTGTCAGATCACTATCTTATTTATGTCCGGCAGCCACCTTCACCACGGAATCCAAACGTTGATACGTCGATAAGGGAGTTCAAGTCGTACGCCTTAGAAGTATCTGAAAGGCAGAGAAAAGCACTCAGCGGCGCGATCACGCGAAGAGAAACGTCACCGAGCATACGGTACCGGCGCTGCTCTGAGCATTCCGCAAGCTTGCGCAAGCCATCTTTCGGAATACCAGTACCGTCATCTTTTACCCAGCAACTCCATTCCTCGCAGTTCACGCCAACTTCGATGTGCGAAGAGCCGGCGTCCAGCGAATTTTGCAGCAACTCAGAGACGATTTGGGGCAAAGACGTCAGGATCTGTGTTGAACGTAAACTCGTACGCGTCGGAGCAGGCAAGCCTTGCAGCGTTGGTAACGTAGTGCTACATGCTTTGTCTCGACTCATGAGAGAGAGAGTACGAGGATGGTTGTGGGTCAAGCGTTTAGGCGCCGCTTACCGGAGGGGAACAGCCACCTGCGGAAGCAAAAAGAAAACTCAGATCCTCATCTACTGATAAACACTGCAACACCGCTATATGACAGAAGTGTCGCACAACCGAACAGTCAAACAGCCCACGATTACAAACGGGATGCCGATAGACCGTAAGCACACGAGTACAATCAGAAATCCTTCCATTCATCATCCCATCCGTCCTCTCCTTTAGCGATCGGTTTGCTAGTAGAAGTCGCAGTCTGTTGAGTAGCAGGTTGCGCCGGCGGATGGGATCCAGAGCCGCTCGACTCGAACTCTCCGAAGAAATCGTCCTCGTCCTGGTACAGCGCCGAGCTCTCGTTATGGTGGTCCTGCGAGATGCTCGAGTACCCCTCGTGCGACGGACCGGCCACCGTCTGGCGCACCGTCCCCACGGCGCCGCCGACGCTCGCAGCGACATCAACGCCGAACTGCTGTTTGCTCCACTGGTTGGCGACGCTTCCAACCTCTGCGGCACTGAGGAGCTCCCGTCAATCTGATGTGCATATCATCACGAACGAGACACCGACCGTTTCGAAGCTTCGGTCGCATATCCCTTGACGGCCTGATGGAGATTCGGGTCCATGACCTTCTCCATCCCCGGCTGCACGACGTTCTCCGCAATAACCTTCGACGCGCCCGCGACCACGGACGAAAACAGCGACCACCCTTTGCTCAGTGCCGCCGTCGGATTCTGCTGTATCTCCGAGAGCGTCGGCGCCGCCTGCGACGACAGCGCCCACGCCGGGGGCTGCGCGGGCTGCGGGCTCGGCGTGCTGCCGAAGCCCTGATATCGCCCGCCTTGCGACGGCGGAAGGTTGTCAGGCCGGGCCGCGTTCGCGTGCCCGAGGCTGGCGAAGTAGCTCTCGTTCGCGCTCTTCTGGTCCGGCGAGGGCGAGTTGGGGGCGGGCGAACCGCTGTTGCTACGCAGCCCGCTGCCTGCGCGCCCAGACGCGCGGGATTTGCGGAGGCCTTGGGCGGAGGAAGGGCGGCCGGGGGGCGACATGGTGCCTTCGGTTGGAGGGGAAGGTGACCAGGGTTTGCCAGCGAGTTCCGCGTCAAGCTGGGTACGATGTAAGAACGAGCCCCTGGAATGTAAGGAGAGTAGCTACCTTCTCCCGGTATTGTGTCGCCGCCCAGCAGTGGTAGGTATCATATGCACTCATGCCTTGGGTATAGCCACCCTGTTCAGCGGGCGTATAGGATTCCATGAACTCTCTGAAGGGGCCATTACCGCCCAACTTGAGGGCATGGTCAGACCCAGATCGATGCTCATTGTGTAGCGGGAGGCATACCTGCATCCTCTTGACCTGTTCCTCTGACCATGTGTCCATCGAAACAGATCGCACGAAGCTACCCGAAGGTCAACTTCCGCGATCCATGTAGACAAAACGGCGCGTACGCACCTAATGTGTACACCGTAACCGCGATGCTGTCCCGCACATTGAAGGCAAATAAAGATAGCGAAACTGCGTTACACGATCCAGTTGGTTTCGAGTAGCATATATAGCGATCGGGTTGCAATGGACCTAACGCTGGCCCATTGGGGATTAGGGTTGCCGCAGTCTACGCAGGTCTTGTTCTTGAGGTCCTCGCGCTTGATGAGTTCGTTGAGGGTCTTCTTAAGCGCTTGCTGCTCGGCCATCTTCTATAGTATTATCCACAAGGTTAGGAAGAGCGAAGGAAGCAAGGTAGAGAAAGTGAGGTGGCAGCTTGCAAGTTCAGAGAAATGGCACTGCCTCCAGCATCACTTCCTGCTCCTGCCTTACTCGCTGGGAGCTTGAATTCGGGTTTACTTTTGCGGTCGTACTGGGATCGATCATGGAGGAGACGTTCTCAAAGCGTCTCCATGTATCTGGCCTTACACCTGCGATAAAGCCGTCTGACCTCCAAGACCGCTTCGGAAAATTCGGCACAGTGAAGGCACTGGATGGCTTCGGACTGCTTGACGGCTTGGGTCAACCGCGCCGATTCGGATATATCACACTGGAGGCGACGAAGGCTCAGCTTTCCCGCTGTACGTTCTCGAGTTCACGGATTTTGCATGTGCTGATGGCTCGCGTTACATAGGCTTGACCCTGATGAGCGGGGTCACATGGAAAGGCGCAAAGCTACGCGTTGGCGAAGCCAAGCCGGATTTTCAGGAGAGGCATGGCATTTTCGCTGCATCATCCGAGACGTACATACCGAGCTCACGTATCTACTGCTTCAGACTAGAAAAGGAACGCGCGACCGAGGACGGCGACGATGTCCGGCCCAAGAAGCGACGAAGGTTAGCTCGGGGCGTCCAAGGCGTTCACGCCGAAAACATGGATCCTGTTACACCCGAAAACGTCAAAGCTCGCCCCGGCTGGCGCGTCACGGTTTCCGGACGCTTGGTCAGACCGATCCGAATCCGGTCTGCGCGACCGCTACCAGAACCGCTGTCCGCAAAAATCGCCACCGCCAAATCCGGAAGCTCCAAGGGAAAAGAGGTGAAAAAGAAGAAGAGGATAAAACCTCCGCCCGTGCGTGCGCGCAGACGTACGATAGACCCCACGCGCTGGGGTTCCGAACATTTGAAAGGCGCTTTCCTAGGCGAAGAAACGACGCTCCCTAGCCCACCCGCGTCGACGAGCTCCGAGGACATTGTGATAGGTTCCGCAGAAGAAGACGACGAAGGCGCGGAAACTGAACCGGACGAAGAGGAGCCGCAGCAGACGGTCGCGGTAGCGAACGAGAAGGCAGAGAAACCTTCTGCCGACGCTTCGACGCATACAACCCATGCAGCGCCCGCTATCGGTAATGCGATTCAGGAGGAGAAGCGGGCGACATTGAGTCTTCTACGATCCATGTTTGACGAGACGGAAGACGACTGGGGCGGCGCAGAAGACGTCGAGTCAAACGTCGACGTTGGAGAGGGGGAATACGACGAGGATAGCGTGCCTGCTCAACCGATGGTCGTCGATCGGCCAGACGTCACGACCGGCGCGATATCCAGCACCGTGGAAGATGTGGCACCCCCGGTAGGCGTTGAGCCCGAAAAGTCTGAGAGACAGGCGCCGGTACAGCGTCCCAACTTGAAAGAACTGTTTGCTCCCAGGGAAGAAGACGGTAGGCTTCTCTCTCATCGGGGACAGACCAGAACCCGTCGCTTATCACGATGGAATCACTTCACAGCTGGGTTCTCACTCCTGGATCAGCTCGATATCGACCTCGAAATGGACCCGGACGTGGACTTTGGGGCAACATCTCGTGAGCATGACCGGGGCTCGCCCGTGCCGTCGTCCGCTCGCGAGAACGTCGCAGATGTGCCGTCGGCCGACGTGCGGCCGCGGAACGACGGTGTGTTCGTGCCCGATCCCAAGGAGCCGCTATTCTTCCCTGCGCCGGAGTCGGTGCGAAGGGGACGTGGTGGCGTCAAGGACATGTCGGACGTGGCGCGAGAAGGCGGCTGGGACTGGCGGACGGCGTTCTACAGGACGGAGACGGACGAGGAGTTGCGCCAGCAGTGGGAAGAACAGAAGGGCGAGTTGACGCGGACGTGGAAGAGGCGGCACCGAGAGGCGTTGAAGAGCCGGCGGCGGCGGGGAGGCGGGGAGGAGGCGGAGTGATCTGGTTGTACGTACCCGGTGGTGTAATCCATGGTCGCGTAGCGTTCTGGGACGGGATGTCGGAGTGAATGGGATGAATGGCTGCTGGGCGGGCGGTGGCGCGTCGGATGAGCTGTGTGGTCGGACGCGTTGTGGCCCCTAATTCGGGCGTCCATCCCTTGCCTTGGGTTTCCGCCGCTGCACGGCCCACTCTCTCGGGCGTCGCACTCTCGCGCGCAAAGCGTCCCTCGTTGCGTCGTGTGAACCGTCTCCGTTGGCGCGCGCACTATATCTTCGCCCCCCCAGCCCGTCGTCCAGCCAGTCCCGAGCTGCGAGCGCCGCCGCCATGATCCAGATCGTCCCCAGCCATCGCCAGCCCACCTCCGCCCTCACCGCGTCCGATGCCGGCGCTACCGCCTCCCCGCCCAGCTGGGGCAAGTGGTATGCCAACAGGTCCGTCTCCACGACGGCGGCGCCGTGCACTTTGATTCACGAGCGCCGCGTGACAGACACTACTCGCTCGAAATAGCCCAACACCCGTTGCGGGCGCGCATGTGCGGGTTCGGTGACAAGGTAAGGGCTTCATCCACTCCCTCGGATCCCTACGGGTCGGTGACTCTGATCGTTTCATTAATCACAGGATCGACGGCCTATAGCACCAGCTACGGTAGCGAAGATGATCGTGAGGACCAAGGACAATAATGTAATAGACGTCGAGTAGGTCTATTCGCGCAAGCCATCGATGCGACCGACCCAGAAGCTTACCGCCGACTTTGACCGTGCAGACAGATAGATCCCACCTTCTTCGTGGTCACCGTGGACCTTTGGTCGGAAGACGGCAACAAGGAGATGAACCTCGTCCTCCATCCGTCGTCCGCTGACAGGCATGCGAGCAGCCATACACCCAAGCATCGACGGCGCGGTAATACAGGCCCATCTACCCGGGAGAGCCCTACCGTGCCTAGCGACTCGTTACCGAACACATCCTATCACGGACGTACTCCAGCGGATTCTTCGGTACGTCGTTCGCATCTTCGGCTGCTGCATGGCTAACATCTAGCGCCAGCAGCAGTCCTCGTCGGTGACCCCGATCCTGACGCCCTCAAACTCGTCATACGGACCCGCCTATCCGTTCCCTCAAAGCCAATCCGCATCCGCGCTTCCGTCTTCCTTTACATTCGCTCACTCTAATCCATACGGCACACCACAGCATCAACCACAAGTTAATACATGGGGCTACGGCACCCAGGTCCCCGATCGCGCTCCCTCGCAGTACAACAGTGCCGTTCTCCCATCCATCAATTCCATGTCGCGCAACGCGTCCTCCTCATCGATGTCTAATTCCGGCATTCCCATGGTCGACCCGTGGGCAAACTCCCGGGATATGCCATCGGCGGCGCCCTCCTACAGACCCTGGGGCTCGCAGGATTCCACTCTGGCCCCTGGCATGGCCGTCCCCTTCTCGCTCGACCCCTCCCAGAGCCTGCGCGCCTCCCACCCGTACCCCTCCGCGATCTCCGCCGACCCCCGGATGAACCCGTACGACGCGTACGGGCAGCCGCGCTACCCGCAGGAGCCCTTCGCGGCGCCCCCGGTACCCGCATCGCACTACGAGGCGTCCATGGCCGCCTCCGTGTACGGCGGTGCTACCCACACGCCGCAGTACCCTCCGCAGCAGCCGTCCTCGAGCGCGAGCACGCAGAACTCGCCCCCACCCCCGCTCCCGGCGTCCGACATGCCCTCGCTCCCCCGCCATACCTACACGCGTACGCTCGTCGGCCCGCTCTCCGCGAACGCGTGTCGCCTGCTGGACGAGCATCGGAAGCCGGGCATCTTCTTTCTCTTCCAGGACCTCTCCGTTCGCACGGAAGGTACGTACGCTGTCTTTGGGCCGGTATGAACCACACAGTGCGCTGAAACCTGCTCCTTGATTTTGCGTGCGCAGGGACCTTTCGACTCCGATTGCGACTCATGCACATCGGACCGTGCGTACCGTGCCCACGTCGTATATACTTCAGACCGGTGCGCTGACGTGGCGATCGCAGGCCCAACATACCGGGTGTCCCCTACCAAGTCCAGACTGGTGTATCACCGATACTGGCACAGATCTTCACGGAACCGTTCGTGGTCTACTCGGCCAAGCGCTTTCCGGGTGTGCCGGGTAAGCATAGACTCGTCTCGTCCCACTGCCAAAAAGCCACTGCGTCTGACCAAACACCTCGCTGCGGCAGATACTACTGCGCTCTCGATCGCGTTCGGTAACCAAGGGCAAAAACTGCCTCTGGTGAGTCGCCACGTCGCTGGCTGCGCTGACTGACGGCATATCAAACTAATGTTGCACTGCAGCGGAGCAAGAATGGTGAGAGCAAAGGTCGCAGGAGGAAGCGCAACGATTCCGACTCGGGCGGGTCCGACGACGGTTACGATTAGACACAACTTATTGGCGGTGACTTTGAAACACCGATCTTCGCTATTGTGTACCATGCGTGTGTTTGTGCTATCATGCAAATTAATGTATTGGCGCTTTATGATATTTTATGTCGGTTCTTTTGGAGGCCGCGAGTCTCGGCGCGAAGGTATTCGTCAATGGCCATCACTGTCCGTGGGTAGTCGCTGTAAATGCGAGAGAGTTGCTCTCTAGCGATGGCGGCACGAGACCACGGCTCCTGTTCGGAATCCGTCACCGGTGGTGGGTCCTCTCCCGGCGGTCTTATTGGCTGGACAATCGATCCCGACTCTAAGTGTTCAAGCACGTTGCTCAGAACACCAATCGTGACACCGTGCGGACGCCACTGGTTCCACTGGATGGAGACCTGTTGCAAAATGTGCAGTGGATGCGCGTAATCGAAGTTCTGCTCTTCGTTCTCGCTGAGATCGAGCAAGTTCCGCGTCTTCCGCGTCGATCTCTTGACCATCTCCCGACGACGCTTGCTCCGGCGCAACGGGGACTCGGAAGGAAGGTCCAGCACCGTCTCCTCCCTGTCCACCGCGTCGTCATAGAATAGCGGCGAATCCGGCTTGTCGTTACGCTGCTCGGCGAGTTGCCTGGCCTGGTCCTGGTACGGTAGGATCACCCGTTCCACGACCTCAAACGCCAGCTCCGGTTCCCCTGCGCGGACGAGGGCAACGACGAGGTGATTCCAGTTGTGCGAGTCGAAGGAGAAGCCGTGCACCTGCAACTTGTGCCAAACCCCCGCGACCTCATTGTGTTGTCCGGCCATGGAGAGAGCGTCGATGTAGATCGAGAGCGGCACGCAGAGTACGTTCGACTGCCGACGTGGCACCTCGCCTGCGGATCCATTCTTGGGGAAGAGCGCATCCACACGAGAGTACCGCAATGCCATCTGGAAGATCTGAGGCCATACCTGCTGCACGCTCTCCAAATTACGGGTCCGACGGTAGGCGTCCATGAGCATGGTTAGAGTACCCAGCGTGGGCTCTCCGCCGGCGTCCAACAACCGTTGAAACAACCTCTCCACGTCAGCGGGGCTGTCGCGCCGCCGATAAGAACCCATCAAGGGAGCGTAGACGTCCTCCAACGCCTCCGCTCGTGATCTCTCGATGTGCATCCAGCTCTGGTCGTTGCCCTCCGCCATGAGACTGGATAGGAAGCTTTCGGCGATCTTCATACTCTCTTCCGTCCCCTCGCCGCCGTAGGCTTTGAGGATAGTACCGAACGTGACGGATGTTGGCTGAATGCCGCGCGTACGCATATCGTCGTAAACGGCCTTTGCCCGCAGCTTGTCGCCCCGGCGCAGATAGCCCGCCATGATGATGGTCATCACGTACGCGTTGATGTGCAAGTCTGAATGCCACTGCTCGCTGAGTCGGTCCATCTCGACAAAGATGCTGCTGGCGATGTCCATCAAGTTCGCATCGCAGGCCGACTGGATCAGAAGGGCGAAGGTGTATCGATCCGGACGCAGGCCGGCCTCGTTGAGCTTGTGAAAGATCGCCGATACGACCCTGTACGGGGCACCGATGAACACGTATGCCTTGAGCAAAGTGTTGTAGATGTCGATGTTGAGCGAGATTCGGCTGGTTGGCGACTGCTTGAGGTAGTCGAAGGCTCGAATGACACCGCGCCACGAACCCGCTTCGACGTGAGCGTTCATGAGCGCGGCGATCATGCGCCAATCTGGGACAATGCCTTCGCTGATCGCCCGCTTATAGATGGCTTCGGCGGTGATGGGGTCCTTCCGGTCCGCGAGCGTCTTGACGACGGTCGTATAACTCACGGCGTTCGGAGGAAGGCCGGCTTCGTGCATCTGGTCGAGCACCGCCGCGAGGGAGTCTACGTCCTTCCTGTTGGCGAAGCTTTTGAGTATGACGGTGTAGACGTAGACGTCAGGTTGGATTCCCGCGCGCGACATCCTCTCGAGCCAGGCGTTGAGGCCCTCGAAGTCGCCACGCTGTACATGTGCGAGAATGACCGCCGTATAATGGTAAATGGTGGGAGACCCCGCTGAGGACTTGCTATTCTGGAACAGGTCGGCGAAAAGACGCGTGACGTTCTCAGTATCGCCATTGACGGCGTGCGCGTGAAGGAGGAGTGCTTTGTCTGCGTTCGAAACGCCTCCGAAAAACCGATGGATGTGGTCATAGAACCGGATCGCGTCGGAAGCGTTGCCCTGGTGCGCGAAAAGAGACAGGCCGGTGGAATGGTAGAATCTGAATCGCTGCCCTTCTGCGGCCATCCCGGAGAAAAGTGGGTTCGCGAGCTCGAATTTGCCGGACTTGACAAGCGCGCGGACGACCCGTAATTTCAGCCGCACGGGAGCGTCCAGGCCTTGGTCCTGCATCTCATCCAACACGCCCAGAGCATGTTCGCCCATTTCCCGTTGGCAGAAGACCTGTATTAGCAGTTCGCAGGCGCGGTCCCGTGTTTGCTTGTCCCAGTGTGATCTTGCTTGCTGAAGCAGGGTTACTGGACTACCCATGACCTCTATCACGTCATAGACCAGCTCCAGAAATGAGAGGGCTTGCCGCGTGACGGGCGCCGAGTACTGGAGATCTCTCCGCCAATGAATGTAGGAGTACCATAGATCCCAGTGCTCCATGATCATCACGAATGCGTCGCGAGGACCGTCAAAATACCAGCTGGCGAACAACACGCTCTCGAGGGTTCGTATCACAAGGATGTGATCCTCGTCGGTGGTCGTGAATTGGGCGAGACGATGCGCGTACGTGAGCGCGTCATCGATATCGCCGATGGCCGCATAAGTGCGTGCAGCTATCGAATGCTGACGAAGGACAGCAGATTCCTCAATATCCGGCGCCACATCGCGTAGCAACGCATGCAGACGTTCCCGCCAATGCTGTATCAGCTGCGGGTCCCGGCGTTCTTCCAGGAGCGTGACGAGTCGATCGGCAAAAGCTAGGGTCTCTTGAGGATATGGACGTTCCGTTCGATCGTGACGCTGTGCATCGACATATGCCTTCCATGCAGATTCCGGGTCAAATCGAGGGTCCGGCAGGGCCGCGGCGATGCGGAAATGATCCAGAGCTGATGAGGTGCTGCCAGCGATGGGATGAGGAGCGTGTGGTGCGAAAGCGGGTGATGAGGAAGCGTGACGTTTTGCAGGCGGTGTCCATGAGCATCGACCGGGATATCGGCGTGATTGCGTGCTGGGCGATAGGGCACGGAGGAGCGAAGTTCTTTCCACAGGCCTATACGACTGCGCCCGTCGCCGTATATCCCCTTGCCCCATAAATGAACGCTGATAATCTGTGGAGCGAATCAGAGCAAGAACGTCTACTTACACGAGGTAGCTTACCATATAGCCATCGCGAATGTGCCGTGGTAGCAACTTTTGCTATATGCCCGACCCATGACCATCCCTCCTCGTCCTCAGAGTTCTGCCTCCGTTTCCCCTGAGCACGCGTGGAAGAACTCGGCGTCTCGTGTAGCACACGTTGAGCTGTAAGCCGTGCCATGTTTACAAGAAGTTTGGAAGAGCTGGCCGTGGGTCGGGCGGACAAAACGTTATGGAGGACGACGGCACAAGGCTCGAGCATTCCGGCACCCGTGGGGGTAACCGCCGGTCAGAGCCTGAGGGCGACGGTAAGCAGCGGCGTAAAAGACTGTTTTATGACCATACCTTCGATAAATAAACCTCAGCCAGCGTCGGTCGAGCACGGCTACGTCGAATTTCGTCGGTGAGCAAGTCGGGAGACCAGGCCCGTCCAGGTCACGTTCTCGCGTCAGCCACCATAAGCGCCCGCCGCTTTTCCCTGGCTCATGACACGAGCGCCTATTCGATCTCTTTGTCCGGCTTCGATCTCAATAATGGTACAGGGCGTACCTCCCGCGCACGAACTCATCGTTGTGCCATCCGAGGGCGAGGAGCGCGAACGCGTGAGGGACATGTGCCTACGATGTCCCTACCTAATCCTGCTCACTGCCCACCTGATCGCCCGTGTGTAGCTCCGGCAACAGTGCTACGACGTCCGCATCGCCGTATTCATCGATGAGCAAGGTTTTTCCATAGACGACGGTCAGGTCGTCCTCCCCGGCCTCCCACCTTGCCTCCGTCACCGCCCCACCTGACTAGCGCACTCTAATCCCAATAGAGATCGACAAATACGACGAAACGGGCACTCACATCCTCCTCCGGCTCACCGCGCCGGGGGACCTCAACCTTAAACCCGTCGGGACGATACGCTGCGTCCGGCTCCCGGATCACGACCACCGCTCCGGCGGGGACTACTACTGGAAGCTGAGCAGGCTCGCGCTTCTGAAAGAATGCCGCAAGTGGGGCTGGGGCGCCGAGCTCGTGAACGCGCTGCACGACCACGTCCGCGCCGACGCGCGCGCGCTCGCGTCCGGCTCCGGTCACGCCATGAGCCAAGCCACGGTCGTCTGCCACTCGCAGATCCCCGTCAAACGGTTCTACGAGAGGTAAGCGCTGATCTAATACTGCCCGTGCGATACAGAGCACCGACCGACGGCGGTGCGCCCCTTCCCCTCCCCCTCCCGCGATCCTCGAAGGTTCGGTTACAAACCAGAGGTAAGTAAGCCCTAGTGCCGCTCCATTCTCGTTCTCGTCTATCAGTGGGTCGGCCCCGACCATCCGGCCTCGCTTCTGCCGTCCACGCCCGATGTCGGAGCGCCCAGGGCCACTTTGCCCAAACAAAGCCTGTTGCTTGGTTAATCCCATTCAATCGCGCCGAGCACTCCGTATGAACTCTGCTTTCTCTCTCTCTTTCTAGGGTGACGAATTCGACGAGGACGGCGCACCGCATCAGCGCATGGTCCTGCGTTTGGACCTGACGGACCCGCTTAGCGGCACGCCACCGGCCTCTAGCTCATAAAGATCCAGGGTGGTTTCATGCGCATGGACGGATACACGGCGGTCTCGGACAGGCGATCCTACCGGAACACCCAATCTTCACGGCATAATTAACGAGCCCACTGTCGAGATAAGGTTGGATACCGTATGCGAACGGTCCGATCTTGGCGCGCCCAAATCGTATATAGCACCGGATCGTAATGTTGGTTCCGCAAACATACTACATGCGATCACCATGCTAGATTAGGACTGAGTAAAGTGAAACAAGTACGCATGTCAAATGGGCACCGCAGATTGCTGGGCCAGGCATATCTGTCCATTGGCCTAGACGAGGAGAGGTACTATACATTTCCACATATACAAGGGGGTGTGGTGACGTGTGAACACGAGCGTCTATGCCAATTCCACGATAGAGATACATTCGGTATAGGGGGAGTGGTGGGTGGGGTCTTAGGCATCCTTCGTGTAATCGATACCAGTACAAGGAAAGAACACTAGTCCGATGGGAAGGGCACGAGGAAAGGCATAAAAAGCTCCAAGCGCGCTTCAAGCTTCAGCACCGAATAAAGAAGATTGAACATATATTCGCAACTCGCGACTCCCTTCCGCCGCGTGAACGAACGAAGGAGAGGTATAAGCGGCGGACCAGCTAGGATCCGCCATTGGGGGGAGGTCGTACGGGTCGTGACAGGGTCGTGACTGGAGAATGAGACGCTAAGAAAGAAGCCCATATACCGGAAATAAAAGTCCCTGAAATGGAGGTGAACGGAGGAAAGAAGACCGCGGGAGGGAGGCTCAAAATTCAAGAGGGGATGGAGTGGAAAGTGGAAAAGCCATCAGCGGTGGCGGCGGTCGCGCCTTCCCGATTGAGACGCGCCTCGGCCTCGCCGGCCTCGACTTTGATGGACGGCGCCGACGTCGCCGGCGCGGCCGCAAAAGTACGTGGGATCGAGGCGGCGCTTGAAACGGGGCTGCCGGGGAGGATGCTGAAGTTGATGTTCGAGTATCCGGGGGACGACGCGGCGGAGCCCTCCTCGTAGATCTTGCGAGCCGTCTCGTACTCGAGCTTCTCTCGCTCGGCCTGCGCAAGGAAGGGCTACATAGAAAGCAACACGAATTCAAAGTCAGCTCACATTGTCCCTCCAGCGCTTCCCAGCTCATGGGCTCAGGGCGTAGGGTTTGAACCGTACCTTACGCTCTTCGTCGGTCATGGATCGCCACTTTGACGCTGCGAGTACGCTCTGCTTGGTCGTCTCGGTCTCGTGTCCGAACACCTCCCTGACGAGGCCCGGGTCGGACCGAATGGCCTGAAGGAACATGAAGTACGCGCTGAGCGGCTTCTTGGGCGCGTTAGGGTCCTTGATATTCCCCTTGCGTGACTTGCCCGCTTTGCGCTGCGAAGTCCGGAACGCGTTCTCGCGCTTGATGTCCTCGGGGGTGAGCGTGCGCATGTACGCGGCATGCTCGCGCTCGCGCTGTTCCTTGAGCATCTGCGAGCGGCGTTTATACGGCTATGAATGGACGACGGGGAATTTTCAGCTCGGAGCAAAAAAGCAGGGTAGGTGTGCATGCGAACGAACCTCCTTCTCCGCCGCGGAGAGCAGAGCGTATTCCTGGCCGGCTTCCTTGGCGGCCTGCGCCACGTTGAGCTTCTTGGTGCTCGTCTCCTGGTGTCGCTGTATCCAATCGGTGAAATAGAGCTGCCACGCGCTCGGCGCCAGCTTTGGAGGGCGCAGCAATGACTTGGCCGGGGCTGTACCTGCTGCGAACCAAGACGAGTCAGCGGACGCCCTGACGAGAAGCGCGAAGCGGAAGAGACGGGAGAGGGTGGGAGCGCGCGGGGGTCTATTACGGGCGCGGGCGTGGGCGTGGGCACGAGGGGAAATGGCGAGAACGGAGAAGCTGCACAGGCGGGGAGGGGGGACAATGACGCACCGGATTCGTTGCCTGATTCAGAGACGGACGTGGGATCGTCGGCGGGCGACGGGCGCTTCCTCCGAGCGCGCACTGTCGCCTCGCGATCGTCGTTCGAGAACGAGACCGACTCGGCCCGCCGGCTGTATGGCCGCGACAGCATCGGCATGTGCGCGTTCACTTGCGCGTGCGGGCGCGAGAGCATCAGCCCGGACGGCGCAGGCGCGCTCGCGCTCTGGAACAGCTGCGTGACGGACGTCGTGCGCTGCCGGTGGATCGGCCGCCGTTGCGTGACAGAGTAGTCATCGTCTGCGCCAGGCAGCGGGGGCAGCGGGAGCGAGGGCGACAACGGCGACGCGAGGTGTGGCGGGCTCGGAACAAAGAACTGTTCGCCCCATTGATGCTGGTTGAAGGTCTCGGGTGGCGAGACGGACGAAACGGCGGGCGGCGAGTACACGCTCGGATGGGCGAACAATGGCGACGCGGCCGGCGGCGACGCAGGCAGGGCGGCAAAGTCGCTGTAGGGCGAGAACGACGACGGCGAGAAGGACGCGTCGGTCCGAAACGGCGACTCGGGGGTGTCGGGCACGGTGGGGGCGGAGGTCGACGGGATCGGGATCGGGGCGGAGGGCCCGGCGGGGTCGAGGGGCTCGGTGAGCCAGTTGGCGAAGGTGAAGGTGTCGGCGTTGGAGACCATGTCAACGGCGCCGTAGGCGGGGTCGAAGGGCTTGTCGAAGAGGTCGGCGTTGTCTAGGATCGGGTGCTGGTGGACATCGTCGAGGTCGAGGGCGAAGACGCCGTCGGCGACGGGGTCGAAGGAGTGGTAGTAGGACTGCATCGGATAGGCGCGGGGGAGGAGATGGGGCTGCGCGCTTACGGGTGCGGACTTATAGGAGGGGGGAGCGGCGGATGCAGCTCGGACGTGGACGAGTCGGCGGAGGCGGACCCGGCGAGTTGACAGAAAGCGTCGCATTATAAGCAAAGACTGAGTCGGAACAAGGACGCGCGCGAATCAGGACGGGGCTGCACCGCCCGATTCGGCCACCTAACCCTCGGCACGGTCACTCAACGCTTTCGCAGAAGCTGCCCAGGCCGATAAGTAGCCTCGCGTCGAACCCATCACGCCCGTCACGCTCTCGGGCGCGGGTCCCAGGCCCGGAAGCCCAATCCATCCTCCCTCCGCAGCACAGGCGCTCGCTCTCCCATGTCCGAGGATGCCTGCCATAAGAAGCCAATCTATCTATCAAGCCCTATCCCCGGCGCATCCATAACTAGCCACCCAAACGTCGTCACAGCACGACGATCTGTTCTGCCGGCCGGTATCGCGGGTTGTTGTACACACTCTTCCCCGCCTGGTGATCGCAATCAGGCCACTGCAGATGGAAGCGCGCGCAGGCAATCAGGCCACTGACCTCCCAACCCTTGACGTCCTTCATGATCTCCTTCTCGCGCGCGATGGCCGCCTGCTCCCTCCGATACGCGTCTCTATCGCTCTCCGCCAGCAGCAGCGGCACAAGGTGCAGCCGCGACCACGTCTTCTCGCGCACGAGCTCCCTGCGCACGAAAACCAGAGGGAAATCACGATCATCAGCGGTCCGGAAACGGGCACGAACGTCCAAATCAGGAGGTGCTGATAAGATGCTGCCGCGGCCCGGAACCAGAGTGCCACGTTCCACGATGGGCGGCGCGATTGGGGCCCGCCGCTGCGGCACGTTCTACGGCCAGCGCGGATAGAGTTTCGACGTGGGTCCGCTGACCGAGTACCCCACGCGAAAACAGGGCAAAAGCGGGACAAACACAACGCGCTTTTTTTTTTCTATCGGAGACGGACGACTCACTTCTTCTCGCTGTTCCCGAGTCCGACGCGGTAAAAGCCGTAGACGCAGACGGCCGTGACGCCGCCGAGGATAGCCAGCGCGCTGGGGCCGCGGGCGGGAAGGTTGCGCTTGTATTTGATAGCCTCAAAGCCGCCCGGCGGGGGCATATCCCTGTAGTCGGGTTCGGATGAGCCATCGGGCGCGGGCAAGGGTGGAATCGGAGGAAGGTGCTTACTGCCGATATGGCGCAGACACTGTTATCGCATTTGCAAAACGGGCGTGAGTGGGAAGCGGTCAGCTGAGGGCGAGAATACGCACTCTTTCACCGTGACGAGGGTCGAAAGAGGATAGAGGGAAGGAGGAATGACGGAGACAAAGTCTATGTGGATTGCGCCGGTGGTGGTAGGAAGGCAAGTGATGTCACGTGGGATGGACGAGTTGCCCCGCGAAGTGGAAGCCGTTCCGGTGCCCACGAACGCAGGACATCGGCAGTGTGATCGCCAACAGGCGAATGCGACGGACGACCGTTCAATATTATTGTCCGTAGTGTTACTATTGTCAGCCGATATTTGGTCGACGAAGGCGCGACCGTCGTTATTGCTTAGAGACACGAATGACTTGTCGCACAATCATCAGGCGCACGTCACAGCTTCCGTATTCAACGCCGCGGGTCAGAAATAAAAAGTAATCCATGTCGCGGGCGCAACAGGCGCACACGCCGCCGTGCCACAGTCCCACCCCTCTGCCCGATACTCTGCGGCCAGCACCATGTCCCGCCAGCTCTCCCCCGGGTCCGCCAACGCTCACCCCCACTTCCAACAACCGGCTACCCCGCAGTCCGTCCGACAAAAGGCCAAAGTGTACGCTCCCGGCATCGTCGCCGGTGTTGAAGATGTAAAATATCAGGCGAAATACAAGGACCTCAAGCGGAAGGTCAAAGAAATTGAAGCGGTGCGTCGCATCTCTGGAGGTCTACGGACAGCATGCTCATAAGCGAAACACAAAGGATAACGACAAGCTGCAATACAAGGTCTTGCAGGCCAAGCGTAACATTCAGCGCATGAAACTCGAGAGGGCGTAAGTCTCCATCGCTATGGAAATATCACCTCAGACCGACAACCAACCACAGAATTCTGTACGAACGACTATCTATGATACCGCCCTCACCCGAGCACCATGGCCGACCCTTGCCCCCCGTTGGCATACAGCAAGCACCGCTTCAGTATCCATCCCCTCACCCGCAAGCTGTAGAACAAGCCGCACTCGAGGCCTCCGAGCACGCGCGACGCCACTCACAAGGCCCACGCCTCGCGCCTATCGCCCTCCAGCATGACCGTTCCCGGCCGCCTGTCGAGGAAATCACCATTGGGCCCGGCATGATCCCTCCCCCTCCACACGGCCTTCCCGGCCTCCACGCACCGAACAACGGACGCATGCTCCCTGAAGGCGAAGCATACCGCCAGCTGCCGCCGCTGCCCGCAATGCAAGGACCGGGAGGACTGCCCCCGCCACGAGGACACCCTCATCACCTCCCACCGCCTCCCTCCATTCCGCACTCGCATTCTTCATCGCCTTCGGATGTCGGTGGACGCACGCCGCGTGGTGTACCAGCATCTGCGCACTCGCTCAGTCCGCCAATGGGGCCTGCCCCGCCGCACGTTGTGATGCCCGGTCCCGGGCATGCTCCTCCTCCCTCTGCGACGCTTTCGCCCTCCACAAGCAGTCGGTCGAGCAGCCACCACCACCATCACCACCACCACCATCGCACCAACTCTGGCCGCATCCACAACCACCAGCGCATCGGACCTGGTGTCAATATCAACCAAGCCGAATGGGAGCGTCAGCGCGAAGAACGCGATCGACACCGCGAGCAGATCGAACGTGAACGCGAATGGGAACGCGAGCGGGACCGCAACATGGAGAGGGAGTACGAGCGCGAACGCGAGATTCGCATGATGCGCGAGTACGAGCTCGGTCGGCAACGCGACATGGAGGTGCAAGCTATGCAAGAGCGCCAGCAGCACCGTGAGCGCGACGCTCTGCGCCGCGGCCAGACTCCACCACCCTACGCACCCTCGCTGCGAGGCGGCGCGCGCGACACCCCCCCGCGCGACGTGCCACGTCTCGAGCGTCGCGAGAGCGGGCACTCCTCCCGCCCCTCGCGTTCCGATTCACCATCCTCTTCGGGCGGGCACCCACGCGATCGTGAGCTTATCTCCGAAGGCCTCTCCCGGCCGAGCTCCCGCACCCAGCATCCCGAGATGCCAGTGGGTCATACGGCGGGCTCGCGCTTGCCTTATCCGGACTCCTCTCGCTCCCTGCTGTCTGGTCCTGGGGTTGATTCCCGCAAACGCTCGCGAGGTGACATGGAGGTTGATGACGAGGGCCCAATGCCTCCGCGAGGCGAGGCGGATCACTACAGATCTTACTCAGACGACCGCGACCGGGGCTACAAGCGCCACCACCTCCAGGACGAGCCGATGGACATCGCCCCGACGCGCGATCTGGACGAGGGTCCTGGTCAGGGTGACGAGTGACGAGGTCTTTCAAAGAAGCAAAGTTTGTATCCCGGTGGGTATGTTTCAATGTTCGGGGCGATCGGAAGCGGTCCCAGGCCCCAATCTTACGCCCTCCCTGTGCCAATATGTCCATACTCGAGCTTACCAGGAATCTTCAGATGTTTTATTTGTGCTCATTGTTCAGCTTCCGCTGCCGGAAGCTTATTACCGAGCTTCGCGGCTTCTCTCGGAATGGGTGGGGACCTCGTGCCTATTCAACGCTTCTGGGATGGACAAACTCACATCTCAGTACCCTCTCGGCCATTGTCCCCAATGCATGCAGGTTCGTATTAACATGACGGTCTGTCTATCTGGTCATCGCTCCACCGATGGTTCCGCGCCCGGCTGTGACGCCCGTTTCCATAAGCGACGTAACGAGCCCGAGCGGGACTCGTTATCAAGAGTCCCCGCCGATGTCGGGACCCCAGGCTGCGGTCGATCTCTCGGCAGATACCTGCGACCAAGTCTTTCGGGCAGGATCGGTCCGGACACCCCGCCACTGGTGCAGAGCCCCGTCCACCTCGTCATCGCTGACGGCGGGGTCGCCCCAGTCGGCGCTGACATAGCTGCAAAAGCTCGGAGGTTGCAGCAGCCGCTCGTACAGCTCCGCCGCCTCGATTAGGACCTCGTCCCTGTACGCGGAGTTGGGCTCTCGGGCGTCGAGGATGACGTCCATCGCGAACGCCGGCCGGCCTGAGGCACCCATTCTGAGCTCGGCGGCCCGCGTCGCTTCGCCCAGCCTGCGGCGCATGGGAGACGCGTAAGATTTGCGTTGAATCCGTTTGGGTTCGTGAGGGTGTTGATGCTGCAGGTGCACGGACACGCATCTACTTGACTCCGCCGGACGTCGCTTCGCGGTGTTCTTCTTTGAATTCACCTTCTCATTCGAATTGCTCTTTTCGATCTTGACTGCGCGGCCCCGCCGCACCGCCGCGCGCTTGGGCGGATGGGGCGTGTGTGCTCGACTGCGCGTGCCGTGCCCGCTCCTGGATGTGCTTAGTGTCAGGGGCTGAGGAGAGCTATGCAAGTGATAGATGGTATGGGACATTGCGCTAGAAGATATCATGGACGCGCTTACGGTATGGATGGTAACGCTCTCGAACTCTCGCCCCAGTAGGTTGTTGCTAGTGTGTCCGGGTTCATGGTTCGTAGCGTACGTCACAGAACGCCCCAGTGAAATATACTGCATGTCAAGCAGCGACGGATCATACGTATCTGGAGGATGCCCCGCATCCGATCCGCCGTGACGCGGATAAGTTGAGCTCTTTCCGAGAGAAGAATGGCGAGCGGATCCCCTGCATCCGCACGCGGACAACAAGGCGACGCAGTACCCACCATGCTCAATGCAGTACAAGCTGCGAAAGCAGACGCGACTCATCCGGAGTGACAGCCAGTGACAGTGCGATTGTCAAATCTGCAATGTTCAGATGTAATGGCATTCCATCATGCCGTGCATAGCCCGGTTTGAGATGCGCCGGTACGCGAAGCTGTACATAAAGTGATGGAATTCGCCAGCTGTAGGGAAGACATGACTCGCCGGGAGTTTCTGACGCGGCACTCCGCGGGTTCGCGTCCGAAGGCATAAATTGCAGAGGTACCTTGTGGGCGTGAGGAACGTCACAGCCGCGGGCGAACCGCGGCCTGAACTCGAGAACGAGGCATGGATCCAAATACTTATATTTCACAGTGACTCTAGCAGAGAGAGCGATGAAGGACGGGTAAAGTGACGTATGCAGGTCGCGGGCCCCTTCTCTTTCACTCCAGGATCGGTGTGCAGAGTCGGTACACTACCGGTAGACGTGGTCGGCTGTTGAAGAAACGTGTTAGCCGACAGTGGAAACGGCATGGGATCCAATACAGCTTACCGTGCAAATTGGCCGCGATTTCCGCTTCGGCCCTGTCGCCGTTCGAAAGTAGCTTCTCCTTGTTGTAGAGCAGCTCTTCACGCGTCTCAACGGAGAATTCCTGGTTTTGAGCTGGGCGGCGGAGATGTCAAAGGATGCCGGTTCCGAAAAGCTGAGTGATATGCTTACTTTCCACGATGGCATCTACAGGGCAGGCTTCCTGGCAGAATCCGCAGTAAATGCATTTCGTCATGTCAATATCTATAACGGTGTCAGAGATAGAAGACGATGGAGGAACTGAATATTCGTACCGTATTTGGTTGTCCGACGAGAGCCGTCTGCGCGCGCTTCGCTCTCAATCGTGATGGCCTGTGCCGGGCAGATGGCTTCGCACAGTTTGCATGCTGTCCACGAGTTAGCGAAGACTGCCGTGAAAAGGCCAAAACCACGTACCGATGCAACGTTCCTCTCCGCTGGGATACCGCCGAAGGGCGTGTTCGCCGCGGAAGCGGGGTGAAAGTGGGCCCTTCTCGAAAGGGTACATGATGGTGTATGGCGGTCGGAAAAACTGCTCCAAGACGATCCACATCCCTTCACCGAGCTTTTCAGGACAAGCCCTCACCCGAAGCTGAGGATGATTGCTCACCTCGGATGATCTCCGTAAAGAAAAACAAGTGAACCGCCTTGCTCAGCGCACTGGGTCCATCCTTGTACGGGTCGTAGTCCTTCCCCGGTTCCTCTGCCGCGCTGAATTGTCCTGCCCCAACCATCCCCTGCGGCGGAGGCGTTTCCAAGGGTGTCGGTCTCCCGGCGACACGCGAGGCAGCGTGGTCATTCGTGGCCGGTGCCCACGAGCGGGACGTCGACGAGAGTAGGCGGTAAGCAGAGAGCGTCGCGCGAGACGCAAGGATTGCGCGGGGTACGGCTGGTCGATGCGGGCCAGGCCGTACGAGGGCGCGAGCGAAGGACATGGCGGATGAGCGAGGTAGAGTGCGAGCACCGGTCATTTCCGCGCCAGTGTCGGTAGCGGCTGGCCTCCGTCAGCCAATCATCGGCCTCCATTTCCAAAGCTCCTATACGCTACAACCATGGCCTCCAAGAAATCCAAAGCTCCTGCCCCGCTCTCAGACCAAGGCAAGATTTCGGCGGTGCTACGTGTATATACACTATCTTGATTGAAGGGGCCAGCCAGAAATCCAGGAGAAGTACACAGGCTTGCAGAATGACATGCAGGCTCTCGCGAGCAAAATCGGCGAACTTGAATCAGAAGCGGATGAACACACGTATGCCCTCCTCCGGATGAGCAGATTGCATTGATATCAACCTGAGGTAGCTTGGTATTGGGGACTTTGAAGGATGCCCTTCAGGAAGACCCCGATCGGAAGTGTTTCCGGTTGATCGGAGGCGTCCTTGTTGAACGTACGGTCAAGGACATCGTACCAGCTTTGCAGACTAACAAGGATGGGGTATGCTGTTTGCTTCTTGTTCCTAGTCAGAAGCTAATGTACTCTGTCCAGATTCAGAAAGTCGTGACCAACCTGGCCGAACAGTATAAGTCCAAGGAGCAGGAGTTTGAGACCTTCAAGCAGGAATACAAAATCCGACCGGTGATGCGATGATGTAACAGACGTTAATTGCGGGTGTATACCAAGTGCCGAGAGCTACAAACATTCCCTATTGTGATTCATATCGCAAGTCCACAGATGCTGCTGTCCGAGATCTACAAATGAAGCCAGTGGCCCAACAGAACAAGAGGCTACGTTCGTATCACAGACTACGTAGAAATAACGACCGTTTGCTCCGTATCGACCTCCTTTGTGGTGACGGTCGTGACATCCACTACCTGTAAGATCGTTTGCAGCATCTCAACGATAATCTGGGACTGGCTCCTCTCGGATATCTGGTTCGAGACGATGCCGGTCACATCGTTCGAGTTACTAGAAACCGGCGCTCAGATGAGAACGTAGAAACGAGATGTCATCGGGGACTCACACGTTGATGCCGAAGGACTGTACTTGGTCGATGATCGTCTGAATGTCCTTCTGCTCGCTATGAGGAAGGATGAGCGTTTCAAAACATGAGTATTGCCAAGACGATGGCGCGCTCACATGGTCGTCTTTTGGACCTCGGTGACCACGAGAGACTTGACGACAGTTTGCACCACAATCGTCTCTCCTGCGTTTGAGCGCCTAATTATAACGTCACATCAACGCCGAGCTCGAATTGGAGGCTCTCTTCTCACCAATCAGATGAGATCTTGCCTGCGATGCTCTTCAGGGCGTCCGTCATGTTCGAAGGTAATGAATCCGTCACGTTCGAGTTGCTAAGATTGGTCGAGTTGTAGGCGCTCGAGTTATTTGAGTCACTCGAGCTGACGTTGCTGTTGTTGTACAACGTGGAGTTGTACGCGTCCGCAGACAGAGAGTACACCGACGTGTTGTTGTTGTTCGATCCGGACACCGTCGAGTTCGAGTTCGAGTCCGACGTATTATTTGACGACTGTACTGAGGTACTGTTCGAATCGTCCCGGATCTGCCTACTCACAGCATCAGGCTAGCCATACCGGCACCCACGAGCAGAAATGACGTACCACATCGGGCGAGCTGTGGTTGAGGCCACAAGCATGGATAGAGCAAGCACACCGGCCGCGAAAAGTCGGACCATATTGAAAGGATTGAGTCGGGTAAAGATGAGTGTGTAAGAATGAACGAAAGGTGGCCGGTAGAGCTGAGTCGAGCGCGCCGAACGAAAGAGTAAGCAGCAACTAGGCTAGCTCGAGACGAATGTCAATGAACAGAAGAGGTACTCAATACCCTGACCGAACGACCAAAAGACCAAAAAAGAGTGCAGCTCTTGCGCCTTCCACCAGAGAAGAGAGGGCTTTTATACTTGAGCCACATGACGACCGGGCATTCTCGCTTGAACAGCAGAATGTAATTCAATCCGTAGGCACTTCACCAGCTTGGCCGCAGAGCCTCAGAAGCGTTACAGGCTGCCACAGCGACGGCGGAGATTCCCTTCCCATGGTTCTGTGAGTGGAGGAGTTGGATACGACGCGCAGTGTTTACATTCTTGATCGGACCCGCGGGCCTGTGCGATTAAGGTAGTGGGCGAATGCCGGCGCGATACTACTCTCAGGTAACCACCTGAGTATTGTCACAGAACGCTACCAGCGTGCAGGATACAATCAGATCCCTTGAAACTCGAGTACGACTTCTTGAAGGCTGAAGGAGTGACAGTGTTTGCAAGGCTGCGTTTAACACGGGAAGCGAAAGACGCGCGTCCGTGAGTATTTCCGGACTTCAGTGTCCCTGCACTTAGCAACCGATCAGAAGTCCTAAACCGAATCTGTTCAGTAAAGCACGACTTGAGCATCTCGCACTGCAGCAATCGGGCGAGAGGAATGAGAGCGGTTCCGGAGATAGTCGCAGTGCGAGACGAGAACTTGAATATGCTTTTCGCACGCTTCTGTGGCCAAAATGTTAGGAGCTTTGCTCGTGCGCCATATGTTCAATAACCGGCAGGTACTATGAACAGGGTTGTAGAGATGGTAATGGAGGCCCAGGAAACAGTATTATAATGGCCCCAAAATGTCCATAGCCCAGCAGAAAATGTACGCCAGAAACACTCCATCGTCAAATGACATGCAATCAGCGGCACTAGACACCGAAGCTCGAGCTGACCAACCCAGAGCTCGAGCTGATGGACTCAGAGTTGACAGAGACAACGCTCATGATCTGCTCCAACATCTGGACGACGATCTCCTCTTCGCTGACGTTCACCATGTCGCTTTGGATAATGTTCACGATGTCGGACTGGTCACTGCACAGGTAATCGGTAATTGTCAGCCAGGCAATCATCTCAACTAGAGAAGATACAAACATGTCGATCCCGAATGAAGACATTTCGGAGATGATCTCCTGGATGTCGCTCTCCTCACTATTGACATTCGTCAGGGTAGTCTCTCACGAAGCGTGAACCGATTCACTCACACTACATTCTCGGAAACGGTTTCCAAGACCAAAGACTCGACCATTGAGTTTACAATGATGGTCTCAGAGGAGCTCGAGCGCCTAGACAGTGGATCAGTTCAGATTCGTGGTGAACATATGGCGCTCGTACCAGTCCGAAGAGATATGGCTACCGATGTTGTGCAAGTATCCGGATAGGTTAGAAGACACGGTCCTTGCTTGCCTAAACATGCTTTCATTCTTGAGTTTATTCCTTATGTTGTTTGAATACTTACATGACGGGTGCGGCGAAGATGGGGGCGATCGCTAAGAGAGCAACAGCAACGGCAGAGAAGATGCGAACCATGGTGAATATCGGAGGATTGTGAGGGGTCAGAAAGCGAGCGTGTGTTGGCGAGGGTGTGCTGTGAAGCAAGCGGAAGCGCTGGGCTTGAAGGAGCTGGAAAGGTAACCCGGTACCTGGAATGAACGAAGAGAGCACGGCTGGAGAGACTGTTCGACATATCGCAGCTTATATACCCGCCTTCCGTGGCAGAGACTCAATACGCTTTGTCCCAGGATGAGCAGGTCGAATGGTACCGATGGTGCGTGTGTTCAGATTGGACAGATTCGGAGATGCCAGACTCTGTATGAATAGGCCCAGTCCCACAGGATGTCCAGAAATAGCTCGGGGAAGTCCAATACAGTGGACAACTGGCAAGGAGTTCCTGTGTGCACATCAGATGCAAAAGGTAATTGCGTCTTGATTTGCTGAAGTGCCTTTAGGTATAATGTCCTATGTTGTCGAAACACTTGCGGAGGGTACCGTGCGCTTTCCTCGATCCAAGCAATGTGTCTAGACTACCCGTCCAGATCGCGACGCTGGGAACACAATAGGTTCGAGTTCACTAGCGGACGTTGACCGAGGTCGCCGGCGGATTCCCAGTACAGAAACAGCGCCAGGTGTTCGCAGCAACGCGATAGACCGTGGAAGGAGCCTCCCGGGCATGAAAGTTCTTCTGGCCGAGAGGTGATTCAGCACCGGAACTCCTGGATGGCCCGCACCTTCGGTTCATCAGGCCGTAGCGTTGTCCAGTTCTAGCTTTGGGCAGGAGTTCCGTAAGCTACAGACTGAAGTTCTCACGCAATGCTGTAATCATATGCATGTGACGCTGAACCACCATGGACTACGCCTTGATTCGCGTACATGCATCTCTCGCAAACATTCGAAAACGCGCTTGCCATGAACGACGAGAAGTAGCCGCTACCTACAATTACATGAGTACTTGCAATCGTGCTGCCCCCAGAACCAGTGCAATGGGATTTGCAACAAAATCATTCATCGGTGCTTCTCGAAATCCGCCGCCCCGCTTCGCCTGCATCTCTGCGATACGTAGGCTTAATATAGGTAGTTCTCATTCTCAGCACCAGGATCACTTGGTCTACTCTTACCCGCCGATGTACACGGTACGGATTTCCCGTGGGGTCAAGTCGTCTGATAGGCTAGGGATGGCTCAGCGCTCGTTCAAAGCTATGCGTGTTGCAACTAGGCAACCGTTCAGCTGTGTTCGACGATTGACTCGGACTTTCATACGTGGTTTCATCCGTTGATGCCAACCACAGGAGAGTGCCATAAGTATTAAGTACCGGCAGCATGATGGCGCGCATTTCTGCGCACTTGACAATCGAAGAAGGCTCAAGAACCATAACGCCGATCTCCCTGTTCGCAACACGGTCGACGCTGAGAGCCTCAGACATCTCGTATTGATGTGTGGCGAAAACGGGCACGACAAACTGATGCCTCCTGCAAGAACCTGTGGCTCTCGATATCAGCAGAACGTGAGATCGATGATATTTTTTCCCTCAGGACGCCCGGCTCTCATGGAGACCAATCGATTCATAGCTGCATTGCTCAGGGAGTCTAACCTGTATTTGGATGTCGCTTCAGCTCCGCCACTGGGTACGAAACCTCGAGCTCTGGACGAAGACATGCATGGATGGCAACTGACAACTATTGTGTATCAAGTGTACTTGAGCCTGAATCCGAGCAAAACGACTTCCCAATGGCCTTGTCATCTCACTGTTTGATCTTATGCGTTGTTTAGCCCGGTCCCCCCCCCCGGCGGAGGTACTGATGGACAATCTTGTGTCGGTCCGGGCTCGCGATGCGCGTGAATATGATTCACTAAGATTCGCAAATGGGATACTCTCCCATCTGGACGGCATTTCTGCATTCTCATGAAGGAAGTCGACTCGGGCAGACCTGGGGATATGTGCAATGAATTCAACGATGTATAAGCTCCTGTTTACTTGTCGCTTTCTACAGCCGCGCTGTATACTCTGATTTGTACGCAGCCAACAGGCGACGTTCTCGGATCGTTCAGACTGGCTCTGCGGCCGGTTGATTTCGATAGACAAAGGCGTATACCGAGCCTATTCAGTATGAGTTCACGTAGCGCGCAGCGTCCCTGCTGACCTCGTATTTAATTTTGACGCTCGACTGGTTCTCGATCACGTGCCTTACACTCATCGAGCCTCCATTTGGGCCTGAGCTTAGTTTGGAACTACAGCGCATGTACCCCCATCGTTCCGCCAAGCTCTGCTTTACTCAGTTACACTGATTCGGAGTCTCCGCCCGTCTGGTCAACCGCTCTGGGACTTGTATCTCTCCCTTCAGCGACAAGCTCGGCGCAAAATGCTGGCTACACAGACCCTCCCGTCCCTGACGTTTCCTTCCACAAGTCGAGCAGAAGAATCCTCGTCTCAGTACCGTCCGGCTAAGGATATAGAAAGCTTCAATGCTCTCCTACCACCTCCGATTGAATTTGTTGAAGGTTCATCATCCGGAACGCTGGCCGTTGCGGAGGGGAAGTACGAGCCCATCAATGTCCCTTCTGCCAAGGGCGCCCGGGGACCTCCTCCCTCAGTAAGTACTCCACGTATGCACCTCAGTACATGCTAACAAATGAGAATCAGGCGGATAAGGTTCCCACAAACCGGCGTGACAACTCTCCAAAGACACCCAAAGCTCCCATTACGCGTCGACTCTACGAAGGTACCTTGAACACCAATTGGAGACCAGGTATCAAGGTCGGCGTCGGCCTCGTGAACAATGGAAACACCTGCTTCCTAAACAGCGTCCTGCAATGTCTATCCTATACCCCTCCCCTGATCAACGTCCTATTGGATCACGGACAGGTGGAACCATGTACGCACGAAGGATGATGAACGCCGGCGTCATCGCTGACTGTGAAAATGTTAGGTCGAGTGAACGATAACCAGTTTTGTATGGCATGCGCCCTTCGAAAGGCGGTACTTGAACTCCATACCCGTGGGCGACAACCTTTCATGCCGACCATGATCACATCAAAACTCCAGGGTCTGTGGTTCCGCCGCGTTCCAATATCGGTCGCGTTGACAATACTGTAGCCATCGCGAAAAACATGCGACGAGGGAGACAGGAAGACGCCCACGAATTCCTACGCTACGCTATCGATGCCCTTCAAAGGTCTTGTCTGGCTGGGCATCCCCCGTGAGTCAATTCCCCGGGCCCCGTATCGTAATTACTCATCTTGCTCTAGGAAATTGAACCCGAAGCTTGCGGAAACGACCTGGGTTCACCAAATCTTCGGCGGGCGGTTGCGCTCGCGAGTGCACTGCCGTGAATGCAAACACAACAGCGACACGATCGACAGTGTACTAGACCTCAGCGTTGATATCCAAGGCTGCTCAACTTTGAAGGAGGCGTTGCGCAAGTTCGTTGCAATCGACACTCTGAAGGGCGCGAACAAGTACAAATGCGAAAAGTACGCTTTCAGAGCATTTTCTCTTACCCCATACTCATCAGGATCCGAAGGTGCAAGCGTGCAGTCGTTGCAGACAAAAGTTTCACCATCGCCGAGGCGCCATTAATCCTCACCGTCCATCTCAAACGCTTTTCACCTCTGGGCAGAAAAATTGGTCATATGCTCGACTATCCAGAACGCCTTGACCTCGAACCATACATGAGTGAAGGGGTTCCTGGGCGAGTGTACTCATTATATGGCGTCATCTGCCATGCGGGAAGCGGTCCAAACTCAGGCCACTACTACGCCTTCGTGAAAGCACCAAGCGGAAAGTGGTACGAGACGAACGACGAGCTGGTTAGCTTCACCAGTCATGTACTAGGCAAGAAGGCCGCGTATATGCTCTTCTATATGCAAGAGAAGGGCCAGGCATTGGAGGCTGCGGTCAAGCTGACCGGCAAGTCGCCGTCGGCACCCCGGGCAGGTGGTGTCGATGGTGCCAAGAAGCGCAAGATCATGGACAGCGACGAAGAGGACCTAGGAATTTCGGCGGAGCCCCGTAGAGAAACCTCGAAACGGTTCATAGGACCATTGCTCCCCGCGCCTTTATTCGACCCCGATACCGCTCCGGACAGAAGCGGGTATGCTCCCTGCACGTCTTATTTATTCGACCCCGATACCCCTCCGTGCGCAAGCGGAACCGATGCTCCTTCTACTCCCCCGAGGTCGAATCTGAAGAATGCAAAGGCTCAGGATCCCCCAAAAACCCCGATTGTGTCCCAGTCCAAGTCGTCTGGGGCACTTCAGCTGCTTGCGATGTATTCCGATGACGAAGACAACGAAGACGAGAAGGCGGATCGCGCGGGTCCGACGTCGTCTCCGCCAGCCGGGCCTCCCAGCTCAGCCGCCGTGCCGTCGTCTCCCGCGGTTCCGATAGCCGTCAGTAGTTTCTATGGTTCTTCAAAGAACAAGAAGCGGAAGTCACCTGAGGAGTTCGATGACGGCGACGAAGCACGATCCGTCCGTGAACCTTTGTCCGCGACTAAATCAAGACCGAGCTACCCATCGGTCTCCAGCTCTGGAAAGCGATGGGCGACCAATTCCATTGGTCGCAAATCGAACTTCGGAGGGGGCGCCGTGAACCCTTACAGTCGCTTGTCGGGGAGCAATAACCTACGCCGGCAAGATTCACCGAAAAGGCAACATGTCATCCACAAGTACGGCAGCAAGAACAGGCATAGAAAGCGGTTTTAGTGCTAGGTCATATATAGACCATTCCTTGACATCCTGCCAGACTTGTTATACCTACCATCATGTTGTATACATCACGTTGTTCTCTCCGCATACCACTCATGCGTTTATCATCAATGATAACTGTCCATTGCATTCTGTCCGAGCAGCGTGAACTTCCTCATGGCGCCTACAGCTTGGGTATTAGGCTTGGAGGCGGAATCTCGGAATCCCGTTCCCAGCTGACAACTGTGACCGTCACATCGTCGCGCCAGCTGCGGGAGTACGGAGCCGGAATGCTCATCAACTTCCGCAGCGAGTCTTCATCTCCGCCTCCGAAGGCATTTCTGATGAGATGGGCGCTGAGGTTGTCATCGACGAACGCCCACGACCCCTCGTTCGAAGGATCCTTCCGCTTGTCCTTGCCTTCTACCGTAGGCGTGCCCGATGCGGTCCGCACGAGATCCGGCAGGCTGGTTTTAGGGATGGCGCCTTTCAAGCCCTTCAAGTGGCCCGCGACCAGCGCAACAGCCTCCTCCGATGATAGCTTGTCCCAGAGACCATCGGTCGCCAAGATCAAGAAGCGCAATGTGGAAGTGTGCTGGGGCTTGTCAAGTGACAGAGGAACCTCGAGCTTGCGGTGGGTGATCACCGGGCGCGCAGTGACATATGGACTGTAGTATGGAGTTAGTGTGCGGCACAGCTGCAGATTGAACTACGGACGGTGTTTTGAGGAGCGACGAAGCTGGCCGCATGCTACGGTTGTTCCCTTCCAAGAAGGCCTTACTCAGGCTATTTCTCTGCATCAATAAAGGGGTCCGTAGTCTGTGTCGTCGGTGCTTACATTTCTTGCATTTCTTTGGGCCATTTGTAACGTGCATCTCCGAAGGCGCGTGTGGGCTCCAAACCGCCCAGTACACGACCTCGTTGGATAACGTACTGTGCTTCATCCGATGGATGTTCGGACTGTACTCTGTTTGAGTACATGTCATTAGATATATACTCGCGAGTGAAGAAGTAACACACCTGGCAAGTTCTTTAGGATTTCGACCAGTCTGATCTTCGCTGAGAACCTCAACTCGCCATGAGCCGCTGCCCTCGGTTGTTGTTTCGTCCCAGTAACCAGCGACAGCTCTGGCGTCTCCAGTGCATGCGACGTACAGATTTTCATGCTTGGTATCCAGCACAGCCATGAGAGCGCAGCTTCCTACAGCAAACAATGAGGATGGACCGTACTGATACGGAGACGGACTTACCGGACATGGCTGGGAGCATGGTAGCGAGCGCCATGGGATGCTGACTGAGGTCGGGCACGGTTCTCGACTCTTTGGCCTCGGTTGAAATATTCTCAGCCAAGAGCCGTATGGGTGCATTGATGATGTCGGAGTCAACATTGGAGAAGGCCGTCTGAATTGCGAGAGACACGTATGTGGGATCAGCATCAAATCCTGCCGGTTTTGAGGTTCCTAGCCACAACTGGAGACGGTCGGTAAGCCCTGTTTTGCGATACACTGGAGGTTCTTCGATGAGAGACCTGAACTCCAAAGCGACGGCAGGTATGAGGATTCTGGAGAGTAGACGAGAGGTGTCGTAACCTCCGTGACCGTCCATGACGGCAAAGAATAGAACATCCTCAGCGGACTGATGCTGAGGAGCAAGCTCGTCGCGTTGCACAAGTACTGCAGCGTTGGCGTCTTCTATGGGGTCATTGGAAGGAACAAATGCGGTGGACCACTTCCATACAATTCCGCTCGGTCTTCGCCTCACGGTAGAGGTAGCATTCGCATTCAAGCGCGCATCCACCTCTTGGCTCGTAAGGAGCGGCACGGGCTGCGTCCTTACGAACGGCTTTCCGTCGGATCCGCGCATACGAACGGGAATGTCGAATGTCTGCCGGGAGCTTGTTTTGGAATACGCGTAGTACAGGTATGTTGGGGTGCCAATGAGGACGGTTGCGCCAGCTACCGGCTTCCAAGCACGGCGCAGCATGTTGTGAGTCGCTGCTTACCACCTAAAACTGCATGTTACATGTTTTATAGCAATTTCTTGACGAAGCTATCGCATACCTTTCGTTAGGCCTGTTGAATACTGAGTCCGTATTGGTAGCGTGTAGTAGCGCAAAGGGAGTTTCCTCAGCCGCAGTACTATGACGTAACGAGGTTCCTCCTTCCGTAAACGCGCGTTGTCACAGAGTGACTAGATGTGCACGTGACATGTTAGCCCCTATTATGCGAGGCGCGTAACTTGGAAGCCACCGTGTTGTGTGTGGCTGCTCACCGAGCATCTCTTGGTTGCCCTTGTCTCTTTACCCGTCTGCTCGTTGTCTTGGCTTGATAAACTGCATTAGTACATTGCGATGAACACCCCGACTGCAAAGAAACCGCAGCAAAGCATGCAAACGGCGATTTCCCAGCGTTCTCCGCTGTCTTCATGGGAGTCTCCACAGATGAATGGGCCGCAAGACGTGAGTGGCCCCTGTCGTGGAATGAAAACGTTAAAAGTGACATCTGTGCAGAATTTACCTTGCCCTTGCGTCTCTCGCCTTTCCAGGATACGGGATTCACAACCTATCATTGAGGCGCACAACGTACAAGGTGTTCAGCTGGTGAAGGACTCCGCACCGCTGGCAACTAAAAAGGCCAAGATGATGCGTCCAGCAACGCATCTGCTGCAGAGGACTGATACTGAATCAAATGTGATGCCCTCAAACTCTTGGACAGAGCCCGAGGACCGTTCAATGGGCAGGTCAGGCGCCCGCCCCTTGGGCCGGGCGATCACTGTACTTCAACCGATTAGCACAATCACGCTCTCCATAACGAACACCGCAAACACTCACGTGCCATCGCCGTCGATGTTCGATCTTGCGCCAGACATGTCTTCGAACCATGCTGAGGCATCGCAACTCGTATTCAACTTCCCGTTCCCGAGTCCGCAAGACCTGACTGGCGTCCACACTCCTCCCCGAACTCCTCGAACCCACGAAGCATCACAATATGTTTCTACAGTGAGCGATCGATGCATGGCACCTCGAATCCTTCCCGAACCAACACGCCTGGCTTCCAGGGTGTCACAAGTACTTCTAACTGAGGCATCAGGTGCATCAGGTCCAGTCGAAGAAACGGAGGCGCTCATCCGAGGAAAATGCGGAACAACCGCTTAAGGACCAAAGAAGAACTGCTACTGGTCTTTAATTGGCTGTAGCCAGGTCACCATACAATCTGCGACCGCGTCAGCCCAGACCACCCGTTGGCCCATCTTTCTCCCGTTAATGAGGTACAACCCGCCGAAGGTCAGGAAAACCTGAAGACAAAGGCACTAATGAAGACACTTCCCTATGCGCGGCCTGTGGCCTGCGCCGTTGCCCTTCCAATCATGACTTACATCAATTGCGCATGCTTCTCCTCCAACCCCCTGTAATGACTGTCTGGATACATGTCGCGTGGAAGTGCACCTGTGTGATACCGAGATGTTGTAGTATGGACAGTATATTAACAGTTGTATCCAATCCGGGATTGATCATCCTGACACACAATGACCTGTACACATGGACTACTTCGTAATATCTACGAATAAATTACACAGTCGAGAAAATGGAATGGTGGATATGCTTGACCACTAAGAAGCAGCGTGCACCCAGCCCCTAATGACGCCAATTTCGAGCACGTCCCTGGCGGAATTTGGACCCTGCCCTTGAGATGCTGGTACAACCTTCGATTGAGAGGCTTTGCTACCCCCGATTTTCTTGCCCAGCTTCTGTTTGGTTGTGCAATTCGGGAGATGGGCGCTGAGCACGCGTTCCATGTCGATGAGGCAGTCATAGCATTCCTTTTCCGTAAAAGTCGTTGACGACGTCTGCACGGGCCCGTTCTTTCTTATGACAGGCGGACGAATTTGCTTTGATTTCAACAACTTGGTGACGACGTAGTGCAACCACTGCGATACAACCTCAGCGAATGGCCTCAAAAGGGACGTAACGTCGGGCTTACCATCACATTCGTCAATGGCCTGAACTCCTCCCAGTGGTCCCCATTGTGCTCTCGCATCATCCGATAAACGTCGAACTGGTAGTCTCCTTCGCCTTGGAATATCTCTTCGTCGAATGGAGTCCAGTACGGGTCGCTACTGTCTTGGTCGCCAGCGTCCATTCTCGCGAGTCCAAGATCGATGATCGTCGCTTTGACGCCATGAGAGGGGTGATCCATCGGTGCCTTCGTGACTTTACCGCGCCCATTGCGAGCACCGAGAGGAAGTCTTTCTAGATTGACTGGGGCAATATTCTTAACCAGGATCTGACCCCAATGTAAATCGCGGTGCTAACGGTGCGCATCAGGAACAAGTGATTGAACGCCGCTGAACAGACGAAGCTCCTACCTCGAATCGAACCAATTCCTCAGCCCGCGACAGCGTTCGCGCCACTTGCCAGAACAAACTCGCCGCCTGCTTCCAACCCGACTTCGCGGAACGCTCAAAGGTGTAGGCTTCCAGATCCGGTCCCCCGTTGGGCAAAACAATGATCGCATACATCTGGGAAACTTGGAAGCCATCCGGTCTTACGTTCTCGCTGCCCCTCTCGCCGTTGAATTGATCCCAGAGATCGAGGAGCAGGCTCGGGTATCGCCCTTTGACGACGTACGCGCGTAACAGCTTAACAAACGCGCCGCAAGAGGTAAGCTTGCCCTCGTGCTGTGGAGATGCACACATGTCTCCTATCGTACGAGTGACGATAATTTCTCGAAGGACGTCCTTGGCGTTTGAGGGTGCAGGTGTTTCCAAGTTTGGGTCGACCTGACCTGAGGATATAGCTAGTTCATCTTCGAGCGGAATGACCTTGAGCACCACGTCTCCGATGCCGAACACCTCCGAATAGCTGGCTTCGCCGATCTTCTTGAAGACCGGTCGAACCGGATCCCGCGAAGCACTCTCGTCGTCCGGATAAACTACAGGGTCATACGGAAAGGTGGTGATGAACGAGGAGAAGTCGTGCGGGGAATTTTGACTGCATTCGTTCAGTAGAGGGAGTAGCCACGCCGGTTGTTTCGCGCGAAGCTCCGCTTGCTCTGTAGCAAGCTGCTGCGCCAACTCCTTGAGTACTGACGGAGACAGGTCAAGTTCTGCGAACTCGTCTTCGAGCTCGTCCATATCCGAAGGGGTGACTACATTGGTCCCAGTTGACCCCGGTAGTGCCTGACTTCGAACAGGGGTGGATGGCCCAGCAGCTGTGTGCGCAGCGGATTCGTTCTGCCTGACAAGCTTCGAGATAGACGAGGCATTACCGAAGGAGGGAGGTGCAAGTCGCGCGTTGGGTGGGGGTTTGGACAAAACCTCAATGTCCGAGTCTTCCGAGGATTCGTCGGATGAGGGGATCACTTGCGCTTTCCGCTTTCCGCCTTTGGCCTTCTTGATGATAGGGCTTTCTTCGCTGTCTGACAACAAGATCGGTTTGGCAGCTGATCCATCTCCCCGCAAGGACCGCTTCACGGGTCTTTCGGTCGTTCTGGGGTTGACTTGCACGTCCGCGTGGACCACGCGGTGCTCTTGGCTCACCCTCCGACCAGATTCTCCCAGAACCACGATATCCACATCCACGACAGGACGAGACGTTTTGGTAGCGTTGGGTGGACTAGGTTTGGGCCTGCTTGCTCTCGACCTCTTTGACTTCTTCCCTTTCGGTGTTAGTTTCGATTTCGCGCCAGCGGGTCGTTCGGGACTATCAACCACTAAAACCGGGGTAGGTGGCAGCATACCCGTAAATGCAGATTTCTTGGCAAGCACGGGAGAGTCGGTGGATGGAGGAATCTGCGAGTTGGTTGAAAAAGGGGCAAGAGGGCGACGGGAAGAGGCGGTGAGTTCGATATAAACTCTTGGGCGTTGCTTCTTCTCCGGGCGCACAGACGCCGCTGCCCGGTTAGGCTTCATTGCAAAGGCGGGAGAAGCTCGAACTGAGGAAGGGGAGGAGACCTTACGCATACCCTTGATCGCCTTCGGCGAGGCGCCCATGGATACCATGTTTTCGCGGCCTGGACGAGCAACGGGGTGTGCTCCGATACCAGTGGTGTCAGATTTCCGAGTCTCCCGAGACCTAGCGCTAGTAAACTCCTCCTCATCTTCAACGTTGATGATCCGATGGCTCCGTTTACCATAGGAGAATATCTGTTTCGTCCGTGTGCCAAGCATGAGGCCTATAAAGAGGCAGAAGCCGGTAGCTAAGTATACAAGCGCAGGAATGGTGCCAAAGACTGGCCCAGATGAAATTGTAGGAGTGATGGTGGTGCGAAATGCCAACGTTGTTTGGCCCAATCCCAGGCAAGCCCCGTGCCGTCAAGCGGTGTACTCGTTCTGCGGACAGCCGTATAGCCGTGTGTTATCCGGCCAAGAGGGGTAGCAATTGAAGTTCAACAACGCGTCTCGTTCACGTGACCGCAAAGCACTCTCGAAGACCCGATCACGCGATCACGGCCGATCACTCAGTACTGTGGCTCTCGGGCACTGACTAGATTCAACTTAAGCAGCATCACATTCTCAGTCTGCCATGTCTTTGCCACTGTCTCTGAGATCCTCTGTAACGCCTCCTGAACTGGAGCTTATTGCCTGCGAGAGCCAAGTGGAGGTCATCCCGTTGATCGCGATGGACCGAACTGCCTTCGTGTCGGTACGTGAACGCACTGCGCGTGGCTCTGGCGCTGCTGGCGCGCGCGTCTAATCTAAGCGAAGACAATTTGCATATAGGGTGCGTACGGGCCTTTGCGACCACCTGCGAAAAGTCGCGTGCCGATATGGATGGCAATCAACTTGAAACTCAAGAAGAAATGTCACATCGTGGCTCCAGATTGGCTGACCGTCGGTAGGTCATGCAGAGAATGGCAGAGACCGGTCGTGTTGTAATATGTGAACGTGCCAGAGTACCTACAGGATAAACTCGCGGAAGAAACCGGTGGAGACGGATTTAGCAAACTCCCGTTCCGTTATGCCGAAATAGCCAAGGTTTTATTAGATATGTATGTCGTTCATCTACCGATATTCACGAGTTAGCGCGTTCTAATGGCTGGAATCAGCGCTCCCGACGACATACCTTCTCCTGATAAAGTCCGGTCCCTCTTGAAAGACCTGCGGGAAGCTCGTCAAGCGAAGAGTCGTGCAGGTTTGCAGATGATCGATCATAACGAACTCAGTGTACGTAGTCCCCAGACTGCCTGAATTCGTGTTCCTCTAATCTTTGCACCCCTTAGTTACCGAATTTAAGCTCCATGGAAATCAATGAGATCCGACCGTTCTTCGTTCGCTCGATGGGAGTACTCACGCAGCTTGTAGCCCCTCGACCAGAAGCGACATCGGCGGAGTGAACCAGAGCGGCCATAATCAGGCTACATATTTCCGACGCAATTCGCTTTCTCTGAGTCGCCCGACGGCCTCCCTGGCCCGCCTTTGGACCTCCGGAGGCTAGCGAGGATCAACTTCGCACATCCGCTATCCTTGTGAAGTCGCATTGGAGGGTTTCTTGTTCTATCGCGCTAGTCAAGTACCGAACGTAGTATCTGCGCTTGGTTTGTTGGTGGTAACCACAACGCTGCTCGAGAACTCGTTTCGGAGCGACGTCAGCGCAGTATGCCGTCATCGTATTGCTCAAGTTTCCTGTTTTCGGGCCATCCGCTTCAACTGATAGGACCCAGACTCGCCACGGATTTGATGTACTCTCATCCACGTTGACGTTGTACTATCTCAGTGTATCAAAGACGATATCCAGATATTACAGTGCGCGATGCATGAATCGACGCTTGCTGAAGCTCATCCACCATTTGCTGGGCACTCCGGTGCCATCTGCGTATAGTCTTTCGACCAGACGAGCGGCGAGCTCCTGTCGCACTTGCGTCAAATATTGCCGGAGGTAATCTATGTAGCAAAATCAGATATGGTGGGTTTGAGTCAATGCGAGTGTTTACCTGCATCCACGCGAGACGCGGGCGGAGCGTAATGCGCATTCAGTACGAAGTTGGCGTCCCCAGGGATAGGGAAGCTGTCCACGGAAAGCGTGTTGAGCATCTTTCCCGCATCAATCTGGTTGGGGGGCGTCCGTTGAGCAGCGAGCTTGGCGATGCAGTCGGACACGTAGAGAATGAGGATAATGAGCAGACGGTCCGCGGGGCCCTTGATTTCGAAGTTGCGGAACAGCGAGTTCGCTCGGAAGAGATCGAGTGTTTCGTCTATTATGTCGGCCTCGCTAGCATCGGCTGGGGATGGCATGAGCTGGTAGCGCATTAGTGAGGGCATGCACAACGCACCGATCGGTGCCGGTCCGCGTATTCGTGTCTTGATGGGCAGTATAGCTACGTTCCCGACTTGTCGAACGTCGGGTTCCTCGTTGAAAGAAGAGTGGTAGGCCTAATTATGAGCCGGATCAGCGTTTGCGAAGAAATCGCCAATGGTTGAGCGCCTTACCGGCATCACCGAAGAGGATGAGAGCGCAGGCGCAGCGTTTGAGTCGGAGATCTCGCGCCCAGGCTTCGCCACAGACGCGCCATGACGTTGATGTTATGTGAACCTCAACCGTCAACGGAACCACTTCTTTCTTGCTCCTAACAACCAACGGCCAGCGTCAGTCAAGTTAGCATGGCTGATCATGAAAGTCTCAGCAGCGCGATGCCGGAGGAGCCGGCTCACCCAACGCCGGAGACGATGACCAGTGCGTTGCATGCATTGTGTTATTTGGACTTCAAAATTGAGGAAATAACGACAGAACTGGTGAAGCGAATGAGGGTCTTGACCCTCACGCTACTGCCCATTGAGGTGGACCCAGAGAGTTTAGCCGATGTCACGAGCAGGACTATAACCCCTCAAGTGGTTTCGGCATACATTGACGCTGCAGGCGACTTCCTCGACGCAGTGAGTATTCGCAAGTTACCATGAAGGTTACAGCTTCTGATAACCATTACAGCTGCCGTATGCGCTACTGCGTGCCCGTAGGAGGTTCATGTGGGAGGCTAACCACAGTCCGGTACGTTACTGCTGGTACAGTATACGGTTGCCAATCAGTTGATGATACATGGACGGCAATAGGCTGATTACGGAGAGAATTGGGGAAGAGGTATGTGTGTCCAATCATGCCGCCCGAGCTCAATTGACTTGCACTATGAAGCCATTGCATGTGAAGTAATTGCACGACGGGTTTGCCACCAAGCTCCTCGCGATCGCCTTACCTACATGATGTCGCATCGTTATCAAATCATCGAATCGGATGGTGATAACAGTGATAAGGAAAGCGCGGTTGAGATTGCCATAGACTCACACTGGTGCGGACACTCGTCAGAGTACACGAACAGAGGGTGTTGACCTGTCGACTGATTAGTACAATTTTCTTGTCATCCAACGAAGCTCAGGATGGTGCGTTGCTCTAACGGGGCACATTCCATCGCATACATATGATTTACTCGTGTTATCTAGTTGTTAACGAATTATGGAAAGGACAACTGGTGCCGAAGCATTCTGGCCACCACGATATGGACTGTAGGTTGTTACCTTGAGCAGGAACGTTGGTTGTGCTGAACTGTGTTTCGAAGATGTTTCATACCATGAAACAGAAGCTCTCGATTTCTGGGATCATCTGGACGCCCAGCGCATGTCTGTGCCAAGATATCAGAATTTCTTCCGGATTGCTGTTTGGCTCGTTTTCCTTGGCATTTACTCTCAAGCAGGCGAGTTGCCTGTGTATGTTCATTGGTATATGTAGGTTCTTACGATCTGCGTCCAGTGCGTGAACCCCTGGACCGTGACAACCCGCTACATCAGCACCTCGATCCCTTCGAGATATGCTTATACGTACTGGCACTGTCCTTTGCTGTTGAAGGTCAGCTGAACCTCCTGCGTGAAATATCTGGATTCATAACTTACCCGCTTTGTCACAAGATATGCATAAGGTAGTGCAACGCGCATGATCGCGCTCAATGCATGGCTAACATATCAACAAGCTCTACAAATTACTGCACTTCGTCTCAGTCAAGGCGTTTTCCTTCTGGCTCATCATCGGGCTCGTTACCGACGGTCTTTTTGTGCGTGCATTTCTCGAGCTCACAGATCAATGTGAACATGACTGCCGATAGATCACGGCATTCACGCTCCGCTTAGCCGGAATATGGTCGAACGGCACAGGCTCTGGCACGCTTCGATTACGGAGTTTCCAAGTCCTGAGTTATGTGGCACCATTGATCTGGATGAGTACGCCCTACAACACTCCTAATCATCATCGCGGAGCGTGATATTCTACTTGTCAGAGCTGGTGACCGTATTCGATGGCTACAAGTCAGTCACTGTGGTATGATCGGCGGTCACTCCGTTCTTACTGCAAATTTGCGCATAGATATGTCGGGACAATGCAAATTTGCATGGCCCGGATGATCAAGGAATCCGGCATCTTCTTTGCGGTACGGCGGAACGTCATGGCGTTCGTGACGAGGCTGATGACATAATTCCATAAGCTACTCTCCATCCTAGGCATAGGATTCGTTCAGGGACTGTGGGCACTGGATGCCGCAGATGGCAGATCGGATCTTCCCGTAACTATACGAAACTACTGTCGGCCTTCCTCGTCCTCACTATCCCCAGGTCGTGAACCTGCTCATCGAGGCGCTTCTGCAAGCTCCTGCGTATGACAAATTCGCATTCAGGTGAGTCTTGCCACTTTTTATGGGGTCTACTCTTCGCCCTGAGACGGTTTTCAAAGTCCTGTTGGGTTGTCTCTGTATTACCTGTGAGTGACCTCTTGTCAGCATTTAGCTATGTCCTGACTCTGGGTCAGATGGAATGTCGCGACAGCTGTGATCCTCCTCAATGTTCTCGTGTCGCTATTCTCGTCTGCGTACGACGACGTCGTTGAAGACGCTGAGGCCGAGTATCTGGCGTTCTTTGCTTCCAAGACAATCGAGATGATCCGAGCACCGGATCACTTCGTCTACCCCGCCCCAGCCAATATCATTGAGGTCTGTCAACTCTTTCATACTACGTGTTTATGCTGACTCGTAGGAAAATATAGCTTGTGGTAGCTCCATGGGAGTATGTCTTCTGCTTATGAGCAGGTGCTACCGAACCTTATGACGCTATTCTCAGGATGGTTCTGAGCGAGAAGTCATACGCGAAGGTACGGCCTGAGTTGCATTTCCAGAGGTTACTGAATAATGTCATTTTGGGCACCAGCTGAATAGGGCCGTGATGATGACAATTTTCTTTATCCCACTCACCATCATCGCGTTGTACGAGACCGCGTTGCAATCAGGAAGGACCAAGAATGGTTGGGCAAACAGCTGGCTGAATGAGGGCAACGGAAGCATCGACGACGACTCTTCCGAAACACGCGACCCCAAACTCAACGAGGATGATGAAGGCGGCAAGCAGATTACTAAAGTTGCATTCGATGAGATCGTGAAGGTTTTTCCAAACACAGCTATGGTGAGTGGCCAAAACATCGGAAGGACGCACGCCCGTATAATGACGCTCGAGAAATAGTCAAGCGAAGCCACCATTCTCAAGGAGGTCCAGGAACTCAAGGATCAGATCAAGAAATTGACGGAGCTCTTGGAGCGGCGATGAGGGAGGAGGGAGTTTCCGAAAGCAGGGGCTGATGCAGATGGTGGACCATCTAATGTTGGAATGCTAAGTCCGCTGGCGACACATCACAGGACGTTCCGGGGACGATTACCTACGCTATTGAATCCAAAACAACTTACCGGTGCTCTAACTACATGTGTAACCGCGCCTTTTTTAATGCTTGGACCTAACATCTGAATTCCTTGCGCGTACATGCCAACTGCATCATGACGGGCAAAGGTGAAGGGAGCTATACATATACCATGGGTATACTTTCTGAGGGCGGGTACCTCCTATTGCTTCCTCCGTCGTTCGTTAGGATTCTTGCGACCGTAGCCAATAGTTGGTAAACCGTCGTTCCTGTTTGTCCGGCCCTTTCCCCCCGCTCCGACAGTCAACATCTCCGGGACCCAATCTGGATCCATCCAGCTGCCGACCCTGACACCGCCTTCTGCGCCTTTGGAAAGCACGCCGTTGACAAGCTTCCTCTCGTCGCGTTCACGTTTTGCGTCGAGTTTCTTCTTGGCGCGCATATACTCGAGCTGGTCCTCTCGTAATACCAGCCCGTCGCCAGTACCTCCTTTTGCCGACCCTGGTTTCGGTGCTGGTATGGAATACTTTGTACCCCGCAGTCTGTATTGGAAGTTTTTCTTCAGATGAATTTGCATAGCAGGGGCATCCGCGGATGCGTCCGGCGATGCGATGGTCACAGAGGTACGGAGAAGCGTAGGATTCCCGCACGAAGGGCAAAATTGCTTCGAATTATCCTTACATATTCTGCGAATAGGCATCAGTATGTGTTCCTCGATTCGTACACGCGGACGCACTTGAAGCAAGCATGACACCGCAAAACCCATGTCTTCAATCGTTGTATCCGTTTCCCTTCCACGCCTACCAAGCTCAGACCCATCTGCAGCAAGACATTCTGCATCGCAAAATCGGCCGTCATGCAGCCTGTCGGGACTGTCTCCGGCTTGACCTTGGCCGATGTCGTAGGAAGTAGATCAAGGTGTTTTGCTTTGTGCAGAGCGACGTTGAGTGGTGTAATCCATTCTCCTTCGCCATCATCCTCGTCTGTGGGATCATCATATAGCGGACTTGGTGACGAGGGTTGAGGCGGTTCTTCAACTTTCGAGTTGTCCTCAGGTTCGGGTTCACGCTCTGGCGTTGCGGATGATTTCTCGTTAGCTTGTTCGGACTCCTGAGGATCCGAGTCCAGAGATTGTTGGGTCATGCTATGAGATTCGGCTCCGGCAAGATATTCTTGCGTGCTCGACGCCACAGGAGGATCGCCGTTGTTCTCCAACGAGATCAGGTCGATTTTATCGGCAAGGGAGGAAGCGTCAGCGGTTGAGCTTGATGAACCTTCCAGTGCTGATTTCGCTTCAGGCTATCCCAAGTAACTCAGTCATGGTTTCCTTTGGGATAATTATGATTCTCACCTCCTTCGACGCTTCTCTTTCACACTCCTCTTTGTCCTGCATGCTCAGAGCATATGTCAAGGCAAGGATGCTCAGATCTGCATGTGAAAGGACGGAGTAATCACCAGTTTTCTTGGCAAACTGGATCACTACGGCTCAATGAGTACTTCTCGTGGACAAGGGTCGGCTCACGTACCATGCGCTAGTGATGCCGCATCCGGAGATTTGATCTCGATCCTGACCCCAGCGGATAGACCAAGCCTCTCAAAATGTTCCCGGGCACGTTCATCCTTCAGTTCTTCAAGAACTTGTGGAACAGTGTAGTACGCTTCCGCCAAACCACGCAAAGGCGCAAGGGACAACAAGGGGCCCGCATCCAATACTAGTTTCTTGCAAGCAAAGGTCGTTGAAGGCCCAGACATGGCAGCAGGAGCCAGAGATTATTGTGTGCAGCCTCGTGAGGATTGAAGTGAAAAGTGAATTCGCCATAAACGGACACGAACTCAAGCAGATTTCGTGATCAGCCATGATGCATGATGTCTCCTAAAGACGCGCCTGCAAAGTACTTATATCGGCGAGGATCATCCATCGCTCGCGCTTATCTCTATCGACGAACATAATGTCGCCCAAAACGTGGGTGCAGCACGACTAGGTATTATTCACGTTTGATCATAACCTTATTCCCGCGTAGTTTCCGGATCACCGTCCTTCCTGGAGATGGTATCGGTGCGTTTCTTGACCGCCTCTCGCTTGACGCTCGAGTTGAGCGTATATATTAGGCCCCGAAGTCATCTCCGAAGCTGTGAAGGTCCTTCAGGTGGTGTCGGCTGCCTCGCCTAACATCGAGCTGCAACTTGACGCGCATGACTTCGGAGGATGTGCCATCGACGCTCATGGTGATCCTCTACCGCAGTCGACCTTGAAGGCATGCCAAGAGGCGGACGCTATCCTCATGGGTATGTTTGTCGATTACTCATTAGTCACAATATTCCTACCTAAGGAACGCAGGATCTATCGGCGGTCCCAAATGGGGCGTAAACAGTCCTGTACGCCCCGAGCAGGGCCTGCTGAAGCTCAGGAAGACCCTTGGGCTCTATGCCAACATCCGCCCGGCATCCTTCGCGTCCGACTCGCTCCTCGCAATATCCCCTTTGAAGCCTTCCATCGCTCAAGGCGTCGACATCATCGTCGTCCGCGAGCTCATCGGGGGCGCCTACTTCGGAAAACGCCAGGAGCTAGGGACTGGCTCTCCCGGAGACACGGCATGGGACACCATGATATACAGCGTTCCGGAGGTCCAGCGCATCACCCGCGTTGCAGCGCAAATCGCATTGGCAGCCAACCCGCCCCTCCCAATCCATTCTATAGACAAAGCCAACGTCTTGGCCAGCTCGAGGTTGTGGAGGAAGGTCGTTACGGAGACGATCGAGACGGAATATCCGCAGTTGAAGTTGGACCATCAACTTGTTGATTCCGCGGCCATGATCATCGTATCAAACCCGAAAAAGCTCAACGGCGTCGTCGTCACCGAGAATCTGTTCGGAGACATGTGAGTGTATATCTGCATCAGCGCGACGATGGAGTCTTCTGATGCTGACCCCTTGCAGTCTCTCCGATGAATCCAGTGTCATCCCTGGATCTCTTGGATTGTTACCATCTGCATCACTTGCTGCCGCACCATCGACGCCGGGCAGCGCTGATTTCAAACCAGCCCTCGGGCTGTACGAACCGATACATGGGTCTGCCCCAGATATCGCTGGACAAGGCATCGCAAACCCTATCGGTACCATCTTAAGCGCAGCCATGCTCCTACGCTATTCTCTTGGACTGGAGGCCCAGGCGAAGGCCATCGAGAGCGCCGTGCGAAAGGTACTTGACGATACTGAGATCGGCGGCTTCGGTCTACGGACCGCCGACATGGGCGGCAGCGTGAAGACGACAGAGATTGGGCAGAAGATTGTGGAGGTTCTAAAAACGCTGCTTTGAGCCCGCCGCTCGAGTAGGAGGAAGAAGATTGCATGTACTCTAGCTACAACAAAACCAAATGTGCAGTGTCGAAATGTATGAGTGTCTCGAACACTGGAAACTTCATACCGAAAACATACTGCATGGCTAGCGAAGTGATCACATGGCAATAAATTAATTGCAACAACTCAGAACATGTTTGCGAGTTTGCTGGCCGCTTCTCTGGCATCCAGCCTAGGCCGAGTGGGCTGCACCCTGACCGATGCGGACATAAAATTCGGTCGGACACCTCCCAGGGGATCCACATCTGGCGCTCCTGCAGCGCCGTTCGCAAGTGGGTTCGTCGACGAACCCAGCTGTGCGGCTGATGTCGGCCTGCTCAGGGGGTCTTCGCCTGCAGCTGGGCCGGTGAGCGGTGGCGCCGCCACGCGAGGGGTGTTGGGCGATATCGGTGACGCTGTCGCGGGCGATGCAGGTGGAGCTACCCGGGGGCTGGGAGAGATGAACATCGACTTAGTGCCGTCCACGAAACGCCCGCCCAGAGGCGGCCCATTACTGACAACTGTTGGTTGCGTCATAGCTCGTGTGGGAGGATTTGAAGATGGCCCTGCCCCAGGCGATTGCAGCGAGCCTTGAGGTCCAACATTGTGTTGCACTGCCAATGCTGGAGGACTCTGAATAGGGGGCGACGGAGGGAGCCCTCGTTGAGCTAAGGGGCCATTCGCAACTAGAGGAGGGACTGGCGCTGGCCCTCGGGCTACGGGAGCCCTGATAGGGTCAGCGGGAGGAGGAGGTCGTAGGATCTCGTCCTCAAGTTTGGGTACCACAGTAGGTTTGGGCACGCCGTTCGTCACGACCACCTTCTGGTCCACCCCGTCGACGTCAGGTCTGAGTGTCTCCAGCTCGCGGAGCAGCTGCCGCTCGTACATAATCGAGGAGCGCGCATGTTCAATTAATGCAGCGGTGATGTCGTCCGTGACCTGTTTAGTGTGGGTCTGCAGAGCTCGGTGAAGGTTTTGGGAGATGCCGTCCCCGCGCTTTGCAAGAATATGCTCGTACTTGCTCGCCTATGACTCGATTAGTGGTTGATCCTGAGACTGACGACGAGCCCACCTCTTCCATTTCCTCGAGTGCCTCATCTACCTTCTCGGGTCGAATGTTGCTACTCGCTTTCAAGCGCTCGATGTTGCGCCGCTTCGAGATAGTGGTTTTGACTGCTGCTTGATATTCTTCCAGCACAGCTGTCCGCATCTGCAGTGTCTCCTTTGCCGAGCGGGCATTCAGTCCCTGATACCCCAACGAGTCGCCGAGGATCACACATTCGCTGATCGCCTGCGCTTGGTCAAGATCGGCCAAACTGTGCCACGTTCGTCCGATCTTACGGAGAGTATTGCCTAGAGGGGGGTGAGCCTCGGTGGTCGCCACGTTGATGAGTTTGTTGCCCATCTCGGCATGTGCCTGTGCAAGCGCTGGATCCTGATTTAGCTTGGAATTCTTATGAATAGCAGAGCGGATGCTCACATTTCCTTGCACGCGTGAGCTTGTCGACGGCTTTAGCAGCATCAAAGAATTGTCCTTCGAGCTTAGTTAATTCGAAGCGAGCACGCTGCAGCTCCTCGTCCTCATCCGGGACGCCCCTGCGAATGAGACTAAACCCCGACCCTGCCTTGCGCCGTGGTCGGGGTGTCGGTTGGTAGCCGAAGTCACTCTCGATGAAAGAGCGGACTTCTTCATCGTGAACCAGGATGGGGTCCTCGCATATTCTCGTCAGCCATCGTTGCAGCATGATCTTGACGAGGCGGTCATCCTCTTCGTCCGTCGGAGCCGACGTCTGAGCGAATGGCAATGCGGGGACGATAGTTTGAGGGCAACTGTGAATAAGAGATTCGTAAAACTGTTGGAACTCGAGGTATGAGCGTTGCACGTTGCGGTAGGTGTTGCCGGTGAAGTTGGTCATGTTCGTCTGCGAATCGCCAACGTTTCAGCGACGCACCAGCGACCTGCGTAGCGCTATCATACCTGGGCGTCAAATCGGACCAGGATATCCCTCCTGTTTCTGTCCAGCCCGGTGATGCGTACGCGCAGGTATTGCTCAGGCTTCTCGTACTTGGCACCATTAGCGCCAACCGTAACTTGGGGAGAGATCAAGCCCTGCTCCGGTTGCCCATAGACCTGCGGTTCTTTTCCAAAAGGCGACGCAGGTGCGCCTAATTGGCTGGAGGGTTTCGGAGTCGTGGGGCGGCGGAGATTGGGGATGGGCGAGTTGGGATGCGGAGTAGCGGGCCAGGGAGGGTTGAGGTCATCAGAGCCGAAACCTCCGTGGTCATTGAGAGGGTCGAACATGGCAGCCTAACCAGAAAACCCTTGCTATATGCGAAGTCTTGACAGACCGACGCGGCGCAGCAGAACTGGCAAGGGCCCAGCGAGACGTGAATGAGGGAGGCAAGGTGGCAAGTGCCGTGCTTCGGATGATGGTACCAAATTCGAATTAGGTACAACATCTATGACAATAAATACCCTCGCGAATAACGGCAATAGCCTACAGCTAATGCACACAGGGAACGACTACTATGATTACGGACAGTATACAACTGCTGAAAGTGATAGCTGTCGACGAATTGGCCAGACCCCAGTATTATGGTTGGTCTTCAAGGCCTACGAGTGATAACATGTGTCCCATCCGCAAAACCTTGGTCCGTAGATATTTGTCCAGGTCATTCCCATGCGTAGCTCCTCCGCCTATAAGCGTGGCACCCGCCAGCTTGGGATGCATGTGGTCACCGTCATGCGCAATCGCGGGGTCAGCATGTGTCGCCCTAGCCTGCCAGCTACGAGGGACCATCGGCACGCGCTCGACGACTTTTAGCCCCTCCTTCTCCAACGCGTGCACCTTGTCGGGGTTGTTGGTCAACAAGCGCACACCCTCCCCCAGCTCCTGCCCCAGTCCCAAGTCGCGAAGGATGGCGCACGCGATCTCGTATCCTCGCTCATCGGCGCCGTGTCCGAGCATCAAGTTCGCCGTCACCGTATCGTGACCGAGATCTTGCAGGTTGTATGCACGGATTTTTGACAGTAGTCCGATGCCCCGGCCCTCCTGTCGCATATAAACGACCACACCACGGCCGGGTATGACTGTTGGCGCGACCGCGGGGGTGGGCGGGGGGATGGTGATGGGCTGGGAAATGAGCCGGATGGCCTCGTCCAGCTGCTCGCCACAGTCGCACCGCATGCTCCCTACGGTTTCGCCGGTGAAACATTCCGAGTGGATACGGACCAATGGGGACGGGATTGTGTCCGTCGTGATACATGGCGCCGCAGCGTCCGGAGGAGAGGCTTTGCTTGATGTTTGACTTAACCGTCCGATGTAAGCGCCCCGTACTATGCGGTCCATCTCCGTCTCGGAATCACACCAGGGGGCGTCCAGAGAGCTGCTCCTGATGGCAGGGGCGAGACGCCGCTCGTCCGATAACTGCGCTGGGTCTATGACGATGGCCATATGTTCTTTAGTATCCCGGTTGTTGTGGTATAGATGTAGGAATGCCGGTCCGTGAGGAGTAGGGATGCGTGTGCGAGCCATGCATCGGACTTGCAGATGGTCGCCCGACCATTCCGGAGGTGGTATGACACGGGTGCTCGGTACGGGTGGAACGGCCGCGAGTGAGGCTTAGGGTATAGTAATTGCTTGTAAGATGAAGTGCCTTGCGGATTCAAATGTACACATACGTTGTGGCTCACCGCGGCCAACTTTAACATCCTCTGCCGGCATCACACTCTTGACCTTATAGCTTCGAGGGGCCTGCCGGCTAACATATGTTAACCGGACCCTCTCCTTGTTCGTATGCTCTCCAGTCCATTTCGACCAGTCCCAAGATCCTACCAACTCCGGGTCCATGACAGCGGGGAAAAAATCATGGCAGTAGTGATTTCGGGTGACATTGCGATACCCAGCCGCAGCCCCGAGAAGGAGGGGGTCAAGATCAGCGTCCCTCCTCTTGAGACCTTTCTTCGGTGGAGGCGGAGGTGTAGTAGAGGTCAAGAAGTCAAGCAATGCCAGATCAGACGCATGTATAGCTTCGTGGCTAGGCATCGCGATGTCGGGATCCAGGAGGGACGATAAGAGGGCCTAGGTCGTGAACGTGAGGGAGAATGCCTTGCTAGACTTTTCTATGGAGAGCTTGAGAGCGGAAGGAACGGCGTGGAATGAACCGGTAGGGAATCCATAACCGAATGGGACGCTCGGAATGTAATCAGCTGAGAAAGACGTGACCATTACGGATTAGGTAAGCACCGAGCAGTCGGATGCTTACGCCGGGCAAATGATGCGGTACATTCTTTTTTCTTTTTTGGAGTGGCGCTTACTTGTGGGTATGGCCTACTCTCGCCGTTCACGGATGGCCGCGCGATGGGTTCCTGAGGAGTTTCAACAGGTTCAAACCTCGGTAGATATGTGATGAAAGAGAGAGAGAGAGAGAGCTCCGTGTACGAAATAGAGGAAGACTCCGCGAGGAAATGCTTTTAGGCACGTCCTCGCATGCAGTACATACTTGGTTCGTATGTAGACGGGAGAATGCTTGCAGCTCTTGTGACGCCCAAGATGTAATTAGATAAGACTAAGTATCTATAAGGTCTGCTCAATTGCTCAGGGGCTGTCCGGAAGTGGCACTACGCGACGCTTGTCGTCCTTTCACGACGCCCTCAGCGTACTAACTCCTGCACAACTGCGCACACACTTCTATCTCCTTCCACAAGAAATCCAGCAACAACCGTTCCGCTCCTGCGCAGCGGTTGTGAGAGCTTGCAACGGCCCGACATCTCGGACTTGCAGACTTGCATTTCCGAGGGGTTGCAGTCCACGTGAGCGTGAGCGCAGAAGCATGCCGCGGACCGTGGACGCGCGCGACGCGTAAAGCCACGCCACAAACTTAAAGTCGTCGATCGACCCGTCGCTTGCTCTGGTTTGAGACTAATACCCCTAATAGTATAGCTATATCCTGTGGCCCGATCAAAGTGCTTCCCATCCATGAGCACAGAAAACACCGCCAAACCAGCGCATGGGTCAGGGTGCGTTGTCCTCTGGCCACCTGAACCGGGACACACGCTAAAAACAAGTTATTGGTCACATTTTGACAGACAAACCCTACGCGCGAAAGTAGTCGAGATAATCTCTGACGTTGCGAATGGCTGTCTCGAAGAGTGCGTCCATCCTTGCTCGTCGCGCATCTTCCGTCCCGAGCGATTAAGTATACCTATCCCGATTCCCATGGCGCAGAGTCGGCCTGTATCCTGGGATTTTCCAACATATTACCGAGCTTGAAGAGCGCAACAAACATCTTCACGCCGACAACGCGAAGTTGTGGAGAGACAATCAAACGCTTGCCCGCATGGTAGCCCAACAACGAGATCGCCTCGCATTCACGACCATGGCAGATGCGGACAAGATCCAATATATCGAGCAACTACAGATGCAGCTCCAACAACTCAAATCGGAGCGGGTCGCGATCATCCACAGGGACGATACTATTTTACGCGGAATGAGTGCAGATCAAGCCTACCAGCTGGTATTTGCGGAACTCCAGACCGCCAAGCAGCATCACCAATCGGCGATGGCTGAGATTGTACATTTGAGGAATTTGCTGGCTATGTATAGTCAAACTAAGGCGTTAGCTGACGCTGAGAAAGCTATGATCAAAGCCTCGTCCCAGCCTTCGCCATCAACAGCAGGTTAGTAGCTGCATTTCTTCCTTCGCGCATCCAGGGATTATACACGAACCCAGGACCTTCAGTGCATACCAAGTCGGTCGTACAGTCACCCGCACATCACTTTGCGCCAATCTCCCAAACTTCACGTAGAGCATCCGAAGGATTCAACTTCGATAATCCAGTGATGGTCCGTCGCCTACCCTTCATTCGACCAATCGTTCACGATGCGTCTAGGGACGAGCTACCGAGTCTGGCAGGCGACAGAGCATGCCCGCGGCCGTGCAAGGCAAACCTATCAGCACGGCACAACCCGGGTTCTTCAGTGCAACGTCTGCGATGCCAGGGCCTACTTCGACTGCGCCAAATCAACTTCAACCGCAGGTACAAACCACACAACCCTCAGCACTGCGCACGATCGACAGCGATGTAAACAGAGTTTTTTCTATTTCGTCGGCCCCGACCAGTGTACCTCAGCTTTCCTCTGCCCCCGTGCCTATCGGCCCTGAATCAACGCATCCGCCGCGTTCCTCGTCTGTCGTATCCGTGCCCAAGAGCAATCCATCGCACGAGGAAGGGTCGCCTGTCGTTCTTGTTCCGCAACCTTTTCAACAACGTTTCACAACCCTGGATGGTGCTCTAGGAGAGCCCACCCAAGGAGGGGCATCTGACGCTGCGGAGAGTGGAGCTTCGAAGAAACGCAAGCTCGATCCAGAGTTTGATGAGCCGTCTCAAACTACTATCTCGAATACCCCACAAGCAGATGTCAGCCCTCCGGATCCGGTCAAAACAGAGGCTGCTGCGGAGGAGGAGCATGCATTGCAACAAGTCGATATGATCATCGAAGACGCTTTGGTCGACAATGGTGCTGCGGTCGATGAACCGGACTCTATCGAAGACTCCGTTGCTGCGATATTCGAGGACGAAGACCCCACGACAGGATTGAGAGAGTGCAGGTTGTGCAAGTAAGATTCGAAATTGCTCTCCACTCGGAGGACCACGACTGATATGTCGGTGTGTAGTATGCGCCACGAGATGGGCTTGATGGATGAGGAAAAACCGACGTTCTTACGAAGCACTCTCGATCAGCTCGTGGACCATTGCATCAGAGAGCACGAGCAGGTGTGGAAAACGCTCCGCAACGGCGCAGAGCCAGCGTAGGCAATTTCCCTCGACCGTTGGCCCGTCTGCGTCAATTGCTATGTAGTCGTGAAACACCATTCATCACCTTCACGGAATCCCGGAAATAATATTACCGCTACGTTCGTCTAATGTAGATGTACATAACCACTACTGCCGCAGGCCGGCGTTTGTAATGATCAGCGCACGTTTACGACTGCAGCGTGTCCACTCCAAGCGTTGAGGTCATTATGCGAGGAGGTGTTCCGTCAATTTGTCCAGGAGGTTCTTCAAACGCTTCGACTCGTATTTCACCAAAGTCTCGTTCTTCTCGATTGTGATGGCTTCCGTCAACGCGGGGAAGGTGGTTGCTCCGTAACCTGCACAAACAACTGTCAATGACTGCATTTCAATGTGCTGCCATACACTTACCCAGATACTTGCCGGGGGCGACTGTCACAGATGCGTCAGAAATCGACTACCACGTATATAAGCTCGTAATAAGAACTTACCCCCAAGGTGTTTATACCTATCAGATGACGTCATTATTCGTGAAAACCACGACGCGCAGACAATAACTCACCATTCACGGTCCTTGATGCCTTCTTCGGATATGAAACCTTGTTCAAATGCCTGCAACTTCTGATTGTCTTTGCGAACGCGTTTCGCGGCCTTGATGAACTCCTCGATGGGCGTACCATTGTGTCCGTGGGAAACCTCGGCATCCGGTCCAAGGAGCTGCAGGTAGGCGTCGTCGGCGACTTCGGGTGGACTTGGGTGGACACCAAACACCGCCTTGATCCATTCCCGAACGCGGCGGAAAGGTAGGTCGCGGCATACGCCGTCGCCGCCAGGCAGTTTCTTGAGAAGTTTCTTGAAGTTCTCCTCGGCCTCTGCCTTCTCATAGTCCAGGGCTCTCGACGCAGCTTCCAATTCCTTGATAGACTCGCGCAAGCTGGACAAATCGGTATGTAGTGAACTATCCGATGCAATCTCCTCAACCCTGAGAAATCCGATCAGCCAACCGGGCAAAGCCATGACGTGTCGAGGGTATCTCACTCATCCAGATAGGAATGCAATTCGAGAACATATTGGGTAGTGTTCCTACGACCAAGTTAGCAATATTCACGCACGAAATATAGAGATAACGGACAAGGGTAGGATGATGCTGTCGATGACACGTAGAGCGAGTAAACCAAGGTGCTTGCTGACAGCGACCTGATAAAGCACATTCAGTTATGCACATATGTATATCTTTCGGCTATACTGACGTGTCTATGGAATCCTTCGTCCGCAAAATGTTCTTGCCAGTGCTGGGAGTCGTAGATGGAATGGTAATGATATACAGCATCATACGGAGTACCGCCGAAACCCTGATCGCACGACGCGATCTAAACAGAGGAGAGGTTGAGCTTGTATGCCGAGCCCAAGTATGACATCAAAGACGTACACCAATCCTCTGGAGGAACACCGTGAAGTCAGAGCCGCTTCCTAGCGGGCTGAGAATTCCAACGGAATCCTTATTCGCGGCCCGCCGCTCTTCAGCTGCTGCAAAGTTTGCCATGAAATCCGCATCAGCGGCCGAGCCATCATATGGACCGATATCTTCCCCAGCGTCCCATAGTGTTCGGTGCTTGTCCGTGGGGTGGGGAATTTCTTGGGCCGTGGCGCGAATAAGGTGCGCCAAAGAGGGTGAAGCCCCGGCATTCCAGCGAGAACCGCCGACGGAGACGTCTAAGGTATCAGCGAGGCATAAGTGCGAGCGTAAGCTAAACTGCGACATAGATCAGGCACCCACCAATCTGTAAATAGGCGACGACATTCGCACCAATCCAATCGCTGAAGTCCTGCATAAAAAACCGATTCATCGAAGTGCTCTGAAACGGCATTCCGGAGTATAGAGTCCTGCACATACCTCTCCCCATTCCGTGGACCCAATGAGACCATACTAGAAGCACACATTACGCCGAGCACGGTTTTCATCGCAGAAAGCTGAACTCACTTCCTCGGCATCCCAGCTGGCGAAAACGACGGTACGAAGCGGCTTCCAGCCGCTGCGAAGGAGGTGTCCAAAGCCACGGACTATCTCAAAGAGCGATACGGTGCCAGACGTAGGGTCTGCGGCGCCCATTACCCAGGCTGGAGTGCACAAGTCAGATATGCGCATAGCTTTCACATCGTGCATGATTGGTACTGACCATCCCTGTGGCAACCGATAACGACGACCTCGTCCCGGATATGTCCAGGTATGCTGGCCATCGTGTTCCAGATCGGGATCACCCGCGTGTCGACGTGGTTCACCAATTTGATTGTCTTGTCGGATAATTTACCGCTCAAGGTTCGCCCTTCGTCTAACCCACCGATCTCCTCCAGTAAGACTTTAGCGTTGTTCCAGCTGATAGGAAGACTGGGGATCTTGGGAATGTTCTCGCCGTCAGTGCGAGTAGCATTCTCGTAAGCGGGGGTCCTGTAGCGTATTGTATGTCAGGAATGCGACCGTTCGTGTGCGATTTTGCTCGCTGCATACCCAGGGGTGGTAGGGTCTCCCGGGTACATGGCCAAGTACTGGACGGATCCACGCTGTACTGAAGTAGGATTCCTGGCTGGACCTCCGGGATATCTACCGTATGTTGGATTATGGCACTGTATGTCTGACTGAAGCCGAAACACTCACGTTTCATACCCATTTTCGACAGTAACTACACCGTCGTCACGCGTGTCCGAGTAAATGAGCACACCAGACGCTCCACGCTCCTGAGCAAGCTGGATCTTGATCCCGCGGAAGTTTGCACCGTAACGGCACAGTACGATGGTGCCGAACAGATCGACACCCTTCGACTCGAGCTCCTGATAATCTTCCCTGGTACAATAGTTGCCATAGATGAGCTTGCCCTCGACGTCGCCGTCCTTGCTGAGCCCATGGAACGTTGGAACATAGTCCCGGTACTCGCCAGCTTCTGGATCGCGCGGGTCTCCGTCCTCAACGAGGTCGGCGTTCCATTCAACCGATCCATCCTTGCCCAAGATCTGCAGACTACGGTCGAGCGGTGTATTCATGACAGGATAATACTTGTCTATCCATGCGTTGGGACGAGATGACGAGGTGATGTGCAATGTCGCATTGCGAGACTCCGACGTTCCTGCAGAGAATACCGGTAACTTGGAAGGCGCTTCGACGCCGAACTCCGTCTGGAAAAGCTCGAGAATGCCTTTGGCGTCTTGAAGATCCTCCGAAGAGCCCGCAAGATGCGGGTGCGTGGCGTAGATCCGGCTTGTGGCAAGGGCAGACTCTTCGTCTGGGACAGAGCTGCAACCTCGTTCAATTGGCGTGGTAGCGGGGTTAGTGACAAGGCACGCGCGACTTACAGGAAGAGTTTTTCGGCGTCCCTGCCTTTCAACGGCCGTTTCCTATGCAGCACAGAGTTATTGCTGATACCTTCCTGAGCCGTGAGGTGGCCATAGGACAGGTAGATTGCGCCGAATACGGCAGAGAGTAATAAGGCTTTACGGGTGCTGCTCGCGTGCTTGCGCGCGACGTTGGGGTTAGGGCCCGGCAACGCCTTGTCCAGTACGCCCGTCCCCTTCTTGCGATCCATCCAAGCGGTTGAAGAGAACCTTGAATGCGCGTCGGGCTGCGGATAAACGACTGCCTGTCGCAGTTGTGGTTACAAGCGAGCTTGTGCTCATAAACCGCAGCAATCGAGAGAGGAGTGTACCGCATGGTGATCCTACTAGTGGCTGTGCATTAACATGCCGTCGGTCCGCCGGTGAGTGGGATTCACGCTCATGGCTGCCGACGACCACCCACCGACACCGGTTACACCGGTTGATATTGACGCAAATGCACAGCGGAACAGTGAGCAGCAGAACAGCAGTGAAGGACATAGTTTTGCATCGAGGTCAAGAACCGAGCTGGTGAACCGCGCTCGGTCTTTCCTGAACTCCCCACAAGTTCGGGACGACACGATCGCGGCCAAGCGGTCATTCCTGGTGGAGAAGGGTCTGACACCAGCAGAGGTCGACCTACTGATAGGGGAAATAGTACGTAGCAAGCTCGACACGTTGAAAAGATGTCTGCTGAACGATGCGCCTCCGGACGCCAGCCATTGCATGCCCCGCCTATTCCGCCGAGAACGTATCCTCCACCACCCGCGTCAAATCTACCCTATGTTCTCCTCGGCATATTCAGGATTTTCAGCTGGATTGCAGGGGGTTCCGCTGCTGTTCTGCTGCTATACTATGTATGCCACGCAAACCCCAGGGAGAACCTCATTTCACGTTACATTCACAGAGATTCATCTTGCCACGGCTGGCACACTCGTATCATGCCCGACACTCGCTCAGGACACATCAGGCGTCACTCATGGAGAAGCTCAACAATTCCATACAATCACTCCGCGAGGTTCAAACCGAGACTTTCTCCCTGCTCCCTGCACCGGAACGTTTTTTGGAAGCTACTCCCTTCAAGGACTGCACAACGCTGGATGAACTTTTCTCTACGGAGTCTTCCAAGGGCACCATCCCCGATGTATCACTGCTAAGATGTGCAATTCAGGACGTCATTGCTGCCCAAGAAGGAGTCAAAGGCGCTTCAACCGACCAAATATTCGCACTCCTCGAATCAAAGGACGCGTCGTTCGGCGGCGAGAAAGGTGCGGGAAAGATGGTACGCATCGTCTCTGTTCTTCGAAAGCTAGACCTCGCGTTGAAATAGTGACACCAGAGCTCACTCTGGGAGACTCTGAATACATGTCCCGCGTTCCACCTTTCCAGAGAAGATCCGAACATAGCATTGTGGTCATACGACGCCCCTCCGCCGTCTTCTCCGTCGCCACCACCGCCTCTACTCTCATCTCTTGAGCATCTGAACCAGTCTCTTGTTAACCCTACACCGGAGCGCCCACACCAGCATGTCCTCCAGTCACTCATCGACCTCACGGGCTACCTTACGGCGCAGGCGTACTCGCTCGGTAACTATCGCACTTCCATTGGTTTCGGATCTTCGACGACGCTGGACCCGCAACAAGAGGACATCAGACGTGAGATTAGGGCACTCAAAGGCCTTGTCCTTAATCGGTAAGCATTGAGTGCTGGCATAGAGTATATAGCAGCTAACAAACTGTGATGATCCGTAGACGCTCGTTCTTGCCAAGTATTCCCCGACCAAACAGCGTACCCATCCCGCCAGCGGCCCGCCAGTTGTAATTTCATGCCTATCATGGCTTCGTGATGGGCAGAACAGATGCCTTTGTCTGGGTGCTAATACACACCGCTTTTCCCTGAATACAACGCCTGTCCGATCATGTAGGGCAGTGCAAAATTGTTCGATCACATTGGTAGATGCAGTGAAGATTACAACCTTTTGAGCATAGATAGAAGGGGTAAAGAGGGATATCAGGGAGAGACAAAATACCGTGAAAAGATAGGTGCGAGAAACGAGCGTATCTACATCCCAACAAAACAGACAGCACAATCCGGTGAACAGGAAGGAGGGTAAAACTACGGGGGGAAGTATAAGGCTAATAATGATACAATGCGATGTGGTGCGATGTGCTATGACGGGTGTCAACTGCCCGTCTCCAATACGAGTGTTCTGTCCGAAGGAGACGAGTTCTAGATGAGTAGTTAGGCCGTAGAGATGCGTGAGTTCGTGCAAGGGTTGCATAGAAAGGTCCAAGAGACGGATCGTGTCGTCTACCATGGAGACGACGTCAAGGCAAGGAGCGGTGTCAACATTGCCCCAGGAAGCTGTTGCGCGGGAATGTCTGGCCGAAGCCACCCGATTCCTGCGGACCCGTCCATGTCGTGAAGTTCGGGTTCGTATATGCGTCCAGGTACCTGAGCATACATGATCGTACCGGGTCCTTGCGCGATGAAAGCAATCGTTAACTTACTTGTTGATGTAAGTGGCAGTTGGGAAATCCGGCGGGTCGCAGCCAATGTTCCGCTGGCCCTTCGGTTGGTACACCCGGATGTAATCGATGTACATATGTACCGGAAATGGAAGGTGGTCGAGATCAACTGTACCAAAGTTCGTCGACATGCCAAGGTTGGCGATGAGGTACTAGAGGGGGACGTCAATATGCATGCATGCAATGGATCGGGTTTAGAGTCGCACCATAGGCTCCTGGGGCACTGGACGGTCGGATATTTCAACCAGCGGGTCCGCACCCAAACCAGCGACGTTTAGAGTCCATGAAACTTTGTTGTCGCTTATCCAGGTAATGTACTGAAACACGCCTGTTTAGTCGAACAGAGACGCAATTTACGATTCACGCACGGCATCGTCGAAGCCAGGAAGGTACTATACATTCTAGTCAGTATCACCGTGAATGCAATGTCGTATTATGACAAACCTCAAAACCGTATATCGATGCGCACCCCTTCTCGTACTCGTAGCAATCTGGATCAGTCGCCGTGACCACGGAGGTGGCTTGTTGCGTTATACTCCCGATGAACGTATTCTGCTGGCTCGCAGTGGCGTTGATAATGACCTCATTGTCGGAGGTATTGAGCCATTTGTATCCATGGTTGAACGGCTGCGGATGCATTCTTAGTACATGACAATCATCCCAAGGCTATCAATCAAGTACACGCCACCTACCGCCCACTGTGCCGATTGGGACACCTGCGCTACGAGCGGATTTCCCGTAATCTATGGCGTGTGCCCACATGTCATGAGTTGTTTTCAATACAAATGGAGTAATGATAACCCCACCTGTGCTTCGAATACATCTATTTCCGGGGCGGCCCTCCCAACGAAGGTCCCGTCGCTATGTTTGGGTCCCGGATGTAAATCCGCATCATCTGGGCATGTACACCTGGACAAACGTTGTCCGGGTAGGAATGACAGTACACCGCCGTGACCTTGATCACCGTCAACGAGCGCTGCGGCAGGTTCACCGTTAAGCGTCTGGTTCGGGGCGGTACCAACATCGCAGGCATCATAGCTGTACGGCCACAGTCCGTCGGTCGTAGCACCGTATCCGGCTCGCCCGAGGTTGCCCATAGTCCACACAGCCGGCCAAAGGCCGACGATGTTATTGACTCCGGGTAGAATGACATTGGTCTCCACATAGCCACCTGTGAAGCAGAATTTGTTCCTGGATAACCGTGAGAATATGTACGCGAGGACCCCTTCAGGTAATCAACTTGCCATGTCTGAACCATTCCTGAGGTGCGCGTGGTCAGAAGTCGCTATACTGAGAACGGGGTGGTAACACACCTCCCGTATACTGTCGCTCGTGCTCGGGGTGCGCCGACAATGTGATAATCATGTTTCCACCCGACGTGGAGATCGCTGATGGGTCATACCATTCGAAGTTGTTCGTAGGCTGAAAGGCACGGTGAGTGGGTCAAAGTCCGAGCAGTGTGCCAGCAGCGCTCACCCAGTACCATAAGTCGACAGCCTCCCTAAAGACGGAATCCGTGGATCAATGCGCAGCACTTGAAGGAAGCACAAACGAACCAGTATGGGTCGTCTCCGGGATAGAATGTTCGCCCGTCGACATTGAACTCGTCCGAAAACACCAACTCCATTTCCGACCCATCTCTCCATGACGGTTTTGTGTACGCTGATTGGGGAGTGTCGGCATCAATTAGTCCGAAGCTGTGAGGAAATGCGGGTATCTTCGTGTGTCACGTTAGTAACAGATTCTCGTCCTGTATACACAGTAGTACCTGTCCGCTGGCGTTGATACCGCCGATGTTGTAGCCTTGACCTATCTGCCAGCGCTTACCCGAAAGATGGACTGCCAAAGGTAATCCCGCACTAAAGGCCTATGAACTGTGGAGTGACGCCGAGTACAAGCGAAGACGTACAATAGGCCGATGACGATCACAATGAGCAGAATCAGACAACCAAGGTTCGAGAGGCCTCGTGAAGTCATGAACTCGCTGTCGCGATATATCTTCCTATACGCCTCCTTCTCGTCCGGTTGATGTAACTGGTCGTCATCTTCCGCTACATCAGGCGTTATTTGGGAGCCCCATAATCGTGGATCAGGCGCAAGAGAGAACTGAGGACAACGTGAGCGTGAGAGAGGCGAGGGCGGATAAGGGGGAGCAGACTTTGTCAATTACGGACGATACGCGAGGACCGTACGGCGTATCGCTGTAGATAGACGATACCCGGTGCGTGAAGGACGCGAACGGGTCTACAAGCTTTTCCTTCTCCTGAGAGAGATCTGTTGAGTTACGGGCAAAGATGTCATGCGACCTCCGTACGTTGAGGCTGCTCGAGCTGCTGGTGCGGGGCGGGCGTGCAAAAGGTGCGGTGGGAAGGACGAGCGAACTGCCTGCAGGGTCGTCGTGGTGGAGCACGTCGTTGCTGGTAGCGGGTGACTCGATCTCGTCGCTGCCTCGGGCGGCGTTGACGGCGGCCATGAGAGTGGAGAGGAAGAGCGTCCGACGCAGCTGCGCCTGGCAGGGAATTGGGCAACAGTGCGGGAAACGCGAATTGCCATCGAGCCAGAGACCGCGCTTTCCACGTGGCCCGAAATAGTGAAATGACGCACTTATTAGTCCCTGGCGACTCAATGTGCTTCCGGCACGTCCCTTATCGTTCACGCGCCCCGTCGCCCACTGCGGTCCCCACACTCCCCGCATAAACCTCCCTCGACGATGCAATCCGGGAGTCCCTTCATTCAGCACGTCCAGAGGAACCGCAGACGTGCCGCCAAACACGAATCCACCCAACTCTATCCTCATAACATCCTCCCGCGGGAATCTGTTGGGAGCGCATGGGCCTAGCCCTTCGCGCATGATCTTCATCAGAAAGCCAGCGACCATCGGTGCCGTCCAGCGGGCACGGTCACATCTGCGCCGCTTTTCACCGCGATCTTGTTTCAGTATCATTATTGTCATTTTCCAAGATGATACCGCTTGGCGCTCAGCGTTGACCTTGGAAGGTGACGGTATGTTGATGCCTGTCCGTGGCTTCATGCTGTATAATGCACCAGGTATTCGGTTATAACATGCGATTTATAGCAGCGAAAGAAGCCTGTACCTGTCCAGGCGCCGTCTTTGCGGCTCTTTGCGGAGACAGCTCGCTCTGCGGCCTTCTGTTTCAGGTCCGGGCTAACCTTTTTAATGAAGTTCTCCGTGTCAATGACCGGAGTGATCAGGGAGTGATCATCAATCCGTCACGGTAGTTGAAGCGCCTGAAACATTCAAACATCCCAGTACGGCCGGTCCTGGCCGTCAGTCGCGCACCCTACTTTCCGTGGATTTACGGCTTTTCCAGTAATAGTGATCGAATGTCCAGGCCGGATGTTACGGCAAGCTATATACTGAAGGCAATGCGACTCCATTAAGCCAGAGTAAGGCATTCGGATAGGCGCCGGAACGATAACGGTGCATTGAATCTGACCTCCGGAAATCCACTATCTTAGGGCATATCCTATCGCGTATAGGTAACTGTCCCTCTACATGTAAGTTACGTGTTATCTTCAGCTGTAGTCTGCGCCCGCGTGCATTGGTCCGGATCTATTGCAATGAATATTCGGCTAGCCGTGTCCTAATGTACCGAAAAGATGCACTCTCAGCAAATGTTCTGTTGAGTGGAGATCGAAGGTAGGTCGCCCGAGCATATGTTTCGTATGCTTAGCGCTCAACAAATGCTCGACGCAACCAATGCAGCTCGTGGCAGCCTCGGGTACAGTACCGACAGACATCGCCGCCAGACGTCCTCGAAATGCCCGATGTAAAAGCGCTATCAGATAAGATTGATGGCTCATCACCTGACTTGCTCCAGCGCATCACTGGCCGTCGGCGGTGCCAAAACACCTTCACCTTCGTTCTTCGTCCTCAGGCAGCGCCTGTTCCTCTGTCCAACGCCCTATAGAGTTGTTCTGAGACCCTCGGCAAACTCTTCTCTGCAGCAGGTCGAGTCAGCGCCATGGAAGCCCGCGAACAACCCATGGAACCCTACCCCCTTTGGGACGACTTCAATATTGACATCGTCGTCAAAGTATTTGCGCATACCGCACTCAGTAAGGTTATGACATAATGGAGACAAGACGGAGACAGCTGACACTTCTATAGGCCCGTTCTTTGTATTCTTCATCCCCGTGTTCTACTTCTTCCAGGGTTTCAGACTCGAAGCGCCCCGCGTGTGGATGCCTGCGGCGTATTGCGTCGCGTTATCGCTTTTCTGTAAGTGGTGATCTGCTCTCGCCGGCCGCACCCCTCACCTATCACATAAGGGTTCCTTAAGTGGTATTCTCGCCTCTACCGTAACCAAGGTAGCTTGCTCTTCGGCCCTGCTCCGCTCGACTGGGGTGAGCAGATCATCGTGGTGACGGGAGGTATGCACAGCCGCCATTATGTCCGCGGAATACATCTCAAACGGGTAAACAAGGTTCCTCCGGCGTTGGCGAGCTTGTGGCGAACACTCTCGCCGTTCGCAACGTCACCGTGGTTGTGTTGGACGTCAAGCCCATTGTGACTGAGAATTGTAAAGGCCCTCTCGTCACTCGCATGATTGACCCTCACACGGAAACTTAGACAACATCGTGTACTACAAGTGCGATGTATCGAAATGGGAAGAGGTGGAAGCTGTTCACAAGCAGATTGTCGAGGAGGTACGTTGAATCAGGCATACGGTGCTCTGTGCAACGACTGACGGGTGCCGTCAGCTCGGCCATCCTACAATCTTGATCAATAATGCGGGAGTTGTCCAGGGCAAGCTCATCTTGGACCTTACACCTGAGGATGTTAAGCAGTGCGTCCTCGTCCTCGCTCCCCAATATTGTATCGGCGCTGAGCCTCACGTAGGACTTTTGAGGTCAACACCATCGCTCACTTCAACACTTTGAGAGCATTCTTGCCGAACATGATCAAGGAGAAGACCGGTCACATTGTACGTCCTGTTTCCCCTTGTGTTCCTGCCATATAATCTGAGACACCGCGGAATCCAGATCACCATGTCCTCCGTCCTCGGCCTCGCTGGTGCCGCACAAGTCTCGGATTACGCAGCGTCGAAGGCAGCCCTCATTGCACTGAACGACTCCCTCCGTTACGAACTCGACAAGCACTACGCTGCTCCCGGCGTTCGGACCACTCTCTTCGTCCCCGGTCACATCCTGACCCCGATGTTCTCGCGGGCGAACTATCCGTCGGGAAGGCTATATCAGTTCTTCTTCCCTTCGTTGCATCCGGTCGAGGTCGCCAAGGCTGTCATACGCGCCATTGACGATCAGCACTCTCAAACCGTCTACATGCCGTTCTTCGCAAATTTCGCGCCGTTCTTGCGCTCGTTACCGAGCTTCTTGCGCGACTTTGCGCAATGGGTACGTACAAATTGCGAATCGTAGTCTATGATTCTGATAGCGTCCCCAGGTAACGCATGCGGACTACACCATGAAGGGCTTCGAGAAGGTTTCTGGGCGACGAGCTGATGAGCAGTTAACACCATCATCACCTACTGAGAAGTCGCTTGATTCTAAGGAGAAGTAGAAGATTAAATCTTAGGCTGCTGGCAGTACTAATCTATCGGGATTTATGAAGACTTTCATTTGGGATTAAGTGTGATGAAAGACTTCGCCTTGATATTGGTAGTACAAGAACTTTCGATAAGACAAGGACGAGATCCTATCGTACAAAAATTGTTTATGGATGGATGACCTTCGCGAGGTCTTCGATCAGCGTTTGCATGCGTCTTGCTTCAATCTGCGCCAAAGTCGAGTTCCTGTCGATGGTGATCGCCTCCGTCAGAGCAGGCAACGTCGTCGCACCGTAACCCAACCACTTTCCAGGCGCGACACCCAGATGTCTATA